TTTCGGCGCGCGTTCTGCGCAGAAGCTCGGGGAACCATTCCAGCATCTTTCGCGGGGTTCAAAGCCAGATCAGGCAAGCAAGCATGGAATGAAGCAAGGGCCGTGAGCAAACCCATTTATTTTCGCTGCAGTTTATGATTACTTATGCACACCAATGGTCTCACAAGACTCCAAGTGCTTAGGAGTAGACAATCTGACATGCAATCGCCCCCACAAACGCGACCAAGACACGATATGGTTTGACAGATCGTGCCGTTGCATTTGGAGCCATTGGCATACGGAGTGAAAAGTGAAAACTTCGCTCGCCAGGATACCTAACAAGTACGTAGTATATGCACGCATTCTCCACTGAGACTAGTTTTCAAAGACTAACCGCCATTTCAGCATTGTACACCTCATAGCAGCGCGCTTGCCGCCATCAACTCGCAACCTGAAAGCAGTGGTCAGGATGGTGGCCTGTAAGATAGCTCACCCGGTGTTTGATCGGGCGAAACTGTCTAAGGCTGTCATGAAATGTCTTCTACGAGATGTGAGGACACCAGCTTGGATCAGACTTCACTGTAACACTGCATGCTGCTGCTCCTCCTGCTCATGCCGCACCTTTACCAATCGTGACAAGGCGCCCAACCCCAAGTCTTTGCTCTCTGCATGCTGCCAAAACCCAGTCTGTTGGAAACCTATCCAATAAGCTGATACATGAACGTCTCCTCCCCCCAACTCTGATTCTTCGTCATCAGCAACAATCCGAGAGTGTGCCTAGGCAGTTGCTGAAGATGGCAAATATATCTCGGCCAATATGAAGTGTCAGACACCCCTCGATAGACATTTTACGTGTTCGCTTGCTGTTCTTGGCAGAGACCCTGCTGTTGCTGAACTGCACTTTTACTACCCGGCTGGCTGCATGGACATGGCGCAGCCTATACTTATCCTTCCTATGTACAGTGCCTTATGCCCATGAAGCATGGGGAAAACCCCAGGGCTACACGAGGTAGCACTAGGTAACCATGACAAGATGTGCCGCCGTGCTAAGATCGTGCTATTCTAAGCTCCCTAACCATCACAGCTCAGAAGCACCAGTCAATGGAAAAAGAAGACCTGATGTATCCGACGGCTTGGTTCGAAAAGTACTCGATGGAAGGAGCTCCGCAAGCACTCTGCATAGCCTCCTGTCGAACATCCTTAGAGTGTTGACAGCACGAAGGAGGAGGGGCCCTTCCTTCCCAGCGTCCGGTGTCCCCGCTGTGCTTTTCCTGGCTCGAGCCAGCGAGCAACGAGATCAAGAGATCCATGGGAAGAAAGCCTGGAGAGCATCTAACATTGATTGTTGATTGGCCGGCCCAAGCTTGCTGGGCTGCTGCGGCTGGCCCACTGCAATCTCGGCTCGGGCGTCCGCTGAGCTCCTATTGCTCACGGTCAAGCAACCAAACTGACCCCTGCTGAAGAAAGTTTGGAAAACCGGAGCGGCTGCTTGCCTGGTTCAGAGAGTGCAGTAATTATGGGGGTGTCTTAAGGGAATGCCTAAGCATGATGAGGTATATTCCAAGGCATTCCCATCATCGCCTTTAATGCCCTCGAAAACATCAAATAGCAAAGTCCTTCCAGGTCCAAAGGCCGTATCTCCACAGCTCTATCGACCAGTAGCTAGTAAAAAAAAAAAAAAAAAAAAAAAAACCTAAGAAAGAAAGAAACTGGGCAGCTGAAGATTGATTGCGTTTGGTAATCTCGATATATCCTGATAGAACTGCGCGACCTGCGCCCAACTCCCTGGTCCAACGTAGTGTCTTGTCATTTGGGGTGGTTGCCGCACCGCCTGGTGCCAATCCCTCTTTATCCCTCTTTATCGTTGGCTTACTGTTTTCGAGAACCTCCATACCGGAAAGCAAAACGAAACGACTGAGATGTCATGGCCTTATATTGATGATAAAGGGTCTGAGCTGGTCTTCTTAGAGACTACAGGGGTAAATGTTCATAAGCCTGAGTTCAGGAATGCCGGATGCTTGGTACATGATTTTACACCGGTTTCTCTCCAAAGTCATCACAGCTGACTGTCCCATAAAGTTAAATGGCTCAAGCAAGACATAAAAGCAACTCAATTCCAAATAAATCAGATGTATAAAATGATGAGATGATGAGGAGAGGTAGCACATAACAAGGCCTAATCTATCGGGTTGCTGTCTTTTTCCGATACATCAAATGCTGTACAACTGGATCTATTGAGGACAATAAGTGGCCCACTTAACTATTTAGGACTTTAAGAGTTCAGTGTTTGCTTGAGAAGGAGGACTTTAAATGTTAATTTATTCAGAAGCGCTCTTAAAGCTCTTCAATTTTGACCGGAAACTCACTCCCTTGGTAGTTTAGATACTTAGAATCTTGATAGTACTTGTGCAGACACCTGACATACACGTCTGTTCACAGTTTCAACTAAGGCCCCCTACCTGTGCCATGGGACCATTGTCCACTGTGATGCGCTTAAGATGCCCTTTTGCTTTCCTTGCTGGGAACTCGGATGAAGATGTTAGTTTATAGATGACATGTACAAAGAGTCCCCCCCTTGCTGTTCAACTTGAACCATCATTGACAGAATAGTTGAGATCAAACCTTGTCATTATATAATGTTTATTTGCTAACAGACCAGCAGAATCTCTACCAATACCAGTAGATAGACAAGATTGTCACTGTAATCTTCAAGATGGCCTTTATCACTTAACACATAAGAGATATAGATAAATGCCATGAACAAGATAAGTGTTGCACTAAGAGCTTGTTTATCCAGAGGAATTTTTGTGTGACCGAACTCCGGAACCTTGATCCAGACCTCTAGCTGACGTATGCAATCAAGTCTCACCTCCACCAGAAGCGGATACACAAGCTAACCTTAACATTCATAGTTGATACCACTAACATCAGGTGCATGTGTGATGTTCTGCTTAGGCAGTCACTTGGTCAGAACATTATGCTTCAAATAAATCACCAATTACTCAGCCCCATGACCATCAGGAATAAACACAGGTTATAAAAGAACAGGCATGAGAATTGGTCTCAATTGATTCAGTTTTGAAAAACAAAACAAACGTAAGCCTTCAAACGTAAGCCTTCATGCTCCTCAATGTAGCCCAAGATATGAGCAACAATACCTCGTCATGTGTGACATAGACTTATGCTTGTAATCAAGGAGCCATGCTCTTGAACAAATCCACAGAGTGATGGCAAGGTAACTGTCTCATTCATTGACTGTACAATGTCACTCACGCTTTCTACGTTTAAGCTTAGGTATAATGTTTTGATTAACTTGTTGGCATATATAGGGATAAGAAGTCATACTTCAAGTGGATCATCCAGGTCAGTGTTGACTTTTATTTAAGCTTAGCAACGATGGGTAGAGGCATCAAGTTTGTTCTCATCTGACAATATTGCTCACCATTGAAGGCTAGGCTGTTCAGATTCAGGGATTGACACCGTATATCACTAAAGTTTTTTTTTTTTCCAGACAAAGCTTCTTCTCTAGGTGGAATGCTCTGACAATTGTAACCAGTGTGCGAGTAAGCCGCCGTTATGGCACTGATCCTTGTCTTCCCTTAATGAATCCCCTAAACCTCTTGTTGAAACGGAACATTACAATATGATCGCTCAAGGTATAATGCCAAGTGTTCACTGACCAAGACAAATGGATCCGAAAAGCCCCTCAGCTGGATGTCCTGAAACTCTTAAACAATGATGAAGTTCTCGGCAAATGTGGTCACATTAACTTGTTTTGTAAACCAATGCAGGACTTATTTGAATCCAGAGCAGTTTATATAATCATTGTCTATGCAAGACTTGTTTGGATAGAGATCCATCAAAGTTAACGATTCAGATTATATGAACCCTGACATGTTACCTATTCTCTCAGGGAGACCCAAAAGGGCACCCTTTGCGAAAACAACCCGGTATGGAAAGGCAGCCGATCCAGTCATACAATGAAAGTCATGCCCATTGTTCATATCGAATCCTATCCTACCATCCATGCAACACAAGGGCAGAATGTCAAAAGGAGCATGCCAACAACTCCCATTCCCAACATGTGCCGAGCCCTGAATAGCACCCTGAGCTACCTTATAACGCCATGTTAACAATAGTAGCAGGATCCTACTAAAAGAACAAAGCGATACAAAACAAAAAACAAAAGAGCATATTGGTAGACAGACCAAGGCAACTCCTATCTTGCTTCCTTTCCCTTTACTACTGAAGCAAACTTTGTCAACCAAAACAGATGTCCTGATGCCCTACCTTACTCCAGACAATGGCAACATGATAATGATGATGATGATGATGATGAATCGCCAAGAAAGATGAGTGCTTATAGACATGACAAAGAAAAAGATGAGATGATGGAACTGGAGCAATGCTACACAGGTGCATGCATCACTGTGAGAGCAGAACCAAACAAGCTAGCATGATTGTTGCTGAAAAGAAGATAAGGGGTATATACTCGCATGTAGACCCATGCACAGGCCCAAGGATACAAGAATGATGTGTATCAGTAAAATGACTATGCATACCCAAATTGAGATAGCCCGTCTCAGCAACGCCCAGGTGCTTCAGTCATCCGAGATGTGTCATTTAAGCCTGATCCAGTGAGCATGAGGCTAAGAAGCCCCTGCTTGCTTATTTGAAAGTCACATAGCGATACCAAGGTGGGAGGATTGCTGGAGTTGCTGTAATTCTAGCAGGAAATTAGATATAAGCGCCGTTTCAAGGCTGCTGAATTCCAAGTGCGTCTGGACGGGAGTCTGGTCATGTGTCTGTTCGATTTGGCTGGTCGATAAGTTGATGGAAAGGCGGCAAGCAATCGGAGGGTATCATGCTGTAGCTGATTGACAGCGAATCCGTTGCTGCTGGACAACCTGATACATCTGATCTCAACAACTGTACATAATATAACGGTCATGGCTGTAAGACTCGTGAGTGTTTGTGTTGTGTGCCTTCAAAAAAAAACAATATAGTCGGCAGGCGGGCAGTCAAGGGAAAGGCGGTGGTTGGTTATCAGGAGGGGGGAAGCGTTGATTTCGCCGGCCATTCTCTCCACGCGCAGTGATCCATTCGGCACTGCCACTTTGTCGGGATGGCAAATCAGCTGAGACAGGAACCTTGGTGTCATCTCTCCTTCCATTGTTGTTCCCACTTGGTTCAGTTTCTCCTCCAGGAACAAGCTGAGTGACAGCTTGGGTGATGGATGCCACAACATAACCACGTAGCTCCCTGTCCTCACGCATATCTTCCTTCTCCAACTGGTAGCGTGTCTCCTTATCCAGGTTGGCACGACGTAGGTTCTTAATCTCTTGGAGAATGTAGAGCAGTACTTCTTCAGGGCAGCGAGTGCGCTCGTTGTAGTACTCCATCTTCCGAACATAGCGTCGAGTGACATCGGTCGCGCCGTCGATGGAGAAAGCGATGCAGTATGACATCTTCTTCCCCCAACCTTCTGTATACAGCCTTGGATTATCCCAGGCCTCCTCACAGGCGTCGACATGGATCCAGCGCTTCTGATGTTCCGAATAGACTTCGGTCCAAACGTGGTCCTCGGCATTCCATACCCAACGAACACGCCCGCCAACTGCTCGACAAAGCATGCTAAAGCAGTTGGCCCATTCGCCGCAGCGCCCACGTCGCGTTTGAAGCAGACGCCAGACATCACTGTACCGAGGAAATCGCTCGTATGCCCCGCATTCGGCGTTGGAACACCGGTAAAGTTCGACGCGCAATGCGCCATAGGCACTCTCTTCTGGTGTTGGGGCTGTTGTGCCATGTGCAATGGTCGGTGCCATGCATACCTGGCACGGGGGATTATTGACCCATGTAAAGAACTGTCGCCTGAACCACCTGTTACGGGGCGAGCATATTATCAGCGGTGATCCCTGAAGACATCCGGCAGCGGGGAATGGTTGGGAAGCAAGCCTACCTGAGCAGTGCACGGATGACACAGTCTTGATAACCCCATTCCGGTTTACGGCCATCTCCCATACTCTCAGCCTGTGCTTGCAACACTTGGCACTCCTCCTCGGCTTCGCTGTATATCCTATCCAGGGGGATCACTTGGAGGGCTTCGTCTAGCAAGCCGGGGTTCTCGTACTTCGTCGGCGTAGCAGATAGAGATATTAAGAAGTTGCGAAATTTGAGAGACTCTCGATCGTTTGGCGCTGGTGGCGTGGGAACCATAGGAAGGTTACGTATGTAGGAATAAGGAGGGGGTTTTCGTGGGTCATGGGGCTCAGATTCGTTGTTTCCCGTGCTTGATGAAGACTGCAATGACGAACCATGCTTGAGGCGCCGTGACTGGAGCTCATTTAGACGTTTTGTTCGTAGTAATTGCTCGAACTGAACCCTGAGGCTGTGCGCCCACTCCTCCCCATAGTGGTTCTGGCTTGGAGTGGAGGACTCCGGACGACGGGATTCCATGCTTGATCGAGAGAGTAGCGACGGAGTAGTGACGGAAGAGCTATGTACACGCTATTTCGGCTGTGGCAGGCACACGTGTTGCAACACAGCCCCTTGATGCCGGCTGTTGCAGCTCACGTCGCTCACTAGCGTTGTAGCTCAATACAGGTTGGTCTGGTCCTCGGACAGGAAAGCTCGAAATCGATATCAATAACGCGCGAGGATTAATGAAGAAGTTCTGTGGAAATGGACGGAACCGGCCTTTGTTGTTGTGATTGTATATTCAGGATCGGGGATTGTCGTCGTAGTCGTCGTGGCAGTCGTCGTCAACGGTGGCGCCTACTTGTGATGCGGTGCCGCGCAAGGTTGTTTGACGAGCAGTGTCCGCAACAAGGACGCAGCTGCCGTCGTGTAGGGTGGCGAGCCCTTTGCCGCGATCGCAGGTGCCCTAGTATCAGCTCAATGGCCCGATTACCATGGGACCTTGTTGTCGACGGACGAGCGCCGCTGGCTTCGAACACGCGGGAGCAGCTCGAGTTGTTGGATCGTCACAGGAAGGCAAAAGGTACAGAAGTGATCCAGGCGGACAGGCAGAGGGTAGACGGAGTCATAGGTGGGCCAGCAATGAACAAGGGGATGGGCGGGACAGGTAGGATAAAGGCGCTGCTGGCACACTGCGAGCGTTGAGTGGGCGTGAGTGATTCGAGTGGGGTGGACGCAAGGTTTCAGGGAACAGATAAAGGCGTGGTGCAATGGCGTCGGCAGCATTACGTTGACCTCCCCTCTCCCCTCCTACAGCACGCGCCAGAAAGCACGGACAAGACAGCGGGCAGCAATGAGGTTGCGTGGCAGTACAAGACAGTGCGGGACATATGGATCACGGACTGCGGAGCATGTGTAGGCGTCCTTCGAGATGCTGCTGAGATGGTAAGGTAAGGCACATATGGTAAGCGTTGTTACAGCCTAAGCGAAGCCCAAAGGGAGCGACATGCACACTTCACTAAGAATGACGCGGCCCCATTTGCCTTTTATTTTTGTCCATTGTGTTGGTTTACACAGTTTTACCACCGCACCGTCAAGCCTATCTTGCTAACTTCTTATCTGGCTGCGACAAACTCGTGATGTTCCATTGAGCTTCTGCTGTTGAACTCGTATGGGTTACAGGTCTGTACAGACCATGCCTCTCAGTACAAAAGTTGTCCATGGTTTGCGCTTCTCAAGACACCGGCTTTTCGCCAAGCACTCGTCGTCATGCAAAATACGGGAGGCTTCAGGAACATGAATAAAATTCGACCACCACTTCCTAAGTATGCGACGGATGGGCGCGAGTGCGATTCTACTTGCATACACGCGGCCATCATCTGTGGTTGGCATGAGGCAACCCCCGAGATCGAAAGTAGGGAGCATGGACTTGCAGAGAGCCTGGCAGCAACCCAGAACAGGGTTGTCTTGGGCAGAGAACGCGCGTCCCTCTGGGTCTAAGCCAATAAGGAGAGATTTCGGTTCTCCTCATTGCAGACGGTGTCTCCACTTACCGGCCTCCGCCTCAGCGCCCCGAAGATCACAGCTTACGGGGCCCTACAGCGAAGTACTTGAAAGATTTGATCTGAAAACCTTGAAGCATTGGGTTCAGCAGTTTCAGAGCTTCTTGCAGATTCAGAAATCTCTATTTTCAAATAAACTAACATTGCACACAAAAATTCTTGAGCTGTGGTTCCCCAGTCCCTTTAAGCGAACAAATCTGACGCTCAAGGTGTCGGTACCGCAGCAGCAGCGGTGGTCGGTGGAGACAAGATGACGAGGCATGGCTTTTGTCCAACGACGGTGTCACCGTTCGATGTCTATTGTTCTTTCCGCACCGTATGGAGTACACATTGGTAGACTCCATGTCAGCAACGTAAGGGATTCGGTTTCTTTTACCGTCCATACGATATCCATTTTAGTTCATATCGTATCAAAAGAAGATGGAAAGGCTTCCAGCAGGATGCTGTTTAAAATTCGCGATCTACGTTCTAAGATTGATTGCTCAAGGGCCAGCAAAAGATTACCGATGGGATGGGTGGAGCTCCTTGTGAAGAGGCACTGTGCATGTTCAACGCTGGCCCCACATGCTCAGCCTTGCGGTGCAGCTTCCAAAGGTCAACACTTCAGTTTCAATTCCCATTGAATGCTGGTGACTGTAGACAAATGAATCTACCTTTTCCGTTTTTGCTTTGAACACAAACAATAAATCAGAGTTGGGAGCATAGTTCCAACAAGTTCCTAGTCACAACAATTGAGATAGACAAAGCATTAAATGATCGACGTTCGGTTTTTGACAGGAACATCGTGCTGATGGTGCCTCACCCAAGCGGCTGCACTGTGTGGCGTTGCTTGGTGGAGGATTACGCGGCAGCCTTGGCACTCGACTGTCAGTGTTTGGTCAATCAGCAAAATGTTAGCTCATCACCAATTCGACCAGCAGCTTCCACTTAAACCAGCTTCATCTGTTGAGTGACAATCCATAGACGTGTTACAAACTAGTGTAATTGCCATAAAGCTTTTCCAGCAATACATCGTGTACCACTTGATTTCAACCTGCTAAAATCTTGAGATCATTATATTGTTCCAGCATTGCTTGATCACATGCCGTCCAGTTGCGAACCAGTATTTCCTGCTGTCAAAAGCGATGCCGATGGATTTCATGTGGCAACCCTACCTGTAAAGAGCCAGTTCAATCGATTAGAGCCGAGATCATTTTCTTCAGCCCGGGTTTCTCTTTTGCAATTCCCATCACGTTAGCAGTTTGTCTCACCTGCCGTATCTGCTCCTTCCAACCAAACTAGCCTGCACAGATCAACTTGGACAAGTCGGTTCAGGTTTATTGATTCCTCCGTCTTGGCACTTTTATGGTTTTGGATCCTCCAAATAAACTGCCGTCCTGCGAAATTTTATCCAGACTGGTGGCAGAGCATGTGGTTTGTCGGGTGCGCTGCAGCAAAGGAGAGGTGGCCAACAGGTAGCAAGTGATCAGTGTCACCCTGTCTGTCCACCCTATCTGTCTATGGAGTAATCGGCTGTCTAAAGTAGCTGGTACTAAGACGCCTTTCATACCAGGGTAGAAGTCACAAGAGGACTCAGCCGGTCGGGTTCGGGAGTATTTCTAATTCCACTACACCTTATCTCTGTTCCCTGCTATTTTCCTTTACTTCCCCCTTCATCCCATGACGGCTTAAAGATCACCCTAAGGTTTAGTGTCTTTGTGGAGCAACAAGACCACGCTTGTTGGCCATGTCTGATATGATCAGGAATATATATGGAAATGCACTCCAGCTTTGGAGAAGCGCGCCGCAGAGTCGACAGTTGGGTTACCGACTAGCGTTACGGAGCTCATGCTGCGTACTCCCAGTCTACCATTCTTGTGATTCAGTTGACAAGATGTATAACTCCTTCCGAATTGATACTTTTCCAAGTACTGATTTTTGGAATCTTCGGTGTTTATTGGCCAGCCACCTGATTCTGCTCTCTAGCATGCTGCCTTAGGTCTCCTCATCACTCGAAAACAAGCATCAGGAGTGTTTGGTATATGGCTGGGTGTGCATTTGATCCATCAGGCAAAACTGATACATTAACATTTTTGGCCTTCACAGTGACGAGACGTGGTCTCCTTGCTCCCCTCAGACGCAGCAAGAGAATCGCGGAGAAGCGAGAGGGAGAGCAAATCAAAGCGTTTCGCTGTTCAGTGGCAATTGGGTTGTCGCTACTTGCACGTATTCACTAGCCACCGCATTGCCTATCTGCGCTGGTGCCCTGTCAGGGATACGCGCGTGGGGTGGGCAACGATCGGCATGCGTAAGCCAGCAGCATCGCTTCTGGTGTTTGCGTGGGTCGGACATCGGTGAGGCGGATGGTCAGGTTCAGAGGCACGTCGATTTGTTCTCAGCTGGTATGGCAGCTACTTCCCCCAGCAGACCTTCGGGTCTCTTACGCGACCATGTCGACCGGACATTGGTTCAAGAAACGCGTTCCAAGTTCACCACATACCTCCCCGCATGGGAACTCGTCATGATCATCTCCACTCGAAGTCAGCTTTGATGCTACTCCGTACATTCAATCCCCGTCCCTTCAGCCAACTCTGACATATATCAAGCCCACAGTTGTCCAGGTCCAACAATCTCGTATGGCGATGCGCTATCTTCACATCGATGACTAAGTAATCCCAAGTGTCAAGAATTAAACGACAAATCGTGTCTATGCGCCCAAGACTGGGACCAGGGAGTCGGTAAACTATCACCTCAACTTCAGCTCCTTGCCTTGTGCTGTATAGCCCTCTCTACCTTTCCCACTCGCCCTCGGCGAAATACCTCTCGGGCAAGTCATCCTCAGAAAGTGGCCGCTCGATCAAGGCGACTTCAAGTGGCGGAATCCCTTCAACAGCACCCAACTTCTTCTCCATCATCCCCTCGATAGGAACAATGCCCATAATGGGACGGAACTGGTACGTATGCCACCATTTCGCCCTCGACGGACCCTCTTTCTCTGCATTAGCCGACGAGTTCGCTTCCCGATTCTCCTCCCGGAGACGCTGCAGCTCACTGCCGTCGGTCTCGTCGTCGTCATCATCAACCCCGCTGCTTACGCCAACACTCTTTTGGTCGTCTGCATCAACCATCTCAATGTCCTCCCACTTGGTGCCGTCGGGCGCAGAGGCAGCTCTAATTCTTTGCGGGACAAGAGAATGCTTCTCGATTTTGCTTCCAGCACCAGATTCATGGGCCCCACGCTTCCGCTTGGTTCCCTGCTTGTGCCCGTTCGTTTCAACCAGGTCCTTTTCTGGGGAAAAGTCTTGAGAAAGATCAAACATAAACAGCGAAGCAACTCCATAGAACCATGCTCTCTGCCCTTGCCAAACAATGCCCTTGACTTGGTCGCGGGTGTCCCGGAAAGGCTCGGGAAGCTTCGGGTAGGTGTTGCGGCGTGACCACTCAGAAAGCATGCCACGTAGAGGGTTGAATATTAAGAGCTGCTTCAATGTCGTAACGACGAGTAAGTCATAGTCGCCGTCGTCACGCGGAGTTGGAGAGAATGACAGCACCACAGGGGCAGCAGAAAGCTTTGGAATCATGGCTGCTTTGGGATTGCGTGCCCATCGCTCACCAGCGATATCTTCTGACTTCTCGTCTGACGAATCGCTTGATGATGCAGCGGACTCACCATCGCTGTCTTCGCCACCTGTGCCGTTCACCCCCTCCCCTGGGCCACGTAATACCCAAGTATCGATGTAGCCCGCCAAGTCGGCGACGCTGAGCATCCTGCTGTCAGCAGAAAAGGCGATTTGGCTAACATTCCGGTCGTAAGAACCGAGTCCGCCAAGGAGAATGTGTTTAGGTATTTGCCGCCGGAGTCGGTGCAACTTGTGAGGGACAGAAACGGTATAGGAAATACCGTCGGCGGATTCAGTGGCATGCACCCTGGAGATCATGACCTTGCTGCCTTCCTCTGCCCAGCATATCCATCTCTTATCCGGAGAGATTTGGACTCTTGTTGCGCCCAGTCCTGTTCCTGTCATATTCACCTTCTTAATGTAAAGTTGGCCATTTCTTTGGGCTGCGGCTGGGTCAAGGTGGAAAACCTTGACATCTGTGGGGGTTGAAGCAGCTAGGAGGGTTCCGTCTTCACTGATGGAGGCTGAAGTTATGTGAGAAGCCCCCTTAATAAGGACTTGTGCAAGGAATTTGCGATTTTTGCGCAAGTTCAAGGGAGCTTGAGGGTCATCGAGGAATTGTTGTGCTGAGTTGAGTAGATGCCAGATTCGAATTTCGTTTTCCCACCAGCTCAGAATATAGCGCGCTTTTGGTGCACTCAACACGGTAGGATGTTGCGGGAGATGGGGAAGGGTTCTGTGAAACTCTTTCCCTAGCGCACGAAGGGGGAGGACAATAGGACTTGCATCGGAACCTTCAAATGGACGTTAGCATGGCCCAAGCCCAACTGAGCGCACAGATATTGCTCCCAAGACATACCTCCAGAAACCACGACACTCATCCCCTTGCCCTCGAAGGATGCCATCGCTTTGACATCGTGCTGGTGGTATCTCCGGTGGAAAACCTTTGACCAGCGACCGCTCTGCCCGGCCATGGGTTCATAAACCGCCGTCCGACGGTCCATTCCTCCCGAAATAATCTTGGAGCCATCCGCGCTGACTGACAAGCATAAAACATCCTGTGTGTGACTCTGGATTCGCTGCGCCTGAGTATACGTTTTGCCATCCCAAATGCACACCTGGCCAGTTGAATCGCCTGACACAATGTCGCCGTTTGGCAAGCACTTAACAGCCCACACGATGATATTCTTAGAACCACCCGTGAGATCGGTTCCAAGTGTCATTTGCCGCAACATTGTGCCGGTTCGGACGTCATAAGCGCAGATGGTGCTGTTTGAGCAGCCAACGATGACAATATTGTGGGACTGGAAGGCAATACTGACGAACTTCGTCTTCTTTGATGGGGTCCTGGTGAGCGTCTTCTGAAACTTGAGGTCGCCGTCCTCGATGGAGTAGAGTACCAGGTTGCCGTCGACGGTTCCCGCGACTAGCTTGCGATTCTGGGCAGCCGCGGCGTTGGCCTTGTGTGGAAGAGGTTGAACACCAAAGCACCAAATTTCACCATGCTGACCGCTAGCATGCTTCTTCGCTCGCGCCTTCTCCAAATCCCATTCTGTGATCGTTGTGGTATAGCCAATGCTGAAAAGCCGCGACTTGCCGTGAATGATCTTGCCATCAGCCATCTCCTCGTCGGGATCTGTGACCCAAACTAAGCCATCGACGCTGCGATCCTTGCCGCCAGGAATGATAACTTCCTGATACCACCCGCCGTTCAACGGGTTCCAGATCTCAATGTCCCCATTGGCTCGACCGATAGCCAAGCGCACCTGGATATTCTTTTGGAGGTACTTCTTGCTCGACGAGACCACGGGAAGCGCCGAGTGCGTAAAAGCGACCGCATTAATTGCTGATGCAGGATAACGGACGAATCGGCACCGGTGAATATCCATGATTTCCGGTGATGCTGGCCCTGAAAGCGTTGGGGCGCAGATGACTTCAAACCCGAGTTCCTGACGGTCGTGATGAAGCGATTCCTGAACTTTTTTTCTGCCGTTCCAAAACTTTTTGGAGGGGAAGTCGGTCAAGCGATTAAGCTGTGGTCTGTGCGCGATTAGGTGGGGCCAGCGGGTGCAGCCAAGCCACAGCCGACACCAGCGGAAAAACCAGGGGTTACGTCAGGGTCTGCGCAAGTTCCGGGCTATTACCCCACCGCCAACCACCCCGCGGTCCCCAACACTTCCCGGTCCAATTGAACCAGGTTCGGCTGTGACTACAGATTACAAGCAGCTGAAGTATTGGACGCTTACATATCCGAAGCAACGCTGTTGGGTTGTCTGCTTTGATATCTTGTTTAGAGTCGCATATAGGGGAGCAAGACGGCTTTCAGCTGGTTCAGTGTACCTGTGAGAGTGGTAAGTCCGTCCGTCTATGACCGACCTTGGTCGCCTGATGTCATACGGCGTTGTCATTAAGTCTTGCCATGGCTCCGATCGTTCAGGAGTGTTTGTGTCCAGTGCAAGATACACTAACATATCGTTTTGTCTTTGCTTAGGTCACAACATACAACCAGTAATACTGCCTGTTGCTCGCGAGGAAGTTCCAAGGAAATATCTCTATGCGCTGTCCGATCTCACCGCTCTGTCCGCCACAAGTGCATCACTAAGATACTCCCTAGCTTTGGCCCACACATTTCGTGGAGTATTCATACCAACAACATCGCATCAACCCGCTGCGCAAACAGTAATTTGCTTCCTAGGGCCATAAGTCTGTCGCATCCTTTCCAGAAGTTGGATTAAAGCAAACGCATTTCGACATTGTACCACTTCTGGCATCTTTCGCCATGGATTTCAACAGCTCGTCACCTTACCCCGAAGGTGTTATCTCGTTCCTCGACACAGATCTTTACAAACTGACCATGCAATGTGCTGTCCTCAAGTACTACAAGGATGTCCCGGTTACTTATTCCTTCACAAACAGGACACCTGAGAAAAAGCTCTCCCGCAAAGCTTTCCGCTGGTTAGAAGAGCAGATTCTCAAACTTGGAAATATTTCTTTGTCCAATGAGGAGCTCGACTATCTGAAACGTCATTGTCCTTATCTTTCATCAGAGTATTTGGAGTACCTCTCTGAGTTCCGCCTGCGACCGAGAGACCAAGTAGTTGTCAAATTCCTGCCGGTGTCAGAAGACACAGGGGCCGACACCGACATTGGAGACATGGACATTCACATCAACGGGACCTGGGCAGAGACCATCCTTTATGAGATCCCGTTGCTCGCTTTGACCTCGGAGGCGTATTTCAAGTTCATGGAGCCGGACTGGACTTATGAGGGGCAGGAAGAGCGTGCCTATGAGAAGGGCATGCGGCTTCTTGAAGCCGGGTGCGTCTTCTCCGAGTTTGGCACCCGTCGCAGGCGCGATTACCATACGCAAGCACTGGTCTTCAGGGGTCTCATCAGGGCAGCTCGTGAAGCCGAGAAGCGGGGCTATACTGGCAAGCTTTCGGGAACCAGCAATGTCCATCTGGCTATGCGCTTCAATATTCCGCCGGTTGGTACGGTTGCGCACGAATGGTTTATGGGCACTGCGGCTGTCGTCGGTGACTACCGTGCTGCTACTGAAGAAGCACTCTGCCGTTGGGTCAGTTGTTTTGGCGAAGGCGTGCTGGGTATTGCCCTGACGGACACATTTGGCACCCCTGAGTTCCTCAATGCATTCAGCAAACCCGTACGGTATTTGGGTGAACCCGTGCCGACTGCAACAGACCGTAAGCCTAGCATTGCTGATACCTTCATCTCGGCCTCTTCTTCAACGGCTTCAAAGGAGAAGAAGGCCAAAAAAACATACGCCGAGGTCTTCACAGGCGTGCGCCAGGACTCAGGTGACCCTAAAAGTTTTGTTAAACTCATTCGCGAGTTCTATGATTCCCAAGGAATCACCGACAAGAAGGTCATTGTTTTCTCTGACTCCCTCAACATTGAACGCTGTCTGGAGTACAAGCAGGTAGCAGAGGAAGCGTGCTTTCAACCAACCTTTGGTGTCGGCACATACCTGACCAATGATTTTACCAACACCAAGACTGGCAAGAAGTCGACGCCATTGAATATTGTTATCAAAATAAGTTCTGCTGCCGGGCGGCCGGCAGTTAAAATCAGGTATGTGATGTCGGCTTGATTTCATCACGTTAGTGTATACTAAGTAATGCTCTCTTAGTGACAATATCGGTAAGAACACTGGTGATAAGGCAACTGTCGAGAAGGTTAAGCGGGAACTGGGTTATGTCGAGCAATCATGGGCGGAAGGTGACGAGACAGCCAGATGGGGTCGCGAGGATGACGTTCCCAGCAAGCCTTGATTGGTTTCTCAACCAACCATTTGTTGCACATTGTCGAAGGACACAATTGCTGTGGAAGAAGTTTTTTTTTGTGTGTGTGTGGTGTTGTAAGCTTGGAGGCGTGGTTTTCTCTTTTCCAGTCCAGCCATATCTGAGCGGTAACTGCTTTTCCATCTCCTGGGAGTCGCATCCGGTAACTAATAGAAAAGTAGAGTCGGACCCACGCTGGGTAAAGGAGCTGACTGTTTAACTGGGATATTTGTTCGGATTCTGGTGTCAGATAACATCCTTGAGAGCCTCAGAACCAGGTATTAACAACATGACCTCAATCACTGGATTCTTATTGCAGTAGATAGCTTTCCCATCTCAGCAAATACACTTCGCTGCAAGCTGGCAAAGAGTGACCGTATATCCGCAAGGAAACCAAGATGGCCAAGGGAACAAAAGGCCGATAAACCAACGCGGACATAATTAGGCCTCACAAGCGCTCATTAGTCGACCAAAAATGAACCTGTTCAAGTATACAGCTGGTCATTAACAGCGGATACACGGCGCAACACTTCATGGACTCTATATGGGTCCGTATCTGTGAAATGGTTGCGTGTGGAGCCTGCGTAAGGACTTGCACCCTTCTTAACGCCCAGCATCTTGCGGTACTGTGGTTTTGTTACTTGCTGCAAACGTGGTTACCTAGTACCTTACCACAACGAGTTTTGAGTGACATCACGTTTGAGGCCTGGAACTCGGTAGTTAGAAAGCCACAGCGAAGCAAACATCGAGGCTTGGCTTCTCTTACTAGCTGTGTGCCCCCACACATTGTTAAACAGTTGCCTGCTTAATGTATGCCGCTGAGCTGATTTTCCTGTAAATATACAACACTGTTGGCGGTAAGGCTCCCCAACCACTCGATGATGTTATCCTACTTCGGGTCCGTTGCCCCTTTCTAAAGCATCAGCCGCGCCTACGCCAGGACTGGCGCGATAGTATAAGTCTCTGCTTTGTGCAAAAGATGAACATTTCTCCATGGTAATACTTTCTGGAACTGTAGATGTGCAAGCCCTACAATTAATGGTCATGCGCTACTTTCCCCACGGTCGAGCACGGCTTGGCCAAGACTTATTTGTCTGGGGCGAATGCAACGACTGCAGGCTAAACTGGCCGAGCAGCTGCGGTTAGCTGCAAGTTGTATCCAACAAATCATGGTCACAAGAATATCCTCTGGCAGGGCAACCTGCCTGGCGGATGTCGCTTTACTTGTGCCACTGTGCACATACACAGGGTCAAATACGCATCAATTGCGCAACACTCTCGTAGAATCCAGAGCTTCCACTCCATACTTCGTTCAACATCTCTATGATACCGATATGTTACGTTGAGCGTAGGAGAAGTGTGAACTTTTGGCCCACCGAGGTTGCAGATCTTAATATTAGGGAGTAGATACCAGCACCGGTGATTGGTATCTCCTCGTCAGACCGTTATCAAACGGTGACAAGTCAGCAGCCTCTCACACTTTTCCCGAAAATCACCTTCAGCGAGGTCGAGAAATACAATGAAATGCAATACAATTTAATCCGATTCTCGAGCGGACAGGGTTCGCACAGCATCGTGTGGAGCCAGGAGCTTGGTAGCATAGGAACCCAACCAGGATCCCAACAGTCCGGTAACCCTTGCAGCAGGAGCAGTACTGCCCATATCGCTGGGACAATACACAAGTGGAGCATGAGAGCAACGGGACGTAAGGCTGGTTGATACCTAAGACACTCTACACTAGTGTATACCACATCACATAAGCATAACCTAGTCGGAAGGTACCACGTTAACAAACATGTTGGTTGGAGGATTGAGATACTCCAAGAATACGAAGCGCCGATCCCGCACCATGCTGCTGCGGCAAGCCCCTCTTTGTGATAGACTTGGTGGCAAGTATCCGCGGGGCTCAACTCTTTTTTAGATCGTGCCCCGGGTAGATGCAATGATAGCCTGAGCCGGCTCAGACAAGTCACGTTGCTCTTGTCCTGAAGCTGTAACCCGGGACCACTAATCTACAGCATCGCCGATTCTCCCAGGTACATGTTGGGAAACATGAACAAATGAAAGCACGACTTGTGGTCCGAGATCATCGACAATGACTATTTCCCTGTACAACACAAAATCTTTGCATATATTGACACAGCAGCCATACACAGAAAGTTCAATGGGCAGTTTGTTCCGAATGCCCTCTGCCGATCGGTTGGGTTCGAATGAATAGTGAGAAGATATCTCAATGCCTGTGTATGGCTCAACGATGTGATCATCAACATAAAGGGCCTTTGCTCAGCTATATGACTTATGTTCAGGACCCTCGGAGGAGATATGTGAGAAACAATCATATGGGTTTGTACTTTCAGCAAGTAAAGGGGGTAAATTATGCGAGTCAAGACAGCTGCATGCTAATAAACTGTAGTTTGAGGGATATCTTCAGATATTGTCGGTCCGAAGCAATGCTATGTCATCCCATATATGTATGCATACTACTACTACATGTTAGGCAGACCATTTAGCATCTCCTCTGCACTGCAAAGTCTTGATCACAAACATGTTGTGGACGGGGACCTTCGGCGTTGCGCAAGTCAGATCCGTTCTGGAATGGTCCAAACCAAAAGTGGGTCGTACCAAAGTGTCGGGAACCAGAAGCAAATGGAAACTTGGGGAGGAATTGCTGGGGAGCAGGATGGCCCGCTTGGCGTCGGGAATAAGTGGTGGAGACAAAGGAGCTTATCGGAACCCATCGAGGAGTACCTGCCTTGGTACCCCAGGCCATGGAGCCTGAAGTTCATCGCTAATGGCAAGATTTCTGTATATTAGAGAACCCACGCTTTAATTTCACGTAAGGAAAGGTCAAGTTGATTGGCTGAAGCACTCGGCAACAGTTATTCCGGCCCGCATCTTGCTTACCTAATCGATCGTGATGCTAGTTGGCTTTCATAAGATCCCGAATTTTTCCCTAACGGAGCAAAAGTGTTTCTTATTTGGTTGAAGTTGGTGTCGAGGGGCCTGGGGGTTTCCCCTGGGTGCATTGCGGTGTTGACGTCCGCCCGGGGGGGAGTGGTAGTCCGGGACAAGCCCTGGGCAGGCCAATTGTCAGTAAGCCTCAATCCTTCGAACACATGTCGTTAAAGCCCGCGCCTCTGGCGCGGGCAGCAGAACTAATTTTCTCCTGCCTAATGAGCGTTCAATGTTGTCTCGCCTAATTGTTCTTCTCTGCAATGCAGCTCATGCTGTCTGCCTTTCATGGAGAAGAGCGAGGTTTCCCGGGGTCTCCGTCCGTCTTTGCTTGTTTTGTGGACATTGCATGACGTGTAGCGCACAGCAGTGGACAGCTCATTCCCTTGTTGGAGGGAAATTGACACGACACCGAAATATTGGGCTCAGCGACCCAAAGGCCTGTGTTGACAAAAAAGCCCAGACGGGGGTCGTTCTTGAGAACCGTGAAGCGCCTGGGCGATCAAGTCACTTGTGTTTACCGATTTGCCACTTATGGAGCATCTACGTGGTATGTCTGCCTTCTCAACCAAACACTGGGAGGTAGCCTTCTTGTGCTTTACAATATGTATTGTACAGGCTAGAATTCGCCGAGAGAGGGGAGAGGGAGGAGGGCAAAAGTCGAGAGTACTTCAGAGCCGGCGGGCCAAGACATTGGGACCAGTCGCATTATTTGCTCATCTTACAACACTCCCAAATGTACATGCGGTCGATGGACAGGTGCTTGTTCGAACGCGCGGGATGACGAATCCAGATCTCCTCCTGACGCTCTGGTAATCTGCCCGGCACGCTAAATCCCTTGGTCACATGGCGAGTGCAACCTCATCACGCCTCACTCTCCAGTTGAGCTCCTCGGAGGGTCGGTGCACTTGGCTACCTCGTATGTACTACCTACGTAGGCGCTCCATAGATGAGGTTGGCATGTGTCGGCCCACCTCCAACAGCTCTCCAGTTGGCGGACAAGAGCGGCTGAATGCAGCAAACATGAAGGTCCTCTGCGCTAACTTTTAGCGCTTGCGTAGCATAGAATCCGGAAAAGCAAGCATCAGGCATTTCGAGCACAACTTTCATGTTCTGTAGCATAGCGCCTGCGCATGATGACAGGAAAGACGAGGCACAGGTGCTGTAAGAGGTGCTACAAGCACCCCGTGGCAAACTTGGGTATATGTACTTCCGATCTCTACGACCAAAACTCCTCTTTTTACACCGGGTGTTGAGCATTGGGATAACAAAACCTGAATCAACCAATGGTAACCCTTACCCTTCGGATGGGCCTAACTTCCAACACTTACCACGGTTGTTCAAGCTTCGACCCGACAGTTTGGAGCGGGCCTTTCCAGCTGTGTTTTAGTCTCCTCCCACGAACTTACGGACTTGATCGTGCGACTACTGTAAGCTCAGTGCGTGCTGGGATTATACACGGACTGATCCGAACTACAGGGCTCCGCCACTGCCCACAGGGCTTTAGGCAAGGGACGGGACTGGGAAAATCTTCAATGGTGTTACAATGATAGATGCCCATGCTTTGTTGACCACCACCTACTTAACTTGGAGGTACAGATACACCACGGAATCCACGTGGATTGAAGAGACCCGGGTCCAGCATATCGGGTTCTGGAGAGGTGGGTGAATCGAACGGATAGGGTCCAGCAACGCCCCACGTTCGCGGGAGAGATTGTGCGTCTCATCTTCTAGGTACCTCGAGGTTTAAGAAAAGGTCTGGAGGAGCCATTCTGGGACAGCGGAGCATGATTTTCACATCAGATGGCAAAATTACATTATGTGTAGCTCATTCAGTCCTCTCATCAAAATTCTGTGATGGCGTAACAAATTTCCAGAACCAGCCAAATGGTGCCCTATAGCCCCTCATTTGCAAGAAATGTCACTGTTCTCGTGGTATATTATTTGCACTGTGTGGGTGTGTGGTAGGCACGTAGTAACTCCGTACTGTGCCGACGTAGACTTGGAAGGTTTTGTGTTCCGAACCTTCGGTTCCTCTTCTGACGAACAGCTGTCCAGCCTTCAGGTTCCCTACCTTAAACCAATTGCACGCAACTTCGGCCCAGCCTAATCACCGTACGCTCTCCTTGCTGCATGTTAAGGTCCAGCAACAATTTGCGCAATCCTACACCCCATTCTACACCCCGAACAGCGTGCGAGAAGGATACCAGAGCAGCAGCGCTTGGAAGTCAAGAAAGCTTCTTTGCAGCCAATGCTAATCGCCGATGATAGAAGGTTGGGATCGAGCTGGATGGAAGCTCCCGTTGATGAGGGGTGTGCTGTGGCGCAGGTCTGGAGATACATCGGATCTCAGCTTCGGTCCTCGAAGGACTGGGTTTGCGGTTGGTAACCACTGGAAGCGCCTGGATACGGGAGCAGGAGTGGGACTTAGTACGGAACTGCCCTGCCTGATACAGTCCATGGGCGATCCCATTGGATATTTGGCAGCGAACCCAGGCCACCGGGACGGCCCCCCAGGCGGTGCTAGGCTGGCTGGCGCTGAGGAAACACTTGACAAGCACCCAACCTTCATTAACAATGCGTGAATCAGTGTTGCAGGTAGGCGGTGAAGTCGCAGGGCTTCCAGTGATAGAATGCCATCCTGAATTTTCTGTTGAGAACTTCAAGTTCCGGAAGGACTGGGGTTTCCAGTCACCAATCCACTCCCCAAGTTCGTGTTTCATGCAAGCAGGCAATGGATCCGTACACCGGCCCGTGGAACAGGAAAGCTAGGCAGATGATCCGTATGGCTGTTGGTGTTCCCCTGGGTAAATCCTCATCATCTCGCCGGCAAGTACCTGAGCTATCTCTCCAAAACAGGTTGCTGACTCTTGTGAAAACTCGACGGCAGTTGGTGCATCGAAATGTCGGCTATAGCTTGCTTGGGACGGTCTAGTGAGTTATCTACCGTTGGTACCTAGAGGTGGGTAGCTCTGTGCACACTACATACCTACCTTAGGTAGGTACCTGTAGGACGGCTAGATTGGTGGCTTATTCATATCTAGCAGGTCGAGGCCCATCGGTACTGTATGTACCCAATAGAGGTACTGGGCTGGAAAGTAACACCTATGCAGCCACTCCAATAGAGCTCAAAAAAGCCCAGGAACCCCACAAGGCCCTTGTCGACCCACACTACTGGCACCGCGAACTTTTGGATCCCGTAGGCCAGTTCACCTATCGCATGGATTTTCAGCTTCTGACCGGTTAATGTGGGTAAGGAGGTGGTCGACCAAAGACCACAACCTAACACAGTGCGAGAGATGAAGTGAGGACCTAGGAGGCTTGACTTCGTCAGGGATGGCTTTGGAATGGGACAGGGAAGTCAGAAGAGAAAATTCAATGCTGCGCTTGGAACAGACAGGCTTGTGGGACGCTCTCTGCACCCTTGTCTGCTTAATTCCTACCCTGGGTTAGGTAAAGTAAACCTCAGCATACACTACACAACCTACGCATCTAGCCTGGCAATTTTCTCCTGGGCCACACCTGAGCGCCCGGAGCACATATTCCAGGCTTGAAGGGCGTCTTAGTCTGGTGTAGGCACACTAGGTCAGCCCGGCAGGTGGATTGGCTTTTCTGGCTCCTTTTCCCCCTACCCATACTTTTCCAGCCAACCCTCTTGTCCGTCCCATCACTGCGACGTCGCGGGCGGATTTTAAAGCTCCCCTCGGTCCCCCTTTCCATCTCCCGATCCACACATTACAGATAACGCTGGGTGCCAAGCCCATGATCATCTGCTGGACCGCATCTCTTTCTCATCTCTGCAGCGACCTCAGGTTAATTAATCTCTGCCACGAACCGAACCACACTACTTAGGTCCATATAACTGTGCCCTAGCCGCACTTAAGGTAGCCCTCAGTGGCTGTGCCGAGACGAGCATCAACCGAACCCACAGTTTGGAGCGCTTTTACAGGTGAGCAATTTCCTTTGTATTTGGATCATATGTATTTCCCTCAGGACATGGCTGGATCGCAAGTGCTTCCCTGTGTCTGGTATTGCATGTTAATTTTGTTGCAACATGTCATGTTGGCTGATCTGGTCTACATCTGGACGTTTGGTTGCGTCTTTGAGTGAGGGTGAGTTGAGGAAGGAGGGTGAGTTGAGGAAGGAGGGTGATCCATGGGTGCGCCCCGAACACACAGAACTGTCAGCACCACGTCATTCCGCTTCTGTGTACACACTCTCCCCCTCTTTGCTGCGTCAGCTGCCTACTTTCCCAGTCACCCTCTCTGTCGTTTGATCAATTGAGAGCTAGTAAACACTCAGACGACATGTGTACCCGTTGAATGGCTCCATGCTAACATCTTCACGCAGTTCTTGTCACGACCAGCGTTGTCATTTTTTTTCTCAGCGTGCACCTAGCAAGGGCAACCAGCTTTATCAATTAAGAAGCGGAAGCCATATCCGATATTACCGGTGTTCACTTCTGAAAAAAAAAATGGACTTTCGTCAGTACAATGGGCAGAAGTGAGTGTGTCATAAGTTGGATGAACCAAGCCTTTCCGTCCTTCTCTGAATGACTCCACAATTTAGAAAATCGTAGGGAACTAACTGAACTCTCCACTGTAGTGGCGACCAACAGGACCAAAAGCTCTATGAGGAGGTCTTCCAAGAGAATGGTCGATGGTATGGAACATTCAAAAAGGGCAGTTACCTCTTCCCCATTGACGAGGTGAGTTTCAAGCTGCAAGCTTGTCCAATCAGACTTGACCTGTCACAGCCAATAGAGCACTGACATCCCATAAAGAAAGAATGTGAGAGGCTAGATGTTTTTCACAAGATCTTCCTGGTTGCACGTGGAGAGGAGCTTCATAAAGCGCCAATTCCTCCCGATGCTCCCAAAGTGCTGGATCTCGGCTGTGGAACAGGTATTTGGAGCATCAACATGGCAGAGTGAGTTTTCGCTTCCAGGGTTGCTTAAGAGCTAAGGTCTTGATCTAACAGGTTCTGGTAGTAAATACCCCGGAGGGACTCACCTTGGACTAGACTTGAGCTACATTCAACCTGAGTAGTCAGTAACCCCCAAACCCTTCTAATATTTAACTCTATTTCGCGTCTAACCGGTCTCCAGTATCCCGCACAACCTGCGCTTCATGCAAAGGGACGTCGAGGCTCCATGGGAAGGACTTGAACCAGGCTCCTGGGACTTAATTCATGCACGCACCCTGAACGGAAGCATTGGCAACTGGCCCAGAGTGTACGCCGAGGTGTATCGGTAAGTGTGTGCCTGCGTAGGAGCTGACGGACAACAATATCAATTAACATATCGGTAGGCACCTGAAACGAGGTGGCTATTTCGAGCAGGTCGAAATTGACTTCTATCCTCGTTGCGATGATGGGACCTTACCGAGAAATGCCTTCATAACGCAATGGGCCAATGAACTTTTTGACGCCATGGATTATTTTGGACGCCCATTGCGCATGGACAGCAACCTCACCAAACAGTGGTTAGTGCAGGCTGGATTTTCGGAAATCAAAGAGGAAGTCATCAAGCTTCCTCTCAATGGATGGCCAACAGACAACAACGGTAGGGAATTAGGACGATGGTTCAATCTTGGGATGTGTCAGGCCTTCCAACCCCTCAGCCTAGCACCGCTATATCGGAGTAACCGGCGCTCGGTCGCCGACATCTACGACATGGCAGAGAAAGCCAGAGCTGAAGTCTTCAGCACTCAGGTTCATGCTTACTGTAATCTGTAGGTTTTATCCTTCATCTGCGTCTCTTCCAACGTCACTGTGCAGGAAACATGTCTACATGGGGCCCAACTAACCACAGGCAGGCATATTTTCACAGCTAGAAAGCTGCGATGAACTTCTGGCTTAAGTTCATGCTCTGCCTGGCCACATGGGACTGCATGGACACATCACCCTTTGCGATGGTTAGTCAGCCAGCCTAGCCCTCTTGCCAGCCGTACAGATTCATTTGCAACTGACACTGGAAGAGGGCTGGCAATAGGGGTGCGGCAAAATCTTTGAACTTGCGATACCATGTCCTATCTTGTTTACTAGCATGTTGACTTCTCCTTGAAGCAAAAAGGGGGGAGGGTGAGTGACTGCTTGCCAAAACTGAAGCTCTGTTACAAAAGCCGCTATTTAGGATTCAGCCGTCAATGACAAACAAATCACGAGGCATAGTCGAGCTTGGTTTAGCAGGACAGCTTTCAGGCACATCAGTTACTTCCTGCCGACGACACTTGAGCTCTGCGCCCTGAACACGAGAAGATACCATCGCAATTACTTAAGTTAACAACATCCAGAATTGACTTAGCTTCACTAAATCTCGCGCCGATAGCGTTTGAAACATGGCATCAACCAAGTATCCAGAGGGGAGCATGAGAAGGACGTAACGAAAGTAATAAGAGCTTGCCGTTCATGGGCTTTACAATCTCGGGCCGGTCATCGCAAGATCGCCAACCAGGATGGTATTCATGCTGTGGACTGGATCCGTTCTCGTTGCAAAGCCACACGATTGGCAGTCATGGATGACCGCACTTGGTGCTCGGCGCTTAAGCTGGCGCAGCAGACGTTCCGAAGAAGGACTGACTGACTTCCAAGAGAATCTTCATTCTCGCCGACGAACCGTTGCGTGCAGATTGGGATCTTCCAATCGGCATCGGGCAAGTCACCACAAACTCCCATTTTCTTTCGATGTACAGGGCAGCGATGGGCTAGACCAGCTATCAGGGGGCTCTGGCTCTGGATTCTAGATGCCATCCAAGCGGTGGGCGCTTGCTGTGATCGCCAAGAAGCATACACAGCGCCATAGCTAACTCCCATAGCTTGAACAAGAGCCATACCGCGGATAACACCAGTTCGCTTGGCTGGGCCGAGAATTAGCAGGGAGGACGCACATGCATTCACAAACCCCACTGTCCTGTATATCGAGCTGGGAGCTCAATGGGCTATGCCAAGAGAGCAGTACTCAGCTCCTCTCCTCCACCACATCGACATTGGCGCTGGTCCTCTTGCAGCTGCGTGGTCAGATAGCATCCAATAATAGAATACGATCCGAGGTTTTTGTGTCAATGCAGAGTATGGCACCAGTGTTATCAGTATGTTGCCACTTCCCACCAGCATGTCAATTTCCTCATTGGCGTGAAATTGAAGGTGAACAAAATAGTTAACTTGCTTCTCTCTCCCACTCCAAGCCCCACGACCGATTCTGGCCAAACTCTGACTACATCCCAAATTCTAAATCGGAGTTCTCTAGCAAACAACTGAGGCAACAGTAGAGAAGAGTGCGGTGATACCAGCCCGCCTATATACACAGCCAAAGAAGTTCTAAGCTCCACGATTCGCCAGTACACTAACAGACGGCCGGGCCTTGAGACGTCCTCCACCAATATGCATATTGGCACATCGCTGTAGGTGGCTGCTTGACTGTTGATCACCGATGGCGGAGCAGTCACGCCAACATGGAACCCGCAGCATTCGGTGTTAAGCCTAGCGGCTGCTCTCGATGTGCTGTTACCCGTGCCGACCCGAGGAATACTCTTGTTAGAATGTTTCTGGACCTCTGCAACCACTCCGGTCATACCCTTGTAGGTAAATGCTGTATGACTCAGAAGGTCAACTTCGGGATCAACCTGTTTATCCCTGGGACTTCTCGTCCAGCCCAAGCAATAGGACCTTGCGTATCTTGTGTCACCAAAACAAGGCCTTTGCTCCCGACCCAAAGCCTAACTACCAAAGCCGGAGGGTAACTCAACTCATATAAGCATATGAAAAGCGCAGATGTCAATGGGTAGAGGCAGCTATGACATGAAAAAGAAACCAGGTCGCCTATTCATGTATGCTTGCGGCAATACGTCAGTCTAACTAGTTTTGGGGGAGAAGGGGCGTGGGGAGAGTGAGGGGAGAATGACCTTACTGGATGCATGCCTCAATATAAGATTGTTGTTTCGCAGGTGGTGACCGGACAGAAAGTTGGGTCAGGTAGAGGGGGCCGCACAACGATTTGCAACGCCCGCAAATCTACATTTCATGCTAGGGGCGGAACACAAAACAACACTATCCACATCGAGAAATTCAGGGCTGTTCTATTTGGTTTCAACCCCCAAGCAGGCCAGCCATCAGGCGATGTGGCCTACCCAATCACCTGTGACGTGGAGGAATGGCCATTTCCATAGCCAAGCTAGTGTAGGTTGACGTTCTGGCTACATAATCCTATGGTATGTTAACAAAAAAAGCCATGGTTGGATGAGCTGGCTTTACGATGGCCCCTTGGACTGGCCGGTTTGCTGTAAGATTGATTTCAGACTGGACCAGCATCCGCCTTGGCTTCTCACATCACTCTCTTAGTAATAGCCTTGTTCTATAAAAGCGCGACAGAGACAGGAATAAGGCGAAAAGGAGGAAGAGGATCGAGCGGAACAGACCAAGAAGGAGAGATAGCGTAGCTCGCAGCGGGAGCTGGCAATAAGAAATTGAAGGACTTGAAGGGTCATCATACAAACCGGTTCCTGTAAGTTCTAGGAAAGACTTTGAGTAAAATACTTACGCATGCTTGTCGTGTACATGTCATAATAATTCAAGCTGCTGCAGGTTTCATCTATAGGGCTAGCGAGATTGGTTGTTCTTTTGGACATAGAAATGTTTCAGAGAAATAGCGAGACAATTCACTCCTCTTGTAGGTTGGATAAATTAGAGAGTACAGGGGTCCGCAGGAAGTTCGTATGGAACCGGGAAGATCTTGTGAAGTTAGCTCAGGGGTTCGAGACCCCAAACGTTCAGTAAGGAAAATAAGGAAGGAGAATCCGAGTTGGTTAAATCATCTTCTTGAATGGCTTCATGCGGTAGACAGTAGTTGTACATGGCGACAAAGGAAAAAGAAAACATACGATCCTCAGCTGCCGCTCACAGGAGGGAAATATACAGTGGGGGGAAGAGCAGTCGAAATGGAGATGGAACCCTGAGCCAATTTGGCCTAATGAGCCTCCCATGATACCTGCGGCCCCTCACTCGCCAGCCAATGCTACCTAAACGGTAAGCAACACATGAAGATAATAGACCCGACCCGGTCTCGGGGCCTCTTCAGCTAGCTGGGTGTATGTCAACGAGGAGGGTTGTAACGGTTCATAACTCTTCCATCGCGGCGCAAAGAGGTGATGCAATAGTACCGAAGGGTTGGTGACTCTAGTATGCGCAGAAGTCCCCGATACGCCACACCGTCTATTCCCATGGAGAAAAACAGAAACACAGAATCACATCCCCTCTTTCGCTTGCCTTCCCCCGTTTTTATTCACGCTTCTCCTACTTGATCTGCCCACCGAGGGAATGAGCAGGGCCGATCCGGAGAAGGAAGCATGGTTTAATCCAACACCCCTTACAGCCCCCAAAGCTAGAGTAGACGCCACTTAGTGGTGGCCATCGTGGTGGACTTCGCCGTGGTAGCCAATCAACTTGAACCTGCCGATCATCTCGCCAACGGTGAAGAAGCCCAGGCACTCGGCGAACACGACACCGCCAGCGGCGACCTGCGCTTTTGAGAGGTTCCGGAGCTGCTGGGGGTTGACCTTTTGCAGAAGGGCGCTGGGGTTCTGCAGCTGCTTCCAGACGTTCTGGAAGTAGGTCTGGAAGGTAGAAAGAGAACTGCAAGGCGAGATACGGGATGCTCGGTCAACGATGTGTTCAATATGATTGGGCTTGCGGCAGGAGGGACGCAACTTACGGCGGACTCATGTTCTGCCCCTTGGCAACCAACCGACCGAGCTCAACAACGACCTTAGAGTAGTAGACCACGAGAGGTGTCTGGCCTAGAAAGGGCAAAAAGACATCGGTTAGCGGCATGTTTGGAGTCAGAAGACCATGAAAATAGTAGCCTCTTGTCCCAAACTCTTCCTCACTTCTACGGCCAAGAACCACCACCATTATCCAGGCCTGGGCTCTTCCAGCCCCGAAAAGTCGTCGCAGCAGACAGCCACGTTATTTGGGAAAGCAACTGTGCATGCAGAACGGAAAGACCATACGAAAACGAGTGGAAGTGCGGCCGTATGAGGGATGAGGCAAAGGAGGCGGGCAGGGTATTCGGGTAGGCTTGGGCTTACGCTCGACGAAGGCAACCAGACGAGCCGAGCGGCCGCCGAGCTTGGTGAGAGCAGCGCCGAGGCCCTTGGCAGCGCCGGCGAGAGCCGGGCCGGCAGCAGACGTGACGCGCGACAGGCCCTGGGTGGCTTTGCTGGCCAGATCGGAGGCAGAGGACGAGGCCTTAGAGGCGGACTCCTTGGCGGATTCGGCAGCCTTTTGCGCGGCGTTGGGAGCAGTCGACTCGAAGCGGACCATGCGGCGGCCCATGGCGAGGCCAGACCTCCTCATGACAAGGGCGAAGGACGACATCTTGGTGGGATGGTTATAGAGTTGGAGTCTGCGGGGTTTGCTATCGCAGAATTGGGCAAATCACGGTGCCGTGTCGGTTGGCTGGAGGGGAGAGGAAGGGTATCGAGGGACTGCGGCCGGGCAAGCGATTGTGAAAGTGCGGCCGTCGGTCTGGGGTACGGGGGAGGTGGGTGTCGGCGAAGGGAACGATATCGCGCAACGAAACGGACGTAGTCGTAGCCAGAAGCCGGGAATGGAGAAAAATTGGACTGCTCGGGAGATTTCGAAAGGCACTTGCCGTTTGGCCCCTACCAAAGTCTCGGCAAGAAGGCGACCAATCAGAGCGCCGAATTGAAGTCTGGGCAAAGGGCAGTCCTCAGACGCCGCGGATCTGAATCCCTGATCGACGTGCAAGCCATTGCACTCACATCTGAAAGGCTAGATCTGACATCTGACCCGTTTTCAGTCTGCATCAGCATGCAAATTGGGAAACTTCGAAATCAATAACAGCTCGTGAGATGTCGGATCTTTGTCCGACCTTGTCATCTACATATTTCAAAACGATCGCTCTCGCATTAGGAACATGCCGATTCCCTCTCGCATGCCCTCGCTCTGACCCTCACATCTCTCCATCAACGATGAGACTGAGGAAATGAAAACAGTGCCTTTTAATCCATCCGTCTCGTCATCCAAGATGCTGCTATAGTTTACTCAAAGCTTTGAATCTGCACCTTAATTGCCCCATTCTTGGGGTCAGAAGCCGTCGCAAACGCCTGCAGGGCATCTTCTAGAGAGAAGCGATGCGTCACCAGCTTCTTGAGGTCGATGACACCGTTCTGCACCAGCCGGATCGCCCGCGGCCACGTGTTGCTGTACCTGTACTGGAATTGCAAGTCAACCTCACGCACGCTGGCCCGCATGAACGGCAGCTGGATCTCGTTCTTGCCAACCCCAATCACAAACACCTTGCCGCCAAACTTGACTGACCATACCGCCGCCGCGATGCTGCTCTCGGCTCCTGTGCACTCCATCGCTACCGCTGGCTCGATTCCGCCAAAGCTTTCTGAGATGATCGCCTTTGCCAGCTCCTCTGCTGACTTTTCTGGTTCAACCTTGTGTGTGACTACCTGCGGGCAAATCTCCTTGGCGAACCGTAATCGGCCCTCGTCGAGATCCGTAATGACCAGCGGGCACGCTCCAGCCGCGCGGCAACACAGCAATGTCACCAACCCGATGGGCCCCGCGCCGCACACGAGAACGGGATCTCCCAGCCGGACATCAGCACGCTGCAAGCCCGCGAGAGCCACAGACAGCGGCTCGAGTAAAGCGCCTTCCTCGTATGTCATGTCGCCAATAGGATGGCACCACACAGCGGGGTGGTTAACGTAGCGCCGTAACAAACCTGGCACCGGCGGCGTGGACAGGAATTCGACACTTTCGCATCCATTGTATCGTCCCGTTAGGCACGGCTCGCAATGCCCGCATGGTATTCCCGGCTCGACGGCTACCCGGTCGCCGACTTTGAGTGTTTTGACGCTTGGATGGACCGCGATCACCTCACCAGCAGACTCGTGGCCGAGGATGTGGTCTCCAGAGACTATCATGGGACCTATACAGCCATGCTTCCAGAAGTGGATGTCTGATCTTGATTGATATCTGTCAGTTCTTTGAAGTCTCGGACGCAGCCAAATTACGGATTAGGATTTTACCCGCAGATGCCTGTGCTCCTGATAGCGACAGTCACTTGTCCTTCCTTAAGGTCCTCAGCATTCTGGACACTTTGCAGTGTCGGTGTGGCTTCTCCTATCCATAGGTCATGCTGTGGATTGGTATAAACCGCAATGTTGGTCTTGAATGCTTTGGCTGCCATGGCGATCTTTTTCTCCGTCAGTTCAGGTTGGTTGGTTGACCAATACATTGCACCAGAAAGTTGCTTTGCTAATTTATATATGCGGCTTACGTTGGAGCACTCCAAGTAATCAAGAAGAGCATCACGGGATGCAAGGCGGGGTAGTGGGGGGAAAGCCACACCGTGTAGCTTCTCAGATGCGGCATCCTCACCAAGCTCTTAGCAGAGTACGACCAGCCAAAAACTCTGAACTACACTCTCAGGGTTTCACCCTCCAGCAAATGGTTCAGCTGATGGAGACCCGGCTTCTCGACTTTCATGCATTTTCCACTCGTTGGAGACTGCTCAAGCGTCGAGATTGACATCAAACCTACAACAATTCAACTCCAGACATTATGGTACACAGCAGCCGGTTGGCAGATTACGAAGCTCCCCTTTTGAAGTTCGAGTTTGGGCCTGGGCAGCCAGTCGGCGAAATTGCCGACCCGGCAACTACAATCCCGTACACCGGACGGGGCTTGGTGCGGCAAATCTGCCCCCAGTTATCCCGCCAATCACGATGATGAGAAACAGTTTCGCGCATAAATTAGTGCGCTTGGTGTTGTACGACCAATCAGACCATGCAGGGTTTCTGGGATAACATCACCAGAGCTGACAGCCGCCCATAGCTGTAAATATCTCTGCGATTCGAAACCCTTCTTATTATATGGTTGGCTTCCTCCTTCCCTACACCGTTTCCAGATGAGCCTGACGAAGCGAATGTTATAAATCATTAAGCCAGTAGAAGTACTCCGTAGCTCCCTTAGCCACGCCCATCGCCCGAAAACCAACATTCAGCTGAACTTCATACACAGTACGCCACCATCTTATGCAGAACAAGTACAAATACACGTCCCCTCATGAAAATTACAATAAATAATTCCCTCCAGACAAGCACCCAGATGGGGTAGAGCCGAAGATCCGTCATTGGGTTGAACTTGCTCAGTCAATCCAGCAAGGCGTTGACAAATGGCCAGTGCCAATGAAGCAGCGAGTCATCATGCTGCTTAACCGCGACCTAAGCCCGCATTCTGGTTGACCGTTCGTCATTGATCCGTTTCAGAGTTGCTTTCCCGTTTGCCGTGCGGTGTTGAGTTTGTCGTCGAGCAGTTGGTGTCATGATGATTCTTGCTCAGATCTCTCACGTCACGCCATCGCAACGACCACGTCGCCTTGGCAGCGCCCATAGCTGCAGCACGCCTCCGGAGGAAGATCACCCTTGAGAATTAGGTCGCGTGTGGACTGTGAAGAGCTGTTAGTCTCATTGTCAAAGACCTGATGGTAAGGTCATGGATTATTGCGTTGCTTTCGATTAAACTTTGTTCAAAGGATGTGTCAACTTACATCAGGGCAGTAAATGGGTGTCGACGACACCAAAGCAGCCAGGAAAGGGGCTGCATAGGCAAAGAGAGCGGTGAGCCTCATGGTTGGTTGAACCGCTGAGTCTGGTCTTCGAAATATAGTTGACAGGTATGATTGAGTTTGGTTAATGTCTCGGCCAGAAGGGCTTTATATTTTATGGCGGACGAGGTTGATGTTGAAAAGGCGGGTAGGTGAACGGAGTAATGCCGCTGGAATTGCAGTTGGATCCTGTCGATCGCTAACGTTGGTTTGCTTTGATAGGAAAGACAGAAGGAAAATGAAAACGGAGTTCCCGTGGAATGGAGTCCACTTCTGCCAATTCTCACTAGGATTCTGATCGTCAACCGACCCGGATGTTGTCGATATGAAACGAGTGGACGACCGATTGGCCAACCAGGAAACGTCAATTTGAGTGAATGAGCGACAGAACAGAAAAGAAGGGCTATGTATAAAGGATGATGCTGTCACAGTTACAATTTGTGCCTTGCAGACACAATGAAATAATGGTGGCATGGGAAGGAAGGGAGGACCTCGAGTCCAGCCTCCTTATCAACTAACCTGGAAAGTGGGCCCAGTGAGACCCAACTTCAGGAGTTGGGGACACTAAGACCAAAATGGGTAGATGTGAAGGTTGAAAAGCCAAAGCTTGCAGACATACACGTACACGAGAATTGCACATCTGAAACGCCACCGTTGAGTTGCAAGATTTCGTTCAGATGCAGCCAATCTCTTCAGATACCTAACTGGATGACTTTACAAGGCCATTTGTGTTGCCATTCCTCCTTGCTGCTTCGGCGCTGTCAGCGTGCAAAAGATTTTTCAAAATCATCTTTACCCAGAAGTTTAGCCATCTGTTTTGAAACCTCGTAGTCAAGTAACCTGCTTCTAATTAACAGAAAGAAACTTGCTCCTCTTCTCTCTTCCCCACTGACTTAAACCGGGTGATAGCTTGCACTGCTCACCCAGAGCTGTTGCCAAGAGAAATTAAGTCTACCCAAGGTTCTGGGCATGTAGGGCATTTTCGGTTTTCGGTTCCCTAATCGCTACTTCGTGCAATGACATGCGCACGTAAAAGATTCTGCCAAATAACGTGCAACTCTGGAATCAGAAAGTTCTCCCTGGACAATTTCTAGATATATCCTCGTCATGGCTGGGGAATGCTACTTCGAAATTCGATTTTCAAAAGCCTGTGCTTGCGCAACTCCTTGGGTCAATGACTTACGGACTTTCAACCGACACCGCATTTTTCTCGAAGAGGTTTAATGTGGAATTATTATCTGGTACTGAACGACTTCTTATCAAACTGATTGTATGATCATGGTGTGCGTTCTTTTATGTCAATATTGATGGCAAGGCCAGGCCTTGCAAGAACGGGATTGAAACTCTGGGAGGAAGCCAGCAAGCGCGATGCATGTGAATGAAACACTGAGCACGGGCCACGCCGCATTCTTCCTGCCCTTGCCAAGACCCGTCATCTGGGCAATGACGTTGTCGAGCACGCGCCTTGGTCCCCTGTTGGTGGGAAGCACGAGAAGGCTGCGCAAGCCATACAGCCCACCTTGATTCCACCGCACACGTCACCCATATCAACCATCGCGACCAACTGCCTTCACTGCTACCTTTTGAAGACGGACAGCTGTTGTGTTGTCCTCCCCGTCTCATATTTTACCATAAAGTACACCTGAGTTTGGGAACAGCAGGAAATTGCTTTGGACATTTCAAAACTTGCCGAGGGATTGATTTTGCGAAGCGGACTTGATTTTCCTGCGACCAAGATGACGCTCTACTACACACTGGTATGCCAACCGGCTTGTTCAATTACCAGTAGCTGTTTCGCTGCTGAGCTGTGCTAACTTACATCATCAGGTATTTCTGCTCCTGGTGGCAGAAATAGCCCTTTTCATGCTGTTGATCCTTCCGCTGCCCTTCAATGTGCGACGGAAGCTGTTCACGTATGTCTACAAGGCATCGGCTTCTTTATGTGTTCTGAACTAATTGAAGCGCTATCTCAGCTTTATTTCGGAGAACCCCATTGTTGCCAAATTCCAATACTGGTTGAAGATCACATTTGTTTTTATCCTCGTCCTTTTCATCGACAGCGTCAACCGTGTCTACAGGGTTCAGCAAGAACTGGCCGCCACCTCGGAGGCCCATGGCAATGGCGGGTATGTTTCTATTCCGTTTCGACAGACAAATCACATAAATGGCACATAAACATGGGAAATGAACTGGTAGCGCTGACAAGTATGGGCAGACATGCCATCCACGGTCACGAGCGCCTTGAAGTCCAAGCGCGCAAGTTCTACTCTCAACGCAACATGTACCTCTGCGGCTTCACCCTCTTCCTGTCGCTCATCCTGAACCGGACGTACATCCTGATCCTGGAGGTTCTCCGCCTGGAAGAAAAGCTGAAGCAGTACGAAGGTAACAGTGCCTCCAAGAGGCAGGGTAAATCTTCGTCCGAAAAGCAGTCTGCCGAAAATAAGGACGAAGAGATTGCGCGCCTCAAGCGTGAGTTAGCCCTGCGCGAGCAGGATCTTGCCACACTGAAGAAGCAGGCCGCAGGCTTGCACCGCGAGTACGATTCACTTGCGGAAAAGTACAGCAAGACACAGGACGATGGGACGCCCAAGAAGGAGAAATAGAGTCAGTTCCCTTCCGTGTGTAGCAGTGGGAGCAGTCGCAGCTTCCTTGTGGCATTACAGGAGGCCGAGAAGATGGGCTTGTGGCGGTGATGCGTTTGGCTGAAAAGGGCTGTAGCAGGTCCCAAGTTCATGGAGGCCGAGCAAGATAGCAAGACTATCAGACCAAAAAACTAAGCAGTTGGGATGAAGCCTGCTATCAAGTTTCGCGGGGCCTGTGTTTGATTGCAGAGCAGTCTTGTTGTGTAGGAGTCAAGACTGTGTGCTTGTCGTCAATGCGGCTGAAGGTAAATAGATCATTGTTTAAGCGAAGGATTATGTGCATGGCTTTCCATTGTCTGCTTTTCTATTGATACACAATGAGGAGGGAGATGGGTCATGTCCAGATCAGTCAGGTGCCATCATAATCAAATGCTGAGCACCATTCTCCTTTTATTAGCGAGTTTGATACTTTGACTATGATACTCTCTACATACGGGTTGCCCTATCCCTTTCTATTTTCCAAACCCAGAGTAGCATACCTACCCATTCTAAACGCCTTTCCCTGGAGAGAAACTAACAAGACACTATACACAAGTGAGAAAAAGAACTAAATCATATCATACAGATCCGGAAACAGAATCCCATTCGCCATCGCAAGGACCTCACGTTCATGGTCCGTGAGTGCCTCCTCTTCATCCCACGGCAATAATCCCATCGCCCTGAGCCCATCATCCCCACCCGCATCATTGACATCCCGCACTCCAGGATGCCCGGCATGATCTGCCTCTCCTCCTGGCTCTCTGCGGCCCCCGAAGCTGCTCAGGCCGGCGCCAGCCTCAAAAAAGTCGGGACCTGGATGGCCTCGGAGGAAGGCTTTACGCTGACGGGCGAGGTAAAGAGCATTGGTTTGGGTCAAAGGACAGGCTGGGAGGTACATGTACATGGGGTAAAGCTGCTCTGAAGAGGAGGATGATGTTGGTGGGCTGGAGATGGCATGGATCAAGTCAGGATGCCAGATGAGATAATCTCCTGGTTCGAGCGCAGGGACGGGTACAAGGCTACGGTCTAGCTGGAGGTGGGGATGGAGAGAGGGGTGGATTTCTTGAGCGTAGCTCGGGAGTGCACCGTGAAGGATGCTATTTTGTGGGCTGGTTATGGACCATTCGGTGTTTGGATTGTTGCTGGTGCCATCTCGGGGAGAGAAGAAGGGCCGAAGTAGGAAGTAGGCGGTTGCATGGCGTGGAAGGGGGCAGACGTGGACGGAACCACGGCCTGAGGGGATAGGTTTCAGGGCAAGCCAGCCTTGGAACATGCGAAAAATAGAGCAGGCACCTGTGCGGTGGTAGAGATCGCTGGTCACGCCGAGACGTGTGCTGCTCTGGATGAAAGAGTTAGACACGGGGGCAATAAGGAGGACGAAACCAAGGGCGAGAAGACAAACATACCTCCCATGGGTCGTACTGCTCCCAGCGTCCTTGGAATATCTCATTATAGGTCCCTGCCCGGCCGTACCCATCAGGTTCCCATCGCTCGACGCTTCCTCCATCGACGTGTGCACCAATGTGTGCTTGATCGTGATTTGGTCGGCGGACAGACATCCGATCGGCATATGTAATCGGGAATGAAGTGGTGACTCTTGCCGTGGGATCCCGTGACTTCCATATGCTCATGACAAATCTTTGGGCAGCTAATATGTTGGGACATGCTCGAGCCTTAACTTGTGCTGGACTCCAATAGACGTCTTGGGGTTTTGGATGTCTGGATTGGCCGATATATTCCTGTGTCTCTTGCCACCAAGTCGAAGCGGTTCGTTGTGGAATCACACCGCGGATGACTCCAACTCCTCTTAGTCGGAGTTGCCCAAGGAATTGTTCAGAGTACTGCGGGTTTTCGATGTCGGCGAAGTTGATGATCGGGATAGCTAGTGTGCCCAAAGCCGAAACCAGGTCGATCTCCCTGGAAAGCTCGTGCAATAACCTGTTCCATGACGAGGTAAGTACTGTTTCTTTCCCCTTTGTCAAACTCTCTTTTAGCACAGAGAATCTATGGGTAAGGTGAATGGGTCCCGAAGACGAAGAGGTCATCATCTCATCCCGTTTGGCCAGGGATAAGGAATCAAACATCAAGGATGGGATCTGGAGAGGACCTCCTGAGATGGCCATTACGGGTGATCACGGGATAACTAACACAGTACGACTCAAGGGGAAAAGGCGAAAAGGAAAAGAGAATTGTCAAGGATTATAAGGTAGTTGTGTCTTATCTGATCAGGGAAGAAAACGAAAAATTTGGGGCACCGCGGGAAGGATTCTTGCGGGGAATCGGCGAAATATACATCATAAAGTGGGAAATGACAACGATTCAGAAAGGGACAATACGTTTACATGAGCATACATAAGGTACTTCAGTGTTTGCTGGAAATGGCAAGCAGACGTCGTGATGCTAACGTGTAAGTGTGAAGTGTATACCGACAGGGGTCTGCCGACCGCTCCCTCGGGCCGTCTAACCGGCCAAGGAGATCCACGGAAAATAATCGTGGAAGCCACCAATAGGGGAATTTTTGCACCTTCGTGCAGATGCATTACCCGGATTGAGGATCCAGCCCGGATACTCAACGCAAGGGTATCTGGATAGCTACCGGTCGCGGGTCACCTGTAGTGTTTGTGCAGGGCTGAAGAGAAAGAAAACAAGAACGAAAAAAGAGCCTCCTGTACAGGGGCATTGCAGCCCCTCCCGAGATCCCGTCTTCCCAGGCCCAGATCTTGGTACACAACAGAAACTGCTTCCGCAGGCTAGCCCCTGTTCAGGCCTGTTTCCCTCGTTTGGAGCGGCGAAGAGAGGTTTCGACATCAACTTGCACAGCCGAAGACTTCCTCTTTGCTATTTGCTTGTCTTGTTTTTTATTCTCGTCCGTCGTGTTGGCCGAGGATGAGGGCTGCAGTTCAAAAGCGCAACTCGTGGACTCGGTTTGACGCTGGCCCGGAGATTGGTCGTTAAACAATACATATGCCACACGCTCCACGTCGACAGCTTTTACGCCAAGTCGCTTTGTCAATGCATTAGACCGCTCAGTTAGCTCGGTATATTCTTTCATGTTATACTTGAGGGGCGTTCTAGAGCCCCCGCAACAGAGCCAGTAGAAAGCCTCGTCAGAAAAGAAGATGACATCCTCCGGGTCATGCACAGCAAGAAGCAGCGACGCGGTGGCCGGCCCGATACCTTTAAGCTGGGTCAAGAGTTCTATGGCGCCGAACACGTCGGCCTTGTCTCGATAGTGCTTGACGGCTTGCTGGACGGCATCCCTGACGAAAGAAGCATCGTTTGACGAAAGGAGTTTCATCAGGGTGGGCCGAAACTTTCCGTGGCGACTGGGGCCAAGATTAGCTGGTCAACGAACAGACATCATTTCAGGGGTTTGGAATCGTGTGTAGAAGTGTGGATAAAGGAACAAGAAGACCCAATATGAACACACGGATCCAGTTTAGAAGGAGCTGGACGCGGGTAAGTCCATTTTTGGGGGAAGGGGGGGAGTAAGTAGGAGACCATTCGGTGAGTGACGATCATGAAGTTTGCCATCATCCCACGGGTGGGCGTCTGATGAGGTGCGTGGGAGCCAAGACGTTAACCAAAACATACAGTTTCCACTCTACCAGGGTTTTGACATCATCAAGATCCATCGGCAGCTTCGTTGAGCCGCCGGCGCCGAAGGTGTTGGGAGCCGTCTTGTATCGATATTCATCCAGGCTGACAAGCGTCTTCTGTCCTGGTTTGGCTGCGAGCGAAAAGGATCAGGAAGCTGGCTCGGCACCGGACACACTAACAACTGCTAGTTGCTGATTGTTGTCAATGCTGCTGGGCTGTCCTACCTCCTTTGGCATCGGAAATTGCCGAGATACATGCTGGATATCTTTCGAGAAGGGCGTGAAACTCTTTGTCGGATATGCTATCCGGCGAAGGGATGGGGGTGTGGTGGGCGTCAGGCATTGCGGCTCCTCGAGTCCTGGCACAACAAACGACGGGAGTACGACGGGTTGCGGTATGATACCGGGCCGGGGTTGCAACACAGGGCCAACGGCTACGATGACCTGTCGGGTTCCACAGCGATCCACCGAACTCACAGCGATGGATTCGAGATCGGGAGATCGTCCCGTTGATACGCCAATACCTCCTGGCGTCTTTGTTGCTGCTGTGCGTTTTGCGCTGGCCTGCTGCTGTGTTCAGGAGTCGTAGAGACACTGCGCTGCAGGCCGGGTCGGCGCGGGTGCGCTTCTGGAAGGAGAAATACTAGGAAAAAATTGCACCAGCCCGGCACAGTTGTGGCGCAGGCCGACGGCCCTGCTCGGCTGCTACCGTTCCCTTGGGCGGCGCTTTGAGCTTGAATAGGCTCGGTATCCATATCCAAGAATGACGAAGCAATTTAAAGACATACATCAAACCAAGGATCGATACCCTGCAGCAATAACTTGGCACTTACACTGAAGATGGATTACAAAAGAGGTTCCTGCTCCATTTAATGGACTTGTCTGTGCAGTTCCAAACAAATTAAGATTGCATTTACTTAACGGGGGACTTACTGATCGGTCAGCTGCATAAGGAAACCGTATGTACGGGCCGCGAACTTGCCCACTGCTGGCCGCTAGGGTCCGAATGACTGGCTTGAGTCGTTTAGACCGCCTACAACGACATCTCGTAACGAGGGTTGAAACGTTGCATGCATACAATGCAGAGATGAACTGAAAGTGTCGATGCCAAGCCATATGTCCATATTGGATAGTTCGTTATCACCGTTAAGATGATCACGGTTGACAGGTGCAGATGCCACGCACGGGTCTTAATATGGTACGTGCGCACACAAGCCTCAGCGCTGAGCCGTTGCTGTCTATTTCAGATCGTCCCGTCTGGATTACGGTGGGGAGGGTGGAGAGGTCTCAGATCCACGTTGGTGTTCCCACAAAGCCTTCGCCTGGTACTGAAAAGGGTCTCACAGGCCGGTGGTCCCTCAGTCCGTGCTCGCTTGTTGCGTTTCTCCATCGCGGGCCGTCGCAAGTATTAAGAAAACGTGCCAAAACATCACAAGCACAATGGGCGGCGGTAACGTATGCTGTTCTGTGTTCCCCCGTCCTCGCGGCTAACCGGTCAAAACTCATATTTTCTCGGCCGTCAAGCAAGATCGTAACTGACAGCATCGTGCAGGGAGCCAAGGCCGCGCAGAAGCGTGCCAGGAATCAGGCGAAGCAGCAGCAGGCCAACAAGGCCGTCTCGCAGCTCAAGTCTGTATGTATCGCGAAGGCAATCTGTGAGGTAAGGGTGGGGCGTGAGAAACTGACTGTGTCCACAGAACGCTGCTGCCATGAACATCATTTGCAGTATTTGCAAGCAAACTTTCTTGTCAACTTCTCGTGCTCCTCAGTAGGGAACCCTCCCCCCCAACTAAAAGATCTCCCAGGACACAAAACCTTGGTTGGAAAGCGATGAGTGAGCTAATCTCTTCCCTCTCCTTCTCATTTGTCAGGCTCACTCTGCACGCTGAAAACAAGCACAACTCTACACTTGCGCAGTGCTTCCCGAACTGGCAGGATCCGGGCAAATAAACGGGCGTTAATTTTAAGTTCACGACCAGTTACGACCTTACGAAGACATGTTGATTTAAAAACGAGTTAGGTGCTCATGACATGAGGGGCTGTTTTAGACATGTTGGCGTAGCATATCCCACTGAACAGGCGCATCAGGACTTGCGTTTCAGGAAGCAGGTAGATCTGAAGTATACCAAGTCTTAGGGAGTCCAGAAGTTCGTGGTTCTGCTGCTTTCTTGCTGGCAGTTGGAATGTTGTTCTCCCAGTTCCGTCTATCACTGGATATCCTCACAAACTGAGAAAACGGGAAAGAGGAGAGACATGTGTTTTGTTTTGCTTTTATATTCAACACTATCAAATGCAGTTTCTCTTACTCAAAGACCAAACTTCCAACTTTCAGTATCAATGTGCCTCCACAGCAACGCCTTGCGCGACCATAACGCCCTGATTCTTTTGCTGTTCCTGCTGCTTCGCCTTCGCCTGCTCCTCCCTGATGCTTGCCAGAATGTCCGGATACCATCGCTCGCCGACATCCTGATGGCTCTTGACGCGATTCCGCAGAATGGCCTCACCCAGGGTCTTGGCATGACCGCCTGAACGGAACGTGAACTCAACATCATCCAGCCGTCCACCGTTCTCCGCCAGGACCTTGCGCCGGAGCTCCTTGATGTGTTCAGGTACCTGGCCAATGCCGACGTTCTCGAGGTCATCAAACGTCACGTCGCCACTAACGCCCTGAAAGAAGGGGATCGAGAAACGGGCGCCTTCGCCCGCAGGCGGCGATAGCACACGATGTGTCGTGCTGACGCACACACCCTGAGTCAGAGCCTCCAAACCCTGGCCGATGGCAACAACCAGTGTGCCGTCGATGGGTGGGCAGTCAATCCACTCGCCCTTCATGTTCTGTACCTGCAAGCCTTTGTGATGAGAGGCTTGCAGGAGGTAAGAGGAAAGCACTTTTGTTCGAATTAGCAACTTACGAAACTGAGAACAAAGTAAGCAAAGTCACTTAAGATGGGGGCATACTGCTATCTTTGTGTGGCCCAACTCCCTGATTCCCCTGCTTTCCGGCAGCGCCCAGTGTTCCAACATCCGGGTACTTGACAATTTTCAGCTTGTGCTGCTGATCCTTGTCGAAGAACTTATTAAAGGCATCTGGGGGAAGCCCAATGGCTTCGGCGATCAGGCTAGTGAAGTAGATCGAAATCTCGCCCATGCGCTTCATATACTCAGTAAACACTGGGCGAAAGTTGGGCAGTAGCTCAGGAGAAGGCCACTGGTTTGGTGCCCGCAGGTTGTAGTGTCGCGGGTCATTCGGTCCAGGGAGTGGATGTTCTGTTGAAAGATCGATCTGCTCTCTGTGGTCAATGGCACCCGCCGTGATCTCGGCAGAAAGGCGAGAGTAGCCAAGGAAGGACGGAGCATTCTTCATCTCGATCTTAAGCCTAACGAGGGTGTAAGTGAGGTGTAAGTGAGTTATGTGTTTGCTTTCATTTTTATTCTTTCGGGACTGTCATACTTCTCCTCCTCCGGAATATCAAAGAAGGCCTTGCCCTCCTTGATGACCTGCTGGAAGAACTCATCCGAGATGCCGACATTCTTGAGATAAAGGAACCCGACCTCCAGCAAGGCATGTCGGAGCTCTTCAAGGAATTTAGGCTTGGTAGCCGGGTCCTTAGCCAGAGAGAGGTCCAGAATAGGAATTGAAGTAAAGGACATGGTGGGCGCTGAGAGGATAAGGGGAAATAGAGCAAATAGCTTAGGAAGGTAGTCACAAAGGAATTAAGGGAATGTCAACGGCGCTTCGCGCGGGAAGAAGGCTTATATGGACAAGGGAGAAGCTGCAAGTTTGCTGTTCCCTCGGCAGGAATCGTATCTAAATTCAACACTCTACCAAACAGGGTATCGCATAGCTGTTCCATTGGAAACTCTAGCCGGCAGCGCCGGCAGCCCAAGGCAAGGTACCCTTAAACTTCGTTGGATCAGTTGACATGGTTTGGGTCTCGAGGATGGCGTAATCGTTCACCATCGGCCGTGCCCCGCATTTGCATCCACAATGCAGCATGGCGGGGTGGTAGAGTGGGGTCAACTTCCTAGTTGTTGGGTTCCACCCGTGTTGCGAACAAAGTGAGACCCGATCCTTCGGTGCCTTCTAGACGTGCCCTCTAGACGTGCCCAGCCTGTCAATCGGCCTTGATGAGGAGCAGCCATCGCCTACTGCCATAAGGAATGGCTCACAACCAGCAAGCTAACGAAAGCTCTGGACAACAGTCAATGCTGATCAGTTGGGGAGCCCAAAACTTAATATCTTCTAGTTCGGAGTTGGCCCTGAGGTGAGAGTCCCGGCAAAATAGCAGAGCCCGGGAGGGGCAAATTAGGAGCTTCGAGCGCTTCTGGTATGGCACGATGTGTACAATGAGAAGAGAAACTCTCCATACAGAGACTTCCTGGCAAGGTTCTTGGGAAATGCTCCCGAACTTTTCATGTTGAAAACCAGGTAGGCAGGCTGCGATTGAGAGCAATGGTACTAAGCGTTGATGACTGGCTTGGTGGAGAACAGGCTGGCCACCTGATAGAAGACATCTTCGATCGGGGGCATCGCGAAGGCGGGCGCGGCATTGAAAATCTCAGCCAATCGTTGCGGCGCAACGACAACGGCATGTGTGTCTTCATTGTCTTCCATATCAAGATCGTAGTTTGCGTCATGCATTTCATCATCATTGGCTTCAGCCTGCTCCAACAACAGCTGTTTGTCGGGAGTGTCTTCCATCTCTGTATTGCTGGTATTGTCCACTCCCAGATCAGCCAGAGACTTAAGGAGTGGCGCTTGCTCAGCACCTTCAGTGATAGACCAAACTTGCGCTGCCGAGTCGACGACCACAAAGCCAGAGGATGAAGGGACGGCGCACACCGAGATGATGACCTGAGAGAAGGTTTTGACGAGTTTTGGTTCTTCATCTTCAATGTTGAAGATTAGAAGCTCGGATTTCGTGCCTCTCTTCAGCTTGTCCTGACCTAAATTCGGGATGGGTGCTGCAAGCGCAAAACTCCGCGATTGATGGTTGACTGCTAGCTGAGTGAGTTTCTTGGCTGCCTCAGATGTCTCCTTTAGAGTATAGCTCGCAAGCATCTCGTCAGACACAATGTCATAGACAACAAGGTCGTCTGACAGCATAATGAGGCACGAAGAGAGGGATTTCATCGCGCGGATGTCACCTTTGAACATCCCAGACACAACATCGCGTACGGTACCAGTCTGGGTATCAATAGCCACAACAAGCGCCCCAGACGGAGGCCCAAAAGCGGCAAAGAGGATCGACCCATCCTCAGAAAAAGTGATAGCACCACTATACGGAATGCCCTTCAGGATCTCGACCGAATCATCCTGTCGTTCGTGAACAGGGAGAGGGACTACACGGGAGCACGACCAGCTCCGTAACGGTTGGCCGTCCGGCCTAGTAGCCATAAGGCCGTCTCTCTTGCGCAATTTCGGGGACCAGAAGCGAACCATTCCATCATTACCAATCGTGGCAAACCGTGCCGAAGTTGGGTCGCTTGCCAGGTCAAAGATAGACTCCGTTTGTTTGGTGTAATGGGCATCATTTATCCTCGTGACCAGTTCGAGGGATTGATCTGCCCCAACTTCCCAGAATTTCAGGTAGATCTCCCGTCTTTCCTTGCAAGCATCAGACTGCGTCTTTGACCCAGTAAGATAAGCTTCAGTATCTCGTTCTGGCGGTTGCCATTCGTCGATAGAAGCCAGCCATTTCCCATCGTGTGAAAAAGCGAGCTTGGTGGCAGTTGGCTCAATAATCGGTACACCTTCGCTTGTAATATTTACATCTGTCGGGTTGGTGCGGGCGATGGCTTGCTTGGCGACACCCTGGAAGGATGAAATGTCAAACACCTGGACAAGGGGAGTGGAGGTTGCCCCTCCTCCCACTGTCGCTTGCTGACCATTACCGACACACAAAAACATGTGTGATGGGTTTTGGGGACTGATGGTCGCAACCAACGGGGAAGCGATTTCATCGATGGGTCTCCAGACACGGCGAACCAAGGCGTCTTTCGAGGGGCGATCTCCGAGTACAAGAGACTGAATGCCCGACACATACATGCTGGGCTTCATTTCAGCAGTAGATAGGACCATGGCCGAATTATCGTCCAGGTGAAGGGCGTATGCGGATCCCTTGGGTGACACAACGATGTTTTCGATTGCAGCAGACAGGTGAGGAAGAAAGTCAACTCTCCCGGTGTCAAGCTGCCACAGAACAAGCACAGTTTCGTACCCTCCAGATATCAGGTAATTTCCTATGAACATAACCGTCAGCACTGGATTGCATGTTTACCAATGTTCACCCCACAATGATGCACTTACCATCCCCCGACCACTTAACACTGTGGACAGCTCTCCGGTGCCAATGGTATTTCCTTGGTTGGATCGTTCCAACCCTCAGAGGACCAGAGGCTTCAGTATGCAGATGAGCAAGCAAGTTGCTGTACACATAGATAGCACCACGAGCGCCGCCAACAGCCACGTCAATATCCTGGAGCTCGGCTACCCCTTTTTTGATCATCCGGATTATGGGTCGAATATCGAAAGTGCTGATGATGTCCGGGACATCAAAAGAGACAAAGCGATAAGCTAATTCCTCCCAAGATGCGAGCTTCTTCGTTTTCAGAATGCCGATATGAAGTGCCTCCTTAGCAGCAGCTACAATAGCTCTGCCACCAGCAACAGACCGCAGCGACTGCGGGCTCTCGTCATAGGTATGCAAGAGTTTGCCTGTTTTAGTGGCCAGCATCTTGCTGTTATAGGCAATGATTTGTGCGGAGCTCTTGGTAAGCCGGTTCAACGTCAAAAGCACATCATCAACTTTGCCAGCGACCTCGATTGCATCCACTGCCATGTCCAACAGCTTTTTGGTGTCAATCGTTGATGGAGTATCAACGCCTTCACCAGAGGTCCAATTGATATGCCAAATGCGGCCGTCAGAGCATGCAACCCAGAGATAATCTGGGTTCGACTTCGATAAAGCTGAAGAGACGATGTGTGTGGCAGAGGGCTCGTCCAGGTCATTGGTCCGTGTAAGTGGGAGTGCGATCCGGCGGACAAGCAGGGAGTCTTCTGTTGAGTACACCTGGATCGAGGTGTTATATGTAATAATCAAGTGCCTTTAACGTCAATTAGATTGATGTTGCTTGCAATGAAATTCTTCCACATGTTAACTGACCTCTCATCCTGTGAGAAGATAGGGTCGATGTCGGACATCCTACCCCCCATTGGTTTGGACACTTTCCATGACGCTAACCTGTCCGTGGTTGCCAACTGCAATGGGCCCGAGTTTCCGTCAATAGGCTGGACAGCCAGACTGTTCGAGTTTAAATTGGCAACGCTATCGGCAGTGGCGGCATCTTGGGGTTTCGATCGTGACCTGTGACGATGCTTCTTCTGCAGCGAGTGCGGGTCATCCTTGGGTTCACGCTTCCGTTTGAGAGAGGCTGTATCGCCATTTGTTTCCATTGTTGATACCATCTCGGCGGGCGAATCGTGATAAAGGTGAACAGCCGAGGAGACAGTGAAATAACTTTGAAAATGGCCCGAGCGAACAAAACCGCCAACGCGATCCTTCACTTCATTGCACTTTAGCAGAAATTTTGGCGGAGACTTTTAAAAAAAGTTACGGCAAGTGGGGACAGTAAATACTTATCGATACGCACGGATCACATTCATGTGTAACGTCCAAAGATTTGAGACTAAGCATTGGCCAACAGTCGAAGAGCAATCCAGCTTTCTTTCTCAACCTTCACAAACCACACACCCTATCATTTGCCGACTCCATCACCAATCTTGTTGAGGACTTGCACAAGCGCTGATCCGCATCACATACAATTTTCTACCAGACAAGAATCAAGGATATCATTAAAATGATTATCCCAATTCGCTGCTTTTCCTGTGGCAAGGTTGGTTGCATCATCCTACAGTGTTCAACAGCACAAATAGTTAACTGGTTGATAGGTTACTGGTGACCTTTGGGAGAAGTTTGTTAAGCTTATTGAGGAGGAAGGTCTCAGTGATGGGTATGTGAGTACTCTTCCAGAGTGGTAGAGCTGGATATGCTAACTAAGGGAATAGAGATGCTCTTGACCAACTCGGCTGCAAGCGGTACTGCTGCCGGCGTATGGTCATGACCCATGTTGACCTCATTGAAAAACTCCTGAAGTACGTACATTCCTCATGCTTGAGTTGGTCGTCAGGTTGTTCTAACGCGACCCTTTTCTGAAGATATACTCCTGACGGCCGGAACTACAAGAAGATCCAGATGCAGATCCGCGCCCAGGAAGAGTCTCAGACGGCTTCCCAGTCATGAACATTTGCATACATCAGCATCAGAGTGGCTAGCCTTTTGGGTGCTTAGTAGTTGATGCATGATGTGGTGGTGAAGTACTCGTTGATTTACGGGCGTGTTGGCGTTTGGGTTGATTTAAGATCTAGGGACGGCATCAAATATATAGAGATTGCTTAACGTGCATTCACAAAAGGATCATCAGGCGTACACTCTTCTTTGGCCCAACAAGGACCAACCGCATAATCCATCACTTTATGCCAATACCCTCAACACCTTTGCAGAGCGCTAGGACAGCTATTTCCCACCATGTGAATTGCAGATATCGTTATCAGAAGGCCATTAGGTCAGTATGTTTTTGGTACTCTTCCTTCGATGTTGGTTATCCCAGCCGATGAACAGTCCCACAAGGGTTGCAGTTGAGCCGGTATGTTGCTTGTAGAGTGTAGGATCTTGATCATGCCTCACGGAGCATTCACCATGTTCCCTATTCTCCCGGTGTTTGATCTGTGACTAAGCGAAGTGAAAGATGGAACTGTAACCCAAATATCAACTCTTGAGTTCAAGGCATGCTACCATCTGTCCCCTCTCAGTTTCCGGTTCTGGACTTCATCCACACGGCAGAGATTGAGCGAGTCAATGTCACTCCTGCTCTCGGCTGCCTGGTCAGGCTGTCCTCAAGCGGCGATGAACTTACTTTTAGTTGCCAATGCGAGTCTTTGCATCTCCAAGAAGAAGGATAATTCATTTATATATGAGACGCTAGAGTCCCAACCCAGATGGCTTGGAATGATCGACAAGTCCTACCATCAGTCCTATGAACAGGTCCATGAATGGGCCCACGACCGCGCCTCCCTCCAGTGAGGTACGTAACTGCATGGCGCTCCATACCCACCTTACAGACCGCTTGGAGCTTTAAGTGTTTACGGGTAATTCTTTGGCTTCTAAAAAGTAATATGAAAGAACTGTTGTCACTTGAAGCTATCAACTCAGCTCCTTGCCTCAGACCTCGCGTGTTTGCTGAATTACACTGCCCACTGTACAAGCAAACCCGCCTGGCAAAAGGCCCGCGAGATTGGCCCGGCCAACTGGCCACTGCATCGTCACCAATTCTGGACAACGCAGGAAAGGTCTGCTGTGTACCGCACGCTAATGCTGAAATGGAAACAAGAACCAAATCCTTGGGTTCCTCTCCGCCGGCGCTTCCCGGCCCTTGTCGGCTTCTCTGGGCTGTGTGCATTTCGGTGCCAAACCCACGGGCCGGCTGCGGCGTTGCGCTAATGACGGCGTGCCCTATGTTTGGGCTCTCCTAGCTAACGGGATTGCTTGTCGGACCTTGCCCAAAGAATAGTCGCAACTTTCCCGTGATCACCTGCAAGTTAGTGTCCTCTGCACCAAATCGACCAGCGTTCGCCGCTACGCAAGACAACAGAGACAAGCGCTGTGCATGCGTGTGTGCTGGGTGCGACAGTTCCGCCGGTGGTTTCAGGTTTACTGACCCCTACACCAAATCTGTGACTGATGCTGTGCTCTGCAGTTCTGCTGTGGTAAATGCCCATTCTCGGCATGCGATGCTGTGTTGGGGAATCTTGCATATTTCTACTCTTGAAAACTCTTCCCTTAAAGTTGGGGGCCATCAGTCTTCCGATTCGACCTAGGGGAGACGGGAAGGGCTGTTAATCCCATGTTTCATGTGCGCCCAAAGCTAGGAACGGGACAAATTTCGGCTTCTTTTATTCCTAAACCTGACGTGCGCAATGTGAACATTGTCCTCAGCATTGTGGATGTGCCTGCTGACGAGTAAGCCGACAAGGACAGAAACTAACGCGAGAGCCCAGCACACTGGGAACGATGCCGTCGAGTTGTTGACACACCACCGTGCTGCGCAGCTCATTGGTCGGAGCAGTTCTCCATAGCTTCGGGCATGGGGGGCTTGTCCAACAACGGCCGCTGACTTGCTGGTAGAGCGAGCCAGAACATCTCTTTAAGCGCCGGGTGTTGGTCCCCATGCAGTCCATCGGCAGAAGAGGGGCTCGTTAGTCACCCTCTGACTGGCTCAAGGCTCACGATGCGCATCCGCCCCTGTCAGAATGTGTGGGATGCAATTGACGTTCGCGAGGCTCAAGGTCTTGAGTTGCACGCAGCAGAAGCACCACCACCAGCTCATCCACAACTATCCCTCCTGCTCCCATCACCAACATTTAATAGCCTACCATAGTAGCTCCCAGACACCGGATCCTGGATCTATTTGTAGGTTGTTTCCCGGCAGTTGGCAAGCCGGAGTATTTTTCTACATATCCGTATCACTCTCAACGAGATGGCATCAAGAGTATAATAATCTTTCCTGAATTGCCGGCGGCCTCAGACACGACGTCCTGCTTACTGGACTACAGAGCCAGCGCAGCTCAGACTTTGTGTTGAGCGGTTGATACCTGACCAAGGCCAGCCAAAGAGTGGTGGTATTGCCGCACTGCACCGTGGACTTGTTAGCTGCAGGTTGTTGGTGCCTAGCCCTGGTTGGGCAAGCCATCCAGGGAGCGTTTCCCTGTGGGCCACTGCAACCTTGCCCGTTTGGCACTTGAAAAGAGTGTTTCTTTTCCTTCCATGACCTTAAGCGCAGAGGCGCCGACCCTCGTTCGCACACTAACTACCTCACTAGATCACGGTCCATGACTCCATCTTTTTGACGAAGTACCTACCTAGGTGTTGTGCCGACAAACCATCCTATTATCCCATACCTTCGCCATCCTACGAAGCTGGCGGTTGTCGCGTTCTGTCAAGCGCAAGGTTCTTATTACTGATCCCCTTCGTCGCTTGACAGCTGCACCCGACCGTTTCGACACCTCCATCTCATCCTTTCCCCCTCTTTCCCCGCAGACGGGACGTTCGGTGGTGGTCCATTTTGTGTACGATCTGCGATCTCCCTAAGTTTCCTGGCAGCCAGCCCGATCTCAATTCACTGGCGGCTTCAAGAAAACGGTCTTGGCTGGCCGTCCTGCCCTTCTCGATTATAGACGTCGGGCCATGGTTGTGTGTTTTGATTTTCTGATCCACACTCAGAAGCAGGACGCTCTTCCGTATACGCGCGACAACGTCTCTGCGGGGTGACGAGTAATATCCGGTAATAGTATCAGCCCCAACCAGACAGAGTCGTTGCTGCTACGGCCGAGCTAGGGACCCCGTCATCTCTTCTTCACCCACCTTCCATTCTCCTCAGATCCGCTGTTACTTTGCTTGCTGGTCCTGGACAGACTTGACGCACCCCGCATTCTCTTAGCTCCCTTGACTGTGTGTCGTCAGTTCGAAGTAGCACCAAGCAACAAACCAATTTTGAAGCTGGCCTAATATCGGCGCGCCGCCTCGGGCCTGATCATCCCCGCGACCCAGTTACCTTCCTGATCAACGCTGAGCGCAATGGCCCTTGAGGCACCACTCCGGTCATCAGTGGGCAGCATCACAGCCATGTTCTCAACACATGCAGACATGTCTTTTTCAACGCGGCCTGAATCTCCAGCCTTGCCTCAGCAATATATGGCGTATGGCTCCCCTAATTGAAGATTGGGTTCGTCAAAACACTATGATTGACCATGCTGTCTGTTCACAGCTCCTCCGGTTCTGAATCCCAGTCCCTGCGCCCAAGTTCGCGTCCAGAATCGATCGTGAGACCAAGTTCGGCACAACAAATCCTAAGCCCTAGCAGTGATATCGTTGGCCCTTCGCCTGTGACGTCAAACGGGACTGAAGCAACAGAGATAGAAGACGAAGCAGCCGACAATGCGGAAGAGCCACAGCACCAGGGGAAGAATTCGGTTTGTGCATTTGCTATCACGCAAGCTTGATATCTTCACTAATAACTCCATTAGATCCTAATGCTTAGTACTAACCTACCGGAACACGTCCGGCGGCCCCATAGCGAAGAGCTTGTTTCGGTGATTCATGCTCCCCCAAGCTTCCAAAACTGGGTATGACGATACCTTCATCCCAGACATCCAGACACGGCTTGATGTTAACGTCGGTTTCCTGTATTCAGGCCAGCGATGCTGGATCAAGACAGACTCCTTCCAACTCGACAAGCGCTGCGAGTGCGGATAACAGCAGTGCGAGCAGCCCTCCCCCCAGTGAACCATCGACAGTGGTAAGTCTTAGAATTGTCTTGCTCGCCTGTAAAGCTTTTGACCTTGGATCTTGCTGACCTTGGAAAGGTAACGTCGGGTAACCCACCAACGGTCAATACCAAGGTCAAGCCAACAGCGTATGGCATGGACGTCCCAACTCCACAGGCCCAAAAGCTCGAGGATGTGCTTGCGGATTCCTCAAAACTGAGGTCAAGCACAGGTAGCAGTCTTGAGTGTAAGCTCATGAAAAGGCAGGATAGGCAACGACTTGATTATCTGACTCGCATCACTGTAGTGATTCCCGAGACTCGAGAAGCAGATGATGACGATGACGGAGATGATTTCCCAACGGGCACGCGCAGTCGTGAGAGCGAGATCAAGGCACTCAAGGCAGCCCTCGAGGAGTGTTGGACGCTTTGTAACACTCTGGCAAATCTTAGTTCCATTCACCGTGCGCGAGTATTCAGCAACTCTGGAACTCCGGATGCGCATGAAAGGGCCTGGAAGACCTGCTGGAAACTCTGCAAGAGACTCTACCACAGCCAGGATGACGTTTCTGACTCCTATGGAGTCCGAACAAACCTGGATCTCTGCCGGGAGTTCTGTCAGGCATTGTTTGATATCCGGCAAAGGAAAGATGAGACCTCCGACTCGATTCTTCGAGTCAGCTTTGAGCTCAACAATCAGTATGCTTCTACCACTTTGATATACGAGTTTTTCCTGTGCTCCGACTAATCCAACCCTATAGTCTCTACAGTGCTCAGGATAGCCGAAGTCTCCCCGAGGCCTTCACTGAGCGCACCCTGGATTTCTATATCACTCTTTGTCACCGCCTGATGAAGCAGCGCAGCGACCTTACTGAGGAAACGGATTCACTCCTCCGAGCATGCTGGGCTCTTGCCGAAATGCTGTTTAGCTTACGCCAAAGCCGCCGTGATGGCAAAGCTCCCGACGAAGAGCTTCTTGGATCTGCTGTCCAGGCATGCTGGGAGTTGTGTGATATCTTCCGCGAGGGCTGGACACAAATCCGACCAGATCGTGGCACGCCCAAGCCAAATCAAATTACCTTCTTCGCCGCCACTTCGCCTTACGGCCATCCGCCAACAAGCAGTCATCCATCCGAAGCTTCTCGCTCTAATGCTGGCAGCCGCGCTTCGCTACATTCAAAGCGCGAAAGTCTTCGCAGCATTGGCGAGGTCGAGAGACCGCGGGCGCATCCTCTTGTTCCAGAGACGCCAGTAACTGATCTCGACGACACGCCTATGTCGCCAGATGCCAGTCCGCACATACCCAACATCATGGTTTTAGGCCCCACAACGGAGTCTCGCAGCGAGCGCGGGGGGCGCTGGTCTAGCAATGCCTCTAACCTCTCAAGCTATAGTCAAGCTACCCAACACACATCGAGCACCGCTACCACAGCCACTTCGGAGGATATCAATATCACTCGGATCAAGGCCTTACTGGTGAAGGCCGCCATGAACCTTGGGTTCAACCGCGATACGTCGGATGGTACCGGGGGCGCCACATCTTTGCAGACGTTTGTGAGAAGTCTCCCGACAGGCTCGTTTGGCTCCCTTTCCGCGCACACGGCCTTGCTGCAAAACTACAAGACTTTGATACTTTCTGATACATTGTTCCGTTCCTTTACTAGCCTACCTGTGCGGCGACGCTTCTCCGCCCAAGAGATCGCCAAGAGCGTGAACTGGATGATCGTGCGGTCTGGCCAGTATGCATTCCTTCGCGATTTATTCAAGATAGTCTTCGGCTTCCAGATCGAGGAAGCCGAGACCAGAAAGGGCAGTGGCTTCGTGGTTTAATGAACACCTGGCTACCTTCAGCTTACCCACGCGACTTTATCCCTGGCAGCTTGCTTCTTGACACCTGGTCAACACTTGGTGTGTGTATTCCTTTTTAATATGGGCCGCTGCTGTCAGCTTTGCATACCACTACAAGCTAGACTATTCGATCGGCTTCGACAACATCAGTATCAACTTTACCGCAACACCAACGTGGCCGACCAATTCACTAGAGCAAAGTACGGCATACAATTTGAGGGTCAACCCCTGCGGCTTCTACTTAAACCTTTCCTCTCTACTTTCAGATACCCTAGCTTTGGTTTATACTCTGATCTGGATTTCAGTATTTCTTATATGAACAGGGTAACGGATATCACAAGTGTTATCGTTGGATGGCTTTGACGGCCTGTCGTGATTGCAACATGGCGGAGGAGTCGGTGTGGTATTATCTAACCTGTCATTTATAGGGCATGAAGGATAAGACACTTTGTCTCCAAGGAGTTGTGGTGTCTGGGGATCTTAGTCAACAAGTTCAGGTTAGAACCAAACACAAGTTTGTATTATATCAACACCAGTCACAGTCAATGCCAACTAAGTGAGTAAATAAAGATCTTGCTTGCTGTGATCCAAAGGAGCTTCTAATTGAAGGGAAATGTTAGCACATGAACGCTTATCATTGGTGCTCGACATCTCCGAAATCAAAATTTTCCTACCGGGGGTGCCTTTTTTTCTTCTGTTCTTGGAAGCAAGAACGATATGGTGAACAGAAATCTAAAAGGAGTTTTCATTTCAAGAGGTTAAGGAAATGGAAATCAAAACCAGAAGACAGTCATCATAAGATAATGAAAGATAGGGAAGACTGCCTCGTAATCTAATTAGTGACGCGCATGAATGGATTAACGAGAATGGTATTGAGCTCAACCGGGAGTAAATTAACGTACTTTCATTGGTCGGGGTGCTCCTTTAAAGAAGGGGCTCTCGACGACCCGTGTTTTCAATGGTAGGTTAGCATGTTAACACGTCCTCAAGTATGCGTCTTTTTGGCAGGACGGATAAAAATATACCTGCTCTATATTCTTTTATTTTTTTTCCAGCAGCAGACTTCACTCTGCCGCTAATTTTCCCAGGTATCTCTTCTCTCCAGGTCAGTCGATCTGATCGCCCGGTGTCACAACAGAGCGCCTTTGAAGGGTGATGGTCAAACCGCCAATCATCGCCTCATCGCAAGCAAACATAAGGACGATCCTCGATGAGTTGATGTCACTAAATTTCTATTGTTTATGACCTGTGTACATGAAACCTTATCGTCTCAACGCCAAAACCATAGAACGCCCCGAACTGCTTTTCAGCTTCTCTTTCTCGAACATAACACCATAATCTCTCATTTCTGGCTCCTAGGCCCCTACTCTCGCAAAGATCCCCCACCAAAAGCCCACATGCTTGGTCTCCTCCTCCCCAGCATCGTCTCCCCAATCATCCTGACCGGCGACCATATTTTCGTTCAAACAGCATAGAGAATTTGAAACTAGTTCTTCCCTTAGCGTAGCAAGCAGACACTTAGTAACATCATCGCGCTGTGGCACCATGATCAGGGCACGCGCTTTAGTACCAAGCGCCAACTGCTCGTTGATGGCTTGACTCAACAGTTGAGGATGATTGTCGTCGTAGAGAGGGTCAGCAGCGAGGACAAGCTAGCACTGTGGTCAGTTGTTTATTTGAAGGATGCAGGAGAGTCGTGAGAACCTACCTGGTAACGGTTATGAGTATAGAAACGTGGATCGATTTCCTCTGCAGTCCCTCCCCAAGTAAGTGGAGCTGCTTCAACCACACCGCCTCGGGATTCTACAAGTTCCTTATTGAGAGAGACATTGTGTGCGAGATTGGGGATAATGTTGGGAAGGTCGGTAAGAGTGACTCTCGCGCGCCAAATACAGGCGGCAGCAAGCCCTAGCAACCCGGTCCCAGACCCAAGTTCAAGCACCTCCTCTGGAGTCGACATGACTCCTGGGCGGAACAAGTGTTCCAAGGGGCCTACCGCGAAGTCATGGAGAAGTTGTGCCAGGGCATACGAGGAGCCCCATGTCTTAAAGCCCAAAAAATCACCCACCAGAGGAGGTTCGCGAATTACAAGGCTGAACGGTTCATAAGCCTGGGACTCAAAGGGCCATTGTCGAGTGATTTCTCCCATTGCTGCCCGTGTTATCAGCCTGCTGTGCTCTGGTCTCTCCTCGTCATCAGGTACTGTCTTTTCAGTTCAAACATACCTGTCCTCCCACATCGTTCTGACAAGCGCTTGCTTGCCTCTTCCCAAATTACTTCTCGCTCGGCATCGCTGTTGAGCCACTGTAGTTTGCTCTTAATAACGGAAGAAAGGAATGAAATGACTTCGCGACGGCCATGGGCTTGGGCTATGGCAGCTTGCTCCTTGAGAATGTCTGCTCTGGATTCTTTGAGGCTCCAGATTTTTGGCTCCACGCGGAGATTCTTGAGGTATTCAAGAAGGACTGGAAAGGCAGGCTTCTGCCAGAGATGAGGAAGCTCGTCTTGCTCGACCAACGGAAGCAGCATCCCGTATGGATGGCAACTGGAGGTCGAAGGATATATACCAAAACAGGAGACAATACAGAAAGACAATAGCTATGTGGAGGACCGAGGGTAGTCCGAATGAGAGAATCCGTACAAAAAAGCAAACCAAACGAAGGGATCAAAAGATTCGCTATGTGCAACAAAATCGAGCAAGTGGGCACTCGGAACGGGCTGGAACCGATGCTGCTGGTGAGAACCAAACCCTCTTGGTGCTCGACATGGATTTCTACCTACGCTACCATTTACTGATACGTTATCAAGGAAGCAATTCCCGGCCCAAGCAGATCCGCTTATCTTAAATACCCCTGTGCTCCCAGAAGGGCAGGGCTGGGCCATAATCAAAGTCCGGTGACTCGCTGAGACAGGAGGAAGATGGCGTTGAAATTTCAGCAGGGACCCTGAGTGCGCTCAATGGAGTGGGGCCACCCAAGCAGGAGGAGCCTCAGCGCCTCAGCGGTTCGGCCGAGTGGGGCAACGACGGTGCAATCTACCGATGCATCTTGAGAGCAGCCACATCCCCCCACTTTTGTGAAACTAAAGTTACTGATTGGACCGATCTGTGGCGGGCCTGGGCCACATCTCCCACAAAAACTCTGCTCTCTCTCGAATTTGGAACTTGTCCCCTTTTCTTCCTCGTGAAGCCTCGTCCTCTTCAACGCTGCGTTTCTATGCCACAAACGGAGAGCGCTTGCGCAAGCAGCGCTTTCAAATCCATCTTTCTCTGGCATATGAGAAATTCGGAGAATCGGCTTCACTCTTGGTTTGTCCATTCCTCACTCTCGGGTGTTGGATGGGTTACGAGCTCTGCCGGTGACGGCTTGGCGCGAATTCGCGTCTGTAATTGGCATCAGAAAAGCAGGGCTTAGAGGCCAACCTTGTGCTTTTGCGAGGGGAATTGGTCATCTAGGTTCCTCTGGGAGGGCCGTTACGAAGCTTGTGAGCAATCACTTGAGTGCAATACGCAGCGTGTGGCCTGCCTTCTGGGCAGATCACACAATTCGATTCCGATTATCCTGTTGAGGACGAGGCTTCATCACCCTTTTTTCCCAGGTAAGAAGTTACTCCTTTGATTCCCCTCCCCCCCAAGGGCAAGATCACTGCTAACGACATTACTGTCGTCGGTTGGTGGCCGACGCCGAGACTCCCTAACTTGCTTCCCAAACCTACGACCGCTGCTGGAGAGCTCTCTGCGGCTTCTCAAGCTATTGGGTTTACTATCAAAAGCATAACACTTGCCATAACTTGGATTTTCAATGGGCCTTTACCGGATTAGCTTTTATGGCTATCCTTTCTACACTCTACAAATGACTCTATTCTGCATCCCTTGGTCAGACCAATAAGGTTAAGGACAAAATATTGTTTAAAAACCAAGCACTCACCAATACTAAAATCTTCATTTACATATTTTAAATGTACTACCGTTTTGAAAGTGTTCAATTCTTGTTACAATCTTGCTTAATAGGACGATGAGAGGAACGCATTTTCCTAGCACATTTGGGCACTGCTTGAGCTGCATGTGATCTTTATGTCCAATACTTGTCGAATGCTCGGACTTGGCTCTACCCTTGTGGCTTCAACCATACATAAACAACATTTATCATAATTGCTGTCTGATTGATGAATGCTAAACAGCTTGGGTCCATTGAACACTTCCAAAAAGTTGGAGGGAAGCTAGTATGATTGTGAGCATCTGGAAAAGTCAAGGGAACGGTATAAGTGGAGTAGATACATGAAATTTGGACAGGCTCTCGCAGCGCGGGGAAGCTTTGTAAAGATCTACCAATGATATGTATAAACTTACTTGCGCGGCTATTTCGCAGTTTTTTCTGACATTAATGGTTTCTGAATCCGTTGTTGAAATACCGGTATGAAGCAGGGCCCATGACGTCTGCAAGTATGTTACCTTCGCTGCTCAACAGCTTTGTTCTCTACGCTAGTTCATGGCAGCTCTTCAGTGGCAAGGTGACATGACTTGGGCAGCTAGCTAGTATGCTTGCGTGTACGTGTTCGCCCACGAATGAAAATACGTACAAATGGTAGGTGAGTTCAGGCGCTGAGGTTTGCAAATTCCGTTTACCCTTCCTGGAAGTTCTCCGCACTTAGGAAGGTAAATTGAAAGTATGTAGTCTCGCTTGTTGGCCGAATGGTTTCATGACGGAGGGGCCGTCGTTCTTCCTTGGCTCCCGCAAAGTATGGAAAAAGAGTTGGGAGAAGCGAAACGATCACCCTGGGCGGAGCACTCATGAAGACGTACCTAGATCACTCTGTCCAGCAGGCTCTCTCCTTGGCATGAAGGGAAGAGGCCACTAAGGCTCAAAAGAGGCCCCGATGTGGTGACGACAATGCGGTCACCTGGCTGCGGCCATCACGCCGGATCTCAATAAGTGCGCATCAAATCCAAACCTTGACAACTAAGCAAGTGTATGAAACACGTAACTGCTTTGTTAGGAACTCAAGATATCAATTGTCCAAGCCCATCATAGGAGCTGGCCTAAGGGGTGATTGAAATAGCACTCAGTTTTACATGGATGGTTATTCGTGCAGTGTCCCGGTTGGAATACCGTGGAAATCGACGACATTTTGACTGGAATTCCCATGGAGTCCGCGAAAGTCCGGTTAATGTTGCCGTCCCTGACGGCCCGACCAGGTCGTTCGGACGGGCCCTGTATCTCTTTATGATGTAAAACATAGTATGCACACGTCTCTAAGTAGCACCCATCTCGAGCCCAGTACGGTCTGTAAAGACTTCTTTGCACATGGTAGGTGGATCTGCGCCCTTGTCTGTTCCCTGACTTCTGTGTTGCTTACAAGGGGAACTCTAGCGAATGCAATCGATCTTGAAGGCAACGTGACAGATCTACAGGTCGATGTACGTCGAAACGGCCGGAGGATGTCCCATTGGCTTGCCCTGTCGAGCAAGTCATATAGCTGGTTTCGTCACCCACCACACTCCGATCTTAATCTAGGACACCTTCCTTCAATGTTAGGTGGGAGGTTGTGACGCTGAGGTGGCTAAGTACGTAGCCCAGATATTCGCTGACAGAAGGTGAAGGATGACCGGCCTAATGGCCATACTGGCAAACCTTGGATAGGCGCAGACACGAGGGATCGACGACAAACGACAAAACAATAGTAAGTGATACTTCCAACCTCTGCGAATATTTCCCCGGAACTCAGAGCGGCCACAGATTGTTTGTTCCGACTGAAGGTCACGCAGTTGCGCACCTGAACTGTTACAGCACTGCGGGACCATCATCACACAGTGCGGCTGCCTGTGGAGGCCACACTGTCTTCCGAAGATAGGCCCGGGTCTGCTGGCAGGTGTAGTTGAAAAATCAGCGCTGCCGGGTCTATCTTCCTACCAGCCCTGTCCGCTGGGAGCTACGATCTTGCGCATATCATCTGGTCGCTGGCGATCGTCTAGTATAGTGAGGGGCAAGCGTTCTCTCTTTTGCAATTGCCCCAAAATTGGATTCTCACGAGCTTCACCAATTCTCAGAGCACAAAGTACAAGGCTCAAGGTGGGGGAAATGTCGCTTAAATAGTGATCGGTCCACTACCGTAGCCTGCTTGACAGCTCAGACTCAAAGCGCCACCGGGCTCATTTTTATACCTGCCGTGGGCGTTGGCGCCGTCGAGGACTCCATCCAGTTGCCTCGTTTGTGTCACTGTCCCCCGCCTTGCGCGGGGCTCCGAATCCAGCCCACGCAAGGTCGCATATGGGCATGCAGGTGCCCGAATGTGGTTTATGAGTAGCCTCTAGTCTCTCTTTTTTTGCTGTTGGCTCACGACGAGTGATGGCGATTTGAGTAGAACACGGTTTAGGTAGAGACGCTGCGTGCGAGTTAATGGTGTAGACCGTGTTTTTCTGGAATCCTGTCGTCGGGTTACAATGTGTGGCTCTAGCCAGCAGTGACCATAATCCTTCTCGCCTCACACTCACTCCTCGTTTGAGTCAGAGACTTTCTACTTGCTGCGAAACCGATCAAAGCGAATGAAAGACGCCGACTGGCTCGAAATGGAACATCTCGCCAGTAGACTTGGCGGATGCCGCTTGCCGTGATCTCGGCGGATCTTGGATCCGGGCCAGCCCGGTTCACCTGTCGGCAAGTCTGTGTGGATAAGTACAAGCGCTTGAGAATTCTATCAAGTCCTTGCGGGCTGTCAGGTAGCCTGAGAACATCCGCTAAAGCAAAGCCAGGAAGCTTGGAGACATAGTAGCCACAGGCCAACCTGTGAATACAAGATTCAGATATAGTCCACAAGAAGTTCAATTACTGCCTGCGTATCAGACCGTGGACTGGTCTGGAAACTTACCAGCTAGATGACAGTGTTCGATAAGAATATATAAGTTTTGGACAACTTCCCACAAACAGCGCCTCTTTTTCGAAAGAATTGTTCAGCAATTCACTGCAAGAATTCTGGACTCTGAAGTTTCACCATTGTAAGCTTGTGCAGTATTGGCAAGTTGGGAATAGACGACCGAGACACAAAAGAGCTGCCAGTACAGCTGGCGATAAGCTGAGTTGATAGTACCCTCTTTCGGTTAGTAATTTGCTTATAACCACCTAGCAGTCCTTTCATATCGATAATCTTGCTTAGGGAGCAAATAGTTTGAAAACCCAAAACCTTTTCCTTACCTGCCCATTTCTGTGCCTGAAAAGGTATAGATTTGAGCTATTATTCAGCTAGAGCATTAACTACGTACATACCACGCAAAGTACCCTTGAGAAGTGGTTGTGAGTGAATACATCACCTACATAGAATGACCAAAACTCACACGGTTATGGAAATCACGCCAAAACTGTTCGACGAATGGACCGGTCAGTTCTTCTCCGAGTTTGCCGCCATCGCCAAGTGCCAGTTCAGCTGGTTCTTTTCTGTCAACTGCTCCACATGTATCGTGTCACTGCAGCATCTTTCACGGGACCGCATTAAATGTGCAGGAGGGCATGCGTTGTCATTTCGTGCGACACTCTATATGCAGTCCTGTGCGCTGACTGTTGCGCTTGTGCTACTTCCGACCATGCTGAGTCCGGGCTAGCAAGCGTCTACCTGTTCGTATGTGTAAGAGGGTAAGAGGGATCTGAAGGCCATGCAGGCATTGAGGTTCGCTAGCAAAGTTGTTTACCACTTACTAGGTAAAACAATGGACAGCTTTTAGGAACCATTTGTCGTCTAAGACATCTTACAGGTTTACCATGTACGTTGTGGGGTTAATAGACAAGTAGATGACTGCCCAAAAGTCTTTCACAAATAAGGCATCGTATTCAAGAGACAAAGGCAGGCAGCTGGTAGGTAACTAGACTGAAACTGCTAATGGCATCGACAATTGAAAAAAAAAGATACCTGTTTCCGTTCGCCAGTGAAATGTTCTTGGGCTCTGACGATGCAGGTGAGGTTAGCAGTGTATAAGCAGCCGAAGAGTCCGGTTGGACGGCTGCCCGTAGGCTATCTCCGGCAGCTCTCAGAAATCAGCAGGTTGCCATGGAGATGACAGCCGCCGATGGAGCGGAACGGGGGAAATCGGACGAGCTCCATCCTCCCTATTTGCTTGTAGTTGCGCTAAGACAGGCCTGGGCGGCAGCGGAGTACTATGATCGGGCCCACATCACCGAACAAGTCCAGAAGCCATTGCGATCCTTGATGGTGCCCATCACTTCTGGCAGCCTTTGGGATTCCGAGCAGGCAATTGGCAATAAGCCTGCTGAAAGATGTGAGTTGCGTGACTACCCACCGGGTGGCTCTTTTGACAGGAATGCAATGTGTAGCCATCAATGAGTGTAGCAAAGGCAACGAACCCAGGCTCGGCTTGTTAGTCGCCGATCTAGGGAAGAACTCCGAGAAGTCGGTTTCGTGCTTCACAACCGACCAGTCAAGCCCCTCGATTGGGTCAACAGCTGAAGATTGTTAAGTATCCTCGGAAGTTCATGAACAAAAAATAAGAAAGCTATTAATGCTTGCCATGAATATAAATTAAGGTTAGAAAGCCATTAGCGGACAGCGTCTTCGCACACATTACATATATGTCATGCAATACAGCGGAAAAGTGACGGAACAATCTCATCAGGAATTGGAAGATGTGATGCTGGGATCTGGAGATCATCTTCAAGGGTACGTCAGAGGAACATGCTACATCGCTGGCCGCCCGCGATTATTGTCCCTTGGTCCCTTGTCGGGCAACTGAAGCAATTGGTGACTGGCGCCCTGAAGTACCTGCAGGTACCCCTTAAGGGGGTCCACATAAACGTGACATCTCAGACAAATCAGAATCATGTTTGGGTCTTCTTTTGAGGTTCCCGACAAAGCTGAAAGGAGGACGAGGTTTACATGGACAGGGTCGGTACCTATGATACAGCCAAGCTGGCCGGGGTCCACCTAAGGTATACTGTGGAGACGCCTTGGTACAACCCACCCGCTCCGCCCTGCCCTGTCCTGGCCGCTCCTCACCCTCGGTGCCTCTAGCCCGTTTCCAGGCACCTCTCGCTCTCGATTGTGCTGCCTCGTCTGCTTTCTTCCTCCGGTTCTGCATGCTTTCTACTGTGGCCATACGCACTCGATTCTCCAGTCTCGGGTCACACACGATCCTGGTGTGCTCCTCTTGGGCCCCTCTCATTCTCGCCGTCTTTCCATTGCCACGAGTTTCTCGCAGACTGTCCTCATTCTCTGCCGGTTCTCAACCCGCTCCCATCGTCTCTGTTACCCGTACCTCACTTTCGGCACCGACGTGCGCAAACGTCTGACTTTGTTCTGTTCAGCCCCCACTACCGAGCCTGCAATCCCCCCACGACTGCCCGCTCGAATCTCAAACAGTCGAGCTAAGAAAGACGTCAGTTCGCAACAAGCTGGGACCAAGCACATGCCCACAACGCGCCGTTTGGGCTTTTTGTCGCTTGAGGTTCAGACGAAGTCAGCGTACTGCCAGCTTCCTCCATGATTAACCTATCAAGTTACCCACACAGGCAAACCTTGCAGTTCTCCTTCCAAACAGTTTCCCTGCTTATTCTTTAACGTCGACAACTGCACCTGCTGAGTAGCGATCATTGTTGATCTGGCGATTCCTACACAGAAGGGAACTGGCTCTCAACGCAGCAATCCCGCCAAGCAAAACTGCTGTCGAAGCTCTGGCCCGAACCTCCAAGATCCGAACATTCCTCCACTTCGTTCAGCTGTAAGAAGCTGTCTGGGAGAAAGAAAAGCGAGGACAGGTACCAAGGAAGAACCGCGAGGAGAACAGAAAGGAATCCAGGCTCTCCATTTTTCCTGGTTGTGCGGTCAAAATGGTGCTCGAGGTTCCCGATGCCGGTCTTCTCTTGGAGAGCCCAGCAAATGCTGGTGTCGCCCTCCCTTTGCAGGCATTCGCCATCACATTGAGCGATAGCATCATCGAGGACATCATCACTTGTGTCCAAAATGGAGGCAGTCTCGAGCTGTCACTTGGAAGCGCTCCCGTAAGTATTCCAATGCAACTATAATTCAAGTGCGCTCATCGCACCAACTCCGCCCACTACATGTATCCCAATCTTCTTGAGTGTAAAATGCATTCTGAATATTGATTCTTTGACCTCAGAAACTGCACTTCGATGGGCGCGATGTCCGGATACCGAAGACACCTGACCCAGCTGGCTATGACCTCTTCCGATCTACGGCTGATAATCCTTCCACTGCCACACGGCTTCCGTATCCAGCTGCCTCGCTCTTCAAAGTCCCGAAGTTACAAAAAGCCAAGGCCAAAGCTGCGAAGACGGCCAGGACAATCAGCAAGAAAGAAGTTGCAATAAAAGAAACGCAAGTACGACCTTCAGCCGTGTCCAGCAATGCCGTACCGAAGCCTCCACAGAGCAAACTGGAGGATGACATTGCGAATCTTGAGAGCTCCTACGCTAAATTGGAAGCCGATAAACGGGAGAATGCGTATGATTCTTCAATTGGGAGTTCGGGAGGAGACCGGATGCTAACATGGATTGCTCTAGCACGCTCATTCGAGGACGGATGCTCAATCCCAAGGCTGCCAAAGGCAAGACAGGCAAAAATTTGCTTGAGCCCCAGGCTGCTGCTTCACCTCGGTCACTACCCCCAAGTCCTGCATTGAGCGGCATTGGATCTCCATCCCTAGCCCCAGCTATTAGTTCAGTGCAAGAGCGTGCCAAACAACAGCGATTCCCTATAATCCACGAACTAGCTGTACAGCCTTTGACTTGGAGGGAGCTTAAGGAAAAGTGGGACGCAGCAGGAGTCGATGGAACCGAAGAGGACTTCAGTGCTGCCGTGAATAAGGTGGCCACGCTGAACCCCGAAAACAAATGGGAGCTTGGGAAAATGCACTGGAAGGAGCTGGACGTCTTTGAGTATCCTTATGACAGCGAGAAGAGTCGCCAGAAAGCGATCAACAACGCCGTTCGGCAGTACGACCGGATGCGGCTAGCCTCGTCAGACCCGCTTTGGCAGAAGCTACTTCCTAAATCGGAGCGTGGGAAGGGCATTTGCCTCAGCAAGTTACAAGCTGCTATCGCGAAGGGTCCGGCCGTTTCCGGCCCTAAACTTAAGCCTGACGCCTCTAGCAACAGTGGGGGCGACTCCGAGAAGGATGATGCAAGCTCAGCAACAAAGAAGGCCAAGGGGGGTGAGCCGATGTCGAGGTCAAGTTCCCAGGCCTCGACCGGGAAAAAGAAGCTATCACCATCAGAGGCCCAGGCCAAGCGACTTCTTTCCACTTCAAAGAAGCCTGGTGCTACGAAATCAACACCCAAGGTATCGCCAAACAAAACTTCGAAAGGAGCGGGTGTGAAAGGTGGCCGAATTCTGTCGAAGGAGTTTGTCACAGATTCCAGTTCCGATGACGAGGCAGCTTCGTCAACCTCGATTTCGAAGTCAAGCGTTGTCGCGGCATCCCTTGGGAAACCTGCTGAACAGGCAGTGGATAAATCGAAGCTTAGCAAGACAAAGGAGGGGATCACTCTGAAACCGAAAGCTGTCTTGCCCTCGCGCAGCGTCCTGAAAGACAAGGAGAAGAGTGATGAAAAGGCAAAAGACACCATCCGTACTCAGTCTGCTGTGAAGTCTGCAAAGCCACCGGCAAAGCGTACTCGTGATGCGGATGATGACGACAGTTCTAGCTCTGGGACCCCACTCAGCAAGCGTGTAAAGTCGGTTGCAAAACCACTATCGACAGTGGCACCTCCGGCGAAATCCAGAACTTCGTCCGATACCGCGTCTGCCATTCGTGCAGCGGGCGCCGCGGTTCCTCCCAGGCCAAAGAACACATCACCTGCCAAATCTTCACCTCTTGCTTCCTCCCCACCAACTAATGCGTCAGATCTGGATCAAGATCGCGCATCATTCTTTGGAGAGCGCGAGCCAGACCATGGCACCCCATCTACCGTCAGCAACAATACCGACGGTAATGGGGCTGCCTCGGATAAGAAGAGGCCTACCGATGACTACTCGTCACCGAAGCCTAAGCGCCCACGATTGTCCGCGGACATCATTGAAAAGGCGGCCAAGTTCAAACAGTTTTACGCTAGATACGAACAACTGCATCATGAACTTGCTGGCCTTGAGAACCCAGACCCAAGCAAGGTGACAGATCTCCTTGATATGCACGATCGTCTTAGCCGGCTCAAGAGGGAAATCTATGCTGAAGTGGAACGATGATTCACTTGATATTCCCTCCGTTTCAAGAAATCATTTGATGATTGGTATACACTAGGAGCTTATGATTGTGCAATAGTTTCTATGGAATTACCTGAGTGGTTGATTTATTGAAACGCTTTAAAGTCTGCCAGGCTGAACAACACATTTGGTGGGTGTGGAGGGCAAAACTAATCGATCCTGTTTTGCATTTTTGGGAGACAATTACCAAATATGAAAACACGGGAGTGGCCTAAGGAAGTTTCACACTAGATGTAGCATTGGGTTTGGTTGGGCTGTGAGCATCTTTTCTTTGAGGATTCATACAGAAAGTGGGAAGCCGTTATGATTATTGAAGCGGTGTTTAGTATCTTTTGAGGGTGTTTTGGAGACACTGAAGGCTCCTGTTATAATGCTTTTTATTGCATGCCACTCTAGCTCTCCCCAGCCAATCATCTGTGTTGACCTGATAATGGTATCAGCAATATGGAAACCAGTGGACAGTTGTCCTGGCTATGATGATTTCACCAGAGTTCAGGGAAGAGACTTGTTCCCCTGAAATTTAAGGATATGACAATGCTTGTCTACGGATCACTTTCAAAATGATTGATATTATTAAGTTCACCGGGCCCCTGGACCTTTTCGACTGGCACCTTCTGCACGAGCAAAGCACAGTCAGTACATTTGTGAGCGTAATCATCTATCACGGATCTGTAGAATAATCATCAAAGATGAGGTAGACAAGTAGCTTGGAAAAGTGAATGATCCGGATGGCAGTATATTTACCCAGGATGCTCTTGATTTCTCAACTTGTGAAGGAGATAGAAAGGCATTCAAGGGCTCATTAGATCACCAGGCAATCACAGTAGCCTTGACCACGATGTATAAACCTAAGTGAAAACGGCGCCATCACTAACGTACCAGGCCACACGCAAGCGTTGTTACTAGCCACCATCCAATGAAGGTGATGCCCTATTTCACGGCATGACATCACGACTTTAATCTCAAACAGTGTAACTGATGGTCACCCTGGGTGAAGCCACTTTTGCAGTATCCCTTTAGTAAGATGGCACCATCGCATGTCTAATTCCTTTGTTGATATCGGTGTGCAAAGACCTAATACACCCCTATCCTCCATCCGTTTTCTTCCTATGCTTTACGATGCTCGCCCGCTGCTCGGCGACAACAGTAACTTGAGAACCTAACCGCTGCCGCTGATTAGGTTGATGAGCCGCCATAGTGAGGCAGTGTACCGTCACAGCCGCGAGAGAAAACGGAGGAGGCCGCCTCCCTACTGGGTCTTGAACAGCAAGATGGCGCAGTGGCCAAGGTAAAAGTAGATGAAGTGCTTCGTCTCTGGAAAAGGAACGTGTGTGTCAGCTCTCGTAACGGACTAAAATAAAAAAAAGTACCCTAACATACCGTGAGTCACGAAGCTGCCGAAGTTACGGCCCACGATGCAGTGCCAGGTTGGGCCCTTCCTTTCATCAAACTGTCCCAAATGTGTCAACCGCAAGAGATCAGGCAGCAAGCAGTACTGGATGAAAGTCATACCGTTCTCTTAATGTGCTGAGCGATGTCCTATGCGCCCAGTTAACATCATAGTCAAGATATGAATCAAATTAACCGGCATATGGCATTGACTGACCTTCTCAATGGTGAACCTCGCCATCGCCTCCTGGGCTATTATACGACTGAATTAACAACCTTGACCCATGTGGAGAGCACACCATGCTGCGGGTTCTACATACCAACCTCAATAGCCTCTTGTTGCATCTCCTCAGTCTTACAGAGACAGTATGTCAATATGTCTTCAGCGGGGTATATGAGCCAGCACGTAGGTGGCATACCATGTCGGCACTCTTGATCTGGGCTGGACCAAGATAGAGCTCGCATTAGCTAATGCTCGCCGGGAACAGGGTATCACGGCTGTATTGCAAACATACCCTCAAGCTTCTCCCGGGATGCTACCGAGTCCCTGATCCCAGAGGAACCGGCCTCGCTCTTCTTCTCGTCGCTCTTCATTGTGGATGCTATTTCTGATCAACGCAATCCCCATGGTCAGCGCAGGGAACCTGACGGCAGTGCTGGGCAGGAAATCAGGCGCCATGCGCGATGTTTGATAGGAGAGGGATAATGGCCTGACGCGATATCGCTAGGGATACAGATGGTGAAGTACGCCTGGGGGAAGCTTTTCATGCGACTCTAGGTTGTGGGGGCGACATACAGGCAAATGTCTCAGCGCCTAGGTTGGAAACGGAGTCGAAGGCACAGTACTGTCGCGAATGAATGTCTGTTAGGCAGGCAAGCAAAGCGGCAATCACAAACACGAGTGTTGTTTAGAGGCACTCGGCGGTGTAATGTTTGGTTCCAGGATCTCGGTGTTGAGGTCAAGCCAGTCAGCCCATCATCATTGGTCCAAGTTCCCTGCTCTTGCCTTCTAGGCGCGCATGGGCGTGCCGCGGAGCTGGGAAGGGAATTGGAGACAATTGGCGGGGAGAATACAGTGCACTATGATCTCTCAGTACTGTATTAGCACACGACAACCCCACATAATCACACAGTGTCAAACTGTTTACGGTGACAGGTAGGACACTGCACCAATATGGCACAGGAGCAATGCTCGTGAGGAGATAGTGGAGACCAACCAATAATCAGTGTCTGGCTGATAAGATAGGAGCAGCTGGGTGGGGCAGCGATTTTTTGTGGACGGTGCAGCGACGCAAAAAGTTTCAAACTTTTTTTCCCATCCATTTCAAAATGTTTATCTCAACATTTGCCCACAACAACGGAATGGTCAATCGGTAGTAATCAGCTTCGATTTCTGCCAACGGCAGATCAAAGGAAGTATCCAAGCTGTTTACCATGCAGTCGTCCAGAATTTTTGTCAAGAACCTGCCGCCAAATATCACCGAGAGTGATTTTCGCAAACACTTTGCGGTTCAAGGCCGACAGGTCACCGATGTCAAGCTGTACCCCAGCCGTCGAATCGGTTTTATTGGTTACAAGTCGGCCGAAGATGCTGCATGGGCAGTGAAGTACTTCAATAAAACATTCATTCGGCTGTCCAGGATTGCTGTTGACTTGGCCAAGCCGGTAGGTCTGGTTCCATGAGAGCATGGGAGCTGCTACTAATGACAGAAACAAGATTGCAGACTCTATTCCGAAGAATGGTGCTAAGCTAACCCCAGCGAATGGCAGTGCCAGAATATCCCTTCACAATGCTCCTGCATCTGGGATAGGGCAGGCCGAAGATGGGAATTCCAAAAAGCGGAAGCGGGAAGAGCCTGCCGAGGAGGCCGACCCAAAGCTACGGGAGTTCCTTGAAGTTATGGGCCATACCTCCAAGAAGTTGAGAGATCAAGATGTTCCCAGCGCTGAGCCGCAATCAGAGCCAGTGGCCACGGTTGCCGGCGGCGAAAGCGACGACGAATATGACGACGTTGCAGTACGCAAGAAATCTCAAAGCGACAATACTGTTGGCCACAGCATGCCATCAGCCGCACGTGCGGTAACCGCAGAGCTCCCCATTGGCGCGCCGCCGCCAGAGGAGCTAAAGGTTCCGGTACCTCCACCTGTTCCTGCAGATACCACGGATGATGACTGGCTTCGGTCGAGGACAAATCGCCTGCTTGATCTTGTAGATCCTGACGATCCACAATTTCCTATACGACCTGTATCATCTATGCCCGCAGCTGCTACTGCCCTCAAAGCGGAAGAGCATCCTCCTGGGGAAAATGCTGTTTTGTTAAAGCCTGACAAAGCAGGCGATGCCTCGGTTAAGGATAAAGCTGCAGAGCAGCACGGGAGCATGGAAGATGCGATAGCCACAATCAACAAGACGCGCAGGCTTTTTCTGAGGAACCTTTCTTACACTACCACTGAAGACGACTTGAGGGAGCACTTTAGCCGTTTTGGTGCTCTTGAAGAGGTATTTGTCCATCTCTTTTGTGTTACTTTCCCCTTGCCGCTTTGCCCTTTATGATGAATCCCATTGATAGGGACATCTTATGCCACTGGCGTATGACGAAACCTTTGGGTTCAAGTATTTGATAGATGCTTCGAGATCTGATAAACACGGGCCAATACCTCTACGACATTGTTTCTCTCTTCAAAGGCAGTGAACCCCAGCTAACAGGAATCTAGGTTAATCTTCCACTTGATAATCAGAACCGAAGTAAGGGTTTCGCCATGATTCGGTTTGAAAAACCCGAGGCTGCAGTCGCTGCATTCCAGCTTGACGGCTCTACCTTCCAAGGGCGGCTCCTCCACATCCTCCCTGCTGCTCCCAAGCGGGAGTTCAAGCTTGACGAATTCGCCCTGTCGAAGCTTCCCCTCAAGAAACAACTGCTACTGAAGAAAAAGGCCGAGGCCGCCTCGAGCACATTCAACTGGAATTCTCTGTTCATGAGTCAAGACGCCGTCAATACCGCTGTAGCAGAACGCCTTGGCATCTCCAAACATGAGCTTTTGGATCCCACGGATGCATCTGCTGCTGTGAAACAGGCAATTGCGGAGACCAGTGTGATTCAAGAAGCAAAGACCTACTTCGCAAAGCATGGCGTTAACATTGAGGCCTTCAAGAACCAGCAGCGTGGTGACACAGTCATTCTAGTGAAGAATATTAAAAACACAACTGCTGAGGAGCTGAGAGACCTTTTTGCAGAGCATGGTAGTGTCCTGAGAGTGCTGATGCCACCGAGTGGCACTATTGCCATTGTTCAGTTTGCGCAACCCGCAGCCTGCCGCGCGGCCTTTGCAAAAAAGGCTTACTCACGCTTCAAAGACTCGGTCTTGTTCCTTGAAAAGGGCCCGAAGGGGCTTTTCACAGACACTCCACCTCTACAACAAGGCAACCAGACTACTGGGGTTCAGAAGCTGTCAGCTGCTGAGTTGCTGGCACGCGACGACGCGGAGGAAGAGAGCACGGTTGAGACAAGCTCGCTTTATGTCCGCAATCTTAACTTTTCTACAACCTCCGAAGGTCTGGCCAATGCCTTCAAGCACCTGGATGGCTTTGTTAGTGCGACGGTCAAGACCAAACCTGATCCTAAGAAGCCAGGTCAGGTACTTAGCATGGGTTTTGGTTTCTGTGTATTCAGAACCAAGGAGCAAGCACAGGCGGCTCTCAAGGCCATGGATGGCACCGTCCTTGACGGCTACAAGCTCGTGATCAAGGCATCGCACAGGGGTCTGGATGCGGCCGAGGAACGCAGGCGGGAGGATCTTGCCAAAAAGGCAGCTGTCGTCAAGAGGAAAATTGTGATCAAGAACTTGCCCTTTCAAGCAACCAAAAAGGACATTCGGGATCTTTTTGGCACGTATGGGAAACTCGTGGCTGTCCGAGTCCCAAAGAAATTCAACTCTCAATCACGCGGGTTTGCTTTTGCTGAATTTGCCACGGCAAAGGAGGCGCTTAACGCACTCACTGCACTTAAGGATACTCATCTGCTTGGACGGCGTCTGGTTCTAGACTTCGCAGAAGCTGATGAAGTCGATCCAGAGGAGCAGATCAAGGCCATGGAGAAAAAGACACGGGATCAGTTGAACAAGGTCACTTTACAACAGTTGACAGGGGGAGGAAGGAAAAAGATCAACATTGGGGGAGACCATGATGAAGATGAGCGATGATAGCAATGAGTCCATAATTTGATAGGTCTCAAGTTTAGATACCACATCCCAAGATAATGTTCCGCTGACCCTTGCCAAGGACTGCATTGCCTACCAATCCCCTTGAGTTCCCTGCAGGAACATTGCCCACTCACGGCTTTCGTTAGTGATTGTCTGGTTTAGCAATGCTCCGCGCCTCGCATATTCAAAGATGACCAGTTGCTATGGCGAGCTAATGTTCTCCATAGGTACACACCTGCAGCGCACCTGAATGTCCAATGTGGTGTGCGGTACGAATCTGCAAGCAGCGACACTTCGCTGTCTATTGCCAACCTCCAGACCACACCGCAAACAACGAAGTATTTTGTGCTTGCTTAGATATTTGAGATGTTCATGAATGTGGTGTTCTCCAGGATTTGGAATCCCCTGCGTTCCAGTTGGCGCGCTTGTTGGACGAGTATTGGAAGGCTGGCCCAAGTCCAACGACAGTGTTTGGCATACTTATCTGGGTAGCTAGTTCAGTAACTCCTTGAGTGATATCTTGCAGAAGCATATCTGCACCGTGATGAAGTGACTGATCCTTACTTCATGTGGGCGCTGATGGCTACCCCTCGTTATAATACATCTTGTGTTCACCTTTCTTGCTCTCGACATGCGTATCTTGTATCTCTCTATGGCTTACATTACGACCTAGTGCCAGTCCTCTGGTGAACTCCTTCACTATTCTTTTTCTGTCGACGTTCCTGTTCCCAAAGTTGTGTACTACCTACCTCAGGAGCGTCTTCGTCGTCTCTCTTATCCCATTGTGCTCAGCAATAGAGATACATGTCCGACTCTCAATCATTTCTCAGCAATACTGTGGCATTTCGGCAGATCACGGATTCGAGCACTGCTTTGAGACTGCTTTGAGGCGGTCACTTCAGGACTTTGCAGGTAGCATAGAGAGCAGCATATAGCTCTCACAGCACTCTCATCGATTCCATCATCAATCCCAACTCCACCAGTATTGCAGCCCTTGACCCCAGCAAACACTGCAAGATCCGGATCCGTGATGGATGGCAACCAAGTGACCTTTGTGAATAGCGATCTTACTCATCCCTGGATGAGACGCAAGATATACACGATGAATCAAACACAATACAATTGAAAGATGCTGGTTGGTGAGTATTTATGGATTACTTATTGTCAACCATTGGGGCCGGAAGAACAGCCTGGTCCCAGCATGATGAGAGAAAGAAGGTGTGGAACCATATCCAGGTGCTGAGAATTTCTTGCTGATCATAGATGCCGTAAGTTGGACCTAGCCACCCAAGACCTTCCTTTCAAGCCCCCGCCAGCATCAGTCTTGCCATCAAGTTTGTCTGGTGTCCCGTTTTCCTTGGACTTTCTTGTCGTCGCTCTCCCCTCCTCCCCCGGTCCAACCAACAACGGCCGACAAAGGGCACACGCCCCCTTACTTCATCCCTGCAGTCCATTTCCTCTTCGGTGAACGTCAAGAAGATAAAGACAAGCCGTCAATACTGTGTCGCTCTGAAAACAATCCGGCATTGATTGCCTTGTCTGAAGGGCGTCTTCCCAATGAGCGTCCAAACTACGAACACTTTTCTCAAATTCTGGCGTTGAATGACCAAATACTCCTCTTTCGACTATATATCTCGCTCCAAGTTGCGCTCGAGATGCAGACAGTTCCCTCCACCCGGCCTTTGCCCAGTGGCATGCAGATAGCCAGACCCTGTCTCGCTCAAAACCATATTTTCATGTGACACGAAGATCCAGCACCGTTTTGGCATGACCTGTAGCAAATCTTTGGGGGGATATTGCTAGATGAGTTCACCAAAGAGATGCATCAGGCGGAATCAGACAGCGTCAACCGGTTGAGCGAGAAATCGGAAACGGCATTCCCAGAAATCCATCAGGCGTTGAGGGTCATCACAATGACGGCACAGGCGCGCGCTGCGACATCATCCATATGCATGTCACACTCGAGCTAGATAAGAAATACTGGTTTCCTGAGCACTCACAACTCAAATCCTACGTTGACATCAATATTGAGCAGCCGCCTCTGTTGAGTCATCAATGAAAAATCCACACCCGGCTGGTCACACCTGCTGAATTGCGTTATACCGACGAAGATCCTCTCCTTCAGAATGGTATTATGAGACTTCAAGCGAAATCGCAACTCAGCATCAACACCGGCCGGAATGCAGTGGATCACGGAACGGGATAAGCGACCAGTCGTACGAATGCTTTCCCCAGTGCAGCTGTAAGGACTCAGTGATGCTTCCGTTCCTAGCGAACGTCTTTGCGCATGCATACACGAACTGCACGGAATATCTGGCACACCCCGAGCTTAGGCAGGGTGAGAGTGACTGCAAGTCGATCTTCAAGCCTGATGGTGACAGAACTGAGAAATTGAGGTCCCAGCGACGTCAGAAACAGCCAACACAGATGGATTTGGTTCCCAAGATTACGATGGTCGAGATCTTTTCAAGTTCACCGATCCCTCCACATATAAGCATGGCATGAGCAGTTCGAAGAATAACCGAGGGACACGCCGGGCTGTGATGCTCTGGACATTTCGAACTATCCATAGTATCCAAAAAGGGAAGTTTGTCACAGCCCAGGGAGGGAGGACGCACTAGAGGTTCTTGACATTTCTGAATCCAGAAGGATGGTATTAACAACGGCATGCCATTATAAGTGGCCACCGGTTCTTAGAGGATGAACATCAAGGGCCTGTCACCGACACAGGAGTTACTTCTCGCACTATATCCAGGAGCGTAGTTATGCCCCCGGGCCCGTCGTTGCAGCAGCAAATGGCGGCTACTATGAGTGAAAACCTCTCAGCCATGTGGGATCATTCAAATTCCATCGGCTCTCTTGCTGGTCCTGTGGTCTAGACGACCTATAGTGCTCATTTCATGACACAAGCATCACAAGAACACACGATCGCGATCCAGCCTGGTAACAATCTTTCGAAAACTTCAGGAATCATGGCAGCCTTGCAACTCTACCACTGGCCGCATCCTTACCAAATTCCTTCAGACAGTCCTTTGGCACCAGTTCTTGTGCGGGTGATATCCTGCCAGACTACATGGCTAACCATTTACCAGTCACAACAGCCAGTATGGCACCGGGTGGCCACATGGTCGGTAGCGCTGGAGGTCCATCTGCTGCAACTGACCACTTTCTCGAGCAGATCGGCACGCTACCAGTGGGAATAACTCTGGCGCGCACTTATGATGGAGCCACACCTGATGGTATTCCATCTTGGAACAAAACTAATGTTATTTCGGTACTGCTTGTTGGACCTTTAATCAGTAACAGAGACACCAGGAACAAACGTCGCAGTCTCTGCAACCAGCCCTGCCCCAACGCCAACACCAACACCCATGGATATCGACCACCATCGCTTCCGCTGCCTTTCTTCCTGGCAACAGAATGATCATGAGCTCTGGACTCCTACAACTCTAAACACGCCCATTGACGAGTGTAAGCCGCTCATTCCTATGACTGGAGCAGAACCAGGGGCCGGTTGCGGCGGTGACTGCCCACTGCCTGAGCAGAAGCGGCAGAATTCTCGTGGTGACGGCGCGACAAAATCCGTGACGGTTGTGGCTGGTTCGGAAGAGGACGAACACCCCCCCTTCTGCTCTCCTGGCCCTGCTTGTTGAGCTCTCCGTCCTCCTGATGCTAGACAGCTGCCGAACAGGGAAAGAAGACTGATCCCATCCTCATCGCCTTCCCTGTCCCCTTTGTCGGCGTTGGAACCGGAGGATGAGTGCCCTCCGTTGGCAGTACCCCGGTCCGCGGAAGGTGAAGGGAAACAACAGGGATGTTAGTCACAGCAAATTGGTTGGTTGAGACAAGCTGGTGAGGGCAGGGTAGTATCGAGGAATAGAGAGGAAGATCTACCAGTATCGGTGAGGGCGATAAAGGAGAACATTGTCGTTGGCGCTAAGGGTAGAGAATGGGGGCTGTTTAGGGGGGGTGTTTTGGGGGCATGGGGTTCTTGCCTTTGTGGATTTTGACTTGGTCCTGATTCTGGTGTCAACTCCATTGTCACACTTTAGTAGCAATTGGAAATTGTTTTGTTGGAGGAATGGGTTATGCTAATGTAATAATAGCTGCATATTCAATTCAAGCAAAAGCAACCTTCTTTTTTTGTTTCACTTGAAAGAGAGGCCTACAAAAAGGGAGGACCAGGACAATGCAAGCCGGGGGGTCTGTTGGTCAGCATTTGGATGAGAGCGTGTTGCTACACTTGAAGCTATTGTTCGATATCTTGTTCTAGGAAGAGGCATCCATAAGGCCCTGACAGAGCATAGCAGGACAGCTTGCGCCTGTAACCTTAGTGTTTACGCCAGGTATGTCCCCAATGTTCAGGTTTTGACTTTGATATTGGGATCGGTATTCGGGAGACCTCACCAGCAAGACATATTGTCTGGGGCTTAGATCTTGATAAATCTCGCTTATAATATTGAGGACTTGTTGTGGGCGGCTATTTGCTTGCAAGCGCTTTCTGCGGCTTGGGAAGTGGTGGTACAGATGGAGTCGGAATGCACCCACTTGTGTGGTGATTGCGCTACTGTGGTCTGCACGACAGGCTAGCAGCGTTTCTGCTTGGTTTGGTGCATGTCGCACGTGGGCATGGCTGCGACGAATCACTGGCGCTTTGGCCAGCCCAGCTGCAACGGCGGGTGGCCCACTGGAATCCCTGTGAGACCCGTCTCGTGCCCTGGTTGATCTGAGCTTGGCCTTGGACAAGCGCCACGAGTGGAACAGAGTTGGCGCTTCGGAGCGGAAAGGTATGCTTGTGTTCCACTCTGCATATGGCCTGCAGGAGCCCTGTAGCCGCGGATCTGGGGTTGTGAATGACCTCAGCGAACCACCACATTACCATTTCCGACCAGAGAACTTGATGAGCAAGCAATTGGTGCTTGGAAACAAGCTCAAACAGGACCTAGAGCTAATCCGTTTTTCATATCCAAGCCATGGCCCTCAGAACTGTCCCCATCATCGGGGACCGAGAGTCTGGAAATGCTGAATGCCGAGGAGCCTGTGAAATGCTCGTAGCACCATAGTTTCCCTAAATATCTTGGTCGGCCAGCTGCTGAACAGCTGCTTTCGAATTTGACTGGGCCTTTCTTGATGATTTGCCGCGTAACCAAATCTAAGAACCTGCTATGACCCTGCCCAGAGTCTCCTGACCAGGCTTCACTGTATGAAAGTCATAGGTCATAAATGTGCTGGCCTCAAATGACGTGTGTGTGCAACATATCCAACAACTCTACGACTTATTCTTCTCATCACGTGTTCTAACCTGGCCAGATTCTGACCTGTATTGAAATCAGCAGTAAGGCCGGTCTCTAACTTCCCTGCTGTGTCATCAACGCATCCACGCCGTGATGCATTTGCTCCTTAGGCCGGACCCCTTGGTTTAGGGATTCTTGGGATGGAAGATCGATTAGCAGGCCTCAGGGCTGCTTTGCCTTTACCATCATATTTCTTCTCCCATTCCTGAATAGCACTGTCTTTAAGAACAGCACCTTTCACCCTGGTCACGTTGTTATCTCGCAGCTGGCTGCCCTTCTCATGAGACTCAAGTCATTGTGTGGCTCTCTTTGTTCTTGAATGTTGCCTTCGAACAGTAGACACGATGGGTTTTTGAATTGTATCAGTCAATTAAACTAACAGACTACCTTCCCGTGTGTGGCGCCACCGGTTCCCACTCTCTTGCTGACAGTGGACGAATTGACTTCATCACGGACATCACAATCGTCTCCGGAACGACTCTGCGACACGACAAGCTCTACAGCCTTTACAACCTCATAAAGACTTTATAACCGACTTAACAACGACGTTGCGCTCTACAACTGGCAACAACAACTCAACAACAACAAAGTTTGGCAACTGTCAACGCGGCTTTTGCAACAAATTCATCTTTCGGTCTACTTAATGCCAGCACACAATACAATAATCCTATCACCACGTCCATCTACTACATCCATTCGTCCACAATAACACTTTGACGTCCATCCCTCAATAACAGACCAATCTAGTCAACTTCCTTTCACGACTGTCAACGAACCGGTTGCTCTTCCCCTCTTACTCTTCAATATCCTAGCACTCAACATTTGGTTAATTAACCTATTGAATATCGCCTAGGAAGTCAAAACCTTTTTTGTCGCCAACCAAGCTTATTCTTCAAAGACAAGGCACTTCCACAAACACTTCCTTCCACATCAACTACATTCCCCTCATCGACTAGTCTGGTAACCTGGTCAACCAGAGCGCACTTTTCCCACTGCAACACAACTTTTCCTTTTCACGAATTCCCACAAACCCGCAATCTTGCCCTCTCTACTTTCTATTTTCCGCACATCGACCGACTCTGAGAGTCAAACCACCTCGCTGAAAACTTCCACTCAACCAAAACCATCACGTCTTACCCTCATCAATCAACTTTCATATAACCTGTTTTTGCGACTCAAGTTGACTGTATTGATGATGGAGCTCTCTTCGAGCAAGGCCATGTTGCTGGTGGCTGCCCTCTTGGGTATAGCCGCAGCTCACTCCTGGACGGAGGAAACACGTCGCATCGGCCCCAAGGGTGACTTCATCGGCCCACCTGGCTACCCAAGGAAGTATGCTCCTGAGTCCAGGGATAGTTACAGTGTTTGGCTGCTGCCTCCCAATGGAGGTCTTAACGAGTTCACTCCCGATCTTCTGGCCGTTCTTCCCACCAAGGCTGGATTTGACGAGTCTAGTTATCACCCCCAGTACCCTATGCTCAAGGTCGCCCCTGGTGACTTTGCCGCCATCTTCTACAACGAAAATGGGCATGTTTCCCGAGCTGGCAGAGATAATCCTGAGAAGCCTATCAACCGCGGAACGGTGTACCTCTATGGCACTACGAAGAACGATCTCACTGGTCTGACACTCATGGATGTTCACCTGAAATGGACCGCCGATGGTGACATCAATAAAGGCAGGCTGCTTGCGACCCGCAACTACGATGATGGCCAGTGCCACGAGGTTCTCCCCGATACAGGGGAGGCGGACGGTATTTTGACTTGGCGCAAGGAACACATCACTAAGGTCGAAGGCCTCAGGTGCCAGTCGGACTTCCAGATTCCCAAGGATGTCAAGCCTGGATCTATCCTTACGGTCATTTGGGTCTGGGACTGGCCGTCCATGAACACAGTCGGTGTCGCTGTTCCTCCGCATACCTTCAAGGGCAAGACTTTGTCAGGCGAGAAGCGGGTCAGCAAATTCGAGCTCTATACATCGGTCGTCGACTTTCAAATAGTCGACCCATGCGATCCGGTTTTGGGCGACATCAAGGGCCCCACCTGCGCCAGCGTTCCCTTGAACAAGAAGAACATCGTCCGCTTTGATCGCACTCTCCCCGCAGTCAACCGCTCGATCGAGGCTCAGCTTGTTCATCCCTTCATGGTCCACGTCCCTGACTTCACCGAAGACCCCAATTTGATCCCTCTCAAGCCGCTCATCGGAGCCAAGAACCCCAGGTTCCCGCTGGACAGCAAGATTCTCGATGCGCAGTACGAGTATTTTACTCTGGGCGGCAAGGCCATCCCCACGGCCACGGCCATCGTCACGGCAACAGCCGTCGCTACAGTTACTGCTCCTGCCGGCGGTAAGAACGCCGTGGTCACGGTCACAAATGTCGTGCCTAGCGCGACTTACACGACCTTCGTGACGCGTATTCGTGACTAGGTTGACGCGGGTGCCGCAAGTACGACCTTCGACACGCGTCGCGTATGATCAAGGTCTCGAGGAGCAGGAAAAATGCTTTGCACATAGCATACTAGGCTCGAAAGGGATTTTCATCAAGGGGCAATTTGGGCTTTTCTGAGCTTTTTCTTTGGCTTTTCTGGTTTCAATTGAAATGATACAGTTATGGGTTTGGATTTTTTTACCGGCAGGAACTGGGCGACTGGCCGGCAATAGTGCATAACGATACCCGAGTCTCATTGACCATTCACTTCGGTCTCTGCATTGTGGGAGTTCCCCTATTGAGGTTTCTCAGGAAGCTTCGGGCAGAAACAACCACATCCGATGAATCAGTATGGAACGTAACGTTAGTCTTTTCTTTCCCGTTCGTCTTTTTTGCAGTTCGTCGCATATTCACATAATAAGCCAAATTACAGTAGTTCATGATGAGTTTTGTTCCCATCTTTCATCTTACCTGGCATGTATCACTCTTCATTCTCAGGACATGATGCGGGGGTTTCGGTGGCCTGGACATAGGAGGTTCGCATCCACGGACCGGCGCAGGCTTTAGAAGGGAATCAGATAGCTACACCAGCAATGGAATGAACTTTTATTAAGACATTGGTTCGCGGTTTGTGGTTTATTGCTTCGCATCGCGTTGGGGAGGAGGGGTTCAAGTGTCTCTGTTTGTTTCCCCTCCCCAGGGGCTCTCGCTGCCCCGGAAACGGACTGTCGCCGACAGCTGGCGTAAAGTGCTTGCCAACTGTTATTTCTTGGCAGACCCGGGCGTCGCTGGAGCCAGCGTGGGCACATCCTGTTTTCCGTTCGCTTTCATTTAAAGTTACAACGGTCTCAAGATCACAGTGATTGTCGTCTCCAGCTTCCTACCTTGAATCTTTGGACGTTATCGGCATCAATTGTCGGTAGTACACAACTCTGTAAAAAGATGCCGCCTACAGTGCTCCCTGAAAATGGAAACCCACTGTAAGTTCTAAATCCCCACGTCTTTTCGATTGAACTTGGCTGTCTTTGTTTCCACGCTGTGAGACATCGGATGCTTTGAGAGGTGGACGGACTTTACACCAGTAGTCCACTCCAAAATCTTCACCAGCACGCTTCAGTAAATATGTTATTATTGCATGCACATCATTTTTAATTATCCAGAATCGTCTTTGACACTCCTTTTGGGTCGTCATTTTATCTTCGAATTGGTACTGAGGAGCTCAACTACCAGTGTCTTCTTTGACATAACGCTAGGAGGTATGTGTTGTCGTCGACACTGAATTCTAATACCAAAACTGCTGACCTCAAACCCAACATCACAGGCGAGCCATTAGGACGCATCAAAATGGAGCTTTTCAAAGATGTGGTCCCTAAGACAGCTGAAAACTTCCGCCAGTTCTGCACCGGAGAACACAAGAACCATCTAGGTCGGCCCATGGGCTACAAGGGCTGCAAGTTCCACCGTATCGTAAGCTCCACCTTGGCTTGCTATGTATCAAGGCTATTATTGATGTTTTCTCTTTTTAGATTCCCAACTTCATGTGCCAAGGTGGTGACTTTATCAACGGTGATGGCACAGGGTCGGTCTCCATCTATGGTACCAAGTACTTCAACGACGAGAACTTCAATCTGAAGCATGACCGTCCTGGTTTGCTGTCCATGGCGGTAAGTTGACCCACTTTTCCTAGCTTTGGAATAGGAGGTTCAAGATAACTGATGGTAACTCCTGCTCATTAGAACGCTGGCCCGAACACAAACGGGTGCCAGTTCTTCATCACAACGGTCCCGTGTCCGTTCCTTGACGGCAAGCATGTTGTTTTCGGCCAGGTTGTTGAAGGCTTGGATGTGGTTAAGAAGATGGAGCATGTGAAGACGGGGCGCAAGGGCAAGGACGTTCCTGATCTGGATGTGGTCATTGCCCAGTGTGGTGAAATGTAGAGCTGCTTGAAATTGAATATTGGGGATAAATTACATCTAGAGTTTGATATCTTCGTCGTTACGAATAATGTTCATGAGCATATATGCATAGGACTTGACCATGTCTATAGTTTTGACCCTCGATCTCATGTTGACAGCAATCTACAGAGTAACTAAAATGCAGGCCAAGATAAAATAATGGCAAGCAATTGTTGGTATCACCAGATGACGTCTATTGGTTGAGTCTATGTCATAGTTAGATTCATATCTACAACCTTGGTGAAATATTTAGCCTTCAGCCTCGATCTCATAGCTGTTGGACTTGTGTTTTGGCGTGAACTTGAACCCTGGTGGTGCTGGTCCGAGGAACATTTCGCTGAGACAAAATTAGCAAACAATCTGAAAGCAGAATGCGGGGTTTCTATGGCATAAGAGACATACCTTATTTTGATCCAGTCCTTATAGTTCTTGCTAGCAAGTAGCGTCTCGAGCTCATTTCTGCCGCGATACGCAGGAGGGCGATCGTTCAAGCTGGGCGGCAAGTATTCAAGCAAGCCGACGGGGACATAGCGGTGGAAGAAGCTCATGAACTCGAGCAGGAACCGACGGGTGTAGTTGAGCCCAAGTTCATCTGAGCCCCAAGCCTCCATACCATAGCGGCAGAATTTCTCGATATACGACAATCTCTCGGAAGAGCTCTTGTCGAGATACTGGCCTTTTTCAATCTCCTCAAAGATCCATGGCTTGACGAGCGCTCCACGCCCAATCATGACACCGTCAACCTTGGCCTCATCCAAATGGCGGAAGTAGTCCTCATGTGAATAGACATCTCCATTGCCGATGAAGTACATATGCCCACCGTTAGGCAGCGTACGCTCGTCTGTCTCGCGCACCGTGTCGGCCAAGCTGTCAGCCTTCTCATTGAACTGCTTGATCAGCGCAGCGCACTCAGCAATGTATCCCCAGTCAGCAGCACGTGTGTACCGCTGCTGACGTGTGCGGCCATGCAACGTCACGGCCGCGCAGCCCGGGGCGCCAGTCACGTCGCGCATGTCCTCGCTGCCAAGAGCCAGGCGCTCAACGAGTTTTTGCGCAGTGTGCCGGTCGTCACGGACGCCCATCCGGATCTTGGTGGTGATGGGCACCTCGCCAGAAACGGTGTTCATGCCACGGATCATGCGCTCCAACTTGGAGGGGGCATCCATCAGCGCAGAGCCGGCGCCCGTCTTGTAGACGGCGTCGACAGGGCAGCCGCAGTTGAGGTCGATCAGGCGCAGGTGCGGCAGGAACCGGGAGAGGGCCTCTGTGGCTTTGATGGCGAGCCATGGGACATTTGCCGTAATTTGAGCGCCGAACTTGAGGTCGCGGGAGTGCTCGTAGCCCTGGACAATAGGCGCCTTGGGATCGATGCGAGGAGGTGTAATTTCAGACTCGTGGGCTCGCATTAGAGTCCAGTCTGCGTTCTGCCCTTGAAGTAAAGGCATACTCAGTGCCATTTCGGAGTATGTAAGTTGAGCACCAAGCTCAACGCAGAGGCGACGGAATGGCAGATTTCCCACTGTGGTCAACGGGGCAAGAATTGGTGTTTCGCGGCCAAAATAAAGCCTCCTTTTCTCAGAGGGCTTTAGAGGAGGCTCGACATACTGGGCGCGGTAGTCATTCAGCTCGTCCGCGTCATCCTTAGACTTGTGATAGTGTTTTCGATAAAGTTCAGTGTCTTTGGAGAGCCACTCGAGGTACTCATCGGACTTTTCCATTTTGACCCGTTTCCTGGACAAGTCGATCTTGATGCTGGTCGGCATGATGTTGACTACTCCGGGTCTAACCTCGCCAGTCTGCTCGTCCTGATGCTCAACCACACCTTGATCCGAGTTCCGCTCCGTGAGCATCAGCTCGGTTCGACCATCTTCTCGAGTTACCTCTTGCATGTGGCTTCGCACAAACAAGCAGCGCCACCCAGACGGGCACTTCCCGTATTTCTCCCAAACTGGACATTTGCCATCAAAAGTTTTGAGGTCGGGGCGGCGACCTTCTTTCAGGTATTTGCGAAGGTCATGGAGAGCATTGCAGCGATCTCCTTGCTTGCAAGTACGAGGAGAAAACTCAGGACTCCATGCGACGGAGTTGCACAGGCGATGGCTGTCCCCGAAGATGCCAAAGTCTCTGTCCTTGTTTTGGCCGCCTTTTCTCTTCCGCTTTCCATCATTGCCAGTGCCCTGCTGCTCGTCGTGCGCATCTCTCCCTTCGGCAGCATCATCGGCGACGACCTCGAATTCATCCGTTTCACTTCCTTTCCCATGGCCAGATGGGAAGATGAGATACCTGGGTTCATCGCGGTCAGTCGTGAACAGGGAACATGAAGTATCAAAGCTTCAAACAGTTTCTTACTCTTCTTTTATGGGAGCAACTCCCTTAATCCTTGGCCTTGGCTGCTTAGTGGCTACTTGAGATAGCTCCTGCGCAGCATCTGGAGCAGTATCCAGCTTCACTCGCTTTGGAGCAGGCTCGCCAGGACCGTTTTCGTGATGGCTCGAGCCATTGGTCTCCTCTATGGGACGCTTGACCATCTCTTGTGGCTCCATCTCAGTTGGATTTAGCTGTTAGTTAAAGATTACAACTGAAACTCGTGTTATTCTTGACTAAGAAATGTTAAGATGGCACATTGATGTTGTGAGAGCTTGCTCTTAGTCTTTTCCTCTTTTTTACAACTTCTGTTGACTGTTGCCCCACAGCGGGGTGCTGGCCTTTTCAGTTTCAGCTTGCTAGGTTGGACGAAAAAGTGGGGCTCCACTGATTAATGAGTGTTCGTGTTAAAAGTTGAAACTGTCACTTTGAAACCCTGCAAACATCCGCAAATGAGATTAGGGACAGTCATCTGTGAGCCATCTATGTCTCCTGGGAAATAATCTGTGGCAGGTTGATTATAACTGGATGTCTCTTGGTCTACGACTTGGTCTACGACTCACAAATACTGCAAGAGGAGAATGTCCCTGAACTGGTTTGTGTGGACATCGAGCGTGGCTAAATTATTGTGTCCCAAAAACACTTCGCACAGTCGGCAGCACCGTTTTTTGAAGGATGCTAACGGCTGGTGTTAACCGTCCGCGTCTCATCAACGAAACGGCCATCAAGTGTCTTCTTGGAGCAGGTACGGATTACAGCTCTTTACGGTGGATACTTACACAGACCGTAAGTTACAGAGCCAACTACGGCAGGCCTTTGCCCTGAAACTTAAACTTCGACACAGCCCGTGTCCAAGGCGTCCAGAAAAGACTCAAGGCGGATGTGACGGTCGTCTGGAACATCTAGCGCAGCGCAGAAAAAGTTGAAGGATGCTGGTTGGCAACGCCGTCTGCATGGGAGCGTCGGAGACGCTGCATAACACTGGACGCTGCGGATGGTGTGCTGCTGCTGCTGACCTGCAGTGCCTTGAGGCCCAGGCCCGGGCGACAGGGCCATATTTTACCCACCAAGCTACCCCAGTCGGGGCCCCTATACGCCGACGGACGAGCCATCCCATCGCATCGCATCTCGTGACAGCCAACAAGCAACAGACACCCCAAACTAGCCAACACCACTCAGCATTCCGACGACCTCTTGCTCTGTCCCGACAACCAAGCGGCGCAGGAAGCAGCCGAGACAAATCTCATTGCTCCGGCGAATTGGACCGGGCGGATTGCAGCCGTGCATGCTGCAAGCTTGATTGAATGTTCGCAACGCCCCTAAGCTCCTGAGTTCCGACCCCAACACGCTGCCGACTCCAGGAAATGATTCCTCGACCCCACAATGGCTGACCAGGCCAGAGCAGCGGCACGAGACAGGCCGCCGCAGTCGTCCCAAGACCTTCGCGCAAGAAACACGCCGATGACGTCGCCTGCCGACATGCGTCCGCCACCTTCTTCCGACCTCTGTGACTCTGCCGAGTCCTCCGACCGCGCGACCCCGATACCTCGTTCGCATACCCCTGGCCACTTGTCGTCCAAGAGCCAGGACCGGCGTCCGACCGACAAGCCCATTGAGATTGCCATCCGCCAGCGATCACAATCGTCTGCTGCGGCATCAAGCATTTCCTCGTCCTCGACAATTGTTCCCTCTGCCTCCTCTTCGACTACATCCTTCACCATTGCCGCATCAGCATCATCATCCCGGTCCCTTAACAACCCCTCGTCGTCCCGACTGCCGAGCACAAGCACAAGCACATATGAAAACGATGATAGCAGAGAGACACAGGACTCTTCTGCCGCAAACAGCAACCGAGATGCCTTGAACGGATCCGGCGCGGCCACAACCAGCACTTCATCCGCTCCGCGGCGACCAACCGCATTGCGCTCCACCTCCGCCATCGCAGGCCGGCCCGCGCCAGGGGGAGGTGCGGGCACAGGCACAACGGGAACGAGTTCAGGGTCCGGAACAGCAATCAACACTTCCAGCAACGATACCAACAAGAGCAGAACTAGCAACAGCACGAGCGGCGCCTCCCGGATGCGGGGCATGCCAGCGAAGGGAGCCGAGACGTACACGCCGTGTCCTCCACTGATAGACCCCAAAACGGCGCCCAATGTGCCGGAAGCCCCCTCATCGGGCATGTACTGGACGAAAGCCATGACATCGGGCCATCCACACACGGCTCTACGGGCACATACTGCGACCATTGTCGGCTCCAATGTGTATGTGTTCGGCGGCTGCGACTCCCGTGCGTGTTTTAACGAACTGTATGTGCTGGATGCCGACAGCTTCTACTGGTCTCGGCCGCACGTCGTCGGCGACATCCCCGTGCCGCTTCGTGCCATGACGTGCACGGCTGTGGGGAAGAAGCTGGTTGTCTTTGGCGGTGGCGACGGGCCGGCGTACTATAACGATGTTTACGTCTTGGATACTGTCAACTTCCGGTGGTATAAGCCAAAAATTGTTGGCGACAAAGTACCGTCGAAACGGCGCGCGCACACTGCGTGCCTGTACAAAAATGGAATCTACGTGTTTGGAGGCGGCGACGGTGTGCGTGCGCTCAATGACATTTGGCGCCTTGATGTTAGCGACATGAACACGATGTCATGGAGGCTTATCTCCGGCTCCTCCTCGTCCTCATTAACGGCCAATGGCCGGTCCGGGGGTGTGGCCAAGGAGATTCGCCCCAAGGCTCGCGGCTACCACACGGCCAACATGGTCGGCAGCAAGCTGATCATCTATGGAGGGTCAGATGGCGGCGAATGCTTCAACGATGTGTGGGTGTATGACGTGGAGACGCAAATCTGGAAGCAGGTCAACATTCCCATCACCTACCGGCGACTATCGCACACAGCGACCCTTATCGGCTCATATTTATTTGTCATTGGCGGCCACGACGGCAACGAGTACTCTAATGAGGTCCTGCTGCTCAACCTGGTCACTATGACCTGGGACCGCCGCAAGGTATACGGCCTGCCGCCTTCTGGCCGTGGATACCACGGGACAGTGCTGCACGATAGTCGCTTATTGGTCATTGGAGGCTTTGACGGGACTGAGGTGTTTGGTGATGTTTGGATTTTGGAGTTGGCGGTTCACTCGTATTATTCGCAAATCAGCCACTTCACTATCGAGGTATAGACCAGCTAGACGCTCTAGCCTGTTTTCACACATATATACGGCATATACCCACATGTAGGAACACTCGGTCTCCTCATTACATAACGTCGTTTGATACTCTTACAAGCCTTAACAGCGCAGGATCCGCTGTTGGGGGAAGCGGTGTTCTCAACAGGACCGAGGGAATGGCGTCGGGACTCGAAGGATATTGACAGAAACGGATGAAAAACAACCAGCTGCTGAGAAGGGCCAACTGACACGAGACTTTTTTTTAGTCTATCATATATATTTCTATCGATCGGTTTTTTTTTTTGCCCCGATAAATGTGTACAAAGCTTTTGCACGAGAATCATCTGTCTGATGAAGTGCCATGCTTGTAGGCCGCCACTCTCTTTTGAACATCATCACCCCAACCATTTTGCATTCCTCCAAGCAGCAGGCGGGCCGTGATACCACCCAGCTCACTTTTTGAGGTAACTATACAAAAAGCCCGAGATGATGAGAGAGACCCCAAGCGCCACAACATATACACAGCCTAGAAGAAACAACACGACCGCTAACCCGCCAAACGCCGCCCATGCTTGATAAAGATAAGATACAGCAGAGAGGAGAGGAATATGTACGAATGACGATCGAACTTTCTTCCGTTGTTTGTATCGACAATGCGTGCCCTAACACCGGGTCTCGATCAGACCACGGGCTTGTTTGGCGAGAACGGAAGGATTCAGGAAAGAGATATATCGGGAATGATATGGGATCATTCCTTTAATGGGCCTTGGCAGCAGCCTCGGCCTCGGCCTCCTTCTGCTTCCTCTCAGCCAGGCGCCTCTCCTCAGCGGCAACCATCTCTGTATTTAGCAATGTTAGCATGCCTTACTGGACTAGACGAGCAAAGAACTCTAAAAAAAAGGATGTGCAGCAACGTACGCTTCCAGAGGTCCTGGCCCTCGTAGTCCTCCTTGGGGACACGCTTCTCAATCATACGCTTATGTTCCGGGTCCTCGGGGTCAACGACCAGGACAGTCTCCCAGCGGCCCTTGCCTGATTTAGCGTCGGCGGTCTCAAGGGCGGCTGTGGCAATGAGCACGGCCAAAGTCAGGCCTTGCGCATACACACGGGCCTGGACAATCTTTTGAGCCGAGGACAAGTACTTGCTGCGGCCGACAATGGCAAGCGCAATACCCATAGAGGCCAGCCAGGAGGCGAAGACGATGCCATAGCGGTGCTCACGGCCCCATTCCAGCATGCGCTCCCACTCGGTCTGCTGTTTGCGTTTCTCCTCCTCCACTTTGTGGTGCGTCTCTTCCAAATACCGGTGCATCGCATCGTTGTTGCGCTGGAACTTAATGCTCTCACGCTCGGCCAGAATGATGGCGCCAGCCGTCGCCGAGGACGAGACCAGGAAGGACCGGAAGGGCAGCGTGAGCGACCGGAAGGCCGGGTAGCGCTTGTAGGCACCGATCACACCGACCAGACCGAGAGCAAGACCAACGCTACCGCCGATAAAGCCACCGCGCAGAACATGGCTGTAGTGCTCCTGTTCCTCTTCCTTGCTGATGACCTTCATGTTGGAAGCTGGTTGTTGTTAGGCTGCTGATCAAGACAGGAAGAGAGTTGCTGGCGGTGGTAGTGACGGTTGTGTTGGTACGGACCAGGCGAGTTACGCCGAGAAAGGGGACGAGTTCGTGAGCGTCGGTCGGCTAGAAAGCCTGTGGAAAATCGAGGGAGTTGAAGGGGATCGATCGACGTGGTGACGCAGGACTGAATGAATGTTCAAATCTGCCCCGCGTTTCCCTTTTGTCGGCTGGAGTGCGGTGGCGCAAGCAGAGATCGTATGACAAAATCAGTCAGCGGCCCGGCTCCGACACCCGCTCTTACAAGGTGAAAAACCGGGGCCGAGGGGTTTGATGGCGACTCGCAAGCGGCGGAAGTGGGTCCTGAGAGTGGATTGAAGTTGTCTCAAGAGCGAATCAAGACCCTCTTATTGCGTATGGGAATCTTCTGTGCGCGCGGACCCTCGCTGTTTTCGTTGGGGGAGGTTTGAATTTAACTTCAGGGGATTTTGAGCGTCGTCGCCGCGGTTTTGTACGGATTCGTAGTCGCGGTCGAATCTTGGCCACAAGGCGCAAATTTTAGCCCTGTCGCGGCTGTCGCGCCGTCCTTCATGATGTCAGAGCCAGCCAAGCAACAGGGGGACGCAAGGGGAACGCCGAGCTATCCCCGTCCGGCTAAATAGGCTTCAAAGGGTTAGGGTTCACTATGGGGAAGTTAGCTTGCAGGGCTTTGACAACCCCTCCCAGAGGAGCACGCATCGATTCCGGCCGAACACCGAGGGCTTGGCTTTGGCTGTGGGCCCTAGACTACGCCAAAAAAAAAATGGCGTCACCGTTCATCAGAGGCCAGCCATGCCGCATGACTGGCAAGATGGCCATTCGGGGGGCCCGTCCTGTTCCTGGTAATTTTCGCCGTCGCCCTCCTGGCCCGGGGCCTCCCGAGACGGTCTTTTGTCGTGTGGACATTGCTGGCCTGCAGCGATCACCTGAACTATCACACCAGAAGACTGTCGGGCGGGAAGGTGGGAATGCTGTTGCTATTTCTACGGCGGCGGCGACGGCTACCGCCTGTGCTTCAAGCTCTGGAGTTAGCGACACTAACTGGGCGAGCGAGTCAGCCTTTCCCATGTGGCGAACTGAGATCCTTGAGGTGTTGGTGTCCTGGGCTTGACATTGATGCTTGGCGGTTGTAGTGTCAGAGCTTCTGAGCAAGATATTCCAAAAGGAAGTGTTGGCCTGGGTTCTTATGCTTTGTCTTTTGGGTGCTCATGTCTCCAGGTTGGTCGAGGACCATTCCCCTGCCAAGCAGACAGGGGCTGGCCGGGATCCGTTGCGTCGGGTCCCGTGCCGATATGCTAGCCGACAGCATACCGTTGTTGTGAGGGTAAGCAGAGACGTCGGTGATCCAAAAAGGCTCTCTCCTTTGCTTGTTTCGCCTTGTCTTGATGCCCATCCTACACTAAAGCCTGGCGGGCATTATGGAACTGATACGTAGGAACCTCTCACCAACCAGAACTGGACTCAAATCATGCCTTGCAATGGAGATTCCACTCGGGCTGTCATCAGATCAACTGCTGTCTGAAAAGATCCCGGTTTCTCCCATCTGGCATTCTCGGAGAATAATGGGTGCTGTGTGGATAACTGCGATGTTGCTCGAGGGACAAATATTCTCCTCTTTGACAACAAACCTTCTGATACCTAACATTGGACTTGGGAAGCAGGGAAATGATGCACGTGGCTTCTGTAGCCTCTGATTGCTTCATTGACTTAGCCTCCAGTGCGATCTGCTATCTTTGGAAAAATAAATGATCAAGGAAGGACTCACTTGTGTGTGGTGCCAGCAGCCAAGCAATTGCTGGTTGCATTTCTCTCCCCTCTTTAAGAGGTCATCCAAGCGTCCAACCGATGTGATCCATCTCAGTCCTGGCTCAGGAACTGCCACCTTTTCCGCTCCCATAAAGGCATGTGAAGCTTTATTCATGACAGAAGTGCAGGATTGAGCACTTGGCAACCAGGAAACGATTATCTAGAGCCACAAATACCGAGATGACTTGACGCTCGGGTCAGCTACACGTGTGGTAAAATCCACCAGGTAGCCGTCAACAACCACGGCCGCAAAGGTACATCGTTTCCCTCAACAAGCTGACTTTTATCATCAGGTTGCTAGGGCAGTAATACTACTAGACATGTGGTGTATGTTATGAATTTGAATTCTACAAAATTGCTCAGCGTCACAACCTGTCATAAGGCTATATGTATTGACGGGAAACAGTCCAGAAAAAGGCTAGGGACCGTAAAAATATTGAATTGCCCTCTTTGCCGGGTACAGCGCCCAGGAGGAGCGGGCTGCTCCGCATGGACACACAGAGCCTAGAGGTTGGGAAGTACGCAGACAACTTTGATTTGTCGTCGACAATCTCCGTCGACGGCCTGCCCTTGAATGTTTATCGACGGCTCCGTGTTGATGTGGGAAAACTGCATGAAGTCAGCACGCCAGATTGTATGGCATACCAAATTTGCGGACCACTGCAGTTGCGGATGATGATACCGGCTTCCTTTCCATCTTCAGGAATTTCATGCGCTCGGGCTCTTGTGATGCGGGTGTCTACGACAGCTTGGCATCATCCATTTCTTGAAATGCCAAGGCGGCAGCCAACATGTCCTTATCCACAGATAATGCTCAAGACCCTAGAGTGACCTGCTAGTGCCCTCACCACATCGTGATGCAGACGACATTTATCCGACCTTACCTCCTGAGCCCAGAAAGCCAGTCACCGCACGAACTCAAATCACGTCTCCTAATGAATGTGTACAATGGCATGTATAGGTGATGTTGTAAGGATCATGTATTGGGGTTAGCGTAAGATACGCAGTTAGAGGGGAAGTCGACGAAAACACTCCACGGTGGAGCCAACTGTCTGCCAAGCCCAACGGTGAACCAAGTGATCCCGGGCTTCTGGAACAGCCAAGCTTGTCCGTTGACGAAACGGATGGCCATGTCCAGCAGGGTGTTCTGTGCTAAATACGTACAGATTGCGCTAAACCATGGTGTATGATGTAAACATGTTTTGTAGGCGACCTGAATGCATCTGCAACTTGTCTGTTAGGTGGTGCACGCAACGCATATTGGAGGGATGCTCCATCATACTGTGTAATGGGTAACAATGTGAATTGGAGAGTTAGTGTAAGACAAACCAGATCAGTCCAAGAGTCCGGATCAAGCAGTGTATTGATTTTGTGCGGTTTCCTACAGAGATGCTGCCGTGTGGCTTCTGCTGCCCCTCGATGGTTGGCTTGTTTGAAAGTCCACAAAAGTGAAAATCGGCACGGGAACTCGGACCTTCGCTAGAGTTGCCCCCACGCTCTCCTCTAGATTTCTAGGTGAATGCAACACTGCAGGATCACGATCGTGGATCTGTAAACCGTCCCGGTTGATAGCCAGAATCTTGGAATGCACATGTTCATCTCATTGCACTTAGCATGTGCAGAAGGTTGCCTGTCTTGGGATCATTCCTCGGTTTTTTGTTCATCTCCTTTCTTACGCACTCGTCAGCCCCGACAGTTTCCATCCCCCTTTCATTCTCAGACGCTCGGTGCCTTTTGAAGTGAACTCCGGTTTGGAGTTTGCATGGGTGAGTTGCGACTTCCTGTTCCGCTTCTGCCCAAGCGTGTAATTGGCAGGTTTTGAGGCTGGCTGTTTGACACCATCTCCTTCCTGAGCCCTCAAACAACTCCACTCCAGCCGAAGAAACAAATTCACTAAACTCGAAGGGTAAGGTGAATCAAAACCAGGTACGTTGAGGGTCTTGTTTTTGTCAACTTTAAAATTTCATAAGTATCTGCCGAGAATCGCACTTCTCCGTCCCGTTGCTCATCCTGCCATCACCGTCTATCGTCCTCTTATCCAACTTGAGCTTCGATTGCTGCCTACAAGACCTTGGTACTCTCCTTCCTCGCCTGGCCTTCAACGCCTTCCCGTGCTGTCCGGCCTGTGGCCCTTCTTCCCAGGTCATTCCTTGAACCATCATCCAGTCCACTGCGTGTGGATGTCCCAAGTGGACCCGCGCTTGGAAGCTAAACGGACTCGAACGGACGGGGCCTGTGACTTTTTTAGCCCTGACACTGCATCACAACACCACCCCGGCCTCGCCTCTTCCAGCGCTTCATGCTGCTCCGCGTCCAAATAAGTCGAACAAAGCGCTCAGAAGACGGCGCACGTCTCCCAACTCCCGAGTTACATCGACTAGCGCGCGCTGGTCTAGTATCGTTGCCATAATAGTGCGGCGCACTGCTACCGTCTGTATTTGCGCCTGGGCGATCCCGTGCAAGTTACGGATAAGGCTTGGCCGTCTCACTCACTTACACTCATCTTTTTTTGCCGCCCATAGCCTTTTTTTTCCCTTCCACTTAATGTTTCTCGTCCCATCCTCCCAGTGCAGCGCAGGCCGTCTGTCATCAACTAATACCATAATTGAGCGTCCAGCATCTCCAGAGCACTAGTGCAGAGTACGGATACGCCTAGGCAAGCTTCCTATCTCTAGGATTATCTTACGCTCCTTACGATCCAATTGTTACCGAGAGACTTCCGAGTACGTGTCAATACGAGTACGGGGCTGTCACGTACGAAGTGATTCAGTAGGGTTGACGACCGACCACCTCAACGTTGAACGGCAATCTTCGATTGGGCTTCCATCCTGCTCCGGAGAGTCGGCGGCCCCCAATCCCTGGTCACAAATTCCCCAGGGCCACTAACAGCACCCGCCTGTCCAGTCGGCCCAGTTCCCCCCACCCCCCGGGCACCCGAGGCTGGGCAGGCTCAGCGCACTACCCACTGCCCATTACCCACTATCCACTCAAGCCCTCGCTGCCATGCGGCGCACTTGGAACCGCTGGCTCAATTCGAGTGCCAGCCCCGAGCCAGCGGAGCCTGCTGGGCCCCGTGGAAATAATAAGCACCTCAACCGCACATCGCCTGTGCCCGTCGCTTCTGCCCGTGATTCGCCTTCTCTCAACCACTCGTCACCCTCGCTGTCTCCAACCCCTCAGCCGGCGACTCCTCAGTCGCCTGTCTCTGGCCACACCGGTGCCGATTCAGCTCCGGCCATTTCCTCCAAGCCGTCAGCAGCGCCCCTGCTCCAGGTTCCCGCTGCTGTGCCTGTTATCCGTGTCCATAAATCTGCTGTGCGCAGTCGCACCCCCACTGGCTTTTCCGTCGATCACAACGACGACGACTTTCTCGGCTTTTTCAACGCCGGTCGCCCGGATTCCGGCTTTGACGACGTAGCAACCCGCTTTCACCTCTCGAGCAGCGCCGACGACGTCGAAATGACGACTGGTCCGAACTTCGACGCGGCCGCCAGCCGCGGTCGGCAGGACTCGTTTGTGAGCGCCGGCGCAAAACCCATCTCCATGGCCAACCCGAACCGGGACCATATGAACCGCAATCGTCGTGAGAGCCTTGCGGGGAGCATGATGGCCGGCATGAGCTGGGGCGGAATTTCTGTTGGCAGTTTTATTAGGGAAGAGTAAGTTCCCTTGTCATCTCTTGTTACCCCCCTCCGGTTTTTTTTCATGATAGTCAAAAAATTTGGTTACACTTAAATTTCATGAGCGTTTTGGCGTCTCAGCCAATTTGGACAACCCTCATGTTTCTATGCTTCCCTTTCACCCCTTCCCCGATGCTGTTCCTCAGCCGCAATCAAAATGCTGACTTGTTCGCCGCAGCATGATGATGACGGGGACTTCTCCTTATATCAACAACACTGGCTCGTCGTTTCAGTCTTCCTCCTACATTCCTCGGCTGGAAGCTAGCTTTATGCGCGACTTTGTTTGCTGCGACCGTACGTGGCCCACACTCCATGACCTGTTGCAGCACTACGAGGAAAATCACCACACCACTCCGGCTGCATCTGCGAGAGATGGTTTCGGTGGCACGCAACCCAACGCCCGAGGCCCTGCTAGCCGCGCCGCGTCCACAGCTCCGTCTGCCGGGAGAATGCAGCAGCCGACGCAGTCAATGCAGGGCTTTCAGCAACGCCCCATGGGCGCCGGCATGGGTGTTGGGGGACTTGGACAGATGATGCGTCAGCAACAGCAAGCTGCGATCGCCGCACAGAAATCGACACCTCTCTCCCACATGAACGATGATATGGACGCCGTCGGCGAAATGGAACTGGACGACACACCAATTGGGCCCATGGATATGGACGATAACCAGCGGACAATTCAGCAAACCCGCCAGCTCTTTGGTCAACAACAGAGGCCCCAACTTCATCTTAATGCGTCGGGTCTCCCTCATCAAGCCCTTCGCACCTCTCAACCGCCGACCCCCGCGGCTGCTGGTTTCGGTTTTCAGAACAACCCGACTGTTTCGTCCGTCAACACACCGACCTTGACCACTCAACAGGGCATGCCGCAGCAAGGCCAGGGTAACGAGGTTGACAATAACGGCATGTCTGACGCCGCCAACAAAATGGGTTTTGGCAACATGAATCTCGGCACGCAATTTGGTCTTAACTTCGGCGCCTTGGGCACCATTGACGACCCTGCCAAGCGACTGTACAGCCCTGGTGGCACAGCCCAAATGACAAGCCAGCAGCGCGCTCTTGAGCAGCAGCTCCAGCTGCAACAGCAGTTGCAGCAGCACCTGCAGGCCATGAACCTTGACCTAAGCCAGTTCCCGCCTGGCACCGACCCGGCCTTGATCTTGCAGCAGATGACAGCCCTGATGATGCCTCCACCGGAGGAGCACAAGCCCTTCAGGTGCCCTGTCATCGGCTGTGAAAAGGCCTACAAAAATCAGAATGGTCTCAAGTATGTCAATGCTATAGTCTGAACAATCCTGCTTTCCAAAAAAAGAGGACCCTGTCGCTCTGCTTCCTTGTAGTCATCACCTTTGCCTGCTAACATGCATCACAGGTACCACAAGACCCATGGTCACTCAACCCAACAGCTGCATGAGAATGGTGATGGTACCTTCTCCATCGTCAACCCAGAGACTAGTACTCCGTATCCCGGCACGTTGGGTATGGAGAAGGAGAAGCCGTTCAAGTGCGAAATTTGCGGCAAGAGGTATAAGAACCTCAATGGTCTCAAATACGTACGTTTCTCGCCTGCACCCTTGTGTTTTCTCGGATGTGTTCTGACTTTGCCCTCTCCAGCACAAGCAACACTCGCCAATGTGTGATCCGGAGCTTCGGGCTCAGCACCAGACTTTGTTGCAGACGATGATGCAAAACCCTGCTACCTTTTTCGCCCTTCAGCAAGGACTGGCAAACCTCCCGAATCTTCCAAACCTGCCAAATTTGCCTAACCTTCCAAACATCAGCGAGGATACGATGCTGTAGTCAACCGACCATCGCCGGTCCATCTGCTGGTGTGCCGAGCCCTCTGTATCCATATTCCTTGTACAGGTTCTGTCTGGTACATTCCAGCAAACACTCTAACTGCAGACGATAACCAAGTCACAACGAAGCCCTTTCGCACGCGTCGGGGTTTGTGGATATGATTCTTCATCACTCAGTGTTTCTCTTGGGTGATGTTGGGGGCTCATTGCATCTCATTCTCTGGCATGCTGGCGGCATTGGCTGGACTGAGTCGCTAGCAGAAAAACATATATCTTTCCAGCACAGATCTAACGGGACAGACGTTCCACTGCGATACCCCTTTTTGTTGGTTTCACCTCAAAACCTGCAGCCCCCGGCACGAAGCGAGAACTCGACGGACCGAGCTGAACAGCAACTGAGATGCTTGGCACTCAATGCTGACTAACCTTGTCTGTTACACTGTGTCTTATCGCTTCTCGAATTCGAGGAGAACAAAGCAGTTCATCAAGCCCTTTAGACTACGAGCTTCGGTGGCCAAGATTCGACTCGCCGGAGTGATCTTTGCTTGGTATTCCGGAATTTGTCTGGGAATTGTACATCCGACAGTTATCACCAGCAATAATTAGGGAGAAGAACATGGCAAACTCGGCTCGGCACTCTTCTCCCGTTCCAATCAGCTGCTAATCGCTAATATGTTCCGAATCCGCAACCTGTTGCAATCGCATTTCGGTTGTCGGTTCATCTCTTTTCAGTTACCAGAGAGGGCGAGAGTGGCTCCAATCTATATCAAAATAGAAGTGGGGCGAATCTTGTACCATTGAGGACATTACGCCTTCCTGGCTCACGACATTTGCTATGTCGATCTAACTGCCTAGCTCTTCGTTTCTTCATTCACCTTGTTTCTAGGTTTTAGTATGAAAGACTTCGGAGTAGCAGGCGGTTGGATTCATTGCTTCAAGACAGATTTTCAACCTCAAAGAATGGGAGTGGGAAAATCAAGATTGAAAAAAAAGTGGGAAAGGATGTATGGGAAAAGTGGGAAAGAGGAAAAAAGAACCTGAGCGCGGGAGATTCAAAAATGGGTCTCAAAGGATGTCGAGGTAATGGAGTGATGGTTACCAAAAAGAAAAAAAAGAGGGTGGGGAGTTGTTGGCTAGTTTTGTTTAGCTTTTCTGTTTTGTCTGTATTGCTTTGGTCTTTCACTGGTTCCAGTCAGTTGCAATCGGCGTAATGGCGGGCAAAAAGGGGAAATAGAAAAAGCACTCTACTCTGGTTTATTGTGTTAAACATGCCCATCCTATTGGCATTAAATAGAAAGTTGTGTTGAGTTCTCTGAACTCATATAGACTGCCCTGTTATTGTGAATCTCAAGTGTGTTCGTCATCTCGGGAAAATAGTCCTTGCAACCATGTTTCCAAGCATCAAGGTCATCGACACATCTTCAGACCCAACACACCGGCGGCTAGATACCTCGCTTTGTATTACTAGACACTGAATCATCGTAGAAATCGACATAAAAGAAGAAGTACATCCTTCAAAGGGGCATCCTCTTGACCCGCTCTGTTCCCGTTGCTCAGTACGCCAAACGCCTCGCATTTGCCCTGCTATCCGTTCACCTAACCATCCATCTGATTCCCCAATCTGCCTACTAACCTTGAAACTCCCACGCTGTCCGTGTAGTACCAGAGATGCGACATGACCTTGAAAGAAATTAATAGTTAATACCAGAAAGACAGATAAAACAAAAGCTCCCCAACACGATCACGCTGAATGAACGTGGATCTCCTGAACCATGAACGCCATCTAGATCCCCATCGGCCTGTCCCGTGCAATTAGAAGAAAGATCTTGGCCATCCTGCCCTACATCTTCCTCATCGGGAACAGAAGAACTGCCAAACTACGACATCTCCATCCCGTCATCATCATCCACCTCACTCTCGAGCATCTGCGTGTGGTTGCTGCTGACGCTCTCCTTACGACGCGCCACCACCAGCGACCCGTCTGCCGCATACCGCCCGATAATGCCGCCCTCCCCGCTGAGCACCACCATCATGTCCAGTTCGTCGCCGCCGACCACGCGGCCCTCGGTGTCCACCTCCTGCGAGAGCTCGACCAGCGCTTGGCGCGGCAGCCGCTGAAAGCCGACGGTGCGTACAACACGGCCCCAGTGTGTCATGCAGAAGTTGGCGGCCCGCCGCCTGAGCCAGTCCTCGTTGGCTAGGCCCGCGCAGTACCAGATGATACAAGCGTGCTCGACGTCGAGCTCGCGGCTGAGGCGGTTCACGCAGAGCAGACGGAGGTGGGGGATGTTGTACATGTTGGACATGACCAGCAGGCCGGCCACGTCGGAGAGGTCTGTTGCGGTGTTCTCGTGGTCGTCGTCGACGGGGTCGATGCGGTCGGTGTAGAGGTAGTAGAGGAAGGCTTTGACCACGGTGTAGGGCTCGGGTATGTGCATCTTCTTGGTGTGATATTCGGCCATTTGGCTTGACCAGAGACGCGCGAAGTGAGGCCAGCGGGCTTGTAGGATGAGGCGGTGGACATGAATCGGGGGAGAGGTCGGGGCGTCAGAGGCCAGCCAGTTTTCGCTCCCGTCTTCCCCAGAGTGCACGAGGGCTGAGCCCATGATCTCGTCTTCGTCGTAGTTCGGAGGGAGAGCTGTCACGATGAAATCCGTACCACTTCCGCTCTCTGGGGGCTTGTTAAACAGCCTGGCAAGATCTGCTCCAAGCCCCTTAGAGGCGACATCCGCGTTACGGCTGCGCAGAGCAGGACGAGCGGGGTCTGTCCGCTGTTCAGAGGACATGGCATTCCCTAAGAAACCGTACCGCCGCAAATCGACTTCCATGATATCGGAGAGAAACTCCTCGAGATTGTTAATCCCGTCGGCAGCGGCTGGCTCTGTGGGACAACCTAGGAGCCAGGCCTTGGTGCCGTCCTCATTCAGTGTGCAATAATGCCAACGGTATCCCGACTTGAAGATCTCGCGTCCTTCAGCAAGCTTCTGCCACCGAAACGTAGTCAAATCAAGCGCTGATAGAGAGCAATCCTTCGAGGATATGGTTGCGGCAGGAGTGACGAAGTCGAGAAGAGTTCCAGATGTATAGACATGGAAGTGGATACCCTGCATCTGGGACGGGACATTTGGGCCATGAACGAACTTGAGAGCGGATATATGCCCTGGGGCAGGAGGGGCGTACGACCTGAGATGGAAGGAAGATGGGTTGACTTGCTGTGACCTCGAATTTGCCGCATATCCAGAAGATCCCACGACAGACCCTGATTGATATGGGGGTCTCGGCGATGCTACTGTACGAACCAGGCCGGTTCGATCAATCGTGCCAGTTGTTGGAGGTGATTGGAAGGCCGGGTTGCCCTTAAGATCAAGCCACCATAGATCGCTGACCTTGTCCATTTCCTCGCTTAGACCACCAAATACCCAAACCCTGTCGTTCCAGATGTAGGCTGAATGATCAAAACGGCCGACGAAGCGCCATGACCTCGACCAGGTAAAGGTCTTCAAGTCCAAGTAGCAAATGTCATCGAGCACATAGTTATCGTGGCCAGTGATGCCGCCCATGATGAACAGCTTGTCATCGTGCAGCACAGCGGCATGGCGAGCGCGGCCCTTTGGGATCGGTCCGGATACCTGTGGCTGGGTCCAGTGTGCCGTCTTGATATCGAAAATGATGAGATCTGAAAGGTACGTTCGGTGTTCGTTCTCGCCGCCGAAGACAAGAAGCTTGTCGCCCTGGTACAAAGTCGCAGTGTGGCCTGAACATACCATGTCAGCGCCGCCAAATATGGGGCTCGAGAAGATTGCTTACCCATACGGACGCCAGGAATGTCACCATAGTTGTCAACCAGCGTCCATTGGTGGCTAACCAGATCAAGGCGCAAGACATGGTTGTAGACCTCATCGGTGTACTGGTCGAAGCCGCCAAAGGCGTAAATCTGGTTGTTGCCGCAGTATGTTACTGAGGCATTGACAAGACAAGCAGGGCGCTGACCCAATGTGCGAGTCACCTTGGGTCGATAACCATCGCTATGCATACGAGTCTTGACCGGCGTATTGGGCATGATGAAGGCACTGTTGGAGGATGGGGCAAGGGTCGAGGAGAATGAGACGTTCGCCGTTTGCGAAGTTGCGCCGGCCGCAGCGGGGGTGGTTTGGCTGTGACCGCCGAAGAGAGATGCAGTCGCAGTTGTAGTGTTCTGGTTATCGGTGGTGGTGTTATTGTTGTTGACGTTACTGTTGTTACTGTTACTGCTGTTGGCGGCTGCTGCAGACGTGGAGGGCTGTAGTGCCATTGCTGGGAATGGCAAGTTGACAAGTGAATGGATGCTTGCGAGATCTGGAAACAAGAGAGATGCTAGCGCAGGGTAGCCGAGGCAAGCAACCAGTGGGGGGCAGTCCCGGGATGCAAGGGCAAAGGCAGATGCAGAGGCAGAGGAGGAGGCAAGGGAGCGCGTTTGAGGAAAAAAAAAAAGTAAATCGAACAGAATTGGCCAATGCAGCTGTTTGTTCGCTGCGTCTGTCGCGATCCCCGGGATCCCAGGATGCCCACGGCCGTGTTTGTGCGTGCCTCAGTACCTGTGCTTGTGTTCTACCGCAGTCAAACTCAAGCTATCAACTCTCAGGCGGTCGAAGAACAACAGTGTCTCGTACCCCCAGGAAATGGGCCCTGTGCCCTTCTCAATCAAGCAGTCTGATGCCAGCGGTCAACTCCAGTTGCAGCCAACGTCAGCGGACACGATGTGGAATTGTGGATCCTCTGGTGCCAAGTTGTCGCTCGTTGCAGCCGGTGGGATGAGAGTGGATCTTCGTCAAGCGGAGGCGACAACTTGAAAAGCCGTGTTGTGCAGTTTTGCTGCGCAAGACCGCAGGCAAAAAACGAAGACCCGGCCTGCTGCCTTGCCCTCTGCTGTCCGCTGAACAGTCTCGTTGCCAGGCCAGTCAAGGCGGGCGGCCGTGGCGGGAGGGCAGAAAATGAGTGATCCACTCTCAGCCTGGTCAGTGGGGTCGGCAAGGATAACAGCAGCCAACCCGTGCGGATTTTGGAAAGAGGATTTCGGCTCAGCCCAGGGGTCTAGCGTTGCCCAGTCAACGGCAATGTAAACATTTAAGCCTCACCTCCCTTCCCATCCATTTCTCATCCTTCTTCTTCCTCTCCCACAACCAATCCAGCATCTTCAAACCGCTTCCACATCCTTGAATATTCTTCCGCATTGCGCTACCTATTACCAACCCTCTCGTAATCCTAAACCATCACCAACAGTTTTGATTAAGCTCATCCATCAGCATCTCCAGCACTGGTTGCTGGCATCACTTATATCGTTTGCATCTTTCCAACTCGAGCCGTTCTTACTTGGTTAGAGTTATTCGATACCGCAGTAGTACACGACCATCATGGCTACAGCAACAGTATCAACACCGCTCAAGCCCCACGCTGGACTGTTCTCCTCGCGCACCGCTGGGGGAAGGATGCCTTTGACACCTTCTCCCAGCCGCCGCACGAAGTCCATCAACCTTAATGACTCCCCCTGCACCCCTGAGAAGCAGGCCGATAGCCCTCGGGTGTCCTCCAAGTCTGTCTATGGCGGTAACCTCACCGCTCATCTCGCCAAGGCTTCGTCCAAGAACCAGCACCGCGACTCTCCTAAGTCAAACATTGCCCGCACTGTCTCGAGCCCGCGCAAAGCTCTTGAGCTCGGTGTCTCTGACTTCACCCTGACCGGTGCTGGTTCTCACACCAAGACTCCTTCCAACACGAAGACGAAGAAGACGGCCACCATCAGGCAAAAGTCGTCCAAGACCACCCTGACCTACCACGCTGATCGTTTTATTCCCAACCGCGGCGCAAGCTCGGCCATTGCCAATCCCGGCTCGGGAAAGCTCGATATCAAGGACAAGAAGCGTTCCAAGAAGAGCCGCAACGAAGCCTCATCTGTCCTTACGTCGGCCACGGATGACGCTCTCGCTGCCCTCGAGGGTTTGAACATCGAGGATGAGGAGCCGGAGTCGTACTCTCGCCCATCCCCCAACACGGTTGCCTACCAAGACTCGCTCGCGAACGCCTGTGGCGTCAACCTGAACACTCGCATCCTTCAGTTCAAGCCTGCTCCTCCGGAGTCGTCCAAGCCGATCGACCTCCGCAAGCAATACAACCGCCCTCTCAAGCCTGCCAACGCTAGCTCCGCTCAGTTCAGGCGTCGCATCGCCACTGCCCCTGAGCGCGTTCTGGACGCTCCTGGTCTGATCGACGACTACTACCTCAACCTGCTTGACTGGAGCTCGTGCAACCAAGTGGCAATCGGCCTCGAGAGGAACGTGTATGTGTGGTCGGCCGATGAGGGCACCGTCAACTGCCTTCTCGAGACGAGCCCCGACACGTATGTCAGCAGCGTCAAGTGGTCCCAGGACGGTGCCTATGTTAGTGTCGGTCTCGGCACTGGCGAGGTGCAGATCTGGGATGTGGCTGAAGGCGTCAAGATTCGCAGCATGTTTGGCCACGACACTCGCGTTGGTGTCATGGGATGGAACAAGCACATTCTGTCCACTGGCTCCCGCAGTGGTCTGGTCTTCAACCACGACGTCCGCATTGCCGAGCACAAGGTTGCCGAGCTGGTCCAGCACACGTCGGAGGTGTGCGGCCTGGAATGGCGGTCAGATGGCGCTCAGCTTGCCACTGGCGGCAACGACAACCTTGTCTGCATCTGGGATGCACGGTCCCTGGCTGTCCCCAAGTTCACCAAGACGAACCACAAAGCTGCCGTCAAGGCCTTGGCCTGGTGCCCGTGGAACATGAGCCTTTTGGCCACTGGCGGTGGCTCGTACGACCGTCATATTCACTTCTGGAACACGACGTCCGGCGCGCGGGTCAACAGCATCGACACTGGCTCCCAGGTGACCAGCCTGCGGTGGAGCACTCACTACCGCGAGATCGTCAGCACTAGCGGTTTCCCTGACAACTCACTGAGCATCTGGAGCTATCCCACGCTCGTCCGCAACGTTGAGATTCCGGCCCACGAGAGCAGGGTTCTCCACAGCTGTCTCAGCCCGGACGGTCAGATGTTGGCCACAGCTGCCGCCGACGAGAGCTTGAAGTTCTGGAAGATTTTCGAGAAGAAGCCTGGCACGCCCAGCATTACCACCACTGGCTCGTCTGCCAAGGCGGAGTTGGCCAAGAGCATGACCATCCGCTGAGTAAACAAAGAGAGAAAGAAATGCATGACAGACAGTCATCAGCGGCCAAGCCGAATGACAGAGTCGAGTCGTCCATCCAACGGTAGGTATAGGTTATATCACGAATTCCCTTTTGCAGCGTCAACTCAGCAAAGTCATGGGATCGGACCGGGCGGTTCCTGTCTTTGTCTTGCATTTGGGATACGGCGTTGAGGAGTTTGGTCTTTGCAATGCATGCAACGAACAACCTGGATACCGGCACTGTCATGAGAATGATACCCTTGGAATAACGGAGCAATTATGAGGCTGAAGGCACGGGAAGAAGCGAGTGCTGGGACATACACACACACATTATTATCTTTGTTTGGGTTTTAGTTGTCGGGTTTACATACTCGCTCCTTTGGGGTAGGACCATCAGACCAGGTCATGGGTTATTGTATGGAGTAACTGGTTATAGTTGTAATACTTGGTTGGGACTTAAGTAAACGGGAAAAATGGCAACTGTTAGGATAGTGTACATACACACTACTACAATACAAATGGCTCACTTGTAAGATCGTTGTATTTTTGTGCGGTTATCTGACGATGACTTCGCCGACAATCCAAGAATCCCAAGGTTGCACGAGGAGGTTCTGGAGGGGACTTAGAAGCAGTGCAACTGCCAGAGATGCATGAAAAAGCGATGTCCTGGAAAATGATCAATCCACGTGAGTTAAAAGAACAAATAAAAAAAAGAATTTTAGTACTCCAATTTGCTATGCATCGGGAAAAAAAGATCAATTGGAATAACGACTTTGCAAAGGGTCATGATCTTTGGCAAATCGTTCAGTCACTTCAAATTGCCTCGGGTGGGTTGGACTAAAAAGCTTCAGCCTGGAACCTGGGCTTGCCGTCAGTGCAGTGCAGTGCAGTGGGCGGCCAGGCTCTCAGGCTGCTTACTAAGCAGGTTGGCCGAACGTCAAAGAACGCCTACCGATTTCCTGCAACTTGCCCAATCCAACTCGCACAGGCAAAACCGCGTCTCCCACCCAGGAATCGCGGCAGCGCATTGCAAAAATCGCCGAGCATACGCGCCCGCATTTACAAGCCAATCAAAGAGGATTTGGCAGTTTACCTTCGCGCGACCCACGAATCCCCAGGAAACACTGCCCATTTCGTTCGTTGCACTAAGCAGCGGCGACACCTGAGAGGGGAGGTCCCGCCCGCATTCCACATTCCACCCAGCCGACGCCGACTGATTTCCCGACAATCCCACCCAGCCAACCACCACATCCAACCCGCTTCATCCGCGAGAGGCTAATCCCATCGCCTAGTTGGTCGCGTAGGCGCAGCGAGCTAGTTATCAGAGGTCTAGGTCGATTTCGCGCTGTTGAAGGCGAGGCGACTTGTTCTCGGGGCGGTGGATTGGTCTCGCGGTGCGGTCTGGTTTGTTTAGGGACACGAGAGGACGCTGGAGAAGCGCAGGTTGACTGCAGCAGCTCTGAAAAGACGAAGAATCCCGATTGTGTTATTTCCTTCCGTCGCTGCCATCGGCGTCGCAAGTTCTAGCAGCAGCAACGGCACAATCCATCCGTCAAGATGTCCAACACACAGGTCGGACCAATCTACGACTCCATCATCCAGGACGTCATCAACGCCGTGCGCGTCGATTTCGAGGAGAACGGTATTGATGAAACGGTGCTGGAGACCCTGAAGAAGGTGAGGAAAGATGCTGTTCCCTTTGATTCTTACCTCGCTTTGATGTCGACTGTACCAAGCCCTCTCTCTTCTGTTTCGCCTCCAACTCCCTGATCTGTTGCTTTTGCCAATGAATCATCCATAGGCGCGGTGCAGCTTATCGATGCGCCCAACATATTCATCAGTGTCGATTCTGCTGTCTTTACCGTTGGTTTTTTTTCTTTTTTCGTTGCTGTTGTTGTTGTTGTTGCTGGTGTGCTCGCTGGCGGCAGGTTGCTGCAATGGTGAAGGCGGGAATGGCGCGACCAGTGTCGGGCTTCTGCTGGGGGGGCGATCCGTGATCACTCTCCTTTGGGCGAGAGGGGTGGAGAGCAGCAAGCGCCGAGTGGGCGTCGCGGCACTTTTGGGTCTCTTTTTATGTCACTGCCTGATCACTGGGGACTGCGCCCAATCAGCCACCCGCTGCATCCGATTGGGCCGTCCAACGCTATCATCACGTGCGGCTCCCCAAACACCTCCAAACACGGGAGGACTTTGTCGTACTCGGTGCCCGTCAGAGTTACTCGAGCGCCGACACTGACACTTTCCCCTTCGAACCACTGCCAGAGCATCGACGAGTTGCAAGAGACTGGCTTGCTGACACTCTTGCGCATCACAGACATGGCAGCACAAGCTGTCGCAGCTGAACGTTGCCCAATTCCCCTGGGATCCCAAGCCAGAGCCGCCGCCGGCTCCGCCCGCTAACAACGGGCCCACCCAAGCGAGCAACGCTCCGGTACCCGCTGCGACTCCCACTTACACCCAGGCGACGCTGAATCCTCAAGCCCCAATCCAGACCCTCACTCTGCCCGGCAGCAGCATCGTACAGAATGCCAATGGCGTCGCCATCAAGCAAGAGCCGGGTATCAAGAGCGAGCCTGGTGTCAAGCAGGAACCCGGCGTCATCCAACACCCGCCCTTCCCTGCCAATGCTGCTCCCCAGATGGCCGCAGTTCGCGCCGCCCAGGCCCTTCAGAACCAATACGGCGAGCGAGCCGCCGCTTCGATCAACGCCATTCACAGTGGGATGGTCAATCAGTTGAACGCTGCCCAGAGACAGCAGCAGATGCAGCAGCATCTCAACGGCCAGCAGCCGCAGCAGTACCGTCCTGGTATGCCTTCCCCGATGCAGCAGCAGCGTATGCAGCAGCATCCCCAACAGCAAGTGCCTCATCCAGGTGGGCCGAACGGGCTGCCTGCTGCTCAGCATGATGGCGCTGCGGACGAGACGAACGAGGAGCATTTGCCATCGATCAACGACCGTGAGGCAATCGACCGGTACTTCCATGCCCAGCTGCTTGCTCGGGCTAAAGAGCGTGAGGCTGGTGGTCTTATGATGCCGCTCAGTAAGAACAGCAAAAATTCTGCTGCTCGCAGTATCAGCAAGCGGCAAGCCGCTGGGAGCGAGTCTAGGGAGGGAGTTGGCAGTGCCCAGGTTGATGGTCCTGATGATGACGAGTCAGACGCCGATGCGATCAACTCTGATCTGGATGATCCCAATGAGGGACTGGGTGAGGACAGTGATGATGATGACTGCACCGGTCATATGATGCTCTGCATGTATGACAAGGTGCAGCGCGTTAAGAATAAGTGGTGAGTATACTTCTGTTACTTTTGTGACATGGTATACTGAAACATGCTATAGGAAGTGCATTCTTAAGGACGGTGTGCTCACTGTCAACGGGAAGGAGTATGTCTTCCACAAGGCTACGGGCGAGTATGAGTGGTAAATGGCTGGTCGACTCATCGCCATGCTCTGTCCTGTCAGAGTGACAGGCTTTCTCCTTACATAATCTTCCCGTTGATACGAGTTTGGGTCACGATAGATCGCTTTCCCTCTTTCCTTTACCGTTTTCCCTTCCTGAGATCTATCCGATCACCAGGAGTTGAGGCATCTGCCCCGTTTTATGATTGCGCTCTCACCAATTCATTTTTTCGCTGGCATGTTGTCCTTCGGGAGCTTACAAACACCCAAAATGGTGCAGTCCTGCCCGAAAGTTCAACACCCACTTAAGTAACCAAACAAGTAATATTGAGAGCGCCTACTCTGATTTCTTTGTCGTTTCCATTTTTGCTTTTACGGTTTACTTTTTTCCCCTTGATTTTCTTTTTTTTTTCACCATCAATCGTCCTTTTCGGACGGACATGGGGCGAAAGAAACACTGGAACCGTCAGTTTATGAGAAACGGAGATTCTGTTGGGTTATTGTATGTATCATAGGAATCAAATCATGACGCGATGCAAAAAGATGATTCGTAATTGCCTGGTCATAAGTTTGATGAAAAGCAGAGAGAGGCTTTATGAATGAAAAGGTGTGTATGATGAGACAAATGGATTTGCTGGTAGTGATCCAAACCAGTTTGGTTGCCAGGAACACCTCCTTTGATGAAGTGTACGTGGCACCTGGTTTGGATTGCCTTCTTGCCTTTTAGGTGCACAAAACTCAAAGAGTTTAATTGTAAAATGGCCATGACACAATCACAAGTTCCCGGGATCGTCATCAGTTTGATGTACTCTTGTAAATCATTTACCTCAAAGGATGTCACTGGGGTTATACCTACAGCAACAAGCAGTGCTTCTCTTCTCAACCTAGACGGTGGAAGAAGCTACCTAGCTTGTCCGCTGCCATACCAAGGGTATATAAGCGCAACCGCAGTAGACTAACTCCCTTCTCTCGCAAGGTCTCATGGCTGGAAAAAACACAACGCAGAAAAAGCAAAGACAATCAAAAACCATGAGAGGCTGTTAGTAGTAGCAAAACCCATAAGTAGACGTTAAGTAAGCAGTTAAGCATCCGACATCAGAAGACAGGCTATGCACAACACATGCGTACTCCATAAAGTCAATCCCTCCTTGTGAAAAAGAGTCTTGACTCCCTGGAAACGATCCATCAACACCAACTCCAGAAACCCCAGATAACGCCGCCAACGCTCTTTCTGCTGCCGATAGGATTCATGAATGATTCTTCCATCTCCACCTCCTTTTCGGTCGTGATTCCTTTCCATGTATTCCCAGACGCTAGAACATCTTCCAGATCAAAGTTGTTCAATCAATCACCCATCAGACAGACAGGCCGTCCAAGTTCAATCCATCCAAAGATATAAGACTCGGACTACAAATCCATCGTCCATCCATCCATCCATCGATCCTGTAAAACCGATGAATCCCGTAATATCTCCCTTCTCCGATTATTAAGGGAGAAGAAAAAAAAGCGAGATGAGAGAGATAAAAAGCGAGAGGCGACTGTGACAGAATTATCATACCCGCCTCTCCTAATCTCCCAACCAAACCGTAGTTCTATCCCCAAACATAATAATGTAACATGAAATGATAAAAACGGTATGCCCAGATAGAAGACAAAGACGCAAGGCTGTTCTGGCATGTAACATATCCATGTAAGGAACAGCAACCCCACATGAACGTCCCCCCCGCAACTGAACTTGCATGCGCATGCTTTTCTCGAGAGAAGAGGGAAAAATATAAGTAGGAATGTAGTTAAGTGCTTCCATGACAACAGGCTTGTCTGCTGGCAAAAATAAAACATCAAACGTGAGGGGTCAAAAGACGAATAAAAGTCGAGAGGGGCAAGGGAAAAGCAAGAACCAACTGCCAAGTTAGAGAAAGCACATCACATGTTGCAAAGGGGATCGATCCGTGTGTCCGACGCCAAACGCAAAAAAGTCAGGTAAACTGCTAAACAGCCATAGTTAAGGCTGCAAGCATGTCCCTCTAGAGGAGAAAAAGCAGACTCATGGGATGGGTCGCCTCTCATCTTCGACTCTCCTTTCAAGAGTAGAACTGAGACTTCTGGAAGCTCTCAACCGTCACGTCGCCAACCTTCGTAGACGGTAGCGGAGGAGGAACCGGCTTGTCAGCATTAGCCGGAGTGAAGGCGCCGGGCATGGCAACGGAGCTCGTCATGGAGTTGGCACGGCTGGACTCGCTGGCGGTGGAGGACGGGGCATCCTTAATAGCGGCGAGGGGCTGGCCAGGACGGCGCATAACCTCAAGGAAGGTGGACGGCAGGTAGCCGATACGGCCGTCGCGGGCACGGCAACGCCACCACTCGGATGGGTTGCCAAGCGGGTCGCTCTTGCTCAGAACGGCGACGAGATCGCCCTTGCGCACCTCGAGGTCGACGCCCTCGACCATGCTGGCCTGGCCTTGGGCGGCGGGCGAGAAGTCGTAAAGAACGCGGCAGAACTCGAGCTTAGACGGGTCGAGAGCGGCCTGAGCAGCCAGAAGCTGGCGGCGACGCTCTTCCTCTTCGGCATTGTGGGCCATCGAGCGCACGATCTTGCTCATAACATAGGGCAAGCCAAACGCAGCAAGCAGGAAGAAGAGAAGAGGCTTGCGGCTGGGCTTGGGAGGAGCGCCGGCCTCGCCGAGCGGGTTCTGGCGACCCTCGAAGCGCGCGAAAGCAGCAGGAGTGAGGGACTTGGCATCGGCGGGAAGAGGGCGGCCGGTGAGCTTCGCAATGAGAGTGCGAATCCAGCGCATGATGGTAAAGATGCCGAGAACAGAGCCAAGGGTGTCGCGAAGGTTGCCAAACTGCTCAGCGACAGAAATCATAGCTGTAATGTGTTAGCATATTGCGTGCCCACAATTTTTTTTAGAATCGGTTTAGCAAGGCAGCACGACTCACCAAAGAAGCTCGAGTGAGTCGCCATGTAGGTGCTCTCCAGCATCTGGGCGAAACCGCCAAAGGCATGGACGATGCCCTCCAACATCTGGAAGGTGGCCTGGGTGCTCATGCTGAAACGCTGGGTAAGGCTGTTCGGATTGTTGGGATCGGCCATTCCGTACGGAGGCATGCCGCCATACATGCCGCCGTAACCACCGTAGCCGCCGTACATGCCGCCGTAAGAGCCGTAGCCGCCGTAGCCAAAGCGGTTGTAGGGAGACGAGTAGGGCGAAGTGTACGAGCTGTATGAGCTGTAGGTGCTGTACGGCGTGCTTCCGTAGGGCCTGCTGTAGGTGGAAGCGTTCTGATTAACGGCAGCGGTCAGAGTGGCTGGGCGAGCAGGAATCGCGGGTGTGGAGGTGGAGTCGGTAGTCGTCGCAGCAGTCGTCGCGACGGTCGAAGTCGATGCAGCGGTCAGGCTGGGAGAGGTCGCGGCAGAAGAAGTCACTACAGCGATTGCATCGTGGTTAGCCAATCTGTTGGATGCTTCTATGAACGAAAATGCCAGTGAAAATCAGTCGGAGATGCGAGGAGAGAGCATACGCGACGAGGCAGAAGTGGCGGTAGTAGCGCCCGCACGCTCCCAGGGCTTCGGAGGAGACGCCATGTTGATTCGCTCAATGATTACGGGATCGCTTGAGAGATTCTTCACGAGATGCTGCGCGGCTGGCAGATCGACGTTTTTTCTGGCGTTTCCGACGGACAACCGAGTCGCGGTAGCGCTGGGCTGTTGAGTTCAGGTGGTTTGCGGAATCGAGGTGGCGACGGGGGAAGCCAGCCGCGCGGTTTGGTAATTGGTTTGAAGGAAGAGGAAAGTGGAATGGATTGGAAGCGGGAAACGGGGAAGAAGAGCGAATTGGAAACTCGGGCCTGGGGAAAACAGCCCAGAGGCGGGTCGAGTTGTGTGGGAAAATACCTGGCGGTCTGAGGCTTCAATAGACGCGTGCTATCATCGAACTCATCGATGTGGGTGCGGCCGTGGCTGTGGTTGTGGTTGTGAGAAGTCCCTGTGTCGAGGGGACTGTGTCTGCGCTGCTGAGCGTGTTTAACTGTGTGCTTTGCTGTGTGTTTTTCGAGCAGGACATGAGAAATCGCAGGCTGGACTCCCCTCCAACAAAAAAGGCCTGGCCGCTGGACTCGGTTGCCGGGGAGGGTGGAGAAATTGTGCAGCGCCAAGCCCCTTCTTCGGGCGTGAGCGCGGCCTGTGAGCTTCGCTGCCTCGGTTCACAGGCTTGCCTTGCCCCCCCCAACTTGCCGAAGGCTGGCAAGCGCGGACGGCGCCAACGGATTGGGCACTTGGCCCGTCTTTTCCTCTCTTCCTTGCCTTTCGCTAAGACTTTTTGCGGGGGTTTGCCGATCTTTGCCCACAGCTGACCCCAACCCTGCCACCTGTCATTGGACTTCCATCTTGACTATATCGAGACAAGGTGGGCGAGTAGCAAGGTGGGCGAGTAGGGCAGGGCAAGCTGCCTCCCCTCCACAAATGCCCAACAATCCTTTGATTCTCGCTGCCCGGGCGCACATGAGAGGTCGGAGCCTGTGAAAAAGCTCAGCTTGGACTCAAAGTTCACCCGTTATGGGGTATTGAGGATTTGATATATTCTGTGAGCTTCTGAGCTTATTCATTCAGCCAACATGCTTCAGGAGATAATAATGCGCTCGGTTTTCAGGACACTAGAGCCCAGCTCTCGTTGCCTTCTGCCAAATATTCACTTGGTAGTTGCCTGGGTAGGAGATACATAGGGACCTGCTGTTGATGTAAGCTACCTAGCTAGACTCGGGGGACTGGCTTCCCCAGTACTTGACCTTGGTAACTGTTTGCTTTAGCTGAAGCAGCTGGGATATTCTAGCATATGCCACAGAGAAGACTTGGAAACACAAATCACCTAAAAAAAAAAAATAAATTGCCTCTCAAAGTTCAGTATATTAGTACTATAAAAACTTGGCAAGGCCTTTCTGGTGACATGTCGTCCGGAGTGAAGCATTTGAACCTCTACATCCATATCCATATCACAATCCAGTCTGATCAGTGTCCAAACTTTTGTCCGACAATTAGGACATTGTCTCACAGTTGTTGGGATCTTTTCTGGTATGCATCCTGCAGCATTACTGGAAGGTAACTCCTATAAGTTCTGGATGCCATGCCATCAGATCAAGTTTTGAAGAAACAGAATGGAGTCAACTTAATTCTCAGAAAAAGGAATGTCAACTTTTCGAGAAAATACTCCACAACCGATGGCATTTCCATGTTTATGTTCATAATACGATCAATCACGCTTTAGTTAGAGTTGTTCTGGAAAAGGGGGGGGGGAAGTGTTTCTGGGCAACATCTCGCAGGAAACAACTCAATAGGCAACAACACAGCAAATGCACACAGGTATTGTCCTATTAATATTATCGTTCTATAATCCATCCCTGGCCTTACTCGGCCAATGATTCATTCCTTTGCCGTCATCATCACAGACTTCATATTCCCCTCCCCAAATGAGACCCCGTCATTACCGACATATAGTATGTACAATAGGTAATATCAGCAGGTGTTTATGTATTCAAAAGCCGAAACGTCAGCGACGTGACGGCTTCATTAGTCTCGAAGGTGAAAAGTGAATTGAGAACCCTCCCAAAACGACACCGTTTACGCCTTCTCACGCCGCTCCCAGTAGATATTAGCCGGCTCCAGCGGCCGAGAGAACAGCGAGGAGTAGTCGGTGCCAACGACGTTATTGCTGCCATCGACATTGCGGAACTTGAACATGCGGACAACGGTGGCTACAATGGTCTGGAGCTGAACGTTGGCGAATTGTTCACCGATGCAGCGATGGCGACCAGCACCGAAGGGCAGGTAGGGCGAGTGGGCACCCTTGCTGACCAAGCCGTAGCCGTAGTCAATCTTCTCTTCCTCCTCGTCGGTCTGATTGCGGACAATAGTCGGGGCAAGAGGATGGTCCTTATCCCAACGACGAGGCTCCCAAAGATCGGGCTCGGGGAAGTACTCAGGATCGGAGGCGGAGACACCAGGAGCAGCGAGGAGCACGTGGTCGTTCGGAATGACCCACTTAGTGCCAGGAACGGGCATGGGCTGCTTGACGGCGCGCATGATCGAGTGGATCGGGGCATGCAGACGAAGGGTCTCCTTGATGATGGCCTGGTTGAGAGGGAGCTTGGCGAGGTCCTCGTAAGTAAGAGGAGGTAGGTCGGGGCCAAGGTTGCGAATCTGCTCCTGGTAGAGCTCCTCCATGATGTCAGGACGCGAGGCCAAACGAAGCATGATCCAGGCACCGGTGGACGAGGAAGAGTGCTGGCCGGCCATCAGAAGGGCGATAAGCATGTGGGCGATCTCGTGGTCCGGAATAGGACGACCATCCTTGTACTTGGAGTTCATAAGGTGCCACATGATATCCTGGGCGCCAGTCTCGCCGCTCTCGCGGCGACGCTTGATGATGTCCATGTAGATCTTAGCAACAGTCTGCTGGGCATGATCGCGGCGCTTGTTCCACGGAAGCGGAGCCCAGTGGAGGATGAAGTTGATCGGAGTGAAACCCATGTCGAGATCGTGGTAGAGGTCTGCCAGAGACTCGTCAAACTGATCGCGGACCTCCTTGCCCTGAAGACAGTGTGAAGCAGTGAAAATGGTGATCTGTGCCAGGTTGCGGGGGATGTTGGTGATGCCAGACTGGCCCTTGAAATCGGGGCACCTCTTGAAATAGTTGGTGACCTCGTCGACGATAATGGGGACATAGGAGCGGAAAGCCTCGGTGGTCAGGGCGACCTTAACGAACTGTACAGAACCGTGTCAGCCATAAGAATCTCGCAGCGACCACTCAGAAGCAGCACTAGATTACTGACCTTCTTCTGCTCCATGAGCTTGGAGTTAGGGCAGTCATATACGACATCCTTGCCGAAGACGGGGGTAGTGAGGACGGTGTAGATGTCCTCAGCGCAAACGTCGCGGAGCTTGCCGTTCAGAATAAAGTCGTTGCCCTGAGTGCCAAGGTAGACGGTCGTCTTCTTGCCGAGCAGAATAAAGGTGAAACAATCACCATACTGTCATCGCAAAGTCAGCAAATGTCGTGAGTTGGTGCTGTCTTGGGGGGTTTCGTGCTCACCTTCTTGCGGCAATCTTTGAAGAAGCGCGGGGGGTCGATACCGTAAGTGATGGTGCTGCCGAGGAAGGGGAACCAGTGGAAAACGACAGGAGGCTCATTAGGGTTCTTGAAGAGCACCTGCTTCATGACATTAAGGAAGACGGTGACGAAGAGGAAGCCGGCCACCGAAACGGCGATCTGCGAACCCAGCGGCAGCTGAGCGAACGCCTGGCGCAGCGGCGCCCCAAGTTCCTGGATCAAACCCATCCTTGGGAGAGGAGGGATGAGCAAAAGGAGGAAAAAGAGAGAAGAATCAAGCTTCCAGGTGCTCTGCCACTGATAGACAAGCAGATCCAGATACCTGGGGCCTGGACGCTGGAAAGGGGAACTCGGGATCTTCTTGTGAAAAGATAAGGTGTCGAGAGACGTTGGCGAGTTTAAATCAAAAAAGCGGTGGTAGCGCATTTCAGTTTTTGGATTGGGCGTCTGGCCAATCGATTGCTTTCCCAATGCTTTCCTCCTCTTCGCCCAGGGGTTTGCAAATCGGGCAGGGGGGTTCCCGGTACCCGGAGAGATGATTCCACCAGCAAAACAACCAATGAGAGGTTTTCCGTATTCGCATTCAGCTGGTGATCATGCCACAGTCAAGATGCCATCGTGTGCCAGCCCGTGGTTACACGGCCACTCCCGGAATCTGCATCCTGGGATTGTTGGGCTCGACGCGTCGACTATGCTAACGCCTTTCTAAGCGACAAACATGCATTTGAAGACATCTTGAGATCTGGAGTCGGTGTAGTTCAAGTACAGAGTGTCGAACAATCAGGAGCTCGCTCCGAATACGAGTGCTCAAATGCTGTCCCGGAAACACACGAGCAACATGTAAGTACCTCCCGTTGTTGGTGAGTTTGCATTTTACACTCGAGAACACTGCTTTGTTGTGCTTGCCACCCAACCGGCCCTTTTTTCTTTTTTTTTTTTTCAAATTCGAGATGGATTGTTACCAGCCGAGAGGGTTGAGGCCAAGACTTGTGCCAAGCCTTGTACCCCTGAACTAAAACCCTAACCCTTAAAGCAATAACATGTGATTGCGACACCATTGCCCTCTCTCACCAGCAGTTGATGTTGGGAACTTGGTCAAAGAAGCATGCTACATGCCGACACTACATATCTGGCTTCTCATTTTTCTACAATGCCCAAAAATTCGGCTTCAATTTTCGCTCATCGGTTCCTATCTTAGATCCGATAAAATACAGCGGGTGGTGCACAAGCTCTGTGTAACCCACGAAAAGGTAGGCGGATGGAGGGCAGTTGCTGCATCCACGTGGTACCTGCTCACCCATACAAAGCAAATAACAGAAACCCGATTGGCAGGGGTTTACAACTAGGACGGATCATAAGCTGTGACACCCATCAACCCCCACATTTTTTTTAAGGTGGAGAGAAGTATACGCTCCATCAACATCAGCGGTTGGCCGACATACAGTGTGGTTTGCGATCAAATATGCTAAATACTTGATCACCTCAGTCCTAGTGGCAAAGGGTTAAGTGAAGTAGAGAAACGGGGGAGCATATCCCCTTTCTGTCCCTATCCCGGAGAGTCAACGCCGCAGAGAAGGCGTATGGACTAGTCACTTCGCAAGTGCCCTCTAAATCTACACCAAAAATGTGTCTTATCATTACTCGATTCGTATGATTGTTTTTGCCATACCTAGGGTGTCATCAATTTATCACTGTTGCCCCAATTTTCCAGACCTAACCACCCGTACGCTCCTCCGTCGATATTGACCCATCTCTCTTCAACAATTGCCCGTTTCCAGCCCATCATAATCGCCAGCAGTCGACATCCAACAGCACTTACGGCACACACAATATCGTCACTCGCCCCAGCGAGCACCGCCAAGTCCATTACGTAGGCTCGCCCTACAATGCTGCGGAGGTGCAGTGCCCTGGGTGTCGAATCGGTGATAATTGTATCGACATCTTTGCTGCTACGTGTGGCATCAACCGGCAAGCGTTTCGCTGGAGCCTGACCGTTCGCGGTGACGGGGATTTGGGCGTAGCCATGGCTATGGCTGTGGCCGTAAGAATGCGCATGCACATGGGCATGCGCGTTGGCAGGCAATCCCAGATTCCAGAAGGTATCGCTAAAAAATCCTCCATGCCAAATTCTACTGGCGGCAAACGGCGACAATGCGTCGTCATTACTGATATCGTCCTGATCGACAAACTTGTAAATGACAGATTTATCTCGTTGAACCACGTCAGCCGTGTGGAGGGTCTCTCTGAGGCCCAACCGAATTCTGTCTTGGGCAGGAATGGCACCGCGAAGTTCTTCACTTGCATAAACTGCTGGGTCATCGGAGGAGAGGATTAGGAAGCCAGTAGCTGGTGTTGTTCCCCTATTCCTTTGCATGATAATCTCTCCGGCTGCGTCGGCGTAAGCGTATAAGGGGATGTAAGAACGCCGGTACTCGAACTCGAGCGGATGGCGGTCGCCACGACGGACGTGAATGCCCACGGCGATTGTAGAAACCAACTTCTTGGCTGAAGTCAACTCATGCAAACGAGAAGCCACGTACTCGCTATCGGCGGAGTTTAGTCTGAAGAGCGCTTCGTAACCTTGTCGTGCGAGGTCGAATTGCTCTTTGCGGGACTGATGGTTGCGTGAATCTGACCATGGCTGACTGTTATTCTTCAATATGCCCCGGAAGAACTCATCTGCTGTCTCAGCAGACACCACGAGATGGCGGGCCTGCCGCGGGCAAGGAAGAATCTCGTGGGCCGGTGGTGCTGCGCAGTCTGGGAGAGGGGGCGGCAAGAAAATGTCGGTGTAGTTGCCATATGCCCACCTGGTGTCATCGATGAAGAATGCTCTGTCCTCCTTTCGTGCTAGCCCATAGGCGATCCACAGCATCAACAGCGTTTTCCCCAGGCCGGCGTCATCTGATTCTAAGACAAACGTAAGACTCTTTTTGCACACTTGCTTCCCTCCAGTCGCTGTTGAGATTGATCCCCTTGGCAAGTAGCCAGCTCTCTGAGCCTCCTGAACATCAATAAAGTTGGGGTCAGCTGAATCTGGCCAAAGTCTTGAAAGAAAAGACCGTAGCCTAAACGACTGAGAACGCAGTTCTCGAGCCCGGGCCGCTACCTGTCTACATCGAACACACATGTCCGCATACTGGCTGGTAGACAGTGGGAACCCCGTTCCAGGGGGTATCGACACAGTCCATTTCGCGCGACCTCGGTGATCAGTTATGGCAATGGGGGTTGGGAAATCCGGCACGTCTTTCTGTGATACCATTTCTACCTCGTCATTAACGGCTTCCCCGCGTGCCGGTAATGTCGGAGGGGTTGGTGCCTTCGGTGCTGCCCGGGCCGGCACGGCAGCTGCGGCCGAGCCTTGGCTCTGGGGCGGCGGTACAGGCTCGCCGAAGAGCCATGTGAGAACCACCAGTGATATATAGAAGACAACAAATATGCTGGAAATGCGGATAGTGTAGCGAATGACTCGGATCGGTCTGATTGAGCCGATAAATCGACGACTTGTGGTTCTTAAAGGGGGAGCGGGTGAGGGAAGACCGGGTGATGGCGGAGGTGAAAAGACTAGATGGATGAGGTTGAAGTGCTGTGGACGGGGAGAGAAAAGTCCTCGGTCGGCGTGGTAAGAGCGCGCGCGACGAAGGTCGAGACGAGACGGAGGGAGAAGAACTCTAGGGCGTGAGGTCCTTCTGTGGTCTAGTGTTGGTGACATTCCGAACTGATAAGGCTTGTGCCAAGTTGAATGTAAACAGTCGGCCTGCTGGCAGCTTCATTTACTGGACTTTCGGTAGGAAGGATTCTGGATCCTCAGATCACCGATGACGAACCCGACTGCGATGTTGGTTTCACGGTCCCGGCCTGATCGACCACAAGCCAACCCCAAAGCTTCGAAACAAAGGAGTCTGTGGTACAATGTTGTCAAGACGCTGACACTATCTATCCATACAGGGCCGTGGACCAATCCATGCGAAATGTGCCCACTTATGCAACGGTAAAGGCTTGGGGGGGAGGGATGTACTCAAGCTGAAGCCAACTGACAATGAAGACTGGAGGTCGAGGCGTCCATTCTTCGACCTGTGGTTTAAAAATCTGGCTTTGTGTGCGTATGAAGGCCTAACTGGCTCGTGATGACTACCGGTATATACGAGATGTAGGCCGAACTTGCTCGGTGTCTTTAGTCTAGCGCAAGCAAGGCCTTGAAGGGCCGAAGGAAATTACCGGGATCGACAAGGACAGATGGAGGATGGAGAGGCCGGGAATGGAGGTGTCAAGCCTGCTGCGCCAAGAATAACGAAGACACCAGGGAGTATGCGAATGATGAAGACGGTCGAAAGACCGCCTTATACTTACATCGATCTGCGGGCGTGTCGATCTTGAGAGTTCTGTGCTCACTCGAGTCAGAAATCGTAGCACATGGTTTCCGATGAGGGTGTCTCATGTGACTCTTTCACTGGCTCTCGATGGGAGATGTGGGCACAAGTGCATTGGATACGCAAGCGAAACCAAACTTTGTTTCCATGACTGAAGTTTTGTCTCCCAACAACGGCCAGAAAACATAGCTGTAAATACGAAATGTAGAGACAAGCAAGTCTGACTATTGCGACAACTGAACAGCTTCCAAGGACTCCGACGCATAGATGATACCAGAGGAAGATGATTTCTCGCATGCACCCTAAGTGTTGTCTGTTCTGATCAAGACGGCACATCGGCGGGCGTTCCGAGGCGGTGGCCTTAGTGGGGATTGTTTGTAAACCAACTTCTAAAAACTTTCAAGCTTTCTGTCTGAGGTGGAAAGCTCCAGAGAATCAGCGGGGCCGCCGTTGATCCCTATTTGCAGCCCTGTCGAATCTGAAACGCGACAAGCCGGGAGTGGCTCCCAAAATACCGGCGACAAGGTGACAAGTTGATTGGCTGAAACTAACGGTGGATCCTCGTCACGGTCCGCGGCCAAGCCCCACGAAAGTCATCACGGGCTTCATCAACGGAATGACCCACTTGATATGACAGCGTCCTTCGAGATCAAGAGACTCAACTACCACGCATTTGCAAGTTCGTCGGCCTTCCCGATTGAAGTCGTATTCTGTAAGTTGTGTTATCATAGAATTTATGACGACTTCCAGCCAGTTCATCCGACCATTTTTTAGCTGCAGAGCATACAGTTGAGTTTCCTGCTCTGAAAAAAGATCGAAGCTCAATAATCAGATGGCCTGCAGCGGTCTTGTTCGAAGCAACGGACAATCTAATGTAAGGAACTGAATCACACTGGTTGGTCTGGAAACCTTGTATCTCTCACTTTCGAGCCTGAAAGAGTGTTCCTTATTGTGGTGAGTCGGAGCATACACATTTCAATTTTTCTGAAGTTGGTCGACACTCAAAGTACACACATTCCACAAGCATGTAAAAAATGCTGACAAACTGGCTATCAGTACGATGTAGATGAAGTAGATGCCTTAAAAATGTTACTGACAAGAGGTCATTATGTCTAGAGTTCTGGGAATACAGCCAACGCTTTGGAGTTAGAAGTGTACCTAGCTTGCTTGCAGCCATTTCTGTGTTCCTCTTGTTCTTCAGCTGTTTCCTTTTATAAAACTAAGTCGTAATCAAAGCCGAGTTTCAATGTCCTAAACGCGTATGCCCAGATTCACTCAAACGCTTCAACGTATTCACTCCTTCTCCAAATAACTCGCTTTCCTATCTCGTGTTGGACAAGCCCATAAGGTTTGGTTCAATAGCATTGCTCCGATCACACTCTAAACTTGAGCCATGGAGTCTTAATTATTTCCTCAAGTGCCCGCGCTAACAACCTCCGAAGCTTAGCAACACTCTAGAACGCCCATGTTCAATAACCGCCTTTTTTTCCCTCAGAGCCCTCCTCTTTGTATGTTAACCTGTGCACCACAAAGCATGCAAGATGCATTCCCCAAACTGATGAGCCTTCCTCTCGGGTATCTGCAGACAAGCTGTCACATAATACTGGCACATGTGGATGGTAGCAGAGGGCTCAGATGCTAAGTCTTCCTCGTCTATTTGCCAAGTTCACAACAAGCCTCACAACTATTATTATATGAGAATGATCACATATCATATGCCGGTGATGTTGGACCCAGCTCCATCTTTTTTCCAAGAAGATGTCGATACCAAAGCATCATGTCAAATGCAAGCCCTCAAGTTCGGGAATCCAACTCTTGACATCAAATACTATCCCCATGTCGTGCCATAATGTTGTGCTGTACAGCTGACGGATTTCCCCCCTGTTTGCATGTATCCTCCCGAACCATTACCACACTACTCCAGGGAAATGGCATATCCAGAGCTTCGTGGATGATCCATGTCCAGCAGTGTGAGTTTCGGCAAAAGCAAACTGATTTCTCAACGCTAATACAATGACAGATGGGTCTATGGTCCCTGTACGAACAAACGGCGATGCTTGTCTTAGCAAGTGTGGAGAGGATGTAATGGCTGCCTGCCGTTGCCGCTGACGTTAGTGCAGGCAACTGCCGTATGATTCTTCGTAAGTGTCCAACAGATACGCCACAGATATCGATCCGAGTGGGCCGAAGAGGTGATCAGCAAACGGAATGAACCATTGCCTTGGGCACTATTTTTGGAGAGATGACGGCAGGTGACTGACGGCAGTCGACATAATTTGTTTGGCTGCAGTTGAGTCCCCTCCCTTTCTTCATCCCCAGACCTTAGGAGTCCTCTCTGACTTGACCGGATGACACCCTTACCCATACAAGCACATGCAAAACTGAACTCACCAACATTGTCACAAAACCCTAATTATCTAAACCTAACAATACCTAGCTTCTTCGCTTGCTTGCTTGCTTGCTACAAGTAAGTTATCATATCTGTTCCCAGAAAGCAACAACCCCAACAACAGCATGTTGAACGCGATGATGGCAGTTCACCGAAAAAACCAACCACCCATCCAATCCGCCCACCCACCCCACCCAGGACCCAGGTCCAAGAGAAAACGAACGACCGAGACGACATCCATCCAAGTCATTCATCAAATCAACCAACCATCCATATCCATGGATCCAATCCATCCACCAGGCCAGCCCCAGCCCCAGCCCTGTTCGTTAAACAGTCTAAATGAGTGTGAGAATGAAGACATTATCAAAAGCATATCATACAATTTGTGCCCCTCAGCTAGAGAGTCACGGCCCCCTCATGAGACCGAAAAGAAAAAAAAAGCCAAGCAAGGGAAAGAAAGCAAACAACAACCGCCAAAAAAGCCACACCCGAGAAAATCAAGCGGGAAACATAAAGTTCTTGTAACGAAAAAAAAAAAACATTCGGGGTATATATAAAAGCACAAAACGGGAAGAAGGTGTTTGACAGAGGTAAGCAGGTAAGAATACTCGTGTGTCGAACCAAGTCCGCACCACAACTCACACACAGACACACATAAACATACACGCAAACCATCCAGCCATCCATTCTTCCCCATCCGTCCCTCATCATGATCAATACCCACTAAAAACTCCACCCGATAATGACGTTGTTGAACCCATCATCCATCCAAGTCCTGACGCAAATACGCAGAATGAACTAATGAATGAATGCAGAAAAAGGCAACCGCTCCTGACCGAACTTTTCTTCTTCCCTCTCCTCGCTTGTCATTTTACCCCTCACTCTCTCACGCCTCCAAAGCAACAGCATTCTGCTGCTGTTCCTGCGGCGGCGTCGCCGATTCCGTCACCACACTCCGACTTCCACTCCCATTCACTCCTGACTCACCACTCATATTAAAACTCGTGCTCAGCAGCGATGCAGCAGAAGCCCTCTGCCTTTGCCTCGCCAACAACTGCAATTGAATAGGCGGCTGCGGCGGAGCCACGGAAGGCGGGGGCGACGCAGGCGGGGCAAACGGGCTAGCCAACGGCACAACAGGTGGATCGCCACTATCACCATTTTCCTTTTCCCCTTCTTTTTGTTCCAGAGTCGGCGCAATCCTGACACTCCCCCTAGCCCCCCGAACAAGCAACCCGCTCTCAACCCGATCCTGAATCATCTCATCGAGCATGCGGCTCATCTCATCCACACTCTTAGTCCGCTTGCGGAGCTGCGAGACCTGCCGAAGCAGCGACTGCGACGACTGGGATGATGAGCGCGGCGGCGCAGCCGGCGGGCTGGCTTGTGGTGCGGGACCGGGGTTGCTGTCTAGGATCAGAGAGTTGCGGACCTCGGAGCGCGATTCGATACGGGACTCGACGGCGGCACGAGACTCGATGCGGGAATCGATCCGTTCGGCGTTATCACGACAGCGGGCGGCGCTGCGCAGGGCGGCAAGCATGCGGTCCTTGTCGTCAAGTCGGGCGCGGAGCTCGGCGATTTCGGCATCCTTCTCCTTGAGCAGTTGTGAGACGGCGTGATCTTCTCCCACCATGATGCCCTTCGAAAGACCGACTGAGGTTCGTGATGAGCTGGCGCGCCGGGCTTGGAGGAGACGCTTTTCGAGGGTTGCGATGTACCGGTTCTTGTCCTCGAGATCGGCCTGCAGTGCGCGGTTGTGTGCCTTGAGCGACTCGATTTCGTTTGCGTATTCGCCCAAACTGTCCTCATCTGACGGCGAGACGGGCGTACCATCGCCGGATGAACGGTTGGCCGACTTGCGCCCGATCGTGGATAAGCTCGAGGTCAGGGACGCTGACCTCTCCAGACCCAGTTTTGGTCCCGTCATGCCCGTCATGTTGGACATGATGGAGCCTTGAGAGAACCTGAAGGACCCGTTGACGCCGATGGACTTGGAGCTCAGGATCAACCGATTAAGATGATCTATCCTCTCTTTCAGGGCCGTCCGAGCCAGCTGCATTTCCAACATCTGCTCCTCATGGCGCATCTCAGCCTCCCGAAGCCGAGCCCGCTCTTCTTCCGCATCGCGCGCTTTCACCTCCTCGATCTCCTTCTTGTCGTTTTGCTTCGTCACAGCCTCCAATTGCTTCTTGAGGTCCTCGATCTCCCTGCGGTACCGTTCCAGCAGAGCCCGGGTGGCCCCGTCTGCACCGGGACCAATCGTTTCTTCGGCTCGTCGAGCATGGCTGACAATGTTGTTCTTTGCGCGCGACGCGAACTTTAGCGTGTTGAGAGTCTCGTTCGTATGCGTTTTCTCTGACGCGACGCTGCCGGTTGCCCCGATCGAGATAGTGCACAGGATGCTGACGAGGGAGTTACCCGACAGTGCTCCCTGCAACAATCTGGTGAGTTTGCTATCTCTGTATGGCAAATGCTTGTCGCCGCTCTTGCCGCCGTCCTTGTTGTACTCGGAGAGCTTGGCAATGACCGTGCCAAGTGTGAGCAAGCTCTTGTTGATGTGGCCGCCCTCCTGACGCCGCTCCTTCGAATCAGCTGCCCTTTCTGAACCAGCCAGGTCGATCAAGCTCAGGGTAGAGACTCGGACACCGCCCGGCAACATACCCGCCCGCTTGTTCTCGGACCCAGTCACGCGCTCTCGGCTTTCGACGACGATCTGAACGACAGCGTGACTGCGCGAACTCCTGGCGTTGAACTGGGTACTGGCAACTCGGCGGGCCTGGTCGCCACGAGCAATGACGCGCAATAGTTGAGTCGGGCTCTGAACGATCTCTTCCTTCAGAGGAGTGGCATATACTCCCCTCTTGCTGTCCTCCCGGAGCTTGATTTCCTCCTGCGGCTGGTTTCCCCCAGATTCCTTGTTCGCGGCCATGCTCAACAGGTCGTGGATCTTTTCGTTGTAGATCTCGAGATAGCTAACGCGAAGCAAAAACTCGCGGGAAGGGGTCTCGCGGATGTATGAGAAGATGTCGGTGATGGCCAATGGGATTACACCGGGTGACGAAGCCGTGCCTTGCATCGAGAACGTCTTTCCGGTGCCGGTCATGCCGTAGGCGAAGACGGTCCCATGATAACCCTCCATTACTCGCCGTACTAGGCGCTTCGCGATATGGTCATAGACTTTAGCGTTGTCATCGTGTGTCGTGAATACGTTATCTGGGAGCGGGTGGTCAGCAATGCGCTTGCAAACGAGTCAGAAGAACCCCAATTTCTTTCCCTACCGTAATAATAGTCTCCTGCCTGCTCCTTTCCCCTGTACGCAATCAGATTTCTCTTCCCATCGATGATCCATTCGTCGTTTTTGGGGTCAAGGCCATTGGCGTCGGGGCGGACCCTGACGCTAACAATGACATTGCCCTTGCAGTCCGACTTGGAGGACCGCTTTTCGCTTATTGACATGCTTAGTTTCGAGGGAGACGGCTCGTTGATGTCTTCGTACTGAGTCGCTGAAGTCGAGTATGAGTCCTGGGCTGACGAACTGCGGCTTTGCGGCGGCGATGGCACGCTAATCAGGCCGTCAGAGTCTCTCGTGGCTGGTGCTCGCGGTATTGAATGATGGTCGCTGGTGCCGTTCACAAGGCTCGAAGTGCTACCGCGCGACTGGAAGGATGGTGTGGTCGGCGTCCTCATTTTCCGGGGAGACGAGCCTGGAGGTAGCGGGCTAGGGGGCATGCTCGCTATCCTGCCATCATTTCGGGGCGGCTGCGGGAACGAGCTGATGCTGACGGTTTTCCGTAACCTGCTTTGTGCTGAAGAGTTTTTTTCGGAGACTGATCTCGGCTGAGGAAGAGGCCCCGTCGGGGCAGGCGTCGACGGAGTTAGCAAAGCTGTTGATGGTACGCGAAGCCCGGATTTGGGGGTTGTTGGTGTGGGCTTGAGGCCGGGCGATGGTAGCCCACTGGTGCTCTTACGCGTCTTGGGAACGGGAAGCGCAGGGAGAGATATTGTAGGTGGTGCGTTAGAAGAGGGCCGCGAAGGCCTCGGAAGAGCTGTCGACATAGTGGCGGTGGGTAAGATGGATCGCCAGGCGGCTGGCTGGCCTTGCAGATAAACAATCGATCGAATCAGCGAGGGTTTCAGGGTCTGCTGTGCTTCTGTGCAGCTTGCTTCTGTGCTGTGGGCTTGTCACTGCGCTACCGCCGATTCACCAGAGCTGTGGCTCAGCACAAATCACCAAACATCGCTAACGCGGCAGCCAAAGTGTATGTGTGTCCGTAATTCGAATATCGTGCAAAGCTCAAAGATCGCCCTCGAATGCGTCAAGAGGCCTCAATCCAGTAATCTGGGAGGAAAAACGAGCAGCAAGCGGGAAAAAAAAATAAAAAAAATCGGCGGGCGGGAGAGACTTGATCGACGCACAGCTTAATTGGCGAAAACCGGGGCTCGAGTTGCGGTACAACAAGCAAGGACTGCAAGCAAGGACTGCAAGGTGCAGCTCACTGCTTGGTGGACTGCCCTTGGATCGCGGGCCAGTAGCAGCAGAGGCCGCTGGTTGGACTCAGCACCTACTTTGGTGGAGACAAAACCCGGCGGGCGCTCGTCGGCGGGGCGACCAGAACCACAGCAACTGGGGACAGTCGAGTACTCGTCGAAAACAAAAACGGCAGTACAATTTCGACCAAGATGGTGCAAAAACAATCCTGGCTGAGGCCCATACAGCGAGGTCCTCGAGGTCTCGGCTGCTGGGTCGTGCAAGCTGTGTTGAAGATCGAGTAACTCGGACACGGCGTAGGAGTGGGCCAGCCGTAGTACAAGCGGACGTTGGAGAGGCTGTACTTCAGTGGCACGCCAGGCGGGGGTTCCAGCACTTGTAATCCGCGGCGCGAGCAAGGGAGGCTCCGTATTTTATTTTAGTTTTTTTTTTTTTTCTCAATTAGGACTGAATTTGCGCAAACCGTTCCTGTCGCGCCCGTTCGCGCCGTGTCGTTGTCGCCGTGGACCTGGGACGAACACACTAGGGCGAATCTAGGGCCACGAGTTCAACAGAGTGGAATGCCAATGGTCCAGAATAGGAGAGATGGAGAAAGGGACCCTGATGGGACGATCCGGAGCGGCGGCGGCCCTCGTTGGAGTCAGGCTTAGGGTCTTGGGAAGATGGCGTGCAAGCCAAGCAACGTGCAGAACGCAGAATGCAGGACGCAAAGATGCAGGACGCAGGACGCGAGTGGGCGCTGCAGCAGTGGGTTCAGGGTTGCTTGAGTGGACTGGCGGACTGTGAAGGCCAACCCTGGCGTCGAGATCTTAAACAAGCGGAATCAAATGGCGACTTCAGTAAGACTCAGGTCCGCCCAAGCCTCCATTAAGTAATCTGTCAGTAAAATCGCAGATTGTATCGCAGAGCGTCGCAGAGGCTGCTGTCTGGTGTAACGAGTGGCCGATCGAGGGCTGCTGCTGTGCTGATGTTTTCCTTCTGCCGGTGAAAGTTTGGAATGAGTGACGCTGTGTCGGACGAGACAAAAGAAAGCCAAGCAGAAAGAATGTGGTCGAGCCGCCGGCCGGGCCTCCGAGTCGAAAGATAAGTGGATGCAGCAAAAGCGAGCCTGAGAAAGAAAAAAAAATTGCTAGTGTCGATGCAGGTTTAGCGAGGGGTCCAGTATAGTGTGCTGGTTAGTAGTGTAAGTGGTAGTCCAGCGATTGGGTCGGCGTCGCGGTTCTCGATTCGATTGTCATGTAAGTGGACAGCGCCCTCGATCTTTGTGGGCAACGGCGACAGACAGACCCGGTCGGGACAGAAAGATGGAATGTGGGAAAATTCCAGAGCACCGCGAGCTAGGGATGGCAAGAGTAAAAGGGAGAATGGGGAATTTCGATGGCCGATGCCAGATGGTAGATGCTACCCAGCCGGGCCACCTGCTCAATTGCTCAGATGGATGGATCGATTGGATGGCACCTCGCAGTTCCCGCGTCTGCAGCTCTCTCGTGGGCCGGATGATGGATGAGATGATGGGGATGGGCTGCAGGACATTAGTGTAAGGTAAAAAAGGGCCTGGATCACAGATCGACACAACTCTCCCTACCACACAACCACACACGTTCTCTCCATGCTCTCTGCATCATGGATGATGGAAGTTATCTACAGGCTGCTACCTGCAGAGTGCGGCAGCGCCAATTCAATGGTACAGCCCGTCTACTAAAGCCATCCAATGCCATTGTCAGTTTCCCGTCGGCTGCTCACGCCAATGGCTAGCAGCGTGCTGGTTATCGGGAAATCGTCCCAGACGGACGTTGTGGGACACAGTGGGACGCAGATGGACGAACCCCAGGCCACAACCCTGGATGTGTATCCCTGTTACCCTCGTTTCCTCGACCCTTTCTTTGGCTCGTGGACCCTGTCCTGGCACGCCCACATTTCCGTCCCCCAGCCAATCAGCGGCAGATTTCCGCTGGAAGAATCAAGTCGAGTGGGCCATCTTGTATCCAGCCCTTCCAGGTTGCTGAGCATCCTTGCGAGCCCGTCCATGTTTTGGCGGCAGCGAGCATCGGCACTCATTCCCTTTTCCTCTTTCATCGCTGCCCTGGTTTTTTGAAGAAAGGGAGGATCTCTCTCTCTCTCTCTCTCTCTCTCTCTGTGTGTGTGTGTGTGTGTGTGTGGTGGTGTGTGTGTGTGTTGATGATATCGGCAACAGGTCTGCAACACCCTAGCTCGCTTGCGTAGACGGAGACGGCTATGATGGAGAGATCAGCCGTTGTCCAGGTTCCAGGCGCTAAACATACATGGCGATAGATACAATACAGCAGCGATGTACTTGTAGGGCAGGCCGGAAAAGTACCGTTGGAAACATCGTCATTTCAATCCGCCGGTAACAGTAACATTGAAGATTTCAACGTCGTCTTTAAAAATAAAATGAAAAAAAAATTTCCATCTTATGCTATATGCGGAGGTTCCCAAAAGCTGCACGGTTCCCCGTCTGCGACTGCGACGCTGCCAGACCATATGCACACGCATCTTGCGCTGTCCCCTCTTACCCTCTTAAGCAGGAGCGTCAAGGACACACAATGACAGGAAGTCAGGAACAGTCAGGAACATAGCCAGCCCTGCTGCGAACATTTCAACGCCAACCATTGCTGGCAAGGTGAAAGCACGGGGGCGGCGCGCAGGCTTCCCTCGTGGGCGCCCATCAACTCCCGTCACACCACATCGCCCATCCCGCGCGTCGCATTGGCTGCATTGGTCGCGATGCCAGGGGTGCAATTTTAGCTTTTTGGCCCTTGATCTGCAGGGTTCTCTTTTGGCGTTGCTTGGCTCTTCGGGGCTCTGGGTCTCTCGCATCCCGTGGAGAGTTCTCCGGTGCTGTCGGTCAGTTTACACTGCCTGCCTACACAGGTCAGCTCTTGGCTTTTCTTTCATGCTTTCATCTTATCGGGATTCGGCACCGTCAGTCTGTCGCGCTGGCCTGGATCGATCGCATCGCGCTTTGCTGAAAACAAATCCGGATCGACATCAGCTCCCTCCCCCTTTTTCCCCTTCATATCTCTCTTCACCTCGGTGTCATTTTTGCTCTCAATCAACTGCCCAGCTGGCAACCAACGTGGTGGAGAGAGCGTCCCCTCCTCCACGTTCGGTACCGAGCCTTCGCAACCTCTCATCCGGAAGGAACATGGAAAAGATGGAAACGTGACCCGAGGAAAAACGCGGGTGTCATTTCTTCTTGTGTGTGTGTGTTCGTTTCTTCGCTACCCCAGGACCCCGGAGCCGGGGGCTTGTCTCCGTTGCTGTGGCATGCAGCCACACTTCCCTAAGGCTATTGTTGAATGGTGGGAACCACAAGAGAACACCAGCCAAGCAGCCTGTGTGAGTGCATGCTAGCAGAGCCATGAACCGTACGGCTATCAAACTGGCACACAGGCATACACAAGCGCACGGTCGTCAGCTCTCAACGTTAATCCTGGGGCTGCAGAATCTCTTCATGTGATGGCTTGTTGATGGGCTTACTGCAGAGCAACCTTGGTATTTACTGTGCATACGTCCGGGATGACATACATACAGCTTGCCGGCGTCCACCTCAATGCAACCCAAGAACGCCTGGAAAATGAGCTTCCATGTTGTGGTGGATCGATCCATCAAAACCTCATTTTCAATAACCGGGCAACGGTCGAGGGAAATCACTGTGATTTTACTTATGTTGTTGTTGTTCGACACAAACTAAGTACAATCAGCTTCCGCGAAATAGGTAACTCTCCAGCTCCGAGTCCCCAACATCATGCAGGCCCAAAGCCGGAACCGGCTCTCAAAATCGCCCTTTATTAAAACGCTCGTCCCCTGCGGCATGAGGGAAGGAAACTTTTGTAACCGGGCGAACCGCAAGCCGATCTCTCACGGCTGGCCATACACATCGCAATAAAGCCGCGGATCTCGTGAAACGATTCCTGGGGGGCCGGCTCAATCGTAAGCCCCGGGGTGTGTGTCATTGTAATTCTGTAAATACACGTCGAAATCTCCTGCCTGGGGTTGACGTTGCCGGGTACGAGCTGCGTAGAGGAGGGCGGGAAGTAATGTCTCGGGACTAAACGAGGTTTTATAGTCTTGACGGGTTAGAAGAGGGTCTTAAACAAGCTTTCTCGCGAGAGTTCGATATGTCAATTTGTCAGGTACAACTCCCGTCAAGACGCGGGATTGAGAAACCGAACTTCATACCCAACCTCGCGGTTTGTCCCTGTACTACCCAACAAGACACACCAGCCCCTGAACCGATCAAGCATCTGCCAGCTGCACGCACGTATGAATGAGTCTGCCTGCTAAAAACAAGTGTCTTGAACTGATTCTGAATTGTTATCCAGCCAAATCCAAAAGATCTGTGCGGTTACATAGCCCAAGACACTGCTTTACACTCCCCTGATAACCCCTCTGACATCATTCAGTCTGTTCCATCATTTTACCATCAAGAAAAAAAAAAGTTGGCATGCCTTGCTCAACACCGTGATCTACCAAGCTATCAGCATAAACCCTGGGAACTCCCAACATCTTTGGATCGTGATCCCCGGATCCTCTCTCTACTCACATCTAGACGATTTTTGTTCCAAACATGTTCCACAAACCTTGACTGTCCTCAAACCCTGGTTCCCAATAGCCCGAGAAATATTGCTTAAGCAAAGTATCCTCGGTATAGGATAGAAAAATATCTTGCTGCGATACTGGACACAGTAGCTCCATGTAGGCTTGCACGTCATTTACCGAAGGCATCTTGAACCTCAAAAGGCAAAACCGGCATAGAAAGCCATTGAGTCTCGTACATGCTGATAACATCAATTTCCATATTTTGAGTCCTGAGTATTTTCAACTTCGCTGTCATTTTGTTCTTGGCACGTAGTACCCAACACTTAAACATGCCCATCTATCCTGTGTTTCAAGCCTATATATACCAAGTAAAACATGTGAATGCCCACACCAATATTTTTTCCCCCATACCAAACGCCAAAGTCATACATAAACTTCCCCAAAAATTGTCCTGTAGGGGGGTCCGTGAAACCAAAAAAAAAACAATTTCCTTTAACTCTTATCCATCCCCCATACACAAACTAGCCAATCTTCCCATCTCGTTTCACCCAGCCATAGTCAACGTATACGACGTAATAACACTCATCCTTTCACTCGTCAGTTTCAACCCAATCCTCAACAACTCCTGCGCCACATCCGGCTCTTCTCTCTGCATACGTTCCCACGCTTCCCGATCCATCTTCCACACCACACATCCCCCATCCCCAACAACCCCCCCAGCAGTCCTATGATGATGCCTTCTACTTGCGCCACTACAGTCCTCGACCACACACGTCGCGGTTCTCTCAGTCTCCGAGAAAAAAGGCAGTTCTCCGCACGTGGTTCCTGCCACAATACTCTCAAACAACATCCCCTGCGGCAGATCATACTCTGCCCTGAGAATCCCGGCTTCAACGAGATAAAACCCGTCTGCGGGCTCCCCCCGACGGAAGAGCACCGTTCCCGGGCTGTGCTCGTACCGCTTGAAGTAAGGAACGGCGCGGAACCAGAAGTCCTCGTTCTTGTCGCTCACGTCGCGGAAGATCTGGAGCATGAGGCGGAGGGGCTCGGAGAAGGACTGCCACTTAGACAGGGAGGAGCGGGAGTATTGGTGTTGGATAGCTTCGAGGCTGTGGTGAAGGGATGCGCGCGCTGCTTCGCGGAGGAGGACGCGGCGGGGGGAAGTGCCAAGCATGGTGTTATTATTGTTGGTGTCGGAGGAGTGTTGTGTGTCGGGGACGTCGAGATGGTTGGCGCCACTTATGACGGTTGAAGTGGAGCGGGTGCTAGCCGTGTCGTCGTCAAGATTGGCGTAGAGGGTCTTGAGGAGTTCGTTCTCGCAGTATTCTAGGGCTGAGTTGAGGTCGGGAAGCAGTTTGACTTCAATGCCATCTTCGCCGAGCCCGACAGCGCGTAGGTTGCGCCCCAAGCCACGCTCTGCATCCACGCCGCTGATGACTAGCTCGATATCTTTGCTATTGCACAAGCGACTGATGGTATTGAATACTTCGGCGGCGGAGTAGTCCAGGCCAGTAACCAGCCAGAGGTCGAGAATGAGGAACTTGATGGGATGTCTATTGAATGCTTCCTCGGTGATGAGGGCCCTGATCTTATCCTCGACACCAACAATGGTACCGAAGAACAAGTAACCGGATAGCTTGAGGATATTGATCTGTCGGCCGACCTGCCGGAGGTAATGCTGCTGGGTTGGGTTCCTTCTCACCGTCGAACCCACCACGTCACCAGAGTAGCTGGCCCGGACGGCAGAGATCCTCGAGGTCTGGAAGATCAGCGACACAAAAGCGAGCAGAATGCCCACACCGATGCCGACGACGAAGTCGTATGTCCCCATGACAAGGACGATGACAATCACCGTCAAGTACTCAGCCGTCTTCAGCTTCTTCCTCGGCTGCCAAACGGCCTCGAGCAGCAATTCGAATCCCAGGTCGAATATCAAGACGCCGACCATCATTACCGGAATGTACCCTATCATGCCGGGCCCCATGATCATGACCAGGAAGGTGAACAGCGCCAGCTCGAACCCAGCAAGACGGGTGTCTCCGCCGGAGCGCATGAAGAACAAGCTGTTTGAGTAAACCAGATAGTTCTGGATGCTACCGGCCATGCCAGAGAATAAGTTGGAGTAGCCGTGCAGCTTGAGCTCATGGTTGAGATCGGCGTGGTCCTCTCCCGTGTTGAGAGCCAGGGCAGGAACGTTGATGGGAACGTGCAAGATGCCGAAGAAGGTCAGTGCGAACATGGCCGGGATGCAATGGACGATGGCGCCCCAATGGATCTTGTGGAACTCTGTAGCACAGTCAGTCGCCTGTAAGTCCTCGTCCAGATGAGAAGAAACCTACTGTAAAGAGTGTAGAAATGCCACCATGGCTCTCCCGCCGGTGGCCCCTGAAACACCCAACCACCGTCGCGCAGCGTTTCCGGATCCAGCACATCCATCGCAGCAGCAACTGCATAGAATGCTGCCGGGATGGCAAGAATATACAACGGCAGGAAATACTTGGATGTGATCTTGGACTGGCCATAAAACAATATCACGGCCAGAACAAGAGGGATAATCCAGAGCGGTACCGTGTTGGCTTGCAGCAGCCGCTTGAGCGTCTCCAGATTGTACTCGAGATTTCCATCAAGTCGGGCAGTCACCTCAAAGCCCGTGGCGATCAGGAAGTAGCCAACGCCACCGATGCAGCCGATCAGGATGTGCCGGGGGATGAAGCCGACGAGGTAGCCGACCTTGAACTTGCCCATGAGAAAGAAAACAGCGCCGGTGAGCATGCAACTCAGAGCGTAGGACGATATGGTGGTTGCGATGACTGCTTCAGGATCGTCTTCCCCGACGATGTCGGTAATTGTTGCAGCCATGTTGTGGAAGAAAGGAACGACTTCGATCTGTCTGGGGTTAGCCACATTGTCTGATGAAAACAGTCTGCTGATTCCTAGGCTTACCAGCTCAGAGCCGACGCCGCCCTTGAATATGCTTCCAAACGAGAAGGTTAACTGAGAGATGATACAGCTGACGTAGAACATAGAGATGCCGACAGAACCCAAGTTCGCAAAAATCGGCCTGCCCAAGGGAAACAAGATCATACCTAACCACACACGTTAGCCCAGCTCACATCAACAAACCAGGAAAAGTAGGTATTTACCATATGACAATGCATCCAAAATATTAAGCAGCAGCCCGACGACAACCGCAGGTAAACACGCCATCGGCGCAACCACAATGCTCTCCCACATCGCATACCGGTTCCAACGCTTCGGATTAACAACAACCGGCACAACCTCCTTGACCCGATCTTTGGTCTCTACAAGCGAGTCCCAAGTCCTCCCAAACCAGCCCCTCCGCCTGGCATGCTTCTGGCCCTCCAGATCGATGAGACCAGCCCCATTATGTCCATTCGCCAAACCATTACCACTTCCGTAGCTGCTGCTCCCTCTACTCTCTCTCGACCGGAACGCCAGCAGTGGGGACGTCTCGCCCGCGGCCTCTTCCTCTGCTTCCCTAGCGTCACGGTCGCCGAAAAGCGGACGATGCTCGACGGTAGAGACACGAGTCAATGTCTCCTGGCTGCCCGTCTCGCTGGGTACATCGTCGTCATCTGTTGGTGGTAAATTCTCCTCAAACACCTGATCGTCTCTAGGAGGAGGTGCCGGGAAGTAGCTCCTGACATCTGGACGTGGCGGAGGCGACTTTTTGAACATGGTGGTGAGCATGGAGGGGTTGGAGGAAGTTGCTGCACCGGCAGTAGAAGCACGACGCCCTTCTGCCACGAAGCTGCCCCAAGGAGACGGCGGCTCTGAAGACTCAGCGATGGGGGATGACGCGCCTGCTGCGACAGGTCCATGCATATCACCCAGGTTAGGCGTGGAAGATATCGTCCTTTGACGAGTAGGCTGTGACGAGACAGACCGTTGACGCCGGAGGAATGGGGATCCTCTGCTGTCCTTGTCAGAGAGGATGTAATGGGCAAGTTCAGCGGTGTCCTCGCGGACACAGCGCGCCGATTCTGCGCTGTCAATTGGGGCTAATAAACGAGTTAGAGACAAATGAAGCTTTCATTGGGGAAGGGATGACACTCACGAAGGTTACCCCTGATGGAACCGTGGATAAAAGACCTAATGGGTTCGCGATGGCTCACAGAACCGACAGATGAGGAGAGGATCCTCCCATCATTACTGAGATGTTGTGAGGGGCTCGGGGCTGTAACAAATGTGTCCCTTCCTTCGTGAGAGCCATGGGAGGAAGCGGATGAGCGCCGCCTCCTCGACCAGGCCGAGTAGGCATGTGCGGGTGAAGACATACGTGAAACGGGGTCGTAGATGGCGCAAGGAGGTTACGGCACACGGTACAAAGATACTTTCAGATATGAGCCCACTGCAGGTGAGGATATAACGGGCTAAGAAGTCGAGGGTGAATCCGAGCGGGCCAGCTCAGTCGAACTGCATTGTCCTGTCAATTTGGAATCACAAGCTGATAGCACCAGATGACGGGGATGATGACGAGGGGAAGAGCGGGATGTCGATATGCGTCTGCGACCTGCCGTGTAAGGTACACAACAGACACTTGTAGATGGAGAAGATAATAGCTTGGATGGAGATGTCGTCCCGAATAATCCGTAAGCTTATAGACGCTGATGGTACAGATGAATAGAAGTTCTGATCGGCAGCTAGCCAAAGAAACGAGATGGATGATGATGATGGGATGGAATAAGAATGGACCTGATAAATTTGATATCCAAATAAGCAATCAATTGGAGTTCCTCAAGCACAGACTCGCTGAATGCAATGAGATGAACAACAGGCAACGTTTTCTAGAAGCTCAGAGAGCCCGAAACGTGTGTAAAAGACCTTGGAAGTCGCAGGCAAGGCGGGACGACTTGTGGAAACAAAGTGTGAAAGCCTGAAAGCTTAATTTTTTTTTCTTTTTTTTTTTGCGATAGATCGTGGTAAGTGGACCCGCCCAGCTTTAACTAGGCCTGCGTCCGAGTCCAGGCACAATTAATCGATCCAAGGCTAGATTCTCCAAACGGCACTGTTCTTCAGTGTCGTCTCATCACCTCAGTTCAAAAGAATTTAGTGGTGTTGCCTGCCTGGACTCATTCATCATCGCCCCGACACCGGAAACAGTCGACCGACTTACAGGAGACGAGATGCAGCTGGGGCGTTGCGTGGGATGCGGCACGCAGCAATCCATTTAATGGTGGGGCCAAGGTTACTTGCTCGGCCATGATGCAACCCACAGTGTGAATTGAGTTTGATAGGCGCAATTGATTCACGCTGATTGGAATACTGCCCCTCTATCGGAGTCCATTCCTCATACTGTCAGCCTCAGCCCAGTCATCGTCCCAGTGAACTGCCAGTGCGGTTGTCCTGCCACGTGCACAGTGCTGTGTCACTGTCGGAGATCGCCTCTGCTGCTTGACAGTAAAATTTACTGGCCATGTGAGCTGTGTCTTGTCGAAGCTCATCGAAGTCAGCATGCCTGCCAGCTCTCGCTTGTAGCTGTGAGTTTCTGTTCCTGAAGTATTGCAACCCTCTTCTCGGGCCGGTTTTCATTGTTCACCCCCGCCCCCCCCAGGTCCGTTTTGAGCCCTGGCCAAAGAGGAATGGTGATGCACATTGGCCTTGTTCTGTAGTACCAACGGCAGTGCATCTTTTGCCGTCATAGTGGCGCGAGCTTCCATCAGAGCTGTTGGCTCTTCATGGCCCGGATTGCACCACCCGGCAGCCCAGGATTCAGTCTAGATGGTGTCACCGAAGTCCCCAGTTTTTCTACACGGAGCTCATGCCGGATTGTAAGCCACATCCCCGCACCTCGACCCCAAGGGATTGCATCTCTCCAACCGCCGTCCATCAGTTTAGCATATCGATCACATTACATTGAGCGGCTTAAACAGGGCGGAGGTGGCAAATTGTCAAGCAGTCCTGCACCACACAGTGCTTCATCCAAGCTTCTGAAGGTAGCCTTGCTGGATCAGTCGCTCAACATCTCCCTGTCGGACGTAGAATTGGCTGTTCTTGGTCAGGTTGATCGCCCTGTAGACAAATTCAAATTAATGTTTGCACTCGTGCAAACAGGAGCTGCCCTCCCGCCTCAGAAGCTTAGCATGGCAGTTCGCGGGGGTCCCAACTTACCCATACTCGGTTTGGATCTCACCGGCATCCTTGAGCACCCGCACGTCAATGAACAAGTCCCTCGGCGGCTCAAGGCTCCCGGTCAGGTCAATGTCCGTCCACTGGCCCTTGTATGCAGCCAGCAAGTCACTATACTGCCGAACATAATCCTCCTCCTGCGGACTGAGGTTGCTGCCGCTGCTAGACCCTCCATCGGCAGCTCCTCCCGGTCCGTTTCCCCGTCCTCCTCCCGCCTGCGGGCCGGCGAGGTCCGCCACATCTACCCCATTCCAGACCATCTCCTCCAACTTGTCGGTCCGCGTGCGGTGATAGGCAAGCAGACAGCGCTTGTTCCTCCGCATCGACAGGTGGTTGACCAGCAGCGTGCAGGCTGTTGCATGGTCCTGGGTTGGATCAAAGGATCCTTGGAAGGGCTCGAGAAGGCTCTCCACGTCCCGGTTAAGATCCCGTACCTCTCGCGTCACGGCACGAACAAGCTCAGTCTGATAGGGTGGCAGATGTGCCAGACCCTGTGTCCGTTTCGCATGAATGACCTGCACGTAGCGTGTGAGTGAACGTAATCCGACCAAAACTCATGAGGAGGGGCAGCTACAGACCAGCTTATTACCAAGATCTCCGTACATCGGCATTTTAGATTTTTATGTCGTGATTTGTTTTCGTAAGGTTTGAAGGTCAGGAATAACTTTGATGCAGATTCAAGTTCACACAAGACACAGATTTCAGGTTACAAGGTGAGCTGCAGCGCGTCGAGACGTGCCCGGGCTCAGTGTTGGATGGAGGGGAGAGGGCTGCGGAGAAGCCGATTGGTCTGTTGGGCAACACAATGCCCCACCACCGCCGAAGGGCATCTGGAAACACCCTTGCAATCGCGAAAATCACCATGTTAATAGTAAAGTTGGATTTGACGTGCCATTCTATGGATGAACCGGCATAAGGATGAAATGTCCTCAAATATGGATGTCAAATATCCACCGAGTACTTGCTTCCGTTTCCACAAACAGGTAATTGAGAGTCTTTCCAGATGTTCACCCAAGAGGAACATCAAGACTATCATAGAACGTACGAAATTGACTTCACTTCTGACGTCTTCTAAGTACATAGGTAGGAACCCGACAAATATCTACTTATCACCATCGACATGTCTAAAGGCTCGAGACCCCGTAGGCTAGTTTCACCTACCTTGAAGGTGGAAGGATGTCTCGCTTTCTCGATTCAGATCACCTGCTCCCAGCTATTATAAGCTATACTGGACGACACATTAAAGCTCGATGCTGCTTCAGAGCTTCATGATAGAATCACAAGAAATCGACGTTCTCTCTAGGCGATGCTCTTCACCTCATGATTGCAACCGTTACCTGGAGCACTGGAAGCAGTCAGCAAAAAGCCCTGCCAGCTATTCCTAAAACACTCTAGACAACTCAAGTGCAATCAGAGATGCGTTGAACGCTGGTTCGTCGTCATTTGCAGGTCTTGAGGCTGCTCGGAAACACGGACCATTGGGAATCATCAGGAAGGGAATAAGAGGGATAGCATGCGAGATGCTAACATACCTGATAAAAGCAATTTAAAAAACTAAGAGACCAACCAGTCTTTCTGTTCCCCCAGTACTCAAGGGAGTGTGCTGTGGCCACCAACTGCAGCACAGTGAAGCTGCAGACCAGCTGAGAAAGAGACAGGAGAAAACAAAAACTTTTTCAGGGAATGAGCTTAAAAGTTAATAAATCGTGCACGGACCAGAAAAGATCAGAGTGGGTACCAAATCCGATAAGATAAGAACCCTCAAGAGTTGCCAGGTCTGGAATCTGCGAGAGCTTTCGTCACATCCGGACCCTGCGATCTCAAGATGGGTAAGATCAAGATTGCCACAATTTAAAGATAACATAACGCAACATCTGAACTTCCTATCACAGCAAACAAGTGTCGTATTTTTCTATACATAAACAAACAAACCTCAAAAAAATACCCCAGGATGCAGGCAAGAGTACGCCTTGCATCAGCTACATCGCGGCGGGTGGCCGCAGCTTCGAGAGGCGCTCTGCGACAGCGCAGCCAGTTCTCCCAGACCCTCGGCGCAACAACACAGTTAACGACGGCCTTTGGCAATTCGTTACATGTTCTTCCCACCGCTGCATTTCGTGCATATTCAAATGGCCGACCACAACCCCCTGGCGGCACGTATCGGATGAATCTCGGCGGCGAGCCCGAGAAGCCGGCGCTGGAGCAGTTCGGCATCGACTTGACTGCGAAGGCGAGGGCAGGCAAGCTGGATCCCGTCATCGGCCGGTCTGCCGAGATCCAGCGCACCATTCAGATTTTATCGCGGAGGACGAAGAATAATCCGGTGCTCATCGGAAGCGCCGGTGTCGGCAAGACAGCTGTGATCGAAGGTCTAGCCTTGGAGATTGTGCGCGGGGCTGTCCCCGAGAGTATCAAGAACAAGAGGGTGATCAGCCTGGATCTTGGGTCGCTAATCGCTGGCGCAAAGTTCCGCGGTGACTTTGAGGAGCGTCTGAAGAAAGTGTTGAGCGAGGTCCAGGCCGCCAATGGCGAGGTCATCCTCTTCATCGACGAGTTGCACACCCTTCTTGGCCTGGGCAAGGCCGAGGGATCTATCGATGCTTCCAACCTCCTGAAACCTGCGTTGGCGCGAGGCGAGCTGCAATGCTGTGGTGCCACTACGCTCGCCGAGTACCGCCAGATCGAAAAGGACGTCGCCCTTGCTCGGAGGTTCCAGCCCATCATTGTCAGTGAGCCGTCGGTGCAGGACACGATCAGCATTCTTCGTGGCATCAAGGACAAGTACGAAGTTCATCATGGTGTGCGCATCACCGACGGAGCTCTGGTTGCCGCTGCAACATTGTCGAACCGCTACATTACCGACCGTTTCCTCCCCGACAAGGCTATCGACCTGATGGATGAGGCCGCTAGCTCTCTCCGGTTGCAGCAGGAGAGCAAGCCCGAAGAGATCCTTCGTCTCGACCAGAAGATCATGACCATCCAGATCGAGCTGGAAAGCTTGCGCAAGGAGAAGGATATTGCGAGCAGGGAGAGGCGGGAGAAGCTCGAGAAAGATCTGAAGCAATACCAGGACGAGGTTAAGGTGCTGATGGAGAAGTGGGAGAAGGAGAAGGCTGAGATCGACGCGATCAAGCAGACGCAAGCCGAGCTTGACAAGGCGCGCATAGAGCTGGAGAAGGCTCAGAGAGAAGGCAACTTCGCTCGGGCTTCTGAGCTGCGCTTCGGCGTCATTCCCAGCCTAGAGAAGAAGCTCCCCAAGGATGATGTGGTCGAGAAAGAGGACAGTCTCATTCACGACGCCGTGACTGCCGACGACATCGCTAACGTCGTCTCCCGGACCACCGGCATCCCTGTCAACAAGCTTACCAGCGGCCACACCGAGCGGCTCATCCATATGGAGGACATCCTGCGCGAATCGATCCGCGGCCAGGACGAAGCCCTCAAGGCAGTCGCCGATGCAGTGCGCATGCAGCGCGCCGGTCTCAGCGGTGACAACCGTCCGACCGCCTCCTTCTTTTTCCTGGGACCCACCGGCGTCGGCAAGACCGAGCTCTGCAAAAAGCTCGCCGGCTTCCTCTTCTCAACCGAATCTGCCGTCGTACGCTTCGATATGAGCGAGTTCCAAGAGAAGCACACCATCTCTCGTCTTATCGGCGCACCCTCCGGCTACGTAGGCTATGAAGATGCCGGTCAGCTCACCGAAGCCGTGCGCCGCAAGCCCTACGCGGTCCTGCTCTTCGACGAGTTCGAGAAAGCCCACCGCGACATTTCCGCCCTCCTCCTGCAGGTCCTTGATGAAGGCTACCTCACCGACGCCCAAGGCCACAAGGTCGACTTCAAGAACACCATTATTGTTTTAACCTCCAACCTCGGCGCCGATATCCTCGTCGGCGCGGACCCCCTGCACCCCTATAAGGAAACCCCCGACGGCGACATCCACCCAGATGTGAAGAAGGCCGTCATGGACGTCGTGGCCGCTCAATACCCTCCCGAATTCCTCAACCGCATCGACTCCTTCATCGTCTTCAAACGACTATCTCTGCAAGCGCTACGCGACATCGTCGACATCCGCCTGCGCGAACTCCAAGCCCGCTTAGACGACCGGCGCATCACGCTGGTGGCTTCCGACGAGGTGAGGCAGTGGCTCGCGGAGAGGGGGTATGATCCCAAGTTTGGTGCACGGCCGCTGAATCGGCTGATCACGACGGAGATTGGGAATCGGCTCGCGGATAAGATTATTCGCGGGGAGATTCGCACGGGGCATACGGCGGTGGTGGAGATTGCGGAGGATGGGGATGGGTTGACGGTCAGGGCTGAGGAAAAAGCTGAGAGTCGGCCGGCGGAGGCGGCTGCGGAGTGAAGGGGATGTGATGATGACTGAGTGTCAGGACTGACTGGGCTGTATTATGACATGTATATGGCATGTGCTTGTATTCTATCTCTCTACCCATCGTGGCATTTTCTTTTCTTATGTATAAGATGAGCACTTAGGATAAGGACTGGCGTTAGGGCCTGGTAGTTGATTGGTAGAAAGGGGGGTCTGGCATGGAAGATGGTATACCGGGCGAGATAAAACTCAACTCATAGATGACACCATCCCATGTATTATAATAAGCAATGAAATTAGTGATAACCTAGAGACGCGTGTTATTATCCGCGAAACAATTGTTTGTTTTTTTTTGTCTAAATATTGCTCCGTATCCCTGGGTCATCGTATAATGACCCCCAGGAAAGTCTGCTGCCTACACGGGAGCTCCGTCTTATATCCGTAATAAGCATCCATTGCGCAACCAGCAGCATTACCGGTAATGGCCCCTTTTGAGCAACAACGACGGCCTGATTGAGTTGACTCTTTCATAAGGACAGGCTGTCTTCTCCTTGTTTGCTGTTTCTTCCAGAAGTTGATGTGAATAGTACGGCGTCCAACACAGCCGCGTTACCTTGACTCAAGCGGATAGCAAGGGCTAAAGTGTCTTTAATTGGTCATGGATGTGCGATGGTATTGGATAAGAATTGAAGCCTGTGTTTTCAAGGACAGGAATGTTCATACTTAGAGACATTACTGTTTTCAATAGACTCAATAGCAGCCTAACACCGGTATGCAATCTGATGACAGACATAAGCCATACCTTCCTCCAGCACTCACCCAGAATACTCAGCAGTCCTAATGCCTTAAGTCCCATCCCTCTGTATTAACCAATTACCTCATACACTTTTACACAATCGTAGACATCAACACAAACACACGCATCCAACAAAAGGAGTATCTCCCTGGGGACGAGGAAAGCAGTAAATGGACTGATCTCTCTCTCCTGGCGAGTGTGCATCAAATTGTACAAGAGAACCCCTAACCAGCCTTTCCTGCCTCTTCCATCCCCCCCAAAAGCCTCCAAAAGAAGAAACCCAGTCAGTCATTGCGCCTCCGTATCTCTCTCTCTCTCTCCCCCCCCTCTTCTCTTAAAATCCACCAAAACAAACCTTCTCCCCCACTGCGTATCTCCTCTGTTTCCCCCTCTTTCCACAAGAGAAGAAGAGCAACTTTCCAGAATGAGCGTTGTTGCGTGCGTTGCTATTCCCACTCTTTCTGCTCGCTTCCCTTCGGCCTCCTTCCTCCCCCTCCCGTTAATTTCTTCGTTGCATTGAGGTTATCCCGGAATCATGAGGCGGTCGTGTCCACAGAACATTTGCAGGCAATTAAACCGCAAAAACGGGCAGGATTAAGATGGGAAAAAAAGCGTGTTTCTCATGGGCTAGTCGACTGGTATTCTGGCAGGATTTTATCTGATAGAGAACAGTCGAGCCACATGGCTTGGCCAAGGTGGAGGAAGGATGGGACCGATCCCGCCTCTGAGTGGTACAATGCTCGCTGCTTTAGTTGCTGCTCTTCTTAATTTCCTGGGCGAGCCAGTCAAGACCCTCGAACAAACCGTCACCCGTGGTGGCGCAAGTGGATTGGATGTACTGCAGAGAGTTAGGCATGTCTCTAGCGCAATTATTTTGGGGAAGGAAAGCAAACATACCCACTTGCGTTGCCGCAGGCTGTGCAGACCCAGCTTGTCTGTAATCTCAGCGACGGTCATGGCATTCTACCAGCTGTCAGTACCTAGCATAATCCTACTACTTCAACTAAGAGCACTCACAGGAAGATCCTGCTTGTTGGCAAAGACGAGCAGCAGGGCGTCCCTGAGTTCATCCTCATTGAGCATGCGCTGGAGCTCCTCGCGGGCCTCGGGCACACGGTCGCGATCGTTGCTGTCAACGACGAAGATAATACCCTGGGTGTTCTGGAAGTAGTGCCTCCAAAGGGGGCGGATCTTGTCCTGACCACCGACATCCCAGACGGTGAACTGGATGTTGCGGTACTCGACAGTCTCGACGTTAAAGCCTTGGTGGGGTCAGCACGAGGGCATAATTCTGGTTGTTGTTGAATGGCCGGCCGGAGGAGGGGGGGGGGAGGAAGAGGGGGGGGGGCGGTACCGATGGTCGGGATAGTGGTGACAACTTCGCCGAGCTTGAGCTTGTAGAGGATGGTGGTCTTGCCAGCAGCGTCAAGACCGACCATCAAAATGCGCATCTCCTTCTGCTTCATGAGCAGGGAGAGGAAGCTAAAAAGCTTCGATCCGGCGAGACCCATTTTGGCAGTGTTGCGAGCGACACTTCGTGACTAGAAAACGGTGTATTAAAAGGGGGGGACTAGATCTGGGAGAACAACCGTGTAAGCAGACGAATGCCAATCAGACGGACACAGTGACAGCGGGCGGCGAGGTGCCAAGCAATGGCGGCAGGGAAGATGGTTATGAGGATGATGATGATAGCAGTGGTGTTGTTGTTATTGTGGTGGTGTTGGTGTGGAAGGAAGTGGAGGTTTAAATGGTGCTGCTGGCTTGTGACTCGCGCGTGGTCTGAGGACAGATATGCGCCAGAGCCCAGACCCTGATTATTGGAATGATAAGACGGGCCCGACAGCGACCTCTAGCAGCAAAGCTCAAGGCAACCCAGTAACCCGGCAACCCAGGCAGCCGTTAAAAGGGCATCAACTAACGGCCAGTCCCGACGCCGAGTTGGGCAGCAGCACGATCTGACGGGAAGTGAAGGGCCGCGTAAGACGTGCACGGGAATGATGGACGTGGGAATGTGGTGTGGGCTGGGAGTGTTTTGCTTTAGGGGGAGCGCGAGATCAGGAGTTGGGTGATGGAGGCGAGAGCAAACGGGAGACCTGAGCGAGAAGCATACGTAGCAGACGCAGACAGGCGCTCGCTCCCAAGGCCGAGGCAGCAAAGAAAGCCGATGCCGCACCACTCGTCCTCGAACAAATGATTAAAAAAAAGCCGCCCAGGCACGCTTCGTTCGATGGGAAAATGCGACTTACTCTTCGCAAACGATGTCGAAGACGGCGAGATGGATGGGCGACGCGGGTATTAGCGTGCGTACAGAGTGGTGGTTATGATGCTACGATGGCGGTGTGGAAGGAAATGGAGCCTTTTGGGGGATGGATTGGATTTTGAAAGTTGTTCTTGGGCCGGGCTCAGCCAAGGGAGCCAAGGAGCCAAGAAAGCCAAGGGGGGGTCAAGGGGCCAAGCACCCACTGGGCACTGGGGTCTCTTCGCAGCAGTGGCAGCAGACTGGAGAGCTGGTCGACTGCTTGCTGCTCCCGGAATCCGGCGTCCGGGGGCGAGGAGGCGTTTCCCTTTCCCTTTTCCCACTTCCTTTTTCTTTCCTCCATCTCTCCCGTCTCCCAGGTTCCCCAATCGAGATGAGATCCTGTCTGTTGGCTTTGCAGTCCGTGCACGCGGTACTTCGGCTGGACTTGTCGCTCGCTGAAATGTGATCGAAACCGCGCAGACCGCCTTTCGCGGGGCTGTACCATGCAGGTACCGACCTACCGATGTGCTGTGTACCGCAGGTGGCTGGAACAATGTTGGACCATTTCCGGGCCCACTTTCACGGGCTCGCAGTGTGAGGTGCTTGTCAGCAGGTGGGTCCAGACTCTGGAATTGAAGCAAAGTGGCACCTGGTAGCTGGTTGGCAGAGAATCGGCCTGCTCTCAGGCCGGGTGGCTCCATGGGGCTGGAGTTGCTGGAGACTGAGCCCTGCGCCCTGACAGATTGTGGCAGGTGGCAGCTGGCCTATCGGAGACCAATCCCAGCGCAAATCGCCAAGGTGTCCAAGGTGTCCTTGCAATCACTGACAGCGGACGGGGGGCCTGACAACAAGAGCCGTCAGTAGCGGCGAGCAACCGACTTCGAATTTAGAAATCAACAGCATTGACGTTGATATCCGTCGCAGGCCGCACAACAACATACCTGAAGATGAAGCTGACGCAGCTACTGCTCTCGGCCAGCTTGTTGCTGGTGCCAGGGCTGGCCCACAACATCCAGTTGCCGGCGCATGGCCGCGAGTGCTTTCACGAGAACCTCCATGCCGGCGACAAGATGACCGTCACCTTCCAGGTCGGCGATCGCGAGTTTGGCAGCGCGGGGAATCTTGACATTGACTTTTGGGTGCGTCCTTTCTCTATCTAGCTGTGATCGTTGATTCTCTTTACTGATAACCTCCAGATCACCAACCCCATCGGCCAGTACGAGTTCAACGAAAAGTCCGTCTCCAACGGCGACTTCTCATTCGACGCCAAGCACGACGGCAAGTACACATACTGCTTCGGCAACGAGCACTGGGGCGCCAACACCAAGGAGGTCTCGTTTAACGTACACGGCATTGTCTACGTCTCCGAGGCCGACGTGCCTCAAGATCCCCTAGAGGTCGAAGTCCGCAAGATGGCCGAGCTGCTGGAGCGCGTCAAGGACGAGCAGAGCTACATCGTGGTCCGCGAGCGCACGCACCGCAACACGGCTGAGAGCACAAACAGCCGAGTCAAGTGGTGGAACATCTTCGTGATTGGCGTCGTCATCGGGGAAAGCCTCTTCCAGGTCTGGTGGCTGCGCCGCTTCTTCGAGGTAGGACGGCCAAGAGTCTGAGTCTAGGAAAGCATTTCTCGTCACAGAGGGTGCTGACTACTCGGCGTGCAGGTCAAGAGGGTGGTTTGAACGAGAAGCTACTTCTTCTGCTACTGCTACTGCTACGAGTACGACTTACTGGCGACTACTGCTGCTATCGGCTTATGCGTTTGTTCTCACGTCTAGTCCACGTTTGGCGCTGGATCGAGAGAGAGGCAGAGAGGGCAAAAAATGGGACCGTGGGTTTCTTTGGCGTCTTGGATGAGCATGTTCATATCATACCACATAAATCAATGTTCGATGTACACTGTCGCGACGGCTATGTACAAGTTCCCGGGCTTGCACCGGATGATATTAATAAACGACCTTCAATGATGCCTGGGCGATGTCCACGTGAAAGGACAAGATCATTGTACATTTCATTCCATCATCTACTTGATGCTCACGGCGCATATTACAAACCATCATGGCTCATGTCGGCAAGTCATATCAGCAGAGTTCCTCCAGATATATATCCCAATGCCCAACCAACAACAGAGAAAGGAAAAAAAAAAAATCGGAGAAGATAGTCTAAAATTAAGCATCCGGCCCCAACCCCTCAACCCTCTCCTCCCCCTCAGCCCCCTTCACAACCGGCAACTCGACTTCCTTAACCGGGTGCACCAACATGGGCGGCAAACACATCCTCCCCTCACCCCCCTTCATCCTCCCCGGCGTACTTCCATCCTTCTCCTTCCCCATATCCTCCACCACCTCAAACTCCTCCCCACCATCATTGTTCACCCTCAGCCCCATCCACCTCTTATACAAATTCCCTGCAAACCCCGCATTATAGAACCACGTTAGTCCCCTCATATTATGCTCCCTCTCCCCGTACACACTCGTCCTTGCTCCCCCGGACGCCCCATTCTTTCCTGCGTTCAGCACTCCCGCGAGATACTCTGTCGGCCAAGCACGATCCACATACACTGGATGCGGCGCGTACACCGCTTTAAGCCCGTGATGAAGCGCTACCGTGGCGGGCCACATCTCGGGGAAGGCGTGCTGCTTCTTGAGGAAGGTGTGTCGGTGCATGAGCAATAGTAATCGGCGGGACATGCGCGATGCGGTGATGATTTGTGCGCGGCGAGGGGGCTTGCCGCGGGGTCCCGAGGTGGTGTTGTAGCCTGTTATGTCGTCGGCCAAAGGCCAGGTCGTGCCATCGGGGTCGAAGATCGGGCTGAGGGTGATCAGATCGGCGTCTTCGCCTACGCCCCAGGTGTAGGCGTCTTGTTCGTAGGTTGTGGGTGGGGAGGGGTCAGACGAGGGGTCGAGCCAGTCGGAGGGGGACTCGGGGCGGAGGGGGCCCCAGATGGGTTGTTCGCTGTGGGGAGTGGAAGGGGACTTGTTGTTGGTCTTCTCTTTGAAGTTACCAAGGTCCCAGGGGTTGTCGACGCCGACGGTGCCGTGCTCGACCTGCACGCGAACCATCTGCTTGAAATCCTCCCAAGAACCGTGGACAGCCGGCACATAGTACCTCCCATTGCGCTCCCACAGCCCCTTACGCGGCTGCTCCTTCGCCCAGCGCTCCAACTTGGTAAACAGATCCAGATAGTGACCAATATACCGGATATCCATCTCCCACTGCCAGAAGTAATCATACTCCGGATGATTATGCGCAAAATACTGCATGGCCATCTGCAAGCCGCGGTACGAGCCGTGCACAGGCAAGTTCGGACCACGCGTCCAGAGGTCGAGGATACCCTGGTAGACGGCAAGCATTTGGGTCTGCGACCAGAAGGTGACCAGCCCGCGGAACTCTTCGGGAATGGTCTCGTTGATGTGTCGTCGGTAGGTCTCTTCGTCTGCCCAAACGGGGTTCGCCGCGTCGTTACGGACTTGGACTAGGAGATGGACGTCGTAGCTGCCGCCTGAGGCAAGAGAGAGCTCGGAGATGAGAGCTCGCAGGTTTAGGATGTCTTCTTCGCGCCAGACAAACTCGTCCCAGCACCGGAGCACGACAGCCGTTCTGGGAAGATTGCCCGTCGGCTTGGCTGGCTCCTCGGTGGTGCTCTCTCTGGTATGACCGTCAGTAGTATCCCGCCCCTGGACCTTCGGGCTCTGGAGCTGAAGTCCATCGCCAATATAGAACCCCCTCGGCGGCGCTTCCTTCTCAACATACGGCTTATACCTTTCGGCATTCGCCTGATAACACCGACGCTGAACATTAGCCCAATCGATCTTCCTGTAATCAACCTTCCTTCCCCCCTCCCAAACTAGCTCAGCACCCTCACGATCACCCTCCTCCCCAACACCTAATCCACCAGCCCCAACCGAGTACCCATACCCATAAGGCCCATACCGTCCAAACCGATCAAAGCAGATATCTTCCGGCAGCGACAGCAACTCATACGAGCCCAGAATATTCTCTGGGAACCCGCTCGGCCGTCCCTCCAGATACCGAATCCCCGGCACCTTCACCAACCCCTCCTCGTCCAGCGAGCACTCCCGAATCCCATCCCCCTCGACAGTCGGCAACACCGCCGACGGATGCCCCCCAAACGGCTTACTCTTCGGCATCGGCCTCTTCTGCACCTCCGCCTGCCACGTCTGCGGCTTGGTCACGTTAAAAAGTTCCTCGCCCTCCGTTAGCGGGGGATACTGCGGTTTGTTTTCCTTGAGCAACACCAAAGTCTTCACACCGCCGTAGTACCTCGTTAGGAAGTCGAACTTTTCCCATGGCGGTGGGGGTTCGTGATTATTAGCAGCAGGTCGCTTGTTCTTGTGGGCCTCAGCTATGCGCCTATTCTCCAGCTGGCTGGCGCGAATCAGGACGAGAATGAAGATGATGATGGTGGTGATCATGCCAATGCAGAGGCAGCGGATGACGCGGTTGGGGAGGCGGTAGAGATGCTTTGGTTTTCGGGTGGCCGGCCGCCGGGTCTGGGCGGTGGCGACGTTTCGGCGAGTAGGGCCAGCAGATATCATGGCCGCGGACGAGGAGGTCGAGGCGGATGTGTGTCGGGAGTTGTCTGACGAGGCATCGGTGAGATCGTCGTCATCTTCTTCCTCGTCATCTGAGGTGTCTGAGGAATCGGAGTAGCGCTCTTTGGTTGTTGGGGAGCGCTGGGAGCGATGTGTGCGCTCCTGGCGAGGGACTTCTCGGTATAACGGCAGCTTTGGCCGTCTTGATCTCGAGTCGCGGGACCGAGTGAGGTTTAGGAGACCCATCTTGAGAGGGGTCGCAAGAAAAAAAAATTGGGACAACTGGGGAGGGGTGATGGGTATCAAGATAAAGTGGGATGGCAGTGATCAACTTCTCCCCGAGCCTTGAACCAGCCCCTCGGCACTCAAAGTCCAACCCACAGCGGGCCGGTCAACGTTCCCCGTTTCAAGTGCACTCGCCTTTTCCGCGGCGACTTGTCTCACTCGGAGAGTCGCCGTCTACCAAATCGGCGGGTGGCGCGGGACGGCACGTGTCGCGACCACGATGCAAATGTAAACAGTAATGATTTCCGGGGAACCTGGACCAAAAGCTGTGGCTGGACCATGGGGTTGGCCGGTTGGTGCTGCGACACAACGCGAGGCTGGGCTCAGCTGCCGACAGCGCTTCTGTGGCACCTACACGAGGGTTAGCCAAAGTCAGACTTTCAAGAAGCCCTGTCAATGTGATATGCATGCGGCCATGGTTAGGCTACATCATTCAGGGCTTTGTAGTTCCTTTGCCCAACCAACCAACCCATGTTTTACATACAATGTAAGTCATCCACACAGCCACTTAACTGCTGCATTGTAGCTCCCTTAATGCAGCACCTGAACACCAACCCTTTGATGCCAAGACATCCGCATCACAGCTCATTCTGCAAGTTAGGTGCACCCAGAATGTCTGTTTCACACACCTGCTATCGGGATTGGAAGTGTTGGATGCTTATCCCGCAGGATGCCCGCGTTATGAAGTGCTGGGCGAAGCCATACAAAGAAGCGGGCGAATCAAGGCTGTCGGGCAATGGTTGCACATAGCAATCCTCAAACCTCACTCTATCTTACTGCAGTGCCCAGTGTGCAAAGAGGTGAGAGAGGGAATGATATGGCAACACCGTTCTCATCGACACCCAAAGCCCCAATTTCAGTGTGTCCTCTCTAGCGAGGTGATCTCTGCATCTTTATCCCCGTCTGAGCATCACCTCGCTTCTCACTACTGCTCCCTCCAGCCCTTTCCTCCTCCCTGCCCTATTCCCGGATGACGGATGGGAAAACGGAGGTTTCGTTCTCTGTTCAGGATGGCAAACCGCTCGGCCACTCCAATGAAATGGCAGGATGAATCTCTGCTCTACCATATCACTCCATCTGAAGATACAGGCAGTCATCCAGCAGAAAGTTCAGCCACCATCCCGGCCTCACGACGTCAAAACGCATTGCGTCAGGAGGCCACATTCGATCCTCGCAACTTCCCAGATGGCATCGAGGTTTGGTACGATTGTGAAGATGCTATTTGTGACATATGCTTTGTCCATGGACTCTCAGGCAGTCGTGATTCCACCTGGACACACAAGTCAAAGACAACACCGTGGCCAAAGGAGTTCCTTCCACAAGAGGATACATTCAGGCGGTCTCGCCTTTTGACGTTTGGATATGACGCATATGTGGTCAAGTCTGGCTATGGGGGAAGTTCTGGAGCATCAAAGAACCGGCTTCATGATCATGCAAACAACCTTCTCAATGACCTTTGCATGATACGGCGCAGAGATCCCAACCGTCCTTTGATCTTAGTGGCACATAGCTTTGGTGGAATCGTCTGCAAAAAAGCACTGCTCTTTGCGCATACAAAGAGCGAGCTCGGTATGCCATATAAAAATATACTCAAGTCACTCTGCGGCATCATCTTCTTAGGCACCCCGCATTCAGGGGCTGCAATTGCACGGTGGGGAGATTGGACAGCAACTGCACTTGGTCTGACCGGACTTGTTTCAGTAAATACAACACTCCTCGATGTGCTACAGAATGACAACGAGGTGCTCGCATCTGTTCACGATGAGTTTGTCAACCTATTGCGCGACTTGCAGGCCAAGCGGACCCTTCGTGTTGTTTGTGTTTTTGAAGAGCTCAAAACAAAGGTCATTAAGTGCTTGGGAGGTGGGGTCAATGAAGTAGAAGTTGTTGAAAAGGAACTCGGCAGTAAGTAGGGACTTTTTTCCACGATTGTTTTTAGGACGTCTTTTGCTGACTTTTAAAAAGGTATTACCGGGGTGGCCGAACTTTAGCAGTAAGTAAATCCACGAAATTGTCGTTTGTCTTCATCACCCATTTCCTCCACCACCACCACCACCTCCTCCTCCTCCTCCTCCGGCAACACTCTCTAGCTGACATTATCCAATATGGTCAGTTCATGCCAGCCACTCCGACATGGTCAAGTTCGCTTCAACAAACGAAACTGGATATGGAAGACTACTCTGGCATCTGGAGGAGATGATGCAGTCTGCTACAGAATTCAACATCGACGGTATGTGAAATGCCTGTGGGAAGTTGTGTATAGCGACTCGTCTCGTCTATAATGGACACGTCAATAACAATCGCCTGTGTCCTATCCGTTCCACCATGCCGCTATTTGCCCTGGCAATTAACTAATCGTTTTTTTAACACAGCCCTTCTTCGCTCGCTGGCGTTCAAGGAAATGAACAGTAGATATAACCAATTCAGGACATATGACCATCGCCCTGCGGCCAACACCTGCAATTGGCTCTTAGACACGCAAGAATACAAGAAATGGATGGATAGTCGGAACCATAGCATACTACGGATACAAGGAAAACCCGGCTCTGGCAAGTCGACGCTCATGTATTTCCTTGTCGAACATTTGAAAGAAAGCGGCACAAATTCCTTTCGCCATATGTCACTTTTTCATCCACGGCCGCGGCTCCTCTCGACCAAGTCAAAAGGCCACTCCTCGAATTCGTTACGACATTCAATAAGAAGATGAAGTCAATGGGTTCAAGACCTGACACCGATTGGCAATGGGAATGCGGAGAACTTCAAGAATATGGGCAAGCAGCTACCCGCAAGGCACTTTGGGTCGTTCTCGATGCTCTAGATGAAGTGGAGGCTCCGAGTCAGTCTGATTATCACTCGGCTAGAGATCCTACACAACGACAACGCCAGGCAAACATCCAGACAGCAAAGAATATCATCCAGGCTGTGGATAACTTCATTACCGACATAAACAGGAAGGGGGGGTACTCGAGGTTTAAGTTGCGTGTCTGCCTGGCCCGTCGCAACTACCCCATCCTTCAAGATCTAAGATCCACAGCCCCAGTTCAGGTGCATGAGCACAATAACAAAGATATTGAAACATATCTAACGGACAAGCTTGAATCCACATTAGGGGAGTGGATGATACAAAGCCTTATCTGGAGAGCTTCCGGGGTCTTTATATGGGCATGTTTTGTCGCACGGAGAATCTTGGATCGTATAAGCGAACATGACGGCCTCGAAACCACCTGGAAGGAGATTGATGAAGTTCCCGACGAACTTGACGATCTTTATCAGCGTATTATTGACGCAGCCAAAGAAAAAGACAAGCCTAGACTGCTGAGGTTGATTCTCTGGCTTTGCTACCAGTATTTTCCGAGTGCTTTGAACATCTGGAAACTACGCGACGCCATGACCGTTTGCCCAGGATTCATGCCTAAAAGCCAATCGCTCAAAGGAGCACAACAGGATTTGGACTGGTCTCGAAACAACAAAAAAATTCATAGAACAACAGCTTGAGACCAGAAGCCTGGGCATCTTGGAAGTTCCGGACACCGATTCTACGCATTCCACACCAAGGCCACAATTCATTCATCAAACCGAGAAGGACTTTATGCTTGAAAGCGGGCTCAAAATCCTTGAAAGGTCGGTGATTGGCAGCTCAGATCACCAGCTCGATGATAACGAAAAAGGCCGTGCGCACTATATGTTGTCAAGAACCTGCATCCTATATTTTACGATGGATAAACTGTTGGCGGACGAATCCGTCCACAGCCTGGAGAATCCTATTTTGCCGGCGATGCATGAGCCCAAGCACATTAATGGCATAATGAATAATCTGGACGACCGTTACCCATTCCTCCAGTAAGCAATCCTGCTCTGGGCCAACCATGCCAGAATTAGCGATAATTTGGGCATCCCACAGGGAGACCTTCTTGACTACTTCCAGTGCAGGCAAGATAGAGTGCGACTAGGATTAATCATGAAGCTAATGGATATCTTCTATGCAACAGATACCTATAAAGAGTGGTATCTCACTGATCACGAATTACACGTTCCACTGGACGTAGTGGACAATAACCGGCCAAACCCCTTCGATCGATCATGACACGGTTTATCACTTGACCCGGCGGATCCAGAAGTCTCTAGCAGAGGAATGACGTTAATGCATCTCTTCGCACGAGGTGGACTCCTCAAACCTATAACGCTTATATTTGAAGAGGCGCCCGATGATGCTGCATGCCATCTTACAAGACGACTCTCCTGCTTTGGCCAAACTCCCATTCTCACGGCAGCTAAACACGGTTGGCATCGCATCGTGAAATGGCTATATGAACAATACGATTTGGCTTATAATAACAGCGGTCAGTTGATCGAATATTTCACAGAAAGCTCAGTTTGTGCAAGAGAGAGGATCAGTTCAACCTATTTCATTAGGCGTTGTATGAAGAATGGAAGGACATTTCCTGGTGTTTAGCAATGCATTTACCTCAACTTGCTGGCATTAATGACACCAACCTGGCTGTACTGGATGTCGCGTTGGATTATCGTTCCAGTTCTGACAGCATGGTCGACAAGTTTTCAAATCGCGATGTCAATACCACGGGGACACTTGGTGAAGCACTGCTTCATATTGCTGTTCGACATTCCTAGATTGAGTTGGTAAAGAAGCTCTTGGCGAAAGGTGCTAATGTGTGTTTGAGAGATGATCGGGAGAGAACTCCAATCCATCTAGCAATTGGTGGCAAGCCCTATGACTTCGAATGCGTTAAACGAGGAACAACATCAGCTCCTATACTAGAGCCGCTCATCACACAAGGCAAAGATGCAATTCAAGCACTCAACCTTCAAGATCAGTGGGGGAATACACCGCTTCATCGAGCCGTTAGTGTGGTAATCAGGAGATACTTGAGCTGCTTATGCGGTACAGTGCCCATATCAACCTCAACCTGCAAAATGATGATGGATTGACTGTTCTCCACAGAGCAGTTATAAGTTATTGGCAATGTTCTGAAAGCCTCAAAATTTTGTTGGGTGCACTAGGAATATGTATAGATTGTCGGGATAAGCATGGCCGAACCCCTCTCACGTGGGCAGCGATTTGTCGTTCTGGTGGAAAGATTGAGGCTCTGCTCGAAAAGAGGGCCGATCTCCACCAACGAGATGTTCAAGGTAGAACTGCGTATTGATATGCCATCCATTGGGACTGGGATATGGAAATGGATGACGAGATTCGAGACCATGTCGAAATGTTCCACGTGTGGATATCGAAAGATCAGCGGAAGAAAGCCCAAGAAGAAACGGGGAGAATTTTGGAGAAAGCTGGGGCCACAGAAAGGGATTTGGAGATATTGCAAGATGATTTCGAGGATTCAGCGGAGTCAATGGATGGCGGTTCAGATAGTTTCTCAAAAGCACCAGAATTAGGGGTTGGGGAAGTCGGATTGGGCAATGAGGCTGAGTATTTGGCGCAAATAAGAAAGAACTCCAAGTTTGAGGGCATGGGAGGGGTCGAAGATCGAGCGGACTTGGACGACGCAGAGGCGTTTCACACCGATCAAGGACTGATCCCATCCGGAAATATTGGAAGCACCATGGCCATGTTCTCTTTTCATCAAAGTGCGCCTAGTATGGAGTGGCAGGGACCGTATGATTTGAGTCTGATCTATCCAGCTCAAGTTCCATCATTGGGAGAGGAACCGAGATTTCAGAGTTGATTCACAAGGCAGATGGAGTCTTTATATGGGCACGCCTTGTGGCTGAGCGAGTGATAAGATCAAGCTGATATGAATTTAAAACCCTTGATGCAATTTTGAAGGAAGTGGGACATGTGCCGGAGGAGCTCGACGATCTTTATTCCAGCATCCTTGAAGGTGTCCGCCGCAAAAGCAGACCTGAGTTAATCAAGTTGATGCGTCGAATTTGTTATGCTAACTAAGCAGCCGCTGAATGTTCTGGAATTGCATCACGCTATGGCAATCAGTGAAAAAAATTCCCCCTGACAAGTTATTGGTTAAGGGAGCTGTCAAAAATGAAAACGCATATCAAGAAGAGGAGATCTAGCAACTGATAGAACAATTCAAGGCTAAGTGTTTGGGTCTCGTTGAATTCATCAGCGAGGGACGGAAAGCACAGTTCATTCACCAGACTGTGAAGGACTTTATACTCCGACGAGGGCTTGGAATGCTGGAGGCCTCGGTTAACGACAATAACCAAAAGTTGGATGATAATGAGCAAGGCCGTGCACACTACCAGCTGGCAAGGATTTGCATTCAGTATTTCACAATGAGGGAGATCTTGGAACATCCGATACTGCGGGAGCTCAAAGAGCCTGTCATACCATGTTTCTACGTCAATTATCACAATTATTTATGACATACTGATGCAGTTAAAGCAGGAATACCCATTGCTCAATTATGCAGTCTACCACTGGGATTACCATACATGACAGAGTGAGAAGGCCGGAATTTCTCAAGGGGACGTCCTCGACTACTTCTATTGGAGACCAGGTAAACAGCTGCTAGGGTTGATCTTGAAACTTCATGGTGTGATTGGGTTACTTTCCCCGCGGATTACGAGCTTGCGGAAATTGAATGTGTCTGTGAGCGGCCCTGGAAGTTACCAGCGCGTAATGATACAAATGGGATAATAAAGACCATGTTCCGCTTCATATCGGACTACATCTCCAAGATGGACGGCACCGGGGACTGTGTCCTCGAACCCCAGGCGACCTTCTCACCGTGCTTCGCACAGCCCTTTCTGGCCCCGCACCCCATGCGCTACGCCAAGATGCTCGCCGACAAGAATGAGCAGCATAACGCCAACGCCTGGCTGCTCAGCACCGGTTGGGTCGGCGCTGGCTTCGCCCAGGGCAGCAAGCGCTGCCCGCTCAAGTACACTCGTGCCATCCTCGACGCCATCCACTCGGGCAAGCTGGCCAAGGTCGAGCACGAGACCTACGATGTCTTCAACCTCCAGGTGCCCAAGACTTGCCTTGGTGTGCCCTCGGAGCTGCTCAACCCCAAGAACCGCTGGACTGCTGGTGCCCAGAGCTTTGAGACCGAGGTCAAGAAGCTCGGCAAGCTGTTCCTAGAGAACTTCAAGAAGTATGAGAGCGAGGCTATTGAGGATATCAAGAAGGCTGCGCCGGTTGTGTAAAAGGGGAGTTGAGCTTGAGGGTGACAAGTTAGTGGGATAGACTGGGTTCTTTTCCTTTTTGTTTGTCTGGTTTGCTGTTAAGCTGAGCATTGGGATACCGGCGCTGTTTTTCCTTTTTTCCATTTCTCTGAGATATAATTTTGAGGGGACTATATACAACTGTTATGCGTGGCTTGACGCCTGCAGTGCGGACTTTTGGAACTCTGGGCATCATCATCACTTGGATTGGAGGTAGAAACATTGGCTGCAAGTGGCCAAGCTGTTGGGTAGTTAGAGACTCGCAGCTGGTAGATGAGCTAAATTGACAGGGTTGGTCGACAATATTTCAATTCCTACCTTGTGATTATTGTTGATCAAACTGTGACTGTACTATGTAGGTATACTCTCCTGGTGCAAGAACCCTTTATTTTACTGTTTTTCCTGCTTTCTCCAGGAGTCATTGACGGAAACATATGGAGGAATGTTTTGAATGATCGGTCTTACAACTTCCACAATGGCGACCGTTAGGAAGTTCAGTTCAGCGGGTTAGTATGCATGCATCGATGGCAGACATCAATCGAGAGGAGGCAATTCTCATGCATCACTCACCCGCTTAGCCGTACTGACTACCTACCTAGCATTTGTAGTCCACTATTGAGGAACATAACATTCGATATTACTCGACCGTCATTGATCCTCAAGGCATGCAGTGTAGGTGTCTCAGAAGATGACAGGTTATTGATAACATGTGCCAAGAGAAATTATTACCGCTTACATCTTTAAGTAGGCTTGAAAAGAATAGGAAAACATATCTTTTGTGCCTTCTTTTCTTATAACTCTACATAGCGGTGCTGCATTTTCACCTTTCCTGACCCCCTTTATCCCTTCCCCTCTACCACCCGCCACGCCACCAAGTGACAGACAGCCCTGCAAAGGGCTCTGAACGGAAACCTACCACAGGTATCTACAGATCCGTCCTACACGATTTTTCTTAAGTAGGTAGGTCCAGCAAAAGTAAAATGCATGGCCCCGCCGGCTTGCAATTTGTTTTATTGTCACACCCACGATCGTTGGGATCTCGGTTGGCGGAATTGTTTTTGTTATCGCACTCTTGGCTGACTGTTGCCTCTTCATCTGCCATCGCCAAAAGAGATATCAACAGCCACGCTTGCTGTCTGGCAGCATTGTTGCAAGTAGCGGCGGCGCCATTTTTGTGGTCCTGGAGTGCAGTCCTCTATGGGCTGGCGGTCGCCTGGACATTCAATGCCTTCGCCAACGAGTACTACTGTCGCTGCGAGCCACCTGCTTGCGAATCAACCTCCTATGCCTCCTATCATGCTCCCAGTCCAACCAGTATCACCGGCGGAGCTGGCAGCAAATGAATGGCACCAGCACCGCTACTTCACATCGCCGCATGGCACGACCCGTTATGACGCCGTGCTGCAGTGGCTTAGTAACAGCAGCAATACACATTGGATCAACCCAGATCCCCTTGTGTTGCAACAAGAACCAAAACGCTAGGCATCTAGCGCACTGTATCGCCGGGTCACATGACCAAGGGGAGCCCCTCACCACCTTTTTCTTCTGAACCGGTATCCCAACCCCAGTCTCGACCACAATTTTTTGTGAGAGATCTGGCAGCGTTGGGACTAGCCTCTGAAGTGCTGTCACGAGAACCGAAACGACAAGCCCAATCCCCAGAACACCTTACTGGGCGACCGCTGCACCGCTTCCTTTACAGCTCTTCCCCCAGACACCAGGGCAGGAGCGCGCTGATATCGCTTTGTCATCTACGAGCTCTTACGTAGACATTTCACAGGATCAGGTCGGCACGGAAAGATTGACTCCATCTGCGACCCATCGTGTCGTGGTACGTTAGGGGTCGGATCAATGATTTCTAGTCAAAACTGCAAGATGATGATGTCGGTGAAATATAGTATGACCGAGGAAATGGTATTTGATACTAGGGTCTATGCCTCTTACAAAATAATCAGGGAGGGGAGGGGGTCGAGGCAAACGGCTACGTAAACCTTCCTAATGAAAATAGTTAACGGTAAATTCCCTCCGAACATACTTAGATTTGTAGAAGATGCCATTTACAGTAATTCTGATCACATACGTTCCAATGACAAACTCGATTCTTGTGTTCCAAGCTGTTGCAACGTTAGCACATTTATACATCATACTGTTATTGTTGCCTTTGTCTTCCTCCTATTAATAAGGGTGAGACAGAAGCCCCGCGAGTATAAAAACTAGTCGAAGTAAAAGAGTCGAAGCAAAAGACAGTAGGACAACAAGCGCGGTCTCGAGACTTCAAGACTGGAGAATCGTTCATTGCAACACTACCCAAGCATTACTTGAAGCAAAGAGCTTAGATACAGCAAAGAGACACCTGAGTGTCCGCGTTGCTGCCTGTAGGCAGGTTAGGCAGCAATAGTCTGATTAGATGATCCTTGTTGAAACAGCTCTTAGCCGCTAACGAAAATCGTCCCACGCCGCATGCAACAGCTTTCTAACTGCCCCACCTTCCACAGTACTTATTCTCGACATTTCGACTCTTCGGGCAGCGAGCGATTGAACCAGTAAAACTGTGTTTTGTCAGGAATGTCTGCTGCAATGATGGAGCACACATACCAATATCCGGGCGTTGATCTTCCATTGACATATCTTCGCTGCAATGATCCTGCGTATTGGGATGCCTTAAGATATGGAACCGCCATGGTTCCCATGTATGTTTTTGGATCATCGCAATCCAGTCATGAGACAAAGACGCCTATCCTACCGGTCCGAGAGGTCGCAATGATGATGGTCATGGATGCACTGACTGACAAGCCTAACTGGCACACCAAGATTGAAGACGAGACTATTGTAGCGAAATGGCGCCAGGAGGCCTTGACTCAGGATGAGATGGGGCTGTGGACTTACATCGTCCCGGAGTCGGTGCTGCGTTCAGGCTTCCGTGTGCCAAAGAAAACACGACTGATCTCAGAAAAGGCGTTTGATTATGTCAGTAAGCAGGCCGGTTCTAGCTTGGACGAAGCCGCTAACGTTGGGTGTGGAGGACAGTGTATTCAAGAGCTGAAACAAAAGGCAGAGTTTTTTTCAAAAAACTGGGCTCATTTACACTCTAAATGCCGATGCCAACGCAGTGATCAAGTCAGATAGCCTTGTCAGTTATGACCTTCACAATCAGTTCCAGCTCGCCTTCAAGAAATTGCAGGCAGAATAGCAGGCAGATCCTCTATGGCATCCTGGCACGGACACTTCCATGGTCCAAGACCTGGTTCACCCATCCTGGTACCCATTTGTCTACGGTGAGCAAGTTACTACTACCCTCTATCGTTCCTACTGGTATGGAGCTAGTTCCTGATGGGATTAGGAAAAACTAGGTTTCTCTGCGATGAGGTGGTTGGAGTAGAAGATGCTATCCAGCGGTGGGTAACAAAGGGAGCGCCGATCATCCCAAAGGTTGATCCAAGGAATACCAGCATCCTTTGGTCTGAAAAGTATCAGTGGCTACCGGCCAATGTCTCATTCCAAGACAATGGCACTGTCAAGTTCACAAGCTACATCAACAATCTGCACCCAACCAAGCATCCGGAAATATACCGGCTGACTGAACAGCTCATCGAGATTGCTATTCCAGCTTGGGATCGAATCCTCACGCCTTGGACGTATGAAGGCCGGCCTTGTATCACTCCTCGCCGGATTGGCCTCGGACCTTTGGTATAGTAAGAACAGGACATATACAGATTACCCAGCCAGTATTCAACTTCCAGAGCTGACTTTGAGACTTAGTGATGAGAACGGGGAACAAGCTGAAGAGCTATGGGATGAGCTTAATCTCGACCTCATTGCCTCATATGAGGCCGAACATGGAGAGATCGAAATTGACATGTGGCATGAAGACGCGCCAGAACACTATCTATCCCTTCGCGACCGAGAAGAGCTGCAGGACAAGGAGGCACGAAGGGCCCGAGACATTGCACGCATGAAATGGCAAAAGCTGCGAGAGCCGAAGCTTCCCGAGCCGGAGGAGTTCCGGCCACTTAATTTCGAGGCCTCCTCAGATCTTCGCACGCAATTTAAAGACACTGGACTGCAGGTCATCGTTAAAATGGCCTCCATTGAATTGACGCCTGAGAAGCCAATGTTTCCTGAAGGTGGTTGGCATGTAAGTTCTCCGAGGTTTCCTGAAATCAGTGTGTCTCTTCTTCTTCGGCCCATGCATTCAAGGACACCTTTTGCGCTAATTACCAGTGCTGCAGATCGAGGGCAAGAATAACGAGCATATAGTGGCAACCGCCTTGTACTACCTAGACTCTGACAATGTTACTCCGAGCTATTTGTCCTTTCGGATGGTCACCGATGAAGTACAGGAAGAGCTTTCAGAGCTCACTGGGCAAAACGAGCACGAGTTCTACGGATACGTCTGTGGAACGAGCTTAGTTGGTGGTCCAGCCATCCAAGCATACGGGCGTGTCGAAACGCGTGAAGGTCGTTTCCTCGCCTTCCCCAATGTCATGTATGTCATCCGGATCACCGCAAATTACATATGAATGCTTGAGCGCCTTTTCTGACATTATCCACTACCCAGGCAACATCGCGTGTCTGGTTTTGGCCTCAAGGACAAAACCAAGCCAGGTCACAGGCGCTTCATTGCTCTTTGGTTGGTCGACCCATCGCAGCGCATTATTTCCACAGCAAACGTCCCTCCACAACGTTTTGACTGGTGGGCCGAGGTTATGCGTGAGAACTTTTCGTCAGCAGCCAAGCATCTGTCAACCGATCCACCCCATCAGCAGTCCAGCGACGAAGAGGAACCTCTGACGACCAACGATGATGTGTTGCGCATGGTCTTCGGATCCTCGTACGCTCGCTTACCAGCGGAGCTCAAGGACATGATCTTGACGAAATGCAAGGAGATGGAGACTTTGATGACTAAGGAAGAAGCTGAGACGCATTTAAAACAGTTGATGGATGAGCGTACCATGTTTGATGGCAGGAAGGTAGGCTCTCCAAGAGAAGGGAGCTACAACTTCTGCGAACACTAGCTCTGTGTTGATCTAGAACGAACCTATCTGATCAGAGTGCGCAAGCAAACATATGGTCAAAGACCTTGATTGCCATCTTTATGTCTGAATAATTATGATGCATATCGCAGGAGATGTCGAATTTCTACCGTCATCATTACCTTGTGCACAAGGCCTCCTCTTCTTCTGTTGAACACAATGCTCCATACATCATGCGCGCCATCACTATCGCGAAGATTGGCTCGCATGTCCCGTTCTTTGCCTCCCGATGCTTCTTTGAAGCCGTCGATCTGGCAACGTGTTCGGTAATTCTGGTCTTCGTTCAGATCGTAGCTGCTTGGCCCTTTTGGTACTCTCACAAATAGATAGATGGGTAGAGCTGCAGAAGAACTTATCGCTCAACCTCAACAGCGGCGCGTAGGGTGGCGGCTGAGCCACATGAGCCAGCAGTGCCTCAACAATCTAACCAACTACGCTGTCCCCCGGCTAGAATGATATCGGGAGGTGGCACTTCCAGCAACTCTATCAAGTGCCAACTGCAGCAATAACTTGGACCACCTCTGCTGGATAGGGATGTCCGGGAGCCAGCGCATACTCTACCACCACAACTTGCCTAGCACGAGCTGCAGCGGCGTAATGCATGATAAATGCCATATGCGCAGATTCCCTCAGTGGATAAACATAACCACCCCCATGCAAGTAGACCATCGTTGCGCTTGAGTCTCTGGCACCGTTCGCAGTAACAGAGAGGATATGAAGAGTGGGTGGTGGAAGATTTTGTCTCCCAAGCTCCCTGTACATGCTGAAGACAAGAGGCTAGGACAGGCCGTCCTTTCGCTCCTGTCTCGTATTCATGTTTTCGTTATACTAATAAAAAAGACCTCTATGAGAGAATTCTTGTAGAAATCCAAGCAAGGATATCGGGGTGTTAGAGGAATGTCGACTTTTAAGCTTAGTACGTCGACTTAATATCCAGATTAGAAGTACTTAGCAGACAGTAGGCTGCATAGTGGCAAACTGCGTGTTAACCGGGAACGCCGCAGTACACCAAGGTCATGCTCATTACGCCGGCGAGCGTGGAGGTAGCATAGTCTACATACTACTTACACAAAAGATTGTATAAGGCCTGAAGGAAATTTGTGATTTGTTGTAAGTGCATATTCCAGGATTACGACATCTAGGCTTAAGTTCATCCTTCCTATCCGAGATATAGGAAAGAAATTATGATAGTGGGGTTGGCGAACGATCCCAAGGCATGCTAACCACCGGAGATAATTCAGCCAGCCAAACCAGATGGACAATCAGGCCATAGTTATTGCCACCGGCTTTAGGGACGGTAACTCGGATGACCGTAGATGAAGAACATGGTGGATATTCACAAAACAATTCTCGAGGTAGAAGTATTTGTTCACTTTGCAATAAGGCCTGCTAGTGCCGCAAAATGCAGAAGCAGCCTTCATACCTAATTTAGTCCTGTGACACAGGCTCAAGCCGAATATCTCCGTACTTTCTTGTAAAATGAGCCTATCACTCGTCGGCCGCGCACAGTCCAGGCCACCCTGTTGTTCAACTCTGCTGTTTTATTGCCCTTACTTGCCTCTGCACTTCCCATTCACTATTCCAGGCTTAGAGGTCTTTCTGCCCCAACCAAGGCTAATGCTCTCCTCGCAAGATCTTGAGGACTATGCCTGGGAGATTCAAGACGCCCTAAAAGTAGTAGTGGGCCGTCTCTCTGTTTCCCCTGGCCCACACACACGAAGAGCACTACACAGTGGTCTGAGGAGCTCCAGGTATCCAGAGACTCGGACCCCCAAATCTCCATGGAAGTTTTGCAGAGAGGCTTGTACGAATTTCTACAGAAACCAGGTTGCTTCCGCCGCTATCTTATCCGACTGGGTCGCACCCTCCAAGAACGGAGTGGTCCAAACGGTTCCGAAACGGAGGGTACCTGTTAAGCGGCACGGCTAACTTTCGGTCCACCATTACAGGTCATGTGTGTGAGGTACAACAGAGGTATATGCAGTCCGGCCTGCCCAAGTTGTTAATATATGCAAGGACTGATTAATCATGCGATATTCTTTGCAGTGAAAAAGACTGCACACAGGCGAGCTAGAGGTTACTGGGGTAGGCTTAGCATTTCTGCGTGGTTTTGTTTTTAGTAGACGACCTATACAAACCAAAGTAGCCTCCTGAACCCTCACCTTAATGAGGCTTATTATCTTAGCGCCAACCGTCCCACCCCTACCCCCACCGCCGCCCCTCTTCCCCGGGCCCACACCGAGCCCGCACACCCGATCCTCCAGCCGGCGCTCGGTGCGGCGAAAGGTCGGGGCACTAACATCCCGAGAGAGGAGGTCCGAAACCGGCTCCGCAAGGCCATCTCGCTAGCCACCTCCAAATGGCCTGCCAAGGCGGTAACCTTCAAAAAACATGGACAAGTGAATGCCACGGGCTGAGAAAGAACATCTGGTTGCCCATTATTTGACACAGAACTTGATAATTCCTGAACTCACTAGATCACAACACAGGCACAGAGTATCATCATCAAGACCTAAGATCACCTCGCGACAAGTAGACAACGATCTTCCAACCACTCGTCTCACCACAAGCACCTGCGACTTGCACCAACGCACTATTCGCAAGAGGTTATCATCCAGACCCCACATCCGATCGGCTACATGGCATCGGCGATCCCGAGTGACAAGCCATAGCTGTCATACGTTGCCATTAAATCAAAACATCCAGACGAGGTTCTTGTTTGCGCAGGCATGTACACATGTTTTGGAAGTCATTTTCCATCAGTCAGTGGAATACAGGGCAACTCGTGTGCCTCGCATTGTCTCCAAGAAGATACGTAATGATCTACACTCAACGATTTCAAAGGGCGAAAGAATAGAAACAGTGAGAAACTGGGTGTACGTAGGCTGTTGCTCAAATCAGCTGCATTTCCGGTCCCAGATCTCTCTTTGCTCCTCCGTGATCCCTGCCCGTTGAATCCGACACCTTAGTTATTTGCATGCAGCATCTTAGCTCTTTGGACACCAACGTTTATCTGAGGCCACCATACATGCGAGACCACAACAGAGGTCATTCCCACCGGTTACCCCAATGCTACCGTACCGATGTCCAGCTCAAGTCTATGGATGGGATGAGCATTCTATATCATAGAGCATGCATTAGCTGAACGCTACAATACAGGAGAAGCAGCCTAATTGGCGTAGTGCTTATGGTGAATAGACTGACGACATGTATGATGTGCCATTTTTTATAGCCCAATGACCCCTCAGGAAGATCTCATATACAGCAAGTCCCAGCGCACTCGTAGCTAGCCAAAAACACTCTCTCATCATAGTGCATACGGGTGCATACAATGACGGCATATACTCTTGCTTGGTTGCGACCCATAGACCCATTCACATTGAACCGATGATTGATCACATACACTCCAGCCAGCCTCAACACGCTAGTAGCCAGCTGAAAACACACTCTCAGCTGAGTTTGGCCGATAGCTCTGCATTACTGATGCAGAGCAATTCGGGGACATCTTCACAGGAATATCACCTCCAGAGGTTGTGTTATCTGATTCTGTTCTCCCACATTAGGAAGATTACATTCATTACTTATACCCTTTGATCTCCCTCTCCCCCCAGTGCTCGGCTTCTCCTCTCAGCAACTACAACACACTACAACACAGTTCTCAGAGTTCTCTTCCAAAGCACCAGAGTCACAAACTTCCTCATTGCTTTCACAAGTCTTCTTAGCTACCATGACCACCGAAGCAGCACCTCCCCAGTACACTCCGGGTTCGGCACCTCCGTCATACGAAAAGGTCATCGGCAAGCTTGATGCCGCCGTCAAGGCTAACCCGACGCCCAGTGCTATTGCGGATGCAATCAGCAATCTTAGCGACGCTGAGAAGGAGTCTCTTGCGTCTCATGACGCTGACAAGTTGGACTTCAAGTTCGACGAAGCGACCCCGGGAGGAGTTCAATAAGGGTTTGCATCATGCCATTCAGAACTCACGTGAACATCTGGAGTGGAACGCTGAGCAGTGCGCCACCGCTTGTAAGAAGGTTGCTGAGGACTTTTTGGCAGTGTTGAAAAAAGCCGTCCTCCATCTCCACTCTGGATGGCTCCGAGGCCTCCAAGAAGCTGGTCACAGATCTTCAGCAGCTCCGCCAGGTATGACATATTGCTCTTAACTACTATGTTTTGAGATTGGAGTTGAGGCATCTCAAAGGCCTACCTTAACCTCCTAGAGAGGAGCCGTCAAACTGCCATCAAAATTGCTCACCAGGCTCGCTGTACGTCATTCACCACCATCTCCCCGTGTCTACATCACCACAAGCTAACTTTTGTAACAGATTTTGACAGCGTCATTGTGAAAGTCGCTTTGGATGAAATGTATACGTCCGAAACCAGAGTAAACATCATCAAAGACTTCATCAATGTATGCTCATGGTTGTCCCACTACCAAAGAGCAACGCTGACCCAGTTATTTTAGGAGGTCGAGCAGCTCGAGACCGATTCCGAAGGGATTCAACATGATTTCAATGCGTTCACGGAAGAAATGGCGAAATATACTGGCCGCTTCGAGGGCTGGGCGAAGGAGAAAGAGAACGAAGTTACTGCCGAGATTGCGCAGCTTCGCGAGGAGATCGGCGATTTGGAGCAGAAGATCGCTAAAATCAAGTCGGCGCTCATCGGCCTCGACATCGCGGCCGGTGCTGCCAGTGTCGCAATTCCCATTCTAGGACTCGTTGCTTACGCAACAGGACCTTTTGCCCCTTTTATCATCGCTTTCGGCGCGTTTGCTGCCGTTGGCACACTCGCCTCCGTCATCGGCTTGGGCGTGAGCTTGAAAGGTTTTCCATTCCTACGTCCTTCCTCTTAGTGTGTTCTCGGTGGTTTTCTAACTCGATTCATAGTCTACCAGAGCAAGCTTGAGGATAAGCAGGAGAGGATGTAATCCCTCGAGGAGCAAAAGGGCATGATTGAGAAGTCACGCTCCGAGCTCATCGCGCTTAGAGAGACATTGAACACCGACGTCAAGGACGCTATCAACATTATCAACACCGTTTGAAACTACGTCCAGCTTGATGCAGTCGAACTTTTAGGCTACCTTGAGCACGGAGAGGAGCTCGCCGAGTTACCTGAGTACTTGGCTTGGCAATTGGGCGGCGCGGATGGTGCCTGTAAGCACTCTTCTCTTGACAATCTCATCCACTCTCCAACTTGTTCGAGCGATTGCTGACGAGACTACTAGATTGGGTGATCAGCGAGTACTTGACTAAGTATGCCAATTGTATGGCCAATTTCACCTCGCCTGAGACCCCTGCTCAGTAGAGAAGCAGCTTGGATATATCCTGGCTCGGATCATTTTTGCCTTTTTTGTTCCTAGAGTCTAGATAAAAAGATCGCCCGTTCAATGCTCAATGCACTACTCGAGTGCCCCGTGGCCTTGTTCCTGTTTGTTGGTCGATCACTGCCTTGTTCATAAGCCCGGTGGCTCTGACTGCGTGGCTAGCATGTCTATATAAGTCGTGATTCCTAGGCAGTTCATTTTTTTTGTCTTCTCAACTACAATCATGAACGTTGGTTTTCTCATCTTGAGAATCAAAAACTGCTTAAGCCCTAACCCGAAGGTCCTTAGCATCCAAAACCGTCACCCCTTTTCCAACAGCCACAGACCCCTAATAATACAGTAAGACATCCACAGCCCTCCCCTCGCCCTCACCTCAATCACTGCTGCACAACTTACTTCGACGGTGGTGCGGGCTCCCCTGTCGTTGGGAAGCTCATAAAGATTTTGAAATAATAATTCTGATTAGAGTCAGCAAGAGACCTCTCGAACCCTTCCAAAAAGCCACTCACATAAATCATCCACTGCAGCCCCGTCTACGTCCCAATCATGACAATCCTTACCCCCAGCCCATTCCACAACCCCGTGAACCCAATATCCTTATAAGTCCTGCTCATTACCTCGCCAAATCCCTCATCTGACTTGCAATACACATTCAACTTACTGACCATCACGTCTGCGGGATGGGACACCACAGCACACAATATCCCCGCCAGATACCCCACGGTGAACGACACCCCCCTCTGCGCCGCCCTGCCATAATCGCTCTTCTTTCCGGGCAACCCCTTCTAAAAAATTAGCTCAACAATCGTCTTGAACGAAGCAAACTTCATCGTACACGGAATCTGCCTGCTCCAAAAGGTATATAACCCCTTATACAGCCCACCCACCACCCCCTCCGCGGCAGCGATCGTCCTCAAGCCGTCCCCCATGCCCTTATAAGGGCTCGAATTTCCGCCTGCATCCTCACCTTTACCGCCTCGAGCGGACATGGCGCGATACCTGCCAAAAAACTCTGCCGCCTCCGATGCAGCGAGGTATATCTCCGTTTTGTACCGACATGCGTTTTCTGGGCCGGCCAGGTCGGAGTACATCTTTTTGAAGACCTCGTACCACCCTACTTGAAGGAGCTCTGCGCAGAGTAGCCAAGGAAGGTAGGCACCCAGCCAGTGAAAATACCCCGGAGGCCGAGCTCGTGGCGGTAGATGTGCTGTAGACCGCGGATGCTGGAGGGGTAGAGGGAGGAGTCGACGTGGCGGCGGACTTTGGCTAGGTCGAGGGGAGTTATTAGGGTGTGGGTTAAGCCCTGGGACAGAGATGTGAGCTTTGGTTATATTTTGTTAGGGAGGGAAGGGGGATGTGAAGGGGCTTACGCAGACAAGGAGACCAACGAGTGTGCAGGCCGCATAATGCTGCCCTGAGCAGAGCTTGATGTGGCCGGGCTCGGGCTTGATGATGGCAGTCGTACTGGAGATGAAATAGGTAGAATAGAGGTCCAGACGGGATTCATATGGTGTGTGTCCGTGTTCAATTTGCCTTGCAGGCGGCGAACTGTTTGGGGATGATCTCCCCAATGTCTCCTACTTAGCTTGGATGCTTGGGAAGAAAGGCATGATGGGTGATGTAGACGCAGACGCACTGGTTTAGGCCACTTTGATGGACATAGAGTGAGAAGCAAATGGCTTTGCTCAAAACAGAAAGGAGTTATATCCCTCCTTGGAGAGGTAAGCCTCAGGAAACCATGCAATAAGCAGTCATCTTCTGTCTCCCTGCTTAAACTCATGCGCTCGTTCTTTGTCAAGCAGGCTGACTACGCGCGAGGCAAGGATCTATTCTACAGAGCCATTCAAGCTTTCAAGACAGACTCGTGGTTCATAACGACCCGAACTGGAATGGAGCGTGGTACCGGTTAATATAAGCCCAATCGATGATGTCCATTTGGGCACCGCTGTCTACCAGTGTTAATGCTTTATGATTCCTCCAACGCGCTTTGACCCAGAGTCGGTTGTCGTTCTTGGAAGTCTGGGTCGCAGCCACTTCTCGGGCACACCCCCTTAGGTGCTTGGTTCTGGGGCCTCCTGAAGGCCCCTAATGCCCGTTTCCCGACTTCAAGAAGCTGGAATAGAGAACGTCCTTCGCAGTCGAGGCTCCCGTTTTCTCGTTATCGTCATACTCCCATTTCCGAAACTGCAGTCGTGTCGATTCAGCTCGTTCTACCGCATGGATTTCTGCCGCCTCCTCTGCTTCCACAATAGCGCTTCCATTTTTTGGCGCTGGTTTCCAAGGGTTCTTTGGCGCCTTGCGCGTCTTCCTATTGTGGCCCTTCTGTCCGCAATGGTAACAGACAAGCTCAGTCTTGGCCTTCTGGGCTGCGTCAATGTCCATGGGCCCGGCGTGGGTACCTGTGGCGGTCGACCTGGACGTCATCTTCTTTGATTCCTTGCCGTATATGGTCGTTTGTTTCCCCGCGCCGGTCTTCTCTTGTCGCTTCTGTTGGCGCCGCTCGTAAAGTCGGTTGTCGATCCAAACTACCATCTTAATGTATTCGACTAGAGTCTCGGGTTGATCCATCTTATATATTTCGTCCTTAACTTCCTCCTTCAGCCCTCCGTAGAAGAGTCGGATGAGGCCTTCTTCATTGATGCCGGAGTGAATGGAGTCCTGCCGGAATCGAGCAGCATATTCAGCGGCTGACTTGGTCTGTCAGAGCCGCCCCAGTCGCCCTTGGGCGCGAAGCTTCCGGTCAGGGTCTCCGAATACCTTGGTGATTTTTCTGCAGAGGCCTCGAAACTGGTAAAAATCTTCCGCGTGAGAGGTAGTCGCTCGTCGTGGTCGTGCTCCACATAGTCGGTCAAGGTCGGTTGGAACCACTGCATGGCCTTCCCTTCCAGGCGAGAGCTCGCATATGCTACCTTGGAGGCCTCGGTCGTGAACTGGTTCGCGATTGACCTTGAAGTACAGTCGCAATTTAACGAGGAACTTCACGAGCTCTTCGCGGTCACCCTTGTACGTGGGTGGTGGTTCAACCTTCGATCGTTTTTCTTGGACGATCTCGACACGGGTCTGGTTGCTCCCGCTCCGCAGTCGCGCAACTTCAGCCTCGAGCCTTTACACCGTGGCGATGAGGTTCTGCAGGAAGTCCTCAGAAGCCTGAGGGACCGAAGGACCTTGAGGGGTCACAGGGACGTCGTTTACATTGTCGCTAACAGCGGACATCATGATGGCGGTTTTGTCGCACCATCTTCCGGAACTGAACCGACCTCAGAACCAAAAGGGAGTCAGCAACTTGTGACGATTCCACAACCTCCTGGGATGGGTTCGAAGGTAGTAACCAGGTTGTAGGACCAGAGGGATTAGGGTCCTCACACAGTATCGTGGCTTACTGCGGTCACCAGTTGTTGGTTAACAACTGTTTTTATTGCTGACTGAGGAAGTCGTCATTGTAGTCCTAGAGATTGGAGATTCTATATACAGATTTATGCTCGAGGACCGTTGGTATGCCTGCCCTGCCATTCAAACTATCATCGACCGATTTCACGGTTATCGTCAAGGGTAGAGGTCGATTATCGGTGGTTCTTGGCGTCGATGATCTTTTCCTGCTTGTGTTGGTCCGTCTCCATGTCCCCCTCAATGCTTCCCTGTTGCGGAGCGGCTGCTGGTCCGCATCTTTGGCACCGGTGATTGGCTGTTGTCTGAGTAAATAAATAAGTAGACAGACAAGGGTTGCTTCAGCAACGCTATCATAGGCTGGTCAAACTGAAACAGCGTTCGTTATCCCAAACCTTGAATTGAGAAGAAAAGTGGTGTTGTTCAGCTAGACTGTTGTTGTTTGAAGCACTTTAATATTCTGCTAATAAGAGAATTTCTCATGAGGTTCTCAAAGCCTATATTCATCTCTGCGGACATGTTGAAGCTAGGCACGTATCACGTCTCTTGAGCCGTATTGCGAAACCGAGGCTTCACAGCCAACGCTCAACCCTAACCCTTCAATATGCATATGTCGACGGTGGCCGGAAGCCCAAGTTCGATCATGTCGATGACGTGGTGAACTTGATGTCTTTAGGTAAACGATAAGTCAGAGGAAGATCAAAATGGATTACAAGACCATGATTCTTTGTTTCATGTCCAGAGGGAAGGTGGAGCACCTTCCGAGAGAAAATGATTCCTTTTCCTGTGTTCTACTGGTTCTTATAGCTTAACACTCTTGCGTCTATTCTGCCATACCCAGGGCTTTCAGGTCGCCATTTAAGCCACTTCTCTCCGAAGTTCCTCTCGCATACGACCATACCCAGTGGAAAATTCGGCATCCCGTCCGCTCTGCCTTAGACAAGTCACTGAGGGTGGAGTTAGTAGTTGGGTCGGTGACGACCAGCGAATCCTCCATGTTGTATGTTTCTATCTTTTTATCTTCGATTCTCATCTCTTTTTTATCTCTGGATCTCTCTTGCATCCCAGGCTTTTAGTTCTCAACTTTACGAATCGGCTATTTTACTAGACCGATGTCCTACATGTATAGGTTGGTCTCTAGTTGGTTTCAGCCAGCCCCGAGCATTGTATTATTGAAGAGCGAGAGGCGGAAATCCGCGAATCGGACGTCTATCCCATTTGACCGATCTGCATGCTTCGTCAATCAGATGACCGTCTTCTACAAGAATTAGGGTAGTGAGGGGCAAAGTTGTCCAATCCACTTTGACTAACTATCAATGTTGACTGTCAAAGGACATTTTGCTCGGTGTGAATTGCACCGATTCTAGGCCTCGACTGAAGACAGCTGGAGTTTGTTTCTGTCCGCGATTGGCGCCATACATCAGTTATGATGTGCTGATGCGCTGATGCAACCTGTTCTGTTTCCTCCCATTCGTCATCCAGAACTCCCATCACCAATGGTCTCGTCGTCATAGTCGGACGCACCGGAACTATTCGTTCCACAGGCAGCGTCTCACCCAAACATGCCATTATCTATACTACCTACCTACCCATGTTATAGCAGCCAAAATGGCATAGTAAACCATCGCAGTATTGTACTGACGATGCGGCTGCCGATAGCGGATAAGGGATGAGGGGTCAAATCGAAAGTTGGAGAGCTGAATGGCGATCTGAGCCCAAGCAGTGGACCTGCTGAACGCATCGTGACCGCATCGCCGATCGCCGTCAGCGAGTCAAACCGTCAACTGCGGCTCCCGAGATGGGATCAGCTCCAAGCTAGCAACGCAGGCTGCAAGCCACCGCGTGTGCAGCCCAGTTGTGCAAAACCGTCCGATCCGGGTTTCTGTACCGTTGGGGCTCAAAAAGAATTGAGAGAGTTGAGTGGTCGATGTTGTGATTGTATTTCTGAACTATATACACACGCACGCGCACACACACACACACACACACACACACACACACACACACACACACACACGCACCATGGGTAGGGAACAACACTTACACAGCGCTCAAGCATTGTAATGCTATCGCTTAGACTATAAATCCCAACTAACCACTGAGCACAGATTCTCACTTTTCTCTTTCTGAAGGTTTCTTCAACGTCGCCGAGTAGCAGCAATCTCTCAGGCGCCGACGACAACTTACACATTCTCATCCCTCCATCGTCACTACCCATCGCTCGCTCGCCCACAAACCAAACACAATTACCATGTCCCCAACTGTATACACACCTCCACAGACAGCCCCTCCATCTCCCAGTGAGGGCCCTCTCTCCCCCCCCGACACCGACGACCCCGCCAATCATCCCATCCCGCCAACTCTCTACATCCCCATCAAGCCCCTAACCATCACCCTCGACGCCTGGGGCCTCTCCCTCCTCTCAATATCTCTCGTCCTCGGCATTCACTTGATCGAGCGCCCCGTGCTCTCAGCAGTCATCCTCCTCACTCCCATCGCCCTCCTCATCCGCACCGACTACCACAACTTTCTTGCCCTCGGCCCCGGCAGCACACCATCTACCCCCGCCGGCTACCTCTACCTTTCCATCCTTCGCTTCTTCGCCCTCAGCGACCCCTTCCATCCTCCCCGTTTCTGGCCCAACCTGGCGCAAAAGCCTGCCCATGGCATCCTTTCCCCCATCGACTCTTCAACTCTAGGAAAACACCCAAAACTTAAAGGCCTTCCCTACCGCACCGGCCCTCGTCCCCCAACAGCCGGCCTCGCCCCTCAACGCCAACTAACTCAACACTCCCCCGCGCACATCACCCACCTCCTTCGCCAGACCCTCCTACACCTCTCCTCCCAACACCCTGCCCTACTCACAACGGCCCGCTCAAGCCTCGAACTAAACGGTCTCGCGCTCTTTGCGAAAAACCCCGTCAACGTTTGCGGCAATGGGGAAATATTGCATGTGCATGCGATCGATCGGAGCATGCATATGAACCTGCATCCGGAGGATATCGAGGAAGTGTTGGGAAAGGGGTGGGGAGAGCGGCATCCACTTGCGTGGGAGGAAGGGAGGGACAAGTGCGGCGGGTGGGTGAGGAGTCCGGTGCCGGGGACGTTTGTTATGGTTTATGCGCCAAGAGGTAAGTTTTGTCGGTTTGTGGTTTTCGGTGTTTTCTCTTTTTTTTTCTCTTCTTCGGGTTGAAGGGTGTGGTTAGAATTGGCTGTTGTCTTTTCTTACCTCTTGTATTGTTGTGTTGCGCTTGAGGTGCTGTGACCTCGGGAGAACAAGATTTCACATGTGCTTCTTTCCCCTCCTACATGCTCTCCCCCTCCCAGAGCCCAAACACTAAAAATCTTGATCTCTTAGATGAAAACGACCTCCTCGCGGTCTGCAAGATTATCGAAGCTGCCATCTGGTGGACAGCCGCCGAGAAGATCGAAGTCCTTCCCCCCTCTTCATCACCCTCTCCGTCAACAACGTTTTCAGACGACGTGGTCAATGGAGCCGGGAATGGGGATGAACTTGAGGCCGAAGAGGATGAGAGGAAGGTTTCTAAGTGCTGTGCTGGCTGTCAAGCTTGAATAGGGTGCAGCATCATAGATCGGTGGTGGTTGACTTGTAAGGTAGCGCCCAGAAACGGACTAGACACGGCAATACAGGTCCATAATGGCTTCTTTCTGCTGAAGTCTTTTATTCCGATGCTTTACTCTCCATACCTCCTTCAAGATACCAACTTTCCCATGCGTTAAGCCCTCCCGCCCTACCATCCATTTATCCATGCCGACCGGATACCGTGGACCGAACCAATATCACGACATTCTCGTATGATATCCTCCCTGCCGTCGCACCCGGCCCGTTCCAACACTCGACAGGGGACCTAGCCATATATGTAGTACCTATACTACATACATAGCAATATCTACTTCCCGACTCCCTCTGTCATAGACATTTCAATCCCAACCCGCATATTCCCCTTTGACTACCGTCATATTTCGTCGTACGACCTGACATCACCTGATAAGGGGTGACATTGCATCGCTCAGTTACACTCCATTCTCCCAGGTCTAAGCCAGACCTCGGAAGGATTTTGCACAGTGGCTTCATCATCATCAGTCTGGGCACACTTTACAAGCCTTGGTAGGGCCGGCTTTTCTTATCTCATACCCCCCTTTCATATTTTCTTTAACCTTTTCCCTCTTGCCCTTCAGTTACTTTTTTAACATACGAGACACACAGAGAGAGAGAGAGAGAGTGTGTGTGTGTGTGTGTGTGTGTGTGAGAGAGAGAGAGTCACAGTCACGACACAACATCTGGGAAACGCGAGACCATCCAAACACACAAAAACAACACTACAATAATGCTTTACACAACAACAACTCCAGCCATCCTATGTCTTTCTTTCTTTCTTTGCCCAATACGCCAACGACTTTCCTGTCCAGACTACCACCCACTCTCATGGATGAGAAAAACGACGACAAAGGAATAGAAAAAGAGAAAGGACAGGGCTATATGCTTGACAATACCGTTTTGTTTTCTCTAAGTCTCCAAGTCCCCATTTGTCTCTTTCCCTTCCTCTGTCGTGGTGGACGAGCGATGTTCATTTAGGTATCGAGAGGGACAATAATAATCAGATATCCCTCTTTTCTTTTGCTCACCCCGCCCTTATGAGCCCTCAACACGGAAATCGCCACAGCTGTCGAGTAGAGACAAAGACCTCCCCACACGCCAGATTGGCCACCACTTGGATCCCCAGAACGACGCTCACAAGCAACAAGCAATAACCTACCCAAACACTCGGTACCCGTTTAGTACACGCGCTTCATGGGCGGCACAGGCTTGCACTCGTTCTCGTCCAGGGTGTTGGTGATGACGCGGCGGTACTTGAGCTCGACAGGGCCATGAGGCTGCTTCTGCCAGCTGAGAGTGTGCTTCATCCAGTTCTCGTCGTCGCGCTCGGGGTAGTCCTCGCGGGCGTGAGCGCCACGAGACTCCTTGCGGGCAGCGGCGGCGTGGGCGGTCTGGGTACTACATTTCCGATCATCGTCAGCATGCTTCTTTTCGTATCAGAAGTCTAGCGTCACTTACGCGCAGGTGAGCAGGTTGCGGAGCTCCAGGGTCTCGACGAGATCCGAGTTCCAAATCATGCTGCGGTCCTTGATGCCGATCTGGTTGAACATTTGGTCGATCTCCTTGATCTGGCGGACACCCTCGTCCAAGCTCTCCTGGGTGCGGAAGACGCTAACCTCGCGCTGCATGGTCTTCTGCATGGCGAGACGGACCTCAGCAGTGCTCTTGGGACCGTCCGAGGTGCGGATCTTGTCGAGGACCTCGATCGACTCGTGGCCAATGTCGGCTTCGACAGGCTTCAACTTGGCGCCAGGAGTGAACTTGTCGCGGATGGTGTGTGAGACGGCACGGCCGAAGACAACCAAGTCGAGAAGCGAGTTGGCACCCAGGCGGTTGGCACCGTGGACAGAGACGCAAGCAGCCTCACCGCAAGCGAACAGGCCAGGAACAACCTTGTCGTTGCCGTTTTCGTCGATGGTGAGCACCTCACCAGTGTAGCGAGTCGGGATACCACCCATGTTGTAGTGGACGGTGGGCAAGACAGGGATGGGCTGCTTGGTGACGTCGACACCAGCGAAGATAGCAGCCGTCTCCGAGATACCGGGCAGACGCTCCTTGAGGACCTCAGCAGGCAGGTGGCTGAGCTGCAGGTAGATGTGGTCCTTCTCAGGGCCAACACCGCGGCCCTCGCGGATTTCCAAGGTCATGGAGCGGGAGACGACATCACGGGAGGCAAGATCCTTGGCGGTCGGAGCATAGCGCTCCATGAAGCGCTCACCCTTGGCGTTGAGGAGGAAGCCACCCTCACCACGGGCACCCTCGGTGATCAGGCAGCCAGCGCCATAGATACCGGTGGGATGGAATTGCACGAACTCGAGATCTTGGTTGGGGAGGCCGGCACGGGCAACCATGGCCATGCCGTCACCGGTGCAGGTGTGGGCCGAAGTGCAGCTGAAGTAGGCACGGCCGTAGCCGCCGGTGGCCAGAACGGTGTTGTTAGCAAAGAAGCGGTGCAGCGTGCCGTCCTCCTGGTTATAGGCCAGGACACCGCGGCACTCGCCGTCCTGCATGAGCAGGTCGATGGCGAAGTACTCGATGAAGTAGTTGGTGTTGTGGCGCAGGGACTGGCCATAGAGGGTGTGCAGAAGAGCGTGGCCGGTACGGTCAGCAGCAGCGCAGCAGCGGTAGGCCTGGCCGCCCTTGCCGTACTCCTTGGACTGGCCACCGAAGGCACGCTGGTAACTGGGGTGGGGGGAGGGAGGTCAGTATGTGTTCTTTCTCTCCTTCTCACTCGTGGACTCACATCTTGCCGTCCTCGGTTCTTGAGAAGGGGCAGCCATAGTTTTCGAGCTCGATGATGGAGGCAGGGGCCTCGCGCGTCATGTAGTGGATGGCATCCTGATCACCGAGCCAGTCGGAGCCCTTGACGGTATCGAACATGTGCCACCGCCAGTCGTCCTCATGCATGTTTCCGAGAGCGGCATTGATACCGCCCTGGGCAGCAACAGTGTGGCTCCGCGTGGGGAACAGCTTGGAGATGCAAGCCGTGTTGAAGCCGGCCTCAGCCAGACCGAAAGCAGCACGAAGGCCGGCACCGCCGGCACCGATGACAACCGCATCGTACTCGTGGTCCTAGAAATAGAGCAAGCGGGGTTAATTGCTGTCTCTACCTTTACTCCGCGGGGCTGGGGGAACTTTAAAAAAGTTTAAGAGGTTGGGGGGGATGGGGGGTTCCGGGTGGCACATACGATGACGGCGTACTTGTTGCTGACGTGCGGCGACGCCTCCTTCGCGCGGAGCACGCCATTCGGGACAATGACGCGGGCTATTGAGAGCCGAGACAGTCAGTCACTGAGCATATGCTACAAGAAGGGAGTGGGGGAAAGAGAGGGAGACAAAACATACCGGCCGGCCGCGTGGTGGAAAAGGCCCGGACCGAGGGCCTAGCGGCGCGCGCGAGCTGTGCAAAATGCGGTCAGCCAACGTCACAAAATGAAGTTTTTGCTCAAAAATACACAGGCAAGACCCCATTTCCGTCGCAACCTCTCGGTGCGAGAATAAACGAGAGGGGAGGGGGGAGGGGCAGGGAGACGAAGGGGGGCACCAAAAACCCAGCCCAAGACCAACAGCAACGACGATGGCTTCAAAGGAAATCCGCGCATAACCATCATCAAGCGTAACTTACCGCCGGCGTCGAGGCGAGACGTCTCCAAGCCATTGAGGATGCCATTGTCAAGTTATCGCGGGCTAGAGGGCGAGGAGGTGGTGGGCATCAGGCAAAGGCAGAGGGACGGGAAACGTTTCGTGGTGAGGCTCCTCTCGGGTCGAAACTCAAGAGAACTTCAACTTCAGGTTCATTCAATCGTCCCGGTCATGGGTCATGCACTTTCGCCTCGACGCTTCCAAGTCCCGAGCCACACCAGCTGCTGCTGGCCCTCTAGCCAATCAGACAAAACTGATTACCCGAGTTGCCGGTGTGGCCCGCGTTTGGCCCACACTGCGATTGGCCTGCCACCAGACGGCCGCTGAACGGGCACTGCGTAGAGGAACATGGAGGAAGCTGCCAATGGTGGGGCTTGCTTAGTGTGGAGTCCAGCCAATGGTGTTCGAGCCTCGGAATTAAAAGACGCGACGTTGGGCTTTCCCCGATCCATCGCTTCTTCTCAGATCGATCGGCTCAGCTCGCACTGAGGCATTGGCCTGACCGTAGCGCAGTTATTGAAGGAGACGTCAACTGTGCCTTTGAGTCCTGTCTTTGTCTAAGGTAGGTACATACAGTACCACGATCTCTCAGACTACCAAGTGAGGCCATTTCCTATGGCGGGGCTCCCTGCCCCGCGGCTGTTGCGGCCGGCAGCGGCGGACAAGGCGCACGGCGAATCATGTGCTCGAAGGATTGCCCGATTTGGGGGACCTCGGCATGCCGACGGGCGATGGGCGCCGTTGCCAGGTGCCAGCCACAGTGTTGCTTTTGCCTTACACGTACTGTCAAGACATTGGTGAAATCATCAAAGCTGAGCTGTTGTATAACATGTGTAGGTAGTATCAAATCCATGACTTGAAAGACTTAAAACTTTGTTTGATTTCATTTTTCTTTCCCTCTCTCTAAAGAGAGATTTGCAACTCTACTACAGCAATAATCATTAAAGATACTAGTAATAATCCCGGTTGTCCAACTCGGAGGATGCTATTCGTTCCCACTTAGCCATAGGTGTTCGTGTCGATGTCCAAGTCTTTTAGGTCCTCTTTGTTTCTAAGTCCTTAGTCCTTCTCTAGGTTCTCTCACAGCATACCCAGACACTTTATGTGTGGCGTATAGGAAGGAAGGTAAAAAAAAAAAAAAGAGCCCACCCATGACAACAGGTCTAATCACCCTGTATCCCAACCTCTGGAACCAAGCCAACCCCTCTTCGACTCCCCTCCTACTCGGCCAGCACCCTCCTCAACATAGTCAAGAAATTCGCCTTCAACTTATGCACCTCCGACACTTCCGGCTTCTGGGGCTCGCCCGCATTTCTCCTCAGCCGATCCTGTCTGCGCGCACGCCGTTTGCGTTCCGCCTCAATAGGATCCAACTCATCCTCTTCCTCAGCTTGCTCCTCGTCATCCGAATCATCCTCATCATACCCCATCTCCGCCAAATCATCCTGATCGAGGCCAAAGTCTGCCGACCGGAATGCCGTCAAACCCGGCATGACCGCATCGCTCGCTCCGTCGGGCGGCGGTCCCCCCTCAGCAGCCATCTTCTGCCGAGTTTTGTTGTGATGCCAGCGCTTGCGTGCTTCCTGCCACGCAATGAGCTGATCGATCTCAGCGATGGCCTTGTCCTTGTCAATCAGTCCAGAACGGACGGCCTCCTCGAACAGCGCATTCATATCGAGCGCGCCGTTCTTGGGCCCCTTGCGCAGGAACTCGAGGATGCCTTCGATCCAGCCCATGAGCTGAGTAAACAGGCCGTTGTCGTGCGTATGCACTTCGTGCACAAACTTGTAAAAATTATGCTCGTGCCGCTGGCAGAGGTCGATGAAGGCCTGCACCGTCTGGTTAGGATCCGCGGACGCATCTTGGTCTCGACACCTCTCCACGACCTGGATTAGGTCGTCGACAAACTGCGCAAAGTCCGTCACGCTGTTGTAAACGTTGGCCGACTTGTACACGCGTACGAGCGGCTCGTAGAAGATGGTAAACAGGTCACGGAAGAGCTGGAGCGTCACCGGCTCCTCGATCAGGCTCAGCATCATCGCCTTGTCGCGTTGCCGCATGTACAGCTTCATCAGCTGCTTGAGATATGAGAAGAGCTCGGCGCCCTGCCGCAGGTCCGCATCCACGTTTTCCACTGCATTGTTGAATGCTACATAAGCATTGCACAACTGTTCAAGCTGGGCCGACTCCAGCGGGGGCCCGAGGAGCTCAGACCGGAGAATGGCCACAATGATATCAACCCCATCGCCAGTCGCTTCCTGTCTGATGGCTTCCTTGACCTGCTCTTCGGCGTCCGTGTATGCCTTCAGCTTGCTCACAAAGATGGGGTCGCCAATCTTCTCCGCGAGGATATCGATCGATCGCTGGAAGCCCCTGATCCCGTCGTGCAGCGTTAAAGCGAATATGCGCTGCATCAAAGATCGTGTTCCGAAAGGCTGGGCCAAAAAGATGTCCAGGATGCTAGACATGACAGCTGCCGGGTTGGCCACACGAATGACGTTCTTCATCAGAGTGTATGGGATCAGGGAGTGAATCTTCTTGGCCTGAGCGAACAGCTCCGGCGAGTTATCTTCAGCGAGGAAGAGATGGTAGATAGTTGCTGCAACCTCGATGCGGAGCCATTCGGCAAACTTCTGATACTGCAGGCTCAGGTCTTGTATGGTTTCCTTTTCCCGGATCTCCTTGAAGAGCATGGTTAAACCGTTCCGCTCTACTATGTCTTGACGGAATCTGGACAACGTTAGTATATCGGAGTCTTTCGTTACTCTAAGGGAACAACCTACTGTTCCATGTAAACATCCAGCTCTGCCGCACGCTTCCTCGCAATTTCGTAGAACCTCTTCTGCTCCTCTACTCGCCGTTGATCAAGCAGCTTCCGACGAGCAATATCCTCGCGGTCTTCATCGGTCAAGGTGATCGGTTCTGCTGTCAAAAAGTCCTCAATAGCCTTAGTGTTGGCGATCTGGGAGTTCTGTAGTAGGGACCGTAGGAAAGCACGCAGCGAAACTCTCTGGCTCTCCCGCCATAATATGACAGGCTCTTGCGCTTGGGGAGTTTCAGGACGCCGGAGCGAAGGGGTCTTAGACCTCCCATTCCTAGTGTCCACTGATGACCGAGGAGAAAGCCCGTCGCTCGATTGGTCTAGTCACCAGTTAGCCTTGATCACCTGAATGATGTGCCATCACCTACCCTTAATCGATAGCCTGTGAGCCGTGCTGCTCCATCGAGCCGACTGCGTCGAATGGATGGAGCCATTGGCCGAATGTCTACTCCGAAGCTGAGTCGAGACAGACCAAACAGACTCCGTATCCGAATTGTTGCCATCGACGCTAACTCCCATGTTAAGGGCCGTCATGTTCGACTTGTTCTTGTGCGGAAGGGAGGGGAGGATCTTCCCTGGGAGCTCGGTGTGTAGCCTCTTGTGTAATCGAGCGAAGTCTCCGTATCGCCGGCCAATGTGATATTCGGCGCCGTTTTTCCTCTTGACCCGGAGGATGAATTCCTTTTACACATGCTGTTAGTAGTCTGCAGTCACACCCCGGCACGAAGATTCAAACCCACAGCGTGCTTACGGTGCCGGAGCTTCCTCCGTTCCGAGATCATCCGGACACCGGCGACGTTCACGTCCCATCCGTTCAAGTAGTTGCCCTCGGGGAGCGTCGTGAGGACACCCGTCTCGGTCGGATTGGCGTCGACGATTTCGATTTCGGAGAACCTTATCCTCTCCTCAAAACCCGAGGCAGTCGGGATACCCGACACCATCATCAGCTCGACCAGCTTCTTGGCCTTGTTAGCGAGCTTTCGCCTCTTGGTCTCTTCCAGGCGGTCCTCCGAGGACGAGATGTTTTTGTTTGCAAAGCTCTCCAGGAACTAGGGTGTGTCAGCCTCAGCCAATCAACTAAAAAACAATAACTGAGAACAAAACCTACCACTTGCAACTTATCCTGCCAAAACTCCTTCTCTCTGGCTTTGTCCAGAAAGGGAAACTCTCGGATATGGTGGACGAAGATGTACCTCAAAATGGGCAACTCCGAGTCTAGAGGCGACACCTCGCCCACATCGGACTTGAAAGGGGCGCCAAACCGGCGAAGGGCCGTGGGAGAGTTGAGCTCTGAGATCTCCCATTTGACTTGCTCTGAGATAAGTTCGCGCTTCAGGTCTGGAAGGTGTGTAGCACAAGCGCAAGGCGCGCCAACAGGCTTGGTCAGTCCATGCTAACATGTATGGCTTTATGGGCAGAGAGTAACCGACAATGCTCTTGTTTTCCTGTCAACAATAGGTTTTGTTGTTCGACCCCTGGCGATGCTCCGTTTCGGAGAGGTTGTTTCTGAGACTGGGGCTGGCCCGGCTCCGAGATCTTGCTCGCGCCGTTGACTTGAGTCGGAGCGGGATCGGGAGCGGCCATTGTCGTCGCGGGGGCCCGGGACTCCAAAAAGCTTGCAGCCCTTCCTCCCAACGGTCCGGTGCAATCTGCACACAATATCCAATAAGGTCTGGGCTGCTGATCGAGGGTGATAGAGACTGTTCTTTTTTGATGTTTGCTTCTATCCGTATTGTCGTAGGTCCCGGATTGGGTAAACGCCTTCAACCCCTGCGGTCAGACCGAAGGACCGGGCGAAATGCCAGGAACCTGGTCACGGGAGGCTGACAAAAAAGGGCAGAATCTGGCACCTTCGTGCGCCTGCACTGCGGTTGAGGCTGCCGAGCTAGCAGTAGGTTGGGCTAACTGTAAGTAATGGAAGCTTCTGTGCAAAGGCGGTAACCTCTTCCCGATTGTCTGGACGGGCCTGCGACAAAAAAAATACAGGACAAGGGAGAAAGAGCAAGCCGACAACGGGTTACCAGGAGACAGCACAGGGAAAGAAACACAGCTCAGGCCGGGAACTTGTTCTTGAAGTAAGACAAGGCAAGTGTTGTGCCGATCGTGGGTGTTTCCGTCCAGCAGGAATAGTACTTCTTATTAAGCACTCAAATCTTCAGCAATGCACCCCTTTTATGGCTTGTTGCCCACTCCTATAATAGACCGTTGGATACGGAGCAGGGCAGGGTGTGTAGAAGTCAAGCCACACTGAGTGATACGTATTGTCGATCAACAGCACCACCACGTTGTGATTCGACGCTGTCAAATGGCCAAAAGGAATGGGGACATTTTCATGTGAAATCCTGAATTCCCCCAAGACTGGGGCCGCTACGGAGGATCTCATCACTTGTACCGCTGGGACCCGTTCTTGGATAGCGGGACGAGGATCCGCACTTCCTGGATGTGCACAGCTGCAGCGCGCTACGCGCCTCAGGTTCACGTTGACCGCCTTGCGCAGTGGATTCCCTGATGGCACCCGATGACGCATTTGGTTGGTGGCGCAGATCTCTCTGAGCTCGCAAGGAGACCCAAATGACGTTGGCTTGGCATGCCTTTTTGCCCAGAAAATCAACGATCACTGGCACAGGCCCGCGCTGTGTTGGCCCAGTGCCGAGTGGTGCAGATATAAAGACGATGATAACGACAATGAGGGTGTTGGCCATTGTCAATGAAGCCATTTGGTGCAGATCATCTAAACAGAAAGCAAGATGCTATAGTTCCCCAACAATGTGGCTTGGACATTTTGCCATATCCCAGCGATGTCATTGTCCGTTGGCAAATCTCGTCTCGCCCCATTCCATTCAATAGCAGTGGACCTTTCTGTGAGGCCTCACAGCCCCTCACTGCCCAAGAGGTACCTGTTTTGTGTCATCATTGCCCGTAGGATCTGAGTCTGTTCATGCAGACACTGTGCCCGGAAATCACGACCCGGGACGTCAGGACATATTGGTCCTCTAATACTTCCAGGCGTTTATGAACATAAATATCGTGATGCTACTTGGGAGATATTCATCCATATTGGAACTCTTATTGGAAAGGAATGAGGAGCAAAAGTGCTTACTGACTATATGGGTATCAACAAAAAATCGCCGCGACATGCAAGTTCCTGTGCCAAACACTTGCTCCACGTCTTAAAGCTCATTAAAAGCCCTTAGCATATCGTCCATCAACAAAGGGGTCTCGTAAACCGCCGTGCTGTTGATCTGGGACGAGCTCAGAGGCTGAGCCTCTGGAGGATTCCAAAGTGTAGCATCCATTTCAACGCTAGCTCCATCTTCACTGCCATCCAACCCGCTGCCCCCACTACCAGCAGGCGCAATGGCATCCGAGCCATCGCCCACAAGATGCGTGGACAACGCATTCTCCACACCCGTACCCTCGGGTCCGTACTGCCCAGTCACGAATAGCGCAATAAGGACAAAGGTCACAACTGACGTGATGGCCCAGCCAATCGTCAGCCGCTTCCGCGTCCTCTCCTGCCATGCCTTGTCTGCGCGCTGCCACCTGTCGATGCGCTGACTGACGGCGTCGACCCGCTGGCTCAGCGACCGAATCATTTCCTTGCCTTTGTAAATGCGGCCCTGCAGTGCCGCGATGCGCTTCTGCTGGTCTTCGAACTGCCCGAACGCGTCGAGTTGGGTGCTGATGTCTCCCACCATTTCATCGGTTTCTGTCTTGAAATTGCTGTTGAGCTGCCGTGTATGGTCAGAGAGCTCTTTGAGTGCCGAGATCGTGCTCTGTAGTTGGTTGAGCTTCTCGAGAACAGAGTAGTATGCATCTTCCAGCTGTTTTGCGGATGAGTTTGCGAAAGTCTCAAGTTCGGAGACAGACTGTCGAAGAGCCCTATGTAGCATGGTTGTCAGCAACTGGACAAGATTGAACAATGAGAACCCGGGCCATCCAACAAACCTCTCTCGAGCAGCTGCATTCTGTAATGTGTGGACGCGATCTTTGTCCCTGACCCGGGCTGGTTCCTTCACTACTTGCACAGGCTCTTTCGCGGGCTCTTTAGGCTGCCCATTTTCTTTGGAGAGCTTTATGATCGGCATATTCTCGTTTATTGAAGTGTAGAGGATGCTCTCGTGCTGGTTGGAGTTTAGGGTGAGGCTCGGGGCAACTCCTTCGGAAACAGGTTTCTCAAGTACGAGGTGGTTGTGAGTTGCTGGTACTGTCTGCTGTGGAATAGAGGCATTTGTTTCTCGTTCGCTATTCTGATCCTTGCCTGTACGATGGGACTGTTGCCGACTCAGGCGAATGGGCGATGAGATCTCGGAGAGAGACCGCGAGATCTGATGCCGAGCGCGGCCTGACGGCGATGCCTTGGATGCATCGTCGCCATTTTGGGCCATCGTCTTCTTGGCCTCCTGGGGTAGAACGGAATCCACAGGGTTGATGAGTTGCACAACAACACCAGATGCTCGCTTCACCGAGGCAAGTGGTTTGTGAACAGGTCAAATGTCGGCGTTTGCATTGCGGCATTAGCGCGGTGCAAGCCTGAATGGACGATTGCAGTGGACAAGGGAGGGGTGGGGCACAGCACGGTTGGCTGACGAGAGGAACATGTGATGAACCATTCTTTTTATGGTTGTACGATGTCCCTCCACTACAACCTGAAACATGGCACCTGATGCTTGTAAGTCAGCTTAATATTTACTTCAGCCTTGTGAATATTAACATTTTTGGTAGTATCACTGGGCTGTGTAAAATGTCAACACCTGGGTATCACGTCTCCTTGTCCTGCTCTCATATTCTCAAACATTATGAACGCATGTTTCTTTGAGATATCGTCATCTTAGCTGGAGCGATCACCAAGCTTCTTTAGCCCATTGAATGAGGAAGTTCATATATCTTGACCACAAATTGCGGAGCTGTCATGACTCCGAATATATGGGAGTCTGAATCGCAAGACAGTCAATCCCTAAAGGGTCCAGCATGAACCCTGAGGCTGTCAGCAACCTCTTCGCCCCAGATGTGTGCCCTTCGCCTTTTTTCCTCCTTTTGTTGCTGGACTTGCTGGACAGACTCTGTGCCCAGGAGATATCTGATCAGCTGCCATGTGAAGAGCCTTGGAGTGCATAGCACCAAGCTGGTAGACTGTATCATACCGTCTCTACTCACCAGATTGCTTTGCTACTGTGGATCAAGAATTGGCCTTACCACAGTATGAGATGCAGTCTGCACAGATAGAATCTAGGTCACAAGACCATCTGCGCTGCTATCAGTCCTCCCGCTGCGTGGCTCGCTCCCTTGGATATTAGGAAACCAATCCCCTGTTTTAGAGTTGTTCACAACCCTGAAATCTGCGCAGTCGTCGACCGTGTGCAAGTCCTCAGACCGGTTAGACACTCGCAAATCCAATATTGGATCCACAGTAGTAGGCCAATCTGGTGAGTAGAGACGGTATCTGGCTAACTTTAAGAGTTGAGAAGCTTGTTGCGCTTCTCCTTGCGCTTTAGCCTCTCCAGCCTCTTCTTATGCATCTTGGCGGCCAGCTGCTCGTAACGTTCCTTTTCCTCCTTCTTCTTCCTCCTTTCTTTTATGGCTTGAATCCTTTTCTGTTCAGGTAAACGCATTAGCCGACCTAGTTCGTATCTCCGAGGACTCGGAGTCAACGCATACCTGTCGCTCAGCTTCCTTTTCTTCCTTCATCTCCCTCTCCTTCGCCTTCATAGCGGCTTGCTCCTGGCGTTTCTTCACTCGAAGCTCCCATGATGTAAGGCCCTTCGTTGGACGGAAGGCCTTTTTGGCGGGAAGCCATACTTGACCTGGATTCCCAACATGTCAGAAAGCTCGATGGTCGCAAATATCCGGACAGCGCATACCGTTCTTCCGCATTCCTAGGTTCTTTTTCGTCGTCGCGGGCGCCGGCGCGGCAGTGATGTTAACTTGTGTCTCAGACATATTCATAATGATGTGAGAGCAATTAAACTCGAGCCAGGTCGTCGCTGTTTACGATTGCGGGCTGCCCGAGAGGTTGTGATCAAGTGAAAGCGGTGAACTTTCCGTTGGAAAGGATGGAAAATTTGGGCGGCAGAATTCTGCATGGATCTCCGGTCTTGGCGGGGCAACCTCCAAGCTCCGGGAGCCCAGGCAATCAGCTGCGGCTGCATGGACACCGAACCCCACCCTACCACAACCGTTCGTCCTCCTAAACCGATCGAAAGATGGAAAAGCTCTCATCCACGTGGCAGAAGCGCGTAATTTTCCGATGCGTCCAGTGGTTTGACCATCGCTCCAGACTTGAGGTGAACTCAATGGTTTATGCGATCGAACGAGCCGGTAGTATAAGGCTTAATTGAGGTCAAGTAAGCAATCTCTATGAAACACTCGCAACTAGCTGTCATTTTCCACACAGAGGAGTTACCCAGTAGTTGGTTGATCTAGACCACACGGTCAATATATGAAAGAAGAGCGGGATATTTAATCCTTGACATCTCTGTTAAGTGCTTAATCTCAATACATGGGGGTAATGAGTGCGGAAATTCGTCATCAAGTGACGAGATGTTGCGCCAATTTCAACTTAGCGATCGAGAAGCAAAGGCAGCAGCTATACCGTCTAGGTGTTCATTGATACTAAGTCTTTATTGAACAGATTCCTGGTTAGTAAAAGATGCAAAAGAAAACAGGCAAGGAGGTAGACTTCATCGAACATGCGAGACGACTACTCGAGGCCAAAGTACAAAGCCTAATGATCCAACTGAGGGTTTCTCGACCGCACAGCACCAGGTGACCTGTTGTCCCCTTTCTGCATACAGTACCTGTAGGTTTTCCTTTACAACTTAGATTTCTGCCTACTCGTGTTTGGGGAGACATTTCATATTTGCATGGCCTTTTCTATACATATTTGGTGAAAATCCAGTAGGTCAGTCAATTAGTATCCTGCCAAACCTCGGCGCATGGCTTGTCCGCTCCCACGGGGTTCAACTTTTACTTCATTACTGGCCGCTCCACTCTGCCTGCACTGTAATTCACACTGCCAACGGTCGGATAACTGCCGCTAAGGTTCCGGATGCTCCGATGCGCCGTGGGAAGTTTATCTTGCCGAGGCCGATGAGGGTTCCTGGCGATCATTGTTGGAAGGTAACCACTCTGGTAACTGACAGCATTCAAGCTCCGACCTGCCCAGTGTGAAAGTCCAGGGAAAGCGGTTTAGGTATGGGCCAAGCATGTCCTGATTCCAATCTGCTTGCACAAATGGGTGAACTGAAAGTTAACCAGCCATAACCTGTCGCGGACCAGCCGGCAACTAAACCCGGGCACTGGCATGGATGGATACCAGTCTTCTGCCACCGCTGCCAGACCTCTCCATCAGCTTCCAGTCGGCCGTCGCCGCCGTTCGAGTCTCGCCATCAGGAGATAGTTGCGGCGTTTCTTAAGAGAGCTTCACCGTAACTTTTTGCTGTATCTTCAATTAGAACGGATTGCTTCTTATAGAAACAACTGTTGGAGTTGCCCTGGCAAATAGAGCCATCCGCAAAGTGCGCAAAGGAGCCGAGTTGATCGTTCCCGTTTGACCGCCCGGCACGATGGCTGGCTTCGAGCTGGCTTGATGGCCGTAGTCTCATGCAAAGTCGTCCGTGCACACCCTGGTTGGGCGGCTGTCGAGAGCACACATTGGACGGATCTGATCGATTTCACTACCGTAACGGCAGGTCAGCTGCAGGTCCAGGGGAGTCGGCTGCAGAAGCGACGAAACCCAAGACCAGTCCAAGACTTGTCGAAGGCTGCCTGGAAACACTCCAGAACCCGGATCGACTGCATTTTTGCGCATCTTGAATCTGAGAAAGATTGATTTGACAGAAACCGATAATGATCATAAGATTGACGGATGGCAGCAAATTGGCCAGATGATAGATTTGCCGACTACCGGATATATTGTGGCACTGTAGCACTCCCTGCTCTTATCGCAACCACAGCGTCCCACAACGGTTAATCACTGTCGTCGCCGTCAACAGAAGCGGAAGAGCAAGGCCAAGGCTACAAGGGTGGTCGCTCTCGCCCTCGCTCACACACAAGGCCAGGAACGCACAGTGTGAGCGAGTGAGCGAGAGAGGAGCGATGGAAGCGATGGCGCTGTGCGTTGCAACCCCCAGATGAGCGGTCTTGGCTCTCCACTATGCCCAGATTCAGCTAGCCTGGATCTGGGCGCGGGTTCGATGGCCCTGCCGCAGGAAACATAGATCGGGCAATAGAGGGGTACTTGACGGACCAGTCAACGAGGCGCAAAACACCGCCTAGGTACTCCTGCATCCGGGATACGAAATTACTGTTGTCGGCGTGGACGAAATCACAGTCTGGAGGATGTCAACAGATCCCAGGAGAGGATGACGTTGGGAGGAGCCAAAGGCCGGGATCGCCAGCGAGGCTGTGGGACAGAGACAGGGTGCGCCCAGCAGCAATGGTAAAAGAGCATGAAGAAGGGAAGAGCAAATATCAATATCGCTGGCGGAGAATGAAATTGCCCTCAAAATTGCCCATTTCTTGTGGCTGTCCGCGCAAGCCATTCCTCGCTACAAGAGCCCTCCGATGTTACTGTGGAGTAGCATCGGTAATTTTGCCCACGAGCGGCGTGCGGCACTGCTGGGTTTGATGTAAGGTAGCGTAGATTGATACAATCAACAACAGCCTTGTGGTCATTGAGGCTTTCATATCGAACTCGGCTGTGCTCTGGCAATTGCTGCTACTGTTCCTCGGCTCTTGGCGGGCATAGATCCTGTCGCAACAGCACAAGAAACGGGGCCTGGGGCGACAGATCGCGATCGCTTCTGGTCCCTCTTTGACCCCTGTGTTCAAGTTCCCCTGCTTGTGCCTGGCTGCCCGATAAGGATAAGTGGCGGGTTCCCCTGACCCACCTTTGATCTGTGACCACACCGGAGTGGATGGAGGGCAGCACTGTGTGAGCAGTTGCTCCACACAGTCTGCATTCCTTCCAGGACTCTAGCTCTCAGCGCGCCCGCACTTGTTCCTGTTCCTGGGCTTGGCCCTTTTTACCAGCGTGCCAATGCCCAGTGCCCAGTTCCGAAAGCCCCCACCCGAGTTTCCCTGCCCCGGCTTTCGCTTCCAGGCCAGCTAGCACAGGGCACTTCAGGTTGTGCTGTGTGCCCGGTCCACCGTCCCATCTCTCTTTTCCACTTCCTCTTTCAACCTTCCACAACCCCCGTCTATCATTCTCCCTCATCATCCACATCCTCTCCTTCACCACCCCGACCCGATCGTGTCGTCAGTTTGTCGCCCGTCCGACAAACTTGGTTCAATCCCGGCAGCAAATCTCAGATTTGCGCTGGCTTTGGCCGTCCGCTCCTTTGATTGATCTTCTCCGGCTTTATCTTTGTGTCGTCGTCTCGAAATCCGCACAGCTCACCCTAATTCCCGTTCCTGTCCTTCCCCAGGTGTTTGTTGCTGCCGCCGCCGCTGCTGTCTGCTGTCTCGAACTGAATCGATTGCCTTGCAGCCGCGTCCAACTCTACCTGGCCCAACTCATGGTGCGTTTGATCTCGCCGTCTCTGGATCTCGCCCCCGTTGCATGCTGCACAGCATTGCTGTGGGCGCGATAGTCCTTTTTTGAGCTGTTTCTTTATCGGTGCTTATCGCTGTTCCAGAATGCCCTCGGGTTGCTCGGACGTTGTTACTAACTGGCGCGAGCACAACAGCTCCCAGGTTGCCCATTGACTTTAATCATTTAATTCTTCTGAACGGCTGAGCCAAGAATCATAACAACTATAGCCATAACCACAATTGCAACTACTTCTTACTCTCACTTATCCTGGCTACAGAGTCGCGGAACTCCCTCGCATCTCTGCGCCAGGAGGCCCCTTCTTGATTACCAACATTCACACCTCCATGTTATTCACGCTCTAAGTTGTCATTCAGTCTGGTGCCGCCGAGCGGCTTTGGAAAAATGGCAACTACACTTGGCCCCAACATGATGATTGAGCCGCCGTCTCCCGTCCACGAGCACGACGCAACTCTTCGGCTTCCTGCTGAGGCGGCTTCCCAAGTTCCACGCTCCCTTCCGCAAGTTGTGCCAAGATCGAATCCTCCTCCTCCGAATCCTCCGTTTGTGTTCCCGCCTCGGCCTCTTTCTTCTTCCTCGACAACGTTCCCCCGGACAACAGCTAGACGTCCTCGATCTGCTATTGAGCCGCGCGACGCTTTTCCGAGAGTTGAAGTGGACAATGGAAAGCCCGCTTCGCGCCCCCCTCCTCTTCCGGCCTTTTCATTCAACCCTGGTGCTTCCTTGCCGGATCCTCCAAGCGCCGACAAGATGTTCCTCAGCCCTCCAGAGTCGCCATCTGCACAGAGCTCACCGCGGTTGATTCCGACCCGTCCACATGGTCTTGGGCATCGTCGTGGTGGCAGTGAATTTGTAGGCGGAAGCATTCGCGATGGGGAGGCCATCACAGTTTTGACCAACGGTTCGAGTCCGACAAAGTCTGAGAGCGGCACGGCCTCGCCGATGCTCCAGCCAACGCGTCCTCGCAGAGGCCATGCCCATCGGAGGTCAGCTGCGATTTCTAGCCACGATCTTTCATCAATTATCGTGCCGCCCTCCAACCGCAATGTTCAGGGAGGGAGCTCTCCTTCGAGCCCAGTGGTCCCTAAGGGACAGTCGGGCCTGAGTATGTCGCCTGAAGCGAAGCCGGTCGAGGCTGCACCCACTGTTTCCGTGCCAGAGACGGAGGCTAGTTCCAGCATCCAGAAGGAGGAATTTGCTCTTGCTCCTGAGCCAGAGACACAGCCCGCCAAACCTGCGACACGTAACAGAGTCGGCTTTTCAGATACCCTGGAATACATCCCGAGGCCGGTGTCTATAGTCTCTACCGACACTTCTAGCACTGTAACTGCACGTCCGGGGCATTCTGTTTCGGGCAGCATCTCCTCCATTATGGAGGTGAACCATACTTCAGGCCCCAACTATCCGTCGGTCACGGAGAGCCGACCCAGCACGGCAGGCGCCATTCTTGAGCGGTCTCAAACCTCACAGGAACAGGACGTCCCTCCTCCTGCTCGCCGCAGGGGGTCAATTCCTCTCCTTGGCTCTATTCCGCCAGCATTCCCCTCCGGCCCAGCTACTCCGAGCCCAACACGGGCCTCGAAGAAGTGGTCACTCTTTGGCCGCGATTCTGCCACAGGCTCGCCTACTCGCTCCAAGATCGAGAGCCCACGTATTTCCGACTTGAACCTCGATGCTGAGGAACGCAAGTCTTTGGAGCGTGCTCCTAACGGTGAGGCTGATGAGCCCAATGAAAGCCAAGCTTCCAGCAAAGCGGCGGACAAGAAGAAGAAAACCAAGAAGCCAAAGAAGGTCAAGAATTGGGCCGGGTCTATCCTGTCCCGAAAGGGCAAGCATCACGGCAAGCCCAAGAGGAGGGCTCCTACTCCACCGCCGCTTCGTCCGGCTGAGTTCGAGGATATAGCAGACATGTTCCCGGAGCCTGAAGCTCCATCCCCGACTTGCCCGCCTTCTCAGGCTACAGAAGGCGTTAGCTGGGAGACGTGGACATTCCCCAAGCCTTCCACAACCTCCGATGACGACTCCTCCTATCCCATGATCGACTTGGATGCTGCTTTGGGCCCGTTCAACACCCCTCTCCCACGGAACCCTGAGTGGGAAGCGGCCCAGCGGGCGGCCGGGGGACGCTACAGGAAGGCACTGCACAGCGCTGCCGGCATGAGCCGGTTCTCTGGTCCGGGAATGCACTATTATCACCGGCGTGCCGAGAGTGCTCCAGAGCTGGCTCCTTGGGAAGATCGGTTTGGCTTTCCGCGCTTCGGTAGCAGTTCTACCATGGCTGATGTGTTTGAGGAGGATGAGGAAGAGGAGGAAGAAGACTCTAAGGCCAACTCAGTCAAGCAGCCTACTACTGCGCCTGAGACCACAACGAAGTCGGAGCTTTTAACCCCCACTCAGGAGGACACGGCTGCTGAGCAGGTCCACCACGATGGTATGCCCTCGAGCAGCACTGCGTCCCTACCTACCGACGCTCCTGCCAAGTCGCGCGAGCCGTCTTTCGAGCAGCCCAGAATCCTGAGCTCTGAGGATGTGATTATGGTCGAACCAGGCCATTTCTATTCCGCGACTCCGTCTACCCCGTCTTTGGCGCACGACAAGTCTGCCTCTGCGACTCCTTCTCCTCGCCACGTCTTCCGGCCCAAGGACCTTGGGCCTGTCGAGGTCAGCCCCCTCGACTTGCCCACGCCTTCCCTGGGTCCGGTCAGCCCTTGGTCAACGTCACAATCACCATTTCCATCACCGCGGTCGCCAATGTCGTACGACGCTCAGTGCATTTCTACAGCGCCGTCATCAATCACAGACGGCGACTTCCAGTCGCTGCTGCTGGGCGAGCCGGGCCCTGAAGTCCGAATCTCAGTCGACGATATTCCGTCTTTGACTAGCAGTCAATCGACTATGACTCGCGACAGCCTCTTCCCGCAGCACCCACAAGCGAGACATCCGCCACTGAAGGACCAGCCGAGGCCTGCGTCGTTTACCGCGACTGCCTTTGGGCGCCGTCGTTCGAGCCTGGCAAGCCTGAGCCGGCTGGTCAGTAGTTCGCACGGCGAGCGGAGCAAGCTGTCGCTGGAGGTTACGTTGGACAGCGAGCCGGAAGAGAACAACAAGAAGAAGAGCAAGATCAGCAAAGCTAAGCGGCTTAGCCGGATGATGCAGTTCTGGAGGTCGAAGGAGTCCCATCATCACAAGGAGGGATAAACGGCCGACCTTGGTCCATGATACAACTTTTACCATCACTGACGGGAGCCAAACCGTTCTTGATTTCACAGCAATGGGCTGACGAAACGGAGTTTTGGGGTGATGTATGTGTAGGACTACTATTGGGGGATGGGGATTATTTTCGGGGGTTTTCATGGCGTTTATTTGATGGCACAGCATGGAGAGCGAGGTTTTTTTATGAGATTACGGACGGAAATCTCATGCTACAACGTGTGCCCAATGTTTATCGTGATGGCAGGATGGGTGACAGGATGGATGGATGGCGGGTGGAGAGAATAGGAAGGACAGTTGATAGGACGGGATATATGATTCTCGGGTGGCGATGATTTTGCTTCTGAACATATCATTGTAGGTACATGTTACATGTTACATGTTGTATGCCATGCCGGGTGTTGTGTGGGTACGTAGGTGGTTAGGTAGGTAGCTTTACCGGAGATGAATCTGACTCGGCATGTGCAATTTAGCAGTTCTTTGCTTTGCCCTCACGGTCTTTCGTAGATGGGTTCTTGGGTGACCCCCGTGATGTCCCCTGGTTTGGTGGTCTCTGGTGGTAGGGTGGTCTTGTCTGCTTGCTGTGCTGGCTGTCGTCAGCCACTGAGAGTGGACGGGCCACGCTAAACCAACCTCGGCTCAGAGCCACAGTCCCAGGAACAAGGACGCGCCTTATATCGCGATGGCTCTTAAACCTTGTTCTTTATGCATCTTCTATTAACCATCTTTCGCCAACACGCTTGTTGAGTTTTCGACAGCTCATCTTGCTATCTGGACATCGACGTTCTTTCTTTACTCCTGCATTTCTGTCCTCTATGCCCCAAACTAATAGTGGAGTCGAATCGCTGCTTGCTGTTTGAAACATCCGCCGAATCCCGACCTATCACGCCGAGCAACAAAGATTCCCTTGTGTTTGCTGTGATCACACGTCAGAACATCGCTCTTTGTCCCATTAGCCAAGATCGCAAACGGTTTTATTTATTTATTTTTTTTTTCGAGCGTCTGAGGCTGCTACGGCATAGCCGGTCTACCTAGCTCCAAACAAACCGTCGTCCGAGGCGCAGAGAACGCACACAACAACAACAGCAATAGTAAACAAAAGACCCGTTGACGACAGCCATGGCATCCGCCGCCGCTACCTCCCGTGGCGCGATGCGCCGCCTCATGAAAGAACTCGACACCTGGACCAACGTCGAGTCCCTGACTGAGGAGGGCATCGAGAGGCTGGGCCCCGTAAACGACGACGAGCTGTTGGAGTGGGAAGCCGTTATTAATGGAAAAGGGGTTGGGTACGGTTATGATAGTACGTTTCCCTTCCTCTCTCTTTGTTTCCCTCCAGTCCTTGATCCTATATGGCTTTCCAAGAAGGTATGCTAACGCTGCGATAAATAGACGGCCGCTGGCTCCTCCGCATCACCATCCCTCCGACCTACCCTCTGCACCCACCGACCATCAAGTTCGTGACGCCCATCGTGCACGCCAATGTTAACTTGCAGACGGGCGAGATCTGTCTCGACCTGCTCAAGGACGCGTGGACGCCGGCTTATAGCATACTCGAGTGTGTACGCGCCATCCGGATGCTGTTGTCGACACCCGGGATCGACTCGCCTTTGAATGTGGACGTTGCGGCGCTGTTGCGGGATGGGGATACTATTGCTGCCAGGAGGCTGGTTGAGTTGTGGGTGGATGAGGAGAGGTATGAGGGGAAGTAAAATTCTGTTAGGAGGGTTTAGAGTTTGGGGGAGCTTGACTTTCATTTTTTGGGTTTATAACAAGCGTTTGTTGGAAGATGGCCTGATATCAATCGGGCCGGCGCGGATTGATTTGGGATGCTATTTACGAGATATCCATCTTTAATGACGACGTACATAGACTGGCGGAGCTACACAAGAAGGCATGGATGGAGGACTTTTGGACGAGCTCACAGAGTATGATGATGTTGGTATATCACAGAAGGAACAAACCGTTCGTATATATATAATACCGACTTCACTCTAACACACTCATAAACCCTCTATTAAGACAGAATATTGATGGCATATTGCGTGAGTTAAATTATTATCAGGCCAAACCTTTTTCTATGCCCAATATGTATTCGACATTGGTCTCAAAAAAAAAAAAAAGTCATGATTACGCCTTCCAACCTGGTCTAGGCGACCGCCAGAAAGATGCTGGACAATACCATGATTTTCTTTCCTCTCCATTCCATGCAAAGGATGCATAACATTCCTGATCGGCTGCCTCCCTTCCCCTCTTTTGCTTTCTACCATGCTCAGCCCCGTGTAACGACATACAGGCATCGTGCAACTCCTCCGGCGGCACAACAAGACTTTTACTCCATATCTCCGATCCGATCCATATCCGATGTGCTCCACAGTTTACTCAAGAAGGGCTATGTGGTGGTATCCGTGAGGTCAGCCGTGGGATCTGAATTCCTGAGGCACGATAGAGGTGCCATGTTGCCCAACAGCAGACAGAACACACATGTTGCTAGTCATCACACAGAGGTAGTTGACAACTGGCAATGTGCCGATAAATCAACCGAATCTCCCAGCTTGGGATGATCACTCATTGTAGTGATAGACCTGTAACCCTAGTCAGCGCGCTGTTTCCTCAAGCCCGAGCGACCGTTGCATAACCAACCTTGTAGTGAGGCATGCCAACTGGCTGCCAACCCAGGCGTTTCGCCATCTTTGCGAAGCCCTCCGTCTCAATGAGATGGTAGAACGGGAAAGCAGGGAACATAGCCCCGTCGCGATGGACAGCGGCCTTGACCAGGAGCGTGGTACCACCCACGCCATCAAGAGGGATCGTCTCGAAGCGATACTTGGCCGGATCGTACAGGTAGGCCATCAGGGTACGGTAAGTGGGCAGCTCCTTGTAGCCCTCGAGTAGGATGTCGTCGGGACCCATCTTCTTGGCCATCTCCAGGGCCGTGTCGCTGTCCTGCCAGTTGTTGAAGTCGTAAGGGCGTTCGTCCATGGCATTCTTCTCCGGATTCCAGAAGCGCTGGAAGCAGTTGGGCACAATGATGGATTCGTTGGTACGCGCCAAGTCCTGGATCAGGGTTGGAGGGGTCTCGATCACATCGGCGTCCAGCCAGAGGACCCAGGACGTCAAGGGCCCGAGGGTGGTGAACAGGAGGGAGTTCCGGGCCTTTGCCATGGCAGCCCGACGTATCTTCTGGTTCTCCAGCTTGTGGCGCTCGGCCTCGGCCTGCGAGGCAAGAGGCGGGTCGAAGTCCTGGCGCAAGATGATGATGCTCTTGAAGCGGTCCTTTTCCGGCCCGTATTTCTGGGTCTTGGTGACCTGCTTCTGCAGGGCAGCCGTCGCCTGGTTACCCTCCTTAGTTTTCGGCAGAATGAAGCCCAGGGTGATCAGCTCGTGGGGGTAGCTCAGGCGCAACAGGTTGTCCCAGTACTCCTGGTAGAAGCGGGTCATGGGCGTCAGGATGAGAACGTTCTCACGGTTCTCCGCTGGATGAGGCGTCGTCGTGACATTGTTGAGGTTGTAGTGAGCAATCGGTGGTGGTTTCTTAAAGCTGCCCGACCTGGACTTGCGGAACGGGAATGTCGGCGGCGAGAGGGGATGAGAGGCGGCGGCAGCCTTCCGAGACGCAGAGAAATCGGGGCCCGATGAGCCCACAAGGAACCACAGGATAATGACACAAATGAGCGTGCCGATGGCGAGAGTAGATGGGTTCGCCTTCTTAAGACGAACGGCGCCCATGGAGCGCGCCATGGGACCTGATTATCTCTGGTAATCTAGCAGGAGATGCGAAACATAGAGGTGATCGTCCGGAACGGGGAAGAGGGTATCGTGGTCGAGTCGCGAGTCGCCGTTGTTGCGCGAGGGACTTGTAAGGTGGCTCTCGGGCTCAGGGTAAGGCGTTCGCACGCAGGACGCAAGGAAGGGCGAGAGTTTGAAGGAACGGTCGACGGTAAAGTCTCGAAAAGGACAGGCTAGACGTGGCAAACAAAAAAAGCAGACGGAGATGATGGCACGCTGAGAGAGGGAGAGCAACCAGGCAGTGGGTTGGCCGGTGGAAATGCCAAATTTCGGACCTGAAGAGAAGTAAAAATGCAAAAAGATTACACAGCGGTAGGTAGAAGAGGCCGAATCACAAGGAAGAGGACAAGCTGGAAGTTGTTGTTGCGAAGCCCCTGGGGACGTCGTGATTGGAGATTTGGCATTTGGCTGGAATTCAGAATTGGGTACTGGGGACAGGGGGACTACTGCGGAACGCTAAAACACCCCCCAAGAAAGTTGATAACCCCCCAGGCCCAGAGCCAGGTATCCAAGAATCCAGGGGAGGGAGGGTCCGGCTACCAGCCTGGGACTGCTGAGATCTGTGCAGGGGGCCAGACCCTGCAGTTGCTACACAGTGTCTGGCTTTCCATCGAACCGTCCATTAACTCAATAAAAATGACTTGCGGCTTTCCGATGCACAGCAGACACACAGATCGAAACCCGCTGCTTGACGCCCATATTTGATGTATTGGAACAGTAACAATGATCGAGATCTTTCTGCAGGACAATATCCCCCGTTTCCTGGTAGCTGGAACCAGAGAGCCATGGATTGAGCCAAGTTCCGGCAGCGGCAAAAGCCCCCGGGGGGCACGGGCAGAACACAGTCTATACACTGTGTCACGGCCAGCTGCCCACGTCACAGCAGGAAGCCTTGCAAGAACAGCAACGGCAGCATCATCGCGCCCACTTTCATCAGGCTGGACAACCTCAATTCAACCAGAAGCTCCCATTCCACGACACAACACCAAACTCTACCGCCTCTTGATCGCCCACACTGCACTTCCCTTACTCCTCTCGCATCACAGTCCTCAGCGCTCCACAGTAGTCGCTGAGCACCGCGCAAGCTGCAACCATGTCAATAACACCCATCATCACCTTCAAGGCCGGGCTTTGCGAAGTCGACGTGAGTGCCCCTCGTCTTCATCGCAGATCTCACACCAAACTCGCTTCCAGGCAGCGGTCCTGCTGACACAAAATTCCAGCAATCGTCCAAGCCTTACAAGGTCAAGCCGAAGCCGACTCCCGGCTACATATACCTCTACTCGGAAGATGGTACAGCAATCAATTCATCGCGTGCCCCTCCAAACATGCCCAAGCGCTGACCAATCTTCCCCGCAGACCTAGTTCACTTCTGCTGGAGGCCCAGGTCGGTGCCGCTGGACCAGCCCGAGCTGGACCTCGTCATGGTGCCGACCGACGGCCACTTCGTGCCCTACGACACGCGCACGCCGAGCCACCCCTCGTCCAAGACCAACGGCCGCATCTTTGTGCTCAAGTTTTCCTCCTCCTCTCAGAGATACCTCTTCTGGCTGCAGTCGAAGCCGCAGGCCCGCAGCGGCGATCCGGCATGGCTCAGCCCGCGCGACCGCAAGATTGGCGAGATTGTCGACCGTCTGCTGCAGGGCGAGGAGGTTAATGTGAACCGCGAGCTGGCTTCCGTCCAGAACAATACCGACGACAGCGGCAGCGGGCCTCGTCGCCGCGATGCCGACGACGACGAAACGATGGAGGATATTGAGGGGCACGGTGATCCAAGTCACCGGGGCGGTGCTGGCGGCGCTGGGCCCGGCGCCACGGGGGGTGATTTCAGGTCGGAGGGCGAGGATGCCAGAGAAGGAGGAGCAGATGGGGCGCGAGCGTAGGTATTCTCTTCTCCCGCTACTACTACACCAACATACACAACACGATACCTTTTTTTTTTTTATTTTGGACTCTTCTTGTTTTGGTTCCCTAAGAAACTAGCATCATTTGACGGGTCAGCTATCCTCGCATTATGGGTCATGGAGTGAATTGGGTCTGGCGCATATCCAACGGGCAGGCTTGAGAACTTCCATGTACTTCTCTATCCCATAGCCCCGCCGAGGAACAACAGCTGGCGGGAAGATCAATCAAAGCATATTATTATTATTATCCCTTCCAATCGTTTGGACACACATTCCACATTTCCAGCCCAGATGCTAACCCTCCTTGGCTCTGTAGGGCGACCACCGCCAATGACGCAGCCACCGTGGTGCAGAACTTCCTTCGCTCCCTCCAGCAAGCCCAAGGCGCCACAGGCGGTCTTCTCGGCGCAGCCGCCAACGGCCGAGACTTCCCGCTCCTGACCGATCTCCTCGAGCCCGCAACCACCATCCCCATGCTCGACTCCGCCTCCGACGAGTATGTCGACAACCTGCTAAGCTACCTCCCTCCAACCATCATCGTCCTCTCCCAGCAGGGCGAGACTGCCACAACAGCCGACTCGATCGAGGCCGAGCCGTCGACCGAGGCCGTCGAGGCGGCCAAGCAGGCCATGAGCTCCGCACAGAAGCGTGCACTTCTCAAAAAGGTACTGCGTAGTCCCCAGTTCAGCCAGAGCCTGGCTAGCCTGACACAAGCGCTGCGTGATGGTGGACTGCCGACCATTGCGGAGGCGCTGGGCATCGAGGTTGAGAATGGCGGGCTTGTGAGGGGCGGGACTGTGCCGCTTGGTGGGGGGGCTGCGGTTGAGGCGTTTGTGGAGGGTGTGAAGAAGACGGTGCAGCAGCAGAAGAAGGATTGATGGCAAAAGGTTCGCTGGGAAAGTTTCCGTTCCGTTCCGTAGGGTGTATATGATAGCTTGCGTCGAAATCTCTTAAGTCTATGTGCCACCCGAGGGATACCAAAAAAAAAAAACCATGGCCGGGCAACTTTGATAATGGGATCGCATACATGATTTAACAAAAGCTAGACCATGAATAGAGACCCATCTGGTCACTGACCCTCCAGGACTGAAAGAAAAAAAAACGTATACGAGGATGAGCTAGTTATTTGACGCCATGCTATCTGTGGAACTATCAAGGGGGTTAAGAAATCATGGTCATGACCGATCCGACCAGATAAGCTCAGGGGAAAGAGCTCAACGCTTCGTGCAAAAGTGTATTATCTCTCCCCACACTCAATCCTCGTCCTCGGACTCATCCTTCTTTCCCTCCTCCTTCACATCCCCCTTACTCTTCCTAAACCGCTCTCTCCCCGTAGCAAAGTAGGCCTCGATAATCCGCCCGCCAAACGCCCTCCCATGCATAAGCCTCAGACACTCCTCGGCCGCTTCGCGCGTCTTAAACTTGACGGTCACGATACCCTCTTCCTCCAGATCATACAGCACGACGTTGGTGACCGGACCCAACTTCTCACACTCCTCGCGCACATCCTCCTTGATGTCGAGGATGGCCGTCGGGTCGTCCCGCAGTTCTTCCAAAGTGAACATGTTGCGCAGGATGACCACGCGCTCCCACTTCTTGGGGGGCTGAAGGGTCTTGGCCGCGTGGGACTCGTCGTCTGACCAGTCTGCCAGCTTGGAGGCTAGTTTCTGCGTCTTGCGGATGATTTTGGCCTTCTCCTGCTCGGAGCGGCGAGGCGGCGCTTGTGCCTGCGCCTGTGACGCCGGCTTACCGTCTGCGCCCTCCCCATCCCCGGCAGTATCATACTTAACCTTCTTATAACTCGAATCGGCCTCCATGACCCGCATGCGCGGCGCATTCGGGTCCCCCGTCAACCGAAACTCGGTATCATCCAGCAACATGATTGCCATGTGCACACTCTCGGGTTTGAAGAACACCACAAGCGCGTCACCCTTGAATTTGCCTTCGCTGTCTGTGTACATCTTGATGCGCGGCCGGCCGGAGTCAATCTCCTCGGCGATGACGCCGCACTTGCGCGAGAAGAGCTCGGCGACCTCGTCGACGGTCGCGTCGAGCGGCAGGCCGGTTACGTACACGGCTGTGTTTTGTTTTGGCTGCGGCGGACCGCGCTGGTTGGTGCGCTTGGGGTTCTTGGAAGGACGGCCTTTGTTGTTGTTGGTGGTGTTGTTATTGTACCCATTATTGCTGTTGCTGTTTTTGCTGTTGTTGTCCTGTTGGTGCACCAAGACAGAATGACATCAAAGCCGCTGGTCAGTCTCTCTCCGGGGATCTCGCCTCGTAACCGCGCGGGACTGAAGTCTTTGATATATATATATATATATATATATATATATATATATATATTTTTCTTTTTCTCGGATGGTATATTTCTTTCATGATGCTGGGTTAAGGTATGGTGATTGTGGGAAGAGGCATGAACGGTGGCATGTGTGACGGCCGACGCTTGCATACGAAAGACGGACAGGAGAGTAGTAGCAATGTGTGCGCGCAGCTTACCTCACGGTCGTCCCAATCATCTAGTTTCCTCTTCGTTCCTTGAGGAGCGGGTTGCTGAGCTTCGCTATCGAAGTTGGGTATTCCGCCTTCGTTCAAGTCGTCGTCCGCGTAGTCGATAGGCACCCAGCGCTTCTGAGCCTCGTCGAACTCGTACTCGGTGCCGTCATCTTGCACAGCAATATACTTGTTGTCGAGCTTCGAGAACGAAATGCGCTCGTCCTTATCGAACTCGTCCGGATTGATCGGGAGGGGCCACTCTTCTGCTTCGGCCATCTTGATTCGGCGCCGATTGCTACCGCAGATGGCGATCGTGAGTTGATCGTGGAAAGCTTCCTGGGGCTGCGGTCGCCAACAGGAACGCGACGGAATGACGTTGATAGGATCTTGGAAGCCCCACTACCGGAGCTTGGCTAAATGAATATTACGATACGGCCAGTGTAGTACACTAAAACTGCCGTAAAATTACATACATTGCCCTCTGAATTTACAAAGATACAAAGGGCACCAACAACACATCACTGCTTTGGCAAACGTTTTAAGAGTCGAGCACGCTAAGAACGTTGAAAGAAAAGATCCATCCCATTCCTACCTATCTAGCAAGTGTTGAACTTTTCTTTTTTTTCTTTTTTCTTTTTTTTTTTTTTCAATTTTCCATCCCAGCCTGCCTACCCTCTCAGATTGCCACCATGATAGTAGTTCGTCTCAATATCAAGGCCTATCTCGCCTATAATCCGCATACTGTACATAAACCTCTAAATCATCAGAGGTAAAATCGTTGGGTATCTCAGATTTTTATTTGTTTTGCTCTTAGTGATGGAAGAGGCGGATGTTCTGTTCGACGAAGGTGATGCCGAGCTTCTCAGCCGTCTCGATAACGGGAACGTCATTCTGGCTGCCCAGCGGGGCGGCAATGTACTTGACTCCGGTGCGGGAAGCGCGGTAGACATTGTCAGTGAAGGGGAACTGTATGCTTAGTTAGTCTCAAAGTGAAACCTATTGGATATGTAGAGGAAAAAAACCTACGAAGGCGTCAGAGGAAACGACGACGTCAGTGAGCTTGGAGAGCCACTCAGTCTTCTCTTCCTCGGTGAAGGCGGCAGGGACCTCCTCAAACAGAGCCTCGAACGACTCGCGTTCCGGACCCGACTTAGGGAGCTGGCCGCTGACGAGCAGGTCGATGGCGTTGCTCTTGTCGGGGCGCTTGGTGCCCTTCTTCCACTTGATGCCCAGAACACGGGGGTGGAAGCGCAGCCACCAGTTGTCGGCCTTGTCACCGGCCAGACGAGTGCAGTGAATGCGGGACTGCTGACCAGCGCCCAGGCCGACAACCTGTCCCCTAGTGGCGTAGCACACCGAGTTGGACTGAGTATACTTGACGGCGATGGTGGCGACAGTCAGGTCGCGAAGAGCGCTTTCGGGCAGGGTCGAGTTCTTGGGAACGATGACGTTCTTGAAAGTCTCCGGAGTGATCTCGTAGTCGTTGCGACCCTGCTGAAGGGTGACACCATAGACGGTACGAGTCTCGGTCTTACCGGGCTCGTACTCAGGATCCATTTGAAGGACCAGGTACTTGCCGCCCTTCTTCTTCTTAAGGATCTCGAGAGCCTCGGGCTCGTAGCCAGGAGAGATGACACCGTCAGACACCTCCTTGGAGATGATGCTGGCGGTGGGGACGTCGACAATGTCGCTGAGAGCGATCATGTCGCCGAAGCTGCTCATGCGATCAGCACCACGAGCGCGAGCATAGGCCTGAGCCAGGGCCGAGGTCTCGATGCCGGGAATGTCGTCGACCATGTAGACTTTGCGCTCCTCGGCAGTCAGGGGGAGACCGATAGCAGCGCCAGCGGGCGAGACATGCTTGAAGCTAGCCGCAGCGGGCTTGCCGAGAGCCTTCTTGAGCTCCTTAACAAGGGGCCAGCTGTTAAGGGCATCGAGGAGGTTGATGTAGCCAGGGGAGCCGCACAGGACCTTAAACGGCAGCTGACCCTCGGCAATGAAGGCCGAAGCAGGCTTCTGGTGGGGGTTGGTACCATAGCGAAGAGGGAGGTACTGAAGGCCGTCGCCGGCATACTGCTTGCGGAAGAAGTCGGAAATAGCGGCGTCGTAGTCAGCGGTGTGTTCGAAGGCCTTAAGGGCATAACGCTTGCGGCTCTCCTCCCTGATCTCGCCGGCTTCCAGCTCCTTCAGGAACTCAGGATAGTCCTTGGGGTCGCTGAGGATGACGACGCGAGCGTGGTTCTTGGCAGCAGCCCGAATGAGAGTGACACCGCCAATATCGATCTCCTCAACGGCCTCCGGGATGGTGACATTGACCTTAGCGACGGTCTCCTTGAAAGGATACAAGTTGCAAATGACATAGTCGACCTTGTTGATGTTCTGCTCGGCGAGATCCTTCTCGTCCGAGGCCAGGTTGCGGGCCAGGATACCGGCGTGCACGTCAGGATGGAGGGTCTTGACGCGGCCAGCCAGCATCTCGGGGGCCTTGGTGATGGCAGAAATGTCCTCAACAGGGAATCCAGACTCGCGGATCATCCTGGCGGTGCCGCCCGAGGCGAGGATGCGGACATTGTTCTTGACGAGGCCCTTGGCCAGGTCCAGAAGGCCGGTCTTGTCGTAGACCGAGATGATGGCAATACGCTGGTCGGCCATGGTGATTTGTGTGATGTTTGGTCACTGCAATGATGCTCGCAGGGCAAGCTAAGAACCTAGAGCTGGGCGAGCTGGAGGGGTAAATGGGGGGGGGTTCAATGTCAGCGAGTTGCTCCTAGAGATTCAGACCTTCTCAGAGCATGGATACCCACGACTTCAGAGGATGGAGAGACAGGACTGCCAATCAGCAACTTGACGAAAGCCCCGTCGAGCACTGCAGGCCGCGGATCGTTGGAGATGAAGATCACACGAGGCAGAAATTTTTTTAGGTTGGAAAGGAATTGACCTTTAGAGAAGAGAGGGGGGGGAAAAAAAGGAAGACAGGTCTTCTTCCAACTTCTTGGAGGGGCACTGCACAAAATATTGAGCTCGGCAGCGCCTTCCGTCACCGTGACTTCCCTATCACCAGGCTACCAATGGGCCGCCGCCAATGGATGGAGGGGCAGCCCGCCCGACCAGCCCCTCTGCCCCTCGGTTACAAGCAATGATCAAAGTTTCTCGAGCTATCGAGCCATCACCGCGATCGGGTATCTTTGCCCCGCAATCTCAGGGCTCAGAAAGCCACAGTTGCTCCCTAGGGCCTCAAAATGTGCCCCATAATTGACGCACCAAACACCCCACATTGGCCAGGGGGCCCTATAAGAAGGGCCTGACCCTTCTCGCGATTGTGAGACAGAAACTGACCATCGCATTCCGTTCAAAATTTGCGTCCGTTTTCCCGCATGTGAAGGCAGCCCCTTTTACCCGTAGAAAGTGGCTGAGAAAACGGCAGCATCTGTTGTCTGTTCTTGCTGTGTTGTTGGATTTTGCTCTCTTTTTTTTTTTTCCTTACTGTGTTTATCGAAGCGCGGGGCAGCCAAGTGTTGCCAACTGTGGGAGGTGGGTGCCGACGCACTGGTCTTTATAAGCCAGCTGATCAAGGAGACCAAGTGCCCTTCGGGGCATTTGGTCAATGTAAGTTTGGCCCAATGGTCTAGCGTTGCGCTATGCGAAATGCTAACAGTACCTGCAGTTGAAACGATACAGAGAAGATTAGCATGGCCCCTGCACTAAGGATGACACGCTACTCAAAGAGACGCTACCAATTTTTTTCTACAATTTTTGGACCTCTTCCTTGATGCTGTGGAAGGTATAAAAAAAAAGTGATGTCGAGAAACCTGAGTTGAACAGGCGAACTTTGTAGAGTTCACGGGTTCGAATCATGCCGAAGTAAAATTTTTTAGCAAAAGTTGTAGTTTTGGTCACCGCTCGCCCCCCCCCCCCTTGCCGCCAGCAAGGGGCCTTTTCAGCAAACACCCTTGGACCAAACTAAACCGCCCCGGCGGCTCGTAAAAAAAACGATATCCTCAATTACAATATCATCTGAAGTTATGATTTTGCTATTATTAAGAAAGATTGAACCTTCGAGCAATATACTCTTATAGACTGCGCAAGACCTCTGAAGGGTCAAGGTTATAGGAAATCGAGGAAGAATCATCGCAATTTGGGAATTGTTATGCTTTAATGCAACTTCTTAATCACGATTATACGGCAATTATCCAATGAAAGAAAGATAAAAATCAAATTCTTCTATTAACCGGTATCTTCCAACCATCTAACCAAAAAAAAAAAAAAACAATTACCCCTAATCATTTTCTTACCATAACCTCCCAAGTACATCACCCTTTCTCCCCCTCCTCTCCTCGTCCTCCGCGATCCGAATCACAAGCTCCCCCACAAACCCACTCACCCACCCATCCACAAGCCCGGTGGCGGACTCAGCGAGCAAGATCTGGATTTGATCAGCCAGGAAGTCGTTTCTCTGAGCGAGCGCCTCGACGTTGGTGTCATCCTCGTTGGCAGAGCTGCTGCTGGTGACGTTGTAGCCAGACATTGGGTCGAGGGCGGTTAGGGCGGAGATGGCGGCCAGGGCAAGTTTGTTTTGAGAAGGTGAAAGAGAGGAAGAGGTGGTATTGGAGGAGGAGAGGGCGAAGCGACGGGTGGAACGGTAGATGGCTGTATAGCTGTATTGAGACTCCGGAGTTGAGGCTTGTTGAGTTGAATGAGCACTTGTAGAGGTTGAGGTGGTAATGTGAACGGCCTTTGCTGTGGCTGTAGAAGCAGTCGCCGCGGCGATTGCGAAGGTGGTCGTCGCGGGCTTCTCTTCTTTTACCTTTTCTTCCTGAATAGCATTCTCATGCTGGGTCTCCTCCTCGCCAGTATCTCGCCCGTTGACGTGTTTAACTGACTTGACCACTTGAGGCTGCTTCGTCTTCTCTTTGCGCTCCGGCAGAGTGAAGTTCCACAGCGACATGGCCAACAGCGACGGGTAGTTCGCAGCATCATCCGGCGTCTCCACGCCACCATTTCCATCGACAGCATAGGCAAAGATCTCACCAAAATCAGGATGCTTCACAACAGCATCGCGCTTGATGCCTTCACCGATCCCTGTTGCCAGTGCGCGCATACGGGTCGCTAGGTCAAGAGCCCTGCTTGTCTCACGCTTGCCGGCCTTCTTCTGGTCATTTCCATGCACGCTCTCCGAAAGTGCCTCCAAGATGGCCGCGGCATGCTCCAGATACACGGCAAACATGATGTTGCTGGGCGTCACCAGCTGGTGAACAGCAGGCTCACCATTAGGGCGGAACGCCGAGCGAATCATGCCGTTCTCCTTCACTGGAGGTATAGCGTCGAGCAGGCCCTCTGAACCGTTGATGTTGAACGGCCAGGCAGGTACAAGCGAGTTGCCATCAATATCCACAGTTCCATTGCGCATTGCCTCAGCCGTATCAATGATAGCCGCGATGGCGTCCACCCACGAGTACTTGGCGAAGAACTCTAGATCCTCAGTGCGGTAGTAATAGACCGCGCTGAGCTGCAGGAATGAGGCCAGGTTGGAAAGCTCCCACCTGCAGTCGTAGACGACTTTGGGGTCGAAGGGCAGCGAGCCGGTCGAGCTAAGTGCTGGAGCCGGGTTCTCTTGAGGAGCAATATTGCTCTCATCTGGCGGTTGGAAGGCATCACAAAGGGGAGCCGCGAGGATGTACCGGGACTGGAGGTTGATGAGGCCCCTCCACAGGCTGGCCAGCGAGTCGGGCTCCTTGGATGGTTCCAGGAGACGCTCGTACGGGACGATGTGAGCCACCGAGTCGCGGAGATACATGACGTGGGAGCCTTCCCTCGTTACTACGAAGGTGAGTTCCTCATCTGTGATAGGCCGCTCGGCAATTTGGCCACTATCAGCGGGCTGTTTCTCGTGGGCATAGCCACGCCACCTAATCATGGTGTCCAGCGTGTGCGAGTAGCTGTTCCTGAACAGGCGGATGAGAGCCCGGTCTTCGATTCGCCGAGAGGTGCGTCCCAACACGGCCTCGAGCTCGGGGAGGCGGAATGTCCGACATTCTGGCGGCGGGCGTGCGTAAGGAAAGTGACCGTCTCCTTCAGAGTCCGGCAGCGGCGGCCTGAGGGCGGTGCAGTTGACGGAGGGAACAGCATCTTCCGTGGGAAGTGCAGTAGAAGTGGATGTTGAGGTCGCGACAGAGGTCGCTGTCGAAGCAGAGGTGAAAGTTGAAGCAGCAGTAGTGATGACTAGCTCTTCCTCCTCCGAGTCCTTCTGCATGCCGGCATCCTTTTCACCCCCGTCATGTGTAGGCTTCTCTGGAAGGACCTTCACATCTCCCTGGTGGTCACCATGCTGGCCTTGGGGCCCAATAGGCTTTTCCACGGTTGGAGGGGACTGAGGACGGACTTCGAATGGCGCCTGTCGCAGCGTGGTCGGGGCCAGTTGTGCCTGGTAGCCCAGCCAGAGGACCACAACAGTCATGAGAAGGGCCACGCCCACAAAGCGGGCGCGGCGATTACCCATGGAACAGAGGACGACCATGGTGCTAGTCCTCAGCCTTTGATCTTGTCACTTTCACGCCACTCAGGAGTTCGGAGCAAGCCACTCCCTCCCTTTTCAACCTCACTTTCAGGTGAGATGGTTTATTCGGAGGGGTACTTCGAGCAAAACATATCCCAAGGTTCCTTTTCGGGCTTGAGCAGTTTCCACTTTGCAGCGGCAATTCGCGACGCCAACCTGAACTGAGACTTGAAAATATCCAAGCCCTTTCGTACTGAGAAATCAGCTAGAGCTCGGAAAATAAAAGCCCAGCAGCAAGTTTCTTCGCTACAATGGAAGTTGCAAGCTGCCAACAGCCAGTTGACAGGTCAAGCCTGATGGCGGACCACCCCCACAGTTCTTGCAGGCGGGCATCGCTAGCGCCAGGGGTTGATGAAGACAACACCAATGGAAGTTGAACAAAGCCCACCGGGCTACGGAAACGCCATTCCCGTTGCAGCCAAGTTGTCACGTGCAACGTTAGTCTTCGTTGGCCGGTCCTGGTGTTGTTCTTTGCCAGCAGTGTTTAGAGACTTTGGGTTGGGAATTCATCGCAGAATTCTTCTCAATGAAGTTCGATATTTTCGATTGCAATTAGTAACTCTCTGCAATTGGATAACCGTATTTAGCAGTGAGAGAAGCCGTCGTGTTCTGAGGGTCTGGAAGTTTGGTTTCAGGTCTTGACATTTGAATAATTCAAAATCCGAATTTTCCGTGTCTGTAGGTGTGTTTGCCCAGTATGTTGATTACCTATGCCTGCCGTCCATCACCGCTTTTGTTTTTTTTTTTCCAAAAAAATGAAAGCAAAAACAAGAGATGAAGCGTTTCTCCAACCCTCAAATCTGGGTTGGCTGCTCTGGCTTTGGATTCTGTGTCGCATGTGATCTCAAGGGTTAGGGTTGCACCGACTCCCTGGGTCAGCCTGGGCCAGCTCTGCAACGACAACGAGATCCGGACCAGTTCCAGCCCGAGCCGACCCCGCTGGCTTCAGTGTTACCGAGGCCAAACAGAAGCCGAGCCGTGACCCGCAGTATCGAAGACGGCCTGCGAGTGGACGACTGCGGACCGTGGCCAGGGAGTTCAGCTGGTGTGGTGTGTGTCCATCGCCGAGTCCGACTCCCCTGTCCTCGCCACGGGTCTCGTCTTCCTGCCATCTTCTCTTGCTGCTGGATGCGACGACAACACAGAGTTAACCCGGCGACAGAGATGACCATGGTCTCTTGACCGAATTGCGTTTTCAGTTGTCTGTTTTCTTTTTGTTTTTCTTCTCTGTCTCTTGTCTACATTGCCTGTGCAAGGCGCAATAACGGTGTCTCTCTTCCACAACGCGCTAAGCACTTCGACCGTTTCCCAACGTATAAACGCCATCACCGCCACCGCCCCCCTCGCGATACTGACGCGAAAACAACATAGTTCCCCAAATAATACAATACAATAAAATAAAAACATGGCTGCTTCCCAAACGTCTGTAGTCCGGCGCAGGCGGGTGCGCAGGCGCCGTCAGGACAAGCCTGCTGTGTCGGCGCGCCTAGTGCTGGACGACCACATCAAGACCGACGTTGGTATCATCTCGGAGGACCTCTTTGCCGAGCTGTTCCCTCACCTGGCCGACTGTGAGTTTTCTTCGCTCGTTCCCCGGTCTTAGCATTCCACCTGTACTAACATACAATAGCCCGCGACCAGCCCGATGCGGCCCCCCAAACGCCGTTGCCCCTCCACATCGCTATCGCTCCCTGGACGCCGACCAACGCGCCCGACTCTGCGACCTGGTCCATTGTGCCTGTGACGCTCTCATCCGCCCTTGCCCCGTCCACGGTCCAGTTCTCTCCCTCGTCGCTGGCCCTCCAGTCCTTTGCCCACACACTCAAGCAGGTGGCGCCATCGCAGCTGTCTACCCGCAGCCGGTCAGGCATCGACATCTCTGTGCTCGATGTTACCGCCATCGAGTTGGATACTGTTTTTGTGAGCCTCGAGGGCGACCTGGCTAAGCGCCTTGAGAATGGCGAGGGCGTATTCTTTCGGGAACGGCCTGATAGCAACAAGCTGAAGGCCCCAGCGGCTGCGCCGACCCCTGAGGCCCGTCTGACCGCTGCCCTGCGTGCCGCACTTTCAACCCTCAAGGTCGTCCATACCGGCGACCTGTTCCCATTGCCGCTGCCTCCACATCCCGTGACACATGTGCCCCCCAATCCTGGCAAGATTACCCTCTGCGAGCCAGTCGCCCAGGGCATCTTGGGCCCGAACACCAAGATCATCGTCTCCCGCGGCCGCGGCTACTCGAAGTATGATCGCTCGTCTACTCCTATTGGCACAGGCCGGGGGGTCGAGGGCGACGAGGGCGAGGACACCGCCAACGACCAATTCTACTCAGCAGCCGAGGACCGCGCACGAACCGACGCCGCGAACGACACCGACGGGAGCCAGACCGATTCCGACGATCAGGTTGATGGCGTGAACAATGACGACGACAGCCTGTCCGACGGCTCAGACGACATAATCACCCTGCAGACGCCCCCTCTCTCGTCTACCATTACCAGCGGTATCGGTACACCCTCCACAATCGGCCGCGGTCGCAAGACGAACGGCGTCGTGAGCGGCGCTGCCTCCGTCTTCTCCAGCTGGACCGCAAGCACAGCACGTCCAGATCGGCCCCGCGGCCGTCTGTTCAAGGCGCACGGCTTGGCACAGCCCATCCCCCCCGAGCTTCTGCACCCGAAACCCGCGCCCGAGGACGACGAAGAGGCCCGCATCTATGTCGACACGCGCGACCTCAACCGCATCGGCTGCTTCTCCGGCGACTGGGTGCGCGTTGAGGCTGCGCAAGAGCCGCCCGCCCATGGGTTCGGCGCGCTCGGCCTAGGCAGCTTCGAGCAGGACCCCGATGAAGAAGTCGCCTGGCGTCCGGCGAGGGTCTATGGCCTACCTGAGGCGTACGCCAGCCGCCCTATGGCTCGCGTGCCGAGCTCTAAGTACAGTAGTGATGGTCGGCGTATGTCCTTCTTTGAAGCGCAGGTCCAGAAGCCCTCGAGCCCGGTTGTCTATCTCTCGCCAATCATGCTGGCGAATCTGGATAGCCCCCCGTACCTGCGTCTGTCGCCTATCAAGCGGCCGGCTCAGGCGCCGGGTGCAGCGGTTAGGGCTGCTAGCGGGTCGCAGGCGAAGTCGTCGTCGGCGCCAGCCCTGCAGCCGCCTTTTGCAAGGGAGGTGATCCTGCAGCATGTCCGGACGCCGATTCCCGTTGAGCGTGACGTGCAGACCGCTGTTATGGCGGGGCTCAAGTTTTACTTTGAGCGCCGTTTGCGTCTGGTCAAGGCCGGTGACCTGATCGCCGTGCCTATCGACACCCAGCTGGGTCGGACGCTGCAGGAGTCGACTGCCGCTGAGGAGCCTGCTGTGGATGATGTCCTGGGTCTGATCGCCAGCAGCAATGTGGGCAGCGTTCGGCCGGAGAAGAGCGCCAAGTACGACGAAGTCGCCTGGTTCAAGGTCGCCCACGTCACCCCCGTGAAGCAGGATCTGCCTGAAGGGCAGCAGGAAGAGGAAGAGGACCCCTGGAATGGGGCCGCCCGCGTAGACATCTCCATCGCGCATCTCGAGCAGAGCGGCTCTGTCACCAGCCGCGTCCCCGGCACCATGTCCAGCAACTGGCCCTGGTACCTGGGCATCAAGAAGCTGCCCAAGCAGCAGCCGTCTCAGCAGGCTCGGAGCCCCACGATGCTCGTTGAGCCTGAACGGCCCTACATCTCCCCCCTGCGCCGCAAGCTGCGCGAGCTCATGGCCGCGGCGACCAGCAAGCCTGCTATCCATCTCAAGATGCCACCTGTCGCGATCCTCCTTGTCTCGACGCAGCGTGCTATCGGCAAGGCGACTACTGCCACGCAGGCCTGCATGGACATCGGCCTGCACACCTTCACCATCGACGCGTACGACATCGTCAACGACGTAGGCGGCGGGCCTGGCGGCGGTGGCGACGTTAAGACGGCCGGATTTCTGACCAGCCGCGCCGAGCGCGCCATGAGCTGCGGGCCGGACTGCTGCGCGCTGCTGATCCGGCATATCGAAGCCCTGACGGCGGACCGGATGGTGCAGAGCATGAAGGAGATTTTGGCGGATGCGCGGGTGTTGATTGCGACGACGACCGAGGTTGATAAGGTGCCGGATGGGATTCGGGCGCTGTTTACCCATGAGCTGGAGATGTCGGCTCCGGATGAGGCTGAGAGAGAGGGCATTCTGAAGTCGGTTGTCGACGAGAAGGGGCTGACGCTTGATCCAGAGGTTGATCTGTCGAGCGTGGCGCTCAAGACGGCTGCGCTCGTGGCGGGCGACTTGGTTGATGTTGTCGAGAGAGCGTGCGTGGCACAGCGTTCCCGGCTCGAGAAGTTGTCTGCGTCTAAATCATCCTCCAATAACCCCAACCAGCCTGCTCAACCCGTAACCGTCCGCGACGTGCAAGTCGCCGGCGGCCCTGCCGCCATCGGCCTGACCAAAGCCGACTTCGACGTAGCTGTCGACGCAGCCCGCAAGAACTTCGCTGACGCCATCGGCGCCCCCAAGATCCCCAACGTCACGTGGGACGACGTCGGTGGCCTCAACAACGTCAAGGACGCCATCACCGAGACCATCCAGCTGCCGCTCGAGCGGCCCGAGTTGTTCGCCAAGGGCATGAAGAAGCGCTCGGGCATCTTGTTCTACGGTCCACCCGGTACTGGCAAGACCCTGCTGGCCAAGGCTATTGCTACGGAATACAGCCTCAACTTCTTCTCTGTTAAGGGTCCCGAGCTACTCAATATGTATATTGGTGAGTCCGAGGCGAACGTGCGTCGCGTGTTCCAGCGCGCGAGAGATGCTCGGCCGTGCGTCGTGTTCTTTGACGAGCTGGACTCTGTCGCGCCGAAGCGTGGTAACCAGGGTGATAGTGGTGGTGTCATGGACCGTATTGTGTCGCAGTTGCTGGCCGAGCTGGATGGTATGTCGAGTGGTGAGGACGGTTCGGGCGGCGTGTTTGTCATTGGTGCGACCAACCGTCCCGATCTGCTCGACCCTGCGCTGCTGCGTCCGGGCCGTTTCGATAAGATGCTTTACTTGGGTGTGTCGGATACACATGAGAAGCAGCTCAAAATATTGGAGGCGCTTACCAGGAAGTATGTTGATTTTAACACCAACTGCCCCCCCCCCCTTTCCCTTTCCCCCTTTCCCCCTTTCCCCCTTTCCCCCTTTTCCCCCTTCAACCCTCCTCCCCTGCCCCTTCTCCGTTTCCCTTTCTCTAGAACTAATGCTAATATCAAAAATCAGATTCACCCTCCACCCCTCGGTCTCCCTCCCTGCCATTGCCGAACGCCTTCCCTTCACCTACACGGGCGCCGACTTTTACGCGCTGTGCTCCGACGCCATGCTCAAGGCCGTCACGCGTCAAGCAGCCGCGGTTGACGCCAAAGTGCGGTCCATCAACGCGTCGCGCGCCGCCCAGGGCCAGCCGCCCATCTCGACCGCCTACTTCTTTGACCACCACGCGACGCAGGATGACATCGCGGTCACGGTCACCGAGCAGGACTTTTTGGATGCGCAGCGCGAGCTGGTTCCTAGCGTTAGTGCGGGCGAACTGGAACATTATGAACGGGTTCGACGGGCGTTTGAGCAAGGGGAAAAGGAGAAGGGTAAACAGCAGCAGCAGCAGGAGGAGGAGGAGGAGGAGGAGGAGGAGAAGAAGAAGAAGAAGAAGAAGAAGAAGGAATTGAAGGAAGGGATCACTATTGATCTCGGGTCGATGAATGGTGGTGTCTCGTCTTCGTCCTCTGTGCCGAGGCTGGTTCTGCCTACGAATCCTGCCGCGGCGTCTGCTAAGTCGGGGGGTAGCCCGACCTCGGAGAAGTCGACCGGGAGTGTCAAGGGTAAAGGGAAGGCAGTTCCTCCGGCTGTGTTGGCGATCCGGGATAAGAGTAAGGGTAAGGCTGCTGCGTCGTCGTCTTCGTTGGGTAGCGATGATGAAGAGGATGAAGTTGGCACCGAGTACACGGATGCGGATTCGGATTACTATCGTAACATGGGTGTCGTCAAAGGGCAAGATAAGGGGAAGGGGAAGGGGAAGGAGGTCGTACCACCGATTGAGGTTGGCAACGGTGCCCCGTTCCAGGATGGAGCGGCCGGCGGAGATGACGAGTTATATGATTAGATGTAGAAGGTTTTTTTTTTTTGTTTTTTCCTTCTAAAGAGAGATGGCTTGTACATGTATAGGAACCAAGGTCGAAACATAGAAGTTACTAGAGACACTTAATCTATGCTGTGATTAGATGTTAGATCAGAATATGTGCTAACTAGTTAAGCAAGCGGAAATAAAGGCTGAACTAAGAAGTATTATTCTAAGTGTCACTCCTCAAGAGACACGGAAACAAGGTTGCAAAGAGGCTACCCAGCATGTAGTTGCTCAGAACATGCATGCCCTCCTTTCGCTACACAAGATGATGGATGATGCTTAAACCTACCTCCTCTCTCCTTTGCTATCAGATTAAATTGCTTTTAATACTCTTGTATCATGTACTCTTCCCCCCCTCCCCCCGGGGCCCGCGCACCGGCGGTCCGGGACTAATATCTTCGACTCCTACCTCTCGTCCTCCTTCTTCTCCTCCTCCTTCTCCTCCTCCTTCTTTGTCTCCTCGCTTTCCTTCCCAGCCTGCAGCTTAGCCTTCTCTTCCGTTCCCTCACTTATAGCCTTCACTTCTGACGTCTTCTCCGTCGTCACAGCGGACGTCCCGGCCTTGGCCCCGGCTTTGCCGTGGACCTTCTCCCTCAACGCTTGCAATTGAACCTGCTTCGCCTTAGCAGCAGCCTCCTCAGCTATGCTGCGAATAGGCAGAGCAGCAGCAGCAGCCGCAGCCGCAGGGTTCGTCGCGACGGGTGTCGGTTTGCTCGTCGTTGTCGTGGTCGCGGATGTCTTCTCAGGGAGCGGCGGCGGAGCCGGAGGAGCGGCAGGGGGGGCGGCGGGCTTAGCTTGTTGCTGCTGTTGTTGCCGTTGCTGCTTGAGCTGCTCCTGCTTCTTGAGCCACTCCTGGTGCTGCTGCAGCGAGGGCTGGGTAAACTCGTCGTAATAGAAGGTGACGTGCTGCTTGAGCTCGCCGTATTCATTCCATTCCTCGATCTCGACGATGTCCTGGGTCCAGCCGTGTCAGCTCTCACGTGCCCTCACACAAAACCCGATGGTACCACAAAAGGAGGGGTCAGAGGAAGACGAGACATACACCCAACACCATGCCCATCTGCACCAACGCAGGCAGCTTGCGCTGGCGGCCCTTCTTATCCTTGCCCGCGCGGCGCCCCCATAGCATGCGAGCCTTCTCGTCAGTGGCGAGGTCGATGGCCTTGAAGGGGATGCGATTGGCGCGTAGGATGGTCTCGAGTCGTGATGTCGCCGTGACGATATGCGACGAGCCGGCGGTCAGCGATGTATAGATGTACAGTGCGGGGTCCGTCGAGTACGTCGTCGGCTTCGGCGGTAGGCCGGTGCTGTTGTTGGTGCTGGTGCTACTGGCAACAGCAGTAGTCGTGCTGGCGCTGCCACTGGCGGCTGCATCCTGGTTAGGGGTGCTGCTGGCTTCTGACATGGTTGTGTGATCTTGTTGACTCCTTTATGTGGCCTTGATCTGAAGTTGCGAGTTTGCGATGATGAAAGGAGGTGGTTAAGTAATAAGCTTGTCGGAGATTGGGCAAATGAGTCTGCGGTGTAGGGGTCTGTAAGGGGCCCCAGTCTCCAGCTGGGCAGGCGGGGGGGGAAGAAGAAGGGGGAGGGGGGGGGGGGTAGGTAGGTAGGGGTAAGGAGCGCAGCGGTAAGGTACGAGTACGGTAAGCAATAAAGCTAACTCCTGCGGGGTAGGTACTGCTGGAGCTGTACCGTCAGGGAGGGGCAGCAAACATCTCCATCTCATGCACATCCCTCAGACTTCATGGTTTGCAGTCTTCTTCAAGCATGCCACAAGCATCAAGGCAATTCGTAAATGTGCAGATAGACCTCCAAGAAAGTGAACAAAAAGATTGTGTGAAAGTTATTCAATGTCATACCCATTTATATAGTTAAAGCGGATTGTTTTATTCTTTGTTCTATCGTATGTGTTCAGCAAAGACAGAGAGAGCTTCGTGGAAGAGCCTGACTCATGTAACACAAGAACTACCTGGTGAGTCCGCCCGATGCCAGATTCTGCAATCTGTGATCGCCAGGCAAAAACAGCTGCTTTATCTTATGCAAGACGGCCGTCGGGGCTGGGGACCGGAAGGTTCTGCCGGCTGGCACAACGCTCGTTGCCATGCCGTGGCGCTCCCACTGCAGCTCACAGGATGAGCGAGCTTGGGCACAGCAACATACCACTAAGTCATTGGCTGTTCCCCGATCAATGAACTCTTTGCCGCTCAACTTGTCCTGACTCTCGTTCCAAGCCCTCGGTTGGCCCCTGCCGACATGGTTAGTCCATCAACACAAAGACTCGCCCGACGGCCAACAAAGAGTTAGAATTCCCGACTCGACCAAGACTCTCCATAATCCTGACCGAATCCAGGAGGCCTGTTGTTCGAGGAATGTGTGTTGGTGTATATAGCTTTTGACCCTCGACCCCCCTGGGCTCTGCCGTCCTCATCCCAGCCAAGCCAAGTCAGCTTCCTTTCCCAAATTCGGCCATCATTCACCTCATCTCCAATCAATCACAGCCAGACCAACATGTGCCTTTTCAAGATTTGCATCACCGTTAGGCCTAAGTGCAGGCACAAGCAGCACAGATCCAGGCGTCACTCCAGCCATCGGCATCCCGACCTGTCAGGGAGAGATCGCTGCTACGAACGCTCATACCGGGACTGGGAGGATGAGAAAGAGGTTGTCGAACATGACGAAGGTAACGATTCCGGCATCGAGATTATCCAAGAACAAGAGTGTTTGCTTGAAGAGGCCCGGGCAAAGCGCTACCAGAGGCGAAGCAAATATACCGACTCTGATAAGAAGCGAGACCGCAAGCATGAGAAAAGAGTAACTTGGGAGGATGAAGAATATGCCGACGAGAAGCCCGCACAGCGGGGAACTCCTGGCTTGCCGGCAGCTAACTCAGGAATCGCCAGGCTGGAGGGAAACTGGAACAACCGCAACTCGGGCTACTCCGGCAACCGCTGCACTTGCTGCGGCCACTGTAGCTATTACCGTACTTCGTACGTCGCCCCTGATACCCGTCCCAGCTGGCCAGGCATCCCCGAGCTTGACGACCCCCGTGAGCCACTGCCCGCGACCCGGCCTCCTCCTCCTTATACGTCGTCACACTGATGCCGCATGAGTCTCGGACAGCCGTTGCATCGACGTCCAGGACGACAGCGCCATCTCGTCGTGGAAAGGCCTAGGCCATGTGCACGCTCATAGGGATTGTGTGAGGTTATAGGTAAGAGGGAAATTCTTAGATACGGTGTACGATGGAGTGGAATGATAAGACCCCCCCGGCGGCAGGGCGTGTCAACGTCATTGCATGTCCTCGGCAAAGTTTCCGGATCGGTGCATGATGGTGGGCATCGTGGACCGGGTCGGGCGTGATCTCTTATGACAGGGCCGACCCCAGATGTCGGCGGGACTTTCGCGTACGATAAATGGAGATGTTAATGGAGATTATTTTTTTTTTTCTTTAAATGGCCTTCTTTCGCAATCTTGGGATGCTCCTTGTTTCGCCATCGCGGCGAAATAACCTTTTGCCAAGACGTTGCTGATCACCTCGGCTGCGGTCTCTTCAATTTCGACATCCTGTGTTAGTTTCACGAGGAAAAGACCCGAATTGGTAGATTCCTTATGTTTCTTATCGCCAAGCAAGCATTCCATATGTGCTTCACTAGTGCTGTTCGTATCTCAGCCTCTCTTCGGAGACAATTTGAGCGAAACATGCATAGCATCACTATCGTAGGGCCAGTGTTGCGCAGGGTAACAATGAAGACATATTCAATGCATACAGCCTGATGAAGCGGGTCGTACCCAGCTGCATGGTAGCACTACCGATGCAGCTTGTCAGCCCAAGCGTGTTGTTGTTGGTCGATACCCTTTTATAGCAGCCAGTAGACGACACAAACTGCCGTGAGACGGCACCCGTGAGGGAAGGATGGCGGTGACAACATGACATAGCACGATATCGGAACCTGGAGTGGGAAACAGGTGTTGATACGGGATATTGCTGATTCACGGCAGACATTAATCTGTAGTCCGTACTCCATGTACTCCGTTCCCGTACTCCGTGCGCTGTCCACTTACCGTCCAGAAATCGCATTTCCATCGGGCTCAGGCTCTGTTGCGGACAATCGATGACCCCCTCTCGGACAAGTGAGGGTTTTTGTTGTTTGCGCATTGGCTAAGACAGCTGAAAATATTTCCCCATGCACATGTACAAGGCCTGGCAATCAGGAAATCCCTCGCACAGCGGCCATCCCCAAGCTGGCTCTGTCGACGGTGAAGCGATGGGTGCCATTCTGCTGTTGGCGAGTCCGCTGGCTTCTGTGGTCGGCCTGCGCTTCCGTTGCGTCGAGAAAAAAATGTTTGCTTGGCGACTCTGCGCTTCAGGTTCCACACCTGTTCAGACGGCAATGACTGTTCCCCACAGGATCCCTGCTCCCTCCTTCCTGTTCCTGGCAAACGGAATCATTTATCAGCCAATCGTGATTGTTAACTGTAATGGTCGGCTCCACTCTCCCACCTGTAAGGTACGCGGTATTCCGTCCGACCTGTCCAGCCAAGCAGGGCACGGGCAGGAACCCGTTCGCCCAGCTGTTCCCCTGGATTGTGGCTGCCGGCCCCCTTGTCAGCTCATCATCTTGATGGAGGATTGGCGGAGGGAAGGCGCAAAGCCCGCCGTTCCAGAGAGCGCCACGCCCACCTGCAGGCCCAGACACCCCATCGAACACTGCCCAGTGCCCTCCAGGTCCCTTGCTGGTTCCTTAAAGCGTCCCCGTCCCCAGCCATCTTCCCTGATCCTTCCTTTTCTTTCCCTTCTCTCAAGCGTCATCGCCCACACCCGTCCACGCTCTTTTCGTCAACCAAACCCACTTCTGGCTGAGTTAGCCTGCCGCTCCTTTGAAAAAAAAAGCCTTTACGACCTTTTTAGCGAACCCTTTTGTTCTTCGAAAGCGCCGGTTCCGTTGATTCTTGATCAACCTTGCCGACTTCTTCCTTTGAAGATCACTACCGACCACATTTCAAGCACAACTTCTATCACCAACAAAGCCGCCAAAATGCAACTCAAGAACATCCTGTTCACTCTGGCCGCTGGCCTTACCATGGTTGCTGCTGAGGAGGAGTACACCACCATCACCTCTACGCAAACCATGACCCAGACCGTCACCATCACCCAGTGCAACCCGACCGCTACGGCCTGCCCGGGTCGTACCTCCACCACCACCTCGACCACCACCTCGTGGACCTTCCCCGTCTTTAACTCGACCAGCACCGTCGGCCCGACCGCCAGCTCTTTTATCTACGTTCCGAGTTCCAGCGCTGGCGTCCCTGTCGTCACTCACCAGCCCTCGAACCCTACGGTCGTCCCTCCTCCGAGCAACCCCAGCACCTCGGATATCCCAACCGCCGGCGCTGGCTCCCTCGCCATCCAGCCCGCTCTCATTCTGGGCGCTCTTGGTGCTGCTGGCCTCGCTCTCCTGGCCTAAACGGATGGAGATCTCGCTTGAGGCGATTGACGTTTTATTCATAGCGACATCCGAACCATGTTGATACCGATTTTTGCCTTCGACTTATGCTCTCTTGATTCTTCGGGGAAGGATGTTTGGGGATTTTTTTTCTTCTAGTGGCAGGAAGGGGATTTCGTTTGCAAATCTCGGGGACATATTTCTTTGTTCCATTTGTCAATTTTCTCTATGTCAAAAGAAATGGGCTACAGGCTGGCATGTGGTTGGACATTTTAGACAAGACCGCAGCGCTTCCGGGTCGTAGCGGCGGTGCTTCATGGGCGTCCTGGGCGCGGAAGGATTTGGGTTGGTTTTCCACGTTGCACATTTTCTCCATGGCAACTGCACATATCATTAAGACAATGAACATGATATCTCCGTCCACCGCTGTAATCTCCCTTTCGATTGTCCCATAGTGCCATTTCTCGTAGCTACATGATCTAGGAACAAAGATGTGCCTGAGTTTTCCTGCCCACAATTTTTTTTTCCCAGCCTTTCCCAACGCCCAACTGCTTCACCTGTGTGAGTCGAAGCCGGACGTTGAGCCGTCCGTTGCTCGGGAAGAGCCGGGCCTTATGCTTTTGCAGGTCATTCCAAGATTGTGCTGTTCTGATCATCAGGCAATCCACGTGGAGATCTGCAGTGCAGGCAGGCACTGTTAAGATCTATCGGAATGCCTTGCCAAGCATATAAAATAATGGCTTTGGTCCAGACAGGAATGATTTGTGAGCCAGGGCGGCCCGTGTCGAGGCTCGGAAACTAGACCGAAAATAGGGAAATAATGCTCTTTGTCAAGGCTGCTCATGGTTTTCGATGTTAGATAGGGAGTGACCATCTTGGCTTGACCTTTAAATCTTCGAGGTCCATCATGACCCCGACCGAAAAATGGGGAGACTGCCGATCCGCGCGCAAGAGATTCTAATAGCTTAGAGCCCTGCTATCTCTTCTGCGAAACACGAAGCCCAGTCAAAAACTTGACGTTCTGTTGTTTTGTTTCCTGGAAAGCCTAGAGAGCGATTGACTTTCCAAAAAAAGCATTTTCGGTTATCTTTGCGTTCAAACTGTGTACACATGCATTGAGCCTGCTCCTGCATACCAACCTGGTGCTTGGGAGCACATGTTTTCCGTGCTCTCAACTTTGGACAGACCTTAAAAAACAAAGGTAACAGATCTCCAACGACGGATGCTGACCGAGGACGATTGTGACATTATCACAATGCCATTGGCTCTATGTGTAACTAGCTTCAAATGTGCTTAAGAAGGCAATATATAAGCTTTGGTCGCCGGCGCTCCGATACGCGTCCAGCTGGGAACCAAATGAGCGATCTGTTCACGGTGAAACGCCGCTTGACATCATGCCACGCTGATGATCAACTACAACCTCACGGATGATCCGGGCCAGCCACTTTAGCATGCTTTTCATGCATAAACTGAGAGATGGAGATGTGGGCTCATGGCTCAGGAATGCATCCTGCTTGAAGTTTTGGCCCTAGCTTAGAACAAGGAACAACGCTGGAGCCCAGCAGGAAGGTCACGGCGGTGTTGATGATTGCGAGAGGAATGCACAGACCACCACTGATAATGTTGATAAGACTCAATTGCGCGCGATAAGCCTTCATGTGACGCACTGTGTATCCCTGTCAAGGCTGGGCTTGGCTTGTTTGAGTTACCCCTCCAAGGTTCTCAAAGTCGGTCAACTCCCTTCCAAATATCCTATTCTAAACACAGCTACCTCGAAGTATCAGACTCGACCTAAACAACCAAATAAAACGTACGAATGAATCGATGAGACTTGGGATATCTACGCCGTTACACAAGTTTCAGCAGCCAGTCAACGATTGACGGGAAATAGCTGTGCTAAATCAATCAATGACGACAGCCTTGCACCGACACTAGCATTGTGACTGCCATCGCCCTTAGCGCTCAGATCTGCTCAATTTACCCAGCTGGTCGAGAAAGCTGAGTGTTGTTCAGTTTCCCATTTCCAGAGTGCTCTTCAGTCCGATCAGGGAGCCACAAGTAACACCACTCTCATCATCGGGATTGGAAGACCTCGCAACGCCGAGTTCCGGCGCTGATTAACCGACCTAAGAGCTCTCGTTTGCTTTTTGCCTGGCCAAGCCAGGCTCACAACCCTTCCTTCTTGCGGTTGAGACTGATCGATTGATGGCTCTTGGTCGCTAAAACCATGGCGAGTCGTGATAACCGGCCTTTCTCGTCGGATGTCCACGAGGATGCAGAGAGCAGCTCTTCCTCCCATATCCATCATCCCGATTCGACAAGCAGCCACGACGGGCAGGACAATCGATCCAGAGTGATATGCCCTTGGCGGACGCCGCGCTATTACAACCAGGAATGCTCGCGATACTTTGACTGTCCCACCCATACCGTGGAGCGGGCACTTTCAGAGGACGCTGAGGAAGAGCGAGAGGATGAGACTACACAGGAAGCTCGACATGATCGGCCACAGTCAGGGATGAGCACATCTGATGACACCGGCAACGAAGATGGTCCTCAGATGACCGACCCGGGGCCACCAGAGCCACGTACAGCAACAACAGCCGGGGCTCCTTCTCATCCTCCTCAGCTAGCAAGATCAAGATCGCCACCAGGCTCCAGTGCTGGCAACCCTATCATGCTGGATGCCCCTCCAGCGGCCCCGCCAAGACAACGACTGGCTCCATCGGCGCTTTCGGAATCACAAAGAGGCAGTGTTAACAGCAGCTCCGGCGGGGTCTCCACGTCTCCAGCTCCTGTTGGCTCGCTGTCAAGGCAAAGTCGAGTGTCTGCTGCCGCTGCGGCACTTTCGCAAGCTGCCAGTCAGGCAGGCCAGTCTAGCTCAGTTGCTCAGAACCCAGTCGACGTGCATCCAGGCACCCCTGTTGTGCTTCCCAGGTGGCAACCGGACGCAGAAGCAACCTATTGTCCGATCTGCCATACCCAGTTCAGCATCTTCAACAGGAAGCACCATTGCCGGTAAGTGTTGCGACAACGAGGCTGTAAGGCTGAAGCTGAAGGCTGACTCAACTGACTGGGGTTTAGCAAGTGTGGCCGTGTGGTCTGCGCTTCATGCTCTCCCCATCGCATTACAATCCCCCATCAGTACATCGTGCGGCCACCGGGCTCTTCTTCTCCGGTGCCTCAGCGCTCTTCTTCCTCTTCACACGAAAGCCATTCGTTGTTTCCGGACTTCAGTGGCGGCGAGAGGGTGAGGTTATGCAATCCGTGTGTCCCGGATCCCAACACGGCCCCGCCGTTTGCGCAGCAAGGCCATAGCTCACAAGCGAGCACTCTTCTCCCATCTCTACAACCGACTACTAGTCCAACTTCAAACCGCTGGAATTACTACTTTGGCGCTCCGACTTCTTCTAGCGACCCTCTCGCAAGGAACCGCAGCGCAACAATGGTAAGCAGACTTTTTGAGAGCCTATTCAGCTGCTCCTACACCTTGAAGCCTGACAAGTGCTGACATGAAGCGAAGTCTCACCCTACCCGAGGCCCTCCTTCTCTAACTTCTGGCGGCTATGCCCAGCCGTCCACCTCTTATACCCACAATGCCTATCCTGGCTACTATTACCAATCGATGCTCAACCTTGGCGAACCATCCTCTGCCGCCGCCTCCAGTTCTGGCCCTTCTTCCTCTACCTCAGCTCTGAACCGCCAGCCTCTCCGGTCGCAGCCTGAACGTGAGATACCCGAGGAAGACGAATGCCCGGTCTGTCACCGCGAGCTGCCGCCACGCACGCTCCCCGACTTCGAAGCTCGTCGCGAGCAGCACATCAACGACTGCATCGCCGCCCGCTCCAACATGTACAACCGCTCTCGCGCCGCCAGCTCCAGCGCCGCTGGCGAGTCCTCGACGGCGATGCCTCGCCCGCGGTATACGCGCATGTTCCCGTACACTGCGACAGAAAAGGATTGTGTCGACGATGCCGAGTGCACGATCTGCTTGGAGGAGTTTGAGGTCGGCGCGCAGATGGCCCGGCTGGAGTGTCTCTGCCGATTCCATCTGCGCTGTATCAACGCTTGGTGGGAGAGGCATCCGGGTCGGTGCCCTATGCACCAGCATGATGGGTATGGTTATTGATGAGAATACGAGGAAATATCCAGTGCGTGTGCATTTCAGGCGTTTAATGGCGGATAGCAAAGGGGATTTTTTTTTTTATCATTGCCGGTTTGTAATGGCGTTGGTAGGCAGGAGGGCGTATTACCTGAAGTAAATAGCATCGGATCGGATACCATTGTGTTTTTGTCGAAGAATCCCCCTCGGACAGTGGTTCGGGCGATGGGCATGAACGTTGCATATACGCTCACTCTGCTAGACCATGGTCGGATGGGATTAGATTCATCATTCATGTCAAGTTGATAGGAACATGAAATGAAATAAGATGCCACTCATGCATTAGATGATAAGCGGGTCTGCTCCGATTCTTCTAAATCTATGCAGTGGTATAATAACGCACGTGCTCTGAAAACCTTCACGCCCAACCAGCGCCGTGTCTTCCGCTCACTATTCCCGTCTACCGAACCTATGTCACCGTACTCCTGGGTGAACTGAACCTAGATGCTTTGTACATGAGTGTACAACTGATTAGACGGCCTGATAGCTTAAAATCTGCTACCGCGACGGGCCAGGAACACCCAGGTTTTCCGGCCCGAAGGACAGCGGGAGGAGCTACAGACGATGTCAGTAGGCAAACTCACTGCAGACAAGCTTGGGTTGTAATTGAAGAGCTCACCTCCTCCAGCCTCATGATTGCATAGTTTCCATTCTTGTCAAACATGATTATAGGAACATTCAGGTCACAGAATTCGCGGATACTGCATCCCCATTAGTTGGGTCCATCCTTCTACAACCGAGACAAAAGAAAAACAAAAACTCCAAGGTGAGGAAAAACTCACAACTGCCGACACATCCCACACGGACTCGCCGGCATCGTCCCCTTCTCCATATCCACCTCCACATCCGTGATAACCGCTACAGCTTTGACTATCCCCCCATCCTGCTGTCCCGGCTTCAAAATCCCATTCGCGACAGCATTGCCAAACGCCACGCGCTCGGCGCATGTTCCCACAGGATAGGCTGCATTTTCGACGTTGCAGCCTGCAATAACCTCCACGTCGGAGTTTTTACTGATCAAAAGGGCTGCGCCAACACGGAACTTACTGTAGGGACAGTAGGCACGGGATTTGGCTTCGTTGGCGGCTGTGTGGAGGGAGTGGAAGTTCTCGTAAGTGAGGCCGAAGGCTTGGTAGGGGGCCGGGTGTTGGCACTGGGTTGAAGAGAGGTAAATTTCGACGTTGGGAGGGGCCATTGTGGAAGGGAGTGAAGGTTAACTAAGGTGAGTAATGTATGGGGTGTGAGGTGAGTGTATCACAAGCGGTTGTGTAAAACGGATGAGCCGATAGTGAGAAACTAAGGTGATTGACTTGGAAAATGGGGAAAAATCAACGAGACAGGTCCGGATCTTCGATTCGAGTACAGACAAGCTCGAGTATGGTGCTGCTGGAATTCAATGGGCAATCCAGACCAAGTGATCGTTTCGAAGTCCGCTGGAAATGAGACACCCTTTTGTGTTGGTACAGGGGGATGATGTCAGAGAGGGGGAGGGGAGGGGAGGAAGGGGGCAGGCGGAACCCTGAGACAAGGGTACCGAAGTACACGTTGCCTACCCGTTTGGGACTCGAGGAGCGGGGCCGTCTGCCCCTACCAGCCGGAGCCGGACTTCCAACCAGTCAACGACGCCGATGAATGTGTGGACTTCGCATTGTTAGGACGCCTTTGGTCTCGTTTTGCATCGATGGCAGTTGTCGTCTTTGTCGACAATCCTCGAGTGCGGAGAGCCTTCGTGGCTGAACAATCCCATACGAAACAGGACTGATTTGGCATTGACCGATGGAAATGGGTAGAACACTGGGGCGTGACAACGTAGCGTCCGGCTATGTTAAGACTGGCTTCTCGTCAACAGCATACGAATCGAGTCGCCGATGAGCTGCTGGGATCAAGGAAGATGTAAGGAGAGACTAGGCCAACGGAAAAGTCGGTCAAGAAGGGGCGAGGACCGCTGCTGGATCCGGAAAGCAAGACATCACATGAGCTCCCAGTTTGTCTTAGTTGCCCATTGTGGCACTCAATAAGCAAAGTCTCGGGCCATTCTTGAAGAGAGTTGAGACAATATGTATTCAAGAATTAGAAACAGTAGGGCGGTGAAAAGCTATGTCTATCGGCTGTATCATAACAATATTAGGTAGAGGTTACAAATATCAAAACGTTTCATATGATCATAGCCTGTCGCATGTATCACAAAAACATCATATACAAGACGTGAGCAGCGCAGGCTACCTGTCAAGGGCCTGGTTATGGCACTGCAAACATCTGTCAGCACTAGGCAGTTGAAAGGAGTAGAGATATCGTGAACAGGGTGACATACCATATGCCAATAGACTCCCTTCTGCTTGAGCAGCTCCGCGTGTGTGCCTTTCTCGATGACCTTACCCTCACCCAAGACATAGATAATATCGGCATTCTGGATCGTCGCCAACCGGTGTGCAACCGCAACCATTGTGCGACCCTTAGCCGCGCGCTCAAAAGCTGCCTGAACCAGCTTCTCGCTTTCTGCTACGTGTAAGCAAAAATGTGTCTAATAACTCGTCTATACTAGGACCACTTACCAGAATCGAGGGCACTCGTAGCCTCATCCAGCAGCAACACGCGCGGGTTGCGAATAAGCGCCCGAGCAATAGCAAGGCGTTGCTTCTGCCCACCACTCAAGCTCACACCGCGGCTACCAATGTTGGTATTGTAACCCTCGGGCAAGGAAACGATGAAGTCATGTATGTTGGCATCCCGGCAGGCCTGGTAAAGTTGCTCTTCAGTGACGGAGTCCGGATCGACGCCCAGTAGGATGTTCTCCCGGATCGTGCCATGGAAGAGTGATGGCTCTTGGGCCACTAGCGACAAGAGCTTGCGGTGCTCATAGACGTTGATCGCCTGGATGTTCTTGCCATTGAACAGGATCTCGCCCTTGATAGGGTCATAGAAGCGCTCGAGCAGGCTGATGATGGACGTCTTGCCTGAACCCGAGGCACCCACTAAGGCAGCGAACTGGCCCTTCTCAATTGTGATGTTGAGGCCCTTGAAAATGGACACATCGCGCGTCGGATACTTGAAATGAACATCCTTGAGTTCGATCTTGACGCCACCCTCGGTGTCTGGAATCTGCTCCGACCGTGAGATGTCGTCCTTGATGCGCGTCTCGCGAGCCTGGAGGATACGATTTGCTGCTGCTTGGGCCTGCGCAGCATTGGGACCGAAGCTCAGCCAAGTACCACAAGATTCAGCACCCTGAATCATGGCCATGTACGTCACCATGAAGGCCACTACATCATACTCTCCACTCAACAACAGTCTACTGCCATACCAGAAGATGAGTGCCTGGCAGCCGATGTTAGAGCTGTCAGCAAAAGAGATAATGAGAGTTGCCCATCGAGCCTTCTTGAAAGCTGCCACGACATGACCATGCAGCAGCCGCTGGTATCGGTCGCAAATGCTTTGTTCCATCACCAGTGAGCTGACCGTCCGGAAAGCGCCGATCGCTTCGGCACCAAACTTGGAGCTTTCCTGGAAGACCGCCTGGTTCATGGCATTGAACTGGATCTCGTACCGGACTCTGAAGAAACCAGAGACAATACCGATGGGTACCGTGACGCACAAAGCCACAAGTGCCAGCTTCCAGCCATACACGAACGAAATGATCAGAGCTCCCACCATACCGAGGATACCAATGATCATCATCATGAGGTTGATACCCAGAAGTTCCTTGAGAGCCTGCGGGTCACTCGAAAGGCGTGATGTCAGCTGGCCGATGGCGTTGTCGTCCTTGTCAAAGTAGGCAGTCGGTTGGAAGAGGATAGACTCGAAGTACTCCTTCTTATAAACAGCGACGATGTGGCTTTCCAAGTGCGTGCATACAAAAGATGTCAAGCCATACGATGTCCCAACCCCGGCAGCAAGAACAGCCCACATCTTGCACCAAAATGTGATCTCGTCCATGAGCTTGTCGTCATCTTGAAGTTGGAAGGTACCGACAACCCTGGAAAGGAGATAGGCTAAAAGGGGCACTGCCGCTGCTGCACCCATGGAACCCAGAAGCGCAATGATATAGAGCGGGAAACGACTCCGCTGCTCGTACAACAATTTTCCAAAACCATTGATGAGATTGCGGTCTTTCCAGGTTGTCTCCTCCTTGAAGCTCTCACCCTCAATCTTAGCCGCACTCTTCTCGCGGGCCAAGACAGCGCCGATGTCCTCTTCTTCGAGGAGTTCTTCACCCGTTTCCTCACCAAGAGAAAGTTTCTGGGCATGAACAAGACCGGAGTAAACGCCACCCTCATTGGCAAGGAGACTCTCGTGCGTACCCTCCTCAACCACACGTCCGGCCTTCAAAACGCAGATGCAATCAGCATTTTTGATAGTAGACAGCCGGTGAGCGATGGTGATGGTGGTCCGGCCTTTAGAGGCTCTCTCGAGAGCAGCTTGCACGATGCGCTCTCCACGGACGTCAATGGCCGAAGTAGCTTCGTCGAGGATGAGAATCTTGGGCTTCTTGATGATACTTCGGGCGATGGCAATGCGCTGACGCTGACCACCGCTCAACTTGGCACCCGAGTCGCCCACGATAGTGTCATAACCATCTGGCAGCCGGTCGATGAACTCGTCCGCGAAGCTTTCGACACACGCCTCCTTGACGAGCTTACGCTTGATTTCTTCTGGCTCATTCTCCCACTGAGTCCCAATCAGGCCGGCCGCGACATTATTGAAGATGGTGTCATTGAAGAGGAAAGGCTCCTGCTGCACAAGGCCGATCTGTGACCTCCACCATTTCATGTCGATTTCCTCGAGAGTTTTCCCGCAAGTCGAGATACGGCCTTTCAGCTCGACTGGAGGGCCTGTTTCCTCCTCCGCATCGATGGGAGCCAAAATGTCCTCGTCAGTGTCCTCTTCCTTCTCCTTCTTGCCCTTCTTTTCTTTCTTCTTGTCCTTTTGGACGGCCTTGGCGATAACGACTTGTTCACGAAGCGAGTACCACCCCTCAATGAGACCAACGATAGTACTTTTACCCGAGCCACTGGGACCAACAATGGCAGTGTTCTTGTTCGCCCGTATACGCAAATTCAAGCCGTCGAGGACCTTTTTGGACGGGCGGCTCGGATAGGCGAAATGGACATCCTCGAAAATAATATCTTGGTCAGCCGTAACATCAGGTTCCTTGAGGGTGCCCATCTTGGGCTTGGGCGCATCGATAACAGCGAAGAACTCGGCAGCCGCAACCATGGCCTTGGTGACGGCCACAAGGGACGTAGATATACGCTCCATCGAAGGGACAATCATAGTGACCGACAACACACAGATCATGATCTCAACAATGCCATCAATGTGCCCTTCGACCTTTTGCTTCACGCCGAACCAGAAAGTCAAGGCAAAAGTGCCGTAGACGGCGAAGAAAATTGATCCGAATTGACCGCCGAGGAACGGAGCGGAGAAGATATTGGCCTGCTTGGCTTGTTTGACCCATTCGGAGAAGCGCTGGCTCATACGATTCTCGGCACCACACGAGGCAACCATACGAATAGCACTGAAAGACTCAGTGGCCACCGCTGTGGCCCTGTTATCGGCTTTTGACATCCGTGTCTGTCCCTTGATGATGAAGGGCAGGAAAATCGAGGTGACCAGCGAGATGAAGAGGACAACGGAGCAGGTCACGAGGGTCACAGACCAGCTGAAAGTAAAAGACACGACGAGGGCGGCTATAACGGTTGCAAGGTACTCGAGACAAGTGCCAAGCTTCTCAGAAATACCGAGCTGAAGTGTGTTCGATGTCGAGGTGATCGTGCTGGCGGCGGCGCCCGGGGGCATAGAATCAAGCACGTGGATAGTTTGGCTAAACAGGCTGCTGAGATAGTGCATTCTGATGCCGGCCGACATGCGGATGCCGATGAGACGGAAAGAGAATTTGTTGATGTAGTTGAGGCAGAAGCGGGCGAGGAAAAGGCCCATCATGTACAGCGACATGCGATCTATCGTGTCCCTGAACACGTCCTCGGGTGGGCCGTTCGGGGTTCCGAGACTGGTGAACTCGCCCATGAGCTTGCCAAAGACAACATTCATCAGGGGCATAGTCACACCAGCGCCAATGCTAGAGATGACACCGGCAGCCATCAAGGCAAAATCCCACTTGTTTGCGTAGGTGAATACACGAAGATAGTCCTGAAAGGTGGCCTCTCTCTCAGGCTGCCCCTGAGCGGACTTCGACCTGTCCCTCTCATCCTGACCAGCGTTGTCTTCATGGCAGGCCTTCTCATTCTGGCTTTTGTCGATAGTGAGGGCGACATCCTGCGACCCTCCTGTATCCTTGACCTTTTCGTCCGCCATTTCGGTGCCGTCTTAGATGGCGTTGGGCGATTGTTGAAGGATCAGAAGGCCAAGCTTGACCCAAGAGTCGACACAGCAAATGTCACAACAGTTAAGCTAACATAAAACCATCGGGACTGGCTGCCGCAAGGAATGGCATCGATCGTTTGCAAAAACGAAAAAAAAAAGGTCAATGGATGAGGCTGGGCAATTGGTGTACGTGTAGACGTAATTCCGGTGAGAGTGATACTAAGTGCGGGTAGCGTTCCTTGTAGAAATCGCACCAGCTTCCCCTTATAGCGGAGGGGCCAATTGTCCGAACACCGAGATCTCGAAAGACACGAGGTTGTCGCGCGAAATGGAGCTCCCTAGCCTTGCTGCTTGGCAGCAAATTGGACGGCAGCAAATAGGACGGCAACCTGCCCGATTCGGGTGTTGGTGCCTAGCCGCGATGCATGAGCTCCTGGAACTTCTAAGGGGCAAAGATAATAAATCGCAGCCTGATCCTACAACTTTGGCTTATCTCTGCACAAGCTCTCACTTATACGGACGGCAAGGGTGAGCTCTTAAGAAGCTAGGCAAAGTTTAGGTACGGATGGGCGTTCAGTTTTACCATTGCATGAGAAAAAGTCCCCCATGGTTGAAGAAGACCAGGTCTTTGGCTGGCGTTAGTGGGAACCGCAGCTGGCTTCATTTCTGGAACTTTTCAATGGCGGAGGAAGATGCCAACCTCAGGCGCAGACGACCATGCCAAAAAGAGCAGACGGAAAGCAACGTTGGATCGGTTGGGAAATCAAGAGTGGCTCCTTAGCACACTAGGGTTCTGGCCAATGACATTCTTCCTAGTTCGCGTATAGAAGTGGAGCCATATGCAAGTACGTAACTGTAATCAAAGACTTGAAAGAGCAACTCTCAGCAAACCTTTTGAGACTTTATCTTGAAACATAAGTGCTCTTGTTCAACAGCTAGGAAGAGAAAACAAGGTATAACGGCAATAATTTGCTCACCCATAATGCTTCATCTGTCAGTTTTCCTCCAATTCGAGAATGGAGCTTTCCTGAGAGCTTTGGACGGAGTTGGAGATTGCTAAGACGACCAGCAAACGCTCGACAAGGTCGGGTAGCCTGCTTGAAGATTTGAAAAACTCGAGTCATTCTCCTAGATGCAAAAAAAAAAAAAAAAAAAAGACTCATTCTATCTGTTATATAGAATGCGCACCTCCGAGAACAAGATTGTAAAATCACAACACCTCCTTCACGCTCAAGATATATTGTAACGGGTGACTTGGTCTGGTGCAGGCAGAGATCGACAATGGGTCAAATGGGTAAGATGATGGCTACTGACATTGTGGGGTACGCAACGGAGTCAATTGCTATGTGTATCAATCTTTCTTGGTTCTCAGTGTCCTTGTGTTGGGGAGAGGAAAACCAATAGAAATCCATCATGTCCAAGTAGCTCCTTTTATAAAATCCCTTTGCCCTTATGAATACCTCGCGGTCTCCTGGGATCTTAAGGAGTTTTCCTCATCCTGGCAAGGTTATCTAACTCATTCTTGACACCCCTTATATTTCCCGGGCTCTACCGATCAAATATGCCCTTCTCAACTCTTGTGTCACTGGTGTTCCATATGTTGGCTGTTAGGAATATTTCTTCTCCTTGGACTGCCGTGTCCATGTGACATATATTGCGTGCCGTGGTGACTTGCTAAGCTAAGTTCTCTATGATTGAGTACTTTGAATGGTCTACGGATTACATGAGATTTGGGGATTTCATGTTAAGTCCAAGATTCTGATAATAGCATCTCTTCCAAGACAGGTGCATGAAAGTGAATGTCCCGGATGAAGATATAACGATTCCGGAAAGTATGGAGCTCAGTGCACGTTCTTGACCTTGCACGCATGTGCCTGCTATGATAGATCCGATTGAACTGTATAGCGGAATGTTGCTATGTGCATTACTATTACCTGTGAACGAAGGCTGCAGCTCTGTGTCACAATCTGAGGCCTTGCATCTCGATGGCGGATTACCTAAGCATGAAAGCAGAATGTCTTGTCCCGCATTTGGGGGAGCGGAGGGGGAATCTGGCTGTCTCAGTTAAACCATAGCTGTGAGTGATTATTGGAGGAGTTGTGTGTGTCCTAAAGTAACCCAATGAATCCAATGATACAAAGTGATATAGCCAAAATTCCTTAACAAGCATGCGGAATAGGGATCTGACGAAAATCAAGCTTCGACAGATGGGATGAAGCTGGAATGATGATCATAGTGGGGTAGGGGTTTAGGTGGCGATAAGGTTATCAAGACGACACCCCAGAAGCAAGGCATCCAATCTGATGTTAGGGACTATCCGGTTTGTGTCAGCCTTGCAGCGGGGCCCGCATGAAGCAAGCAATTGCAGAGGTTTTGCCGGCCGTAAAACGGCGAGGCAAAACACTGAGTCAACCCCCCCCCCCGCCCGATAGCCCGATAGTCCGATAGGCTCCCACCCACATTTTGGTGTTTGAATGCAGACCTCGAGGACACTTGCCATTATCCGGTCTGCTCGGCTCCAACGAGTGCTCAGCCCGGCATTGGCAACTCTTCCTACTGCAACTTGCAGGTCAGGCACTGTCAGTCGACGTCAATTCGCAGCTTCGACACCCACAGGTTGCTCTCAAACTCCGAACCAGAACCCCGCCATCACAGTCACCATGGCTCCCAAGGCCCAGAAGTTCGAGATCAAGTGTGTTCCCAACTAGATCATGGATCAATACGACGATCCCAGCTAACGAGACCATTTTAGGACCCCTAAGGGAACCAGAGATTGTACGGCGCCGGCCAAATCTTTCAATTACCTCTATTTCGAACTCACCTAATGCAACCTCCACTCAGGGTCCGGTGAGGACATGGTCCTCAGGGAGAAGATCTTCAAGACTATCACCGACGTTTTCAGTATGTGGTCTGACAGTTGGGCATGGGAGGAGAGAAGCTGACGGTCTTAAAAGAACGCCACGGCGGCGTCACTATTGACACTCCTGTCTTTGAGCTGAAGGGTACGTGTTACTTCAGGATCCCATTCCAAACGTTAAAGAGCATATTCGTTAACGAAACGTAGAGATTCTTCAGGGTATGCTGGCAATCAAACTTCTTTGCGTCCTCCAACGGCACCACTGACGGCCACTTCTAGGCAAATATGGCGAGGACAGCAAGCTCATTGTGGGTGCCCTTCAACCCGACTCTGCGACATGAAATACCGGATATAGATTGACCACGATCATGAATACAGTACGACCTGGCCGATCAGGGCGGCGAGCTGTGCAGTCTGCGATATGACCTCACGGTTCCCTTCGGTATGCTACATGAGCGCTACCCCTGAATGCACGATACTAAAACAGCTTTTCAGCTCGGTATCTTGCCATGAACAAGGATATCTCCCAGATCAAGCGGTACCACATCGCTAAGGTGTACCGTCGCGATCAACCGGCCGTGAAAAAGGGTCGGATGAGAGAGTTCGTAAGCATACTCCTTTTCCGGGGAGCACGAGGAAATTGATGACAAATGCTAACGAAGCACAGTACCAATGCGAGTAAGGCACCACGCGTTTTTTTTAACAAAAAATGAAGATATGTTGACCTTAAATACAATTTTCTAGCTTTGATATTGCTGTAAGATTTTGGTCCACAAGTTAGCTCCGACTTTACGAACTGACCGTTTGTTTAGGGCGTCTATGACCCAATGATTCCAGATGCTGAGATTGTAAGTTTTGCCACGATAACACAAGCTTCGAATCCCTCGATAATTCTGTTTCGTGCGGCGCCATTTTGATTAGCCGCTAACAAATTGACAGATCAGGATCGCCAACGAAGTGTTCGATGCCCTTGGTTTCAAGGGGAAGTACACTATCAAGCTCAACTCACGCAAGATTCTCGACGGACTCTTCCAGGTCTGCGGTGTGCCCGACAACCTCATCCGGCCGATCTCGTCCGCTGTTGACAAGCTGGACAAGATGCCATGGGAGGACGTCAGGAAAGAGATGGTCGATGAGAAGGGTCTGGCTCCGGAAGTCGCTGACAGGATTGGCCAGTATGTTGTGCTGAAGGGGCAACGGGATCTCCTGGAGAAGCTGAAGCAGGACCCCGAGCTTTCGGCAAACCCGTCGATGCAGCAAGGCTTTGCAGACCTGGAGCTGCTTTTCACCTACCTTGAGGCTTTCGACGCCCTGCACACTGTATCCTTTGATCTCTCCCTTGCAAGAGGTTTGGACTACTACACGGGTGTCATTTATGAGGTTGTAACCGAGGGCTCTGCGCCTAGCGTTGCGGCTACGAAAGAGAACAAGGAGAAGGTGGCCAAGAAGAAGGGCGGCAAGTCGGGCGACCCTGATGAGGACCGCTCTGATGACCCGACCGTTGGCATCGGTGAGTTTTTTTCTGCTTAGGATTTAGATATATCATTAACATATAGCAGGCTCTATTGCGGCTGGTGGCAGGTACGACAACCTCGTCGGCATGTTTTCTGGAAAGACCCAGGTTCCCTGCGTTGGCATCAGCTTTGGCGTCGACCGTATCTTCTCCATTATTAAGGCCTCCCAGACCAAGAAGAGCAGGAAGAACGAGGTCGATGTGTTCGTCATGGCGTTTGGTGGCGGCAAGGACTTCACTGGTCTCCTGAAGGAGAGGAGTCAGATCTGTGCCCGGCTCTGGGATGCTGGCATTAAGGTTAGTAAGCCTCGCATTCGGGGCGTGTATCACGAAGCTAACATCTAGCTAGGCTGAGTTCCTTTACAAGGTGAAGCCCAAGCTACAGGCACAGTTCAAGGCAGCCGAGGATGGTGGTGTGCCGTTTGCTTTGATCTTGGGTGAGGTAAGGACCCCCCCCTAATCATTTCGAATCTGTCACAGCAGCGTATTAACATTACATTTTCAGGATGAACTTGCCCAGGGTAAGGTCAAGATTAAGGAGATGGGTCTTCCTGCCGGTCACCCACTGAAGGAGGGCGAGCTCATTAGCCTTGACAACCTCGTCGAGGAGGTCAAGCTCCGGATCACGAGGAAACAGCAGGCCGACCAGCTTGCAGAGCAGGCTGACCAGCTCAAGCTTGTCGACGGTGTTGAGAAGGACAATAACGAAGCCCAAGCTTCTGCATAAACGGCTTGGAACCATTACCAGTGGTCGTTTGCCTGCCTTACCAACGTCTCAACGATGTCATCACGATGATGGTCCCCCGCACCTTACGTTGATGAAGAGGATGAATATGTTGAATGGACAAAAATGGCAAATGGCTACCCCGCTCACATAGACTATACCTTTCTGCTTTCATAGCTCTGACGTCTCGACACCCCACCTCGAGAAGTAGGTAATCTGTTTCAGAGTGTTGAAACGTGCATATAGAGACAACGTCGTCCAAAAAGATAGAGTTGCAATATCTACCCAACCTACAGGATACCCTACCTACTTTCCAACCTTGAACATTGACCAAAGGCGTCCTTAATGATGTCACGGGACCTTTCTGCATTCTCATCGAGATCTCTCTGAACCCCTCACCATCCGTCTGCGCAGGCACTGGCGCCGTGCGGGCTTGGCAGCGGTCAATGCGGTGTAGGCGATGCCAGAGCGCGCAGCGACGATGGTAAGCAAAGCGGGAAAGAGGCTTGACAAACCGCATAAAGTTGAAAGGTTTTCTGCTAGCAGCATTGACAATCCCTTCTACGGTTGGCGACCGGGACATATGACAAGGCCTTTGTTGAAAAAAAAAAAAAAGCTTCTTCCCGTCTCTTTTGCATTCGCGATGTTGCAGTTGATGCCGGCGGTCAGTCAGTCGTGTTAGTCGTTGACTTGCCCGCGTGCCCGCCATTCTTAGCTTGGCAAGCTACCTAGGATTCTTGCTCAGTATGGAGCGGTTGATGTTGATAACACTGTCATGGGTTGATCTTGATATACTGTATCTTTGCGGGATTCCCTGGTCTGGTGTATAGACTCAATACTTATCACCAAATTGCCATGATGCTCCCCGCCATTTTCGATATGCTGCGCGGGAGATCTGCTGAAGATGATAGCGCAATGATGTGGCTGTCAATGACGACCATTGGCTCCAGGCTATTAGCGATATCGTTTGCATCGAAGGGCTTTCGAAATTTCCCAGAAGCATCGCACAGACTGATAGCAGCAGGAGATCACAAAGCCAAGTCTCTACGGCGTCGACGGCGTCGAGGCGGCGTTGAAGCACAAGAGGTCTGTGTGGTGCCATTGTATTTGGCCCATCACCGACGATGCCAACGCCAACGATGGCGGAGAAGAGCCTGGCGGAGGGCCAGACCTTGGATGCTTCTGTTGGTGGAGCACAAAGTTGATGTGAAGGGACCTAGGCCACCAGCCGACTCCCTTCGGTGGGGCTTGTGAGCTTGAGGTGATTCCCCTGCGTTTTCGGCGCTTTTCCCTGAGGGTCGTAGCGCACTGCTCCTGGCCGGCCAGGGACGCAGGGGTGTACAAACGTGCCTTGCTGCTTCGAGTTTAGTCCGAGTCATGCAGTGGATTAGCGGTCGTGCTGTGGGGGCGTGGGTTGCAAAGTGAACCGTGCATGAGGGTCGATGACCGTGACCCGGCTCCTGGGTCTTGGAAGTGGGGACGAGAACGAGCGAGTGAGGGCTCGAGAGGTCCTATCCTGGGGCAGGGGAGAGTTGGGGCCGACGCGACCCGGGAAGGGACCTGCAGGAGCATGGGGGAGAACGAACAGGAACAGGAGCAGACACAGGAACACAGAAGCGTGGTTGCATCAGGATCAGGCCAGGGGTTGCACAAGCTCTTGCGTCAGTCCTTCTCATCGACGGGGGCATCGCTGGCACAGTGGGTGTCATTTTCGGCAGTGAGATCGTAACGTGGGCAGTCAGATGTGGAGGATGAGAATGAGAGAAAAAAACGTTGAAAAAAAAAAAAAGACTGTCCGATGTCACCCGGGAATTCGACCCTCTTCGATGGGAATTGTCTCTCAGTGTCGCTGTCCCAATCAACGATCAATCAATTTTTTTTTCGCGACAGGGTCTCAGAGGCAAGGCCCAGGGGTCCCGGGGGAGAGAAGCCGGGGCCGGGAGGAGAAGAGTGACGACGGGAGTGACAGGGCCAGGTTTTGACCAACAAGGTGACGACGCGGCGAAAAAAAAAACAGTGAGCAATGGCGTCCTGGCGTCATGCAGCTAAAAAACGATGGGAAAAAGAACGGGCTGGGGTCAGGCATGGGATGTTGGGCGAGCCCTGCACAACGGTGAACTGTGAATGGTTAATTCATCGCTGGGCTGCTGCTCCTGCTGCTGCTCCTGCTGCTGCTCCTGCTGCTGCTCCTGCTGCTGCGAATGCGAGACTTGCACCTCTATCAACTTGCTGCCGGTGCCGGTGTTGCGTGCTGTGTGTCTCTCTGCGTGTTCTGCCTTCTGCGTTCTGCGTGTGCGCGCGTTGTTGCCGTGCTGCTACTACGGAGTAAGATCGAAGCCCAGGCCCAGGTCCAAGCGTCGGAGACGTCCCCGTCAGTTGGACTTGGAATCGAGTTTGCTTTTTGCATCCCACCACCCTCATCGCCCTGACTTTCTCTTCCAACTTTCTGGCTCGCGGTGGGAATCTGTCTCCGTAGCCGTTGTTGACGCCGTGCTTGGCTGCCTTATCCCATCTTCCACACTCTCTTCTGAAACTCACTACACTTTAATCCATACATTTTACACTCTCTTGTGATCACTCTACACACACTCTCGCTCACATCGTCCATCTCCACTCTTTTCGGCGTCGGCTCGGCGTGTTGCCCTGACTCTCCTTTGTCTGTGGTTGCAAACGACAGCAGCAATAACACCAACTCAGCAGAGCATTCCGCAGCAACAACGGCTCACCACAGCGTCTGGCGTCAACACTGCCCTGCCTTGCCCTGCTTCCTTGCTTTTGCCTAAGTCTGCTGCACCTGCAAGGCAACAGACAGGTTGACTACGTGCTTGACTACTGCGTCCCTGAGACCACTCGTGGACTGGGCTGCATATCAGATTCCGGGCTCTCGCCACTCTTACAGCAGCTCAGTCAGTCAGTCAGTCAGTTGCCAACAGCTTGGAACCTGGAAGACCAGCATCCCCTCGCGTATCTGTCCTCTGACCCTCTCTCCCCACAGAGAGCAAGTCCGTTTCCTCTCGAGGGTATCGGCGTAATCGCACAGCATCACCCGTCAAAGACTCAAAATACCCGTCTGCCGTCCATTCTGGCCGGGTTTCCATCTAGCCTGGCCTGCTTTCCGGCCCGTGTCTCGCCCGCAAACTCCCCGCGCTCATCCGACACGCTTCCCGATCACTGCTTGCTGTCACCCTGTCGCCGCAAGCTTGCACGTCTGATATTCCCGGATCAACCTAGGGTGAGATCCACGGAGACACTACGTTCTGCACACGCTCTGCACGAGTCTCCCGTGAGTCGGAAGACACGCTGCAGACCCGGTACCAGCCGTGCAACGCATCCAATATCCCAACGCTCGAACGAGGTCGCTGGCAATAGAGCCGCAATCTCAAACATTCGTCCCAGTCCCGGCGATCACGATCATCCGGTGCCCGTTCACCTTTTGCCATTTTTATCCCCGTCTCCATCCGTTGCCAGCTGCTGTGCGGAGTCGTGACTGTGCAAAAAGCCCCATCAAACCGTCCGATCGTGGATTCGTGGGACCCGGTGTTCTGGCACTTTTTTTAAAAAAAAAATAAAAAAAAGAGACCATCCCCAGTCGCCAACGCGCGCTCCCGGAAGCCGGAAGCACGAACGAACAGGGGAAATTGAGAATTGAGGTTCCGGCGATCCCAAAGGTGTGGTTGCTGGATCGGGTTCATTTCGGATCACGGCCATTGGTGTCGTCGTTGCTTTAGCGAATTGCTTGTGTTGCCGTTTTGGGGAGTGCCCCCTTTTCGAGAAGCACCAGGGCTCGCCAGTGCACATCAGGCTCATTTGCCCACCGACAGGGCTGATGCTTGCTCCAGCTGCTCCGTAACGATAATCCACACACATCCACATCGCTCTTGGGTGACCTGTCCGTCGTGCCCTGTGGCTGTGGCTCGTTTCATCGGCGATTCGCCATCTCATCCCATCCCAAAGCTCTGGGTCTTCTCAACTTCCGGAACTTCCCTGAGCTCTCAAGGTCCTCCTCTTCATCCGATCCCGTCCCCCCGACAACGAAATCTCAGCAACCAGAGACTGCGTTGGTCGACCGATCGAGCCTTAGAGCGACGACGACAGCAGCAGCAGTCGGCAGTCATCCAAGATGGCCGGGCTCATCCCCTTGATGCTCGCCTCGAGCACGCGCAACAACTACATCGGCTCCTCGCAGTCGTGCCATTCGCGCCGCTCATCCAGCGCTAGCAGCCTCGGATCGCCCGGCTTGCCGCCAACATCACCAACTTTCAGCCAGTACCCGCGACAGAGATTGTCGAAGCGCATCTCACTCCCGCCGCCCCCTCTGACCGATGCAGTCCCAACAATCCCAGTGACGGTGACGGAATGGAAGCAGACCATCGCCCAGGTGAAGCGCCAGTACTTCAGCAAGCGCTACCGTGCCTGCTCGGCTCGCTGCCTCGAGGTGCTCGAGGGCGTTAAGGATATGCCCGATGTCGAGCCCGTCTACCTGATCTATCTGCACTTCTATGCCGCGACATCCATGGAGATCTGCGCTCGCGCTCTACCCTCGACCTCGGCTCTGCGGACGACTCTTCTGCAGCAAGCTCGTACACACTTCGACCGCGCCTCCTCGCTCATCAGCTCGGCCGAAGAGTCCATCATTAGGAAAGCCCGTTCTGGCTCGGCCATGTCATCTCGGGCCTCGTCCAGCTGCCACTCACCGTCCAGTTCGGTCAGCTCATCGCGCGCATGGACCCCGGATACACAGGTTTCGTCGCCGACTGAGTCGATCTGTTCGTGCGACGAGAAGAACTCGTCTAGGAAACGCTCCAAGAAGGTGTCGTTCTCGCTGCCTCGCCAGCAACAACAGCAGCAGCAGAATATCCAGGAGCCAGAGCCCGAGTCCGAAACATCCTACCCCGTCACTCCCGAGCCCATGGTCCGACCGGACTCCCCCACTCTCGGCTTCGACGACAGCTACTTCCAGGCTGGCGCTGCGCGTCAAAAACTTCCCGAGATCCCGCTCTCGCCGAAGAAGTTTCACGAGGTTGAGCTCCCGCTGCAACAGCCACAGCAGCAGTCCCCTCACCAACAATTACAATCCTATACCTCACAATTCACAATTACTCCCATTCCTGAGGAAGACGAGCCCGAAGAAGAGCATAACCACCACCATCACCATCACCAACAACAACAACAACAACAACAACAACAGCAGCATCATCGTAATCAACAACATTACGACCACGAAGAAGACGAAGATGACGACTACTCCCCTCCCCCCTCCCCAACCGTCGCCCGCTCCGTCGACCGTGCCTGCGAGCACCTCGCCTCGTTGCGCTCCCAGCTCGTCCGCCACGCCGCCTCCCTCGATGAACTCCTCTCCTACTCCGTCCAGCGCATGTCCATGATGGGCTCTTCGCCTTCTCCGGCCCCAGCATCCCCTACCATCCCCGAGTTCCGGCCCCCTGTTAATATCGCGGGTTCGTCAACGACATCATCGGGGCCGGTACGGCTGCCGTCGATGCATCGTCGGGCGCAAAGTAGCACGGCAATGGCGACGATGATGCATCAGGGGCATAACCCACTGAGTCGGGAAGGTGCCAGGTCGGCGGATTTGCAGGCGAGAATTGAGAAATTGAGGAGGTGTGGTTGGCAAAGGAAGAGGTTTGATGCATCGCGGTATGAGGAGTTGTGTGAGGCTGTTATGGCGGAGCTGTCTTGAGGGGAAAGGGGGGTTTTCCCTTCTGCATCCAACTCATCAGTTCCGTAATCAGAGATGGGCTGGTAGCGAATGGTTACGAATTACGACTTTCTATTGAATTATCTGGGGCGGCAGTGGTGTGTTGTGTACGAAAATCGGTTTCTGACTTCTTGTTCTCGACATGAAGGCGGTGGTGTTCAATTGGTTCTTTTTCGAGTTTCTAGTTTTTGCTTCGCCCCTTTAAAACTAGGGGAACAACGTCGAGATGCAAGGAGGCTTTGTCACTTGGGTGTACGGGTGTCCCAAATTTTCTGTTTGAAGTCATATGTTGGGTTTTAAAGGGCGTATGGGTTTTACGGGTGAACATACTTGACGTGTATATATTCGGTTCTATCGGGTCGGACGGTCTTTGATTTGTTTCACTCACCAAGCATCACAATGGATGCAGACAAGTATAGTACTAAGAAGCAAGGAAGTGTATATTGACGGATGGATTGATGGGACGGAAGCCTAACATAGAATAGGTTCTCCTGTATAAGCACCCTATATGGTGTGTATAGTGTACATACCAAGTAGATCAGACAGACAGAAGACAATTCGATCATGTTCGATTGTCAACGCGATTCCAATCTTGCGCTTCTGATCCTTTTGGCATCGCCAGTGTGGAAATCAAGCTCCTGTGTGGCCAGCCTCTTAGTCATTCCTTACTCACTCAGCTCAACCGTCTAGATTATCCCCAGGCAGACTACTCCGATGGTAGTGTTTACTTCTCCTCCTGCTACTACTTAGCAAATATATTCGCTCGGCTGACTATTATCTCTCAAGGCTTAAACTAAGTTTCTTAATAGTAGTAACGGACTTTACTCCTTAACTTTCACACCTGACTGGCTTTGTCCTCACTTTTAGAATCGGCTGTTTCCATCGAAATTGAACCAACTACCGACTTTGTTCTTTTAACTTCTAGACTCGAATTCGAAGGGGGGTGTCCTTCTAGTAATTTAGAGAACAACAGTGCTAACAACTCATAGTCTGGTACACCATGTCAATGTATACTAATCGAGATTACTAACTGAGTGAATGTTGGCTAGAGTCATGATAGTTTTTGCAGGAGTAGCGACGGTAGGAGGAGCAGTAGTCCGTCACTAGCGCGTCCCAAAGCAGATTCAAATTTCCGAAGACATCGAGCAAATAATGCTTTTTCGCTTTCGTTTAAAAAAGAAGGCACTTGGAAAGTAGACAAGCGACTGGTCAACCTGGATTGAGATCCGACTGTGTAACACAGCAAGACACTGGATGCGTGGAGGACAGTCAAGAAGTGTGACGGCACATGCGCAGACTTTTTCAACGTTGACAGATAGGTATAGATGGAGAAGTAAAGTAAATATGGTTATACGCCAGAGCAGAAGATGCATTGCTACTGTGAAATGATCTTCCGAACCAGTTGGTTCGCTCTTGCCATCGTTAAGCCCTTCTTTGATCTCCCTGCTCCATAGATTAAAACCACGGCGACGACCTCATTCATACGGAGCATTGCATGCTGCATAGGAACCGCTTTCTGAAAGACCCAGAAACAACATCTGTACTCCCATCGGGAGGCCCATCAATTGTGCAAGATTCCTATTCTGGTAGCACGCAGTGACTCCGCAGCTACCCTTTCCGATGGTATCATCATCAGAGACTTCGAATCACGACCAACAAACCAAAAGACACCAAGACAAAAACCAAGATGACACCTATCCATCCCCACTTAACACAGACCATGTTGACAGAGGTAACCCTCCCCCCTCCCCACTTACTCACACTTCCCCCCCCCCCCCCCGGGGGGGGGCTGGCACCAGGCCCCTTAGTGAATCCTTCGGGCCTGAGCTGCCTCTGCTGCAGCAGCCGCAGCTTGCGCCTGCGCAGCCGCCTCCTCCGTCTTCCGCTGCGTCTCTTCCTGCTGCTTCATCTCGCGCACCTTTGCCAGGACAACCTCGCGGAAAATGGCGCTCTTAATGGCACGAGACAGCTGGCGTCTGCCCTCAGGCTGGCCATCGGCGCCGACAGCACCAGTGGGGTTCAGACGCGACTGGTCGGCTGCCAGGGTCGCGTCCTGCGGGATGTCTGAGTTCTCCGGGTCGGCCTCCTGCGCCTTGAGCGCCTCGATGCGGTTCGCCAGCTTGACCATCTCGATGCCGCGGCGCAAGCGGGCACGCGCAAGGTAGGCGCGGATCTCGGGCAGCAGGTTATGGTCGCTGGCCGACTTGCCGGTCAGCCAGGGGTGTCGGAGGGCTTGCTGTTAGGGGTTAGTCATAACTCCGCAAGAAGCTGGTATTGCAGAGGCACTCACTTCGCTGGTCCAGCGATCCTCCGGCCTGGGGCGAAGAAGCTTAAGGATGAAGTCCTTGGCATCGTCGCTAACGTCACGCCAATACCGCTCATGGAAGACAACATTGCAGGCGTTGCACTCATCGATGAGGTCCTGCAAGTTCTCAGAACGGAACGGAGAGTAGCCGCAAAGCAGGACATAGGTAATGATACCCATCGACCACATGTCAACGGGCTTGCCATGGGCCTGGCGCATCATAACCTCGGGAGCAGCATAGCCGAGCGAGCCTGCCATGGTCGTGAGCAGCTCATCCTTGTGGCCGAGCATCTTTGCGATGCCAAAGTCGGCCAGCACGAGATCTGAGTCGGCATCCCTAGTCAGGTAAAGAAGGTTCTCGGGCTTGAGATCTTCACAAGAGTCAGTATACACATGTTGGAGCGGGACGGGCCTGATCAACGCCCAGTATAATCATACCACGATGCACGACATTATGCTTGTGCAGGTAGTCGACGGCCTCAAGGATCTGCTTGATGGTTTGAGAAGCGTCTTTCTCAGTGAACTTGCCCCGCTCGCATATACGGTCAAACAGCTCTCCACCGGTAGCAAGTTGAGTGACAATGTAATATTTGTCCTAGACGAGATAATGGTGTTTCCGGTCAGCTTTCGGCTGGGCCAGACTTAGAAAGACCGAGTGACCAGCAGCAACATACCCTTGACTCGAACCAGTCAACAAACTTGACAATATGGGGATGGTTCAGGGTCTGCAGCAGATGCAGCTCGTCGAGCACCATTTGCTCGTTGCCGCGAACATTGCGCTTCAGGATGATCTTCACGGCGACACGGCCGTAGGGGGAATCGGCTTCCCGGACCATGCCATAGGTACCGGCACCCAAGGTGCGGCCAAACTTGTACTTTGACCTGCATCGATGTGTGTCAGTCTTACCCTGCGCCACCGAGGGGAATCACTCGCACTCGTGCGAGGGACTAGACGGTGTGCAACGAACTTCTTGTCATAGCTCTCCGGTTGCCCATGCAGACGATTGAGCATGCTCTGGACTAAACGGAATCGCATATCAGCTTCGGGTCTCCGCGCAGCAAGCGCAACATAAAGCTGGCAGGAGGGAGGACGGTCGGCTAGAGCGGTCCAGATCCCAGATGGGTTTGGGCTGGGGCGGGCAGGCCGTTGAAGGAAAAAGACAACAGACCAAAGTTCAAGATCGCGTGCCGGAACGAGGGCGACTTACAACTCATGGTGCCGAGGCTTTGGGAGCTGACGGAACCACCGTGGCAGGTAGCAGCTTCAAAAGCAACGGCAGATGCAAGCAGAACAGGCTGCGAGCCTCAAGTAAGATGCGGATGCGCAGATGTAAGATGGAGCCGGGACAGCGAAGGAAGAGGGCGTGGGCGTGGGCAAGGGCGTTGCCGACAGGTGGCTTGGATTTCTTGGAAGGTCTTCCAATCGCTGGTAACTGGTCGCTGACGATTCCTTCGGCCAATGTACACGACTGTAGGGAGATGGTAGGCTATGGAGGCTATGGCACAGCCGGATATAGTTCCGCAGTCTCGGGTGTGGTCAGGTTGGGCTGGCTGCGGTCGCGTGGAGGAACGGGAAAACTAAGACAGATCAGTGACAGCGAGCAGGAAGTCGAGGAAAAGGAGAGCGGGGCAGTGCCGGTGCTGCTGGGTACAGAGCTGACAAGCAGGACGGGGAGGCTTGAGAGCTGGCAGGTCCCTTGGGTAGAACTCTGCCTAACACAGAGTACCTAAGATATGCGTGGTAGTTGGAGATTCAGGCAGACTCGTGCTGCTGCATGTGGGCCCGTGAGTTAGTAAGTGATTGAATGAGTGGATGGATGGGCTTCGTGGGCTGAGTAAGGAATGCGCTGCGAGAGGCAGAGCGCAGACGGAGATGCAAGAGACTGGGCCTGGGCTGAGTGGTCTTCAGGGGGCAGGGACCTGAAAGAGGGGTGTTTGGCAGGCCAAGCCTTGGAGCCATTGGGCTGATGAGGGGGTGCGGAGACGAGGGGCAAGCAGATCACCATCGTCACAGACCTCAGGCGGGTAGGTTCCCTTGAGCGCTTTCACAAGGGTAGGTGCTGGAGCTGTTTTACGTTGTTGTGGTAGATTTGCGAATCTGCGAAATTCTGTTGAATCTTTGACTTTCAGGACAGTGTCACAAACCCCGTGCGTACATAGTCAGTACCTATTTAGTTGCTTGCTCAGAGTCTCGGGGTCAAAGTCAAAAAATAGAGTTTACTGGCAAAGTCTTGCGCCTAATGATCTGGTGGGCGAAACTGTCACCCAATGGAGCCCATTTTCTTACCCCACTCTTTCTCGCCCTTTGGCGGCCCTCATTAACAACTCCTGGCTTGGGCTGAGGCTGAGCTGCCGTGGGTGAGATGAGTTGCGTTACACGCCTCCATCCCATTTCATTCGGCATCTGTCCACTTTTCGCCAAGCAGCTGCAGTGTACAATGAATTGACTTGCAAATGATGAGTCTTATTGCTTTGGATTCAGGCATGCTCAAAGGTGTTTGCTGGTTATCTGGATGTTGGCAGCCGACAGCTACCTGGCTGCGGCACTTTGCCGCCACACTTTGCACAAACGGACGGGTCAACAACCAACAGCTTCTTTGTCACATCAGGGGTAACTGATGTTTGATAGCTCAGCGTAATCTGTTGGTGATGGCCTCTTGGTGCTTACAGAAGGTGATTTGAGTCACATTGTAAGCAAATGATTCAGTGTGATGTGTGCTTGGCTTGGTCAGGCATTCAGAGCACTTTAAAAAAGCACATAGCCTACCGAGTCTTGTACAAGCCGGCACTGGATCCTGCTCCTTGTCATGACGCAGTGCTAGCTTTGTGGCAATACAGTCACCGAGTTTCGTAGATACCTGCTCTACTGTGGTAGAGCGTTTCGTAGCTAATGATATTGGATGTCTGTACGCGGACCTCATAATAAGAGCAGCTGATTTCTGATGTGTTAAGCAAGCAGCCCTATATACAAAGTCAAGCAGCTATGTCAATTACTGCCCTTGTAAATCACGCCCAGGGGCTTAGCATACCATAAACTTGAGGTAATACAGTTATCCAAAACTGAACCCAGATCTCGCTGCCAACCATCCGTCAGTTGACAGTCGCCAATCCCCGGGATAGCCGTTCAGCCAGACGGGGGTGCCCGGAGCCGGTATGCGTGAATGACCCGGCTGGTACATGTCATTATGGCCCCTCCTGCTGTCAGTTCCCCCGTGTTTTGAGCACTTGCTGGCAGGCGGTAGGTGGAGCCTTGCATCCCGCGTGCTGTCGGTTCCTTTCCCAGTATGCCTCCCCGCTTCTGCCCCAGTGTTCCATGTTAATCCCGTGATTCCATGCTTGTCATCCTTACCACCGGCTCATTCCTACGGACTGGCGTCAGCCTGCTCTTGAAATCAGCCTTCAACTTCAACCACTCCGAACATCCTTGACCTTCTTTTGCACGTTTGATGTCATTCTCCCATACTTACCTAAACGCAGCAAGCAATACTGTGTAGGCAACTAGGTGGCGGCTTGGTATTCTGCTCCACGCAAGCTCCCACTTAGCTCCCTGACTCTTCTGACCTACCGTTGTCCCTTACCTTGCCTCACCTACACTGCCAAGTTTTCTGTGAACAGGAACCTTCAATCGACTGTCAGCCTTACAAGAACCTACATAGGCAGATTGACATCAAGATACAATGGCCGGCCAATTCGCTGCAAAGCGGCTTGGAAAGGAGCTGCAGAAGGTTGGAACATATCACCGTTTCGGCTTAGTTCAGTGGACTGTGAACGGTGTTGACTGATCGTACGTACTGGGTACAGATCCGCAACTCCTTGCCGCCCGGTATCGAACTGGTTTCGGCGGATAACTTTGAGGAATGGCTCCTCGATATCCGAGTTCTGGATGACAACCCGCTGTATGCGAATCAGACATACCGCCTTAGGTTCCGTTTCGGCTCGACCTACCCCATCGGTATGTCCTGGCTTTTACTTGTATCTTGCTGTTCAGCGTTCTCTCCCCGACCAAATCTCACCTGAACCTGAACTGAGCGCCTATGTTACACACAACTGACCTCTGGTTGCTAGAACCGCCCGAGGTAGTGTTCGTCAAGTCAGCTGACCGTCCGATTCCCATCCATCCACACATCTATTCGAATGGTATTATCTGTCTTGATCTGCTGGGCCACCAAGGCTGGAGCCCTGTACAGAATGTCGAAAGCGTCTGCATGAGCCTGCAGAGTATGTTGACTGGCAACACAAAAAACGAGCGTCCCCCCGGAGACGAGGAGTTCGTGGCAAAGAACCGGCTCCGTCCGAAGGACATCGAATTCTATTATCACGATAACAATGTGTAATCAATAGGACTAGGATGCTTGGTGCTATCAAGAACGGGGGATTGGCGTTAGGTTTTGGTGGGGTACTGGGCGTTGGTTTTGCTATCGGGTTTCTGGGCGTAGACTTTTGATCTGGCGTGGGATAGCATTGCGGGGTGCGGTTGGCTTCATCTTAATCACAGCGGAAAGCATCTCCATCCGGTCGCTATGGATAATTTAGGTTGGAATTGGCATCTGGGCTGTCGATGAGTGCGCTTGTCGGCTTCTCGCATGTTGCTGGGGATGATATGCTCCAGAGCGTCATGGAAGAGCGAGATTCTGGTACACTTGTAACGAGGGGATGGAATGGTCATAATCGAGAAACTGGTAAGCACAGGAGAAACGTAACAGAAATGCTTTGATCCTTATTTAAAGTCTTTAGCGATGGCCATAGGGATGAAATCAAGCAGATTGTATTCCATGCTTTCGACTCTTAAACCAAAAGCCCTCGAGCTCGGCAGAGTTGGATGCCGAGACCCGATGCCTTTGAAGCTCGGGCCGTTTTAATGCCAAGCCTTTGATTTTGGCCCACAGCACCACGAGCCAGCAGCCGGGCAACTCCCACCTTCATTTTGCCGTGTGCAGCTCCCCGTCTTCCAACGCCAACCTGGATCCACAACCACCAAACACCGCATGGAGGCCTCGTCAGCATGGCTCCTCGTGCGGGGTTTGACGCGGAGCAGGTCAGAGACAAAGCGCGCAAAGACCTGCTCCATCTCCTGGAGGGAGTAAGTCTCGATGTCTCTGCTATGTCCCGGGAAGAGGAAGAGAGCGGGAGGATGAAGATGAGGGCGCACATGCAGCCAGTTCGCGCCCTGGGGTGCTGGTGCTAGTGTCTGGTATATCCGGTGTTACGCAGCGTGAGCGCGGGACTGCTGAACTGACAGGCAGTTTTTTTGACGCTCCCCTAGGTTCGTGGCAAGAAGAACCTCGTGATTGAGAAGGACCTGGCTGGTCCCCTTGGTGTCATCGTCAAGGCTTCAACCCTCCGCGACTACGGCGTCGACAACTTCTTCTTCCTTGAAAACAAGAACACAGGCACCAGCCAGCGGAACATCGTCTTCATCGCCCGCGGCGAATCCGTCCGCAATGCTCATGCCATAGCAGGTATGTAGGCTCACAGGATCATCACCCCTTCACCTTCCCTCGGCTCCAGAGTAAACAGCGTCGAGCTTTTCTTCTACCCGGCGTTCGTTAGTCAGTTGAGCCGGATATTGGACTCAGCACGAACCCTATCGCCTCCCTTAACGTCCCGGGACTTGTAGGGATGCCATCATGCCGTGCTAACATCTTCTTCCAGCCCAGATAAAGCGCATCCAGCGCGAGAGCCAGACCTCTCACGATTTCCACATCTTTTGGGTTCCCCGTCGAACCCTGTTTTCTGACAAGGTCTTGGAGGAGGCCGGTGTCTTGGGTGATGCCAATATCTCCGAGCTTCCCTTGTATTTCTTCCCTTTGGAGAGAGATGTCTTATCTCTGGAGCTGAACGACTCCTTTCGGGACCTCTATCTTGCCAAGGACCCGACTCCTGTCTTTCTGCTCTCCCGTGCTCTGATGGGCATCCAGAAGAAGCATGGCTTATTCCCACGTATCATCGGCAAAGGCGAGAATGCCAAGCGAGTTGCCGATCTTCTCTCGCGCATGCGGCAGGAGCTCCTCGCCGGCGAGGAGGCTGGGGAGTCGGATAGAGCGGGATTGAGTCCCAGCACCACTATTGAGAGCGTCATCATAATCGACAGAGAAGTTGATTTTGTGACGCCTCTTCTGACACAGCTGACCTATGAGGGCCTAATAGATGAGTATTTTGGGATCCAAAATAACCAGACCGATGTTGATGCCGTCATTGTCGGGGCTCCCGCACAATCAGCGGCGAGCACATCGACCGCCGTGCCCACGAATAGCTCGCAGTCTCGCAAGCGCAAAATTCAGCTCGATGGATCTGACTCGTTGTATTCCCAGTTGCGGGATGCGAACTTCGCCATTGTTGGTAGCCTGCTCAATACCGTTGCCCGTCGTCTTAAGAGTGACTACGAAAGTAGGCACAACACCAAGACGACGGCCGAGCTCAAGGAGTTTGTGAAAAAGCTCCCTGGGTATCAGGCGGAACAGCAGAGCTTGAAAATACATTCGAATATCGCCGAAGAAATCATCAATTACACACGGACAGAGATTTTCAACAAGCTGCTTGAAGTCCAGCAGAACCTGGCTGCAGGCGCAGATCCGTCATCACAATTCGATTCCATTGAAGAGCTAGTTGCCCGCGACACTCCATTACCACAAGTGCTCAGACTCCTGTGCCTTTACTCGTGCATCTCTGGTGGTATTAAGACAAAAGAGCTGGATCACTTCCGGAGGCTTGTCCTTCAGGGATATGGCCACCAGCATCTACTCACCCTCCACAACCTGGAACGACTCCAGATGTTCCTGTCCAAATCATCCCCTCTTGCATCGATGATAACCATGAGCGGATCGTCGGGGGGGCCGGATCAGAAGACCAACTACACTTACTTGCGAAAGCAACTTCGGCTGATTGTGGATGAGGTAAACGAGCAAGACCCCAACGATATTGCATACGTCTACAGCGGTTACGCCCCACTCTCGATCCGACTCGTGCAGTGTGTCCTCCAAAAGCAATATTTGCTCTCAATCACAAAGGGTAGCGGGACGGTAATTGCGGCTGGGCCGGTCGCTGGCGGAGGGGCACAGGGCTGGAAAGGATTTGAGGAGATTGTCAAACATGCCCGCGGCCCAACGTTCGATGAGATCCAGAAAGGAGAGGACAAGGCAGTTAAGGCGCGGGCATTGCTGTCCGGCAGCAGTGGTGATAAGAAAACTGTGTTTGTCGTGTTTGTGGGTGGAATCACCTTCACGGAAATCGCGGCGCTGCGATTCATTGCGAAGCAAGAAGAGGGTGAGCCCAACACCAACAGCCTATTAACTCTTGATTCAGATTGAGTACTGACTTGGGCTATTTTCAACAGCTCGGAGGAATATCGTCATCTGCACCACGTCGATAATAAACGGCAATAGAATGATGAACGCAGCGATTGAGACTGCAACGTTCGAGAAGACCACCGTTACAACGGCGGCAGCCCAATAAGGCTATAATTGATTATCGAGTACGCCAGAATATCTTCATAGTATATCAGCTTCGACATGAGCCAAACATGCATGACGTTGTCCGACCCGGTTCGGAGATCTCGTTGGTGCGAAGAATGTCAAAAGGATGTTCATGTACCTAATGCACAGGTAGGCGCGCAGGATTGTGGATATATGTGTTGCTATGGCTTGCAGCTAGCAGCACAGGTCAATCGGGCATATCGTAAACACAATTGCTGCTATATAGTCGTGCTTTGCCTGCTGTGTGTATCACTGGATTTGCCGCGTAAGTTGTTTGGTGTTGAGGAAGATTGAACTGAAACGGCGCTTTTTGGGCAACGTAGATATGCTCTCACGTGATAGTGCCATGGCTGGGAGTGGCAGTGGGCTGTTCCAGGCCTGTGCACGGATTCTTAGTGGTCTGGGGCCCATTTTTTGGCAGTGCTGTGGAGATGGGCCTGGCACCTGCGTTGCCAATCTCAGCAGCAAGGGCGGAAGGGTTCTCGAGCTGGTCCACACGGAGTCACTGCAGCAGAGGACGAGGACGAGACCTAGAGACTATCAATTTCTCTTTCCTCAACGGCTCAAGAAGACTCATTCATTGATTGTAACTCTAACTTACACTAGACGAGGGTTGAGCTGCAGGCTGAGATCTGGTAAACAGGACGGAGCTAGGGGTGGGCGATATGTGTTTTGCAGGTATCGTTGCCTCTCTCCCCCACGAGCTCGTGTTTTTGATGCTTTTTTCTGCTTTTGTTTTGCTTTGACTTTGAGACTCTTTCCATATGAACGCCCACCTATACGGGCATTGAAAAAAATTCGGGAAATCCCGTTTGTGTCCACTGCCTACATACCATTACCGCTCTCACTACCTCTTATCGTTTTATAAACTCTTTTTGTTCAACTGCCGTTCTCTTCTCGATCCGTGTCAATTGCTTGTGCTCCCAACGATGTCATGCTGATGATGCGTGCCAGCAGCGATGCCGAGTATCCCCGACTTATTATAGTCAACACATCGCAGATTCTCGATTCTCAGCCTCTTATTCGCTCTTGAGACCTCGACTTCGTGCTCGTTGCGGTATCCGTCGCCTTCTACCGAGGTTCTAGGTCTCTTCTGTCTCATACAGCCGTTGACTACATAGTACATATCCCTTCCCTGGGCGTACCCTTAGCATGGCACAACGGCGAGAGCGGGTTCCAGTCAGCATCCATTATATCACACCACATTGACCGTCGACTACGAACACGGTACCTATCACGATACCCAATCCCAGCTCCTGGCATATTCCCCGGTATAATGGGATCTTCGCCGGGGTCTCGCGCGAGACAACAGTCCAGCGGTTCGGGAAAAGTCCTCCCTAACACCAGCCAGGGATCCACTAAAGACTTCGACTTACGCCGTTCAATGCGTACCTCAGGAGTAGCTGCTGCTTCATCCACATCATCTTCATCCTCCTCACCCGCCGCTCTTGGCAAACAGCCTGTCTCATCATCAACTGCTACCTGTGTCTCTCCAGTTTCATCCCCTTCTGACGATACCGAGTCTCCCCTACCGTCCAAGTCCTCAGCCGCTCCGACTACCGCGCTCTCACAGAGAGAATCCACGAACAACTCCGAAGAGATTGCTCCTGAGATCGTCGTCTGGACAGGGCAAATGGATAGCATGATTGTTGACTCTCCTGAGACCGCTACCCCAGTTTCACCATCCTCGGGGCCAGCTGCAGCCTCAGAGGAAAAGTCTGTGTATGTCTCATCCATTAGAGCAATCTTTGATTTTTATACGATCCCTATCTCTGGGACCCCCATCGAAGAGATGTTATCTTCCACCGCTCTTTCTCATACCCTATCCGCCAGCTGTCCTCTCATCCATGTAAGCTGACTCCTTCATAGCGACGCGATCCCGACATCTCCCTCGCAGCCAACGTCTGCACCCCAGCTATCTTCCACACTTACAGTTCCTCAACAAGGTGAAACCTCCGAGGAGAAGAGACCGTCTGTGACCTCTTCCTCCTTATCAACCCTTTCAGATCAATCCGACCTGTCCTCCGTTCCTCTTTCCGTGTCGAGCAAGGCCACTACACCTGTCGATACTGATAGTTCAAGAGAGGCTCCTGCCCCTGGTGCCCCTCGCTTGACCCAGCGGGCCACGTCGCCAAGGCGAAAATGGGATGTTCGGCCCAAGGTCTCAATACCCCCAGACTTGACGCTTTCAGAGTATGCTTTGCAATGTGTGGCGGCCGCTGAGGCGTCTAGGCTGAATCCCTACGCGCTTCATCAAGAGGAATATCTGATGCTTCGCGACCATATCAGTCATGCCCAGGTCACCACCTACTTGAATATCCGGAACGGTATTTTGCGTCTGTGGGTGTGCAACCCACGCATTGCCGTGACCCGTGAAGAAGCCGTCGGCTGTGCCAAGGACCCCAGGTGGTTTGATGTAGCGAGTGTTTGTTACGACTGGCTTGTCCGCCGTGGCTACATCAACTTCGGTTGTGTAGAGATCCGGCCCTCACGCCACAAGCATGCAGAAAACAGCGAGTTATTGACCAAGACCAAAGAGAAGAAAAAGAGGAGAACGGTAGTTGTCATTGGCGCTGGTATGGCCGGCCTGGGCTGTGCGAGACAGCTCGAGGGACTGTTTGCTCAGTATGCTAACAGGTTCCGCAAAATGGGCGAGGAACCACCGGAAGTCATCGTGCTTGAGGCCAGGAACAGAGTTGGTGGCAGAGTTTACTCCAGGCCTTTCCATACACGGCCGAAGCACATCCCGGAACATTTCAAAGGGAAACGCTTCACGGCTGAGATGGGGGGCATGATTATCACGGGATTTGAAAGGGGCAACCCGATCAACATCCTCCTCCGGGCACAGTTAGGTCTTTCGTACCACTATTTGAAGCCAGAGACTATCTTGTACGATTCCAACGGCAAACCGGTCGATCTGCATCGTGATCAGCTCGTCGAAAACCTTTACAATGACTGCCTCGACCGAGTCAGCGAATACAAGTACAAGCCACCCGCAACAAAGCTCATCGAGGGTAACAAGGACTTGATTGACGAGGGCAGAGACAGCTCGGCAGAAACCCACAAGACAATACGGCAAGCCGAAGAGGCAGCAGCTGCCCAGCCACACGCAGCGCCCGTGTCAGAGCAAAACATGGCACCCCAGGTAAACCTGGTGCCTGTGTCTTCTGACCGCGCCACGGGCAGAATACACAATGAGCCAGGCACCCCGGCAGCACTCAACGCCGCTCGCAAAGCGAAGCTGATGGGCTGGACCCTAAAGCAAGGTGTCAGTGAGGACGCTGACATTGACCTTCAAGCAGCGGCCATAGAGCCTGGTGCCACCCTCGGCAGTGTCACTGACAAGGTTATCATGCAGTACAAGGATATCTTGGATCTGACTGCTCAGGATTTCAGGCTCATGAACTGGCACATCGCCAACCTGGAGTACAGTAATGCGACTAACTATCATCAGTTGAGTCTTCCCGGATGGGATATTGATGCCGGCAACGAGTGGGAAGGCAGCCATTCCATGGTCATTGGAGGTTATCAGAGTGTGCCTCGGGGGCTCTTGATGATCCCGACACCTCTCAACTTGAGACAGAAGTCCCCAGTTTGCAAGATTACCTACACGTCTAGCAGCCCAACTGGTCCGGCGATCGTCGAGTGCGAAGATGGTTACAAGGTAGAAGCTGACTGTGTCGTCAACACCATCCCGCTTGGCGTCTTGAAACATGGAAGTGTCAAGTTTGAGCCTCCATTGCCACAGTGGAAGGCAGAAGCTATCGAACGTCTTGGCTTTGGCGTTTTGAACAAAGTGATCCTGGTATACAAGGAGCCGTTCTGGGACGAGAACCGTGATATCTTCGGCGTCTTGCGGAACCCACCGAACCGACACAGCACAGATCAGAAAGATTATGCCTCGCAGCGTGGTCGTTTCTTCCAATGGTTCAATGTGAGCAAGAGCAGTGGCCTGCCTGTGCTCATTGCTCTCATGGCTGGAGATGCCGGCTACGACACGGAACAGACGTGCAACGACGACCTGATTGCCGAGGCTACCGACATCCTGCGGCGTGTGTACGGATCTAGAGTACCCTACCCCGTCGAAGCAGTCATCACTCGCTGGGCATCCGACAAGTTTGCCCGCGGCAGCTACTCCTCTGCTGGCCCGGATATGAAGGCTGACGACTATGATACCATGGCCCGTCCCGTCGGCAACTTGTATTTTGCCGGTGAGCACACCTGCGGCACTCATCCAGCCACCGTTCATGGAGCCTACCTCTCCGGCCTGCTGCCGCCTCCGAAGTCCTTGACGCTCTTATCGGCCCCATTCCCGTCCCGACCCCTCTGATCCTACCCAAGGACTTGAAGCGCAAGGCCCCGTCTTCATCATCCATATCTTCCCCCGCCGATATCTACCAAGCCCGGCTCCGCACCCACGAAGCCCTTCTCCACGAGCACCTCGTCTCTCGCCTAGGTCCCTGCCCCACCTTACCCCCCAAACCACCAACCAACGCCTACATGTATTACAGCAAAGCCCACTACGATGAAGCACGCAGGCGTCTCGAAGCCGGTCGGCGTCCCGGCAAAGGCAAGCCCTCCGCCAATGAGGTGCGCGTGATGAGCTCCAAGATGTGGCGCGACGCAAGCGATGAGGACAAAAAGCCGTACGTCGAAATGGCGGAAGAGGCGAAGCGCAAGTGGAACGAGACGGTCGAGAAATGGCGCAAGGATGTGGAGGAGTGGGAAGCCAAGGCTGAAAAGGAGCGGCAAGAGTGGGAGAAGACGAATCCCCCGCCACCGCAGCCATCCAAGACCGAGGAGATGCTGGGGGAGGGAAGGAGGACTAAGATGAGGGTTGTGGAGGGGATGTATAAAGAGGAGAGTGAGAGTGAGGGATTCGGAGGCGGCACTGGGAGTGGGAGTGATGTTGAGATGGGTGGGGCTTGGGGATAGTTAATTGATTGGAGTTATCTGTTGATATTTTTATATGGGGTGCTGTAGGGGTAAGGTTTTGATGTTTCTTCAGGATTCATTTCAAAAGGGTCTTGATGTGAAACAAAAGCTCTTGGGTGGTGCGATGTGTCGTGTTTAGGGGATTGTGTACATTTGGCTGGCTAACTCTCAACTTTCGTATTGTATGTATGGGTATGGCTTCTTTGTATTACCCTTTTCCCGATGTCTCAACTATTAGAATCACCACGTTCAAATCCTTCTTCGATTTGTGTCTAGGCCAGACAGATGGAAGGATTTGGGCAGGACCGATAGCAGGTACCATGCATCTGGCTTTTTACGACCTTTTAAGGTGACTTGCCATATTTTCCCAATAAACTTTGGTCCTCGCAGTGCGAGCAACATAGGCATCCGGGTGAGTCACAAACGGGCTCCAATGGCCGGGAAAAGCATTTGTTAGGCTGCAAAGGAGTCCCCTATGTATTTGGACACGTTCAGTGGTAAAGCAGGCTGAGGAACAACTTCCGTCCTCACTCTCTGCTTATTGATTGTCGGGTTTGCAAGAAAGTTTATTCGGGAAGGCGTTGATACACAGAGGGCGTGGGGGGGCGTTGAATGGGTTACTTGATAGTACAAAGGAAACTTTTCCGCCAATTGACCACACACACACTCTCTCTTTGTGAAGATGGGAAAAGGGAGAGGAAAAAAGAGATGTGAATACAGAAAATTCCCTCGCCAGCGGAAGTCTTATTTCCCTCTCTCCCTTATCTAGCCTCTCTCCGTCTACCGGGTTGGAAGGGAAAATCAAGAACGCTTTACCACGTCTAACCCGCTTACATCTCCTTTGAGGCGGTGGCACCAGTGATAATCTCAACCAGCTCGTTGGTAATGACGGCCTGGCGAGTCCGGTTGAAAAGAATCTGGTACTTCTGGATCATCTCACCAGCGTTCTTGGAGGCATTCTACAGAAAGAAATGCGCATCAGCATTAATTGAACTCCACCATTTGAAATTCAGCAGAGAAAACTTACGTCCATGGCGTTGCGACGGGCAGAGATCTCGCAGGCGTGGCCCTCAGCCAGAGCCCAGTAGAGGGAGTTGGCAAGAGCAAACTCACGGAGGTTGCCAAGAACCTCCTCATCAACCTCAAAAGCAGCGAAGTTGGCTGAACAGTTACGCATACGTCAGCAGTCCATTCTAGCCGATATACGAAGCAGGACAAAAAGACGTACGAGAGTTGACGAACGCCTCCTGAGAGAACGCCGGAATAGTGGCGGGCTCGTAGCTCGTCGCGTTGATGAACTTGTTGTAGACGATCTCAATGTCCGAATAGTCGCCAGGCAGACGGATGATTTGCTCAGCGATGGCCTGGGCCTCGGCGAAAGTGGGCAGGTCCTTGCCAACACCGGCAAAGTTCAGGACAATGCTCTTGGCGTGGGTGCGCTGGAGCTGACTCTTGCACTTCTCGCCGAGGATGACGAGATCAAAGTTATTGTTCTCCAGGGAGCGAGCGCGGATGTAGCGCGACAGACCGGAGTGAATACCACCGCAAAGACCCTTGTCAGAGCTGCAGACAACCAGCAGCTTCTTCTTGCCCTCTCCCTCAAGCGGCTTGGTCTCGGCCGACTCGTACACCTGGTTGCTGGTTTTGCCGTAGGCACGGGAGTCGGTCATAGCGCGCTGGGCGCGGTTCAGCTTGGTCGAGGCCACGATCTTCATGGTGTTGGTGATCTTCTCGATGTTCTTGATCGACTTGAGGCGGCCCTCGATCTCACGCAGCGTAGCGAACGAGGCCGAGGGAGCTGCCGCACTACGGGACGGGCGTCGTCGGTTAGCTCGGGGTCATTGCTCACTTCGTTGCTTGTACTTGTGTTCAAGGCATGGGAGTCGGCAGGGGGATAAGCAAGCTCAGTTTGCAGTCGCCGGTTCAGCGAGCCGGTCTCTCATCCTACGTGCCTCATTCCCCTCACTATATCCCATATCCTTTTGTGCCCCTCAACCCCTCGGACGTAGCCCCTCTCTTTTCCCTACCGCTCTAAAAACATCCTCCTCATAAACTCCGCAGCGAGCTTGCAATTGGGGACGGCGAAAAGACGAAAGGAGCCAGGCTGACAGCTGTGCAATAAAATCACGATCAATAAATCACGTACCGGGCAGTAACGGCAGCGCCGGCCTTCAGCGCCGGACGGGCAGCTCTTGACAGCATGGCGAGAATTGGCTGGGAGAAAAATCAAAGACGATGCGATCCGTCTCTGGAAGATGTGGCCCCGGTTCGACCACGGAGAGGTGCTGGCGTCAATTGAGATCGGGGAGCGAAGTTGTGACGGACCGCTCACAATTGCACGTTGGACCCAGGCAGGAACTGCAAACTGCAATTGGCGCTGCCCGTGAGAGGTTTGCTGAGCTCGGCTCCACTTGATTCCGCTTCCTGCTCGTGCCCGCCCGAATGCCCTTTTTGCCGACAGCTGGCCAGTGGTGCTGGCGATTGGCTGCCCAGACCCCAGGGTGTTGTGGCTGGTGTGCGTGGCGCTGAGTCTCCCACGAAACGCGAAGCCATCTCACGGTGGCTTGTGATTAGAAAGAGTGGCAAAATCGAGGCTCCATGCATTCATCCAAAACCGCGCCAGGCACTCAGGCAAAAACTTTGAAAACAAGAGGCTTGGCTGCCGCCAAGGCCGCGACAGTGGGGCCTATGGGGCGAACGTCCAGTAATTTTCGCCTGCATTGATTACTGAAACGTAATGGATAAATACCGAACGTTACCGTAAGAGAGTAACGGAGACAGGCCGAGAGCGTGCTGTTATACGTATTACCACTTCATACAGCACCGAAGGCTAGCCCAAGCCTCGCTTTCTGCCTCTATGTTGCTGCAGGGCACCATACCTCCTTGGAACCTGATCCAGTCGATCCAGTGATCCAGTGGTCCAGTGCTTGGTCTGTGGCAGGCTGCCGGCCAAATGCCACTGCTGCGCTGCGCTGCTGCAGGTGCCAGGAGTGGAGTCTCCGAAGACAATCTTTAAGTAAACCTCGTTAATCGCCCCGACTCGTGGTTGCTGAGATCCCTTCCATCTTTTTTTACTCCGGCTTCCCTGCCCTCTTCCCTCCTCTTCTGCTTTTCCTCCTTTTTCTTCCTGCCTACAAATCGAGTCGGCTGGCTGCCCGGCCATTTCAGGCTTTCCTTCGCGTGATTTCCCCCCTGGACCTGCATCCACGGCTAACTCCTCGCCCTGGCGTTCTATTAAACAGCCGCGCCCGCGTTAAAAACGCCAGCCTTGCACGCTAGAATCTGGCTTGCGCTCAACAACAATCCCATTGCGAATCTCACTAGTCTTGCGCAGCCGCGTTGCGCCTCTCCTACCACAACCGTACTGGCAATTCGACCTCCGATTCGTATCCGGAAACAGAAACAGTAATGGCTTCTGATAGCTCTGACGATGACAGGCCTCTGGCCAGGGGCACTCACAGTAAGTCTACCTAAAAAACCATGCAGGCGCGGACCTTTCCAAAAGTTTGTTCCGTGGCACATAAGCAACACAGCCGCTCTGTGGTCAGCTAGAGTGTATCGCATTCCCTTCTTGTTTTACTCTTTCGTGCCCAAATCATCTGAAGAGAATTGCGCCCAAAGCCCAATTCTCGCACACTTACTAACTTGTTTCCTCCCTTGTCAGTGTCAGCTGCGACTATATCTGCTGCCGAAGATCGCGAGATGGACCGAACCGATTCCAAGGCTCGCCCGCTTCCTCCGGGTGTTTCAGTTCGTAACGGCCCAGTCATCGAGGACAAAATGGATATCGATTCCACGCCCAACGGGACTACCAAGCGCAAATCTCGGAGCTCGGTTACCCAGGTGAAGAAGGAGGAGTCGGATAGCGATGATGGCGCTCCTTTGGTAGGACGACCTACAGAAACACCAACTCGGTAACTTTGCATGCAGATGCGGGCTAACTCTGGCAGGCCAAACGTCAAAAGTCTAAGCACAAGCAGCAGGAGAGCGACAGCGACGACGAGCCAATCGCCAAAAAGAACGGCAAGTTGCCGCCGTCCATCAAAGAAACGGAAACCCTCGAGTCGTCTGATGATGACCAGCCTTTGGGCACAAAACTTGCCCAGAGAAAGGCGAGCATCGAGAAGGCTGCCGCCAAAGAGGCCAAAGCTCTTCGCGCTGCTGACAAGAAGAAGGCAGCTGCGAAAAAGGCCATCAAAGAGGAGTCGGATGATGACGAACCTTTAGCCAAGCAACCAAAGAAGCATCAGTCAAACGGTACTGGCTCCTCCGCGAAGAAGACAAATGGCGTCAAGGTGAAGAAGGAGTCTGAATCCGATTCCGACGCGCCCATCGCCAAGAAGGGAAAGAAAGTCGCGGCCCCTGCAAAGAAGGCTTCCGCAGCGTCCAAGTCTGCCAAGGTCAAGGAGGAGGAGAAGGAGGAGAAGTCAAACGAGAACAGCGAGGAGGAGGAGAGAGGAGGAGGAGTATCGTTGGTGGGATGCCCCAAAAAAGGAGGACGACAGCATCAAGTGGACAACTCTGGAGCACAATGGCGTCCTCTTCCCTCCGCCGTACGAGCCTCTTCCCTCACATGTCAAGCTCTATTATGACGGCAAACCTGTCAACCTTCACGTCGAGGCTGAAGAGGTCGCAACCTTCTTCGGCTCTATGCTCCATGCGACACAGCATGTCGAGAACCCCGTTTTCCAGAAGAACTTCTTTACTGACTTCAAGGAGGTTCTTGACAAGACGGGCGGCGCTAAGGACATGGATGGCAATCCTGTTGACATCAAAGAGTTCAAGAAGCTCGATTTCACCAAGATTTACGAACATTTCCGGAGCATCTCCGAGGCGAAGAAGAACCGTCCGGCCGCTGAAAAGAAGGCTGAGAAGGAAGCAAAGGCCAAGCTGGAGGCTCCGTACATGTATTGCAAATGGGATGGCCGGAAGGAGAAGGTGGGCAACTTCCGTGTTGAACCTCCGGGCCTCTTCCGTGGCCGTGGTGAACACCCCAAGACTGGCAAGGTCAAGAAGCGGGTCATGCCCGAGCAGATCACAATCAACATCGGCAAAGATGCCAAGGTCCCGGATCCGCCCCCGGGTCACAAGTGGAAGGCTGTCCAGCATGATAACAAGGCTACCTGGCTTGCTATGTGGCAGGAAAACGTGAACGGCAATTACAAGTACGTCATGTTGGCTGCCAACAGCAGCATCAAGGGCCAGTCAGATTTCAAGAAGTTCGAGAAGGCCCGCGAGCTCAAGAAGCACATCGACCGCATCCGTGCCGACTACACCAGAGATCTCAAGAGCGAAGTCATGGCAGAGCGCCAACGTGCCACTGCCATGTACCTCATTGACAAGTTCGCGCTCAGAGCTGGTAACGAAAAGGACACAGAAAACGAGGCCGAAACAGTCGGTTGCTGCTCGCTGAAATACGAACATGTCACGCTCAAGGAGCCCAACACCGTCATCTTTGACTTCCTCGGTAAAGACAGCATTCGTTTCTACAATGAGTTCCAGGTCGATCGCCAAGTTTTCAAGAACTTGAAGATGTTCAAGAAGCCGCCAAAAGAGCCGGGCGATGATATTTTCGACAGGCTGACGACTACGCAGCTGAACAAGCACTTGTCGAGCTATATGCCTGGCCTCACGGCCAAGGTGTTCCGTACCTACAACGCCTCATACACCATGTCGAGGCTTCTCAAGGGTCTCAAGGCTGATGGTCTGTCGATGGCTGAGAAGGTCAAGCTCTACAACGATTGCAATCGCGAGGTGGCCATCCTCTGCAACCACAAGCGCACTGTCGGCGCCAGCCACGAGGCGCAGATGGAGAAACTCGGGGACCGTATCAAGGGCCTGAAGTATCAGAAGTGGCGGACCAAGATGATGATGCTTGAGGTGGATCCGAAGTTAAAGAAGAAAAAGGGTGCTGAGTACTTTGAGCGTGAGGCAGACCTGACCGACGAGTGGATTCAAAACCACCAGAAGTTCCTCGTCGAGGAGCTTCGCACCAAGATCCAAAAGAAGTTCGAAAAGGACAACGAGAAGCTTGCCGCCGACGGCGAGAAGCCACTCACGGATAAGGACCTGAAAGAGCGCATGAAGGCGGTATCTGAGCTCGAGGCCAAGTTCAAGAAGGAGAACAAGACCGGAAAGGTTGAACCTGAGGGCAAGAATCCCACTGTCGAGAAGCTGGAAGCTGCTATCGTGAAGCTCGACGAGCGTATCAAGACTCTCGAGCTACAGTCTGCTGATCGTGAGGGCAACAAGGAGGTTGCTCTGGGCACTTCCAAGATCGTAAGCACCTCCTCCCCCAAAATTTGGCTGGTGTGTATTGGACTTTTTTGCTAACAATCTCTTAGAATTACATCGACCCTCGTCTTACAGTTGTCTTCTCGAACAAGTTTAAGGTTCCGATCGAGAAGTTCTTCTCAAAGACGCTGAGAGAGAAGTTCCGATGGGCTATTGAATCCGTCGGTGACTCTACTGATTGGGAGTTCTAAGAGATTGTGGGACCAGCTCCTGCTTGTCCGCACGATTGAAACTTGAAGCTGCGGGCAGATCGTCAGACCTGGCTTGTTCGAACGCCAAGCGTCATTGAACAGTAGACAGTAACACACGGATGATACTTTGCGAAACTGCTCTTTCAGTGTCTTACTGGCACTACGGGTGACTTATAAGGTTTTGCTTCTATGCGGAAGACGTGGAGTTTCGCACATCTAATGCGGCTGCACCTAGACGCTGCGATGGTTGATTTTAAGGTGACTTCATTGTCACTGCATGGGATTAGGAGTTTTTGCTGCATTTTTCCTGGAGGAAAGCATTTAGAGAAAACAAGCATAGTGCGATACGAAGTGATGAGTTTGAGTGACAAGCACTCCCGGTCGAGTCGAGTTTTCGCGTCTCGGATCAGTATTACTACACTAGCACAAGGCAATACACATACATGGTTATACAGATCTGGGTGCTACATAGCAATAACAAGGAACTATGAATGCATTAAGCTTAAATCGTAGTGATACTGCATGAGTGCCATCCGTAATATTTACCGTAAAGATGATGTCTCAACTAAGCGTTTGCATTATGCTCAACAGTTCTCTCCCACAGCCACCTTCTCGCTTGACATAAGTCATGATGTGTCTATCCCAATTGTGAGTGCTGCCAATCTCCAACGCCACAAGCGCCATGTAAATGCAAATGCATGCCAAAATATACCAAACAGTCAAATATAAAGAACCACTAAGTCAATTTAAAACTGACCCATTATGCAATGATTCATGTCTAGAAAAATGGGATGAGAAGTGTCCCCCCAAATCCAACGATCAGGGAGGTGAACACAGACACAGCAGCAGCAGCAAGACCAGAGATAGTGGCCATCGAGGCAGCATCTTCCACAAGAGGGGCAGATGTCGGACGGGCCCCATTGCCATTGCTGCTGCCGTCACCGTCGTTCGGGGTCGCGATCGGGACTACGCTAGTAGTGAAGGACGAGCCAGAAGAACCAGCCGAGGAGGAACCGTCCGAGGATGGGGAGATCTTTGCGCATTATGTCAGTATCGACCGTCCACAGTTCATGTTGTGTTGAAAGGGAGACGGAAAATGTAACATACTTACAGTGCTGGAGCCAATCGGCACGATCTTGCCATCATCCGTGATCCTCCAACCATCTGGAATCGGCCCAGTCGGCGACGGCGTCCGCGTCGTGACGGTGGTGCCGGGAGCGATTCCACCTAGCGGAATGGACGGCGCAATGGTGTGCGTCGGTTCCGGTGCGGTCGCCGTCACCTTGATGTTGCCCGCGTTGCCCGCGTTGCCATTGATTTCGCCGCCCTCCGACCGGATCGACTGCCAATTGCCCGATGTGTCGCTGTAGTAGTATTTCTGGCCTGTCGAGTAGTCCGTGATGACTGCCGAGCGGACGATCATGGAGAATGGGCCCTTGGAATAGTCAGTTGGCCCACGCGCCCATTCGATCGTGCCTGGGGCATTGTTCGGATCACCGCCTGCCCACGCACCAAACTTGATTTGCATCGGAGTTTGTGGGTAGGCGCCAGCGGCTTCTTCGTAGGTCACTGTCCGCACGACTGTGCCGCCGACGTACCACGCGATTCGCTCCGGGGTCCAGTCGATTGTGTACGTGATGAACTGAGCCTGGTTGTTAGGTGCTGGGTTGAACTGACCCCGGCCATAGCCGCTCTCGGAACCCTTGCGGAAGTAGTTGGTCTGCACGGTCTGGTCGTCGGCGCCGAGCCATTCCATGTCGATCTCGTCCAGCGCATCAGACAGCATGACGAGAGAGCTGACAATGCCGGCTCCAGGGGCGGCTTTCATGGTTACTTCGACACGACCGAACATGATATAAAAAACGCTGGTCAGTTGTGGGGCATCGCCTTGCTTTGCCACGGTGAAGGTCACGCCGTCGCTGCCGTAGGTGGGTGTGCCGCCGCTCGCGATGAAGGAGTTAACCTCGCCTTTTGTGAAGTCGATATTGACGCTTCTTCCGAGAGCTATGTTGGCGGGGCAGGAGTCTAGTTATGTCAGGAGACTGGTTTGAAGCTTGGAAGTTTGTTCACTCACTCACCCCCTCTAACTGGATTACAGGATGACCATGTCTGTGCAAGAGCAGTACCACCGAGCAGCGCAGCGGCTGCTGCTAATGTCCCCCTCCATCCTTGACCAAACATTGTGCCTGTGGCTCAGGGCCTGCTCAATGGAAGCAAGATGCTGTGAAAGATGGTTCTCTCGGATGCTGTTTTGAGGACGTTTTGCGGGTCAAGAGCCAAAGCGGATGGACCGGCACAAGAAGCGATTGTGAAATTTTGCTGAGATCCCGATCAACTCAAAGAATGCTTCTGAATACCCGCTAAACAGTTGCCTCTCAAAGGATATTTGCAAGTGAATGAGGTCGTTTGTATCCAAACTATGTCCGTAGATACAGCACAATATACATGTTGAATCCGGACAAGAACGGGTACAAGGGCAAAATGACGTCTAAGATGCAGCTAAGCGCAGGAAAAAGGGAGCGTCTGATTTTAAGAAGCCATGTGGCTTAGCTCGAGTCCATCTCCAGGCCGCCGGTACAGGGTGGTCACCAGCCTCCAATATCTCAGCGAGATTCAGCTGGATTCGATGATGTGAGGTGGATGCTTGGATATCGAGGTGGTTGGGAATCTTGAGATCAGTCTTGGCGGCGGCGAATCACCAACACGCCGACATCAGATTAGGTGGATCCGCTCACGCCAACGTCAGCAACGACAGGTGGGGTGCTGAGTTGGGGCTTGGCACCATTCCCTTTGCCCCTCCCGACTGCTCCGGCCCTGCCAAGGATTCCGTTCCGGACGTCGTCCGCTCTACTGAGCCGTCATCTCCTATAGACTGCGTCCTTCGGAGTGATTGTTCCGCATCCCATTCTCGTCAACACAGGTAATGGTTGCCGCCATATTTTCAAAAAGGTGATCTGCAATCTAGTGGGACAGGTTTTGGGGTACGAGATGCGGTTTCCAGTTTCCAACTCTAATATTCCACATTCCACATAATACATGATACATCTCAACTTCTTAATTGCAGTTATTGCAAGCTGGCGGTCGGGTCAGCGAGCAGTTAACCCAAAAACTCAAGATGCTTCTGTGTGACTGGTATCCTGACCATGTTTTCTCACTGCTCAGCAAGATACGAAAGAAACTCTATCTATTTCCCTGATCATCCTTCACACAAACTCCCTGATCATCCTTCACACAAACCTGGAGTCTCTGGCTCTCAATTCCTCCAGAGCGGAGGTTGCGGGAAACAGCACACCACTATTACCCTATTATCACCAGCAGCGTAGCACTGAAATCATGTGTCAGACATATGGCAAAAAAAAAAAAAAGATATGATTTGTCTTGTAAGTCAAAGTGGATTACACGTCATATCTCACCGAGTAATGAGAATAGGCAAAACTAGAGTCTCCAAAAGGCCAAAACCACCACAACCTCTCACCTTGAACACCTCTTGCAATAAGAACCCTCCCCCTCTCACAAAAAAGCGCAGTTGCATCTTGTAGACTGTCCAGGTAATAAAGCTACAGCTCGTCTCGAGAAAGAGTAAAGAATCAAAAGAGGAGTTGAAACTTCCTAATTTGGTTTCCTGAGATACTTTCGCGAACCATTCATAAGGCATAGCAAATTGCCGTCAATGAAAACAATAATCTCATGTAATAGAAAGGCACCCTGTGTTCCAAGTTCCTAGTCCTCCTTTCACACTGCTTCAAATACAAGACTACAGTGGTGCGCGTTACCTTCCATGTGATGATATGACTGAATCCAATCCCAATTGGCTAGTCAGTCTGTTTTATGTTTTCATCAGGAGAAGGCTTGAATGAGAGTGACTAACCTAAGCTAACTGTTCTGCAATCTGATTGTTATGGGTTATGCACGTAAGCCCACCAAGGTCATGTTGAGGACTGAGCCGATTGCTACCGATTTCGGTGGCATTCCTCACTTGGAAGTTCTTCCAGCCTGTGGCTTTCCGTTCCAGTGCCGGTTTCAGGACATGAGTCTTTTTGAGAACTATTTTCGTCTCTCCGCTGTATGTTGTAATCCATCTAAATAGGCTGTGACCAACTAGGCTTGTCGCCATGGCAATACAGGTTGCCCAAGGAAGATACCCGAAAACAATCAAATCCATACTCTTCTTGAGTACATGCCCAAGGGCAATAGCGGATCCCAGAACACCTGCATAGATGGGGTACTGACATACATCTTGATCCTGGCGCCTGTAACTGAGTGAGGACACATTGCATCCGAAGGCCAAACAGCAAGCCAGTATTAGGATTGGGGACTCATGCCAACAACATGCATCAATTGCCCCGTCCGATAAATCCGTGGTGTGATCTCCTTCCCCTACTATTAGTTACTACCTATTCCACGCATGCTCGTTGTAGAAGGCTTTAACACTAACTTGAACACATCCAAGAGGTTGGTTATGGTGACTGATATATCTCCAGGTCACGAGACTGCAAAGACAGGCGATTCCGACTTCGATGAGGGAGACTATCCAATGCCAGCAACCCAAAAACCGATGACGTACAGTCTCATATCGGTTGCCTTGGTTCTCTTGAGACTCAAATTGTCTAAATTGTGAATGCATTTCAGACGATGAGTGTATGGCTAGATGAAGGCCCTGTATAAGCTCAAAGTATGAGAAGACCGTCTTGCTATTTCCAAACGCGACGAGAGTTTTCTCAGCAAGAAGTGACTTTGATGTGCGTGTACGTGTCATAGAGATTAAGAATCAAACCATGTTCGGTAGATAAGCGGGCTTACATTCGCACATTTCCTGTCAGAGAGCAGACATGCACCAAAGCAATCGAGATGGAGAAAGGGTGCTAGCCAAAGACACCCTTGTAAGCATGTTATAGCCGTAGCCAGAAGGCAACAAGAAGCTTGTCTTAAGGCAGCTGGGAGCCAGAACTCGAGGGCAATAGGAAAAACTCATCTTCGGAAAGCAGGAAGACTGTTCTCATGTTCGTGCCTGTAGCTCTTGTTTGTGCTGAGTCGAACAACCTCTGCCCATGGTGCGCGCACCATTACGTTAGCCTGGTGGTTCGCGCACCGTCCTTTCGCCGCATGGTTGCGGCTCTCAATGCCAGACAAGGGGGATAATTGGTTGCTGCTTCATTTGTGGAGCGCTTGATGTTTTAAGAGATCTCACCTCCGGGAATACTTGAGTCATCAAAGAGGAAGTCCAGCGATTTGCTCTCCCTGGACTGCAGCTCACTGTTTTCAAGCAGAATTACCATCACCGATCAGTGCTTGTAAAATACTTACAGCCATGGATGCTCTTCTTACAGAGCGCCACTCATCTCTACCAGCTTACCCAGTGCTAGCAACTCATTTGAGCGAGAGCTATCTGCGACTTTCTGGTTTCCACAACGGTAAAGTTAATAAAATCCCGAACTACTGCATACGAGAGCGACAAGACTTCCTGAGGTTACTCATACAGTAACGATTTTTAGATAATCAGCTAGCAGGTGCGTATCAAAGTACACTTACATCTATGTATACACTTTCCCTACTGTTCTCCATTTCTTAGCGCGCGGAAACTGTTAAACATCCTTGAAAACATTCTCTCAACAGCATCCTGCTTACATAGCCTTCATTCCCACTACCAATATGTTCTAGATAAGAACAGCCACCAAATCGTGCAGTGTTGCATCTTTTCGCAGTTCACGAACTTACTACTGTACCGTTTGAGCTTGCTGTTCTCTCTCTCTCTACACATAAACTCGCATACTTGTTTAAGGAGCAATGCATCCATCATCATCAGTCAGCAACTGCTCGCAAACCACAGAACAATCCCTTGGTTCTCGATGGTGGCGCATATGTGCTAGCTTCTTTACGATTACAAATTTTTGGCTTGATGGTAGGCACTTCACTTGTGCTTAGCCAAGTAACTTCTTGTCGTCTCGAAAGTCTCCTTTTACCGTACGAAACCATTACTCCTAGGCTCTAGCTCAAAATGATAAAGCTAACTACCGTTCAGGTGCCTAGTCGTCTATACCATTTCTCTTATTGGCTGGCACGTTATACGCAACAAGGCATTCCATAGGTTAGTGGACGCTTTGTGACGACAGCTGCGCAGGTGTGCCAAGCATGTGTCACTAACAACAACTTAGCCTTGGCCCTTTCACCCATTTCATTGGGCTTTGCTTGTTTTTTCTTTTCCTGGTCCTCCAACCAGCTACGAAAGCCTCCCCAGACGACTTCACCCGATGGTTTCCGCTTTTCAACACGATGTTGTCGCTTGCCCCTGTTGCACTGTACAGGCGACAGTCGACAAGGATGACTTGGCGGCAGCAAAATCAATCAATGCTTAACGACTACATCTACTTTCGTCTAGATGGACCGCCTTCCCATTACTCGGGATATAGTAGCGCCACACTTGCAAGTTCCATTGAGTTGCCATCTCAGAGGTCTCCCATTCGCTCAGACTGGAACTCACCCGCGCTAAACTGCGTCCGAGATTCGCTCACCTCAGAGCAGTCTGCTGAACAGGCCCACGATCTTCATAATCACGAAAGCGCCAGCATCCAGCCTATCCAACCACCAACAGACACGGACTTCTCGACAACCTTGGTGGATGAATAAAGTCGCAGTCTTCCAGGTTTCGTACCTGACAACATGAGTCTATTTTGATTGCAAGCACAACTTTCTTCGATACTGTTCGCAGGTGACGACTTGAGTGTTGGAAATAATGAAGGTGTGGGCGGGGGATCTCCAGGCTCTTGAAGACAACCCAAACACTTCCCATATTTTACCACCAAAACCACAAATAACAGCAGTCGCCCTTAGTATTCGGGTTGAGTCCAGTCAAATGGTGTCGACGCAAGTCATTCAGGCGTTATATGCAGGAGATTAAGGTCACCATTTGCGGGTCATCGCAAAGACCTTGCATCGTGGAGATAACTTTGGCGTCTCTTTTATATATATTACGGTGGCTTTGATGTGCTGTTTCCGGATGTACTTTTCGTCAATGTTTGTTTCTGGGCTTGGAAAGTCTACACGGACTAACAAATGATGGAATGCCGGGTCTTCTTACATGGAATTATCTCGTCACCTGTGGTTTGGGCGCTTTAATTCGGGATGTTTTGGTGCTTTTGATAAGTTTGTGTCAAAAAGCTTGTTCTGTGTAAACTCTTTGAATGGTTTGGCTGTCCATAGGTTCCATGCATCATAAAAGAAGAAGCCACCTCTAGGATATCATGAACTGCCGGCTGGTTACTGCAGTTTGTATCTCATCAGGGAGTGTGTGACAATCTCCTGCCTGATAACGTCACAAAGAAAAGAATATACATGCTTGATGGTTGCGACTCATACGGCCGTTGAGACCACGATCTTTCCTGTTGCAGGTGATGGACTACGACCCCATCTAACAACAGCCAGGCTGTCAACACCAACAATAGTGACCATAATCTCGTTTCATAAATTCCTGGATTGTTCGATTTTTTTCCCCTGAGATACATAGGGAAACAGATACCTTCTTGACAACCGTGATCTTTTTGAAACCTGTCGTAACCGTCTAGAGTTTCTCCATAGTTATTGACAAAGTGTGTAGCTGCATTACAAACCACCATCTCTCTACGAACTGTAACGCTTTGAAAAGCAATACGGCAAAGTTGAGACCACTGTGTCGTTCTAGGGATTAGATGCGAGTCCTTGGTGTGAGGGCATTATCGTAGAAAGTCCAAACAACAGGTTTTATATTTATCACAAGGATATGGTTGCCTCATAGAACTCATCATATAGCCCGAAAATATATACCAAGCTTATGTATAACAAAGCGACTGGAAACACATATTCACCGATATATATGCATTGTGGCCCGCAGTGCTGATGGACATAGCCAAATAAGTTGTCCAGGGCAAATACCCCAAAATGATCATTTGAGGATGTTGTCGAATGATACAGTCCAAATGATGGCAGAGCCAAACACACATGTATAAACGGAAAATTGGCGTCGATCCTGCGTCTACCCTCTATGGCTGAATAATGAGACACAGTATCCGAAGGCCGCACATGTGGTAAGAACACTCATTAGTATATCGTCGAGTCTACTCGGAGTGTGGGAAGCTGCAGACAGACTGACAGGCTGTCTTGAGTCGTTAGAATCAAAGCGCGCGGTACTGCCTGCACACTGTATTTCCAACTCACAAGACTGCAGAGACAAGCGATACCTATTTCCCAAGTTCCCGATATCCAACACCAGTCGTTCGAGGACCAGCTATCTAGGAATATTTGTTCTGTCTTGAGTGTTTGGCTAGGGCATAAAGGTTGGGATTGTCGTTGCATGGCAGTTGCTATATCGCTGATTTGGTTGTAGACTGGTGGGGTATCGAAGGAGTACACACTTCTGGTACAATGCAAGAGAGGAAGTGAACGGCCAGCCGTCGCCCCGAAAATCCGGCGGATAAAGTGGTATTGACTCAAGACACATATGGCTTTCGCTCAGGGGCTCAGAGTCGAGTGCTTAACTCTAACATATCGATTGTTGTTCAATATTCAGCTCGCAAAGACATCGAATGGACATCTTGGCTGCCTTTCGTGCATGTTACCAAATGCGGTGGACATGCTGAAGCGCGAGGTGTAGAAACTTTTGGATGTCTGCCCTCATGCATCAGACCTTGAGCGCCGGGCAATTGAAGCACGCAGTTGCCATATCGGTTGACTTGCGAAAGCGGGAACAGTCTAGAGAATCCATATTCCAACAGCCTCGAAACTATGTTTGGCCGATGAAGCTGGAATCACTATTCACATGGAATGCGACTTTCGCTGAGCCTCATGGAGCGCGGGCCAGGCTGATGATATTCGAAAGCTGGGGGTCCCTGCGAATCATTCAATGCTTGGCAATGCGGTCGCCCTGTGAGGGCTATTGACCCGGGCTACAACTTCTTGGGTTGTTTTGGAGCTGTCGAATCTTGGTACGCGTTTTCCTCGACTTCCTAGTGAGCGTAAGCCCTCGAAGCTTCTTGACATTTTCTTTCCTTGTCTCCCGTCCTGCTCTCATTACTACATGGGGGACATACGAGACCATTCTGCTTGCACTTAGACTCGTCTTTTTCCTAGCCTACAGTTTTGATGAACCCTTTACCCCTTATTCTTCCTTCTTGCTTTTGTGCCCGAAAAAGAAGCAAAATTCTTTTACCTTCCCTTACAGTCTTATCCTTCTGTGCACTACTCATCTATCCAAGTATACCAGCACCACTCCCTGCTTGCTTAGCTTGTGCTCGCCAGCGATCAGAAAGTAGGGATGGTGAAGCTCTTAACTCAGAGAACACCGATAACACAATGAACAGCAATCATATTATCTATTCCAATTAGAAACAAGGGATTAGTTTACACAAAGAGTGACATCGTAACATTAAGGTTCTGTCTTCTGGTTCAGTCATCGGCACCGTGCTTCGGTGTCCTTGGGCAGTTATTTATGTCCCTGAGATCCAAACGCTGTCAATGTGAGCAAATAAGACTTGATCCGGATAAGCAAGCACTAATGTGGCACAGTGCCTTAGTTGTTCTTGGGCTAGAAGCGTTATTGTTTCACATATTGAACTCCGAGACCTTCAAGAAGCAAGTTATCACTATGAACAAGTCAACACTTGACGGTTGCAGATTTTCCCTAATATATTGATAAACTGGCGCTGTATATCTAGTCCTTTCCCTTAGTCCTGCTCACTTTGACCATATTATTTGAACTATCCCTCAGCAGAGAATGTAACTTGATGGTTGCCACTTTTTACTGCTGCTGTGGCCTTTGCTACTGTTACTCTCCGCTAAGCATTCCCACCAGCCAAAAAGCAGTCTATATCTTGCCCCTATCTACTAGCGCAGAATGCGACCTTGCGCGGGCATCAATTTATGCGCATAGCCAAAGTTCTTTGACTCCTCTGCTGTGAGTGAATTAGTATCCATTCTTTTCTGCTCGACGCACCGACAGGCCATTATTGGTCAAGTGGTCAGTTATTTGATGTACTGTCCAGTTTGCCGGTGTTGAACGACACATATGACAGAAGAGCTCTGGTTATGGATCAAACTGGCAAGTAACTTCGACTAATGGCCAGCTGAGTTGATATACACCAAGTTGGACTGCGAGATGTGGATATAGCTCCTGACTGGAATCGCCACTGGGCGGTTTGTGGACAACGCGACAGTTCTTCCACCAGCAGATAACATTTCACTTGTGAAATCGTGCCCTCGGGCAGATCCTATCGCTAGGCTTCCGATGGACACAGTCTTTCATAAGAGAAAAAAAGCACAAGATCAGGTGTTATGTCCGATCGACCATCTTTTCGAGTGACGGAGCATCCTTTCCTTCCCATGCACAATGTACACGGAGCTTAACCCTTATTTAGGGTTCGAGGTGTAGGAGGGGCTTTCTTTTAGGCATTGGAAGCAACCAAGTCACATACTTGGCCTGGTGCTGACTGCCGAGTTCCTGGTCTCTTAATGGAACGGGGGGATTGATGTCTGGCCATCATAGAGCGTATACGTTTCTTCCTGTCCATATTAGACGCATTAGAGATATAAGCGGTCAATTTCTGGGGGATCTCTTTTAGCTTTCCGGGAGGCATGTTGACTTGAGAGTTATTATTGTTCGTCACATCGTGCTGGCTTGATGACCCAATGTCTCAAGACCAAGTGCAAGGTGGTGGGTCCTGTGGGGGGAAGTGGTGAAATTAAACAACAAAATTGCTCCCAACATATAGATATATTTGTATGGATCCGTAGACAAAAGCCACATAAAGCATCGAGTGATAGAGTTGGTCAAACAAGGTTTGTGATGTAGATCCACTGAATTAAGCCCAGGTTTTGTGGTTACAAGACTCTTTATCTTCAGCTAGAGCGGTGTGCTGTCCTGGTGTTGACTCGCAAACACCAAAGGGTTAGGAACGGCTACCCTCGGGCGTTGCTGGTCCAACCCCGCCATCTAATGGCGCCGCCCCTATCACGTACACAGGCTGATGGTTACTCCAAGCGGAGACTAGAATCCTAGGAGAATGGAACGGACCCTTGCACGGCATTGACCGATAAACCGTGATCCCATATCTAAGCTTTTTTTTATCCTATCTACACTAGCTGTCTCCTGGCAGAGTGTTCTTTCTCCCGTTTCTCTCATTTCCGAAGTTTCTGCAAACGTCAGCTTTTGAAGCTTTCAGCGCACACACCCATCTACAGACGTCACCCCGTTCTGGTCCATCTTGGCTTCCTGACACGAAAACATCGTGCTCCCTGTCACATCACCGTTACGGCCCACATTTGCCCGTCCACATGCGGAGCGCATTCCGGGCTCACGCCGTCCACAGGGCATTGCCGCTTCAGTTGCGGTCATCATCTCCGACGGTAACATCAGCGACATGCTTGGTGTTACGTCGCGAACAAGCCACAAAACTGTCACGAATCCGACACGGCGGATCTCATCAATCGCGTGACCTTCACTCTGAAGCCGTCAATGCCAGCACGGCAGCCCCTGCGAGCCACATTGCCCATCAACATGAGCCGACCGTCGCAGCCATCACCACGCCGCCCCGGCACAGAGTTACTCTTGCCGAGATTCGGGAACGCCGGGCCAAGGCCGGGAGGTTGATTGCTGGAACAGCGGCGGCCAGTGATGCGGACATGTTCAAGGGCCCCGTAAGTTAACCCTAACCCTTGCTCAACCCCTGAAACTTCTGACTTCTCACTCCTCAACACATGGCTCATGAACATCAAATGACGGATGACCTAGGATGAGTTCATCTGATGATTGACGGGGTTTGAGCCCACGTATGTATAAATGTAAAACTAATTAAGCTTACTATCTAGGCTACAGGCAAACCCCTAGCCAAGCGCATGGACCGTAAGTCATTCTTCTCCCTCAACTCACTTACAAACCACTCAAAGCCTAACCCCAACCAGACCACCTCACCAAAGAATCCACCCTCCGCGCCCCCTGCAAACTTAAGCAAGCCGCCAAGCACCTCAAACAGCCTGGCCTCATCTCCCTCGGCGGTGGTCTCCCCTGCCCCGAGTACTTTCCCATCTCCTCGCTATCCCTCCGCGTCCCAACCCCTCCTCATTTTTCCGAATCTGACACCCTCGGCCCCCGCGGCATGGACATCACCATCGAGAAGTACGAGGCCTCGCGACCGACGCCTCTCCCCGAGCGGCCAACGGCTTGGGGCCCCAAGCCCGCTGAGTATGACCTTTCTATCGCGCTGAATTATTCGCAGGCGACTGGGTCTGCGCAGATGACCCGCTTTGTGACAGAGCATGTTGAGTTGATTGGGGCGCCGCCGTATGCGGATTGGGGGGTGTGTCTGACGGTAGGCAGCACAGGTGCCTTGGAGCAGGCGCTGCGAATGTTCTGTGCCGAGGGAGATGGGCTGTTGACGGATGAGTACAGCTTCTCAACGGCACTAGAGACGGCTGTGCCGTTGGGGGTGAATATTGTGGGTGTGCCGATGGATGCCGAGGGGTTGTTACCCGAGGAGATGGATCGGATTCTGAGCGAGTGGGATGTAAGAAGGCAGGGGAGAAAACCGCATGTGTTATATACCGTGCCAACGGGGCAGAACCCGACGGGGGCGACGCAAGGGGAGAAGAGGAGAAGGGAGATTTATGAGGTGTGTAGGCGGCATGATGTCTTTATTATTGAGGATGAGCCGTACTACTACCTTCAGATGGCTAAGCCGGGTGAAGAGAGCGTGCGCGAGGCGGATGTGGAAGAGTTCCTTGATGGACTGATCCCGACGTACATCAGCATGGATGTGGACGGGCGAGTGCTGCGAATGGACTCTTTCTCCAAGGTCGTCGTGCCCGGGTCGCGCATGGGCTGGGTGACGGCATCGAACCAGATCATTGAGCGCTTCATTCGCCATGCTGAAGTCGCCAACCAGGGTCCCAGCGGCTTCTCACAAGTCATCCTACACAAGCTACTCGATGAGACATGGGGCCACGAGGGCTACTTTAAGTGGCTGATGAACCTGCGTGGGGAGTACACCAAGAGGAGGGACGTCATGGTGGCTGCTTGCGAAGCATTCTTGCCCAAGGAGATCGTCAGCTGGGATCTGCCGATGGCGGGCATGTTCCACTGGTTGAAGGTAAACCATGAGAAGCACCCGCTTGCAAAGAAGAAGAGCGTGTTGGAACTGGAGGAGGAGATCTTCAAGAGCTGTATTGCGAAGGGTGTACTTGTCGCCTGTGGGTCTTGGTTCCGGGCAGAGCATCACACAGCTCCGTCACAGCTCTTCTTCCGGACAACGTTTGCCGCCGCGACACCGGAGAACATGAGGGAAGCAATCCGGCGGTTTGGCGAGGCGATCAAAGAGAGTTTCAAATTGTAAGAGAAGGACGCAAAAGAGGAAGTGTAAGACTCTTGACGAAGTTGTAAGGTGGTAATGCAATTTTATGAGGGTTTATAACCAGGAGACCGGACTTCGCAAGAACAGGAGTGAAGTTTCATGCATCAGTACTCATGGGTAGCTTCACATAGACGACTATATATGCTGAGCGGCTAATGAACGGTATCATCATGTTCCCCATCCATTAACGGATAGTGATAGGAGAACCTACCCTGTGATATCATGACTATATATAGAAAGTCAATGCCCCTCAAGTTCCCTTGCCATTCCTTACCGACATCCACCCTTTTTTACACTAACATCTTACTTCTCCCCTTGAGCCCTGTTGGCCTGCCAAAATGCAACTTTGACGCCGTCTCCCGGCTGCAGCACGACCTCCGCTCTAAGCTTCGGGTTGCCCCCGTCGATGGGTCCCATCAGACTCTCAACCCGTTCATACCGCTGGAACAACCTCGTCAGCACATACGCCATCTCGGTCAGCGCAAACTGCTGGCCGATGCAGATACGCGGACCGCCGTTGAACGGGATGTACTGCCATGGCTTCGGCTGCCAGTGGAACCAGCGATCGGGAGAGAAGACTTCGACAGGAGGGAAGTTTGGTCCAACGGGAGGATACAGGTCGGGACGGCGTTGCATGCAGATCGTGGAGTAGGCGATCGGGGTGTTCTTGAGGACTTTGACGGGCTCCAAACCGGTCGGGCCGCCACCGCGAGGGAGAGTGGTGTCTTTCAAGGCTAGACGAACGCTGCGGAGTGTTAAGTGTTCATTGATTCTTTGGTAGATTTGACGTGGAATGCTTGCCATGAACTTACTTGAACGGAACGACGGGGTACAGCCTCAGGGTCTCGTTCATGACATTTTGCAGGTACTTCATACTCTTGAGATCTTCATACGTTGGGCAGCGGTCAGGACCAACGACCGACAGGATCTCAGCCCTCAACTTAGCAAGACACTCGGGATGGCGCGCCAGCTCGTAAATGGTCCACGATAGCGTGCATGCGGTCGTATCGCGGCCTGCGAGCAGAACGGCGATGAGTTGGTCGTGCAGCACGGTACGGTCGCGTGTGTAGCCTGCCAGAGCATGTAGGAACGTGTAGCCCACATCATTCTTGCTCTTAGTTGCCAATTCTTCATCGCTCAACTGCAGAGCTCGATCGATGATAGTGTCGATAAAGCTGTTGATGACCCTCATACCCTCCCAAAAAGTCTTGCGAGAGACAAGCCGATTGAGGGGGCCAGCGCGCGCGATGAGACTCTGCACACGCTGGACTTCGCCGAAGGCTTCGGCAAAGTCCTGAACCGGAGTGCTGTAGACATGAGGGGTCAGGCTCATGCGTAAATCAAAGCAAGATAGACATGTCAGAAACTAACCTGAGTGACTTGACATCCTTGCCCAACAAGAACTCTGTCGAGGCATCCAAGGTATACCGGAAAAACAGATCGCTGATGTCAACTGGCCTTCCGTTACCGGCTCCCAAGTCGACGGGCTGATCTTCACCATGGAGAGGGCCGCCATTGGCAATGGCACGGAACAAAATCTGCATATGCCGCTCGAAAACATGAAGATCACTAACCCGGTCCTTGATGAACTGAGGGCGGATCAATTGCCGGCTGCTATGCCAGAGGGTGCCGTCGGTAGTGAAGATGCTGTCGCCCAAGAAGTCCTTCCACTCGTTGTGGAAGGTCTCGCCTTTGCCGTAGTCGTGGAACTGCGTCGCCAGGATGGCCTTGATGTTCTCATGATCTATAGTGAAGATGATATTGCGGCCAAACAAGCGTGCTTCAAAGGTGTTGGAGCCAACTTTCTTGAAGCTCTCCCGCCAAAAATCAAGGTTCTTGTACTTCATGGATGCCCGGACACTGGTCCATAGGAAGTCAAGGCCTGAATGCATGTTAGTGTTAATTATGCAGTGACGCCTACCCTAAGCAATGACGGGGCCTGCCCACCAAAAGGGAGTTTGGTCGACATCCTGGGAGCCCTGGCACCGGGCAATCTGGCCAACTTGATCTCTTGCCATGCCGGCTTGATGATTAGAGTGTTAAGCAGCCAGGCCAAAAACAGTCCTGGCACTAAGGCCAAGACAATCTTGGGTGAGATATGGCCAATGAAGGTCTCAATCAGACCCATCTTCGAAGACGAGGATTCTCTTATAGCTGATTCCGTGTTCCGACTTAAATCTCAGGGGAGGGACTTGTGTCTTTTGCAACAAAGACTTAAGTGGCCAGTTGCTACAGAGATGGCAAGGGGAAGATTGAGTGGTCAAGGACTAAAGGCTGCTCAGCAACCAAGAAGATATCAAGATTGCATCCACGGCCGGCCCTGTAGTCCGAGAGATGGAAAGCACACAGTAGAGCTGGATTCAGTTCAAAATGTTTGCAACCAAGGACAGACCGTAGCGGGGTTGAACCCGGGGTCCTGAGTGTTTTAAAGCCAGCCAATTTGGATGCAATGCCGGATCGTTTCCGGCCAACACTCGTCCATCCCAGACACTGTCACAACGGACAGAACCATGGCCAGACCATGCGGGGGAAGGGTGGGCGGACTTCATACCAATCCGAAATCCGAGGACCTCATACACACTAACACAGCAGGGGCGAGGAATGGTGATGCGACCCTAACGGCTAGTGTCTCTACGTTCCAAGTCAGTCTGGCCCCGTTGTTTTGGCTTGACAGGACAGAAAGAAAGCCATCGGAGCCTCTTACAAGTCTCTGCTTTGTGCACCTGTGGGAACTAACCCAACACTATCCAACAGCTCGTTGTGGAAATGGACAAGGTTTTGTATCCAAAAAAAAAACCGGACATTCAGGGAATTCGGGTAGATACTCGACTTGGACTGTTAGATCGGAACAACGCAATTCAAGCGTCGAATTTGGTGGTTACCGGGAGCATATTGCCTATCTGTACCAATAAATGTTGGTAAGAAGGGCAGATCTGCCGTGTAGCATCCATGACAAAGCTGTTCCCAGTCCTCACGGGAGCCACAGACCAAACAAAGCACGCGATCTGCGGGACCTCCTAGACGTCATTCTCCAAAACTTGATGGAATTTTTGACATACCGGGCATATTGGGAAGCAGCTCGGGACGTGCGATCCACATCTCAAACTGTCAAAGTCCGGGGACCTGCAGGTTTGAGTTTAGCCCCAACGATTACAACTAACAACAACCCCGCAAAGGACGGAGGGAGGAGCCGAGGTTCTCCACTCGTGTTTGACGTAGGTACGCGCTCGAATACGCTGTTACGGTGTGCCAACCCTAGCTGCCGGGAATCTTGTGGTCAGTGGCGTGGTCTCAGTCTCAGTGACACTGTGGAACGCGCGGGACGCGTTGGCCCTTGTCGAATAGCATGCTCGGTAATGTTGTCAATATCGAAATATCCCGGAGCTGATCGCTGGAATTGAGAACTAATGGGCTCCCGATGACGATTTTGACATTTCAAGCTCTTACTGGCAGATGGAGTTCTGGCGGTTGAAGGAGGCTGCCATGTCGCTAACGGGCAGTCAGGAGAAAAACCCGGGGCCCCGCAGGACACTAGCCTTGAAGAGCTTCGTAGCCGCTCCGATCCTGGGCCCTGATGGCACGTTCACAGTGCTGATACTGTCAAGAGCTGTGTATGGAGCTGCCGAACTGAATGGGTTATGCTTTGTTGATCAACACGATGGAGATAATATGAGACTTACCTCTTGTCAACTGACTCATTCAAACCCTCCAGCAGACTATGTGGGCGGATGAACTTTCCTCTACTGACAACTTACACTATAGCCACATCTCAAAACCCTTCCCCTCACTACAGTTTTTGATCCTCTGGAAAATCTCCGCTTTTACTCTTGATTTGTTTAGCACCCACATCCCAACCCTTGAAACCCCGGCTCTTCAAGGTACGTAGATCTCGGACTCATGCCGATACTAAAGGCTAACATGATTTGAGTGCGGATAGCAGGTACAGGTAGTGTTCTAGTTACTCTGCTAGGTTGCCGGGTCGCCGTCATGGAACTCCAGTTACAACCGACTCGAGCAGGCAGGTGGTATCAGGAGGACTGTTGCTGCCAACAAACCAGACCCCTGCGTATCGAATACTACCCCTGTGCAAGGACACAGCCGCTTTCCAAATCACTTTTATTATGGCACTCCATATTGTTCCTAGAGACTATCAGTATACGGATTTGACCTCTTTCCTGATCACAGTCTCTTCTAGGGATTGGGACGAGCTTTGACGAAATCTTGTCTAAACGCCTCATACAACCCAAGACCTCAACAAATCCCGGCATGTTGCAATGCGAGGGCTTGCCATGGTTACGTTCCGCGGGTAGATCGGATCCTTCCCGAATCCTTCGCAACGTCTTACTCATGTCTATATCTCGGGTCAATTCCGAACATGTCAAGCCAAGACAACGTTACATAATTGAGGCACCCTGAGATACACATCCGTAAGTAGTCCATTATGTATTCGCCCCCTATTTCCCCCTCAGCCTATAAAGTGGCCCAAGCGATATTATACATTGTAAAGCAAAACCCTTTTTAAGTCCTCTGGATGTAAATAGGAAGACGGGAAAGAAAAGGATAAGAACAAAAGGAGGTATGACCCCTCCTCAGCCAAGCAAGAACACAGGATGGAGAACCAGACTGGAGTATTCTAATTCGGGTTTTCCCACAGACATTCTTCAGGACTGCGCTGGGTGCAGAACAGCTGTGTGAGCGGTGCTGCCCTGATGCCTCTTGCCACCATGCGCTCGCGCCATTCGAACAACCGTGGGGCAACCTCCAGCTGGCTGCGGTTTTGTCCTGACTCCAACTTGTTTCCAGACCAGAGCGCTTCGCCGGCGGCACTGGCTCGGGGCCAGACGAGAGGGTCAAAGTTCAATGGATCGATCGTCTCGCTCCAGGCTGCGACCTCACCGCCGAGCACCAGCTTCGCTTGTTCGGCTGTGAGATTTGCCCTTGGATCATGAGAGTAGATGCGCTGCCATGACTTTGTGGGACCACACCAGTCATTAAATGGCCAGCCCCTAGCGTACTCATTGTTGTCAAAGAGGACCCACTGGCCGCGGCCGCAGTCGAGGTACTTTTGATAGCATTTGTTAGTGGCCATCCTTGCTTTTCATTACAAGCTCTTGTGAAACTAATCGACTTACCCAGTAGTTCACATTGCTGTCAATTACCCCGTATCCTTTGCTTGTCACGTTCTGTACTTTCCCATCCCCCGTCCACGTTTGCACGATCACATCTTTCTCCAACGCAAGGTTATATTTCTCAACCGACTCCTCCCAGACAATCGGTGTGAGCTTAGCATCGCGGACTTGTTTATGACTCTTGTCAAAGAACTTCTGCAAAAGTGGTTTCAAAACGTCCTCCTTGTCAGACTTTACAGTGTCATCCAACGTATAGGCCTTGTATTTGATTTCGTCACCGCCCGTGTGGAAGTAGCTGGTGTATTTCGAAATCCTTGGAAAGAGGTCGTCAAACAGCCTTTTAACAAACTCGTCGACTTTCGTGCTGTTGAGCTTAAAGTTACCGCAAGGCGGCTGAGCGCAATAAGCATCATATGGCCTGGCATTCCATGCCGTAATGAGCTCTGGGTGGCTGAGAGCGACGGAACCGATGTGGCCGGGCATATCGATCTCGAAGTAGACTTGGACACCACGCATAGCACCGTACTTGAAGATCCTATCAACGTCGGTTGGAGAATAAGTAAATGCTGGGTGATGGGCACCCTTTTTGTGTAACTCCGGCATACTGGGAATCTCGAGCGGCCACGATTGTGAATCGGTGACATGGAAGTGTAACCTGTTCATCTTGTTCCATGCCAGGGCATCGATAGTGCGCAGGATATGATCGACGGGGAAGAAATGACGAGATGTATCGATCAACAGGCCCCGATGGTCAAACTTTGGCTCGTCTTCGATCTCCACTGGGGCGTACGGCGTGTACCAAAAAGTGCCGGCTGAGTGTTGGTAAAAGAGCTGGATGAAGGTCTCAAGGCCGCGGAGTACGCCGATTGACGAAACAGCCGTCAACTTGACTTCTCCGTCCGCACTCAAAGTCAAATTATATGACTCGTCCACTTCTCCGGCCTTAGGTTTTAATATTTTCTCGCTGTCGTCCTTGCCTGTCTGCGTGATCTCAAGCATTTTGATCCACTTCAGGTTCCCATTCACGTCAGGCTCAAACTTGTCGCCAGGCTTGTGCAGCATCCATGGAACAAACTGCTCTCCGAAGAGAGTAGAGAGTGCCCGGGATACACCAGCCCGGACGATGTCGTGGCTGTCGAAAGTGGCAGCCTCGTAGCCGAACGTGTACTGCGTCTGTTGGTACATCAAAGATTTAGCAGTCATTCCCTCTCCGGGACATACATGAGAGTGGGACTGAGGGCCGTAAAAAAGGGGAGAGGAAGGTGAAACGATAGAACAGAGAGCAGTCCAGCATACAAGATTGTCATTATACTTGATCTCCAGATTTTGATGTAGAAACAAGGTAGTATTGCCCGTCTTGAACTTTTTGGGTATCGGCCAGACGGCCACAACGGGCTGGAGCGCAATGAGAAGGGCGCAAAGCGAAGAAAGTAATAACGACCGCATCATGACAACTTCATGAGTTCTCAATGTTTTCGATGACTCGCTGATTATTGATTCTTTGCTTGTTGGTGGGTTGGGATATCAAAAAAAATCACGGGGAGGGAATGGCTTAGCAAGACACTCAAGAGTCAGCTGCGAGATGAGTACGCAGATGAAGGGGTAAGCAGCACAGCGCAGACAAGGCGGGCAGGCAGTGGAATGTTTATAAAGCCGGACCCTTCTTTTTCTTCGTTCTTCAGGCCTTACAACCTTTGCCAGGGGCTCATTATCTTGTGTATTATCCCAGATTAGGGGAAAACGGTTGGCTGGGGGGCAACCAATCGGTCCCAGAATAAACAGCCCGCAGCGTTGCACAGTGGCACAGGCTGGCCGCAGTCCCTGGGAGATGCTTTGTGAACGGGTTTGTGATGAAGATTGGCGGGACTGGGGTCCTTGATGGAACGGGAGACTGCGCGTTGCTCGCAACGGTTGGTTTTGGTACACTTGCACCCGAGACAAAAGTCCTCAATGAACGGTTGGTCAGCAGCAGCTTCCCAGGAGAACACCTGGAGAACGCACACACTGACCGACCGACCCACGAGAGAGAAAGGATGTATGGCTCTGCCGCGGCGCTGGTCAGCTGCCCTGATGCTCTTTCTTCCAGTTGTGAGGGAAATGAGGAGTATGACTAAGAACATTGAACGTGGAATGATCGGACAACGCTAATTCAAATCTTGGAACTGGAAACCGCAGAGCTGCATGAAGGACAGGACACTTGCCCTGCTGGCCACAGCAGCGCTCGTCGTTGGCATGTGCTGTTGTGGAGCATGTTGCCAGCCTGCCAAGTCTCCGAGTAAGCCACGTCTAAGTGCCTGCCTGTCCTTCCTTTTCTGGTCAGCCACACCCCCCAGGCAGTGATCAGCCCTGTTTGTGTCAGGAGGGGAAGGATGGGCAGAGCAGGGAGTCACCGTAGTGCATGCCGTGGTGCTTACGTAGTATCTAGCACCAAGTGGCATATTTGTTATCATTTTTTTTGTTAATTCATTCATTGCTTTTCTTCATGAACTTTATTCCAGATCAATTGTCTGGAGTGAGCATCCATCATGTAAACACTTAGGCATTTGGAAGTCAGCAATCCCAGTCCAAAACTGGAGCAGTCCCCAGATCATCCGTCGATCATCGATTGGATTCACTGGCGGCTGGTTGGCACAAGTGCCAGCCTTGAGGATGTGGCACTTTTGCCGAGTCAGTGCTGGGCTATGCTACGGGCTGGATGGGTGCCCAGCTCTCGGCCCGGGAGATCCACTGGTTCAGAGTTTCCCATGTTTGCCGGCTGATGTCCCCTTTGCTGTTTTACTGTCCTGCATCTGCAGGGACGGCATTGGATATGAATGGATGCCACTGAGCTGCAGGCTACGGCCCCGCAGCCACACCTGTCCTGATTCAAAATAACACCAAACAGCGGTCGGCTAGATAGGTAAACTGAGCACATATATAACTGTTGGCATCTGTGTCTTGGGGGCCTCTCACATTCGTGTATAAGGGATTGCTTTTTGTTGTCTACAGGTTGCCATTTTCCCGAGTTGGCTGCCTTCCGAGAGACTTTACAGCACGGGTCGTGTTTGACTAACAAAGCATTTACATTGGATGCCAGGTTAGGTTCATATGGCTGGGTTTGGAGTTAAATAGGCTTGAATCTTGGCTTTATTTTTTTTCTCGAGTCCATCCCTTGAATGTTGAATGTTACTCTTGGTATGATGAAGGCTTTAACCAAGACTATGGGAGGACTCAAGATAACCGGAACAGTTGGTGTAATATAGATCAATTGCTATGTAATGGCAGCATCTGTGCAAGATCGGTTGACTCCGTCTGATGCCGTCTGCTGCATGCCGGGAAATTTAACAAAGTGTTCAGCTATCAGTTCAACGAAGCTAAAGTTGTACAAAACTGTACAGGTAGTATATGGATCCTTTTTACTGCAGCAGTTACCTACCTTATGCGAGGGTACGAAGGGTTGGGAAATACAGTAGAAGTGATAGGCGTCCTGGGTGATTCTGTCATGTGGCTATGCGTATGAGGTTGCAGCCACACTGATGCACAAGCCACCTGAGCCACCACCAGGACGGAGAACGAACACCAAGCACAAAAACTTTTAATCACGTGATTTATGCCACTCGCCGCACAAGCCACCCAAGGAAGGACGCCCAGGCCAGCAAGGCCCTGAGCCTTGTTTCTTCGCGTGCGAACGGTCAACTTTGTTGCTGGTCCTTGATAAAATCTTCGGCATCAACTCCAACCCCAACCTCCTCCACGCTCCTGGTGACAGCGCATCGGCACAGGACTTGAGACAGCCATATCCAGCGTATGGCAGAACGGCTGAGGCGCTAAGTTGTGATTTCCACGTCCTTGATTCCCACGGGCGCTCTGCGATTTGCCACCGACGTCGCGTCTTGATTAGTCGACCCTCGGCCCGTGACGACAAAAGATCACCCACTGTTAGCCTGCTCTGCCTGTCTTTGTCGCCGACTTCACCTGCTTCTCCTTAGCTCTCTAATCGACCTTATCCATCGCCACGGCAGCGGGTCGCGCACGCGGGGAGTCAGCGCTTTCCGCATCTGTCGCCATCGCATATCAAGAGCTTAGGGTCACCTACTACCAGTCCAGCTCACCTTTCCCTTCGTACTGTCATTTCAGCAACCTCTGCATCGCAATTCAGCTTCCATCATGTCAGTCGAGATCGCTCTCGGCACCCCGCTTGCGGATGCCCTTAACACGGCCATCCAGGGCAAGATCGCAGAGCTGGGCTGGGCCGGCCCTGGCTCTGAGGTTTCTGCCATGTCCGAATACTTTGTCCTCATGCTCGCCAATGGCAAGACGGAGGCCGAAATCGTTCAAGAGATCCAGGGCGACCTCCTTGGCCTAGGTCCAGAAGATGAGACTGCTCCCAAGTTTGCGCGATGGCTGTCTGAGCAGGTTGCTGCCCTCAGCTCCCAGTCCGGCAACGGCGCTTCGGCAGCACCGTCTGGCGACGCCATGGATGGGATCCGCGATGAGTCAATGACTGGACCAAGCGACGTCAACATGGACACTTCGACCGATATGCCTGCTACGGGCTTGAATGCGTATGTCTTCCTCCCCTCTTAGCCACTTCACCGAGTGCCCTCGCAGGAGTACTAACCATGTAACAGGCCTACTGGTCCTAAGGCTATGCGCAATGGCAATAACATGATGCGCGGCAGCCGCGAAAAGCGCTTGATGGGTCAGATCAGCCGTGCCATGGACCGATCCCAAGATTCCGTCCTTCACCGCGTGCGCACGCAGTCTGGCAATGAGCGAATCAGCAGAGGCCCGCCGGCTGGTCCCAGGCTCGGTGTGGGCAGGCAGCCTCGGACGACCAATACCCGTATGGCCAGCATTGCTGCCGGCATGGCTAACATGAGCGGGATGCCGCATCCCGGCGGTCCAATGCCTATGAATCCAATGAATGGCATGCCCCCTATGCCTCCTAACGGCACCCCTTATGTGCCCCCAGAGCTGTATGCTATGATGGAACAGCAGAACCTCATGCTTCAGCAGATGCAGCAGCAGCTTCAGATGCAACAGGCCAGCATGCGTGGCGGCTTCGGCGGCCGGGGTGGCAGGGGCGGCGGCTTCCGTCGTGGTGGCGGTCATTTTCAGCAACAGCACAACGGCAGCCATGCGCACCCGCAACAGCAACAGTCACAGCAGGCAGGCTCCGAAGGGACACAATCTGAGGGAGCTTCGCAGGGCGACGCCGAGATGGCCGGCGCGAAGCCGAACCCAGAAGAGACGGTGTGCCGCTTCAACTTGAGGTGCCAGAACAAGGACTGCAAGTTTGCGCATCAATCTCCCGCGGCGCCTCCCGGCATCACGATCGATGTCAAGGACGTTTGCAGCTACGGTGTGGCCTGCAAGAACCGTAAATGTGTGGGCCGGCACCCATCACCAGCGGCCAAGGCGGCCCATCAGAGCGAGCAAGACTGCAAGTACTGGCCCAATTGCGCCAACCCTCTCTGCGCCTTCCGGCATCCGACAATGCCCCCGTGTCGCAACGGTGGTGAGTGCAAGGTACCCGGCTGCAAGTTCACTCATCTCAAGACGCCGTGCAAGTTCCGGCCCTGCACCAACCGCAGCTGCCCTTTCCTGCACGAGGAGGGCCAGCGCGGCACATTCCAGGACAAAGTGTGGACGGCGGATGGTGCCAAGGAGCATGTCAGCGAGCGCAAGTTTGCCAATGATACGGGCAACGAGGAGCTGGTGCTGCCTGGCTCAGGACAGCAGGAGGAGAACCAGACGGAGACGGAGGTTATCATGTAAAGGGTTTTCAGAAAGGGAAAAGAAGCAGAGTTGTCAATCAGATTGAAGGGTTGCGTATGGCGGGTGCATAGGAATAATAAAGAGAACAGATGCATGGCAGTGATCGAGGTCGGGCGCGGGCTCTGAAGAAAGCTGTCAGGTCCCTGCCTGCAAAAGAAACCATCATCAAGAAAAAAACAAAAAGATACATACATATCGATGATATTCTATGCTTCAGGAATGGTCACATGGGATTGTAGGGAATGTACTATATCACCAGATCGGCGTTCAGGGAGACGGGTAATGGGCAAGCAGAGGCATACAATCGGTTTTTGAGACGGGACTCACACTGGTTCCTTTAGACATGACATGGCCTGTGGTCTTTGATTTGTTTCCTTTTCTACTTAGTGGTGACCGAATTTCTCTTCACAGCGAAGGCTGTCGGTAACAAGCAGCTGGGAAGTAAAAATAGAAATATTGTTGCTGCTCTCTTTCTCAAGGAGTCGATCTTTGCTCATGGTGTCGGGACTCTCCTGACCAAAGAGCCCTTCTGGCTAAGGGCTGTGCAAACACTGCGTAAATTTCGTATTTTACGTTATCGATAAGTGATCGCTACCATGAAAGTTACCAAGTACGTACTAATCGAACACGCCATGATGGGGACTTGAACCGTCGACCGGCCATTGCAAGATTCAACCTCGACACCAACCTATGACGAGAAACATAGCCGGCCATTGACCTCCCGTAGCAAAATTCTGAATGAGGTTGGGGACAAATGAGCCTATGAACAACATTCGACAATGTACGCAATCAAGACGCGCTGTCTAGCGCGGACACGGGGCCAATTACATGCCGGCAAACAGGTCAACATTGCCTTCAAGCGCAGCGTCTCGTCGGCGGTTTGCCGGCAACACATTCACTCCAGCCTCCATCTTTTAAATTTACGTTCGCAATTTCCTACCAGTTCTGGTGAAGCAGCTCTCTTGGGGCTCTCATCGCGCGCTGTGGCGCCAGCATCTACGTTGACGGCGCTTTCTCCAAATTTTCCGGTGCCATCTAATCGGCGACACAGAAGCTATGAGCCAAAATTCACAGAAAATGGAATGGCCTATCGTGGGAGACCATATGTGGTAGACAGGGAGCGTCCTCCACAGTTTGCTCCTCCGCCAAATGCTCCCGCGCACATTGCGGTTCTCGGAGGAGGCCTGACAGGTCTCACCACCGCCTTTTACCTCTCCGAGTTCCTTCCAAGCACTAAAATTACTCTCTATGAGGCGAGTGATCGCCTGGGCGGCTGGATTGAGACCAAGGAGGTTGAAGTGCAGACGCCCGACGGCATCAAGGGCACTGTTCGCTTCGAGGGCGCCGCCCGTATGGTCAAGCCGCAGACCCAGCTGTCAGGGCCCCCTAAATGGGATGATCTCATTTTCTATGAGCTGGTTCGTTCCCCCTCTCTCTTCGGAAGCCCATCTAGTTGAGGCTGTACAATCTCTTCCCGGGGAACTTCTACTGACTGCTGTGGTCTTCGCTCTGGCCAGGTTCACGCCCTCGGTCTTGCGGACGAGCTGAGACACTCCACGAGTCTTGAGGTAGATGCTAGTGGCTTTCTGTACTACCCGGATCACTTGGTCACGATGCCCAACAACCTGACCTTCAAGCCGCTCTCCCAGCCCCTCAAGACCATCCGGTCACTAGTTACCTTTGCTCGTCTGCTACTGGAGCCTGCCTTCCGGGGCATCATCCCCTCGTTTTTTAATCTCCTGAAATCTAACAAAGAGGTAGTGACAATGCTGGAAAAGATATCCAGTCACCAGGCCGACTATAGCATCGGGCAGTTCATATCCACGCGACTTGGCCGTCCCGATCAGGTTGACAGGGTAGCTTCGGCCATCATCCACGGCATCATGGGCGGAGACATCTGGAAGCTGAGCCTGTTGAGCGGGCCCTGGCAAAACATGGTTGCTTCGTACCGGCGGAAGGGCAGTCCCGACTCAATGTCTGCTCTGAACACCCCTGTGCACTGGACTGACTACCGGCTGATGGATGTGTTGTGCCGGAACCAGGGCATCTGGGATCTGGCTAACAAGTATCTCCATGCCAGCGGTATCTGGTTCCGGAATGGGTTCCAAACCTTCACAGATGCCCTTGCTGTCGACCTGAGCAGCAAGCCCAACGTCACAATTAAACTAGGCGAGCCTGTCGAGTCAGTTCGTTATGATGAAGCTTCTGACCGAGTTCTCGTACGTATCGATCCTGTTGGAGTTCTTGCAATCGTTTTGCCCTTGAGCTGACCACCCTGTCCCTGCCTACGTTCAGATCACGACAGAAACCGAAAAGCAGCCTGTCGCTTATGATAAGGTTGTTTCAACTCTCTATGCCCAAACACTCGCAAACATCACCAATGGTCAGCTCCCTGCCCTGGAGAACATCCCCGCCGTCACCATTCAACTCGTCAACCTCTGGTACCCGCAGCCCTTGCTCAATCATCCTTACCACGGCTTCGGCTACCTCCTCCCTCAAGCCCTCGGCTTCGACCGCAACCCCGAATGCCTTCTTGGCGTCATCTTCGATTCTGACCGTGAATTCCCCATTCGCAACCCTGACGGTTCCCCCGTCGATCCATCCAACCCCCCCAACCGTGGTGCCGACACCGTCCCTGGCACCAAGCTGACTGTCATGCTCGGCGGCCACTATTGGGACGATTTACCCGACGAGTTCCTCCCCGATTCTGAAACAGCCATTGAGCTCGCCAAGCAAGCAGTCGAGCGGCACCTCAACCTGGACCCTTCCATTTCCGCGCAAGCCGTCGCCCGCGCTAAGCTCTGCCGCCAGTGCATCCCGCAGATGCTAGTCGGCCACGTCAACCACTTGTACGCGGCACGCGACCAGCTTGAGCGCAACTTCCACGGCCGGCTGGCCGTCGCCGGGCAATCGTACACCCTACCTGGCGTACTGCACTGCCTGCGCGCGGCGCGCGACATGGCAATGCAAATTGTCCACAAGGCGGCTGGCATCCCGACAGAGGATGACTGGCCGGGTGTGTGGGTCGGCGACACGGGGCTGGATCGGCTGACAACGCCGCTGCTGCACCAGCCGATGGAGATCATCCCGAAGCCGATTCTCCCGTTGCGTTATAATAGCGGGGCGACAATGGGGAAGGACCTGTACCAGCATGTTGATGCTCTGGGAAGAGTGTGGACATGGAAGAATAAAGTCAACAACACAGCGTTTGAGGATGGGAAGGATGAGTAAGAGCTACAGGCCGGGTTGATGGGGTGTAGATGCGTAGTGCGGTTGATCGCTTAGAGGTACCTGATGATAGGTACATAAGGGAGGAATCTAGTACGTGATGTACAATATCTGTATTCCTGTAGATGTGAAACGTTTTGTCTTATTTTATGGAAGATATAATCCCACAATGCGGAATGTTTACGTCTGAATGGAACTTTAGCACGCTCATGGAAAAGGGGCCCCCATTTTGAGGTTTCTTCCAACAGGCTGGTGCTTGACTCAGCGCACTCAGCTAAACACGCACCAAGACTGAGGAAACAAATGCACCTGGTATCATTCCATTTATCTGTGTCGCTGCCTGTGAAACAAGGTGACTTGCACCCGACCAGGACCCTGCCCGCCCAAGCTCAGTGATGTTAACCCATGATGATCCTTTTTAATCTCCCCGCCTCTTCCCACGAGATTCATCACCCTAATAGCAGTAGTAAATGTAGCAATAACTTAGTCCATCTCCTTCCCGACCTGGTGGTGTTGTACACTGGGGCAAAAAAGGAAAGGAAGAAGAGACTAAGAAAGCGAAAGGGAAAAGACTAACAAAGCATGTACTCCGAAGATACATTGTCCATGATGACCTTGGCCAGGTCCTACACCATCTAGCCTCCGCAATAGTATTCATTCATATATTCCTTCCAACTTCTCATGCAAACAATGCTCTGTGAAAATCATCGAATCCACTGCAGGGCGCGACAAAACCTGAGCTCAGTCTAGCACAACGAGCGGAGCATTGCTCCTACCCATACCCGCTGCTGTGCCCGTGCCAGGCCGCTGACCCTGCTGCTGTGGTGCTGCTACCATTTGGCCTGGTTGCCCGTGCTGTCCCTGTAGTTGTGGCTTTGGTCCCCCGTGCATGTTAGGCTGCGAGATCTGGCCTCCATGCATGTTAGGTTGAGGTTGTGGTGGGCGCTGCTGCTGGAATATCTGTTGTTGTTGTGGAGGAAACCGTGCCATCGGGGCAGGAGCACCATGAGGCTGTTGCTGGCCTACCGAGGCGTGAGGCATCGCTGATCGAGGTTGTTGTGCTTGTGGCTGCAGCTGTGAAACGACTTGTTGCTGCTGGACCTGCTGGACCTGCTGTGATGGTTGTGCTTGAGGCGGTTGTGGTGGAGCAGTGGCAGGCTGCGAAGTGCTTAAGTGAAGAACGGCGTCGCTGATGAGAACCAGGAGACGCTCAATCCCTTCATCAGGCTCTGCCGCCGCACCGGTCACAAGGCCCTTGAACCCACTGCCAGAGATGGTCCAAACCCGTTCTTTCAGGACGCGGTTGAACTCACAATTCTCGTTCAAAAGTTCTGGATCATGTCTTGGCCGACCAACTTCCCAAACGAGTTTACCCTCTTTTTCATGAGGCTGGATCAAGAGACTGATCTGTCTCTGGTGTCCAGGTAGCACAAAACGGATAGTATGCTTGTCCAAGGACAGGTGGAGGATGAAGCAAGATCCTCGGCCATTCTCTTGTGCCGTCTGCCATGCGTTCTCCAGCTGCTCAAATGCTCTGAAAAGAGGGAGACTGAGGGTGAGATAAGTTGCTAGAGAGTAGAATTTCTGACTGTTTACGAGGTCTTCAAGACGGTTGATGACTCTGAGGTGGGGATTTCCTTTCTCAAGAACCACTCCCACGCCTTCTTCTTTGGTGAGATCAAGTCGAACTCTCCAAGGACGAACTTTAGGTTGATTAGTAGAATCCCTTTTTCGTGTCGCGCCATAGCTGAATACGATCTCGCGAAGAGTGACTCGTTCGGGAACTGCTTGATCACCGACTCTTCGGAGTCCTTCAAGGAAGTCGAGCAAACGCTGGAGTTGCCTTACACGAATCCCAAGCAGAGGGACAACCGGGACACCCATTTTGGCACGAAGGCGGAACATGAACCGGCCAGTGTAAGGGTTATAGAGGATATCACGATCGAGACGTGGATTCAGTGTTTGGAATCTGCGGCGATCGGTGACATCCAAGTACGCCTCAAACACATCCAGCACTGGTTGCGTTCGCTTTTGCTGTGGGCTGTCTGACACTCTTGTATCGCACGCCGATCCCCTGTATATGAGCCACACAGGATCCTTCAGCCAGGCAATTGATTGGGCGTCCGCGCCTCCAAAATCGCCCAGGATCTTGGAAGCCTTCACAGGGAGGACCGGTGGTTGACGCGTGGGATCAATCAGTTTCCGGAGCTGACTCGGAGTAATTCCGGGATAAAGCTCCCGAAGGTTAGTTATCTCCGCTATCAGACGTCTGCTATGGTCTCGTAGTCCATTGAAGAAGCCGTCTGTCAGTCGTTCTTCCGAGAAGCATGGCGCCATCTTGGTAAAGAAGACCAGCCGGTTTCCGCTGATAGACTGTCTTTGCGAGGTCCTGAAACCGAAAAGGTTAGTGGGGAAGGCTATGATGAGACGACAGAAGAGCTGTTGGGAGAGATAAAGCCAGAGGGGGAGAAGGGCACTTACACCTCAACGAGCCACCATTGATCGCCTGCGAGGCTCATGCTTCGCATGGCATACCACTGAGGGTCCCAATCAACAAACCTTGTCCACGCCGCCTGGAAAGTCTCGCGCGACGACGCCGACTCTGAATGCACGATGCTCCTGAGCTCGTCCTGAGAAATTGGAGATCGAACAACAGACCAGCCGTGGCTTTTCCCCTGTGCCTTGAGAACCGATATGATGTAAATATAACGGAAATTTTCCAGTTCCTTTGAGCCCTCTTCAGCTGGGTTCCCAAGTGAGTTAAGAGTCCGGTTCCAAGGCCCAGTTGAAGGTGTGGTGATGAAGTCGCCCATCCACGGATTAACCTGGATTTTGAGATCCTCGTCATCAAGCAGCTGCATGGAGAGATAGTAGTCTTCGGGCTTCTGTGTCCAAACATTCAGCTCCAGCCTAGCTTTCTTTCCCTGTGTGAAGCGAGGCTTCCCGTCAAATTTTCTAAAGAGGGAGAAAAGCAGATAGCCGACATGCTTGGCGGTGACGAACTCCAGAATTTCCTCGATGGATAGCTTCTCTTGGGAAAATGGAATGTCGATGAACTGCTCAACGCCCTCGCGGAACCACTGCACCATGAGATAGCTTGGTTTCGGCTCCTCAAGACCTTGCGGATCTTCACCACTGTGGACACCGATAATAATCCAGCTCTTGAGATTTTGAGAGTGCAAGCGGTTAGCCCAGTAATGGATCCCTAAATTCCGGTTCAGCTTCTCTACCCGAAGGCTGTTGGCCCATCGCCCTTTATTCAGCGCAATGGCCTGGCGATGAAGCTCGGCGATCTTCTGTGTCAAAGTAAACTCGTGTAAATACTTGTAGCAGCCGCCAAGCCCTTCTGTTTTCAGAATGTTGTTTACTTTCTCTGTCATCCAATACCGAACTGCCGGTGTTAGCTCGGCTGGGGCCGGGCTGAAGTCGAAGCGGAAGTTGATGAACCAGAACTGCTCGCTGAAATCCTCTTCAGATATGCTTAGATCCACTTCAAACTCTCCTCTAACTCTGAATGTAACTCGTCCGGAGTCAATAGTGTAATTTTTGAATGGCGGCGGGAGCTTGTCGTGCTCTTCAAGCTGTAATCGCGCGTGAAGGGCTAGATTCATGTCATTGATCCACCGCAATGTTTCCTCTGTCGTTAGGGGAGGAGGATCGAGAAAGTTGAACTGGACAAGACCATGTTAGCATCAATGACCCGCTACAACCAACCCAAACACCGGGGACCTACGTCGGGCATCCACGTAACCTCGCCGTGGGTGAGAATGTGTAAAGCAGTTTTCAAATCTGGACTCGGAACTTTGGCCCAAGCCATGTCGCGTTTAAGGTTGATGAAATCGTTCAAAACCTGGGGATACAGCTCCAACTTCTTGAACAAATGGGTCCTGATGTCGATCAACTTGCCGACCTTCTCAGCATTTCTCGCCCACTCTGTAATAACCAATGCCTTGACCCATCTGGAGTGCAAGTCCTGGATGGTGTTAAGAAGCAGCCGTTTCTTTTCTTGGCTCTCTGGAGATGCGTCCTCGACCAACGTAGAATGACTGCCATTCCCATTGACGGCATGTTGCGGCACGGGCTTCGAGGCAAGCATTGTCACAAGTTCTTCTAATTTGGAATGAGAAAACTCGGCCAGCCGAATGAGCAAAAGGTTGAGAGGGAGAATGCCATCTGTGATATGCTCCATCTCGTCGGGGACATCGGCGTCAGGGCACAACTGGCCCTTTGGATCGGCGACGGCAACATCGCTTTGAGCGATAACCGTGTCGAGCTCCTTGGTAATATCCGACAGTGGCTCCTCCAGCTTGCGTTTCAATGCCTTGTCATCCCCACCGACGCCGTTGATGAACCGCTCTCGGTCATAGTTATTTGGCAGGGCGCCATGTGCGCGTGCCTCCATTCTGCAAAGATGTCCAGCCACAACCGGGCCTTTATGCCGCGCTGTCGGCGGTTACCGTCAGCTGGGCAAGAGTGGGCTAGTATTGCTTCCCAGGCTACCAACAAAGCGCAAGTAGTTTGGGCCGTCCTTAGAAGGCAGAGCACGAGCGAAAAGCGAGAGTGTAGTCGGCCAATGCAGGAACAGGGTCAGAGAGGAAAAACGAAAAGCTGCCGGAAAGTCGCAATGGCTAAAGCGATGGCGCTGGAATTCTCGGATGAATTGCAGGTGATGGCTATGAAGCGCGCGCCGCGCTACGAAAATGTCACGGGCAATGGATTGAAACGAGGCAGACCCACGCAGCCTGTATGCGAGACCAAAAACTGCCTGTGATAGGGATGCCGTGAAATCAAGCAGAGTTTGCGGCTTCCAGGTCGGCGATATAACTTTAACCTTTCCACACCCAACGTGGTTGTCGTTGTCTTTATCGTCGTTGCGCAGCCACGGCCAAGCGCACATAGATCGATGCGCGCCTGCTGCACCAACAGCTCAAGAGGCAAAACTCGTGAGCGGGGTGCGACTACCCATCACTTCCCAAGAGACCGACTCTGGCGCCGCAGATATCGCACGGTCGGGCGTCGCACTGGTAGGTCAACGTGTGTTTTTCACTCGGCCACGGAACGCTGCACGTATCGGCTTCGCGCGCCCAGATGAGGTAGAGGCGTGTGCTGTGTCGGGTCGGGTCGATCGATCGATTCAGTCACCAAGTCAGCGCTCCTCGTCCGTCGGCGGCGAGAAATTGCGACACGCGCGGGCTGTTGCTGCTGCAATGAAGGACTTTTTTTTACGCGAGGGGTCGCGGATGTCTGAAGGACGGCGGTATCAGTTCGGCAGAAGTATGTTCCTTGTCGTGGTTTGCTGCGAAAATGCGACCTAGTCACTCCTGTTGCGGGTCGGATTGCTGGAGGGGGCGGATGGTGGGAGAGAGGTAAGGTAGGTAGAAATGGAGATGAATGATGGATCCTCGCGCCATATCCGCTTTCCCTTCAAAGAACGGAGATACACGCCCACGGTGGAGACCAGGCCAGCGTGGGAGCATGGTTTATTCTCCATGCCTGAACTCTTAGGCAGAAACTGCTTCTGGTTCGACCAGAAGTCGACCCACTTGCCGACGCCCCACGCTGCTGTCGTTACGGTCGGCGCTATCACAAACATCGCTCGACCAAAAGAAACTGCCCTGGAACACAACAATGCTGCTTGTCATGAATGTACACTTACACCACATCCAAAGTGTCATGTCGTTTGTCTCTCATAATAAAAGCTATATATAACAATATCCTGCTACCGTTTTTGCTATATGTAGAATTGTATTCGCGTCGTCTTGCGAGGAAAATTTTTTATTTCTCTGGGAATATCATGGGTTTTGAGTCCGCTGCAGGCGTTCTGTTCAAGATGAACTTGAACATGGTTCCTATTAATGCTGCCCTAAAAGAACAGATCTTCCCTTACGTCACTATACCCTTTCCGGGCCCGGGATCGGCGGCTGCCCCAGTTCTGGCTTCCGACACGCTGAGTGGTCTCGACAGACGCGCCGCAGCCCCTCCGCATCGCACTCCCGCCGCTCTGCAAACGCCGATGCTTCCCCCAAACTCCGGTTGGGTAATCGTGTCTGGGACACCGTGGACATCGGGGATCTTAGGACGCGTCAAGCCAATTCTACAGAACCAGAACACTTGGTGGCAATCGCGAACGCTTACTATGCGTCTGATAGAAGTTGGTGACGGTGAGAATGTTTATGCCTACAGCATGATAACCGGATGTTGACTAGTACTACTACAACTCCCAGGCCACTTTCTCGTGTCTCTTCCCTACCAAACACCATTGTTGGCGAAAGAATAACCGACTACCAATAACTCCAGCGACCGATTGAGAAGTACCTAACCTCCCGGCTCAAGAAGACCCATCCGACTGCTGTTCCCTTTTGTTTTTGTCCTCCGGTTGCCTGCTGCAAGTGGCTCCAATCCAGAGTGTATCATCTTCCACCACACCCTACCCTCCCCAAGCCGAAGTGAATCCTGCGCCCGTTCTAATGACCCCAAGCATTTATGTGAACCTAGATCTGTTTACCAGCAGGCTCATCAGATACTCAACGGTGTTGAGAGGCATTCCTTTAACTGCCATTCAACCTTAGTTGGCACCTACAAACCCGGCCAATCACATTCCTCTACTCACAACTTGATACCCGGCCCCAGCGCCGATGTTGTAGGCCACTGATAACCAGCGGCATCACTGAACTTGTAGCCATACGATGCTGTGAAGTCATCCAGAATTGCGGGACCCCGGGAGCCTAGTTTTAAACACCTAGTCAGCCCAATCACCGCCAAATCTGTCAATTGTTACTTCGTCTTACCATATGGGTACTCCATGGGGATTATCTCCTTGTTATCATCTAGGTAGTGCAGGAGCGGCGTGAAGATGCGCCAGCTGGCGTCTAATTCATCATCGCGGACAAAGTTGGAATGATCGCCCTTGAGGCAGTCCAAGATCAGGGACTCGTATGCCTCGGGAATCTTGAGATCGGAGAATCGTCTGCGGTACGTCAAATCAAGCTCCGTGACGACTGTCTGCATCGTCAAGCCGGGAAGCTTCGAGTTCATCTTGATGTACACGCTCTCATTGGGCTGGATGCGCATGACCAGCTCATTGCGCGGGATGTCCTTGAAGATGCCCGTAGTGACGTCCTTGAACTGCACACGGATCTCCGTCTTTTGTTCGTTGAGCGCCTTGCCTGCTTTCATAATGAAGGGAACACCGTCCCACCGCTCATTCTTGATGTAAACCACAAGCGCGCAGAAAGTCGGGCATCTCGAATCCTTCGGAACCGTTTCGTCCTCTTTGTACCCCGGCTTGCTGCCATCCAGTGACCGCCCGTACTGCCCGATGATGACATTCTTCGGCTCAATTGCAGGAATTGCTCGTAGAACCCGGACCTTCTCATCACGGATGTCCTCAGCTGAGAAAGAGATGGGCCTCTCCATAGCGAGCAGCGTCAGGACCTGAAGCAGGTGGTTCTGCATGACATCACGAATGATGCCAAACTCGTCAAAGTAACCGCCACGGCCTTCCGTGCCAAAAGGTTCCTTGAAAGTGATCTGAACGTTGTCGATGTGGTGCCGGTTCCAGGTCGCGCCGAGGAATGAGTTGCCGAACCGAAGGATAAGAATATTTTTCACCATCTCCTTGCCGAGGTAATGGTCAATGCGAAAAATCTCCTCCTCTTTCCAATCAGGCTCGAGGGACTTCTGGAGCTCGCGAGAACTGGCCAGGTCCTTGCCGAATGGCTTCTCTACCTATTACCAAGTTAGCATCGAGTTGATCGTGAGGGTAGGAGTCTGAGGGAAATTGACACCTACAATGACACGGGCAATGCCTCTCTTCGGATAGCAACATTTTTTCAGGTGCTGGGACACGATGGTGAAAACGCTCGGTGGAAGAGCCATGTAGAACAGGCGGTGGTTGTGTTTCCTGCCTCGCTCCAGCTCCTCGAGATGCTCGTTGAGCTGCATGAAGGACTCATCGCGGTCGTACTGGCCGGAAACATATGTGCACAGCTTGCAGAACTCTTCTAACTGCTCCTCAACTTCCTTCGTCGGCGTCTTGATATACGACTTGATGCGCCGGATGTACTCTTCATGGTCCATTTTTGTCCGCGCATATCCAACGATCCTTATGTCCTTGGGGAGGAACTGGTTTCGGTACTGGGCGAGGAAACAACTTCAGCAATGCATTCGACATATAGACGGATGATCTCTCGACTTACGAGCCCAAAAAGAGCCGGGTACTACAGAGAGTCAGCCATCAATTGGATCATCACGGTCGCGCGTCTCAAGTATGATGGCCTACCGTCTTCTTCTTGGCGAGGTCGCCAGACGCACCGAGGACAACGATGACGGTGTCCTCCTTGAGCTCAATAGGACTATCATAGGCGTCAGTGACCCGTAGTTTATATTGTCGCATCGAGGTATGGGGTTTGCTGGTCATCGTCTTCCCGGCAACTTTCAGAAGAGCGCGAGCACTGCGCGCCCATGTTGGACTTTGCGCTTTGAGGGGAGCTATTCTAAGCGCCCAACGAAGCTTCACTGGAAGCAGTCATTCACGGCGGGGCTCGAAGCAGTAAAACTTACGCCGAAGAGTGCAAGTCAGAAGCCATCTTGTCAGGCGCACGTTTGTCCGAGTAACCGTCGATGCTGGCAAGGACAATACTCGGGAGGATTGTCCAAAGGAAGCTGAAGGTCCAAGGTTTGTCGACGTGACGGGGTTGAGGGATGGAAAATGTGGTCGGAGTCCGAAAGTTTCGGGGTTAATGGTATTTCTACCTGGCAGGGGCAATGCAGTGACAGGATGCGAAGAGAACTGGAGCTCAAGAGCAGGGCACAACGAGGGGGCAGCAGCTTACTCAGGGTCCCCGCCTTTACGTACTTGCTTGCCCTGACACCAGACAGAATGGAAGCTGGGACCGGTCAGGCACGTTGACAGTCACGGTCCATCTCTATGAGTTCCTCTGTCACCGGCTGGTCAGTGCAGAGTACCTTGCAAGTTGCCAAATCGTCTGCTGACCTGCCATGTATGAAAAACATGGCCTACACAAGTATTTCCTCGGTCTTTGGCTTTGCTTTTGCTAGTTCTACTGAGATTCCACATTCTAGTTCTCATTGCGACACATGATCATAGCCGGCGCGAGATGTGCCGTCTTCTGTACTTTACCTGGCCTTGTGTGGACTGTCCAAGCGTTGGGTTTGAAAAAAAAAGGTCGACAGTTTGATATGACGAAGGGCTTTCTGCCTCCCCCGCGCTAAGCCCGACTGGGTTGGTTCCAATGCCCTGGAAGCTTGCATCCGCAGTCGCAACATTGACAGGGCAGGGCACCGATGAAAACCAAATCCGAGTCCCTTTTTGGTGAACTTACAAGTTGTCCCCTCGTAACAAGCCCCAGCCTGCTAGCAGGAGGAGTACTGAGCTACCAGCCTAAATTTCAAAGTGTGTGCTGCCCCGGATTTCTCTGGATGTTCGTCCCCTTGCGCGATCCTGTGCAGGCGCTTTCATGTCGCACGTTTTGTAGCATCAGCGTCTTGGAACAAAGAAAGAGTATGTTGTCACTGGGATCCTGGCCCAGGGGAGCGGCGGGGGTGCTCATCTTGCATCTCGTTGGGGACAGTGGGGTAGTCGGCGGTATTAGTCAAGCTTGACTCTCGGGAGTTCCCAACCTCAAAGTTTGCGACCTCCAAGCTCTGTCTAGCTGCCCAACCACCATGAGCAGACAGACACGTGCCGCTTCCTCAAGACCTTTGGAAGTGGCGCCGTTCTTCGCAGCTGTCACCCGCATGCTGACAGATCTCTTTACGACTCCCAACAGCTGCCGCAGTGCACCGTACTACTCTCGCAAGCGACGGCTGCACTGGTAGGGCTCAACCTCCAGCCGCTATACAGGCAAAAAGCACATTGCGGAGGCCCCGAAAGACCTAGTGCTGGGCCGACCGGGGTTGGCTACCGGCAGAATTCATCCTCCCCTCCCCCCACGCTGCCGATGAGCTGACAACCAACCGAGTTCGCCTTGGTCCTTGGGTTGTGCTCAATGAGGCCTTTGTGAGGGTAGTTCCGGAAATGCAGTTTCCTTCAGTTCGCAACTTCTGCGTGATCGCAAGTTACGATGGGAGAGATAGCTGAATCCAGTATGCTTGCTCACATCTCCGCGGGACGCCTTACGGAGAAACCTATGTGAACGTTGAAGTATTTACCTAGCTTCTTGTGTTCTACTTGGGAATAGCATAGGTAAGGGTAGCTTGGCCCTGGTGCATCGGCGCAGCTGGTCCCTGGATCTGTAACTCCCCCAGGAGATATCGGACATCCCTTGGCGCAGTGAGCCAAGATGGACATGTCAGTCCCTTGTGTCGCGCGCAGGGAGTTCAGTTTTGCTCTCCGACGTCCGGTCCGGCTTCGCACGTCTGTGTTGCATGTGTGGTGGAGCAGCTAGACCTCCGGATCCAGGGTTTCAAGGGCTGCCAAGGGCTTTCTCGGATCTCTATATTATCCGCACTCCATTCAAGCCTGCAAACTTGGGCGATGTTGCGATATATCGGCCAAAGCTGCTGTTTTGGCGTTGTATACGAAATGCATACGGTGTCAGGGTGCGCTAATCTTTGGAAAACGACTTGTATGTCTCAAGGAAACGGCACTCGTGTTGTTTTTCAGCCATTCTCTGTTCAGTATTACTAAGCTCCTGCAACGCTGCACAGCAAAATCATGGTCCTGATACGTGACATTGCAAAACTAATGGATCAAAGAGCTGAAGGCTTTTGAAAATGTAAGCATCGTCCTCTGAAAAAAGAAAAAAAAACTTGAGTATACGTCCGAAATTCCCCTGACGAAAATCCACATCTTTGATTGGTGGGAGCCTCTGTTCGGTGGTTGTGCCTACAGTACAATCGATCAGCTGTGCAAGGTGGGGTTCCCCCATGATTGCATAATTAGTGTGGCTCGGAACCACCAGCCACATTCAACAGAAGATTGGCGCTCAGGCAGGGTCCATATCACAGCAACTACCGCAATCTTAAGACTTATGCAAGACCCTTGTTTTCCATTCTCAGGGAATCGGTGCTACAGATAATCCGCCCCGCAACTTGCAGCACCCAGCCCAAGCCCTACGGCTCGCACCACGCGAATTTTTGAAATCGTTTGGGGTATCGAAGTGTAAGAGCCACAACCACGTCGCCCAACGCCGGAATCAGCAACGACATTGTGCTGATCGCCCTTGACCGTGGCCGGGACAGATTGATCAAGTGGGAAACCCAAAACCGACAAGATGCCTTCGGAAGCTGGTCATAGATGTGAGCTGGCCCCAATCTATTGCAATAATTTCTGCTGCCTTTGACCACCGAACACAATCGCGGTTGCAATGCCCAGCAGTTTTTGTTGCATTACTTTTGTTATTCACAGCTGAGTTATGCTAACCGTGTGTTTTAGTATACGTCAAGTAAGTAAACTTCCAAGCGACTATTCCGGGCCGAATGCACGTATGGAACGCGCCAGTCGAGCCGTGAAACTCTGCGAGAAGCGAGGACCTGGACTTGCGATTATGAAATGAGTATCCGACCTACAATTGGATCGGGGTGCTGACGGGAAATCGCTACATAGGGGTCGCCACCTGAGCTATCAGCGTGGTCGCCGCAACACCCACCCCAAGACCAGCCTGATCAAGATCGAGGGTGTTGATGATACTGCTGCTGCCAAGTACGTTCGCGGGATCCTGGTGCTCACCTTCGAGAAATGGCCGTTAACCTATGAAACAGCTTTTACCTTGGCAAGCGGGTTGCGTATGTCTACAGGGCTCAAAAGGAGGTCCGCGGCACCAAGATCCGTGTGATCTGGGGCAAGATCACCCGGCCGCATGGTATGCTCGATACGGTTACCAGTATATATTGGATTGGTTTGGCTGACAATAACCTAGGCAACTCGGGTGTTGTTCGAGCCAAGTTTACTCACCCCCTTCCTGCGAGGTCCTTTGGCGCGTCGGTTCGGATCATGCTCTACCCTTCTTCGATTTAAACGGACTGGGTCAGGCCGGAGTTGGTTGGTAACGGTGGTTCATGATTTCGGTGCTTCAGGGTTAAGTAAGGACTGCAGGATTTGCGGCCTTGCTTCTAGCATTCAAAATCAAGGCAATACCAAAATGACATGCCATTGAGGATCCGCAGCCATCGGGTGCAAGACGGCGCTTTTCTGGGGGATGCAAGGTACTCAGTGGGAAGGCACTTTTGTGGTTGTCTTCTCTCATGTCACAATAACGACGATAATGGCCAGCCTGGGCTATAGAATTCTACAGGCCGATACCAGTCCGCCGGAGAACATTTTTCCTGCTGCAGAACAGGTGGTTCACAAGATAAGATATTCCTGATGTGTCCAGAAACTTGCCCATTGACTGCAGAATGACTGCTGATCCATAGTTGCTGGTCTCCTCGCCGACGTTGGCTGACGTTCTCTCAGGAAGATAATTGCTGGGAATGACCAGTGTTCTTCGTGTCTGAAATGCCGCCCTGATGAACTAACATAAGACTAGGTAATGAGTCCCAGATTCTTCGATTTGACAAAAGTCATGTCCCACTACACTGGCTGTTAAACAAGACCTCGGTTTATCACAAGCTAGTATTTGCCCGTTGCTTTGAAGTTGGCATGTCGCCTGGCTCGAAGGTGACCTTGCCTGGAAGGGCATACGATGGTGTCATCTAAATTGACTGCAAGAAAAAGGGGCAGTATCCGGGCGAATCCCACAAGGAGAAACACCAGGACACAACAGAGTTTCATCAATTGGCTGCCTCCGAATGAACGACCTACCTAAGTAGTGATGACCGCTGCTGTCGTGTTACCATGTCTCATTTTACGACGAGGGAACACCCGGCTGATTCAACGGTTTCCACGCCGAGATGCGGCTGAAGCTTGGTTGAACCGTCCCGAAGATAGCTAAACGTTCACGGATATCAGCAAGAGACAGATGACGTTCCATATCGACAGATAAGGAGCCATGCGGATGGTATCTGCAGCGAGTGACCAGGAGCCAGGAAAACTGCTTGGTGATCAAGCATTGGCAGTCTGGGAAAGGGATTTTGTCATCGATGCAGCCTCAACCCAGCTTGCTGTGTTCCATTCCTCCAGGTTTATCTGCATTTACGCGGAGTTCCGTGAAAATAAGCTTTCCGGATCGACCAACAAGGTTGGAACATGGACGGGAGAAACGGAGTTCCCCCCCTCTAAAGGTTAATCCAGCGCTGCCAAAGACTGAGACCTGTTTTTGTGACAAGGATCAATGGCTATGAAAATGCAAGTTTCCGGCTGTGGTCCGGGACCAACAGAAGTGCTGTGCCTTTGCGTATGCTATCAAGACAAAGAAGGGTAAACAGGGGCTGTGTGGCAAGGTGTTGAACACAAAAGGGCCGGTCTGCAATACATCTTCATATTGTTCCACTAGGTAGGTACCTAGCTGAGACCTAATGTTGCCGTCAATTCAAATGTTAGATGTCAAGCACTTGCGTTCTGCAATCCTAACTTGTCTGGATGCCTGTTGACGAAAAGTAATCTACATGGATCAGTCGGTCAGTGACTGCATCTGTATATATATCTTTACAGTCCCCTTATCTCTTTGTGTAGAGTAGATGTGCCACAGTGATCCCAAAACTCTGGGATAGAGGTCAGATTGCGATATTCATACTATATGAGAGGTTTTGCCACTTTCCCAAACCCCCTTGAAACTGGCCGAGGTAAGATCCTCGGCTGTGTCCTCTACCGCACAATGCCAGGCTGAAAGCAGGACAGAGTATCATATCGAATCACGGCAACTGCAACATCTGCATATTCAAGCTACGCGTTGTTGAAAGGTTGGCAGGGCAGGATGGTAGCTGACACCTACACCGGCCTGGAATGGAGGCCTGTTGAGCCGCCATTACAAGCAAACATTTTCATTCGTCCTTGTTTCTACATCCCGAGGCACGGGAGTAGCTGTGCGAGTTGGCCCCATGCGCTGGGCTTGGCCTGGCACTGATGATCCCGTGTCAACTGTCAGGTGCTACCAGGCACCGTCTCCCTTCTGGTTGTCTGCAGTTGTGGGGCCGGCGCCACACCATGCTTGCCAAGACAAGCGACGAGAGGTTCCCAGCGTTTAGGGCTGATATGGCGGCGTTACACCGTAGCACTGGGTGGTCTCAGAGACAGGCCTCTCTCAGGACCGGAAGTGCCACTCGAGGAAGCATGGGTTAGATCTCGATAAAAAAAATAATAAACATGGAGGAATCCAATCGCGCTGAAAAGCAGATGGCAGTTGGAAAAAAAAGAGAGTGCCACTGTCTCAAGAGTGGGGCAAGCCCGACGAATTCGATGACAAGGTTCGTGGCAGGCTTCCAAGCCAGTCCTTTCCAGCACTGCACCCCTCCATCCCACGTACCGAGCGAGGGAAGCTGCCAACCACTGCATGCGGATAAGCTGGTCGAATCATTCAAGCTGCTTGGTCGGTTCCATGCCCGCCACACTTTTTCTGCGAATTTGTCGGGGATGCCATTATCGGGCTGAAGAGCACTCTGCTGCAGTCTTGAGCACTTTCCGTATCGTCGTGCGTCTGAAACACTCGCTCTGTCGGACCTTGTGTTCCCACTATGGAGGTAAATGTTGGCCGGTCTTCGTCGTCATAACTGATGGTCAAGCTGTAAGCTCTCTGGCGGGAATCTGGCCTGTTCCGGTACCCCTCACATATGCCTCTAATATATATTTCCGGCGACAGCGAGCCTTTAGGCTTGGCACAGCCACCTTGCTGCGTTACTGCCTTCGTTCCGTCCGAGGTGGGATGCCTTAGCAGCTGCAGCAACTAGCGCCAGCTCCTTTGCTGCACGCCCACACGACAGACGCGACTTTTTTCACCACCGGCTCGTATTCCACGGATGTTCTGGCCAATTACGGCACGCTCTAATATTTACGAAGAAAGCCGATTTCGAGGGACTTGCAAGCAGGTGTTGAAATCTTCGAGATCACTAGCGCCCTCAAACACTGCTTTGGCCACTGCTGAAGAGGGCACAACGACTGAGGCTTTCCAGGAGGAGCCAAGTTGTGCCCACCCACGACCCTGGACTTCTGGAAAAACATCCCGCTACTGACGTCAGTGGGCTGAAAGTGTTGCACCTTTGGCGCAAGGCGGAGCATCATCCCCACAAGCTTGCAACGGATTGTGGAGCAGTTTCCAGCTCAGATTCCCGTCCCTCATCGCGCGAGGAGGTATCATCAACAGACGCACCTGCCCAATTGATCACAGGCAAGACAATCTAGATACTTCTGTCTCGGCATTTGCGGTGGATTGGATGGGAAAACCAGTCAGCAGCCGGAGGATCTGGACCAGCGGCTGACAGGCACAAGCGCCGAGAACAGCTGAACAGATTCAAAACTCAAAGGGTGCACCCGCCCCCAAACATCAGACCCGCATTTGCTCCTTCTTGTTGTTGTGTCCTTTCAACCACACCCACACTTACCCAGCCTCAAACATTTACCTACCTTCCCTTACTACCTCCACGAAGCTTTCTACCTATCTATCTTTGCGCTGTTGCCGACTTCGAAAGCTTTCATTTTTTGCCCACACTATTCAGCCCTTCCACCATCGGAGTCACCACATAACCGGGTGTCGACAAGGAGCTTGATAACAGCAGTTCCAGCCCCCTTCTTCGTGTCTTTGATATAAGCTTTCGACTACGTGTATATCGTCTTCGAACTTGCTGTGGGCCCCTGAGTCCCGCAGATTGTCGGGGTAGCAGGACGATCGTCTTCATTTCTCGAAGGATCTCAGCCGCGTCGACTTCCCGAGGTCACGCTAAATTCCCTACGATAGCAGGGATTTGCGCGGGCCGACCGGTTGGGCACTTAATACCGACTTTCGCTCTTGATATACACCCCTGCCACAAGCTGAGAGATAAAGCCATCGCGCCGTCGGTTTGATAAGATGGCGACAGCGACCGGCCAACCTCCGCCCCAGTCGCAGGGGCAAAAGTCCTCACCAGCGGTGAGGAAGTCGAGGACATTCAGTTTTAGATCCCATAAGTCCAGTTCATCGAGCTATAAAGTCGATTTGCACGAGACGCCTGCAGAGAAGCAGGCAAAAAGGTTGCAAAGCAAAGCAGATCCAACAGTCGCGATGCAGGAAGCAGAACCTTGTATGTTGGGTTGCGTCTTGATAAATCGCTACAGAACGCCATTCATGCTGTGCTGACACATCTCCTAGCGGCCGTTGCGCAGGCTAAGTCCTCGCTTGTTTCGCTGAGGAGTATCCAACATAAGGATGCTTATGGTAACCCAATTGGTGCGTGAACCTGTGAGGGTTGAGACAAGATGTGCGACTTTATCGCAGTGGCTGACTGAAATCTCGAGCAGTTGAACCTGATTTATCGAACCCCACCCGGAGTAGATGGGAACGCCCGTTGGAGACAATTCGGAGCTTCGAGGCAGCTATTGATAGCAGCTACAACAGCCGGAGGTCGATACTCCCTCGGGATACTGAAGGCGCTACATGGGGTGTCAATCGGCGCACCAGCTACTACAACAATGGTATAGCTTTTTGTCCTACATTTTCCTTGTTTGGCGGACGAAATCCTTGTATGGAGGTTTCCCCAATGTTGACATCTAACTCACAGGTGGGACAGGCAACCGTTATTCTAGCGATCCCTACTACGCGAGCCGTCCTCCATCGGTGCTGTGCGGTAGCCGCCCAAATGGTAGCCAATCAGACCTAAGGTCTGGAGGTTGGGGCCAGCGAGACTCTTATTACTACGATCAACATCCTGGATGTGGAAGCTATGGTGCGTATAGTGGCGCGCCAATGCACAATACCCGGCGAGCCTGGTCGAGGATGTCGTCAGACCCTCATTACAATTATGGTAATCCGTATCGGCAGCCGAACCATGACAACTATCCAATTCAAAGCAATAATCGATCCTACGATACGGCAACGACCGGATCTGGGAGCGGTTCTTCCGCAGAGCCCGCTGGGTATCAGACTGATCCGACCAGCGATAACAGCTCAATTGATCGGATGCAGACTGCGGCGAAAGGGCAGCCCGAGCCGGTCAACGACTATGGTATTGGTTTCGGTCAAAGCCCGTCTTATCCAACATACCAGCCTCAGCCATTTACCGTGGGCTCATCAAGCAACGGCGTCAACGATGGTGTGTACAATGGTTACGGTCTTAACCAAAGCGGCAACAGCAACGGCTCCAACGACCATCAATTCAATGACCCGTCGAGTCGAGGTGCTGGCGCAGCCTCTCCTGCTCCTCTCCAGGACAAACAACATCAGCCGGTGCTGAAGAAAGCAATTCCTAACTATATTGAGCAAGCCGCGGCAGCAGCGCAGCCTGAAAAACGCAAGAGCTGGTTTGCTCGACGGTTCAGCAGGCATGGTTAAACTCGACTACTCATCTGGTCTTTTGCGGTTCAAATCTGCTTCAGCCAGCAATGGTGTGATGAATTTACTTGTTTTAGTCATGTTGTGCGGATACCCCCTATGTCCTTTCCACATGGATCGACATGAGGAGATGTTTGGCATTGCTCAGGCAGCTAAAGCCTGTGGTGTACGGATGTGTATATGCGTATGGACAGTGAATGCGCAAAGTCAGTCGATGATGCTATATTGGAACCGACGACAGTGCAAAGGTTCGTGAGGTCTTTGGATGGGGTGAAGTTGCTCAAGACCTTTTGGTTGGTGGCATAGCAGGTGATAAGTCTTGGACCACTTGATCATACTAAGGGTTCAGGGAGAATGCCCCGTCACTTCTTACTGGTACTGTCATGATCTTAGTCCAATGAAGTATGACGGGTGGAATCGGGCTGAAAAGGTTTTGCTTGTCTTCTTTTGTCGGCATAATGTACAGGATGCATTGGACGAAGGATGATGAAATGGGCTTAAGCACTCGGAGGCAGGCGCAGGACTGGGTAGGTCTTATGTGGGTTATGAGATTATGGACGTTAATTAAGGACGTGTAAGTCTTCGGCGGAAGTCTGCTTCAGCTTGGTTGGTTTTCTCTTATGTGGTATGTATTATCGGGTTGCCTGGCTTTGCCATAATAATCGAGCGCGTTTTATAAGCATGTAACATGCTGAGTCTAAGCCTTTAGCAACAGCGGTATCGGGTATGTTGCGGTGGCTGTTTTCTGAAAAGCTCTTGAAACGCAGTATGTCCATGCTATGAAGTCTTCTCCGTCAACGCCTGACGACTGCAGCTTGATTGACCAAAATCGTTGGGCTGAACGTTCCGGCAATGTCCCTACGCATCTAAGTGGCCTTGCACAAACTTTGGAGGGACGTGGGAGCGTTTCTATTTATCACTTAAAAGTTTATGAAGAGCATACAACCATATAGCTCTTCGCCACATTTTAACGATATGGAAGACAGGTGCAGGGAAGGTCCTTTTGCAGTCTATTGGTACTTTTTGCCTTCTTTTGGTCCTTCCCCTGGCTTTTGCTCGATTTGCTCAGACTGATCTTCAGCCATGGCCACGAAAATGTATCCAACAAGCACCATGTTTGCCATGATGGCTGCAAATGCCCCTGCATAAGTTGAATTGCCTGATATTGTGGTCAGATTCTGTTCAAGAGGGGGTTCTTAGAGTGAAGGGCAATTGCTGAGGGATATTTCATTTCAACGAACCGTTGAACACCGAGTTTACTGTCAGGAAATATGAGCCGATTGGGATGACAATCATGCCCAGGGTAAAGGCAAGGAGTTTGATGATTACAGAGCTGCCACACAGCGGTTAGTGTGTGTGTGCGTAAAGTTATAACCAAATCGGCCAGTTCATGGGGATATGTACGCAGGAACTGCTGGGGTGATATTTGACTTCTCAACTGCTGGAGGATTCGATCCTATCTGGTCGTCTTTCTCGAGAATTGTTTTCTCATGAGAGATAATACGACGGGTGGCCATTGCGACGACGGATGATGACGAAGATGGCAAGGAGCTTGTATGAGTCGAACACTGCTGAGGACCGACGAACAGCTCCACGCCAAGTAATGTTGACACGATGGAGGGTTGCTAGACGCTATCCGGCTGATGAAAGAGTTCCTCTTGAGAAAACACGGACTTTTCAAGAATATGGAAATGTCCGAAAGCTGAGGGTTTGAGAACAGGTGCAGGCCACTGTGGGGCGTGATCTCCTCTCCAGTGCCACGTTTGTTCCAGAAGTTCAGTCCACAGTGCGACCGTATGATGTCGGCGACATTGCCGCCAAGTCCAACCGCCAAGCTTCTCTGTTCCGTTGGATGGGACGACCCACCGCACGCTCCCCGGCTCGACTCTGATGGCACGTGTTCACGTGAAGCGCGTTTATACAAAATCGCGTTGCTCCGCAAGATCTGGCTCAGGGCCGAACGCGTGTGGAGCCCCGATCAGCTCGATTTTGGGCTAAAGATTGTGGAAGGAACAGCTGCCGAATTCACCTGCTTCCTTACAACTTCCCATCTCATCAATTGGATCCTTGGTTTGCTCACAACCTCTGCCAAACGAACAAAAACAATACGGCTTTCAGAACATCACTTTACCACTGGCTGATGTGCCAAAGGCTGCTTTGTTTCGCCTTCTCACACCTTTTTTTTTCTCTTTCAATTCAATCCTCTCCGAGTACCTCAGTACCGCCGCGATACTCGACTTCACTACGTCGTGTGTTCTACGGGAAGTGACCAGGCAGGAGGCCCTTGCTTTTTTTTTTTCACTTTTACCTTGGACTTCTGATTTTTTTCTTCACGTTATTTGTTGTTTGCTTTCAGTTTTCGTCATACTACAGCCATGGAGTTCTCATCGCCGGCCACTGGCCGCCGCTTTCTGGATGACGATGATGACCACCAAAGCGTCATCATGGAATCACCATACTTTACACAGCCCACTCAGATCATTGAAAAACCGACCGCAAAGCCACAGCCCTCTGTGACAATTTCTTCGCCAAGTTCTGTTGTCGAAGTTCCCGCTTCCTCACCCTTTCGTCCCTCTACCACACCGCAACACAGAAATCGTTCAGCAAACTTGATGGCTTCAAATCCCACGTCTCAGCTTCACGCGCAAAAGCCCTTTACAATCTCTAAAACTTCTCATAAACGAGAGTTTGTCATGATATCTGATGGTGAGCTGGATGCTCCCATCTATGCTGGAGATGACTCGTCCGATGATGATGAGCGGTTGGCGACTCGAGCCGATATTCGCCCTTCTTCGTTCGAAAGGAAGCAGCCAGCTACAACTAATATTACTGCATACAGAGCTCAGGCCGAAGATAAACAGAGCCCAGCGCAGGTATGTCCGATTTAGGAACCTACCCCGAAGCACAGGAGCTTACTCGACACAAGGGCAAGCCCGGCACCTCAGCTTCCAATGGAACTTCCAAGCAATATGTGTTGCAGAATGACTGGGTTTCAGTCTCTTCTGATTCTTCAGATGAGCTCGAGCACCTGTGCCCAGCAAAACCACCGCAGCAAACCATCCGGCGGCGTCTTGTTCGAGGTTGTCGTCCTCGTGTCTCGAGTCCGGACGGTCCTCAAGTTAATCCTGGCAAATTATCTGCAGCTCGTGTTAAGGTCATCGATCTCGTTAGTGATGACGACCACGATAACGACGACGAAGAGGACAACTACCAACCTGGCAAAGACTCCCATCACCACTCAGGCTTTGAAGAGAATGAAGAACAGGAACTAAATGATCGCGTGCTGGCTTATCTCAATTCTTGTGATGCGATTGGTCTCATGGCTATTGCCAACATTAAAGAGGCGAGTGCGAAGGCCATGGTGTCGCGGCAGCCCTTTCATGACCTCTCCGAGGCACAGGCCGTCGCAATGGCCCAGAAAAAGCGGGGCAAGAAGTCAGCCAAAGTTGTCATTGGTGAGGATATCGTCTACGCCGTCAAGTCCTATGCACGTGCGTTGGACTCTATCGATCGTGTCATCGCAGTTTGCGAGGATAACGCCAAAAAGATCAAGTCTGTGACTTCGAAGTGGAATATCGATCAGACGGGCCAATGCCGCGAGGAATTCAAGAACGCCGACGACAAGATTCTCACTCCGCACAGCGCTGAAGGCTCGACGAGGTTGATGGATGTCCCGCTGCGTCAGCCAAAGCTCATGACGGGCTGTGTCATGAAGCCCTTTCAGATATACGGACTCAATTGGCTGTATCTTCTGTATAAGAATCAGCATGGCGCCATCCTTGCTGACGACATGGGTCTTGGCAAGACATGTCAGGTCATCTCTTTGATGTGCTCCATTGTTGAGCAGTGGGAGAGGACCGGCGGCGAGAGTGGTCCTCGTCCCTGGCCGAATCTTATCATCGTTCCACCTTCAACGTTGGAAAACTGGGAGAACGAATTCAAGAAATTTGCCCCGAAGCTGCGAGTCACCAAATACCAAGGCAGTCAGGCAGCCAGAGATGATATATTGGATGAAATCTTGGATGACCCCTCGAATCACCATGTCATCTTGACTTCTTACTCTCAGCTTACTCGGGAAAAGGAGCTGAAAGACCTTGCCAAATGCCACCCGAAAGTCGCAGTCTTCGATGAAGGTCACAAGATGAAGAACCCAAACTCACAGTTCTACAAGCGACTGCTCAAGTTCAAGAATTCGTGGCGTCTGGTCTTGTCTGGAACTCCAGTCCAGAACAACCTGATGGAAATGATTGCGCTGCTCAGGTTTGTGTCACCAAACCTTTTCACGGCCCACTTCGAGACTCTGGAGGAGCTGTTCTCTCAAAAGTTCTCTCTCGCCGATGTGTCTAAGGGGGCGCTCCTTCGTAGCGAGCGAGTCGACCGCGCTCGAACGATCTTGGAGCCGTTCATTTTGCAACGGCGGAAAGAACAGGTCTTGAAGGATCTCCCGCCTAAACTCACCAGGATTATTAAATGTCAGATGGATCCTGTCCAAGCAGCTCTGTACAAGGAATACGAGCGTCGGTTTAAGAAGTCAGGCGTTCAAAATTCTTTGCCTTCCGACAACAACATCTGGATGCAACTGCGCAAAGCCGCCATCCACCCACAGCTTTTCCGCAGGTTCTACAAAGATAAGGATATTGAAAAGATGGCCAGCATTCTCTTCAAAAAAGTCCCTCAACGTGACCTCAAACAGCCCAAACTGGAACATCTCGTCAACGAATTGAAGGCCCTGTCAGACTTCGAGCTGCATCTTTGGTGCAGAGATTATTCATGTATCAAGAACTTCGATCTTCCGAAGGGCTCTTGGTTGGACTGTGCGAAGGTCAGGGAGCTTTTGAAGCTCATCCGGGGGTACATGGCCAATGGAGATCGAGCACTGGTTTTTACACGTTTTGCCAAGGTCCTTGAGATTCTTTCTGAATGTCTTGCAGACGAGAACATCCCTTACTTGGCTTTGCAAGGCAACACCAGCGTGGACGAGCGACAGGATATGATTAACGAGTTCAATTCAAACGAAAACATTCCGGTGTTCCTCCTCACCACTGGCTCAGGAGGCACAGGTGTTAACCTGGCGTCTGCAAACAAGGTTATTCTTTTCGATCTTTCTGATAATCCACAGGATGATATTCAGGCTGAGAATAGGGCCCATCGCCTTGGCCAGACACGGCCAGTCGAAGTTATCAGGCTCATCAGCGAGGGTACCATCGAAGAACTTGTGCACAAGGCGTGCGAGAAGAAGCTCGAACTAGCCAACAAGGTCACAGGTTGGACCGACGTCTCGATGACTTCCGAGGAAATGGAGAAGATCGTTAAGCAATCGTTGCTTTCGGGTGAAGGTGTTGCTACTCCTCTCTCCAACGACTAAGGACTGTCAAATAGAAAAGGTTTGCGATAACCTGGTTGGCCTATTGCGGCAACGATTGAAGTTAAGCAACTCCTTTGCGCAGTTGGCCGCTCATTCATAGAAAGTAGGTCAACTGGGATGAGGCCTTTGGCTCTTTTCCAACTCTGGGTCACTTTTATGACATGTCTCCTCATCATGGCTCTGGACATGGTTTCGCTTTAACGGTTCTCTGGGACTAGGCGCTGGTTGGGGTTGGGTTTGATGTTTGATAAGAGGCATGACTAAGTAGTTAGAGAGATACCCGGGATACAGCAACTCATCGGTCGCGAGCTACGGCAAGAAGGCTGGTCTTGTATGATGTGGAGAACGGCCGCTCAAGCAGAGCAACTGCATTAGCTCAAGGCGTTTTGATGTTAAGCATTTTAATGAGATAGGAAGTGTTGCACCATGCATCAACTCAAAAATCGACGTGAATTTTCGTCTTTTCTCCAAATTTACACATTGTAAGATACGCGATGTATGCCAACTCTTCGAATACAAAATTCGCCCATGTTCGTGATGAGAACTCAGAATTGGCGCAAGAAGTATGCGAGAGGTTCGGGAGCCTCTTACGAGGAACCGAAAACTCGGTCAACTGAGTTTCAGCTTCGACGGCAGTATGGTCAGTTCATCATCATCATGTATCTGCAGAGCACGGCCCATTGTCATTGGGGCCGTTCTTTGGACAACAGACTTTAGCCATTAATACTCGCCTAAGCTGACACAATCATGTTCGTATCCAGGCGGCTGCGTCGTAGCGAGTCACCTCGTATGCATGACGACTAGTCAGCCTTGCATATATTGCTACGCTATACGGCGGCCCTTGTCAGTCGAAGGGACGAAAGCTAAAGTGAAGATGTCGGGAATATAAGCAATGTGCTGGCCGAGCTGGAGCATGAAAGCAAGTTCAACCAAGCAGTCTACTCCTTTCAATGTTGTCCTGAACTCAACTGTTTTTGTCCCCGTGCTTAGATCGGCCACAGCAGACTCTAATCACGATGAAGATCTCTCTTCTCAGCACACCCTTGCTCTTCTCTCTCTCAACAGCCTTCAACCCCCCTCCACTCCCATCTCTAGCACCATGGGAAGTTACCAGCCTCTACGTGTGGACACCTCCAGGCCGGCCGGGCGAACACCCTCTCGCCCGGATCTCTCTTTCCATCAGCGATCCCAACACTATCAAGTTAGGGCAAACGCCGTGGGACAGTGCGGTCGGCTTCGGCCCGACCACAGCAACCTGCTCTGTCCGCTGGCTCTATGTCAGTGCGAGCCGTGGCTTTTTCGATCCTGTCCCCTGCGGAGATGTCAACACGGCACTTTGGAGCGTGTCCTACCATCCCAACACGACATCTGCGTCGACAAATTTTGGGCTGAGGTTTGCCCTGCAGGAGGCGGTAATCCTGCGCAATGGAGCAATCGAGGAGCTCAAGTTTGAGGGTGAAGGGTGGTTCAAGGTTGGATATGGGAATAGTACGGAGGAGAATATGAGCGGTTCGTGTGGTGGCAGCGGTCAGTGCGGTTGGGGGTTGAGAGCAGATAGGACGCCGGTTATCGTGGAACAGCAGTTGGTGAGTAGGGCATGTTTGGTGGGAGATTGCCAGGCTGCCTATAATGCATAGGGGGTGATCTGGAAACGTGAATACCTAGCTGAAGTGTGGTTGTGTGAGGACAGGGGCTCGTCAGATGTGGATTCGCAATATGGCTGTTGATCTCCAAGGGAAATCGAGGGGTTCTGTGATGTCATTGCTTCATTTGGACTGCTGCCCGTCTGGAGCCAGGGTCAAGCATTTTAAATACAGGGGTACACGGTACTTTAGCTGCCAGGGCTGGGTAATGGAGGGAAACAGTTTTGCGGAGACGCGATGAAGCTTCTTCTGTTACAACAACCTCGTCGCCTTTCCTTGACAAGAACCTATCTAGACAGGGCAATGAGCTGCACTATGGACTACATTGCTTTGTTCTCATGAAGATACCGTTTACCCCTCATATTTTAGGTAAAAAGACGCATTCATGCGGATTACTTAGCACAGATGTCATTTCATGTGGTCCAGGAGGGTTTGTGGACTAGAGGTGTTTGATGACATCGGGGGTACCCAAGCCTGCAGTGATTGGAAGGTTATAGACTTCCTAGGTTTCACCCAGAGTTCACAAGGCTCACAGGGCTGCCTTAGTCATCCGAGTAATGCGCCAAATATCCACTCAGTTAACGCAAAGTTCTTTTCTGCTTTGAGCACGAACCACAGCCTGCAGAACCCCTCAGGCACATTACCCCTCAACCCCTGTCAAATCACATGCTGAAAGTTTAGAGCAACAGCTCGGGCATCATCAGACGAACTGGCAAGCAACATGGCATGCACGCAGCCTTTCCCCACCGCTTGTGATAGCGCCCAATTCAACAATGCACCGCTTCTGGCCCCACTGCACAGTCAAGGATCCTTCGCGTCTCGCCGACTTGACGGAGCTTTTCCATGGATGCAGCACATGCGGAACTGTGAATGACTTGAGAAGGTAGGTAATCTGGAAAAAAAAAAGTGGTGCTTTGAGTAGGGTGGAAGCATCCGGGGCTGCAGTCCTATCAGTAATAGTAATCATGCTGTCCATGGCGACATCACTTTCCATTTAAGCCTGTCTGGCCCCTCGCGGCGGGTATGCCCTTGGCCTGAGGTACACTTACCTTTGTCTTCCCTCTTTCCAGTGCTTGAGAACCCATTGATCCTTCCTCTGGATCAATTTGGGGTCCTTTACACATGGTAGTCTATTACTCAATAGCTCTCATCCGTTCTCACACACCCTTGGTCGACGTTTTCCATCTCTAGTCGACATTGCCGGCAATTCCTTGCCGCCATGGCAACCTCCATCTGGCCTAATTGCTTTTCTGCCGCTGTGGTGGCAAACGGCATGGTGAACCTGTACCGTTGGTTCATCGAAGCCCTCCCAGGAAAGCTCAAAGCGAGAGTGAAGACAGCTAGCCAATATGTTGCGGCGTTTGTCAACGTCCTGGTGTATGCGGTGGTCCACTGGACAATGGTACGTCTCCTGAGTTAAGCATCGTCCTTGACCAGGCCTTTTAGGGCATCGTCGGAAATGACGCTCACAATTCCCCCAGAGATATTGGCGGAAGTTCAGAGGTCCATCTCCAGTGCGGTATTGGCTTGGACGAATGCACAATGCGACCACGTTTGAGGAGTGGGAGGAGGCAGCGCAACGCGTTGATGCCCTTCTGGATCTCAATATCTGGAGGCAGGAAGATAAACACCCAGAGTATGACTACCGCCTGATTCATCAGCGTATGGCAGCCATGAAAGAAGCGCACGACAAGAATGACCTTCCCACATTGTTCAACCTCCTGCGGTCGGGCCTCATCCGGAACCTGGGCAACATAACGTCCAAAGAATTGTACAATGGCGCCTTTGCTGGAACCAAGGATCTGATTGAGGACTATATCGGGCAGTTTCTCCTCTTCATTGACGACATTGTTGAGATGAACAAGGGGCCATATCGGGTCCTCAAACGAGGGCGTGTTCCGTTTGCCAGCCTGGAGGACTCTGATACCCCTGAAAGCAGCGCCGAGAACAAGCCTCGCGACACAGGTGAGCTTAAGGTTGACATCCCGCCAACGGAAAAGGTCAATCTCTTTCATGGCTGGCGACAGACATATGGCCGCACCGCTCTCGTACTCCAAGGAGGGTCCCTTTTCGGATTCTGCCACCTTGGAGTGGTCAAAGCACTCTTCCTCAGGGGTCTCCTTCCCCGCGTTATCGTTGGTACAGCTACTGGTGCCATAATGGCAGCGTTGGTGGCCGTCCATTCGGATGACGACCTCCTCCAGGTGCTTAAGGGAGAGAGTATCGACCTGTCCGCTTTCAAACGCAAAAATGCAGAGCCGTCCGGCGATGGTTGGCTCTCGACGACGTGGCGAAGGCTCAAGCGCTACGTGAGAAAAGGTCACTTCCTTGACTCGGAGGTTCTCGAGAAGTGCGTTCGAGACAACATTGGCGATGTGACTTTCCAAGAAGCATACGAACGGAGCAAGCGGGTGCTCAACATTACAGTGGTGACAGATGAGCAAGACAGGATCCCCAGGGTGCTGAATTACCTCAATGCTCCCAATGTGGTATGTACCAAGTTTCTTAGTGCACCGCTCGCTGGCTATAGCTGTGGCTAATGTCTCAAAAACAAAGGTCATCTGGTCCGCTGCGGTGGCCTCAAATGTCTCCTCTGGTAGGATATATGGCCCTAACCGCGGGCCCCGGATTCTCTGCAAAGACAAATATGGCAGAGTAGTTCCATGGAGACCAATGCTGAATAGTCCCTTCTTCCACTATTTGAAGGGTACTTACCAAGGCCGCAATGCTCCGCTTCAGCGTATGGCCGAGTTGTTTGGGGTCAACCACTTTGTCATCAGTCAGGCACGCCCGTATCTCTTGCCTTTCCTGCGGCCCGAGGTCCATGGTCCTCAAATTGAGAAGCGACAGCCATGGCCGATGCGCGCTATCTCCTTCGCGCTAAAACTTGGTGTCTTGGAAATGCGATATCGGCTGCGGCAACTCGACAGGCTAGGAGTCATGCCACTTCCCGTTCGCCGGTTCTTGGTGGATGAAGATGTTCCGGGAGACAGCTTGACATTGGTGCCCTCCATTGAGCTGAAGGAATTCGTGGGTCTTCTTGGACGACCTACTGCGGAGTCTATCAACGACTGGATCCTGAAAGGCGAACGAAGCGTCTGGCCCTCAATGACAGCTCTTGAGGTCCGTCTAGCTATAGAGATGAAGCTCGATATGGCATATGAGAGAGTCCGGAAGGAATATTCCCGGGAGGTCAACAAATCCCGGCGTAAGGACAAGAAGGGCAGTGATGACGATGGCCTATCTTCCAAGCGGAAGAAGAAGGGTAGTGGGGATGACAAAAAGAAGAAGGGAGAATATTAGGAGGGATCCTCAACCTACGGGCCTCGAAGCGACAACAGAAAGGTATCACGGCCGAGGGTGTCCATCGAGTCAGAAATCATCTACAACGATTCATTACGAAACACCGTGTCGCCAAAAACGCCATCAAATCCAAGCCCGTGTCAGACACAGTGAGCTTCCTCATCTGGAGTCGATGCTGTCTGGGAGCAGGAGTTGATACAGTTGGATGAATGAGATGGTATAGAGTAGAATAAGTTGCATTGCTAGACATGTTTGGTTCGGTTGGCATGCGCCCGCCGTTTATGTTGTCACGTTAGAACAAAGCATTGGTTCTCTTGCTCTTCCTAGAACGAACAATAGAGGAGTGGCAGCTTGTGCATCATGTTGGCTGCATCGCTAGACATGAATCCATGGTTGTGACGCCTAGTGCTTGAGAAGCAGTGATGATTGCTCATGTTAGGGCGAGAGTAGCTGAACGGGGAAACTACCAACCCAGCTGTGCAGCGGCTTTTTACAATAGGGAAAGGAGCTGCCACGAATCTAATCTTCGTCCGTCCACTCATCCGTGGTTAGGGGGAAACCACTCACTCCGTTACCAGTTTGGGTTTTCCCGATCAGGTCCCCCAGCGTCGAGGTTCAAACTCCAAAACTTGGGAAGTGTGTTGAACGGAAGTATTCACACCTGCAAGGTCGAGCCTCCGAATAAGCTTAAGCACAGGTAAATAACGGCAAGGCTCTCGACGGCAGCAGGGAGTGCCCGACTCAAGACCTGGAACAGATTACGTACCCGGGGCTCGACCTTCGGGTACCCCACTATTCCAAAAAATTCCCGGACTCCTTATTGCTTGTTGGCCGGGGGGCTCAATCTTTGGGTGTCCTCCTTTTCCGAATCTTTCTGTGGCGCAAGACTTCTGCCGCAGGGGAGGGCGGTGGGTGGGAGGATATTCCCCTTGGGTGGGAAGATATTCCCCTTGGGTGTGGGGATTACAGAATGTGGGTATGTAAAAAGCACGTGGTGACTGCTCAGCCCTTCCGCAAATCCGTACACTGATGATACCGGTTCAAGGCCGTCGGTGAACGAGGCTGTTGGCGATTGGCGGATGGCGAACGGGGAGGGGCGTGTGAAATTATCATCATACCTATCTTAGGTATGTAGGCAGAAATGTCGGGCGTTCACAATATAATGTGTAGCCCAAAATATGTACCAAAGCCCGTGGCCAGGTCATCAAGGTGAAAACGGTGTAGGGTAACGGGCAGCAATTCCAAGAGCCGGACAGCCTTACAGGCCATTGTCAGTATAGCAGTGGCAAGAACTGTAGATCCTAAGTGAATAGCCGCTGCTCGGGGGGGAAAGCAGGTAGTAATAGTACGGATGGCCGGGATTAGATGATGTTTAAGATGGCACAATGGCAGCAAATGTGCGAAGACAAGATGGTGCTGACACTAGGTAACAATCTGTGATGCAATGGCTTTGATACCCCGCAGAAAGTCAGGCTTCTTCAGATGACAGCCCGTTGATCAATGCTTGAGCGAGCCCAGCAATATCCTAGACAGTCTTCCTGTTGCTGAGTAGCAAACCGGCAATGGCCTTCGCGACGACCCAAGCACAGCCAGGAGCAGACAGGCAAATGGTGTTGGGTTCACTAGAACAAAGTTGGCCATGCAGGTCGGTACTGAAATTGCAATGCCTGGTTTGGCGCTGTACGAGCTTCCTGTTTATCATGAGGGCTCACTGAACGGGAAGTAGCGGGAAAGAAAGGGATAAGCTAACAAATCAATTAACCCCGCATCAACAGCCATCTCTGCATGCATCAGCTCGTCCTCCTCACATTTGATCGAATATGTCTCCAAGCCCATTGATCGCAAGATAGGGTCGATAAAATGCCATGCCTTCTTTTTCACTTTGCCATTCGTACCTTCACTGCAACTTGCGTCGGTGGAACCATATCCAAAGTTGTGTGAACAGGTACCATGGTGCTTTGGGCCATGGGGCGGTACGATGATCTCTCGAGAGTGCCGCTCTGAGGCCAGTTGGGCTGATGTACAGGGTACATTTCCTGATCAAGGTCCTGAAAATGGGCGGAACTCCCAGTTCGAACAAAGCTCTGCGTTGTCAGTTCCCCGCGTGCCAACTTAGGCGTCATTCTTGAATTGAAGATAGTGCCAAAAATTGTACCAAGTTGGCGCGGGAAACAGGCAGGGGTTTTTCCCCTTCTGCCCATGATCCACTGTCAGCGCCGGCAAGGCGGTGGCAACGCCCGCAGAGGGGGGAGGAGGGGGAGGGGGGGGAACGGCGTGACTATTGCAAGTCGGGATCCAACTATTGCAAGTTGAGGTCGAACAGCTGGCTTGGGCCCGGACGGCCGCTGAGCTTAACATCAGCGGCGAAAGCTGCTCCGTCTGGGACTGACGTGCGATTTTACCATCCCGCGCTTGAAACGTGCTATCCTGGGTTTCCGTTCTGACATCGACGGTTGTCCGTTTCTGCCACCGTGCTTGCCTCGAAACACCTTGTTGACCTCGGGATTTGCTTGTGCTGGTACAATAACGTCGCGCATGTTGGCAAGGCCCCCCAAGTGTTCATATGAAGTATTTGGCCGTTACCCTGTCATCCTTCCGGAGAGCCCTAACTGTCCAGCACGCTGGTTGAAGCCCCAAAACTGCTTCCACCCATCCCACCTAGATCCAGCCAGACTTGAAGGTATATAATCTTCAAGCAGCACCCGCTGTCCCGTCAGGACTTCCCTTGCTTCCTCTTCCATCCACAGTCGCTGATCATTCCGGCAACAGAGAGTACGGAGAATCATCACCAGCTCGCTGGACACACGCCGCAGTCCCAGCGACAATGCATGCACCCGCCGATACCTCCCCGTCGACAAGCCGGCATTCCCGAAACGGGATGAATGCTAGCTTGCACAGCACAGTTGAGACCGGGATGCACACCGCCGAGAGATCCCCTCAACTGAACGAGGGTAACATGTCTTCCAGCCAGTTGGCGAATGCGTCGTCACGCTCCGACGGTGACAGCCATGCTCTCTCCCTGTCTGGGTCCGACATGACCGAAATCGAGATCGAGCTGCATAAGGACTGCTTGATGCAGGGCATAACGTCGACGGACAAACGCGACGTGATTATAAGCATGATCAGTCTGCAAGGGTCAGTGCATGCATATACAACTTTCCATGATTGGGTCTCGATTCCGAGCGCAGAAGCATTGGTCCTTGAGCAGGAGATGCCGTCATCACCGACAGCGATGGCTGTACAAAAGCCGCCGGAGTCAGGCTGCTATCGGATGTCATCACCATCATCATCGCAATCGGGATCGTCTTGCTCCCTGTCATCATGGAGTTTAGACCGAACGATGATGACACCGTCCACGTTGACCAACTTTGATGCCGATTCTGCTATATCCGGACGCTCGAGCATGACACTGGGCCTGGACTGGGCTGTCCTCCAAATTGAGATTCCTCTTGTATCTTCGATCGATGACCTTAACGGCATAGGTGCATGGGCCGAGACCCAGTAGACCGTCACCCGCACTTGATGAGGCGTTGCACCGGAGAGGTTTTCCCGTTTTGGTCGTTGTCAAGTCTCTTGGTCAACCATTTGCTTAACACGTTCTTTGATATCTCATCTTCGAATCTGTCGTTCACTTGCCATTAGCATAATGCGTCAAACTATGTGTTTGAATTCAGTGAGGGTCGGCCAGCAAAAAAGGTTGCTTCACCGGTTTGGAAACGAGAAGAGAAGAGGGTATTGGCTATATATGATATGGGATAGAGAAGTGTGTGTCTTGGTTGGCAGCGGAAAGGACAAATATCATTCATCATACCTTAAACGCACCCTTTCTCTTTTTGGTTCTTTCAACCTCCACTCCCGCTCCCCCTATCATCACCACGGCCCACATTGTCCGCGTTCCGCATACGGCAGACAAGACGGCAAACAGGTTGCATCGACTATAGCCCAATCCTACTCCATCGACCAGCACCTCTGAGAGCAGCACCGTTATCTTCAATGTCCACTACGCTTTCGCGAATGCGCTGATGGAACCGCGAGCCATGCAATTTAGCCTGATATCATGCCATCTTCTTCGTCCCGGGTTCTCGGTCCCTCAAGCCGCAGTACAATCCTCCATTAGATGCGACCGCCGCAGCGGGTTCCTGCGTTTGAAGACTGCTTGTGACGGTGCCATCATACTGGACATAAATAGTTGCCTCCAATCCAAAACCGGTTGATCTGGTTCAGAGGACTCGGTCGGAGGAGAAACAAGACGACACAAGACGAAAGCCAACAACCGCCTACCACTCCCATAGCTTCTCTCAGGGTTTGCTATCATGTCCGGCAGCGCCTTCAGCCTCCGACGCCTATTTGGGCTCGTCATAAGTGCGACCTGCGTCACCCTCGCAACTTGTCGGGAGCACTGGGTCGATATCTGGGCTGCTATGCCACAGCAAGTTGAGCCATATAACTTGCCCAACCCGCCCTATGTGAGTACCCTGACATGTCTGAACAGATCGTCAGCTTATGATATTTTTTTTAAAAAAAGATCCAGGGAGGGAACAGGCATTGCCCCTAGAGAGAAAATGAGCTGCTGACCAAGCCTTACTTATAGAACAGCACCGACGGCGTGTTCCAGAACACAACCATCCGCCAGACGGTCTACTTGACCCAGGATGCGTCCATTCTCCGGGTGCAGCTCAGCAACGCTTTTGGAAACTCGGACCTGCCCATCACGGCTGCAACAATAGCTCTGCCGGCGAACGACGCAGCGGGCTCAAGTGCTATCCGTACTAATACCCTAAAGCACCTAACATTCTCTGGCGAACGCTCGTTCACTGTACCAAACGGTGCCCTCGTTGTGTCAGACCCAATCCGTCTCACCGTGAAGGCTCAGACCAGCCTCACCATCACCGTCTACCTGGCATCTGGCCAGGCTGGCCATGGCATTACTGGCCACCCGGGCAGCCGAACATCAAGTTGGCTCGCTCAGGGTAATCTCGTTTCAGCTGCGGACCTCAACACGACTGCAACGGCCGACAACCTGCAGCGTATCGACAAGTGGTTCCTGATCTCGGCCGTTCAAGCGTGGCTGCCGGATTCTCATGCTTCTGTTGCCATCATCGGCGACTCCATCACCGACGGTCGTGGTTCGACCACCAACGGGAATGATCGTTGGCCCGATCAACTGCTCGCTCGCCTTCGCAAGTCCGCATCGCCCATTGCTAAGCGTCTCTCAGTTCTAAACCTCGCCGCTGGCGGCAACCGTATTCTGGCTGATGGGCTTGGCCCCAATGCTTTGGGCCGTCTTGATCGTGATGTCCTTGCTCATCCGAACGTGCGTTATGCCATCATCTTTGAGGGCGTAAACGACATCGGTACCACTCCAGCTGAAACTGCCGCTCAAACTGCTGTCGCAAACCGCTTGATTGCTGCGCTTGACCAAATGGTTACTCGTCTTCATGCCGCTGGTATTGCTGTCTTCGGTGCCACCATCACCCCTATGAGCGGTCCAGGCCAGGTCTATGGTGAGCCTGCTCGAGAGGTTGCTCGTCAGAAAGTCAATAAATGGATAAGGTCGAGTCGTCGGTTCGATGCTGTTATCGACTTCGATGCAGCGGTTCGGGACAGTAAGAATGCCACCATGCTGAAACCAGAGTACGATACAGGTGACTATCTTCATCTGAATCCTGCTGGATACAAGGCCATGGCCGAAGCAGTGGACCTGAGGCTGTTCGAAAGATTCGCTGGAGGTGTCAACGCCATGCTGTGAGCATGTCGAAGACTCAATAAAGACAATCGTCCAAGGAAACTTTGGGTGAGAACGCGGCAAATGTGGAAAATGATCGGTTAGTTATTAGGAATTGAACAATGCCAAGGTTTTGAGCCCGCTCTTGATATGCCCTTCCAATGACGTGGTCCAGCAGGAAGCGTTTGAACGATGCAGAACCTGGTGGAGAGTGGAGAGACTGTGGGTACCTCTTTGAACCAGTTCGACAACAGGGTGATAGAAGGATCCTGTGATGGCAAGATTGGCCATGTTGATCTGTACACAGATTATTGTAGTAATGATGAACCCGTCGCTGCGGTCTCACAGACGGGAAATCAAACAGCTATATGTCTCATATTTTATGAGCGCACCTCCGGCGGTGTCCGACACAAAACTGTGCCCTCAATATCGTGATCAGTACAAATGATAATGCCACAACGCAGTGGCCCGAAAGTCATGTTTGCGCTTGATACTGTCTGGGAAGCAGGGATTATGAGTAACATGTCCCTGTCCTGACAGGAGGAATATGCGTCATGGGGCAAATGTCAAGCCCCGAAAGACATCGCTTTTGCTTAGTTCGTAGATATCGATCGAACTGCCTACCTAAGTAGACATCTATAAAAAAAAGGTGCTTGTTATATGTAGCGCTTTACGGCTTAAAAGATACTTAACCACCTCCAGACGCATTCTCGCTGGCTAACCCAGGGGCTCGCGTCATCGGATCACATATGTTCCCTGTCTTATTGTCGACCAGTTAAGACCAATCCAGATCTCTTTAGTGGTTATCTGCCAAAGTGACGAAGTTAGCACAACATGCTGCTTGTCGAACCACACGAGCCGAACGCTACGAGCATTGGGTTTCATTACTATTACTCTGGTGCCTGCTTGGATGCTTACCAATCATCTTACGATCTTACGCAGCATATCGGTTCGACTGCGGACCTATGGCATTCCTGATCTCAATACTTCGGCATTTGAATAGTACAGTGGTAGTTGCATCATCGGCATCCCTTGGTGAATGTTCGAGAATCCGCAGGATGGATGGAGGTGGCTTAACCAGATTTCGACAAGTCTCTTTGACAATCCTTGCGCTCTCCGGGAGTTAACCCGAAGATTCGATGAGAGGCAGTCAACTTTATTTTTTGGGCAAGGCCGAACTCACCCCAACCCAATATCTTACCTGTCACCCAATATTAGGCCGAAAAAAAGCAAGGTATCTTAAAGATGAGGGGCCATCAGAAGCTGAGATGTTAGTTGGACGCTATCCGCTCGAACTGTACGGATTACGGGCACACCACACGACAGCCAGAGATTCTGATGCTTTACGAAGTACCTGATCTAAGGACATACCTAGCCCCATTCAAAATTTACCCTAGTATAGATTATTCAGGTGCCCCTCTTTTCCATCACATGGAGCACGTACAGAATCATCCCCGCATTCCGAATGTGATCTCTTCTCACTTACATCCATAACCTCGCCGTCCCATCAGCGCCGGCACTCACACACCACGGCTCGCGCGGGTGCCAGTCAATATCCAACACGCCAAGCTTGTTCACAACCTTATGACCCTTGAGCATCTTGACAGGGACGATGGTCGGGTTCTCCAACTGGTCATTAGGCACCTTGCCATGGAAAATCTGTAATGAGCCGTCGTCCGACGCATCCGCAAACAGTGGGAGCCCGCCCTTGTGAAACCTCACAGCCCGGATGGCTTCTGTGTGGAAGCGCATCGTCTTATACGGCCGATTGGACAAATCCAAGTCGTGCCAGAGCAGCCGCTTATCGTAGCTGCCCACCACGAGGTTGTCACCTCCAGGATGGACGTCGAAGGACGAAATCCACTTAGCACCCGGTTGCACGATCTTGACGAGTTCCAGCTTCTGGAGATCATAGCAACGAATTGAGCGCTGAGTGGCCACGAAAAAGAGAGGCCGCAGCGGGTGGAAGGATGCCGTCTGCGCCAAACCGTTGAGCTTGCGGAAGGGGATCTGCGTGAGATGTTTAGAGAGCGTGTGGATTGCCACCGAGCTGCGTTGGCCGGAGGGCGAGACGGTTGCGAAGTGATCGCCTCTCCTGTGCCAGCTGATGGCCTTGATGGTGGACCTCACGGTGATACGAAGCAGAACGCCTTCATCTTCTAGCCTGGTGCCAGGTCGGGCCCACTTGCCAGGCGGCTCCTTGCCGGGAGGAAGATTGGCCTGCTGCTTCCCGTTTGTGGCGTGACCAAAGCCTGCGTTCAGGATGTCTCTGCTGGCCTGATCCAGGGCTGGGGTTACGCTGGGATGTGTTGGGATCATCAAGAAAATGTCCTCTCCCGCAGCAGCTGCCAGGATGAATGTGTCTTTTGTAGGCCTCCACCGAACAGTATTGACAGCTTCGTCGCCGTTGAGCTTGACAGACCAAACCTGCCGACCTGTAAGCAGTTCCCACACTCTGACGGTACCATCGTCACCGCCAGTTGCCAGCGCGACACCAGTCTATAAGCAGTTGTTAGTGATCGGATGTCTTGGGGCTAGTATCTTCGGAAGGGTTACATACGGGGTCAATGGCAACACTCCGAACCCGGCCCTCGTGACCGCGGAAGATGGTCTGCTGCACAGTAGGGAAGGGCTTCAGCTCATCGGGTGAGGGGAGCTTCGGCAACAGCGAATTGGGATCGATGTTGAGCCTATTTTTCCGCACACGAGGCGCAAGATAGAGATCCTATTCGACCAGCAGTCAGTGTCATCATGTTTTTCGCCAATTGAATTCTTGATTGTGTAACGCACCATGCATCGCTCGAACCTCTCCTTGACGAAGTTGCCCCATGCGGGGACTTTCCTGAGGGAATCATACTTGGTCGGGAGATAATCTTTCTCTCTATCCTCAGGATCCATCTTCTCCCATTCTTCCCTCTCCTCTTTTGTCCTGGAAAGAACGTTAGAGACACTGCCAACTCAAACGGATACAGTGAGACAACATACGGCAAGTATTCTGGTGGAGGATTGTAGCTCAGGTCGTAACCAGGAGGAGGAAGCTTAGGAGCAGGGATATGCATAGGGTTCGGCGGTTGAGGTTCCTCATTCTGCCACAGGTCATAGAACTCCTCTTCCTTTTCTAACTCCTCCCTCTCGCGCTCCTCGGGCGGCTTGTACGGCAAGATACGGCCTTCCCGAATGGCGCGGACCAACTTCATAATCTGCTTAGCTTCGTTCTTAGAAGGAATGAAGCGACGCTTTGGCTCAGGGGCAGCACTCAGAGCTATTTTCGTCAGCAACGGTCGAAGTTTGACTGTTAACTTAGACTAGACTTACGCATCTTCTCCTCAACTGATGTGAACCACTCGACCGTATCAGGATAGGGATCCTCGACATCATCAGGGATAAGGCCTTGCTGGACCTTTCGAATGAGCTCCAACTCGTCGCGACTGTAACTGAGTTAGGCTGCTTTGACGACAAGTGTGCTCTGCGGGTTGACCTACCTGAGGTTTAGGGGCTTGCCAGTATTTGGATCGGTCAACCCTGTCCAGCCTTCAGGAACCTCGATACTGTCGAGCAAGTTTTGCAGAGCATCGCCTGTAGCTGGACGCATAATCTTCTTGCCATTAATGTCGTAGCCGATATGGGGGTAACTGGAGAGCACAATATTAGCTGGACCAGCTCATCACATGGAAGGATCGTTAGCACAAAGCACCTGTCATAGAAACTCAAGGGAATGTTGCCAATGGTGTTAACCGGAACGTTATAATCGGTGTCATCTGAGTCGTAGACAGGATCAATCTCGCTGGGAGTGCATGTCAGTAACCTGCTGCTGTTGCTAACGTTGATGTTCCAGGAACGCACTCGTAGACATAGCGAATCCCTCCATTGGCGTCTTTTTCGATCCTGTAGTTCCTGTCTTCTAACTCCTCATCTTCTTTCCTTGGGGGATCCACGAATGGCTCTAGGATCTCTGGCTCAGAGGGCTCCTTGTCCTGATCCTGTTTGCTTTCCTTGCTCTCTGCAAGATCCTGATCTTTTTCGCTCTCGCCCTCAGAAGGAATCTCGTCACTCAACAGAGCTTCATCATCCTCTTCTACTTCATCATCTTCGCTGTCATTGCTGTCATCGCTGTCCTCGCTGGCGCTCTCGTCGGCGTCGTCATCATCGTCTTCGTCAACTTCAGATGACGGGATGTAGTCTTCCTCGTCCTCGGACTGCGACAGGACACCGTCGAACAGGCCATCTCCGAGTTCGTTGTCGGATTCTGAGTCAGAATCCCTCGATTTGCGCTTCTTTTCAACTATTTTTGACCCCATTGTGCCGTAGTGTCTTGGTGGTGTTTCTGTTTACAGGGACTGGACCCAGATGCGCGATGCTCAAACCAGGGAACTTTTTTCTGCCAGTCTTTCCAGAATTTTGGCGGGGATCTGCTTCACCGCCCAGATAGGCCCGTGCCAAGAGATCGATAAGAACCGATGCCCGCTAACCGCAATTAGTTAGGTGCAGCACCAAATGCCAGCGGTCGCACATATAATGTATCAAGGAACATTACGATCACAGGGTTTTTATATGTACACAGTAGGTTGCGGATGGAGAAACAACAAGACAACAAGCGTTGCATGTTTTGTTGGATACTCTATGGATGCTTTGCTATCAGCTTGTCGACAGACAAAAGTATAATCCTGGTATCTTTGAGTATACTATCATTGAACCTTATGCACGGTTTGATCACACTGTCATCTGGCCTTACCGGTAGAGAGCCTGGTGTATCCTGGCGAGCAAATCTCCCACCCCGCCAACACCGTTTTTGTAAGGTGTTTTGCAATCTGCACAAGAATGCATGTGACAAGTGCCCCAACGTAGGTGCCTGACAACGAACATCATTCTCACTGGCTTTTATCTCTTCTCACCATAAATAATGTAAAATTATCAGTCTCCGTGTTGTATATGACCTCCTCTTTGACAATTGAGACCTGAAGGGTTAAATTGTCAAAGATGCCCGAGATGTGCTCTCCTCATTCCCGGGTACTGCAGCCAGCCCTCCCCAGGCGCTCCACTTTCCGAAAAGAACTGGACATGCATTTGGGCGTCTGACGCGGCTTTGGCGCCTGCAAAGTACCCCAGATGATGTGTAATCATAGACGGGGACGCTCTGTCAGCTCAGGCGGTTTTGGTTGGGATACCAGTCTCAACTTAATCCCATATGCTCTCTCCCTTTTTCATTTTTTGATTGTTCTCGCGAGGTAGTCTTTGGTCTTCGGTTTGAACTCGAAAGAGTTCTGGCATATCACATTATCACATCAGCCCTATAACCTACCGTAGGTTTGCATGGATGCCATGGACAAAGCCAGCTGCGCAGCTCCTGAACCGCCTAGGAGGAAAGCATGCGATGAGTGTAGTAAGCACCATCGAGACTACTTGTTTTTCTGAGTTGTGACTGTGCTGACGATGAGTCCTAGGGACTAGGAAACTTGCATGTAGCAAGGAACTTGACGGGTGTACACGCTGTAGGCGCGATGGTGTCAAGTGTATTTACTCTCCTCAAAAGAAGATGGGGAGACCAAGGAAACATCGTCCTGTTGATGCTAACTCAGGGGCATCACCCCCCGAGCCAGCTTCTAAGCCAGCACTCCCTTCTATACCGGCTCCAGCATCAGCTCCAGAGCTGGGATCTACACAGGAACCAGGCCAAGCTAATCCGAATGATCTGTCTGTCGCTGCTCCTGTCATGGTCCCTGATTTTAAATTTGACAGTACCATTGGCATGGATCTTGATGTCACATTCCTCAATGTCAGCGATCCCGACGTCAACTTCCTATATCTCATGGATCCAAGTTCTCAAGTCCTACCGTCATTCCAAGGATTCTCTGACCTGATCATGGAGAATACCCATAACCAGCAGACCAAACAGCTCCGTAGACGCCCCCCTGGTGGCCCCTTTTGGGCCATGAGCACTCACCTCGATGAAATCAGCTTCGACCCTCCTTCCAACCCTGCCATGTCAGTCCCAGCACCTGAGTTTACCCCAGAAGAAGCTACTCAACTTTTGACAGTCGACCTCCCCTTGTCAACCCCAGCGCTCTCGACTACATCGTCTTCATCCTCTCTAAGCGCCGAACCCTCACCAATCGCCAACCAACGCCAGCAGCAACAGGTTCCTAGTCCTCAACCCTGTTCCTGTCTCGCCTCCCTTTGTGATGCTCTCCACGCGCTGCAGTCTCTTCCCAACAACGCCACTTCCGCCATCCGCGTAGCCCGCAGTGCAGCCAAAATCGCGCACGACGTAATCCACTGCCTCGCATGCGGCGACCCACCTCTCGACACATCCTCTCTACGCCTGCCAATTCACGCGCTGCAAAGTATGATGATGCTCGGGGCACTTCTGCCGTCTCTCTCGAATGCATACATGCGGATTCTGGAAATGGTGGACGCCGAGGCAGCCGCTGCAGATGCCGAAAGGCGGCAGCTGGTATTTTCGTTAAATGGGTACGGCGGCTTGTGGGGATGGCTGGCAAAGGAAGGGATGGCCAGGTGTGAAGGGGGCATCGAGAGGTTGGGGGGGGCGCCCATGGAACCGAAGCTCTGGCGATTGGCGGTTCGCGCGCTGCTGAAGGTGGATGTATATGGCATTAGCGAGAGCGATCTGCCTGGGAACTCCGTGTCCGCCGGTCGTGAGGGAAATAGAGGTGGGTTGAGTGCATTGCAGCCAGGCCTGAAGGACATCATTAATATGATGGAGGAGCGCCAGCGACGAAGACACCAGCGGATGGATGAATTGGTGGCAAAGGGGGTTGTCTCGGATGCAGTAAAGCAATGCTACATCCCTCTGAACTCTGCATTCGAGAAGCCTACGTGTTTGAAGATCATCGACATCGCAAAGAAGTCGATAGAAGAGTTGGTCATCCCGTGAACGGTGTACCGAGTGGTACAATTGGTGGAACATTCAAGGTTAACAACTACAAAGTTGTGGGTTGAAGCGACCCGGCTTGGTTTGCATACTAATGATTTTGCCACACATACCCACCTACTGTGTATCTTAGTTTGAACTCCTCAATTGCATAGTAGCAGATACCCTTTTTGATGGAGCTCAACAATACAAGCAACTAATAAGGGGTCATGACTAACATGATTTTTGCTGTTCATATACTCATTGTTTTGTCCTTAAGGGAGGAGGGGGGATATCAGTTAATGGTTAATGATGCATTGACTCTTTGAGCTTGCCAATTCCTTTTTCTATACTAGTGCCTTAAACTACAATCGAAAGGCCAGATACTGCTTACAGATTTACACAAAAGGTACACCAAGGGTACACTACCGGTTGCGGGAAGACACTTTTCTGCATGGGTAGAAAAGGCAATAACCAGGTTCAACAATCATAACCTATTTGCAGCCCGATTTACCGTTCTCTGTTCCTCTTCTCAATCCTCACTTTCAACAACTGATGTTTTTCCATGCCATCCGCCTCTCCAACCACACGTCACGTTTCTCATGGCATTTTTTTTTCCCTCTTTAATTTGTGTCTTGTTACTTGCTTCCCGGCATATCAAACTGCCTTCTCCAACGTCTCCAAGATACACATACACACACATACACAGTTGCGCCCATCCAAAACGCCACCGAAACAAGAAGGTGGGGTTACAAGAACAGGTGCATGGTCTACTTAGTAGACCTTCTTCTTCTCGTCGACGCTGAGCTGGCCCGGGCCGCTGTTAACCAGCAGCAGAAGACCACCGACAATCGAGAGAATCTGGAAGAAGTCGTACTTGGCAAAGTCCTTGTGGGGGTGATGCTCGTGGAGCTAGAAGTGTCAGTTCAAGTTCGCAAATGCGCATCCTTTAGGGGATCAACTTACAGTCCAGAAGTTGTTGACAAGAACATTGAAGACGCTAAGAATGACAACCAGCAGGGTGGCGCTGAACTTGGCCTTGAAGCCGACAACAACCATGACGCAAGCCACGAAACCGACCAGCGAGACCAGAATGCGCCAAACGGACCACTCGCCGCTGAATACGAAGCCGATGAAGAGGAAAATCAGCAGGACACGGCCGGCCAGCTGGAAGTACATCTTGCGGTCCTTTTCCTCAAGCTGGGGAAGACCCGCGAAGACCTTGGTCTTGCGCACCCATGAGTCAGACAGAACCATGAGGAGACCACCCATGACAGACAGGTTGCGCAGGAAGAAGTTGAGGTCAAAAATGAGGCCGTAGCCGAGAGCCTGGGCGATTACGACGCCAATCAGACCACCAACAGCTTTCTCAGAGTGCTTGCGGAGGATGACGAGGACGGAGCAGATGGTCATGGCAATGACATTGCCGATCAAGAAGAGATGGGTGATGCCATTAGGGACTGCGATGGGGTTGTGTGTCAGTAGATAGTCTCTTGTCCAGCGCACCCCTTACGGAGAGAAAACGTACTATGACGATAGTTATGCAAATAGATCAGCTGATCGCTCCATTGTGTTATTATTCTAATAGAGTCCTCGAGGAAGGTAGAGACGATGAGGAAGCGTCCGATGGCAGGGAGGAAGCTGGATAGAGCGCGTCAGACTCAACATCTCTGTAGCCGAGAGCGGAGAGTGAATGACGTACGGCTTGATGGGCCCGCTGACGGTGTCAAGCAGGTCCTCGATCTTGCTGGTGTGCTGGCGGATGGTGTCCAGCGCGCTCTGTTCATTCCTGTCGTCGGCTGGCGCACCAAAGGGAGCGGCGCCAATGCCATAGCTGCCGGGTCCTCGCAACTGCGCCATTGCTGCAGCGACTGGCTATGTCGAAGCCCCGAGGTTCGAAGATCAGGAGGGGAAGGGGATAGTGAGGCGAGAGAGATGGCAGTCTGGCTGACTGGCACGAAAACAGCAATTGGAAGAAGTGGCGTGTGGAAAAGAGATGTTTCGAGAGCACAAGGGTGGATTTCGCGGCCGGGTATTCTCGTCGGGCAGGGTTCGGTTCACTGGGCCAGCAGAGAGGTAGGGATGGAGGTGTGTCGATTGGATGGCAACGACGACGGGATGATGCCTGGGCTAAGCTCACAAAAAAAACAGACGAATCGCAACGGCGCGCAGGACACCAGGCGTGCGTAGTAAGCTGGACAATGGTAAAGAGGCGAAATGGCGCCGGCGATGTGTTCGGGAGGAGCTATGGACCAGGTGAAGAAAAGGAGAAGGCACGTTGTCGCATGAGAATTTGAGTTGGATGAGCTCAGACGTGGTATCTACAACTGTGTCCTTAACACATCGCGCGCCGCTCGTCCCGCCAGTGACCTTGCCGCAGCTAAGACAATCGCCTGCAGGAGAGTGTGGGGCTGTTTGATTTGTTTTCTGGGTACTTCTACATATAGCAACCAGCACAGCAAAATAGAAGTACTCCACTAACAGACCTACGCCGGGAAGGGGAAGCCACAGTGGGGTTCAGGACAGGATCCTCGGGACCAGCAGTAACAAAGCTCCATCTTCCAAGAGGCATTCCTTGGATCTCGAGAGTGAGCTTGTCCTCGTTGTTTTGGCAACGGATGGTGCTCTGCTGAGTGCTTGTCGGGCGCGCCAATGCACCCAACGGAAGAACGGGAGAATCCAGACTGGTTCTGATCGCTGTCGCCAACTCTCATCGATACAAACAAACGAACTCCTCCGTGTGCTGAGTTGAGCCGCCGCTGAACCGTACTGGACCTCCCGTCGTCGTTTCGACCATGTGTTTGTGATGACATGGATCGCTGGGTCTCTGGTGTTTTGGACACGAATACTTTTTTTCCCTTTCCCCTCTTCGTCTTTTTGCCTCTTCCCCTCGCTCCCCTCGTCGTTCCCCTCGCAGCCGCACCCACTGTTTCATCGTTTCATCAGCATGCAGCTCCCACTTTTAGCCAAACGTTCCCGCACGGTCTGTTTTTAGTCGGACGGGTACAGTGTTCTCACCAGATAACGGATCTACATCAGGCAAGTCGATCTGCTCTTGAATAAACTCTGCGGGACTACCTTTTCTCCACAAGTAAGGTCACAAGTCCAGGCTAACATGAAGGCCATGATTTCAGCCAAAAGAGCTTCACGCTTCTACTGCAACCCCTGGCATTACATACAGCGTGCGCAACGACCTGGTCTAGGCACTTGGGCTCAGAGCGGCGCTGTTTGACATTTGCTGACGATGCCTACTTACCAGTTGGCGTCCAGATCAAATTGCTGAAGTCAGCTTACCTATTCACCTCACAAATCGTTTTGTTTTGTTCTGCCTCAAAGAAGAGCCATTCACCTCTCAGCCGTTGCTGGCATCTTTGATAAGTCGCCTGTTTTGCCTCCACGGGCCAAAATACGCATCTTGAAAAAAAAATAAAAAACAAAATCAACGTTTTTCAGCGTGACCAAGTTGATTGTCCTAGCAATCACCGCTGCAAAGAACAAAGGGACACGTCCTATGCGGTCTCCCCGGCGTTTCCATAGCCCGAGACAAGGCTGTTTGGTTCCGTTGATGATGCTGGCTATGGACAGGGCACATTGATCCTGAAGCACCCTTTAACTCAGGAAAGACAGGATGTTAAACAAAGCGGGGGCCCGTGATATGTGTGCTGCTTATGATTCAGAGGCCATGATGTTGTGGATGACGACAATGGCACAGTCATCTTCATACACAGCATCTATACAAAAGAATTTTCGGGGTATTGCTAGAAACTATGTATGTGGCTCACATATCTGTCCAAGAATCATACACTGAAGTGAAGACCCTTTAACCTAACCCTTCTAACCAAATACTCCAAAGGGTACTTTCTTGCCATCTATATCCTGTCTCCATCACTTATACCCGGGTGGAGGGGATCGTGTGGGAGCAGGCACTTCGGTTCCTGGGAGCTCAGCAGGTGCTGGTGCATACGCTGCGTATTGTCGTTGTCCAGCTTGTCTAATTGCACCAGGTCAGTCTCATATCCTCTGTTGTTCTTATATTCTCGATAGCGCCGCTTCGAACTTACGGATATGCACCCTGGTATGCGGTATCATACCCAGCATACAGACCTCCATTACCCTGTCCCGGTCCTGGCACCACTGGCATGCCCTGTGGACTCGAAGGAATGCTACTAAACGGCGGCGATGATGCCATCGAGTTCCGCAGATGCTCATACCCAGCAGGGGCACCATATGTCGACAGCACAGATGACTCCTGTCCAGGGCTCTTGGGGCTGTTGAGAGCATTGCCGGCGCCGCCAGCACCAACCGTGTTGGCGTAGTTGGCCTCGATCATGTTGGGAGAACGTGGCGAGAACGAATCGCTTCCGGGATGAGCTGTGCTCGGGTTTAGAAAGAAGGCCTTGCGATACGCCTTGTCGAAACCGCCCCGACGACCGCACAGGTAGATTAGTGCACCGGCGCCGAGGAGTACCGCTGATCCGCCGATAGCGATGCCGGCTATGGCACCAGTGCTGAGGCCGCTACTGTCATCGTCGTCCTTGTCTTGTTCATTTGGTGACGCAGAGGAGCTCGTAGCAGTTGGGAGTGCACCGGAACCAGCGCCCTCAGACGGCCATGGGTCACCAGGAGCAAGTTGGAATTCAGCTTTTTGAGCGTAATTGAGCTGTTCTGCGAAAGACCAAGTACGATTGGGGTTGATGACGCCAATCATATGATGCTTAATGCAGGACTCTGGGGCAGCGCAATAGAAGAAGACGGGCTCAGTATCATTGATCCGTAGGTCCCATGGTTTTGCCTATGCAAAAGAGCATCAACACCCATCCCCTGTTCGTTCGGAGATAAAACGAAGGACTGTGGTTTCGGGGGCAAACTTACATCCGGGTCCTGCGATGGATCTATTACGCCACTGTCAAAACCATGAACGCGGGATGTCCAGTTGTATGGAACGCAAGGGGATTTGAATGCCGCCTGAACGACACGATGGCCACCAGCGGCAAATACGAAACCTACATAGGCTAAAGGTTAGTCGGATCCAATACCTACAGAGGAACGAGAGTTGACAACAAGAGAATCGTGGATAAACATACGGACAGTATCGCCGGGTTTGGCTTTGACTTCTTGAGGGTCAAACTTGTGACTGACCTGTTACCATCGTCAATCACTGGATTTAATCAATCCCTTGATTCTCCCCAAACACTCACCTGACCAACGGTGATTGTTATTGTCGCAGGAGTCCGTGTAGTTGTCTTCGTGGACTCGCTATCCCCTGTTTTCGTGGGCTCGTATTCTCTTGTGGTTGTCGTCTCTTCATCGTGGTCATGGTCCGCAATGGTCATGCCAGCGAGGGCCAAAGCCGCTGAGATGGCCAATGGGACTAGTCTCAGCGACACCATGGTGGTAAAGGCCAAAGATGAGTAGTTGGCAGGGTGGTCGCTGTCCTCTTCGTCACGTTCGGCGGCACGAAGTATGCAAGTCACTGATCGAGTCGATCCAGGCGTGATGATCGAGCTCGGTCAACACTCCTCCCTTGATCCTCAGACTCGATCGAAGAAAGGTTCTACTGTGGGGGACGGGACTGATGACACGAGTGGGTAAAAGAGGAAAAAAGAGCGGCGTGGCACTCCGCTCGCTATGTATAACGGGACACACCGAACAAATGCCGACCGCGAAGTATCTTGTCTATTCTTTCATTGAAATGCTTGACAAAGCAGCCCGCCCCCATCCTTCTGCCCATCTTGAGCCGGCTTCGGCTGAAAGTGCGGTGCCACGAAGGAACATGTCCGTTGTTGAGGATAGGTGCAGTTCCCATGTCGCTTACTGGTCCGTTGGTTCGTTGTGTAACAGATTGTTGTGTTGTTGTCGAGTTTCCAGTGGAGAGGGAGGCTGGGCCTGCAGGTCGTACTCCTGCAACCTATGAGACCTACCAACTGCGGCTTGTTGCGCAGAGCTCTCAGCAAACATGCAATGAGCACTAGAAACATGCTAGCCTTCTCGGCCTTTACTCAGCCTCGAGGCTTGTGTTCATTGCGGAGAGCATCCCGTGGCGAGGGAAACATGGCTAGAGAAGCGTAGAAAACAAGGCAAGACCTGCGGCGGATATGACCGTGTCTTGGAAAATCAGATATCTCCACGGAACGCATGCTCTCATCTCTGGTCTCCCTTGAGATGAGCGCGATCGATCGCATAACACGCCACGTTTGGCAAAAAGAGGCCGAGGGTCATTAGAGTGAGGGGGACGGAGAGTGGACCAAAAAGAAGGACATTCATGTCGTGTCTTGTCCAACTAAGCGGGACAATGACTGCAGGCAGGTGGCACAAAATCCCTACATCCTATCATCGGGCCCAGGTGTACGTAGTTGAACTATCCGCCCTTCCAAGAGAGGCAAGCAAGCAATTATTCGAGACTGAGCTTATACAATACATCTATGAACAGAATATTTCAAAGAGAGGAGACCTATCAGAGTGCAACTAATCATCAAGACTCGAAAATATCGAGTGAAGTATCGTCCACGAACCTCACGCGACCCACAAAATCCCTGCCACACCCCAGCCGTGTAAGAATTTATTCTCGTAGTGCTTACATGTTCTCCGCAACCCGTGCGGTGCATAGAAGTATATATGTGTAATGGAAGCCGGATGCGTGGAGGCTGAGTTGTTACTACCCGGCGAATAAGGATCGATGAATAGGACCACAGGGCTGAAAGGTGGCATGGCCAGTAAGCACAAAAGCGTAGCCTCGATCCCTTCCTGTTTTGGTGCTCTTGCATCCTCCAAAATTCAACCAACGGCCGCCGTTGAGACTGTTGCCATCGGTCGGAAAAGCTGCACACAGTGTCGACGTGCTAAGGGCAACACCAAAGGGCGACGGGGGTTGTGGCTGTTAGCTCTGTGTCGAAACCAGTCTCTAGTAGGCGCGTTGGGGCCAGTTGGGCCTGAAGGCTCTGATGACAGCGCCACGCCACCACACAGCCGATGGGGATTTCCGTTCGTCTGGTTTGGGCTGTCATCACTGAAGGTAATTGCTTCTTTAGGCAACCTTACCGGGTAATACAAATTTCTTATGCCAGCAGCGCGGAACCTGTCGTGTGTTGTTGGAGGGTACTGTTGCAGAGGAGGACCTGGAGACACTCGAGTGAGTAATTAAGACAGCGAAATGAAAGAGGCACAACTGTTAAGGCGAAAGCAACAGCAGCATGAAGTCCACAGAGTTGAATCAGGTACATAACTATCAGTCGGAAGGTTAATGAAACCCTATGAGACCCTCCTCAGACTGCCCCAAATTGTCCGGCTTGGGCGTAAGTTAAGGGTATCCTAAGTGAATGAACAATCAGGCAGCAATTGACCAAAAAGTCTCCAAAGACTTTGGTCGAACTCAAATGACTTCAGAAGCCTTTCACGGTGTCCTAATGGCCAAAAGGGGTAATAGGAAAGCCTGTCTACTGCAAGTATACATAACAACCACCTCCCCAGCCCAGACCGGCTACTGCCTGAATCTGAAATCTTGGTGGCCCAAGATCATTTTTGTTGATTGGGCAAGATATAAAGACTGTAGCACAGCTCTTCAATGGGCAAAGCAGTGGCTTATCTATTATAGAACAAGTGTTGGAGCCAAAAGATAAATATATATCGTTAATGGCAATCGGTTCGATTGGCACTGCCAACATCTTATGTGAGACAACGTTTGATGTTAGAAGCCCACTTAAAGATGATATTTTTTTTCGCCTTAGCAAAAAATGTGTAGGTATTTAAAGAACTGCAAAAGCCCATTCATGAAAAAAAAAAGCTTTCTCGGAACCATTAGCCATAATGGTCTGATTACATTGCATGTTTTATCCCTTTAGCTAGGGAATGTGGTTCCTACTTGCTGTTTGAGATATAGTTCTTTACTTCAAATATTCCTTTCTCTCTCCCTGATTAAGCATATTTCCAGAAATCAGATTCGTCGCTTGTCCACTGGAAAGCACAGTGCCCAACCTTAGTCTCATAATAATAAGTGGCCCCCCGTCTCACTGACCTCAGGCATGCTATAGGTTCATGTGGAACTGGGCGACAGGCTGCTGCGATGGCTGCGTTGCGACTCCCTGCCATAGGCATGGCTCCTGAGTCCAGTCTCCGGAGAGCAGCGAACATCAGCCACGAGAAGAGCACAAATCCCAACATAACAACAAGTCACAACCCTAACGGTGACCATGCCGCAGAAAACGGAACTCTTGCAGAGTTTCGTGAGGTGTTGTTGTGACTCCAGCATTATCTTGCGACCTCCTTCATCAAGGTTCAGATACGGGCCGGAGATCTCAAAGGAGACCCAATCATGGTCGAGAAAGCATCCGCTGTTTAAGTGCAGAGAATGCTATCGGCGAAATTGTGTATTGATATGGCAACCCGAAGAAGTATTTCGACTGTCGGAAGCCATTTGTTCTTTTGATACCCGCAAGCCCGCAAGCTGTTGAGAGTAACTGTCTCACTCATGGATAATAGAAATCCGGGTAAACAGGTCATTGACCATGAGATAAAAGATGGATATTATCACTTGAGAGGCGTTGGCCATAAGGACATTGCGAGCAAAGTATGACCAGCCCTCTCCCGTGGTGCCGGTCGTGAGCAGTATTCTCGAGTTGAGCATGCCTATTCCGGGCTTTATGAGTACCGTAAATCCTTGTCGCCAGCTATTACTTTGGAAAGTCCCAGGCCAAAGAGAGTGATGCAGGTTGAGATAGGCGTGGAGTGGCTCATGGCTTGAGTAAGCTGTACAAGTGTCAGATGGCATTTAGACGAGGAATCTAAGTCCCTTATTGAACAAGAAACAATCTCCAGTACCATATATGAACTGATGTAAACCTACATAACTCATCAAGTCCCCTGAGCAAAGGGGGGATTTTTTTTTTCAAGCTTTGCCATGCCCTTCTCCTAACGTCTGTGTTTTGGTTCTCTTTTGCTATCATTTCAAGGAGACAATAGTACCCAAAAGAACACGATCTGACCGACTACCGTATCGGAAGAGGTTCCGTATGCTATGGGCGTCAATGTTGACCAATCGAGCATCTCCATGTGCCTTGTCAATGGTCTCTCGGTTTGCCGCCGACAGGACTTTCACGCAATGATTGCTGCCCGCCAGCAGGACACTGCTGATGGCATTGATTACCACATGCAGATCAATGCTGATGCGCTTTGCAGAATTGCACGATGTTCATGTGAAGAGGATGCGTGTGCCATGTCCGGTATTGAGACTAGCCCCTAGGGTTATCGCCCAAGTTGTGAAGCAGAGGTTTAGGATGAATGAGACAAAGGCACCGGCGGAGAAGTATAGAACTGCTCGCTGGAAAGGGTGACCAAAATGCCACCTGGCTAGGATTGAGATTGTGCCTATCCATTGGGGTCGCATGGAAGAGTCGTGGTTATCTGTAGAAGGGGGAAAAAAGCCCTTGGAGCATCATCAGCACTGGAGAGAGAGTCGATGTACTCAGATGAATAAAATATCCATGGGCGCTGTCACTGGATGATATCTAGCATAGATGAGGACCATAGTCAAGGTTGACTCTGAGCAACAAGCATATGGGTCACACCGGCAACACCAGGCACAAATGCAACCGTAGAACTGGAGCTTTTTAATCGATTGTGTTTAGATCCAGAGAATCACACCATATAAGACCTTTAGATCTTAATGGCTGCACCAGAAAGGTTCTTACTACACCACAAGATACAGTTCCCTGGTGGCAGTGCTAGGGCCTTAGAACTAGGGCAAGCCAATCCTTTGTCACGGGCGGACTACCATTTTGGGGAGCGTGTGGCTGTCCCTCCCACGCTTGAGTCTAAACATGCGCTGCAGCGTTGCAGGGCATAAGCTAAGACTCTCAACACGACCTCACTCGTCCGACTCCAAGCATAGTGTAGCTGTTCGCATAGCCTTTGCAAAGACGCCCAAGGGTATGCCGGGGGCCGAATAATTCTGGTGTATCGCCCCTTGTGCTGATTGCAAATGACTGAGTATGTTGACTGAGAATGCGCCTGCAGCTGTTAAGGCGAGAAAATCCCAAAAGTTTGCCGGTAAATTGGGCAGCCTGCCACCACGAGCATACCGGTATCTACCGATGAGCATCATTCGTTATGCGCATGAGTCCGGTTTAATCTCGAAAGGTTTTAATCGACGGAGTATCATCTTCAGGTATGGTGTGCTGCGGGCTTTCGAGGCCGAACTTTTGGCAGGCTCACCTCCCAAATGCTAATGAAGCTGACCACCATTCCGAACACTAAGATGGAAAAGATAAGTGAAGAGACCAGCCATTTTGTTTTCACGACTGTCCTTGTTCATTGGGACTTAAGTTTGGTCTTCTTTGAGAACCAAGACTTCGGGATGATCTCGCTGTCGACCACAAGCTTGCCCAGACACCAGATATAGCACAGGCCGAAGCCAACTGCACCAATACCCACATTGGCAACCGTCCATAAGTCGGGTTTATCCGCAGGAGGGACAACGTTCAGCTCCAAGACGTGCCACAGTGCCATAGCGAGATAGAATGGAGCGTGGAGGAAAATGGTGACCCATTGACTCAGGGCCTTAGTTTCTTCTGGAGCATAGACGCTAATAGAGGTGGGAGGAAGGCCAAGGAGATATGCCCACAACAGCGTCAGGACAGTGTAGGGCATAGCTAGGTCGACGCGTTTCAGCAAGGGGAACATGGTCCAACAGCCGAGAATATTGGCGAATCCGACCCAAGCTCGTATCTGCTTGCTCAAGCCATGATTACCGGCAAGCATTAAAGTCATCGGCATTAGCGGAAGAAGGACGCTCTTCTCGTGGACTTGGTAACTGAAAAGGAAGAAACCCCATGCTGTCGCCGCAAAGGCAAGGGGCAGCAAGTGCTTTCTGGGGCGAAGGAAGAGGACGAGATTGGGCGGAAGAATGGATGCCAAGGTAGCCAGCAGAGATGCTCGCTGAAGAAGCGGAGCTGGATACTTCTTGACCTTGACGATCACGTTCAAAGCACACCAAAAGTTGGCCACTTTATCTTCGAACAAGCCGCGAGCGAAAGGAAAGATGCGATGAACGATCTGAACGAGCTGCTCGACCACTGGGTAATAGAAAGCCTCGGTATCAAGGTAGTTGGCAAGCTGGGGGAAGAGCGGCAACGGTGGGCGGGGACCATCAAGGTCGGGTCTAGCGTCAATGCCACGTTTGACATCGTGGAGCGTTCCCACAACAATAGGCAGGATGAGGAGGGCAAACGAAATTGCGGTGGTTGCGGCGATGGCGACAAAGCGAGAAATGTTGATACGAGGGAACACGCAGATGGCCAGAAGGTAGGAAAATATGGAGAAGGAGTAGTAAAGGGCCATCTGCTTAAAGCCCAGGGCTGCGACGAAGAAGACGCAAGCCCACAGATTCCGGCCCGCGAGCAGGCTGGACATACTGGCCACAACCAAGCCCAGCATAACCGTGTTGTATTGGAAGTGGACGTGATCAATGAGGATAGTGGCTGGCTGCATCAGAATGGCGACGAGGGCGACAGCGGAGGACCAGGTAGAGACACCATTCAGCCGGCTGAAGCGGCGCGTAAAGACGACGACGGCAGGGATGTAGATGAGGTACTCCGACACCAAGACCGTGGCCCTCATGAAGACCTTAAGGTTCGCGTCATGCAGGCCACGAGAAGAGAACAGGGCGAACCACGAAGGGTTGATGAGCGAGCCGATCTTGCCGCAAAGCCAGCTGTGGTACGCGGTCAGGGGCGGATAGTCAAGCCCCCACCACTGCAGGTCGTGGAAATACCACTGCGAGATGGGAAGCTGTGTCGTGATCTCCATCCAATGGCGCTGGGCTTCGTAGTCGCCGAACATGGGAGGTTTCTGGAAACCTGGTCATAGTCAGCATCACCAAGGTACCTATCTGAGAGGTGATATGTGCAGAACACCTAATGAGGGCAAGCAACGCACCAGAATATCCCCAAAGGCCGGCAGCCCATCTGAACAGACCAACACCCATCAAGATCAGGGGAAGCACTTCCCATTCCGTCACAAAGCCCCTTGCGGGCCACAGAAGCGCAGAAAGGGGGAAGGATGGCGCGCGAACGAGAGTCTCGACCGGGTTGACATCGCTGAGGGCGGTGATATTGGCAAGGTTGCTGGCGGCGTTGACGGCGCGTTTTGCCTTGCGCCGAGGCTTGTGCGGAGATGGCGACGGCCCAGCCATTGTCACCGAATCTGCAGACGGAAGAGACCGGCGATGGACATCGAACAATGGGCGAGGAAAGTTACTGATGGCCTGGTGAAGCTGGGGAAATGGTGCAACTTTTTTTTGGGGGGGGGGGGGGTTCAGCAACCGGCCCTGCGCTTTCGCAGCAATCTGGCCCGAGACCAGGGGTCGAGATGCGCTGTGGAGACGCGTGGGGAAGCTCCAATCGATTGGATCTACGTAGGGTCCCAGGATCTCAGGGTTATCCGAGCGGGGTGGTCTCTTTGGCTAGACAGCTGTCGACGGCCCGCAGCAACCCCAATCCTTCCCCTTGACCCCATAGCTGTCCTCCATACGTACCCCTCATCACATCTTCACCTGAGCTTGAGCTCCTTACCCCAACCTGACATATCATGGGAAGATCAGTCAAAGAAAAATCATGTTGTATCGCCATATCTCTGTTTGAAACCATCAGGGTGAGAGACAAAGTATCGCAACAAGATGCCGTTTCCATTTGTGTTGCCCACCACTTCTGCCTTCTCATTCCCCTCTAGCATCACCAGCAACTCTCATCCCTCGCTGCCTCTCCAGGCCAGTACTCGGAGAGGTGTAGTACGCGATACGCTCAAGAAGTATAAGCGCGTACCCCCAGCGTCCCAGGCATCATCGCTCCCAAATGTTATTTCCTCTCTAAGGAGTTATATTCCCTACCTCTGTGCCCTCCATGCTGGCTTAACGCACCATCCTGTCCACGGTGAGGACGTCTCACTCATCGTCAACTCACCGCCACAAATCGAATGGCGTCCAACGCTTTCCCGTAACACCATCCCTGGCCGCGAGCCTCCTAGGGTCAAGATCCAGTCTCTGTCTCAGGAACTCCTCTTCACCCTCGCTACCCTCGCCAATGCCTATACTCTCCAAGCCCGTGCTGCCCTCCATCCTCTGTATCAAACCACCACTGCCCCGCCGACCCCAGAGCAGCGAACGAATGCCATCACAACCGCAACGCGTCATCTCCTCGACGCAGCCTCCATCTTTGACTACCTTTCCCAGCAGCAAGGCCTCCATCAAGCTGAATCACCGCCTCCATGTCCGGAGATCCATCCCTCTTTTCTTCTAGCCCAGCGATCGCTTGCCCTCGCTGAAGCAACCCTCCTCGCCGTGGCGAAGGACGACCCCTACCCGGCCGTCGTGGCTCTAGCCCGCAATCCGCACGACAAGGAGTGGATGTTTAAAGCACCCGACATCCCCAAGGTCCGGGTCCATTTGTTCGCCAGACTGTGTCTTGCAGCAGCAGAGCATGCTACGCGGGCGATGGGGTGTATTGCTTCTATCAAGGGGACAGTCAGCGAGGAGTTTGTCAAGTATCTTGAGGACTTGCGGCGCACGAGCCGGGCAAGGGCATGTCGGTTCTTCGCGATTGATGCTGAACTGGCAGGTGAGACGGCGACGGGCATTGCGTGGTTGAGGGCTGGATTGGCAGAACTGGGAATTGAGAGGAAAGGGGATGAGGCTGGAAAGACTGGGGGACTGGGGCTGAAGGGCCTGAAGAAGGAGTGGAGTGAGAGGAGAGAGGACAAAAAAGTGGAAAGGGGGCTGGATTGGGGCGCAGATGCGGGCAGGTTGGAGGAGAGGAGAGTGATTGAGATGCTGGAGGGCAAGTGGGTAAAGCAAAATGATATGGTACGTTGCTGTCCGCCTTCACATCTTTCATTTCATGGACGAGTTGCTGACTGGTGAAACTATCCAGATGTTCACAAAACCAATCCCACCATTCGGTCCGTTGCTGGCACAAATGCCCTCTGGCCGTGAAATTCATGCCATCAAGCCATATCAGCCACCAATCCTGAGCCTGGAAGAGCTGGATGCCATGCGTGCACTGCCTCAGGAGAGGACGGATGAAGTCGGTCACGAGGCCAGTTCTGACGAAGGAGCACCAGAGCCGTCGCAAGTCGGCGTCTTCTCAGTGAAACCGGGCGACTATAGAACTGGCACGCCCAATTACTTCTGATTTTTTTTTTCATTTGTTCAGTCTATGTAACATTTGTCACAGATAGAGCCCTTGTCGTCAGGATACCTTGAACTTTGATACCACCAGATGTCATTTTGTGAAACCTCTGAGAAAAACGCCATCAAGAACATTTGTATGTGCCTGCGACCCTGTGGCAGCCAACCCTGCGAAAAAGAAAAAAAATTACAAAGCTTCTCTTAGTAGCAGCAGTGGCAGTAGAGCAGTAGCAGTAGTAGCAGCAATTAACTACTGCTACTCTTACTCATCGTCGTCATCGTCGTGGATGACGCGCCGTCTCCGACCTTTCTGCACCGGAGCGTCCCTCTCGCGCTCAGCTTCCTCCTCGGGCTCTGAGGTCCGCTGCCTCTTAGCCCGGGGCGCCTCATCGTCTTCGTCATCATCTTCGTCATCGTTGTCGTCAAGAATAGGCTCCTCCTCGTCGTCATCATCGGGAACCTCTTCGCTTTCCTCGTCGCTGTCGACGAGGAAGCCATCGTCCATGTCGTAATGGTCGCCACGGCGCCGACCTCTCGGCTCTTCGTCGTCGGTATCGTAATCAGGGCGACGGTGCTTCTTTTTGGTCGTTGATCCGGGCGCGCTGCGCTTCCGGCCAGCGGCAGCACCCGCGCCAAGGCCACGACGACCCTCGAGATCGCCAATCGATAGCGCTCCCCCTTTGTGCCGTCCGACTCCCTCCGCACGGGCTGCGGCAGTTTCCCGGCGGCGCTGGAGCTTCATGCGCTCCTTCTCGGCAAGCTCAGCTTGTTTCTTCTGCAACTCTGGGTCTTCATTGGTGACGATGATCATATCGGCGCTTCGGTCCTTCCTGGCGCCGGCCAAATTGGCTTTGAGACGCTCCAATGCATGGTCCTGGAGCTCCTTGTTCGGGCGCACAGTATACTGCTCGGTCAGGTGGCCCACGATGAGCAGACTGTTAGTTGTCAGGTGGGCTGCTGCCACATAATAATGCGCATCCTGCACCTCATTATATGGCTTGTTGCGCGGGGGTGCCAGCGGCTTGGCCTGAAGTTCGTAGTGTTCGTTGCCGATTGCTAGGGTCACCGAGCCATCGCTCCAGCGATAGATATTTGCATTGCTCTGCATCTTTCCAGTCTTCGGGTCGCGGCGGAACAGGATAGACGGAACTGGGTTCTCGGCTTTCGCATTCTCGAGGTCCCATTTGCTGGGCTCCCACTCATCAGGCTTGTACTCCATGGGATTAAATTTGATAAAGTCGGGGACGCGGAGGGAGTGTAACTAGAGCCGGTCAGCTGGAGGCCCAACCCCAAGGGCTCATCGTTGATCCAGAACTTACACTGCCATCTGACGAGCGAGGAATGCGATGCCGGTACAACGGCACCTCTGCGACAAGCTTTTCGCGATATTCACGCGGCTCCGACTCCCCATCGCGGTGGCGCGTGTACTCATCCTCATCGTTGTCCGACGCGACATCGCGCTCGCTCACCTCCTTCTCATCATCCAGTACGGCATCGTTGACTTCCTCGTCGCCATCGCCGAACAGATCGTCGCCGGCATCGTCGACAAAGTTGTCAATGGGATCCTCGGCATCAGACATGATTCCGAAGCTGAACTGAGATTAGCGCGGTTGTGCTGTGGCTAGGTAAGTTTGTGGTGACAGGCGTTGATGGCGGTGGAGGAGTGTTGGAAATTTTCGTTGAATTGCCGTCCGCGTAGTACGGAAGACGATGCAGCGACCGGAACGGCTCGTGAGCGTCGGAAAGTCAGAAGACGGAACCGAGGGGTCACAATAGGACGAGGCAAGGACAATAGTAGGGAGCAGGAACGTTGAAGATGTAGTGCTCCAATCGTTCAGCCAGCGCGATTCAGTCTGCCAAGACTGCGATTAGATAAATATGTGCTTAGTCACTTACTGCCCCACACCAGCTACGGAATATGTGCTGGCGGTAACCCTGGCCAAGCAAACAGGGGAGCGACCCTGGATGGCGGGGATGGATGCTGGCCTCATTCAGGAGGTCTGGAACCTGGAACCCGAACCAATTCACATCAATAAACAATCTCAGGACAACACATCCCCCAGCTCCCAACGACGGGAAACAGGACGGGTTTCGGTTTTTTGATCTTTCTATCATAGTGCTTGTTCCTCAGTTTTGGCTGTTCCGACCTAGTTAAATATCTGCGGCTATGTCCAACCTGTTTTCTGGAATGTGAGTGACCTTGAGCTCCCAAGCTCCCCCGCAACATTGGAACCCGAGGCGCCCTCTCCAGCACCGCAGCGGCCAGCCCAAGCAACCCCTATGCTCCCGACCGTCTGGACCATGCTGCAGCTGGTGGCACTGGATATCCCAGATCTTGGGAAGTCCAAAGCCGAACTTCATGCAACACAGATCGAATATTACATCGGGTAGCAAGTGCTATTTTTATCTGTAAGGGAGGATGGGCATTGAAACAAGATGGCCTGTGGTGGCTGTGAACGTCGTCGCTGTCCTGCATCGCCGGTGTTGAGCGCGACTGTCACACTCGTTCCGATCTGCTGCCCCGTCAATCCGTCATCCGCCTATCGAGGGCCAGACCCATGAGAAGAGGCAGTTTCATCGCACAAGAGGCAGCACAACCGGATTGTTGACGCACTCGAAACATCGCTCGGTTGCGGACGCCTGTTTTGAAACACACACCCGTCAGTCTGGGTGGTCACTCTGGACATGGCTCCCCGACACTGTAGCCAACCACGTCCATCGGAGTAGTATGCCCGATGACGAGTCTTGTTTGCTCTCCTCCGTCTGCCTTGATCATTCATTCACTGGTCACTGAACTTCGCGATCAAGCGTGAGATAGGACCAAGGCCAGTAAGTCGCTAACCATTGTTGCCACCATAGTAACGCCCGCCTTCGCGGTCAGAAAGGCACAAACTCGGGTGCCAACTCCCCAAGTATCGAGCAGCAGCAACAGAAACAACAGCAGCAGGGCCAGGAGGGGAACCAGCTGTCCCCTACAGATCAATCAGTGAAGCTCCCGCCAGTTCCTAAGTCACCATCACTTGCTGAGACCATGGGTATGGACCAGGCTACCGGCATGATGCCGTCCCCCGAAGAGATGCTCGCCGCCTATCGCCTGCCTCCTCTCAAGCCTCTTTGGCTCAACTGCAACTATGCGAAGCACATCGTCAAGGGCAATTTCATGACGCTGAGCACCAAGCCAAAGACGGTTGAACTGGGCGAGTGGATCGCACACCAAGGTGAGTTCCATCGGCTTGGGGATCGGCGTCTTAAAGAGGTTATTTATATCTAATCTCTCTCACAGTCGTTGAACACTGGCGGATATTGTACAACTATATCCGTCTTGTTTATGACAAGGAAGCAGATGGCACATCTATCTGCAACCCGAAGAGATGCCCAAAGATGTCAGCTGGCGCGTGAGTTCAATCCCTTCCCCCCCTGAATATTGCTTGCACGGGGCCTCTAATCGGCCACATCATCCAGCAACCACTCCTTTACATGGCTCAACAGCCGCCTTCAACCCGTCGAGATCCCTGCCCACGAGTACTTGACCCTTGTGCAGCGGTACATCAACGGAAAGATCGACGACACCACCATCTTCCCGACGGATCCGAACGGCGTGTCGTATGCCGACAACCCGGCCTTCTGCACTCCGCTGCCGGAGACCAGTCCCGACTGGCTGGGCAAGCGCAGTGGCTTCCCACAGAACTTCTTCGAGACCTGCCAGACCATCTTTCGTCAGATGTTCCGTGTGTATGCACACCTATACTGGTCGCACTTCGAGGACATGTTCTGCCTGAACCTCGAAAAGGCTATGAACAGCTGCTTCAGCCACTTCATTCTGACGGCGACGACGCTGAACTTGCTCAAAAAGTCCGACCTCGAACCAATGCAGCCGCTCATCGATCTGTGGGCTGCTCTCGGTACCTTCCCTCAGGGCACCAAGGCTTACGAGATCGCCAATCTGGCGGTTGGTCATTATCTGATTCAGAAGGCGGGCGGCCCTCCGCCACAGCAGTGAACGAATTCAGACACGACCTTTGGAATATCACCTCAGGATCTGCCCTAATAAGCACTGTTGCTGCACTGCATATTTCGAGGAGGATTCACGGATACCCTACGGTTCAGATTTAATCTCAGTTTGAGCTCGACTTGGGTTGTCATGTTGGGAAGCTAGGATAAGCATAGCATTGCATGTCGCATACCGCTAGCATCTGGAGCTCATCAATCGGCCAATGTAGTCCTTTACTTGCATATAGCTGGTCGCATCCTCCAGAGAATGCGTCCTGCCAGAAAAACAACTCACGACGCAACCACCTCGCTGACCTTATACTCGACCATAGGCGGCTTGCCCTTTTCCAGAATGATTTGGCCGGACCCAACGAATACCTTCCCTGCTAATACAGCAAGATCTAGGTTGCCTGATTCGAATTCCACATGCGTGACTAGCCATTCAAGTTAGGAACCCCAGTTTGGCATCGGTGCAAGAGGGAAGAGCTTACAGATCTCTCCAAAACCTGTTGTTGTCGCATCTGGCTCTCCCCTTAAAACCTTTCCAACCGCACCTCCCATGTCCACTTTGCCTGTATACCGAATATACAACAAGTCCCCCGTGGTTCCGTTGCGTGCCAGGGCCCGGACATCGAGAGTCACATAGGTCGGTCCATTTGCTTTCGAGTTTCCCACTTGTGATGCAGAGGTGGGCGGAGGAGAAGCTCGGATGAAGTCGGCACCATGCTCCAAAGCAGCGTCCACTTTAATTGGGTAGTCAGGGTGCGAGCGAATGGCGCCGTTGGCATTGGGCAGGATACGGCCGAATGTCAGGTGAGGGGATATGGGTGCAGGGTCCGCGATGGGGACCTAAGAGATGCGAGTAAATACCATATCTAAGCCAATGTTTAAGCCAATGTTTATAGGCAGTGACTTACATGGATGGTAAAGGCTGGGATAAGCTTGGGAAAGTTGGTCATGGTGGCTTGGGTGCTTCGGCTAAGATTCAATCAAGCTTCAAAGCAAACACCAATGTGAAATGCTTCATATAGATGGGTCGGATATGGGACTCCGTGGACGTCTATTGTTGATTTAAAAGATTTGCAGCATGGAAAGGAAGAACCACAGAACAGAACGCTGTGGCAGGTACGAGGATATAGCATCACCTACCCCCAACGAGGTGAAGGGAGGTAGGTCTTGCTGTACCCCATACGATCCTTATCCACTTTCCTTCTCGTTGCCCGGGCCTCGACTCACCGAACAGTTTCAGGTGTAGTTAAATTTTGCAGGCTGGGCCAATATTACAAAAAAGCAGTTCTATTATATTACATCTCCTGGCTGGAAGAACTCCGACGAAGCTTTCTCCGTTGATTGGCAGCGCCATCTATGAAACACTCTTGTGCGATGACAGGGGCTTTACGATGAAAGAAGCTCGATATGACACCCGCATTTGGTTTCTGCACACCTCAGATTCAGACTATTCGCTTAAGAGTGATATCGAGGAGGGTTTGTTCTTCCTCCAGGCTGGCAGTCTGGCTACCTACCTAAGTACCTATGATCCCCAGTACCACATCCATTCTTGAGCCACTACTGCGTAACAGTATGATGCATGTCTAGTAGGACATGTGTCGAATGTAGCTCAGCCAAGAAGTTCACCTGCAGCGGATGTGCAAAAAGATGAAAGCTACGTAGTGTACACAGCCGCAGCCTTGGTCTCTTAATCCGAGTATTTGTTAAACAGCTGGAGTGCTTCGTCCTACCTGTGATCACTGATCTATAGGCTGTCACAACCTGTCAGTCACATGCTTGGACTATCACCAACTGACAAAACCTTTCAAATGCAACGGGATTGATGAAGAGTTCTTTTGAACGGCGTAATGAGTTGATGGCAAACCTGTGAATCTGGGTTCATAGGTATTATGGCTGAAGGATGTAATCTGGACATAGACATGTGAAAGATTACCACAGAGAATGTGAAGGGTGTCAAGTGCTAAGCTGAGCCGGGCTGATTCTACCTGAGGGTCCGTGGGCTACTGCATTTTGAGCTGACATCATTCACCCAGGTCTTGGCATCGAGTACTTCCATCCTGGATCTCTTCTTTCTCACACTTCACCTTTATTCTTCGCCGTTAACTCGACATGTTCACCTGCAAAGTTTGGCAACCCCCATAATCGTCAGGAGGTTGCTTCTAGCGTTTTATTATATCTAGAGCTAGGAACACTTTACAGGACCTCGCTATCGCAATACTCTCGAGATCCACAAACGTCTTGCTGGCTGAGATACGGAGAGGTACTCTGTTCCTATTTCTTGCATCCCACGTGGCCCCAATCATCCTCCTGTCTCTACGCCAGCGGCACCAAAACTATCGCATCACCGCTTGGACATTTGCCGCTTGTATCCGTCACGTTACGGGTTCAAGACCGCCTCTCTATTTGCTGCCATAGGAGTTATCTCTGGTTGGCAGAGCTCCAGGCTTTCTGGCACCAGGAGCAACCTGCTTTGCTGCTCGCCCACACCCCGATCCCCCACCAGCCTAGCCCACTCAGCCTGCGCAGCCCCGGCCCCAGAGGTCCGCCCCGTCGGATCGAGCTGAATCCCCGATCCCGTTAAGTACATCGGTCATCCGTCGCCGACTTGCCCATGAACCGACCAACCGGCCAGACGCCGCCGCCGAGCGGATCCGCTCCTACACGCGCTAACCCGCTAAACACCCCATCCCACCCCGGTCACTCGTCACGCGCGCGCAAGCATCATCGCGGAGGGAAGAAGAACAAGAAGTCTAGGAGGAAGTCGTTCGCTCTCCTTCCTGACATGGCCCAAGACAGCGTCAACTCGGAAGGCTTGAGCGAAGCGCCCCCACGCTTTTATTCCCGGCCAAATCATAACCTGAGCAACACAAGCCTTGAAAGTGCGGCATTGCTAGACCATCGGTGTGTCTGAGATGTCTCCTGCTCAGCCCACGGCCGAATGACAAGAATTATGTACCAATAAGCTAACGCGATCCCTTTGCAGAGACCAGCAGCCATTCTTACGTCCGCGGCGCCCGTCCATGATGGCAAGCGCTTCTTTTCCGGCATCGCAGCCTGCCACTCGATCGAAGGTCAGCGGGAATGTTGAACACAGCGACCGGGAAGATAACGAGACCGCACCTCTTCTTTCCAATCCGTCGTTCCAGCGAAGCGAAACCATCACAGTCTATGGCTCAAATGACACATCTCAGCGCAGGAGCGGGCCTGCCAGCCGACGCAACTCGAGCAAGGCGAGCAGTCATCGCCGGGTACAGACCACAAACTACAATGTCAATTATCCCCCCTCGGTTCCGGGTTCTCCTACCATGCGCCCATCGGACCGCCTCGAGATGAGTTTTGGCGACGTGCTACTCCGTGATGATCTTGAAGGAGACCAGCGATCGCCAAGGAGAGATTCTCTGGATGAGAGCGGTGATCGTGGAGCATATCCCCCTTCTCCCCAAGATAGGAGGAAGTCTATCGCCTTACAGGCCCAAAATGACGTGTGCTTCCCACAGGAAGGCTTGTCAGACGTTGCCGACGACGAGCTTGCTCCTCAAGAAACGGGAGCGTTCCGCAGGAGGGCCCGCAGGCGGCGTACCAAGTGGCCAAATCTGGCGATTCTGGAGGAATGGAGTCGCATGGAGAAGGAAGGCCGCAGCGAAGAGCGCCGTGTCAAGAAGATTACGGAGCCTCAACTGATCAATGGTCGGCTGAGGCCTGTCCACCGGGGCTGGTTCCAGGCCCAGGAAGAGGCCCCTTATCGCTTCACCTACTTCAACGAGGAATTCCCGAGCACGATTCACAGCCAGACGATCTCGGAGCTTGTTCAACCTGGCGGCACCTTCAAGGAGCTGTTCATGCCAGATCCCCCTATCTTGCCAGATAGCTCCGAGAGCGAGGAGGAGGAGCCTGATAGCGATCTGCAACAAGTTCTTCAGGGACAAATTGGCGCGCCTAGCATCCCTGTGAATCAGCCAACCCTGACCAGCTCACCCAAGGACATCGGGTCCAGGAAGCAGTCCGGCACCAGTGACAAGAATTTATCATCGAATGGAGCGGGTTCAGTCTCGGCTGTCAAATCCCAAGATCCCAGCAAGTCTCCCAAGTCGGAAAAGCCCCCAAAACCCCCAAAGTTTGGCGAGCGACCAGTCTGGTGGCTGGATGTGCTCTGCCCCACGGAGGCCGAGATGAAGGTTCTTTCTAAGGCGTTTGGTTTGCATCCCTTGACAGCCGAGGATATCATGATGCAGGAGCAGCGCGAGAAGGTCGAGCTCTTCCGGAACTATTATTTTGTCAATTACCGCACCTTCGACCAGGACCAGACCAGCGAGAACTTCCTGGAGCCGGTCAACATGTACGTGGTTGTGTTCCGCGAAGGCGTGCTTAGCTTCCACTTCAGTGTTACGCCACACCCGGCCAACGTGCGCCGTCGCATCCGTCAGCTGCGCGATTATATGATTCTCTCCTCTGACTGGATCTCGTACGCCATCATCGACGACATTACTGATGCTTTCGGTCCCCTTATCCAAGCCATTGAAGACGAAGTTGATGAGATTGACGACGCCGTCCTGCAAATGCACTCCGCAGATGATCCAACAAGTCGGGATAAGAAGCTTCAGGAGGGCAGCGGTGGTGACTCGGCCGAAGCTGGTCGCGACATGCTGCGGCGCGTTGGCGACTGTCGCAAGAAGGTTATGTCGCTTTATCGTCTGCTGAGTAACAAAGCAGATGTGATCAAGGGCTTTGCTAAGCGCTGTAACGAACGCTGGGAGGTGGCGCCCCGGTCGGAGATTGGCCTGTACCTGGGCGACATCCAGGATCATATTGTGACCATGACATCGAACTTGAGTCACTATGAGAAGTGAGCACTACTCCATTTTGCAACTTGACAAGATGAAGCTGCTGACGGTTGGACAGGATCTTGGCTCGCTCCCATGGCAATTACCTCGCACAAATCAACATACGTATGAACGAACGTCAAGAACAGACTGCCGATGTGCTGGGCAAGCTCACCGTCCTCGGTACCATCGTCCTGCCTATGAACATTATTACTGGTTTGTGGGGCATGAACGTGTGGGTGCCCGGCCAGGGCGCCGAGGGTGACCTCCGCTGGTTCTCGGCAATCACGATCGGACTGCTTGCCTTTGGACTCGCGTGTTACTGGATTGCGAAGAGGGTGTACAAGATTGTGTAAAGGGATTCACTTGGCGGCGATTATTTATGTTTCTTGGGTTAAAAGAGGTATGAAGTTCTGAGAGAGGCATTTGGTCTGCATTTCTTCTACATTTCCGTTTTGGATAAAGGTTTAACTGACAGGGCATACATCATATACATGGTTTGGCGTTTGGCAGGGAGGAATGTTATGTCTTCGGCGGCCATAGAAGATTATTTATCAAACAGTTTTGGATACCCCGAGGGCTAGGTATGAGCTGTCTCGGATCACTAGGTCATCTTCCCATAGCGTCTTGCCTAGAGCGAATACTTCCAGAGCAAATACCGATGACTCAAAGGATTATATATGAGCCTTCCCTAGTGGCCTTAGACAAGCTCGGTTATTCAAGCTCTAACAGTGCACAATATGTTCATCTTAACACAGATTTTCTGTCAACCCCAAAGAGCCTATACCACTTTAGCTTTCCTTTCTTTGTCAAGCCCTGGACGCCGAAACTCCCAAAGCTCTCCCCGGATTAAGAAAGAGCGATATACTTAGAAAAGTAGCCAGTTGATTACTGGTAAAAGCCGGCCAAAGAGAATAAGCATGCAGCTATTACGGAAGCTGGCGGATGCTGGTGATCCCTTCCTTCCAAGAAGACCATTCTGCTTTCCCTGCAGGCTTCTCTTCTTTTCATTTTTGCAGATCTCTAGCCATAATAAATGTGGCAAAGCTCCTGGAATCTCATTTCCCTTCGCTCAACGCTTCAGCTGAGCAGCATAGCTCGCCCGTAGCGCCATGATTTGCTGTCTCTCCACTTCAGGAAGTTGATCAATCGTCTCCTGCGGCAGCTCCAGCACCGCGCGCATCAGCGCTTCCGGATCCTGCGCGATAGCAGCAGCCCCGGCAGCAGGCTGAGCTGCAGCAGGTGGCGGCGCAGCCGCCGGAGAACCCCCAACCGGTGTGCCTGTGGCACCAGGGTACCCGTACGGAGGGGGCACCACCGCGCCGGGAATGGTTGACGCTGCAGTTGTCGCGGCGGTCGGTTCCAGGACGGAGTTGATGGCTTCAGGGGAGACCAGGCCCATAATCAACAGGGCTTGGAATACGGCATAGCTTAGCTGGGGAGCCTGGGTGAGGAGTTCGGTGGCGCGGGCTGGGTCAGTGGTGGCGAGTGTTTTCATTTGCTGGAGGATGTCGAGGAGTTGGGCTGGGGGGAGGGTGTTGAGGGTGCGGGAGATCGCGTCGGTGCAATGGACTCCTGGGGGAAGGTCCTTGCCCTGGGGGAGAGGGGGGAGTGTGGTTGAAGGAGTGCTGCTAGTTGGGGAGGTGGAGTAGTTGTTGGTCTACGGGGATGTTAGCCAAAGTTAAGAAACTGGAGGAAGTTTAAAATAGGCACATACAGCGCCATCGCGATCGCGATTGTCGTCGTCACCGACTACCTCGTTGCTAAAGTCCACACGTAGCTTGCGCCCCATGATCTCGTAGTCATTGAGATTGCGTACAGCTGAAGCAGCTGAGTCTATGAAAGGGGTCAACAACACAATATCACTGGCCTGGACAGAAGCGAAATGTAATACCGTAGTCAGGAAACTCAGCGAAGCCGAAGCCCTTAGGACGACCAGTTTCGCGGTCATACACAAGCCGGAAGTTGAGTACCTTGCCGGCACCGCTGAAGATTTCGGTGATTTGCTCTTCAGTCAAGCCTACATCAAGTTGTTAATAGGTTGGGTTTTGCTACAACGATGCCAGCAAACGGTTCAAACAATGGCTCAACAACAAAATAACACCTCGAACGTACGAACAAAAGTGACTCACCATATGGGATATTGCCCACAAAGACAACACGCGAGGGCTGCCGGGTAGACATGGCGCCGATGACTAAAGGCCTGCTTGCGCTTGCGCTGCAGACAGCTGAGGGAGATGAAGAGCAATGAGGGTGTTAAATGGGAATATGGGCGCAATCACAGAAGGACAACGGTAGCCAGAACGTAGCCGGCGCGACACTATGGGGCAATGAATGCGCAAAGGTCGGTTGATGTAAAGAGCAGGGAGATCAGTAAGAGACTTAGAGAAGTGAGAATTGGAGATACGAGATGTTGGGACTGTGGGACTCGGCCAAAGGCACAAGGGCAGAGAGGACCTCGGGACCAGCAGAATCAATGGGCGTTCACCAGAAATGGCGGGGTAATAAAGCAATTCGATTTCTCAATGCTTTTCCCTCAGAGCCCTAGACAAGTTTTCTGCTAAATGCCCTTTGGTTACCAATTCAAGGGGATTGAATGAATTGTGCTGTCTAAAAGTCGAGGCTCGAAAATTGCCTGCATCAAAAGCTCCAGACGCCAGATGAAGGTACGTACCGCCACCCAGCTCTTAACGCGCAGCTGAGAGCACGTGACATGGATGCGACGATCCCTGGCCGACGTCAAGGTTGAGTGTTCACCGAAGAATGGTGCACGGACCATCTTGCAACCAAAGCTCCCCAACTGTGGTTCCCCACATCACCGCGCAGACCGAAGTGCTAATGGAAGTGCTGCAGCCACTCTGGTGACAGCCACTGCATGTCGCTCCCTCAGCAAGATGGCGAACCGCAACCCATTTGAGGAGTACGCCAACAAGTTGAGGCAAGCTGCCGCCAGGTCAGGCGCCCGCGGTGCTTTCCGTGGCATGCCGGGCGGCAGCCCTCGCGGCCTCGGCGGCGCTGCTGCCACCTTGATGCTTCTCGGTGGCACTGCCTTCGTCTTCAACAGCTGCCTTTTCAACGTCGAGGGTGGTCACAGAGCGATCAAGTACAGGAGAATAAGCGGTGTCAGCAAGGATATTTACGGCGAAGGTGCGCAATAGCAGCTCATGGCGCCTGGCGGTGCGATACACGTCACGTCTCTCAAGACCAATGGCTAATGCAAGTGGCGCTTCAGGTACCCATTTCATGATCCCGTGGTTCGAGACGCCCATCATCTACGATGTCCGCGCGAAGCCGAGGAACGTCTCCTCTCTTACTGGCACGAAGGATCTTCAGATGGTCAACATCACCTGCCGTGTCCTTTCCAGGCCCGATATCCAGGCGCTGCCTCAGATCTACCGCACCCTCGGTCTTGACTATGATGAGCGCGTGCTTCCGTCGATCGTCAACGAGGTCCTCAAGGCCGTCGTGGCCCAGTTCAATGCCAGCCAGCTTATTACCCAGCGTGAGATGGTTGCCAGGCTTGTTCGCGAGAACCTTGCCGGGAGAGCTGCACGCTTCAACATCCTGCTGGACGATGTGTCTCTGACGGTATGTTGCGGAGGATTGAAGCAGAAATTTTCTACAGAGGTCTTGCTAACTCCCGTCGCAGCACCTTGCCTTCTCGCCCGAGTTCACTGCTGCTGTCGAGGCCAAGCAGGTCGCCCAACAAGAGGCGCAGCGCGCTGCCTTTATCGTCGACAAGGCACGTCAAGAGAAGCAGGCTACAGTTGTCAAGGCCCAAGGTGAAGCCCGGGCTGCGGAGCTGATCGGCGAGGCTATCAAGAAGAACAAGGCATATGTGGAACTGAAGAAGCTAGAGAATGCTCGGGTGATCGCACAACTTCTCCAGGAGAGTGGAAAGAACAGGTTGCTGCTTGATTCAGAGGGTCTGGGTCTGAATGTGTTTGAAGATCAGGAGAAGAAATAAGGGATTGTGGCACATTCGGCTGAAAAGGGGAGGAGGGGATGGTTGATGGCAATCTCCGCTGTATGTGTATGTCATGGACTTGGGGCCAGGTGGCCGCCGTGTACAAGTAATTTATGATTGGAATGGTTTTGGGACTGAATCTTTGGTCTGGTTGAACGCGAGTTCAAACTGTCACTTAACAGCCCTCCTCCGCAAAAGAGGGGCCTAACATCAATCAACTAACCCCCTGTAGGTGGCAAATCCGTGAGTGACTGAACGATTAACATCATACGGTGATACCGGTGTACCAATATAGAGCATTGTAGCATGTTCAGGACCCAAAAAACAACAACTTCAAAACAGCCCATGGTGCTTCAAAGTTGCCTGACCATACAGTTTATTCTTACATGGTCCCACTTCACAAATTCATCAGCAAGCCGCGCGGCAGATGGAGCAAGGCAGGCCATTTGCCCCACTACCCCTCCCCCGCCTGCCTGCTGGCATCTGGCCCGAGCTGCTGACTGATTTGCACCCACCATCCTCAAGACCCTTCCAATCAATACGAGTCCCATCTTCCGTGACGCCAACTTCTCACGCTTTTTATTCTGGGGACACGTCTATCACTGCTTCAAGCAGGTTTCTCACTGCGCACTAGTCTGGGTGAATCAACCTTCACAAGGCGCCAGAACCAACATTCCGTCAACAGGACCCTTCGCTAAACTGTTGACCATATCCATCTTACAAAGATGCTTATCAAGTGAGAATGACCCGATAATGGGGACGGATGGAGCTGTGGTTCCTGAGTCTCCCGTGCCTTTTTACACTCATGTTCTCAATCCCTCACAATCGACTACTCCCGAGACCATAAAAGTGAACAGTAAGAAAAGCAAGCCGCTGACCAGGGATCATGCCCCCCATATTGGGGCTGTGTTGGGACTAAAGGGTACGCACACTCTCCGGCAAGGAGATTGATCTCGACATCGAGCCCACCGACCCGGTATGTTGCACTCGCGCGTCCTTGACATCTGTTTTCAATATGGCTTCGACACCACCACTTTACCCCCCATACATACCATGTCACATCCCAAACCCTTTCAGAACATAGAGCAACCAAACGCAAGTTGTCTAGGCATGACTGACGCAAGCGACTATCCCCGGCACACAAACAGGTCTCCAGAATCAAGGAGATCGTCGAGGAGAAGGAGGGTATACCTCCTGCCCAACAGCGTCTGATCTTTGAAGGCAAGCAAATGTATGTTACATGCTGTCTCCTAGGAGCTCTCCCTTCTCAGACGGGCGCACATTCTTAACCTTGTTAACTCTAGGGTCGATGACAAGACGGCAGCCGACTACAAACTCAAGGGCGGTGTCACCCTTCACCTTGTCTTGGCCCTCAGGGGTGGCTTCTAAACGATGGGACAGACTGACAGGTCTGTCATGGCGGCCTGGGTTTAGGGAGTCTGTGCTTCTGTGACTGGAGAGCCAGAGGATTTGGGTAAGACGAGGTTTGAGGGGCATAAAGCAGGCGCATTGGCGGTCTTCTGCATTTTTTGCTTTTGGCTTTGCTGAAATACGGAAAGAGAAGGGAATAGATCCCTTTATTTGGGCAGCCACCCGATTACAACAAAGCGTTGGGGAGAAGTGTTACATGTGTGGTTTTGTGTACCAAGGTGTCTGGTTTCAGACAATCCTGTTGCTCTGTTCACGAACAGCGGCGTCCGTCCAAGAATTGATTTTGAAAGATATCACTTGAAGGCGTTGAATGCAGCTCATTTCATCTCTTGCAAACTATTAAGTTTGGGCATGATCATTCACTTGCTTTCATCACATTTCTCTGAGCCAGACGTGATATATCCACTTCTGATGAGCAACCTTTTCAGTTTTATCAGATGAAAACGGCTGATACCCCTGTATTGAACTCCCAAAAAGAGATTTCAAACTTTCCATGTTCAGAATCGGCATTGGAATACAACAGTTCCATGAAAATGAGCAATCGCTTTACGAAGAATTCCTCTTAAAAGATTCAGCCTCGGGTTTAGCCTTCCATCGCCCAGTCTTCGGTTTTCTGACCATACATAAACTCATACAAAATCCAAGTCGAAAGTCTAGTTTAATCTCTTTTATCAGTTGTTTAGAGTCAAACTCACATGATCCAGACTGAACCTCAACATTGGTTACGATGCCTATATTCACGCTGACGCTCCCCCCCTTTTTCACTGCGATAATATCCAAGTACGAAGCAGCACGGATGATGTCCATGGATTTAATCTTTTCAAGATTCTCTGCTGTGTTCCCGTCTTGTACGGTGCAGAGAAAGTCAACCCACAGATAGCGCACTCTGATCTCTTTCTTTTACAACATAACATCGCTAATGGTTTTGGAAATGTTGTTACTAGTCTCCAATTTGTCAAAGGAAGCACCTAAAATTTCAACCTCGTGAAGAATATTTTTCATTGTGGTCACCACCTTGTCAGTCCCCCAGACATAGCTTTAGGATAACGTAATTAAGTAGTCTGTTGTAGAGAAAAAAAAGACACCCAATCTCAACATCAATATAGCGGAGTTTAATCGCAAGAACTTCTTTTGTATGTGATGCCTCTAATTTCTTTAGAAAACTATTTTCCTCACATTAATGTCCATACTATCCCTCGCTGACCTCAGGCCGATGTTTCATCAAAGCGAAATCATTTGTCTCAGGCCTAATAGTTTTGGTGCGGGAATCGGCTGCCCAGGCCAAGGGTGTACTCAAAACATCAATAAGAAAGAACCTGATAGAAAACGCCTGCCATACTTCAGGTGTTGGATTCCCGGCGTAGCCTGAGAACTCGCCAGAGACGGTTCCTTGCCGACAAATGGACGCCTGAAGACGCCAAAGACATCCGCACGAGTATCGGAGTCCTCAGCAAGGGCACCCCTTTTAAGAATGCGCAACCGTGCGAGGACCGGCAGATACAGTGGACTTTATGATTGTTCACCAGTTCAGAGATTATGCCCAGGCTGTAAACTGGCATTTTTTATCCCTAAGCTTGAGTGGATCAAGAGATGAGCATATATCACAAAGCCAATCATCTAGGTGCGTTATATCACGGACTGACCAGAGCGCAGTGGTGAGAGTTCGACATCAAAACTGGGTAGATTCATCACTAAGCATCATTAGCCTGCTCAACTGCTGTGTAGTTTGTTTCGCATTGGACTCGAGCCCCATCTGGTCGGGCGGTTCAAATATGCAGACAGTGAAATGATAATTACGAGAGACGATAGAAAATCTGCCAAACAAGAAGGCTTGGAGGAATACACGTGGGCCAATGAACAGTTGGGCTCAGCAACAATGCCTTAGGAATTATTATCAGGTACAGATACTTCTCCGCAGATAGCCTTCTTTGCTAGTTTGGCTCCTATGCAACAGTTGAGATCAATAGGGGAACTTACAGACCATACGACTGAATGTAGGCGTTGTGGATATTGATGAAATGGCAGATCATCGAAGTTTTGCCTTTGCCCAAATCAACAAACTGGTACACCGAAATGGACCCGGAGCCACCTATCTAGGGACGACACAATCAGCACTTGCTTAATCCATAGGGGTAGAAGTTTTCGCTCCGCGCTTGTTACCTATCTCGTCTAAGATCTTGCTCAGATCGGCAGGGGGAGTTTGCCTCTATCCGCGGTCAGTGAAATTCATGTGATTGAGAAAGGTATCCATTGCCAATGAGGATTCTTTACAAAATTCACGGCGTCGCAATATGGCTATATGAAGATAAGGTAGGTTACGGAGGCTCTTGAAACGCGGTAAGGGCATGGCTGTTTGCGCAGGGCTGCAGGTCAGCAGCACACTGGCCGGAATGCAACCCGTAGGGACGTAGGGACGGAGCCAGGAGAAACGGGGGGCTTTGGAAATACCTCCTGCATCTAACTATTTATGTTGAGCATTAGAGGAGGCCATTGGTTGTCAAAGCGTGCAGATGATTTGATGAGAGGGGCTAGGGATCTTGCAAGGTTGGAGGTGCTGGGATGCATCCACATTCCAATCCAATGGGAGCTGGAGAGGTTTTGTTGGTGAAGCGGTGCTGGACGTTATATCTAAGTCGCTGCCAAGACTCTGAACAGGATGGAAGCTACAACCCAATCCTGCGCGATTTGGGATCATATTTGAGCATTGATCTTAAGGCAGGAACTATGCGTGTGTAAATAGGACATAGGCAGGCGCCTAGGTAGCTAAAAGGAGTGGGATTGCAAGTGCAAACGCGGGAGAGGAGTGTGGCGTGACTCAGGCCTCTTTTGTGGGAGTTTTCTGCCCCCATCTCCACAGTTTTCTCGAAGCCTTCGGTGGGATGGTTCAACGCCACATCCCGTCTCTTTTCTCCGATTTGTTCGAAAACTGCCCGATTTCCTCAATCACCTGTGGCTTCTGTATGGTAGTACCAAGTTTCGAAGATCAGGCCTTGCTGCCCAGCATGCGGATTCCACTCTTCCAAGATATCCATGGATATTGACGTTTTAAAATTACCAGTTTACCCCCGTCCTTTAGAGTAACACCGAAGAGGCCGATCCGACCAGGCCATCGGATCTGCTGCCGCTAGCACTAACCGTTTGATAGAGCAGATCCCGCAGTTATGTTCCCGACAACTTGTGCCAGGGGTCATGTATATGGCATGGCATCAGGTCCACCTGGATATGTAAGTTGTACGATCAACCCAATTGGTTAACTGCGACGGTTCTTGGTTGCAATTGACTGTTTTGTAGCCTTACAGTTCTCAAGAGAAGCCAAGTAACGGTGGGTGTTGCTAAAGTGAGACCTTCAACAACCTTGTCAATGGCACACAACGAAGTACAGATACAACCAATCCACGTCGCCGGGCCCGCCCTGCCATGGAAAACGGGCCGGGCACCCGGCCCAAGCGAAAGGACTGCCGTTTCTGACCTGCACTGCTCCACGGCCGCCGTGCTGCAATGTTTCGTCATTGATCTCGGCTCCAAGCCTCATCTTCAGACCGAATAGCATTCTACCGGCCGAGTTGCTGTTCTGATCGACCTTTCAATGTGGCATCCCGAGCCAAATCCAGCAAAATCATGACCAGGTTCTTCTCCAACAGTCAGAAAACCATGGGTTTCAACCGATTGGCTTTCAAGAGCTAGCATCAAGTGTCAGCCCGCGGCTGTGTACATAGATCAACTTGATATGCGGTCTCTCCCGGCCTCCCGTGGTTGGGGAGAGGATCAATCTGCGTCATCAAGAAGCGCTAGTGAAGGTCTTAATGGAGCTGCTCTCATAAAAGGGTGTGCTTGGCGCAGCTCTGACAGGGATTTTTCACCCAACAGTCCAGTGTGTTTCTGCTCGACGGCTATCTCGGCACGAAGACACCGCGTCAAGAAACTTTCCTGGATGAAGTAATGTTCAGCAACTTCATTCGAGGAAGTGTGCCGAGGATAGACAATACCTATCTGGAAATGAAGCCTCGCTGAAACCAGTCGTATCCCTGTTCTCTCCCATTCCCGGAGTATACTGAACTTTCTCCCGTTAATAATGGCGATGTCAAACCGCCATTGCCTAGGGTGCGTCTTATACATCCTAGAAGGCGTCAAAGGCAACTTATACCGCCAGAGTGCTACTCCCGGCCGCTTGGCATCCGGGATGCAACAATATCCCTACCTCAACTTTGATCCCTCAGAGAATCCACGTTTCTCCTCCCCCCACTGAAACGAACTCCTAGGACAATGGAGGTCTTGGCTACCGGAGAGAATCCATTTTGCGCAATAAGCCTGTGGACTACCGGCCTTTCCGTGATGTGCCTGATCTCGATGCTACCGCTCAAGCGGTCCGCCTCATCCGATATGGCTATTTGTACCCGCGGGCGGCAGTCAGAGAGCGGGGGATTGGAGGATCGGAAGCGTCGAACTACTCCGTAACCCCTCCCATGATCCGTGACTAGGTTATGAAGACGCCACGGGTCTGTTTATTGCTCAACGTGGGCATGCTCCTCCGAGATGTCTGCTTTAGGTAGGTAAATAGGACAAGCGTTTCCTCTCCGCAAATGGTCCGTCTCCTCTAGTTCTCTCATCTCGCTCACCGGGAGAACCGACTCCATCCTACTTTGTCGAGCCCGGTTTGGCCAATCTGTAGATGGTCCTCTGGGGCCTTTCTCTGCTTTTGGAGTGCACAAGCGAGAGGGCATGTTGAGAGGCGTGCCCAACAAAACCGGACCTTGACTTATATAAAGCTTTCGTTCTTATCTCTTGTCGTCTCGGTCGTTTACTTGCAAGAACCCCGGCAGCTGGGTTGCCATCCGCATCACATACCCGCTCTTCTAGTTCAACACGTATCTTGCTTGTGTCGGCCCTGTTCTACACTAGGCCGGATCCCTTTCCCTCCATACTCATCACCGAGCGTCGCCACTTGGGCGAGTCTTGGACGGGAGATTGCACAGCTAGACACTTCCCATGCAGCAGTTAACATGGCCCAGGATATCTACCCCAATGGTTCTCCAGCTGGCAGTATCGATGCCAATGGAACAACTCCTAATACGGAGTTCTCGCCCCAAGATAGTCCTGTTCTGCAGTATCAAACTCTCAACTCAAAAGACAAGAAGAGACTGCTTGCGAGAGAGAAATTGGCCACCTTGACATTGGAAGAAAAGATATCCCTTCTTACTGCTGCCGACTTTTGGAGGACCAAGGCCCTTCCTGAAAAGGACATTCCTGCAATCAAGACAAGCGACGGACCCAATGGCGCTCGCGGGTCGATCTTTGTCGGTGGCACCAAGGTAGAGTATACCGTGAATCAGGGATATGGTTACAGTCATGATGCTAACTGTCGCCAGGCCGCACTCTTCCCCTGCGGCGCCTCGCTTGCAGCGACCTGGAACAAGGAACTTCTGTATCAGGTCGGCCAGCACCTTGCCCGGGAAGCCAAGGCTCGGGCAGCTAACGTCTTGCTGGCTCCCACTGTCTGCATGCATCGACATCCGCTGGGAGGACGGAACTTTGAGTCGTTCTCCGAAGACCCCCTCTTGACTGGCAAGCTGGCTGCCCAATATATCAGGGGACTGCAGGACGGTGGGGTGGCGGCCACGATTAAACGTTGGTTCTCTCCCGAGTATCTTAATCTCGAGGGGCAACCGGATGCTGACAGACAGACATAAGACTTTGTGGGCAACGAGCAGGAGACGAACAGGCTGACAGTCAACTCGGTCATTGCTGAGCGGCCGCTCCGTGAGATCTACCTGCGTCCCTTCGAGATCGCCGTGCGCGAGGCTAGGCCGTGGGCGCTCATGGCATCGTATAACGCTGTTAATGGTGTTCATGCTGACATGAATACTCACATTCTGAGGGACATCCTTCGTGGTGAATGGGGCTATGATGGGTAGGCCGTAGTAACATGGATAGCGAACAAAAAGGCTAAGTCTTACTGACCCTTCGTAGAACCGTCATTTCCGACTGGGGCGGCATGAACTCGACCGTTGAGTCTCTCAAAGCCGGCTGCGACATCGAATTTCCCTTCTCAACCAAATGGCGCTTTCACAAGCTCCTCGACGCCCTCCGCGCAGGCAAAATCACCGAAGAAGATATCGACCGCGCAGCCGAGAACGTTCTCACACTCGTCGAGCGCACCAAAGGCAGTGACCTAACTCCCGAGCCCCCCGAGCGCGAAGACGACCGCCCTGAAACCCGCGCCCTGATCCGTGAAGCCGGCGTACAAGGCATCACGCTCCTCAAAAATGACCGTAAACTCCTTCCCCTGGACGCAGCAACGACCCGGGTGGCCGTCATCGGCCCTAACGCTGCCCGCGCCATTGCCGGAGGAGGCGGCAGCGCCTCCCTCAACCCGTACTACACTACCACGCCGCTGGATGGCATCAGGGCCCTGGCCAAGCAGCCCGTCACGTACAGCCGGGGATGCCACATCCATAAGTGGCTGCCTGTGGCGTCGCCGTTGTGCAGTGACAAGCTTGGCAGGCCGGGCGTGACGATCGAGTGGTTCCGTGGAGACAAGTTTGAGGGCGAGCCGGTGCTCGTGCAGCGTCGGCTGAACACGGATCTCTTCCTGTGGGACTCAGCGCCGTTGGAGAAGGTCGGCCCGCAGTGGTCGGCGGTGGTGACAGGCTATTTGTTGCCGCCAAGTAGTGGCAGGCATACGCTGTCGTTTATGTCGGTTGGGCCGGGTAGATTGTTTGTGGATGGGAAGTTGCTGGTGGATTTGTGGGAGTGGACGGAGGAAGGAGAGGCTATGTTTGAGGGGTCAGAAGATGTGCTTGTGCAGTTGGATATGCGTGAGGGACGGGCGATTGAGTTGCGAGTGGAGATTACGAATGAGTTGCGGCCAAGAAGGAAGCAGGAGGTGTTTGGGATTACTCATAAGTATGGTGGGTGTAGGATTGGATTCCTGGAGGAGGATAAGGTTGACTATTTTGAGCAGGCTGTAGAAGCGGCCAAGCAGGCGGATGTGGCAGTCGTGGTGGTTGGATTGGATGCTGAGTGGGAGAGTGAGGGGTATGATCGCGAGACAATGGATCTGCCGAAAGACGGGAGCCAGGATAGGTTGATTGAGGCGGTGGTTAGGGCGAACCCGAACACCATCGTTGTCAACCAATCTGGGTCACCAGTTAGCATGCCCTGGGCAGACCAGGTTCCTGCTATCATCCAGGCGTGGTATCAGGGGCAGGAAGCTGGGAATGCGCTTGCCGAGGTGATATTTGGAATACGGAATCCTAGCGGCAAGCTCCCGGTATGTGCCCCTTTCTCATTTAACCCGGCTTCACTGCCTCATTTTGCCATTGGGCCTCTTGCCACTGACATCTTCATAGGTAACTTTCCCCCGGCGACTGGAAGATACGCCAGCCTACCACAACTGGCCTGGTGAACACAACACGGTAATGTACGGTGAAGGCATCTTCATCGGCTACCGACACTACGACCGGACGCACATTCCCCCCCTCTTCCCCTTCGGCCATGGCCTGTGCTACACCCAATTCGAATACGGACGGCCATCAGTCACTCCCAAAATCCTGCGCGAGTGCGGCTCGCTCGAAGTAATTGTCGCTGTGACCAATATTGGCGACAGAGAAGGAATGGAGACCGTGCAATTCTATGTCAGGAGGTGCGACGAGAAGGGCAGGAACAAGAACAAGGTTGTCAGGCCAGAGAAGGAGCTGGTTTCGTTTGAGAAAGTTGAGTTAGAGCCTGATGAGACAAAGCACATTCGTGTGATACTGGATAAGTATGCGGTTGGGTACTGGGACGTTGGGGAGAATAGGTGGGTAGCGGAGCAGGGGAAGTGGGAAGTATTGGTTGCAGCGTCGGCAGGGGATGTTAGGTATGTGCTTCCATTTCTGAGATTTGTGTAAGTTTCATGCTGACGACTCTGTCAACACAATAAACACAGGTATTCTGCTGCGTTTGAGATTAAGAAGTCATTTTCATGGGTGTTTTGATTTTGACGAGGGCCGATCTACCAAGAGCCTCTGGAGGTCCTGGATTGTTGAAATGGTTTTGCTTCAATCGTACATATTGTGACATGTGTATTGTTTGGATACTTTGATGTCTGTATATTCTTTTTGTGTTGTGTTTTTCTTTGTTCTCTTTGAATCAACAAGTTCGACGAAGCTAGGCGTGTCCTTGAAGTCCACCTTTGGTGTCCGGCAACAATCTCATTGTCAGTACTAAGCAGCTACCAGGATCATCACTGCCTTCATCATTAGGGGGTTTGACCTCAGCTCCGAAACTGGTGATCTCAATACCAACGATATAGCCCTATATCAAACGATGCCGGCTGGGATACGGCTGAAGCATGAAGCAAGCGGCAGGATCGAATATGGGCAAAGTTGGACTTCTCGAACTTTTGTGTCTTAACCCCTGGGGTTAAAAAGCGCGGGGAAAATTGTGCTGGTTGACCCCACATCTGGAGGTGATGCCCCACAGCGGCAGGATACCCGAGTTCTAGGTGGCATCTGGCTGGCCCTGGACGGGTAGACCCATACCAGGCGGGTCCCTGTCACCGCCTCCTTTTTTGGGGAAGGATTAGCCATATTACAGCATTGCGATCCAGGGCGCGCCAGCCCAACTCCAAAAGTCTAGCACCACCTGTCTCGAAGTCTCGATTTCTGGACTTCAACACCCGACTGGCAATCACTGGACATGCTTCCCATTTGGCTGTTCTCCAATTGAGCCTTTATCAGGCAGTATTACGGATCCTACTGATCAAAGGTCACAGCGCTCGGCAGATGCTCGCCTGAACATTCGTCTTTGAAGCCATACTTTTATCCCCCAGACGTTCATCTTGCGACCTGGCCACATCCAACCACTTCCGAACCTCAAACCAATCGACACCACTACCCTCGGCCCGCCCTTGCTTCATTCTCTGCGCTCTGGCGCACAGTGATTGCATCAGGGAATGGAGAAGCAACAATAGTACACATTCAGCCATGGCCCGGCCTTACAGCATGAGCAGCAGTAGCAGCAGCCCCTATAGCGGGGGCAGCGGCTACGGCTATGGCTATGCCCCCTCCTCCGCCTACCTGTTTGGCCGCGACCGCGACAACACCTCGCTGCTCGACGACATGCGCGCGCTCCTCTCTCACTCCGTCCGCTCCTTCATGCGCTTCTGGCGCGCCCGCGGCCGCCGGATGGCCATTACCACTTTACGCTCATCCGTGCACAGGTTACGGCAGAACATGACATACCGACGGGTCGTCAGCTTCCCGCATATGCTGGTGCTGGTGTGGGTGGTTATTATGTTGTGGGGGGAGAGATGGGCGTTCCATTCGAAGGTAGAGAGTTGTCGGTGGGAAAAGTGGGAGAAGTGGGTAGGTTTATCGTCTCTCTGTGGCACGCCGTCATACATTGCACGGGTTGCCGGAGTGTTTTTGCGGGGGTTCCGAAGATAGGAATGGGTTTTGCTAACGTTCTGGATGTCATCTAGCCGGCTGGCGCCCAACCACATCGCGTCGCTCTTGTTGCCGACCCCCAGCTCATCGACCCTCATACCTACCCCGGCCGTCCGTGGCCGCTTAATCCGCTGACCATGCTGCTGACCGACAACTACCTCCGTCGTTCGTACGGCCAGCTGCAGGAGCAGCTGGACCCAGACACCGTCTTCTTCCTGGGCGACCTGTTTGATGGTGGCAGAGAATGGAAGACAGCACGCGGAAACTTTGAGGACCCCAAATGGGGGCCTCATCCAAAGCACGAGCAGAAGTTTTTGAAAACATGGCGGAAGAAGTATGGAGAGTGGTTTTGGCTGAGCGAGTATGCCCGGTTTGGCGATATCTTTGTCAACCCGTGGGTGAAGTCCGTTGCGGGATCTAGCAAGAAGACGACACGCAGGAGGAGAAAGCTGGTCACCAGCCTACCCGGTAACCACGATCTCGGTTTCGGGTCCGAGATCAAGGTCGCCGTGCGTAACCGTTTCGAGACTTACTTCGGCGAGGGCAACCGTGTGGACGTGATCGGCAACCACACCTTCGTGTCGGTCGACACCGTGTCCATGAGCGCCGCTTCGTCCGAGGAAGCGAAACGCTACGATCTCAAAAACATCTACGAACCCGTCCAGAACTTCTTGGATAACATGAAGACCCTCAAACAAAAAGCAGTTGAGCGGGAACTCCTCCATCTCCGTGGCGAGCTCCCGCCAGGTCGCTACGAGCACAAGGTCGAGCCTCTGGCGCAAGCCAAGTTCGGCGGCAGCAAGCCCGCCGTCACAGGCAAAACCGCCCCCGACCTACCCACCATCCTGCTCACTCACGTGCCCCTCTACCGGCCGCCCGGCACACCCTGCGGCCCGCTCCGCGAACGCTACCCGCCCACCAAACCACCCAAGGGCCAGACCGAGCCCGTCGTCCCCGACCACCGCAACGCCATATCCGTGTCGCGCGGCTACCAGTACCAGAACGTGCTGGGTGAGCGCGATTCCGAGGAGCTGGTGCGCAAGGTGGGTAATGTGGTGCACGCCTTTTCGGGAGATGATCACGACTATTGCTTTGTGAGGCATTCCCCCGCTCAGGGAGGTGTACCCGAGATTACGGTGAAGAGTATCAATATGGCGATGGGGGTGAGTAAGCCGGGGTTTTTGTTGGTATCGTTGTGGAATCCGATTGATCCCGTCACGGGGAAATCACTGGCTGTTGGGGGGGAGGGGCAGCCGACGCTGCAGACGCATTTGTGTCTGTTGCCGAGCCAGTTGAGCACGTATATAAGGTATGCGACGTTCGCGGTAATGTCGCTTATCTTGTTAGTCGGGAGGGCATTTTTGGTGCCGATTTGGGGGTTGACGCCGTTCGCGCTTGATCTGGATGAGTCAAGTGTCTCTGGAGCGAAGGTGAAGAATGGGGGCATCCTTCCCATGTACAAGGCGAAGCTTGAAGACTACGACGAGTACGCCAACTACCCTACGTCTCTCAACAAGGGCGGCGGCAATCGGTCTAGGAGCAACTCCCACAAGGGCCACAGCCACAGCCACAGCCACAGCCACAGCCATGGCAACCACCACCCCGGCCATAGCAGACGAAAGAGCCGAACCATTACCACGGCTAGTAGAGGTGCAGGGAGCGGAGGATCTGGGTCAAAGTATGGTGGTTTGGAGGGAAACAGCAGTGGACGAGTCAGATCGGCACCAAGAATCGAGATTTCATTGCATAGTGATAATGAGGACGAAGACGAAGACGGCACGACAGGGGGGTTCGGGAAGTGGAAGCCGAAGAAGGCCAAGAAGAGGAGGGGCCCGCGGGGCAAGGTTGAGGTGGTGGTGACCGAGGCGTGGACTAGCGTGTGGAGGGTGGTGTGGATGGTGGGGGGTTTTTTTGTGTGGCTGAACTGGAAGGGGTAGGGGGATCGTAGAGATGGCTAGTTACAGCACTGTGTAAACACGGATGGATTGGGTGGGAGGACGTTGGCTGGCTGTTTGTACTGGTGATAAGTCATATGGGCGGGTGCGTTTGATCTTGATCTCAGGCCGGCTTTCATCCATGATTTCGGTCACATTCGAACAAAAGAGCGCGTACATAGGTACATTGTACACTCAGCTATGGCTTGGTACCATGATAGCATTGGATTTGCTGCATTTGCTTGGTCAGCTGCCGCTTCTATCGCCTCACGATGTCTTACGTCTTGCTTTGGCTCCTTCTTTCGTGCCATTATTGTCGTCAGCATCTCTCGGATAGATCGGCAAATAAAGCCATTCTGAGACGCGGCCTTCCCTCCAAAAAACGTCCCTCCAGGTCCTAAGTGCCTTGGGTCCCTTCCCCGCACCCTGTGCCTTTCCGCCTTGCGCCCTTACCCTGCCCTGCTGCCTCTTTGCCCCAGCCTCGGACCCGGACGCGAACGGGCCGCGTCCACACGCGTCCGCGTTAAAGTGTTCGCAGTGTCCTCCAGCCAATCCCGTCGCGCGGGGGCTGGATCTTGGCGCGTTCTCGGGTGGACCCTATTCCGACGTGCGACTCCACTGGGGGGCTGAGAGAACTCCACTTTATCTTTTTTTCGCGTCTTCCAGGTCACGTCACCTCGGCTTGGTCAGCTCCGGTCAGTTGAAATTTGGGAAGGTTCAGTCAGCTTTTCATCCACCAGTACGGTGGCGTCCTTGTCAAAGCCTAATTAGAGGGAACGGAGGCAAAGATCTGCCCTTGGTTCATGCAATTGACTTTTTTTTTGTTGGTATTGGTGATGATCACATTGATGAGGATTGACGGGTGACGGCAGCCGGACAGCACGCCCTTCCTTCTGCTGCCTGTCCTGTGGAACTTGTACTTCCCCCCCCTCCCCCCCCCAAAAAAAGCCCCTGCATATCCTTAATTGAAGTGACGCCAAAAAGCGCGTCTCGCTTTTTATTGCTTCCGCAGGCAGAAACGCGTTCTTCCCTTCCAACTCCCCCAGCCCCGTCGAAGCACTGGGCACGCACAGGCATCGTCCACGGCTGGCTGAAGCGCTCCGACTGGCTCAATCCTGCCTGGGACCCGTTATTCCTGGAAGAAACACGGCTCCCTACACAGGGGCAGGGCTGCATTACCTACACAGTATAGCACACTCATACATCCTACTAAAAATCCTTGACCTTACATGATAACCGTGACACGCTTCGGACGGGTGGGCATTCATCGCTCGGCACAGGTTTGGGCTTGTCTGGATGCTTGCCATGCCCATCCTTAGCTGCAGCCAGCTAAGGCTTCGAAAAAGCGAAACCTGCAGCTCTTTTCTCCGCAATTCGTAACCCTGCTTTTTTTGCTGCCACCAAGGGTTCCTGTTAAAGTCGAACCTGAAACCCTGTTCCCATTCTGCAAACTCTTCCATTCCTCCTCCCAGCCGTCATCTACGCCGCCTCAGCCAGGACCAAAGCAGCGAACGAGCAGCCCCAAGCAGCACGGTTTGCCCTTCCTAAACCTGTGAAGTGTCGGTGCTGCTGCCCGTACGTTTTTTTTTTTTTACTACAACATACCCGCATTCGACTCTTAAAGTTTTCCTTGCTGCCCTCCAGCCCTTGATCCTCTTCCAGCCTGGAAAGCCTGCCTGGTTGCCTGCTGGTTGGCACTATTGGACTCTGCATACTATCACTTCCAATCAACACCCATTACACCCATCAACCCCGATACTTCACTTCTAGCCCCTGCCTGTTTGCCTGGGCAGAAGAAAGCCGCTCGAGCGCCAATTTTATTTTTCGACCGAAGGCAAAGCCAATTGCCCCTTTCCTTCGTCCTACTCCTCACTTGGAGTCGTACAAGGTCGAAAGATCTCATTTGTTCCGTTCCGGGATTGGGAAAGGAGCATCATCTACCGAATTCACCGACTTTTGTTTCTCAACAACAACCTTTCACACGCATTTCAACCTAAATCGCCCTCTTTCCTGCACTGGTCGAGTTATTCGACTTCTTCGATCTTCCATTATCTACCGATACCCTACCTCTTATCAATTTCCCTCCTCCAGACCCATCATCACCATGTCGACCCTCAAGCGCAAGGCTGCCGCCGAGGCCGGCTCGGAGCCAAAGAAAATCAAGCAGGCTGGCATCATGTCCTTTTTTGGGACAGCCAGCAAGTCCTCGGATAGCAACAGCAATAATAATAACAACAACAGCACGAACGACTCCGAGCCTGCCCCCAAATTTGACAAGGCCAAATGGGTGGCCAGCCTGACTCCCGAGCAGCGGAAACTGCTGCAGCTCGAGATCGATACCCTGCACGAGAGCTGGCTCGCCCTGCTCAAGGACGAGCTCGTCACCAAGGAGTTCCTCGAGCTGAAGCGTTTCCTCGAGCGTGAGACCGCTGCTGGTAAGCAGTGGTTCCCTCCGAAGGAGGATGTTTACAGTTGGTATGTTTTTCCATATCCCTCTCCCCATCCCTTACATCGCCCCAACGAAAACAACCGCTAACATCCCATCCGATAACAGGTCCCGCTACACCCCTTTTAACAACGTCAAGGTCGTCATCCTTGGCCAAGACCCTTACCACAACTACAACCAAGCCCACGGCCTGGCCTTCTCGGTCAAACCTCCCACCCCGGCTCCCCCTTCCCTTAAAAATATGTACATCGCCCTGAAAAACGACTACCCCCTCTTCCGCGAGCCCCCCAACCGCGGTGGCCTTCTCACACCCTGGGCCCAGCGCGGCGTGCTCATGCTCAATACCTGCCTTACCGTACGCGCCCATGAGCCCAACTCCCACAGCAACCGGGGCTGGGAGCGCTTCACACAGCGGGTGATTGACTTGGTCGCTCAGCGCCGCACGCGCGGCGTAGTCTTCATGGCGTGGGGCACGCCCGCCAGCAAGAGGGTCATGAAGATCGACACGAAGCGTCACCTCGTGCTCAAGGCGGTGCACCCTAGCCCGTTGAGCGCGGCCCGCGGCTTCTTCACATGCCACCATTTCAAGCTCGCGAACGACTGGCTCGAGGAGCGATACGGCAAGGAAAAGGGGCCGATTGACTGGGCGTTGATCGAGGGAGACAGCGTGTTTGAGGATAAGCAGCCGCCGCTGGGGAGTCCCGCAGCAAAAAAGCGGGAGGAGGAGGAGCAGCAGCAGAGGACACCTAAGAAGGGGAGCTTGACGGAGAAGGTGGAGGAGGTGGTTAAGGCGTCGGTGTTGGGACGGAATGTGAAGGAGACGATTGCAAGTGTGATGGAGGAGAAGAAGAGGGAAGTTGAGGAGAAGGAGAAGGGGGAGGAGAATGTTGCGCCTAAAGCTGAGGCTTAGGTGTCTCGGAGTATCGGCGCGCTGGCTTGAGCGCTGGTGGGCTTGACGTTGACGAAGTTTGGTGAGAGAAGCTTGGGAGCTGAGCTGTTTTCTGGTGATATCCAACAAATGTTGGCTGCCTCATTAGACAGACTTTACCGTGGCCTGACACTTCTCTTGGCCTTCTGGAAAGTCACTTCATCATCTCCATCTCCCTCTGACGTCTACACACTGGGATAGGTTTGGTGGAGACTGAAGGATGATGGGCGAAAAAAAAACCATTTATATGAGGTGGGGGACCGAGCAGGCAAAAACACCTTGCTCTTCTACCTTTTAACCACCCCCCTTTTTTTTTGTCTGTCTCTCTCTGTCGGTTTGGTTGGGGAGGAGTTTGGCATCAATCGGCGTTTGTGTTCGGCGGGTTTGTGTGACGCCCCCCCTCCCCCAAGAAAGTCTGAAATGATGAACGGAATGGAAATAGGATTGTTGGAGGAAGTGGAAGAAAAAGAACAAAAAGTGGATTATGATACCTACCCTACCTCATCATACCCTATCCTACCCTTTACCCTTTATCTGAACATACCCCTACCTACTCTACCCTGTCCTGTCCTTTCCGGTCTGAACCTTTAAACAATCCCCCTGGAACATGGTGTTTGGTTGCCCGAATAAAGTTTGGAGAGACGGAATTGGGAAATGATTCGCTGAACTGCGGCCTGCTTGCTGGATTGCTATCGATCGATGTATGTATGTATGTATGTATGTTATGGCTTTTGTGAGTATGGATGACTCATTGTTCTCGCACTGATGACAAGTAATGAGACAGCGGAGGGGAAGGACGGGAATTGATGACTTTGATTTGTCCCACACATGGGGTCAGCTCTTGAACTTGTTGATGGCTTGTTTTAATATGTGTGTACCCAAAAGCTTTGAGTTTTTGACTACTAGGTATCTTGAAGGTCTTAGTAGTCTGAGCCCCAGGCCAACAACCAGCTTCAGTTGATGTCAGACCCTCATCAAGCCAACCAGCATCAGAACAATGTACATTCGAAAGCACAACCATATGAGAACTTTGAAATCATTTGAAATCACAAGATTCAGATGTGTGCCACATCAACGACATCATCGACCTCCCCATCATCCATGCCTCATCAGCTTCCAAAGCTGCTCTTACAACCCTCCGGATATTAGCCACCTAGTTGAATAAGATGCATTAACTCCGAGTCATGCTGAACACCTCTTATATTCCGGCTGTCACCAGACTTTTTGTTATGATCCATTTCATAGCATCGAATTTGTCGAGAGCTTCCTCAACGGCTTCTTGTGATGGGCTTCCCCGTCCATCCGGTGTTTCAGATGCTGGGGTCCAGCCCGATGCATGGTCGCATGGGATCGACGTCCATGTCTGTTACAGACAAGGGAGGGTCGAACCCAGCGGTTTGGTAAAGTGCACGTGTGGAATGCCGTGATAAAAAAATTTTTAGAATAACTTGATCAAGCTGTGGTGTGAATTCTCATGTCGTGTTGTTGTTGCAATGAGAGTGACCGAATTCTGAATTTTGGGACGAGATGAAATGTCTCTGGACCATGTCTGTTTGATCCCAAGATGAAAGAGGATGCTGCGAGAGCAGGTGATTGTCCGAAGGTTTTCCCAGAAAGGAAAGTACTCCACCTGGTCACGAGCGCTGATTGGATGAAAGGAGTATGCCGGGTGTTGCAGAGCGCACGCAGCGGCAGGAGCATCATTTTCGTCCATGGAACTTCCTCTCATCCCCTCTGTTGGTTCACTCATTTCATTTCAACATTTATCACTTCTATCATTGATTAATTGAACATCGAATGTTGATCTCACTCGTTAGAAGCGTGGTTGACAACTTTTTGCCTATATGTACGACCCATCCACTTATAGATCGTTACCATGAAGGACTGCCGACCGGTTCGCTAACAAAAAACAACATGGTGGGGTTCAACTGGGTGTCGCTGTGGACAACGTTCCAGGATGGCCAGCAGCAACCTGCGCATGCAAGCCGGGCTTCCCCTTGCATGGCATGAAATGCGATGCGATGGGATGCAGCACGGCAGCAAGACATGTTTTGCGCATCACATCGACAATTCCTCGGTCTCATTCAAGGGATTCCCCGTGTGGGAGAGATGGAGGGGGAGGGTGAGAGGTAGGTAATGCAATTGATCATAACGGGACTTTTGTGATGGATGAAGTGAATCAATGAGCAGACGAGAGTGGGTTGGAGGGGAATGATGATTTCTCACAAACTGACTGGACATGATCGCGCCACGACATCTCATCTGTCTTTCGGCGCCGTCTCACGGGGTAGATGTCTCTCCATGCGTTGGTTGGCTGCTTCCCGCTGCCGTTGGTGATGATGCTTGGGACTTGACGAGCCATTGGCGCGGGGCAGCAACAGCGATGAGTTGGCAGCCGCGAAGCGTGTGAAGACGCGGATGGGTGCTGTCGCTAAAGCAGGTGATGATGCAGCAGTGTACCTCTAGCTTCTCTCTCTGGCGACTTAGATAAGCGTCTCTCCCAAGGCCATGATGTAAGTCAGGATTGGCAATTGGCCATTCCGCGTCATCATGTCCTATCCTGTCCTGGCCGGCCGTAGGACTTGTAAGATTGTAGTGTAACGGCATATTTCCTCATGCTGTGACGGATGCTGTCGCATCGTATGAGATCTGTCTCGAAGAATTCCGAAGACATCAGATGGAGGAGCTGGATGCAACGCGCCATCGTTGTGGCATCGGGCCATGGGCCATGACGATGGCAACCTTCGAGCCCGAGCTGGTGTTGAGCTGAGGTTAAAAAGGGAGAGGACAAGCCTGGGTAATGGTAACACGACTGCTGCTCGGCAGTACGGAGGTTTTCAGTCTGTGATAACATATATACGTAGCGTATTTGTGTGTGCAGCAGAGGCTTTTTGCTTGGATGTCGATCGTCTGTGAGACAAGATGATTGCGCCAGGGTCTTTTTAAGAGGAGCGTCGAACATCAGATCTTGAATCTGCGGGGCCCAGTGCGCGCGCAGTGCCAATAATGGACGGCCAGTGGACAGGGGTCAGGGGATCAGGGGACCAAGCAATGAGTGACAAGAGCCAGATGGACACAACTGCCCACCAGTGAGAGTGACCTGAGCAGACAGGAGTGAACTTAGCCTGAGGTGATGCTGCCCTCCAACAATCCTTTGGGCTTTGCCTGCTTGGCTGCCCATCCCCCCGCTGCGACGCCAGTGGCGGCCTGGGCAGGGTGGTCTGAGACCAGATTCTGCCGTCCCAAAGAACCCAGACTTCAAGGGTTCAAGGACTCAACTGCAAGTTTATGCAATTTAGGTGTTGAGCGAAATGCTGAATTTTCTGAAGCCAGCGCAGCCTTCCAAGATACTTCGACTTATGATTCAGTACTGTGGGGACGAGTCCAAGAAAAAAAAAAGGTTCGTGTGTCACGGCTTGGGCAATTGATCGATTCATTTAAAACTTCAAGCCGTATGCCCGCGCCATGTGCAGACGTTGCTGAATATGGCAGTGTTCGTGCTCGCCCCGTAGCTCCCGTCGTCGGCAGCCGTACGCTCTAAACCCAATTGGGCCTGGCCTTGTGGCGCTCCAGCATATCACAGGTGCTTCTTCGCGTGGTCAAGCCACTGTGATGCCCCAAGCCCAGGACACCCTTGGACGTCCTGGAGCCAGCCACTGGGCTGGGTCAAGCAATTTCAATTTCAATCTGGGGTCAATTTGGGCTAATTGGTTGGCTCTAGGGCCCAGGCTTCTGGGGGGACGGAGAGCGATCTGCTGGCCCCAGGGTGCACAGCACAGGGCCACCGGACAAGAAAGAGACTGCCAGCCGGCGCCGCCCATCGCGAGCCCCTGAATGAGAGCTTTGCAACTCCCTCCCACTTCCTTCTCTCAGCTTCTGCTTGCTGAAACCTCACATCCCATTTTCTTCTCCTTTTCCTTTCTCTTGTGGCAACTTGGGTGTCCCCATTCACGCCAGCACGCTGCTGAGCGTCTCTTGACATTAGCATCGCCTGTTTAACCTTTATCTTTACCTTCGATACCCTTGTTGCTCCTTCCGACTCGGCATTGCCCCAGTTTCTCACTCCCTATCTCGACGTGCCATCCCGGGCCGGCACCGAATCGACCCATCCTACCATACATCTGCGTGCAACGCCTGCAACGCCTTTCCACGTTGCTAACGCGCGCCCGATCCGCCGGCCAATCACTACGGCCTTTGGCCTAAAAAACATCACGCACTTTTTTTTTCTTTTCTTTTCTTTCGCTCCTTTGCCTACCTACCTTACATTCCTTTCCTTTTTTTTCTTCACCCCTCTACGCTCTTTCAGCTCCCGGGCAACCACACGCTTGCAACGCGTACCATAAATCGGGAAGAAAAAGAAGAACACTAGAAAGACGACGATTAGTTACTTCGACTGTCGACACTTTCCCGTGGCCGTCATCTTTCGTCCAACTGTCGCCGAGTATTGAAAAGTATCCCAAGTCGAATCCGACTAATCATCTCCAAGTTGGCTCTGAAACATTTCAAACTCAAGATGCCGGGCCTGTTCTCTCGCCTCAAGGGGAGAGACGGCAAGCTCAAGAAGAAGGGCCGCGACCAACTCGAGGAAGAGCAGCCGCAGAAGCCACAATGGACGGATGCGTGGGCGCGGACAACGGTCGAGCCCGAGGAGGTACACGAGCTGATCCGGTACTGCACTGAGGAACTCAAGGCCCGAGGTATGACATCAATTGATCCCTCTAATAGTTTTTTTTTTTTTTTGCTGTGCCTGGCTTCCAGATGGAAGGGCCCAGAATCATTCTCGACGCGCTTCTATGCCATTTTCTGTGTCACAGCATCAAGCTAACGCCCACGGCAACCTGCAGGTCTTGATCTCCCCTTCCTCCTGCTACCCTATCGCCCGGCATCCGATCCCAGCGCCGTGCGCAACTTCGTGCGACACTTCTTCGACAAGGAAAATGGCACTGTGCGACTTCGCGGCGAGGCATTGGCCCAAGAGCTGCGCATGACAGAGCCAATGGTATGATAGTCTGGGCAGTGAAGCTCAGCTTTCGCGACAAACAATGCCCTTGCTAACGGGACCCCAGGTCATCTCTGGCGTCATCAAATGGTGCTGGAGCAGACTCCAAGGCGGCGTTGTCGGTTGGGACTCGTACGAGCTGTTCCAGATGGGCGAGAAAGGTATGGAGATTTACGGTGGTCTTAGCCTGGCCTGGTCTGGCCTTCGGTACAGCGCTGACCGAGCGTCATTACAGACTCGAACATGGCCAGAGACTCATTCAAGACCTTTATCCCCCTCAGCGTTGACAACGAACTCCGGTCCAAGATCATTTTTGACTTCTTCGACCTGCTTTCTGCCATCGCCGCGCATAGCAAGAACAATGGCCATGGTGGGCGCAAGCTGTCGCGTATGGCGGCATGGTGGGCGTTTGAACACCGTGATACCGGCAACGGCTTTGAGGGCGGCTACAAGGCGTGGTTGACGTACGTTTCCTGGATCCGGGCTGGTAAATGAATGCTAACAGCGACACAGCGCGGCCGATGCCACGAGCCATCTATTTTTCGCCTACCTTCGCTCCCTGTCCCCCGAGCCGGTCCCTGGTGCCATATCGCTTTTGCCCATGTCGCTCCAGAAGCTCCTGCAGGAAACTGAATACCCGCCCCAGAGGCCGGCGCTGCTCCAGACTTCGACATACAGAGTCGCCATGATCGTGGAAAATGTCTCCCCAACTCCGTTTGCCCTGCTACGCCGCGCTAAACACTTCCAGTATCGGGACTCGGACCAGGCCCTTAAGGATTGGTCGGAATACGAGGATCCCGTGCAGGCCCTGACCGAGGAGTGTCGTAGAGTTCTTAAAGCAATATCTGCTGCCAACCAGTCTCACGGTGCCTCGAGTGTCAAGCAGTCCACCAGCGTGCCTGATGCTTCGTGGTCGAGGTTTGAGGATCTCGGCTTCGCAAGCACGCTGGAGGAGGATTCGTCGGAGGAAAACTCGATCATCAATGTTCCCAAGATTCGCCCAAGCTTGCGCAGCACCCCTGCTTCTGGAGCCAACGATCTAGGACGCCCTACGACCCCGTCATGGGCTGATTTCCTGTCGTCCGGTTTCCAGGTCGATGATCGCCTTTCCCCGAACCACCTACTGCCGCCCGACAAGATTCTGCCGCCGATCGACACCAGCATTCGTCAGCGCAGTTCGCAGTCTCATAAGCCGAGATTGGAGAGTGACCGTGATCTCGAGCCTGGTGAGCTGGCTAGCATCACCAAGTTCGACCTGGATGATGCCTTCTGGTGGGTGTGGATGAGCAGTCTGGCGCCCGAGGAAACCCCTGAGAGGAAGTCTGCCTTTGGGCGCTGTGCCGTTGTGGAGACGGACATCAAGTCTGGCCGGTGGTTGGTGTTTGAGGAGATTGTGAGGGGCGCTGCTCCCGAACCTGAAGAAGGTGCCTACATTGCTGAGAAGAAAGGCTTCTTCAGCTGGACTCGCCGCGGAAAGGGTATTGGTAGGAGGAAATCTACCGCCGGAAAGCACAGCTTGGAGCAGCGGAGCGATAGCAATGGCTTGAAGCCCAGCGGCACCATAAGTTTCAGCAAGACCAGCATCGGCCCTGACCAGCAGGCAAAGATCCAGGCGGCTGCTCAGCAGCTCCAACAGAAGCAGCAGAAGGCCGAGCAGTCGCCGCCAGAGCGCCGCGGCAGGAAAGAGACGGTAGATTGGCTGAACGAGAAGACTCAGAGTGTTCTGACTCTGCAGTCTACAATCCTCAGTGAGGCTTCTCCCGCAGTGAAGTGGGCCAAACAGTATGACCGGGAGGCTCTCCGGGAGGCCTATCTCAACGATCCAAATGCCGGTCGTGGTAAGGGTTCCTCGACGCCGGCGACCACGAATGGTCACAACACCGATGCCGAGGACAGCCGCCCCAAGCTCCCTCCAAAGGAGTCGACTACCGACACGCCTGCCCCTAAGACGCCGACGCTCGAGCAGAAGGAGCCTGAGGCGCCGCCCAAAGACACCAACCATCTCGCTCCCCCCGCGCCGGCCTCGGGTCGTGAGAGCCCCATGCCCCCTCCCAAGGATGGCCGGAGCTTTGAGCTCGCCCGGGAGAGCATGGTGTCTCCTGAGCCTACCAGCCCTGAGGCTCGGAAGCATAAGAAGCTGCACAAGGATATGGTCAAGGCCGCTGGTGGCAATGGCCTGAAGAAGCTCTTCAGCCGCGCCCACAAGAATAGGAATTCCAAGTTGCCCGAGAATGCTGCCCAGCAGGTCAACGCCATGATTGCCGAGGAGACTGCCCGTTCGCAGTCCCCTCTGCCGCCCCCGAAGGCTGAGGAGCCCAAGCCTGCTCCCGAGGTTGAGGAGAAGCCCAACCCTGCCGCTCCGGCTACTCCTGTTACTGCCTCTGCCCCGGCTCCTGCCCCGGTTCCTGCCCCGGCGCCCGTTTCCCTTGCTCCCCAGGAGGCCCAGGCCCCTGAGCCTGCCCCAGCGACTCCCATCCACGAAGTGTCCCCCGTCACGACGAACGAAACTGTTCCCAAGGACGAGTTCCACCGCTTCGACCAGGGTCCTCTCCGCGACATGCCCGCCTTTGTCCCCCAAGACGACGTTAGTGACGGCGACACCGACGAGGCCGTGCCTCCACCCATCGCCCGCCATCCCCCTCCTTCCCGCTCTCCTATCCCCGCTTCTTCCTCCCCCGCGACCGCCGCTTCCCCTGTGTCACCAAAGCCTCAACCGCAGCAGGAGAAGAAGCAAATCGCTTCGCCTGCGCCTGCGGTCAGCCGTACAACAACCGAGGCCCAGGACCGCTGGGCCCAGATCCGCAAGAATGCCGCTGAGCGCGCTGCCCAGAGACAGCAGAACGCTGCTACTGCGGGTGCGGCCACCCTGCGCCCTCCGGCGTTCTCCAGGGTCACCGATACGACGGATAGCAGTGATGGTAGCATTGAGGAGAGTATGTGCCCCCTCCTTACCTATGAGAAATTATTTTTTTTTGAATAGGATTGAACAGAGGCTAACGTGACATAGCTATCGAGTCCCGCGTTGCCCGCATCAAGGCTCGCGTTGCCGAGCTGACGGCCAACGCTGAGATGAACTCGACCAGCCGTGTGCCGCCGCCTCGTCCGCTCCGTCGTTAGTTGCGATGCGGCAGCTGTATCTCGTCCCCGTCGTCGCCACGGTCCGCTGAGTAGGGCGCTGGGAATCGCCCGGACTCCTGAGCAGAATTGACCTTAAACAAGGTCAATTGATATAATCTTCCCACATCGACCTGGGAACAGATGATCCCAATCAATATCTCCACTTAACTACCCCAACACAAAAGGATTTCGAGCCAAACCAGCGGCACGTCGCGTTGCGGTGTCATAATATACCAGCGCCTACCTGACTGTCACTTGTAACTTGTTTTGTTACGGCTGCTATATTTTATTTTTGCTGCTGCTGCTGCTGGTGGTGATGGCTCTTATTTTAGTATTTACTTAACTACCTCCTTTGTATGTGTTTGGTGTTTTCTGTTCATTTCAAGAGACTTGCCGTATTTTCCTCCGCTTGTTTCTCAATTTTCTTTGCAAATATACAATACCCTTCGAAACACGGATAGCTTTGCAAGGCCTTTTTCTTCACCTACACTACATACCTCTACCAAATTAAATGGAACAATCAATTGATCACCCATCCTTGGTTCAGGTCAGTTTGGCTGCATTGCCCTGCTTTGCCACCTTCCTACCTTACCCTGTAGCTTTCGATACCTCGCCTATTTTACGATGCCATTAAAAATTCAGTCCTAACATAGTGTTATTTTATTATCTTAAGAAAAAGATATCTGAGGTCTGTCTCTGGAAGCGTGATTTTCAAGATAGGGGGTTGCTTTTTTTTTTTAAAAAAAAAAAGAGGAACTGAGTAATGTTTATCCATATAGGTGAAAAATAAAACTTTCGTTCTTTACGAGCTACCTCTGCATTCATCATTTATGTAGTCGGTTGCCATTGCGATATTCCTGTCCAGAAACGTGCAATGAGAGTCGAGTAGGAGTCCAAACAGCTGGCTGTTGCTCTATCCAATGCAGAGTACGACCTTCACCAGCCCCTGGTCATATGGAAAAAGGACATCACCATCGTCCACATGTGCTCGCTCAACTTGCTCCAGACTTTTTATCTATCGCTTCAACTATCATTCACTTCAATGATTTCGCAAACCCTGTTTATAATCATCAATCAAGCAAGGTGCTGAGTGCCTGAGCGCCATCGCCCGATAACACACTCGCCCGGCCTGGACCCTGTTCCAACCGCAATTAATAACTCCGTCCGTACAAACCTATGCTCAACTTGTAAGTATTCCCAGCAATAACAACAATAAACGAACATAATGCTTCATTCCATTCCTGTGTTGTGTTCCCCTAGCTCTGCTGTGTAGTAAAACAGTTCCAGCCTTTCCCTATCCTCCCTCCTACGTCCATAGGTAACCACTCACCCACCCGAAAGCGAGCCATCAGAACCAGCACTCAGTAACCAGCAATTAGCTGTTTGAATCACAACGTGAGTAACTACCTAGTTGGCTACCTTTACGGTAGACGATGATGTAGGTTTTTTTTTTTTTTTTTTTTGCAAGAGAGAATCAAAGGATAATAAAGCAGACGCTCCGAGATACGCTGGTAAATAATATGGGATAATCCACATCGCATTACCACGCCCCAAGAATGCAATTCCAACTCGAACATGTCCTCGTCAATACAGTTCAGCTTCCTATGCTGAATCCAGTAGTGTTTCTACAGAGTGCATCAATGATGAGATGAGGTGTAGAAGGAGTCGGCACAATAGTAAAACCACGACAATAGTGACGGCAAGGAGAAGAGTGACGACAACAAAAGTGTTGAGCTTCTCCATTAAGCTGTCAACCCTCATGTTTTCTATGCCCACTTGACGGATCGTCTCTCCTCCAGCCAGTCGAGGGGGCCTCTCTTCAACATCATCCCTTACCTGCCGTCGTCGTTGTTGTTGCCATTGCCGTGGTCGCTGACGTCGCCGCAGTTCACGGTCAGCGGACGCGGAGGAGGTCGATGCAGATAACCACGATGTCCATTCCTAATTCCCATCATCTGTCTCCTCTTTCTTTCCCGGAAACGACGCCGGTGACGTGGCGAGCCTTGCTTCTTCTTGTTGCTCCTCTTCTTCCCCATCCTCGCCGTGGTCGTCGTTCATGTCGCCTTCCACGTTCTGCGACCCGAGTGCGTCATACCAGGTGATGTTGCTCGATCCAGACTGGGAGTCGGGCTGGGTGGGGGATTGAAGACGAGACTGGTGCAGGAGTTGGAGTGGACGTTGGGGCTCGGCTTGAGCTTGGGGTGGGCGGTGACCAGAGCCGGAAGCTTTGGGATCATAATCATGATCCCTGGCCTCAGACGATAGAGGCTGCGACTCGGTTCGGGACTCGAACTCAAACTTGATATCGTCCAGGTTCTCGGCCTTCGGCTCCTCCTCAACCTTTGCCCCGCGCTCTTGATCTTCGATGGTTTCCTTCCTCTTATCTCCTGCCCCGGGGCTTTCCAGCTCTTGCTCGTTTAAGATGCTAAACCTCCTCATCCCCATCTTCCGCCAACGCCTGCGCAGTGTCCTGCTCTGCCGCTTATCTGCCTCCTGCAGCGACCCAGATTCATCCTAGTGGACCTGCGCGCCGCAGATCAAGCAGATCACGGGTTCTGTCCACGTCTTCTCCCCACCCTTGACACCTTCACGAAGATCGTGGATTTCGATGAGCGGCGCCCCGATATCTGGCATCTTGAGTGTCGCCTCAAACTTGCCCTCCCACGGCCGCGCGCTCTCACTGCTCGCATCATGGCCTTTGCTCTTGCGTGGCCGAGCATTCCGTTTCCCGCGGTTGACACTACCAGCGCGGCTCGGTCGGCTAACAAGGGTGCTGCCCGAGGAAGGTTCTTCTTTGGTTTCTGGGGCGGAAGAGCTGGAGGGATTAGCTGAGGTGTCAGGCTCGCTCTTGAGCGGTACATCCGAGGCAACTGCGTCCTCGGGCGCCGCCTGCACATCTTCCTCGCCGCGCTTGATTTCAACGCCGTTGCCCTGCTTCACGTGGACCGCGTCCGGTTCGCCCTCGGACTTGACGTCGATGGACTGCTGCATGGCCACCTCGGCGCTGGTCTCGGTCGGGCTCAACGGCCGCTTGGACTCGTTGGCATCATCTTCTTCTTCCTTTTTGATGGGAATGTGGGGTCTGTCGGCGCCCAGGCGGTTCCAGGTTTGCCGCAAAGCATTTTCTAGGATGCACTCCTGATGTAGCCATTTCTTACATGACTCGGATGAGCATCCGACGAGAAGCCTATCAGGATTCGCCGGGGTGTTGCAACTGCACACGAGCTCGACAGACTGCAGAAGAGTTTAGCGTTAGCGCTATGGTTGGTTGGAAAGGGAACAATTCAACAACATACAGAGAGCTCGTACGTCCGGACATCAAAGGCTTGCCTCCAGTAGAGATCGTTTTGGATCTCGTCTTCGTTCTCCTCAAACCACTGCTTTACGATCGCCTGACGGGTGACACTAACAACATTGATGATGTCCACTGTGCGGCTGTCAGCCCCCGGCAAATGACCTTTCAGATCATGGCAATTGGTGCTTACTGTGATTGGAAGCCACGAGCTCGTGGTACCCATGGTATGGCTGGCGACCCTGGACAACTTTCTTGCCATCTATTGTGCCAGCTGGCAGCTCATCAGGCCAGTACATCCAGTAAACTCTGGCGTAGACGTGGTGTTCATCGCTGGCGCGGATTTCGAGGATTCGGGCGACCCATCCTTCATCGGAAGGACTTGTCTGTGCTTGTGGGTCGTTGGCAGCGGCTTTCCCCCGCTCAAGACTCGCTTCGTTGGCGACATAGACAAAGCCTTCACTGTAGTACTTAACCCCATTGACTGAAGAATAGCGCCGTGGCGCAGTATGTTAGTCCAAATCTGTTTCTGCATCGGTGCAACCTCCCCCCCCCAAAAAAAAACCGGGACAGGTACTTACGGACAAAGCTGTTATACCGCGTCATCTCGGACCACTGCTTAGCCGGTTCAATCTGGTAGTGCAGGTCCATTGTTTCGTGGGTCTTGAACTTGCCAGTTGGGGCAAAGGGTGACATCTGGAGCAAGACTTTCTCTCCCTCCTCGGAGCCTTCGGTGCGCCTACGCTTCTTCTTTTTGCCGGCATCTTTCTGGTTGGGGTCGACGATCCGAACGGTGAACGGACACTCGGCCCGGAGGTCCTCGGACTCGTTCCTCGGCCTCTTGCGAGCCTGCATCGCCATGGACATAGTCGAGGAAGGATGTCGAGACTTAGGTATAGGGTGAGGTAGACGTGCTGTTGGCAGGAGGAAACGGAGGGGCAGATGGGACAAAAGTCGACAAGCACAGAGCAAATGTCCAGCTGTCGAAAGTGTCGCGGCTCCAAGGACACGCGAGTCGCAAGATGAATGCGACGAAGAAGATGATGTGTTATGGAGCCAATTGCGCAACGCTGAGTCGAGTGTCAAGTTGTTGGGGGTCTATGGTAGTCACAATCGCGGGGTAGAGGCAGGCGTGTGGGATACGTATAAGTGTGATTCTTCCTAATATACTTGCTTGGCCAAGGTAGCGCGACACCGTCGACGTGGCTGGGGGGGAGGGGGGGTATGGGGTTGGCTGCGTTGATGAGGGGAAGTGAGAGAAGCAACAGTCAAGACTGTAGGCGATGGGTCCTAAGAGGATTAGGTTCGGGCTAGCCCTGTTGGCGAAGGTGAATTGCGACAGCGCAAGCTCTACGTGCGACGAGGGAGGATCGAGCAAAAAATCCGGCAAGCAGAGCAGGCCGCGGAAGGCGATCGCAATTCACAATGACTTGTGTCCCAGAGTCGTAGTTACCGGACGACAATCGTCAATGCCCGGGCGCCAATGTGCGACAACCGCAGCGATGGTGGCAATTGCGTGGTCGTTCCCAACTTGTGGACGTGTGGTCGTCGTTAGGTTGTTTTGCTTGCTGCAGCTTAACCAGGTAGCGACCAAGGAGGGAGGGCGATCTCGCTCGCTTCTCGTTATTTTTTTTTTTTTCGCTGTCAGCTGCGCTTGCACCAGTTACACTTGCTCCGCACTGCAAAAATGAATCTAAAAAATGCAGATGCGGATGATGACAACAGCACCAAAATTTCCAGACACCGCATCCACCACCCTGCAGCTTGGCTCATCGAAAAGCCATGGGGAATGCGGACGTCAACCACGTGACGTCCAGCCAGTGAGGTCGTCTGCAAGCCAAGAAATGGGGAAAAACTGTGGCTGGGCGGGTCCGGGGTTTGGCAACGCACAGCCAAGCTCCAGCCAAGCTCCAGCCAAGCTCATGGAGCTCTCCGCCAGAACAAATAAACTACAGAATGACATCCTGGAGTGAGATCGTCAAAAAGCTGGGATTCTGGGGGCTCGACCCGAGGCTTGCAAAGAGTTGACCCTTCGAGTGACCAAGATCTTTCAGCTCGACGCGAATTCAAATACTCATTTAAACATGGAGGAGCCAGCATCTAAATTTGAAACCAGCTGACATTCGCTGTGCCAGTTGGCTTCTCTGGAATCGGCTTGATCCCCCGGCTGATGTCTGTTTCCGCCGACAGCAGCATTCCAGTAGCAATGGCCACTCGGCAAGTGAACAGCTGCCATGTGTTTTGGACTTGGGATCGTCAACCACACGCCACTCCACGGTTTGGTTCCCCGCTAGGCGGATCGTTGGTTCGCCGGTTTCTTTCATGGCATTATCGTGCTGCTTTCTGTAACATCAACTCAGCTCGCTGGACTGGGTCGTCCCCCAACGCCGCCAACGAGTAGTGTTGGGAGAGAATCAAACATCCAAAACAATCACCATTTGCCCATGTTTGTGTATCATCATGCCTATGCCGAAACCAACTCGCCCTCTGACCCCGATCAATCATACCGGACATTGGACGACAAAAGCACATTTAATCTGTACCGCCTGTGACAACCCAGAACCCGGAAACCCAAGATGCGACACCCCCAACCCTGGAACACGCCCAGCAGCCCAGAAACCTCACCCACAGCCAACGCCGGCGCTATGCAAACCCACGAACGAAAGAAAGAGATACCAATATTAAGTAAAAGTACAAGAGATCAGTTTAATCGATTTCACCGCGGGCCCGACTGGGAATCATACGCATCCAGGATGCGTCTGTTGTCCTCATCCTCACTGGACTCGCTCTGCTGCGCCTTGAACCCCTCAATGATCTCCGCCAGCTTCTCGCCCTCCATCTTGCCCCTCTCCACGTTGATGCACCAGATCAGCGGCGCAGGGAATCCGACCAGCGCGGCAAGGAACCAAAACGCTGGCCGAATCTCCCCCGACGCATCAATGATGGCACCCACAATCGCAGGGCCGAATACGCTGGACCCCTTATCAGTGATGGCATACAGCGCATAAAACGCTGCTTCCGAGCCAGGCGGGATCAGCTCGCCATACAGCGAACGGCAGTACCCGCTCAGACCGCCCAACACGAATCCGTACAAGGCTGCAAGCGGGTACATCTCCCACGGCTGCTGCAGCCCGCCCACGCCCCACCGCTGGACAAACGACAGGTAGCCGGCCAAGCCGTACAGCGGGATGATCTCAAAGAGGCCGATGCACGCCAAGATGGTCTGGTGCGCGCGCAACCGGAAGCGGCGCGAGAGCCAGGACCACGAGAAGGCGCCCACAATACCGGCCGCTGTCGAGATCACGTTGATCATACCCAGTGCCCATGGCTCCATGTGCAGTTGTGTCTTGGCAAAGAGGATGGCTGTCGACGAGGTGGTTGCGATGGCATCCGAGAGAAGGAACCAGCCGCCGAGGAAGAGCACGATGTCGACCAGGCGACGGGCGAGCTGTATTGTGCGGAAGAGAGACTTCCATGCGTAGAAGGTGTAGGAGACAAGTGCCCGGAGCTTTCCTTGCTTCAGAGAGCCTGGCAAGGGAGGACCGGGCCGTGGCCGTAACCAAAGTGCAGCTGGGATGGTGAAGATAGCCCACCAAGCGCCAATAACGAAGAGGACCACGCGCTGCCCCCAAGTAGTGTTGTTCATTTTTACGAGCATGAAAATGGCCGCACACTGCAGGAATAGCCCAGCAATGTAACCGATGCCAATGCCTTTGGATGAGATATGTGTTGAGAGGCTAAGCTCCTGGGAGGTCAGTTCTTCGTGGGTGCGAACCTTAGACAGGGGACGACCGTCCTCGAGCCGCCTATGTGGCAGTAGGGCCGTTGTTGAATCGACCACGTCCTGTTCGAGCTCCTCCGCGCTGGGGGTATGATGAGATCCCCGCCCGTTGGAGGTAGTGCCGTAATTGACCCCAGAGCCGTTTTGGTGATCGTCATCCAAATCATTCTCACTAGAATCGCTAATCGAAGGGTGATGCCGCACCAGTAGCGGCAGGAACGAGTTCAGTAAGACAAACGATGCTCCAAACGACGTATTCGAAATGATCGCCAGCAGCGCGCCAAGCAGGTAGGTGCTCTTGTTGACCAGGATATACAGCATGACGCAGGAGCTGCCGATCCAGGCGAACGCGAGCAGCAGCTTCTTGCGGTAGTTGCCGTGGTCGGCCGCACAGCTGATGCTCACCACCAGCAGCGCCTGCAGCAACACACTAACACTGAAGGTGTACATGGCGAAGCTGGCTGTGTTGATCTCCATGCCGAGGACGTACACCACGCATTGACCCTCGGCCTCGGAACTCGGCCCGCAGGGTGTTGTTCGGTCTGAGAGGAGGACGCCGTTCTCTCGGGCGAGGGTCTCGAGGAGGATGGGGATGAAGGAGCCTGCAAGTTGTTAGCTTCATTCTTGATATCATGGGCATCTCGTCGAGGAGGGCAGTTCTAAGCTGCTCGGCAGCAACAGCGTCGAATCTGGGTGGGGCTGCCATACCAATTGCTACCAAACATCACATCACGTTAGCGAACATGCAAACACAGCCCATCATCCCCGAGAAGAGAAGCTGTCCTCACCACAAATTACATAAACCTCGGCCGCAAATGCGTACGCATACCAGCCAGCAAGCTCCTTAGAACTCGTCGGCCTGGTATCCTCGCCCGGGTATCGCGGCGGTGGCAGCAGCGACGGTGTCAGGCTGCCATTACTTCGGCGGCGACGCGGCGGTGGTGGACTCATGCTGCGACGGTGTCGGAAATATAATGTGTCGAAATCGTCGTCTTCGTCACTGCTACTTCTTTCGTCGTCGGCCTCAAAAGAAGATGAATGAAACGAGCGCTTGGAGGCGAATGACGAAAGGCGTGAGAAACCAGAGGAGAGTTGGAGTTGTGGTCTGCTGCGGTGGTCGTCGGGCAGGCCCGATGATCCAGCTCGTGGACTTGGACCTGTGGCAGCCCCAAGCCATTGACCCTGTGACACGGCCGCTGATGGCAAATGCGGCCGTGCTGGGGCTGCTTGTTGCAGGTCCAGCTCCCACTGGTCAGTTCCCTTGGTTCCGACAACAGGGGGTGCCATGCTGGCTGGGTAGACACTGACGGACCCGCTGATGGGGCGCCTGGGGAAAGCTTGACAGCGGGTCTCTGGTGGCACCGACTGCTGGGGGATGGATCCTGAATCAAGAACCGCTCTGATGAGTGAACGGGCCTTCTTGCACCTTTCAAAGATGGTAGACACTTCTATCTGGCTGCGCTGGATTGTATGAGAGCTGTTTGTGCGAATGAGAAGCGCGGGTTGATGGCGAGGTTGTTGCTAGCGTCGGCGTTTCGTCCATAGAACAGCAGCTGCTTTTGGTGCTCTTGGGGTTGGAATGAGGATGCTGACCCGCCGGTAACCGAAGGGTTGGCAACGATTGTTAGCAGCATTTGAAAGATGGACAATAAGATTCAATATGACAACAATCTTTTGATTTATGGTGATCGGCTTCACGGAACCATAACAGCTCCATCAAGCTCTCGATTCCATCCTCCACCAGCTCCCTAGGATAAAAAAGGAGATGAGCCCCTCAGCAGCCCAACACAGAGAGCCTCTCGGTTATGTATGTAGTTTACCTCCCGTTCCAAACACCCAGACCTGTGGGAAAGAATGGAAACCTGGAACTGGTTGCCACCTCCTTACCTACCTATATGCCTATCCGGCTGAATGCTGAGTGTGTGTGTGCCCGGCGACTTGGGACCTGGGGGGAAGGGCATAATACGTAAGCGGGCGTTGCGCAGGTGATTGATCACGGACCGCATTGATGGCTTGGGTTGCAGTTCACGCGACCCTTTTCGGCGTGCCGCTGTGCCGTGAGGGAGGGCTGGGCGGTTGATCTCAGATTTTAGTGCTATACCTGCATGTCTCATAAACGAAGAAAGCTGAAAGGGAGAAAACCTCACATATAGAGGTTAATCTAATGCCCAGGTCGATCGGCTTGCAAACCAACCTAGACAGACCTAGTCAGGCCCGGCAGCTCGTGATGCAAGACGTTACAGGTCCCAACATCTTAAGAAACGCAGCTCTGACTGGGCACACTTCAAAGCACGACATCATACATCCAGATCAATAAGTTAATAGGTGAGCGGGGTGGTATTAATGTAATTAGTGAGAAAGAGATAAGGCAGGAGATATGGCACGTCATGCTCCTCTGAGTTCCAGCCATGCCCATGAAACAGAGACAGATAGAGAAAGCGATTGCCATAACCCCACAGGATAGGTTTCTCTTCATCGGCAACGTTAACGGTGGTATCAGTGCAAAGCAAAAGAAGCAAATCCTCAAACGAATAAACCAACCATCCCCCCCCCCCCCCAACTCTGAACGATATTACATCTTCCTCCTTGCCTTAGCAAATTATTCCGATACCTATCACAAACCCCTTTACTTCTTGAAAACGCCATAGATCTTCTTCTTCAGGCGATCCGCCAGACCGAGGGGAGCCTCGGGCTTGTCCTTGGAGTCCTGAGGAGCGTCCTTGACCGATTCCTTGGTCTTGGTCTTGACCAACTCGACGTTGCCAGCGCCGCCGCGGCCGGTGTGGTAGTCATTGTCGGAGCTGGGGCGGATGGCCGCCTCGGGAACCAGGTCCTTATCCGCGCGATGCGTCTGTTTGACGCCCGGATCGCCAATGTTGGCCGCGCCTGTTTGCCATCAGAGGGTTAACAATCTGATCAGCCTTAAACCATATCCGGCAAAGGAAAATCGTGTGCACTGATCTAATGGTGGTGTTTTTGCCCATGTTCTGTCTCGCGCTAGCCATTTCCCTTATCGCGTACGCCGAAGCTTGGCATGCAACGATGTGGGGGTGGCCGCGGCCGGTCAGTCAACTGCGATAACGGCCAGCCGGCAGTCGACGACCACGGCGGGGTGGCTTGTGATTGTGATGTTTTAGAGGTTATAATGTGAAAGGCATCGTTGATGTCGCTGTTATATGAAAGGTTCGGGGTTCTGCGATCGCGAGGGAAATGCGGGGTCTAAGAGAAGTTTTGGGTGTGGGATGTTTGCTGTGCCTACCTCCGCGACCAGTGCTGAAGGCGCCATCGCCATGGCTGCCTTCGGCGCCAATCCGAACGACCTCGCCGTCGACGTACTTGGTGTCGTCGGGGTTGATGTTACCGGCGCCACCGCGACCGTGAGAAACTTCAGGAGCAGACATTTTGAGTATGCGACTCTGTCGCGCGCAGAAAGGTTTGTTGTCGCAAGTTGGTTTTGTGTTACGCAATCGATGTCGTTAGAATTAGATGTTGGTCGAGAAGTGGTGAGTAAGAGGGTCCGTGGGGACTTTTCGAAGTGTCCGGATACCCAGGTGGTGTGTGGTTGCGGAAGGCAAAAAAGCAGCACAACAGACGTGGAGCAGAAAGGGGGGGGGGGGCAAAACACCTTAAAGTATCAATTGCAAGGCAACCCAGCCGCAACGCCAGGATTACAAAACGGGTAGATATTCTACACTACGCACACTAGCTGGTTCTTCCAGATGCTGTCTTGCCTACGCGCAGGGTAGGTGGCCCAAGATCATGTCATCTCTACATCTGGGGGCAGTGAGACTGATAACGGTCGCATACTGAAGAGATAACGATAACATCTGGCTGCGCCAAGCCCAGGCAGGCTGGGGACGAGTGCCCCGCTTGGCGCAAGAGTTTAATTGGCGATCCGGGATTGATGCATAGATGGTCAACCCCCACGCGGCCCCAGATTTGCCCAGCAGCCACTTATATGCAACAAAGCGAACTTTGTGGGCGTAGCGTCTGCGGCGTCTGGAACGCTGGGCAAGCACTAATCGCGACATCCCTGGGCCGAGCAGGCTTGGCCTGTGGGGAGGCTGCTGGGCCATCCAGCTCTGTTGCCCTACTTGACCTTGGACTCAAAGCAAACGCCATTACGTACCGGATTCTGATTTGCATCGCCACCGATATGGCAATTTCCAGGTTTTGAGGTCGACTTTTCTCGGCTGTGAGGGTAGTGTCTTGGAGGTTTGAGCTTGTGGCACGGATTTTGCGACTTGCGAACTACGAATTGCGTCCAGTGACTCGAGTTTGCGGCTTTCCTGGGATGTTGTCGGTGATGGGAGTTATCAGCCACTGCCGCAAACATGCGATGAGCGCAATGCCTCTCTCGCAGGGTAGCTCGGTATACAGCCCTTATCCTCGTCTGGGTTGTTGCAGACTCGTGTGTAACACTGCTTGATCGATGGGTCTTCCACTCCTCCACCCATGAACGATCGTAAGCGATGAGTTCTAGAGTCTAGAGTATAAAAATTCATCATGATTTCTGAAATCTTGGACAGTGCTACCTTAAACCTACGGGAAACGGCAACAAAGCGACCCGTATCATGCATCTGATCGCAGCACGATACTCTCACCCTCGTCATCTGTTGTGGTCGACTCATCATCTCCTGCCTTCCGAGCCTTCAAAACAGCCTTCTCTGCTCTGTCACCACGAGTTGCGACCCCTGCGTCTCAACCGCATGTTTGCTTGTCAAACTAGACGTTCTCTCGACCAGTCTTCTGTCCTACTCTTCTCGGGGCTTTCTCCCTGCTCACTTTACCCTTACACGCACTGTTTAACCCCCCTTCCCCCCCCCCCCCCCAAAAAAAAGACTGATTTCCGCAGCCTAACCTCCTTCCTCCGAAAGACCCTGTACATATCCTCTTCCTTCTCGTCAATAAACGCCTTCACTGTCTGCCCAACGAATCTCCCAGCAGTCTTCCAGATTTCTAAAGTGCTCCTGGACCAGTCCTGGGTTTCAGGGTCAAACTCAACCTCTCTCTCTAAGATCCTCCCGCCTATCCAGAGTACCTCCCAGCCTGAGCACCTCTAGTTCAAGTTCCTGTTGCCTCTCCAGAGCTACCCTCTGTATTTCTTTTATTAAAGCCAGCTTGTCTTGCAAGAGTTCTATTATCTCCTCCCTCCCGGTTTCCTGGGCGCTCTTCTGAGCAAGTTCACGCTCTCTTCGCCGCTGTGCCAGCTCTGCTTGTATCCGCTCACGCTCGGCGATTTCTCTCTCGGCTTTCAACCGCATTCTGCGTTCCTTTTGAGCTTCAACCTTCTTTTGTTTTATAGTGCTTGAAGTACAACTACAACGGCCAGCCTTGCCAAGGCAGGAGAAGCAGAAGCGTCTACCGCAGCGGCTAGTGATGAGAAGGCCACCAATGTTAGCGCCTTAACTCATGACAGGTATCGAGGACAACAAATGTAGGAGGTCATCGAGAAATATTGAATAAAGTCACAAGATATAACAGAAACAAAACACAAACATACCACTGCATAGTCACACACCCACCGGTATGCTCAATATAAGCCTTACACCCAGGACACCGCTGCCACACTTCCTCCGCAGCCAGCTGCCGCAGTACCTGCTCCTCCTCGCCAGGATCAACTTTGTACTTCCCCGGACACCTGCCAGCAATCCCGTGGGCCGGACCGCGGCAGCACATGCACATCTTGTGCCCCTTCGGACATGTCCCTTCGGCCGCGATGTCGTTGGTGCTAACACCTACCCACTCATTGCACAGCTCGCCCGTTTTCTCATCCTTCACGGCGCAGTAGACACGCTGGTCACCAGGGGTATCCATCTCCTCTTTCTTGCGGCGCCAACGGCAGATGGCGTCCGTGCTAGCATACTTTTCGATGGACCTTTCAGGGATGGTATTGCGGCAGCATTTGGGCGGCCATTGGATGGGATTCTGGACGGCGGCCAGGATCAGCTTATTGAAGCACATGTCGCAGTAAAAGTGGTTGCAGGGGCTGCGGATGGGGCGTTTGACGTTCTCTAGGCAGCCGATGCATTGGCTGTTCCTTGGAGTCAATGAGGTTTGGAAGTCCAAAAGGGGATTTATGACATACGAGTCTTCATTCCTCCGGCTGAAGTATGACAAGCCCCTGTGCTTGCTCTTGCCATTAGTAGAGGAATCCGGCTTGCTCACGATGAGATCCTTTGTCTTCTTGAAGGCAGAGCGAATTCCCATGAGCGACAGCCTCGAGGAATCAGATGTGTCCGGTCCTGACTCATTGTTGGACCTCCGCAGTGCTTCTTTTCTTTGCTTAACTTCTTCAACCTGTCCCAAGCCATTCTCTATCGCGCACTCGATGATGTCCCGAATGAGCTCGGGTGTTGAGTCCGGGAGAAGGATTAGTGGTTTGGGAGGAGGTATCTCGTGTAATGTGTGAGAAGGTTGGGGGTTAATTGTCGATGGCCCCTGAGCTAAGGCTGCGCTGCTCCTGGATGTTCTCATGTTTTTGTTTGGCCTGCTTCTCGTTTCCGTCAGGCTTGTCGTCCTCTGTTTCTGCTTTTGGGGTCTCAGTTTCGGGGTTGTTTGTTTCCAATTTGGTCACCTTCGCACTTCTTGAGTTGCTCTGAACGGTGTGAGTGGAGCGATGGTCAGAAAGGCACAGGACGCAAAAGCCACTAATAGCGCCGAGGACTATACTGCTTAGTACGCCCATATGACCTGAATGGCAAAACTGATACGAGTTTCAAGACAGAAAGCCATGAAAATGCTAAAAGTTAACACTGGAAAGAGAGAAGAGGTGAGTTGACAGGAATAAGAGCGCTGCCCAATATAGTCCTCTCAGGGAGATGATTGGACTTATCAATCCATCAGATCAAGCTCCTACTAAGCCAAACAAGCCAAGCAGTTGACCAGCCAGCAAGCAGCATAGTGTACAGCAGCAGCAGCATAGCGCTACGACCGCTGAGCAGCACACGCCAGCTCCCAGCCTCACCACATCCACCTATAGCCCTACAAGCGATCTGCCCCCCCTCCTAGCCAGGCAGGGCGTCGGACCAGACCGGGCTGACCCTCTCTATGGTCCCTTGCCCCTCCCCCTCCTCCCCCCCAATCCCATCAAGAGAAAACCAAAGTCAAGAGCTGTGAACAACGACAAAGAAGGGAAGAGAAGAACGGCATAAAACATGGGGGACAGTTACTGGTTAGGTAGCCGGTGCGATGTCGATACCGGCGACCGATGTATGTACATAGAAGTGTGCCCGTCCCCTCATTGGACTGGGCTCAACTGAATCAGCCGAGTAAGAGGGCAGTGCAACGAGTGACCCAATCAGCCGAATGGGTGACTTCTATCGGCAGGGCAGGACAGACGGGGTTTGGGAAGGGAAGGAAAAGGTCGCATGCCCTGAGCTAGTTGGGATGGCTTGCGGAAACAGGTGATGTGATGATACGGTCTCAGGTGGGCGGACGTGTGTTGTGCTCTTGGACAAGACTGAGGGGTATCAGTAAGCGAACCTCCATCATTTGTCTCGGTGTACCAAGCAGGTAAGAGTAGCTAGGCAGAGAGTGTGGACAAGGAAAGCCTAAGCTTGGCCTGAAGCTCGTTGAGGTGGGCGGTGTTTGCTTTGGGCACCGAACCCGGGAGCTAGGTAAGGAAGCAAGCTGAACTCCAGTCCCGGTTCTGCGGTATCCTTAGCGGTAGACTCAAGCTGCAGATTCAACGTGGCAAATGACAGGGGCTGGTTGGTTAGTTGTCAAGACTAAGATAGGCTTTCGGAGCGGGTTGTCTTCATTTCCTAGTTTCTCAGACAGAGGAAACTCTGTTCTGGTGGAAGCGACGCGGGGTTGAAGCTGCGGTCCATGGCATGCCTACTGACAACCTCCTTTCACTTGAGATCTACACACACTGTACACGACGCAGACAGCGAACGAGATCCTTCGGTTAACCGCTCTCTCTTCCCAGAATCCCCGGTCCTGTCTTGCTGAGCTGCATGTCCAAAGTCTCTGGAGCATATGGGGGCAGAGGGGTAGGGACGAAATCTGCCCAAAGCAGTTTCGTAGGACCAAACTTCACCTTACCACCCTACGAATTCAAGGCCTATATGACCATTGGCTGGATCAAGGAGACACGAACTGTCACGGGTTTCCTGGTTGATAATTATCCAGCTTAGTGACAGGGGGGAATATGCAAGTTTGTTTCGGATGGCACAGCCCGTTCGTCGACTGGTTGTTTGCCGCGTCAGGGGCGATGCTTCAGGCTTTTCAGACAACACATGCAATGGACAGGGCAGAGAGGGTGACGATAAGAGCCGTCTTTCAGAAGTTGATCTCGGATTTGCCTGGTATCCTTGTTTCGATAGATCAACCTGTAAAACAAAACCCAACTCTTCCAGAGAGAGTTAGAAGCAAAAGAGAAATTGTCAAAAGCTATGACCGCGGCAGGGATCGAACCTGCGATCCTCTGCGATACCGAGGTCAGCCGGTGAGGGCTGTCTCCTGTAAAGCAGATGCCTTAACCACTGGGCCACGCAGCCTACTTTGAAGCAACTGAAGGTCAGCTAGCGGGCACTACCCACAAGTTTGTCTGCAGCAGATCCATTCTGTTTGCTGGGGCCTTTCTTTCCAACCCCTTGATCGGTTGACAACTCCCATTGGTCCAGGGCCCCGGTGGGCTGCGGGGCTGTGACGGCAGCAGCCCAGCAAGTGGGCTGTCAAGGTTCAGATGCTGCCGCCAAGCCAGCAGAGGCAGACAAATTACAGCAGACTATCAACATTCCACAACATAGACACCACCATGAGACCCCTCCAAGCCGGGAACCGGATGCTGCGCAGCAGCGCTCTGCGCGCCCAGGTTCTGTCTCGGTAGGTTTCGTGAGCCAATGGCTCAACATGCTCTCCCAGCGCCCTATCGAAACAGGTAAACTGACGTCTTCGTCCCAACTCTCTTCAGGGCAACACCGTCCCTGGGACCCCTCATCCCAACGCTCCAGGCTGCTATCATCAACAGCACTGCCACCATTACTCCCGCGGGCAACTTCATCGCCGTTAGGTCATTCTCATATACCACTCCCTGCGCCAAGAAGAAAGACAAAGCATCCAAGGACTCGTCCAGCAAAGCCTCCTCCAGCTCCAACAATGACTCCGGAGACACCCCTTCCGACCACAAAAAACCCGACCCTTCCGCACCCTACGACTTCACCGACGTAACGCAAGCCCTGGACCGCCTCGAGAAGCGCTACCTGGACGAACTCAAGAAGCTCCGGTCCGGCGGACGCTTCAACGCCGACAGCATCGGCGCCATCCCCGTGCAACTCTCCAAAAATCCCGCCGACACCTACCCCCTGCGGGAGCTTGCAACCATCGCCCCGCTGGGCGGCCGCCGCTGGAGCATCCTTGCCTTCGAAGAATCCTCCGTGAAACCCATCATCAGCGCTGTCCTCCGCGCGCCCGAGTATAACCAGCAGCCGCAACGGAGTGAGGAAAATCCTCTTGAACTGACGATAACGGTTGAGCTGGAGAAGGCAGATGATTTGGCGAAGCGGGCGAAGGAAGTTTGTCAGCGGTGGAGGGACCGGGTCAGGGAGGAGGTGCATAAGCGGCTGGAGGTGCATAAGAAGTGGCTGAAGGGGAAGCTGATCGTGCAAGATGATGAGAAGAAGCTGAAGGAAAAGCTGCAAAAGTTGCAGGATGAGCGGATGAAAGGGATTCAGAATAAGGAGAAGGAGGCGGTGCAGCAGATCATGGCTAGGGGAAGTCAGTGAGCGAAGAGAAAGGAGGCTGTGGTGGGCGGTGGGGTGTACAATTTCGTGTATTTATGTTGGGTTCGCCCCTGGGATGGGCGGCTGTGTAAGTGTTCCTAGGGTTGTATATGATGAGTGAGTATGGACAGAAAAGTAAACAAAAGGGATGGGCACGAAATCGGTCGAACAAGGTACCTATAAGAAGATACCAAGCACGAGTGTATAATCCGTAGAATAGGCCGTGCGTGCAATTCAAAGTCTGGAACAGGAATCATTCTCTTGTTTTACAAGTTGTCTAAACACATCAAGACCGAGTACCTAACTAATGATACATCGTACACTTCCCAACCGCTCAACCCGTGTGTAGAGATATATATATATATATATATATATATATATATATATATATATATATATATATCCCCAAACGCTCACTCCCAATTCCCCCCCATTGCACATCTATTGAGCCTTCTTCGCCTCAGGCCTGCTCTCCGCGCCGCCAGGCAGTAGCGAAAGCACTTTATTGATGAACCTCTCAGAGTCGGACGCCCGGTAGGTATGCGTGCGCGAGTGGAAGTTGGCCATGATACCGCGCACATCCGATAGCTCGGCGAATTTAGTCGCCTCCTCATCATACTTGCCGCGCACGGTAGCATCAATAATAGCCTTCTTCAGCTCCGGATCGGGTGGCAAGAAGTGATGCTTGGGCAGGGCGCGCTCGATCCACTCCTTCTCGCCCTTGCTGTGTAAAAACACGGGCTGCTTCTTCTTATACCGGTTGAGCACATCCGTCAGATCGGCCGTGACACCCGACTCATTGTTGAACGCCATGCCGCCGGCCATCAACCTCATCGCCCGAATCACCGTCTCGACCTTCCCTAGCGCCACATCCGTCGCTACGGGCGCGCCGTACCCGCTCAGCGTCTCCTTCGACACCTCCGGCACGTAAGGCTGCTCGGTGCCCTGGTCCAGCTGATCGAGATACGCCTGGCCCGCCGGCGAAAACTTGAGCTTCTTCGCATCCTTCTTCTCCTTCTTCTCACCCTTGCCAAGGACAAGTTTGGCGCCCCTCCGCCTGCGGCGTGCAGCCGCCCTAGCACCCTCACCCCTCTCCGCAGCTTCGGCTCGCCTGTCCCGTCCAAAGGCGCTCCCCCGCGCGATGCTGAACGTACCGGAGGCCATTTGGCTCCTCGCAACAGGCGAAGCCGGGCTCTTGCGAAACACGCCGCGCAGCGTGCGCAGGTTGAGGACCTTGCCGCTGCCGGCTGCCGCCGGGCCCGTGGCGCTCAGGTTGCGCAGGTCGATGGCGCGGCGGCCGGCTTGAGGGGCCGGGCCGCGGGCACTGGGACGGGCGGCGGTTGTGGTTTCGCTGTTTGCTTCGGTGGAGACGTTGTCGGGTGATGAAGTAGCAGAGGAGCGAAGACGCAGTTGGGCGAGTCGGCTGGCTGCGGCAGAGGATCGCTCGATGGAGGAAGGCCGGAGGGGGGTGCTCGGGCCGGAGGAAGGGGACAGGGAGGGGGCGTCGGCATTGTTAGTGCTGTTTGTTCTGGGCTCGTCGTCGTGGACAGTCGATGTAGTTGAAAAGGTATGAGCTTGGGTTGCCGTGGTCGTCGACAAAGCGGGATGTTGCTGAAGGAGGGCGGCGCGCAGGCCCTGGGCAGTGCGCCCCGGGCGGAGGGCGACTCGCACAACCTGCCCGTGCATCTTGGAAATTTGTTGTTCGGTGTGGTGTCTGTTGGCTGGGGACACTTGGGCGCACCACCCCCGACGCGAGCGAGGCAAGGCGAGGCTCGAGTGCTTGCGAGTTGCGAGGTTTCGATATCAAGACGTTGGTCGTCGGTAAAGTGGGTTTTCTGGCCCAGGGTTGCAAAATGTTTGGGCATCTGCTATTGGCCAATGAGGGGCAGGGTGGGGCAAGTATTGGCGCTCGGAGGGTTGTGGGGGGGAGCTTGGCTTTTGACCTCGAGAGACTCTATCTCAGCCTTCTTCATCCTGCTTCAATTCAACCTTCCAGAGCTTATGCTCAAGCGACGTTGCGGTCAATTGATTAAATTTGTAATTTTAATATCAATTGGTTCGTCAAGTTACTTCTTGATCCCCCTTGGGTTGGAAGTTATTTGGTACCTCTTTGTCGTAAATATTCGCCCGTTGAGGCAATACCTGTAAGAAAGCCTCGCTTAACATTTTTCAAGCCCTCCCCTCTTCCAGACGAAGGTCCGCAGGTCTATAAGTAGCAAAAGGACCTTTTAACAAATCAAACCAGGAACCACTTTTCTTTATCGCATATATGCTTTATTGGATTTAATATCCTCCCTAAAACGCTAAATTTTTGATTCCTTTGAAGTAGGAGTATACTCAACCTTGTTAGTGCATGTCCCAACGCCCTCAAGCTCAACCTCAACGACATCACCATCTTTCAACCACACCTGCGGATTCCTTCCCATGCCTACGCCCTGCGGCCTATACCTTTAGTCAGCATCGTTCTTGTCTCATACATACTCAATATCAACAGCAAGAATACTTACGTCCCAGTAAAGATAACATCCCCCGGCATCAACGTCGTCCCTTGACTCAAAAACGCAATAGTCTTCTTCACGCTGAAAATCATATCTCCTGTATTGCTCTCCTGCCTCGTAACCCCATTCACTCTAGTCTTAATGGCCAGCTTTTGTGGGTCAGGAATCAACTTAGGGGAAACAATCCCTGGCCCCAACGGCGCCCACCCGTCGAATCCCTTGCCCATTGACCACTGCCCGCCACCACGGCGCAGCTGCCATTCACGGTGTGAGACGTCGTTGCCGACTGCGTACCCAAGAACATAGTCGAGCGCGGTATCTTCGGTGACGTCACGGCAGGGCTTGGAGATGATGGCTACCAGCTCGCATTCATAGTCTAGGCCGGGGAGATTTTGGGCGACTGGTGGGACGGGGATCGGATCGATGGGGCCGGCGATTGCCGTGAAGGGTTTGTACTGCTCGAGTTAGACGGTGAGTTGGGGTGAATTTGGGAAAGGGTGAAGGATAAGGGACTTACGAAGACGATGGGGTACTGAGGGATGGGCATATTGGACTGTTCAAGCCATGTCAACTCACTCCCTTTTCACATATCCCATCGATTTACCGCCCAGCTGACATTCCCACTCATATCATCACTCTTATCATCCCTGAGCAAACAACGAGAAAAAAAAAGCTCACCTCCTTAGCATGAGCAGCATAGTTCAACCCCAGACACCTCACTGTCCGGATGTGCTCGGGAGCCAGAGGCGCCAGCAGCAGCCGGATGTCAGCCACAACATCGGTGACGGTGTGCTTGCCGAAGATGTCGCCCTGCACAATGCGAGCCTGGCGTGCCTTGGCGATATCAGTCACTCCCCGAGGAAGAATGGCATCGCCGTAATAAGTCCGGCCATCCCGAGCCAGGAAGCGAATAAGGCGCTATTAAGCGAGTTAGTAAGTGTGATCATAAGCAGGGATAGGACAGGTGCTTACTAAAAAGGTGGCCATGCTGGGATGATGTGAGGGTGAGTTGGAGGAGAGCTTTGGTGGATGCGAGTGAGTTTGATGTAAACTGTTGAGAACTTCAGATTCAAACCCCGAGGAAGACAAATGCCGAAAGCGGATGAGATGTCCCGTGTTATCTCCGACAATGTTCCTCTGTTGTTGCCCAACTTATGGAGAATAAATTCAGGAAAAAAAAAGGGTCGAACTGAAAAGGCCTATGGCAGGATGGTTCTACAATTCAGATATGCCTATGATACTGGTGTTTGGCTGCTGGGCCTGTCTGGAGTAGAGTAATTCTCCCACACCACCCACACAATTCTTCCAGACCGCTTCCGCAATGCCGACCTTCAAATGGCCGACCAGGTCAGAGCTGAGGGGGTCGGGTTGCGGGAGAGTGGGTCCCGAGCGATCGGCCGGCCCCTGTCTTCATGTGGGCTTGGCTCGGGCGATGACGTGCCGAGGTTGCCGCCGGCAGGGGTCCAATTTTTGGCGCATCTCTTTTGCTCACTCAGCTCTTTGCCTCTCAACGTCTTTACAACGACACAAGCCCCTGATTTTTGTCAGAACTAAGTTGTTACTGCCACCATGCGTCGTCTGTCGGGTCTACAGAAAGAGGTCCTGTCACTGTATCGGCAGTGTCTGCGTGAGTGCCGCAAGAAGCCTGAAGCGACGAGGCAGAACTTCAAGGTCTTTGCTAGGTGAGCTCTTAACTCTCATGGCCACGTTTCGAGGGGCTCATGCCAACTCTAAACTAGGCGAGAATTCGAGAAGAACCTTACCATAGACAAGAGAGACTTTACGGCCATTGAGTTTCTCATCCGCAAGGGCCGTCGCCAGCTGGAGATGTACTCGTCCCCTGGAGTGAAGGACATCAAGTTGTAAAGGAATTCACCAAGCTTACCCCAAGTTCTGCTCTCTTCAGGAAGAATTTTCAAAGAGCAGACTGTATCGCTCACGTGCCTGGCTGTAATGTCAGGCTGCGTAACGTGCCGTGCCCTAGTGCATAGGGAAGTCACAGAGAATAGTGACTGCTTAAACCCAATTATCGTAATTCCTTCCTCATGGCTTCGACCCGACCTCTCGGTCCCGAAGTTCTAATCCCGAATTCGAGCTCTCCAAAGTCTTATCCCCCATACCTTTTGATATCCCATCTCAACATCATCTCCAATCTCTTGAGAATGGACCCAGATGATGGCCAACACAACGGTATCTCAGCATGATAGCCTGCAGCATCGTCTCAAATTCCGAGCCGTTACGCCCACAGTGAACGATTCTACCCCAAACTTGAGCCCGACCCAGACCTCAGTCGACGAAGGCTTTTTCGAAGCAGCAAAGGATTGCATAGACGAGCTATGCGTATCTCATAAGCACCAGATGCGCCAAAGCCAGAGCCCCAGGACCAAGGTCCACTTTTCGGATTTGCCGGCCAGCACAACCGGCGGCACCATAGATTCAGCAAGGCGTGTCCCAGGCTCACCTAACAGGAGTCCACCACGTCTTGTAAAGGGCAATCCCGTCGCTCGCGAGCGCTGCTGTCGTCCGGGCGCGTCGTTTGTCAGGAAGCAGGGCAAGACGTCTTATTCACATCTGAAACTCCTGGATCTTTATCGTCTTCCAGGATGTCGTTGTCTGACAGCGCCTTCGAAGAGTTCCACGAAGAGTGCTCAAAAGGCCACTGCTAAGCCATACTAGGGAGAGCTGCCGCAGAGGTCTGGCCGTCTTGCAAAGCCGTGTGGGCATGTGGGTTGCAAAGTAGGGGTGCATGGGAGTACTGAAGGCCGTAATGGACTGCGAGATATGCCACAGTCCAGTCGGAAAGGGAAGATCGTTGTCAGACAAATAACGAATGACGACCCCTTCACTTCCTCCAAGAACTCAGCCAATAAGCCCATCAGACAGATAAAGGGCTTCCAGCTCGCATCCTATAGCAACAGGGGAGTACAGACAACTGAAGACGAGACTCTTACAGGACAAGATCCGGAACCTTCCTTGCGAGGAACAGCACCGAGCTCACCCTATACGACCTTGTCCTTCAGGGCCGGCCAACGCCGGACAGTTCCAATTCGATGTCTTCCATCCAGCATCCGACGTGCACTAGCCTTTCCCGCAAAAGCAGGCTTCGTCCCTCCTATGCGGCCTCTTCCTGTCACCCATGGAAATCTGAGGCTCTTGCCAGACTGGGGCCAGGTAGCAAAGAACAACGATGAAGAATGCGGTGGCTACAATCACAACAAGGACCAGCCTGAGTCGATGAGTCCTGGTGCTGCAAAGGATGCTGTTGTCACGCTAGCCCTCATCAACAAATTGGACTTTCCGGTGAGATGGGATCATTCCGATAATGCTCCATCTCATACAAAACAACCTTCCAATACCAGTCTCTTCCCTTCGGCGGCTTCTGGAGCCAGGAACCATGAAGCAGCCCCCAAGCAAATTCATGGCCCTCCGACCAATTGGGCATCAGCATCCCCCTTTCAACGTCTCCGACGGGCAGTAGCCTTACGACGAGACCGCATCGCCGATGGCTCTCTTCCCAATCTGCCCAACTCTCCCACCTCTAGCCGGAAGATTTCACCCAAAACCCAGCCATCCGCTGCTCCCAGCCCACTGAAAGAAAATTACTCTCAGCCCAGTCAACAGTTACATCAACGGTCTTCTACCCCAGTCGAACAATCGCAACGAGGATCTATGCCACCCCCAACGGATGACAAGGCTGACTCCGATGAGGAGATCAACGACCAGGACGTGCTTAGGGGTTTGAGGATAGTGTGTGCCGCCTCGGCGGATGCGGAGTTTGATGCCATGTTCTCGAGCAAAACGGGATTGAGGCTGAGGAGGTTCCTTGCAGACTTGAAGAGTTTGGAGGAGTTGAGTGAACTGGAGCTCAAGGAGTAGGGGCTAATGGGGATGGGTTAAGGTTGACTGTCAAGGGGAACTAGGTGAGTGTTGTCGTGGGACTCGAGACTTGTGATGACATTGTAGAAAGGAAGTCCTTACTCTACTGAGTGTTTGGCATCGGGCGGCTTGGCCATTAGACAGTGATCAACTGAGTTGTCTGGGTTTTAGAATGGTATTCTTATGATGAAATGCAAAACGATAAACACTATCGAGTGGGATGGCACTCCCAGGGACAACTCTCCTCCGTCGAGATGGTATCTCATACAGGTCAACTTCAAATGCTAGTTTCGTTGATACTCATATCCAGTTTTCTATGATTAAACTCAGCTCGTGCTGTCTCTAAGTTGTCTCTACCACCAAACCGACGGTCCCTCCGGTCACTCAGAGGATCTTTCCCTTCCCCTCAGGAGGGGAAAGTGGTGGCTAAACCTGGAGTTGCTCGTAAGGTTCTAGAAACAGGATTCGAAGGACGGGATTAGATTGGATTAAAGTTAATTTGGGAAAGGTGACCACAGTGAAACGATACTTAAGATCATAGGAACGCCGAAATGGAGGGCATGGTGAACTACAGCTGCAGATGACAGAATGAGGATGAATGGATGCCACGAGCCTGTTGTCAAGCAATTTTGTGGGGTAGGAGAAGGATGCAGAAGAAACATGTCGGCAGATGGGTACGGATTCTAGAATTCTGGAACAGAAGCACATGCACGTGGCGAAGGCCCGAATAACGGACCGTGGTGGATGTCGGAGGGTCCTATAGAATACAACCTCGCGGTCTCAATAGAGAGGCATGGCTGAATCCTACAGCAACCGTGACGACAAACAACACAGGATGATTTCGATAGTACACTCTAGACGATTCGCGTGCCCTGAAGGAGTTACTGGTGACTGGCCATCCGGTAATCCAGATACAATTGGTGGTTGGATCGGGATATCGAAAAAGGCGACTGACAATCTGCTACAATATAGAGGAGGTAGAGGAGTTCTAGGTAGAACGCTGGTCTGATTGAATCAGCTGCACCCATCCTGCGCCTATGCATCTTCAGGATGCCCTATTCCAGTACAATACCTGCGCATGTGGGTTGGCTGTGCCGTCCAGCTGTATCTTTCGGACGTCTAACGACAATCTCCACTCCCAAATGCAGCTCCCCCCTGTGTTAACTGTTATTCCGGCCGGATTCAATCTCATATGCAAAGAAAGAACTCTCGTCATGGAGATTAAGACGGCTCGGTGTTTTGTCTATTGTAAATCCGAGGAAGATGCTCGATCAGAGACGGGGAGAGAGGATATGCTGTTGTCAAACCATATCTGCAGACAAAGTGATTGTCTCGCGGCACGAGCTGCAGATAAAGATCCGGAACTGGGCAGTGGGAAAAACTTATCAAGTAAAATATTGTTGCTATGTCCCCATCTTTGTCAATCTCAGATCTTCAAGATGTCCCGTTAACGTTCAATACCCGGTCCATGCGAGGATTTTGCCTCATTCCCTCTTCTCATAACATCACATCTCGAAAATCGTGGTGTAGTAACTCTCTCATGAGTGATGGTGAAAATATATATAAAAACGGCATCGGATAGCATCAGATTCCACGACGCACCGCGGAAGCGGAACACGAGTGCCGTCCAAAACGGCAACCTGTCGATTCACCCGCCCTTGACGAGATGTGTGACTGCCAAATGGACGATCGCTACACGTTGCCCTTTTCCGAACCCAACTCTTTCTTCCGTTTAGTTCCTTCATTCACCCACCCGTCGCTTGTTGATATTGAAGTCGGGATTCCCGCAAACGAAACGGAGATAGGGGAAAGCTTTAATTGCGTTCCTCTTCTGTGTCCGCTTATGCTGGCTCCGACGCCACGGAACATGTACAATGGCTAAGTGTACCTGTAGGCCGTTATCCACGGTACGGAAGTGTCGTTTAGGTATCCGTATGCGATGTGTTGCAACAATTAAGCGAGGAAATTATAGCCTGCCAGGCTTTTCTTCGCTTCGTATCTGCGGTTTTGAGGCGAGTGAATACTTCCCCGATGCGTAAGGCATCTCTCTCAATCCGAACTGTCTTAGTAATCAGTAAGAGAGCAACGGAGAGATCTTCTATACAATCGATAGGTGGACGAAAGATAGCTAGCTAGCCAGGTAGCAACCTGCAAGACGGCTGATCTTCCGCCCCCAAGTCCCAACAGCTGTACCCTCCCTCCCTCCCATCCGACTTTCATTCCGTGAACCCCAGACACACGGCCCGAAGTGGCGCGCATCAAAATAAAAAAGACCCGCAGACCGAAGCCTGCCATGTTAGGTGTTCTAACCAGCGTGTGTCAATTAAGCCGTATATTAAAACCGCAACCAAGACAGCAGCACAAAAGGGGGGGATGGGAAACCATGCAACGCTGCTAATCAAGCAACGTAATAACACCGCCAGGAGTGAATTTTGGCAAACTTTCGTTTGGACCTAACGCTGGTTCGCGCAAATGCAGTTTAGAGCGAGGTAGTAGCGGGCTCGGCCTAATATCGAAGTTCGCCGAGAGGAGGTTTGGGGTTTGGGGGGGTGGGGGGGGGGAAATGAACCAACTTCATTGTTGGTTGAGGGTTGTAGATAGCTTGACAACCTGGTTCAGGTAACCAAAAGTCTGGAAACTGTCAGACGAAACACTTTCTAGTGTAACGACTGCTTGATACAATATTGAGAGCAAGCCGGCAGTTGCAAAACCTCATGCACAGCACATCCCAAATCATAGAACCAAAAGTTTAGGAATAAAATCATATTGTCTAGACAAAAACAACGCTTCGCAACGCGTTTAAAAGGGGTAGTCAAGAGAGGTATCTTTCGTTTGCGTGCAAGCGTGCCCTGACACATCCAAACTGGTCCAAGTCATCATCATTACAGGAAATAGCGGGACCCGTCCAACCACCTTCGCCAACATAGTGCGTGAATATAGGTATCCAGAAAAAAAAACACAACGTCCGTCCAAAAAAAAAACCACAAGAATCTTGCTGTTGCACAAACCCGGGCCTCCTGATCTACTAGAACAGGCAGAAAGCCGGGGCACATGCTGCTGCAGCGGCGGTCAAGACGCCGGAGATAAGGGGGTATCGTTGGTAGGACCAGCGGGCTCTTGTCACCATTATTTTGTAGTTGCGGTTGTTCAGTTGCTCTCCTCCTTGGTGACGACCTCCTTCTCGGCATCGACCTTGGCAACCTCGGCCTCGTCGCCGTCGATGATCTTGGCCAACTCCTCGAGAGTGGGGCCCTTGGTCTCGACGTACATGAAGAAGATGAAGCACAACTCGAGGAAGATCCAGCACTGTTGAAGTAGTTAGCATTCACTGTAGAGTCTGGGGTCTGGGAAAGGAAAACAGAGATAAGCTTACAGTGTAGATGAGGTAGAGCTTCCATGTGTGGCCCTCGAAGTGGTCGAAGGCGTGGGGGTTGGCATAGATGTTGAGAGTCAAGGCAGCCTGGATGCAGATGTTGAGGATCATCAGACCCTTGGCACGCAGCTTGTAAGGCAGGATCTCGATGGCATAGCCGACGAGCAGACCCGACCAGGCAAGAGAGTAGAAGAAACCGAAGAGCCAGATGAAGAAGATCATGGCGTAGTTGGCACCCTTAGCCTGGTGCTCATCATACAGACCCGAGGTGAGCGTCCAGAAGATGAAGGTGCCGAACATGCCACTGGTGGCAATCAGGAAAATGGGGCGGCGGCCGATCTTGTCGACAAGCAGGGCCATGGTGACCGAGACGATGAGGGCGAGACCAGTCTGACCGGCGGCGAGACCGAGCTTGGCAGTCGAGTCCTTGATGCCGGCAGTCTCATAGAGCATACTGGAGTAGTTGGAGATAATGGCGTTGCCGGACCACTGCGAGAAGAAGCCGAGAGAGAGCAGGACGGCCAGACGATAGCGGTTGCCCTTGGTGCGGAAGAAGTCGAGGTAGCTGCTGGACTTCTTGTACTGGTACTCAAGGCGGATGGTCTCCTTGATCTCGTGGAATTCGAATTGGACGGTCGGGTGCTCCTTGTTGCCGTTGGCATGGTACTTGGCGAGGATGTTCAGGGCCTGTTCGTGCTTGTCTTTGGCAATCAGGAAACGAGGAGACTCAGGCACCCAGTAGATGAAAGCGATCTGGATGAGCGAGGGGAAGGCCTGGAGCAGGGCAGGGATACGCCACGACCAGTCGTTGCCAATGAAGTCGGTACCGAAGGCGAGCCACGAGACGATCAAAGCACCAACGTTCCACAGGCAGTTGTAGACGGTGGTGAGACGACCACGGTGCTGGGGATGGCAGAGCTCAGTGAGAAGCATGGGAGAGCAGATCTGAGCCAGAGAGTTGCCGAAGCCGAGGAGGAAACGGCTGCCCATGAAGGCTGCGTGCATTGTCGATTAGTTTCTAGCAACCAGATGCTTCTCGGTTAAAGGATCACATACTGCCCAAGTTCTTAGCAGCGCCCTGGAGGACGGCACCGACGATCATGATGAGGCAACCAATCGCAATGGGGAGCTTACGACCGAAGCGGTCGGCAAGGATGGGGCTATTCGAGACCGATGTCAGCTTCTGATCTGAAATGCCAGGCTGTTTCAACTGCCGGGCAACTTACACAATGGGGATGGAGCACAGGGAGCCAATCTGGTAGAGGGCACCCAGGACACCGAGGGTGTTGCCCTTGGGGTGGTTGAAGTAATCCTGCCACTCATCGAAGTTTTGAATCGAGTTGAAGAGCATGCTAGAGTCAACATAGTCAGCACACTCTGTTCCATAATCTCACTGTTGTCGACCTATTGGGCTCTGTTGGCGGGAGATAGGAACTCAGACGTACCCATCGTAGCCGGTGGTAGCGGAGGCAATGCAAAGAACGAAGGCATAGAAGTAAAGCTTGCGAAGACCGGGGTCCTTCTTCCAGTCGACCCTCTCCCACTTGGGGGTGTCGTCAACGGTCGCGGCGGGCGCGGGCTTCTTATCGAGAATGCCCATTTTGGAGTATATGTCTCGTGTCTCGAGCGTTGGCTGGCGATCAGCTGGCTTCCTATGGGTTGGCTCGAGGTTGTCAATGCAGTGAACCCGTCTCCTTGGGGCAAAGACAGGACAGCAGGGACTGACGAGGAGGTGGGAGAGCAGTGAAAAACGCAGGCTTGGACGAGAGAGGACGGGTTTATAAGAACATCGAGAGGCACTCGAGGCGACTTTGGAATATGGGTAGGGCCGACAGGCCCCAAGACGGACAGCCGGTCCGGCTATGCGTGCCGGGATGGCCAGTTGGGGGAATAACTGGGGACGGCAGGCAAGGGTGATGGATCAGAACGGGAGACTAGGGTAACTCCGAGGGTCCAACTGCAGAGAAGCTTAACCAATCTCTCATGGCCCGACAACTATCACGCCCCGGGTGAGCCTCCACATATGGAAATCACCAGGAATTGTGTTTTGAGATCCGCCAGAAAGCAGCAATGGCCATGAAGCTAAACCGTGGTGACCATTTGGATAGAATCCATCGCAATCCACACACATGCGAGGAGCAGGCTGCCAAGGCATCCTCTCAGAGAGCGGGGCCCGCTGCTTTGGTCGTCGAGAGGTTAAAGTGAAAAGCGTCACGAGGAACAGACTGTGCCGCTGCTTGAATCCTGCGAGCTGCTCCAAAGGTGGACTGCCATACACCAGGTGTCCTAAACAGATGTTCCTCAAAAAAGAGGAACGGAGCTTGTCGTGGGCTTTTGCTCGGCGACGCCCGTAGTGTACAGGTAACCCATGGCTACCAAGCCAAATTACAGTACCAGAGTACCAGGCCAACATGTCAGGCACGGACAAGACGAAGATGGTAAACGGAACATTGAACCAACGCTTGCTCCAGGGGCGGGGCTCGCCTGCCCAGTGCGTTTTCTGTCGTATCGTTCCATGGCCGCTCCAATCCATAGAACCACGTAAGGGATCCGGAGGTACCCGTCCATCACGCATTGTAGAGAACGTCGTAGCAGAAACAAGCGGCCCTGGTCGATCTGATGAGAAGCCCTGCCGATGGCCAGCTCTCTCCAAACTTTCCCCAACTTTTTCGACGAATCCCCCGCACAAAAAGGGATCCCCCAGTCGCTTGCCCCAGTCGCTGCGACGTGCTGTGTGGGCCAGGCAATGTGCGCGCCCGCACTTGTCTCTGCCCCCTGACCCCTGTCTGAACTTGGCGAGACTTGGCCGCCTTAGACACATCACAGAAGGGGCATCGGACCGGTTCTTTGCATGCGATGCAGCGAGCTGGCGAATGAGAGCTGCCATTAAGCAGCCACAGCACGCTAACAACAGCACACACCGGTGCAGGCGGCCCGAGACTGTGGAGGGCGACTCAGCCGGCACTCGCATGTGGCGCAGCGGCTCAAACGGCCACAACGGGCGCACAGGTCCCAGCGATTTCCATGCATCACCAGTCTTAACAACGAGAACTATGGTGAAACCCGTTGCCGATTCACCAGGCGAAAAAGATAAGAAATCTGCTTCCCAGAATCTCTGGGTCAGGCTGCCAAACTTGGCATCACATCATGGCGATAGTTTTTTTTTTTTTTGCTTCCCCCAAGGTTTACCACCATTGACGGGGTGCGAATGTGGCGAGAGCAAGGGGGTGAGGGATGAGGGGGTTGGCATGTGCGCTGTGCCGTGACAACGCAGTGGCCTCTTGGATCCAGTTTGTTGTTTTTATTTAGCATGGCAGATGAAGGTGCCTCCCGTTTGCATCGACTATTATGCCATGCAAACAGGCAATATCAAGAAATCCAAAGCTGGAAAAGCCTGATGGCAAGTCGATTCTGATGCTGAAGGATTCTTGACGCAGACACAACCGTGGGATTGGGATTGCGGTTGCGCATGGGCTGGAAGAGAAATGGGATCTTGCAATCGACTGACTGCAGATGCCGACAGCAGAAGGATTCGATTCGCGATGGGCTTGGCTTGGGTGGCATGCGTGTAACCTCCTGTCGTCGGGCAAGCGAGCAGGTCGAGTCGAGGATCGATACACTAAGCTTTACAGGCGATTTGGGCTGTCTGTCGAGAAAGCTAAGCTATACCTACACTACATAGTGGATGGGTCGTGAGCTTCTTGCTTTCTGCGCTGCAGGGCCAGCATTGGCGAGCTGCAACACCAACGCCACCAGAGAGTCTTGGGACATGCTTGGGCCTCCCTGTTGAAACACTGGTCGACGGTGCGAACCAGCCATCGCAGAACCTGGCGACTACCTGAGCGAACCAGCTAGAGAGCCAAGAAACCAGCGGGAGGACGTGCCGACAGTGAGAGCTGATTGGCCCGTAGGAATTCTCCCCGAAACTCCGGCAAGGCACCCGTGATCAGGGCACACGCACTGGCCCGCCGGAGGTGTGTGTGGGCACATGGCCGGCGACTGGTTCGGCAAGCTTCTGGAAGCCGAGAAGGGGAAAGATGGCCGGGGTAATGGTCCAATCATTGCGCAGCACGTTGGCGGAAAAAAAAGAGAGGCACTGGTTCTTGTAGCCGCTGCGGGTCTCCTTGACGGGCAGACGGTCGATGGGGCCATCAGCTAAGACGGATCCACAGCAGATTCACCCGTCTTGGCTTCCATTTTAGCCTAAAGATACCGGCTGTTGGACTGGCGCCAGGCCTGGATCTGCTTAGGGCGTGGGAGCGGAGCCTGAAAGGTTGTCGATGTCGTTGACGACAACCTCTCGTTGGCTCGTCTCATCCACACGCGTCCGCGGAGCGCGAACTCCTCTATGCATCCCAATGATACACTCCAACAGGCCCCTTCTTCCCCAAACCTTCCCCATGGAGCCCCATGGGCAGGACGCTGCGAGCACGCGTTCCCTCCGGGGTATCTCTGGCGATATGGGGATGAGATTGGGGTCCATAACGTTGGCGCGGGGAGCGGGGAGAATGCAGGCCAGCAAGGCCACGATGTCCCTGGCTGGTGGCACGCAGCAGCCAGTAAGCCAGGAAAAAAGTGACAGCGACGCTCCATCATTGAGCTCATCTGTCTAAGTGAGACAGAGCGACAGGTGTGGATGTCCGCTGGCTAGAGCCCAAGATTCCGGCGCCACGGGACCGGCTGAAGTGTTCTTCGGGAGAACGATCTTGGCTGAGACTGAAATCCCGGCTTTCGGGGATGCCGCGGTCGGTCTCGGGCCAAAGAGAAACGCTGTGGTGAATTGAGATACGGCGCTCGTCCGTTGCTTGCAAGTTGCTGGTATGGGTGCACTGTTTACCCAAGTGTTGGCACATGGTGTACATGGTCCTGCATAGCTTAGGTTGGGAATTGGTGATCGGCTGGGCCAGATGCATCGACGCCTGCCAATTCCCCTGAAACTTCCATCCCGGGCTGTTGGGTATCGAGACGACGAGGCGACGGGATCTGCCAGAGACGCCCAATTCCCAATACTGAAGATTGCAGCGATCGCAGACCCGAAACGGGCTCTCACTGGCTGCTGTCCCGTGCCGGGCCGAAAGCATGTAACATCATGCACGGAACCTCTTCACGGTGATGATGATACCTCTGGAAGGGCTAAGACGAAGGAATGAAGTAGCGAAACGCCAACTGGGACGATATCGTGACATTCTCGTCTGGCAACGTATTCGAGCCATTCCTTGCCAGATTGGGCGCTTCCTTGACTGATTCTTCCGAAGTCTGGAATAGAGCGGGAAGACAGCTCCGACGGCCTGGTTCTCGAAGGAAAGGTCCTGCATGGCTAATCCAATGGCAGGTCGGGTAGGCAATGCCACATCACGGCGCTGCTGTCGAGAAGGGCGCGCAGAAATGCAGTATGCCAGAACAGCTCTCGTAGGCAGAGTGTGTCAGTCCAGTATCTCAGTAATCAGTAAATGTGTGAGCCTACCTTTCAGGATAGCCAGTAGCCATTCGAATGGGTCGATGGAATCGATGCTACCTGACGTGGTGTTGATGCACGGCACGCGGGCACACGGCAGGCCAGTGGAGGGCGAGCTGTTCTGACGGAAGCTCGCCAGTAGCATCATGGTTCCTTTGATGGTTGGTGTGTGAGGCCCACCCCAGGGCTCGGAAGCGAGTTGGGTCTTGTTGCATCGTCCTTTTCGATTCAAAAGTTGGACGCAGCCATCACGATACGCTGCGAGAAACGAAGCAGCACTCTGTAAGCGTGGGCGAAAATTTTAAAAAAAAAAAAAAAAGAAAAGAAACAAAGACCCGATTTACGCGACGCAGCATGCGAGCCGAAAACCCGACGAGAATTGGCAGCAAAAGTGGCAATTTTTATCGAAGGATCGCCGAAGGATACGTCGACTGCAATCCTGAGCAGCCATGAGCAGCCAAAACAAGAAAAATGGCGACAACTCGAATTTTGGCTGCGAAATAGTTGGGAACCAGTCGCAAGATGGAGGGGCAGGTGAGCAGTTAGCTGCAGGCTATGCATGGACAACGGCACGCAGAGTAAATCTTGACCCCTTTTTTCATCTGGCGCATGGGCCAAGTGGGACACCAGAAATCTGGGGAAAGCTCTTGGCGCCAAGGCCGACCCCTGTCAGTCACGTGTAATCGTATGCAGCCACTAAGATGCGACACGCGGCACAAACGCGTCTCTAAAATACTCCAGGACACGACACGAGTCAAGTACCGAGACGTTAGACTGGTGCGTCTTTGCTGTAGTACTGCAACGGAGCAAGACGCTGGCGAGTGACATCACACGCACCCACTGCGATTTTTACCGGGGAAATCCAGCGTACCCTCCGAATCTGGGTGATTCCTGATTACGCGCCTGCCATCCCCCTCAGCAATGGCTGGCCCGTCAAAACCCTCCGAGAAGCGACAGGTCTCGCTTCGCAACTTTTTCACCCCAAAGCCACGGGATCCGCCTGCAGCCGACGGATCAAGCACCCAATCCCTCTCAACATCGGCGAAACCGAATGATGACCAGAAGAAGGTTGCTTCTCCAGCATCTGCATCGTCAGCGCCAGCTGTGCCCAAAAAGCGGTCACTGAAGGCGAAAGACGAGGAGGAGGAAGCAAAGGATGAGGATGACGAGGCTGAGACCTCCAATCGCCTGGCAAAACGTGTCAGGCCATCCAGGCCATTGCGTTCATCCAGATCGGCCAGGGCCATTGTTGATGACGAAGATGACGAAGACGTAGACCAGTCTTCTCCTGCTCGCGAGAAGTCGGCATCCCCGCCTTCTCTTGCTTCTATTCCCAAAGGCTCTGCCTCCTCCCGGACGGAGCGATTCGTCTATGATCCAAACCGCTCTGCGACGGGCCAAGCTGGTGGCGACGATGAAGAGGATATTGCGGCGAAACGTCGGAAGGAAGAATTGCATAGGAAGTTCGTGAAGAAGCTGGGTGATCCTGATAGCCTGCCCTTCTTCCGGATACGAGACCCCCTACCTGATGATACTGGAACTCCAACGCTGGATGGTGATGATGAGGAAGGAGGCGACGAGGAAGAACCCCCTCCGCCTCCGACGACCAAGAAGGGCGCTAAGTCCAAGCTGACGCCCATGGAGATACAATTCCTTGAGATCAAGCGGAAGCATATGGATACTATCCTGATTGTGGAGGTCGGCTACAAGTTTCGATTCTTTGGCGAGGACGCCCGTATTGCTGCCAAAGAGCTAAGCATTGTATGCATCCCGGGCAAGCTCAGATACGATGAACGTATGCAGCCCCTGTCTCTTGAGTCTGCTTCCATCCGAGATGCTGACCATTGATCCCTCCAGACCCTTCAGAAGCTCACCTCGACCGCTTTGCCTCTGCTAGCATACCAGTCCATCGCCTTAATGTTCATGTCAAGCGTTTGGTCGCTGCCGGGCATAAGGTGGGAATTGTGCGCCAGATCGAAACTGCAGCGCTGAAGAAGGCTGGAGACAACCGCAACGCCCCTTTTGTGCGGAAGCTTACCAATGTCTATACCAAAGGCACATATATCGATGAGACAGGGGAGTTGGACCAGCCTGGCGAGGCCACTGGCGCTTCAGCAGGTGGTTACTTGCTCTGTTTGACCGAGTCCCCAGCCAAGGGGCTAGGAACAGATGAGAAGGTAGATGTTGGCCTCATCGCCGTGCAGCCTGCGACGGGAGACATCATCTATGATTCCTTCGAAGATGGCTTCATGAGGCGTGAGATCGAAACTCGTCTGCTCCACATCTCACCCTGCGAGTTCCTCATTGTCGGTGAGCTCTCCAAGGCTACCGACAAGCTCATACAGCATCTGTCCGGGAGCAGTACCAATGTCTTCGGCGACAAGAGCCGTGTTGAGCGCGTCCCTAAGGGCAATACGATGGCTGCCGAGGCCTACTCGCACGTCACCCAGTTCTATGCCTCGAAGACCAACGAGAAAGACCCCAAGTCCGCTGCCCTACTCGAGAAGGTCCTCAAGCTTCCCGAGTCGGTCACCATCTGTCTCTCGGCCATGATCACCCACTTGACAGAGTATGGGTTGGAGCACATCTTCGCTTTGACCAAGTATTTCCAGTCGTTTAGCACGCGACAGCATATGCTCCTCAACGGCACAACACTTGAAAGTCTCGAAGTGTACAGAAATGCCACCGATCATAGCGAAAAAGGAAGCCTTCTGTGGGCCCTAGACAAAACTCAAACTCGTCCCGGCCGACGGTTGCTGCGGAAGTGGATCGGCCGCCCACTACTGGACCACGAACAGCTGCAGGAACGTGTAGAAGCCGTCGAGGAGCTGCTAGAGAATCAAAATACCTACAAGGTTGACAAGCTGACGAACATGCTCAGCAACATCAAGGCCGACCTGGAGCGCAGCCTGATCCGTATCTACTATGGAAAGGCCACACGGCCGGAACTTCTCTCAACCTTACAAGCATTGCAAAGGATCTCAATCGAATACTCCACGCTTAAGACCCCAGCAGACACAGGCTTCAAGTCCCGGCTGATCGCCGAAGCTATAATGTCGCTGCCGGCGATCGGCAACATCGTGACCTCCTATCTCGACAAGATCAACGCTCAGGCGGCCAGAAAGGACGACAAGTACGCCTTCTTCCTGGAGGAGTACGAGACCGACGACATCACCAAGCACAAGTTGGGCATCGCAGCTGTCGAGGCTGACCTCGACCTGCACCGCAAAGACGCCGCAGCCAAGCTCGGCAAAAAGACTCCCGTCAACTATGTCACCGTTGCGGGCATCGAATACCTCATCGAAGTTCCCAACACCGACCTCAAGTACGTCCCTGCCTCCTGGGTCAAGATCAGCGGCACCAAGAAACTCTCCCGCTTTCACACTCCCGAAGTCATCCGCCTCATGAACGAACGCGACCAGCACAAAGAAGCCCTGGCCGCAGCCTGCGACGCAGCATTCTCCAACCTCCTCAAGTCCCTGGCAGCTGAGTACCAGCCCCTCCGCGACGCAGTCGCCTCCCTCGCAACAATCGATTGTCTGCTCTCCCTTTCCCAAGTAGCCTCTCTCCCCGGCTACACCAAACCGACCTTCCTTCCCCCCGGCACACCCCCTACCATCACCATCACCCAAGGCCGGCACCCAATCGCCGAACATACCCTTCCCGATGGGTACATCCCCTTCACAACCTCCCTGACCTCGCCCGCTCCGATCGCGCAACTCATCACCGGCCCCAACATGGGCGGCAAATCAAGCTACGTGCGCGCGGTAGCCCTCCTCGTCCTCCTTGCGCAAATAGGCTCCTTCGTCCCCGCCGACGCCATGTCCCTGACCCTGACCGACGCAATCTACACGCGCATGGGCGCGCGGGACAACCTGTTCGCCGGCGAGAGCACCTTCATGGTGGAAGTCTCAGAGACCGCCACCATTTTGCGGAGCGCAACCCCGCGATCCCTCGTCATCCTCGACGAGCTAGGGCGCGGCACATCCACCCACGACGGCGCGGCGATCGCGCACGCCGTGCTAGACCACGTTGTGCGCGAGACGAAGTGTTTGACGCTGTTCATCACGCACTACCAGAGCCTGGCCCGCGTCGCGGCTGGGTTGGGAGATGGACTAATCAAGTGCGTGCACATGCGGTTCAGTGCGACGACGAATGAGGAGGGTGAGGAGGAGATCACGTTCTTGTATGAGGTCGCGGATGGTGTGGCGCACCGGTCATATGGGTTGAATGTAGCACGGCTGGCACGGATTCCGCGCAAGGTGCTGGATGTTGCGGCGCAAAAGTCGCGGGAGATGGAGGATGGGATGAAGGTGAAGAGATTGAGAGGTGCGGCGAGGTTGTTGGGTGATGTGCTTTCCTCCCCAGGAGGTGAAGATGGGGATGCTGCTGTCGCAGACCAGCTGAACCATTTGATTTCCAGTATCGAGCAGTTGTAATGGCTATCTGGGGTCGTAGTGATAGGCCTCGTCGGCATATCGAACCTGTCTATCCGAATGATATGATGTATGTTGGTATGTGTTTCTTGCCAACAATGGTCCGTCGGCCCAGGAGGACTAGGTAAAATGAACAACAGAGCAATAACCAACCCAACCAATGGTCTTACCCCTGAGTGTCTGAGTTTGATATGTCTTCCGGAGACATTGTCAAGTCTCCTAAGACCGAGCAAACCCCAAACAAATTATCACAAAAAAAAAAAAGCCAAACAAGGGCATGCGCAAACCTAAACTCAATTTTGGTAGTGTTTATGGAGCAGCTATTCCCCAACCCCATGCTAAATGCCATCAAGTGATGCTGTGTTCTCCCCGAGTTTTCCCATGGCCGGCCAATATGTAAAAGATAGGGTCCTAAGGACGCGTCCAAAGAAAAGCACACAAGATCATGCTTCCTCGCTATGACCAGTTTCCCTTATGCTCCTCCCAATGCTCCATTACACGGTCAAAGGGCCTGCGAGATGTCGGCCACGGTGAGAGCAGAAAGAGACTGAGCGAGCCTGCCTAGCGAGAAACGCGAGGCGATGAGACGGCCTGGATCCGTAGCCATGTCCCAGCAAGGCTGTGTCCGTAATCGTGCGAGAAAACCTCGAGAGTGAAAAACCAATACACACAATGAAAGAAAAGACGAGGAAAACGCGCAGAACAAAGTCTTCGTTGAATCGTCTCAGCCATTACGATCAAAGGTCGAACTCCTGGTCCACCCGATCATGAGCCTGATCCGTCGCGTAGGAACTGGTGAAGGCATTATAGCCCATCGAGTTGATACCCATGCTGCCCATCTGGAAATTAGGCGTAGAAGCCTTGGTCTCGCTTAAGAAGGGAGGGAGGTCGTTGATGTTGACGTATCCTAAGTAATGGAAACCAGACGAGATGGGCGGCCTGTTCTGGCACAGAGGGTTAAAGGTGCCACCACCCATGCCATGCTGATGCTGAAAGAAATGGCCGTTGGCAAGCTGACGCTGCTGGGCAAATGCAGCGGTGTTGTCTCGGCCGTGAAAGTAGCCATGGGGCTTGGAGGTCTTCTGCGAGATCATGTTGTTCGAATCCAGATTTTGCAATGCAGGGCGGCGACGAAGCTCGAAGCTAAGAACAGTTAGCAGTATTTAACGGCGACAAGATACGGGTATAACTCTTACCCAGTGTCCCTGAAAGCGCCATCTGCAGGACCTACGTGGAAGTTAGCCAACACCACTCATGCCAAAAACCACTTGTACATACCAGGATTGGGATTCGGGGAGTCACGGAAGATGTCCAAGGTCTCAATCGTACTATGACCATGAGCTGAGTTCCTGGACTCATCATCTTCGTCAAGCAACAAGCCATCGCCTCCGTTCTTGTAGCGAGCCGCGGTCTGGCGCGTAATCCTGGTCGTGGACTGTCTCTGACGAGAGGCCTCAGCCGCTTGGGCGTGGGCCGAAACGCGGACCTTCTTTCGCTTGCGGTTGTCGTCCTCTTCGAACTTCCGGTCCTGGAGAGATGAACGTCAGCTTGACGGGTCTTCAGCCTGAAACCAGTGCTATATAGAAGAGAAACGAACCGGACTGCCCTCAATAGACGGGCTCGCGTAGATATCGCGGACACGCTGGAACTCGCCGTCTTCATTCCAGACAAACTCATTGGGCTCAATGACAGCCGAAGACTGCTCCATCTGCTTCAGGACGGAGTCATCCTTGCGTTGGTTGCGCATCCTCCGTTGAGTCTCGTCGGCAGAGTCAAACAAACCCATACCAGGGTAGCGCACACCCTTCAACTTGCTGCTGTCCAACTCATCCTCGGGGAAGTCATTGGTCTCCGAGACCTCCTCAGACACAATGACACTATCTGTGGTTTCTGTCTCTGAGGGCCATCTCCTGTACTGACCCTGACGAGGAGTGCTGGGGTTCGAGCAATCCGACCGAGTGCGCTTGATGCCTTGGGAATGGAAGCCAGGGACATTACCATATCCTTGGCCTGCATTCATGGAGTGACCAGGAGCATAGCCCCAAGTGGCTGCATTGTCCTCTGGGTCATGCTTGACTGAGGACTGGCGGCTCGACGAGGCATCAAGGGAGCCACGCTGCTGTCCGATGTTAGCATACATCCAAAGCTTTGGGCTTGGGTTGGGAAGCAACTCACGGTCTGATTGGCACCCCGGACGCGTTTGCTGTTAGGGTTCTTCTTCTGTTCCTTTGCCGCCATGCGGTCAGCGAGCAAGGCATTGATACCATAACGCTCACACCATTCGTCGTATTCCCGCACATCTTCGTACGCCTGGCGATCCGTCCGAGCTTTGAGCTCGACCTTGAAGCGGTGTGCAAGGTGACTCTTTGAAGAGATGTGGGTCAAAAGATGGGATAAATCAGAGAAATTGGGTTTCTTCGGACAAAGATTGCAGCGAAGCGGGATGGAGGTTGGCTGGTTCCTGGCCGCCAAATCCATCGGTGCAATCGCAGCCATAATCTAATAGTAGTAGAAGGCAACGATGGTCAGCATGAAGTCAGTGGCAAGAGTAGCTGCAATATCATAAGGCTCAGTCAGGTGTAACTCACGAATGAATGGGAGGGGTTGGTATGAGCCAACCGCACAGGCTGGAGATGAGAAGTAAGGGAAGTCGGGTGGCCGAGAGACTGGCTGATGTCACCGATGGTGTCTCTTCCGTCGCGAATGGAAAGAGAGACCTAGAAAATCCGTGACTGTACTGTTGCCAGAATAGATTCTTGTCACGAAAAGCCGGAGAAAAGAACCCTTGAACCTGGGAGGAAGAGAACCGGTGTCGAACAATGTAGACAAGATGATCCCTTGGAGATCTCAAGATCTATCAAGCGCTTCGTCTGGGCTGAATAATGCTGCGATTGACTTCTCAAGAGGTGCCAGCGTGAGGTCAAATCACAGGACAGGAAGGTCGAGGGTACCTGATGCAATCACGTCTTTCTGGGGGAGGAGTCAGGCTGAGGGCTGCGACAGTTCAGTCCAACTGCTTTAAAAACATGGTTGAAGAAGGGACAGGTTGGGGACGAGACCGTGACTGGCAGACAAAAAGTTAAGAGGGAAAGAAGCAGGGCACGTTCAAATCGTGTCAACCGAAGTGAGCGTGTCACTTACACGTTTGGTGGGTTGAGAAGACTTTTTGGAAGGAGCAGTTTCCTCAACCAGGCTGGATGCCTAAGTCTCAAGGTACTGATGGACCTGGACCAGGCGATAGAGTGATAAAGCATCCACTTGAGAGCAGGATGTCCAACTGATAGAGAGATTTGACGCTGACAAAATCTTCTTCGCTGATTGCACCTTGGCAGCTGTGTTAAGATCAAAGCCGAAGGGTTCGTCGCAAGTTCAGGAATAGAAATGAACACCCCTTCATCAGATAATAACTGTTGTGAGAAGATATGATGTTGATTCGACGAAAGAAAAGAACTATGTGACGAGAGGAAGTATCATTGCGACAAGACATATAAGCTCGAGCAATAGGTGAGTACCACAGGGACTCAGAATAAGAATAACGGTTTGAGCTGAATGTCTCTGGTAGAGCAGGCTGGCGAAGAATAGGAAGAGGAATAAAAGGCAGAATGGAAGAAAGTTCGCATAGAAATCGTAGTTGAGTTTTATTTCAAACCTCGAGGTGCGCAGGTCCTCGACCTAGGCACTCGCCGCGGGGACCAAGTAAGCAAGGGAACAAGAGTGCAGATTGTTCCGGAATGTCAACAGGGTGGTTTTGTGACATTTTCGCAGAAGGACCGACATTCGACATACCCCTGATGCATATCTTGACCTGGAGAGAGATAAGTGACTGCAAATATTTCCAAAATACTTCCATCACGAAAGCAAAGCCATTCCATGAAAGGCTCTGAGTGCCAAGTAAAATCCTTCACAGGGTGGGAATGTAGACTGCTCTGGAACATGTAATATCGCAACAAGTTTCTGGAAGACGCCTCCAGTATTGAACCAATTCTACTCCTCTATGGAGGACAAGGACAGTGAATGGAGATGATGCTGAATGTTGACTTCACAAAGTCACAGCTAATGCGTAATTACAGTAGGCTTGTGGAAGCACTCTGTTGCTCTAGATGGCGTCTAATATGTGGGCTCAATCAAAGGGGTTGGCGGGGATGGTCCCAAAATATTGACATCGCGAAACTACAGTGATTCCGTAGAAATTTCATCACCTCAAGCCAAGCACTTTGCAATGTCCTGGTAAGAAATGATAAAAGGAACCCTAATGGAATGCTTGAGGGTGTTTCTCCCTCATGCTGTCGCAGCTTGCCAACGTGTTGAATTTTTACTCCTCACATTTCCTCCAGCCCCTACACCCACACGAATTCAAATGGCGTTGTTATCTCTCACAACCATTGTCTCAACAGAGGACCTACGCTCCAGCAGTTGCCTGATCAAATAAAATATCGTCCAACAAAGATGAGCAGATTATTCTGGAGAGAGAACATCCTCAACTTTTGTGATCTTGGAGCAAGCAGCTCATTGACAAGCTTTGTGCTGCTCTGAACAGAGAGATCATGGATAGGCATTTGTAGAACATTAACAAATCGCAGAGTGGTGGATGTCTGTGAAGTAACATGACTAGAAACTGTCTTTAGGTTTCGTTCGAGGCAATGCGACATGTAGAACGTTAACATGACGAGGTGTTGCTTATTGATAATATAGAGCTAGGATTAAGCCAGGTCTTTGAAGGTCAATGAGATATATGCAAAGATTCCAGACTGTCGATGTCAAAGAGAGGGGCAGTTGTAGAAAGTTTTCAACTTCTGATCGAGCTGTGAACGGTTGGTAGAAGTAGTTACAAAGGATTCAAGAGCCACAAATCGCTCATGAGTTCAGACGATTCTAGCTGGAAGTAAATAAAGTCGAGTTTAAAGCACAAGCTGCATCATGAATAGGCGTTAGAACAGCACAGATGATTATCCCGTTGGAACTTGATATCGAGAGTACCTATCGGCCAGATCATGAGGAAGGGGCGCAAGTTCCAATTCTTAGACACAGGACTGGGAAAGAGAGACGAAGGCCTGACAGTTAACAGCATCCTCGGGGGAACCTGTTCGCAGCGCTTGTGGAAAAGCAAGTCAGAATTGAGTTTGGTCGTGAAGGTGCATGCATAAGTCAGGTGTGATGTGATCCTTTATTATAACCAGATAACTGGAGTATCTTTCATTATTAAGGATGGACTGCGACGATGGTCACTCCAAGCACGTTTTGTGAGAAACGTCCTTCACCGACAGGCTTCACATGCACCAAAAGTCAGAAGTTTTGCAGATAACTTGCAAGGTCACTTCGTCTGCTTTCAGGCTTGATGAGCCTAACTACCACAGATAGCCAGGTGAACTTAGAGACAGTGAAAACATCTTTTGTGCAGTTAAGTTTGCTGGCTGTGTCTTTGACTGCATAGGCCCCTAAACTTGATTCACTGTCACGGAAAACCAGAAGGACACAGAGACCATATGATAGACGCAATGACGTGATGGCAAAGTTCGCAGTAATCTTGGATGCCTGGATGCAAGAGTTGGCGGAAGCAAGTACAATGAAGATGATGCTGTCAAGGCAGAGAGCAGGAGTTCAATGAACCTTTGTGGAGTTAGGGTTTACAGATTCGCCTTAACTGGGTTCAGGCTGGGAAAAATCATGATGCAAATCAACGTTTTATACCACAGGCATGGAAATGCAAAAGCACTTGTTTTATTGCAGAGATGTTCGCACCAAATCCGAACTGGTCTCCATCCAAGAGTGGGGATCATCAGCAGGAAATGGTGACAAATCGGTCTTCTCTTGCCTTGTATCCTCCCAACGCGGTGCGTACTGTTGGCAGGTTATTAGATCGCAAGAGGACAGATAAGTCAGGCGTCATTAATTAATATCTTGATCTCAAGTCCACTTGGAGGAGATTATGTGGCTTGAATTAGGGCTCAACGGCCGAAGATGCGAGATATTGTCGACTTGGGCATGCAGTAAACCTCGTTGACTGGCTGCAACCCTGGGTACTTGAGTAAGCTCAAGCCAGCGATGCCAAAAACGGTGTGCCACACATCGACCATATTACCAGGTCGATCCGAGATGCCGCCCTTCTCCATGTCCTGGCAGCGGAGGATGAAGGCAGCCAGCTGGCTCTTGTTGATCCAGTGTGTCTTGCCGATCATCTCCAGACTGCTTAGCACCCACCAACTATAGCAGACATCCTCCTTCTTCTCTGGCCGGCCATTAAGCCCACCACCAGCGATTTGCCGTTCGCTCAGCCACCTCCCGAGTCGCTCTTTGTCGATAAGGTCCTGCCTTCCAGCAATGGTCAGGGCCGCGACGCAGGTAAAAATCTGACCGGCATGAGACTCGGCGCCCGGGCTCACTCCGTAACCGCCGTCAAAGTTGGCACAAGCTGCGATATGCTCAACGGCCTTGTCGACATCGACAAGATGCAGTAAGCCAAGGAGCGACAGAGCGTTAAATGCACCGTAAAGGAAGCGTGTATCTTCCTCCCCCCACTCGTCGCCGGCGAACGTGCCAGTCTGGCGGTTCTGGAGACTTGCAATGTCTGTATTGACACGAAGTCAGTCAGCACCGAAGGACCAGAGCCGGGCGAACGAGACGGCCAACGCGCGAGAAGACGTACACTTCCCCACCTGTTCCTTGCCCTTGCCGCGCTTCTCGAGCTCGTCGAAGGCATCGAGCATGGCGAGAATCTGCACCGCGCTGACAGTTGAGAGCATGTGCGCGTCGTGGCCTGGCGCGGCGCCGAACCCGCCATTCTCATGCTGGCACGACAGCACGAAGTCGATGGCGTCGGCACGCGGGAGAGCGTCGGGATGGCCCAACAGGTGCAGAGCTGTCAGGCCCCAGTACAGCCCGTTGAGCCGTAGGTGCTCCGTCAGCCAGTAGTCATACTCGTCCTTCCTAGTATCCAAGCTCTGGATGTACTTGACATGAGCTTCGGTGGCCAGATAGAGCTCCTCCGGGATATCGCTGAAGTCTTCCGACATGGCTGTGGTTTTGTTCTGAGAAAAAGTTGACAAGGGACCGGTGAAGGTTGGGGACTCGGAGAAATCGAGGGGTGCGCTGTTCCCTGATTGGTTCGGAAAAAATTGATTACATAATCTTCCGGCTGGCACTAGTTTCTTGGTATCATAGCCGCCGGCTTCTCGAAGCGACCTTGGACATCGCAACGCCAGCAAAACGACAGCCGCAATTGGCCGCTATGGTCACATTCTGCCACCGCGCGCTTGGATGAGGTCTAGAGCGGTTCATAAATATCCATGACAGGGTTGGCGCGGATAACTGAACGCATGATGGCGCCGAGGAGGTGTATCACAATCCGTTGTCTTAGGCATCGATCTATCAACCATGAAAGAGATGTGGTGAAACAACAAAAATGTGCGCCAATCAATTTGCCAAAGTGTCATCGTTTCCATGGATACTGGAAGTGCTTGGATGAGACGCTTCCCGGTCATCATACCAACCCCATTCGGACAAAGTTGCGAGGCAGCTGATGTTCTGGAAAGATTCCATGCTCGAGAACCCCAAAAAAAATCTTAAGAAGCTTAAGTTTGGTTCGATTGAAGATCATCCTAGGAAACTTCAATAGTTTCTCTGACACAACAGTCAGTCGTTTTCTTTTCCATGTCGGATGCGCATAGCCTTATCGAACATCAAGATATTGGGTCAGCAATGCATCTCTCTCTCTTCGGAGTCAGCAATCATGATTCTCATACAGCTCTTTCATGGGCTCTGGTCCTTGCAGATCTGAGCCAAGAAACACCCCAAGTTTCAGTACTGTTGTGTTCCTGAGCTAAACCATTTTTGGACTAGCGCAGAATGCCCCTCCTCCTGTCGCCTTTGGCAGTGTCTTGGCTTAAGCTTCCAAACGGACGGTTCGGCGAGAGAAGACAGTATGGTTCTAGATAGTGAAGATGCGGATAGCCAAGAAAGTAAAGGTGCTCACAGGTTAAATGCTGCCGTTGGTGGCTTCCATACCATCGTCCCTTTCCCCCCATGAATCCAAGGAAAGCATCATGGGATCTACCTTCACTGTCTTAACACTGTGTTAATCCATATGTAAACAAGCTATGCAGCACGTAGTTAAGGTAGCAGATCAGCAACACATTCTTCAGCCTTATTTTCAGGTTTCAGCAATTTTAAAGCTATCTCCTCTGACCTCGGTCGGCGCTGTTGTAAGCAAGAATGGTTCGAAGGCGGCCCGTCTTGGCCAGCTTGTGCCGCCCACAGGGGCAATTAAAGTTGGGGGGATATTGTGATATGATAACCCTTCACGATCAGCGATTGCTCCCTTGTTGACGACAGCCAAGGCGCTGACAGCCTTTTTTTACTCCTAGACACGGTTTTGATGGCTGACCCAGTCAACTGGCATCGCCATCGATACTATTCTTCATTCATGGATTGTCGGTTGCATGCCTTTGAGGACTTGCACTTTTTCTCATGCTCTTCGTTTGGCCCCCGGAAGAGAGAATATGTTGCTGACAAAGGTGTAAACGCCGGGGGCGGAGTGCCTAGATTGCCATCGCATGTATTGTTATCATTCTTAACTGGGAGAGAGGACATCTGGCGCTTAATGGTGTGCGTATTGGTACGTACAGCCTACCTACAACATCCACAATCGGGAGTTCCTGGCTTCGGGCGCCGGGAGCAGCCCCTGGCAGCAGATCGTCTGGGTTGTCCGCGTCTTGCCATAGTTAAGAGCCCTGCGGGAATGATCTCACTTGTTTCAGAAGCGCTCCCAGAGCTCCAGGATTGCGCGGCTGACAAAGGACGCTCTTGTACTTCGGCATTCATCTCCGGTGCCAACGCTGGGAAACCAGGACACACAAAGAGCCCGTGTATAAGTGTTGACAGCCGTTTTCCCAAACGGATTTCCTCAAGTGTTTCTGCAATTTATGAAAGCTGGGCAGTGTGCTGGGTGAGATGGTGGCTGTCAGTTGGGTGTTGAGGACTTTTGAGTCCAATCGTTTCATCTTCCTGGCGTCGTTGGGGCTTCGCTTACAGAGTGCGGGCGACGAATCACGCTCACAGACACCAAAAGTCGCAGAGGTCTGGCAACAGAGTGTGGTGGGTCTGCACTTGGAGCCCCTTGCTCATTCGCGTCTGATCTCGCCAGCAAACTGTGTGCCTTCCCACTCCAATTTCCTCAGAATTGTTGGCTTTGAAATCGAAGCGCTTGCAGAGCACCGCAGCGCAGAAAAGGGACAATAAAATATTGAGGAAAACAAAGTGAAAGTGCGGTCCACATTTAAGCCGAGCCTGAGCCTCTTCAGGACCGGCGCCATCTTTCGAGGTTCCCTTCCCTTCTTGGTTGCTGTTGCTGTCATTTTCGCAGCTGCTTGGTGGGCCCCAAGCCTGTAGACAGACACAGTGCGAGGCCTAGCCAAGGAGCTAAGCAGCCAAAGCCCCCAGGCCCGGGGGGGGGGTGTCCAATCCGAAATGGCCCTTCATCCACAGCATTCATTGAGCATTCATCTGGCTCTGTGTGCCCTCCTCGTGGCCCAGTTCCTGCTTCAACTCGACCCCTCCATCTTTTGCACACACTTCCCATGCTCCCGCCCTCTTTTCATCTTCAATCCGTGCCTCTCTTTTGCAAATCTAGACAAGCAAGCCGCTTATTTGGGGGGTTCCAACTGCTGCATCTGTCGCAGACGGCAATCCGCCTATTTTTCCCATTTTCCCCATTTCGCCCAAGATCCCAACGCTGAGCTCTCCGGCGCTGCGGTGTATCACTGTTGCGCAACCCACATAACCCACGCAGTCCACGCAGTCCACACAATCCACAATTCACAACCACAACCAACACAGCAAGGCAACAAGCTGCAGCTGGCTGCCCGCTGGTCCCTGATTCCCCTTGTTTGACTCCTTACCTGTCTGGGCGGTTGTATCCATCATCCGTGCCTATAGTTTGCGTCTACATTGGTAGAGTGTGCGCAGAAGTACCTACAAGCGACATCAGTAGCTGAGGTAGGGCGCATTGCGGAAATCAGGACCCCGTCCTCAGGAGACCAGCCCGATTCAAATATCTCTGCGACAAGGATAACCGGACCCATCCCGCCGTTACTGTGACCAGGTGGCCCGGTCGCGCGCGCTTGGCCAAGGGCCAGTCGGTGATCCCAGCGCCAGCATGCCTCGGAAACCTGCGCCGCAGCCGCTCGCTCTGGAGCACTCCGCCGTGCGCTCCATCAGCAGCGACTCTCGCCCCGTGCCCGTGACCGAAACTGTTTCCAACCCCAATTCAGCATCCGACCAAGCATCTCCCCGATCCCCGCGATCGCCTGTCCGTCGTGGCCAGAAAACTCCAGATTCTACCGAAGAAGCGCCCCTGCAGCTTGCCAACGTCCTGCATCAGTCAGAAACTTCGCCGCGAGAAAACCAGCGCCCGTATCAACAGCAGCAGCAACAACAGCCGTCCCCATCGCACAAGCCGGACCAGCTATTCCACCAGCAGCATCAGCAGCAGAATCAGATTGAGAGCCAACAGCAGCCAGAGCAACGCTCGCTGACTACTCCGCGAGGTCGCCCGCCCGGCCAACACCACCTGGGCCACAAATCGCGGCACGACGAGGACAAAACGTCCAAGTCAGGCTTCTTTTTCAGCTTTGGAAAGTCTTCTAAGTCGTCAGACCGTGCCGCAGCCCATCAGCATACGAACTCTCGCGCCGACATCATGTCCAAAGACGCAGATCGCCCATCGCTCGCGAAGCAGAGCACTAAGGTCTCAGGTATGCAATTTTTTTATTCCCCTGTCCTCAAGAAAGTTTGGTGACATACGCACCGTGATCGTGCAACTGTAATGTTCGGCTGTTGCCGGCGTGCATGCTGCATGCAGTTATCTACTCCCTTGCTTTGTTCCTGCCTATCTTGGGACTACAGACGGCTGACAGCAATGACAAATGCAGATTCAGAGGTCCCAAGTCAGAGATCGAATACTCCTGGGCCGTCTCGGTCTGAATTGTCTCTGGCTTCTTCGTCTACAGACAACACCGATCTCCCCTCGAACCATTCTGGTACCACAAAGAAATCCAAGTCCAAACCGTTCAACTTGCTCAGCCGTTCGAGGTCAATCAACAAAGAGAAAGACGGCAAAGATGCCCCGAGTCCCAAAGAACAGCCTGAAGCGCCGACAAAAGGCTCCGAATCCGACCGACTGCAGACATCGGCAGCCCTAAAGACTGCACCACTTCAGACACATGACCGTTCCTTTAGAGAAATGATGTCATCGGCCGTTCGGCACCACTCTGCCGATCGGTCTCAGGGCAGGGATGGTGGGAAAGGAAGGGACAAGGATCAAGAGAAGGAGCACAAAGACAAGAGTTTACAGAAAGAAGGAGTAGGCTCGTTCTTGAGCAGCATTAAGCACAGCAAGGCGGCGAACTTTGTGAGTAGCAGGTTATTCGGTACCAGTCTGACTCGTGAGCCGGCCCCGCCAAAGGAGCCAGAGGTAGATGATGAGCACTACGTGTTAAAGGTCATCAACCTGCCTCTGGTCGAGCAAACACGCCTGACCCGGATATCCAAGCGACTTGAACATTCGCGCGATAAAACCGAGTTCTGGATGCCAGCATTCCCATGGAGGGCCATTGACTACCTGAACTACAAGGGGACGGACGTCGAAGGGCTGTACCGCGTGCCCGGGAGCGGGCCCCAGATCAAGAAGTGGCAACGGAAGTTTGATGAGGGTATGTGGCATGCGGATTGCTTCGACTGGACTTGTGTTGACAAGATGCACAGAGCTAGATGTCGACTTGTTCGAACAGCCCGATCTGTATGACATCAACATCATCGGTTCCATGTTGAAGGCTTGGCTGCGAGAGCTCCCTGATGAAATCTTCCCCAAGGAGGCCCAAGAGAGAATCGCAAGAGAATGCGCCGGATCCGAAACCGTCCCGGAGTTGCTCGTAGAGGAACTTTCGAACCTACCGCCGTTCAACTACTATCTGCTGTTCGCCATTACCTGCCATCTCAGCTTGCTCCTAGCGCATTCAGACAAGAACAAGATGGATTTCCGCAATCTGTGCATCTGCTTCCAGCCGTGCATGAAAATCGACTCCTTTTGCTTCAAATTCCTGGTATGCAACTGGCGCGAGTGTTGGAAAGGCTGCAAGAACGAGGCAAAGTATATCGAAGAGGAGTATAGATTGTTCGAACAGCCGCCACCGACGAGGGCATTAATTCCGCCGAAGCCAGATGGTGAGGAAGAGAGGCAACAGCAACAGCCTCAACCAGCCCCGCCGCCGCGACAAGAGGAACGCAACCTTTCCTCGTCTGACAGCGGCCGGAGTGGGAAGAGTGGTAGCTCAGAGGGGAAGGGCAGATTAAAGAAGAAGCTTTCCGAGGGCGATGACACGGGCGCGGTGAAGACCACGACCCTGACTATTGATCCCGGTCGTGAAATTACTACCAAGACAGGCGAGCTACGGCCACTCTCGCCAATTAAGCCGCTGTCGCCGTTGAATTTTTGATGATTAATACAACCCGTGGAGCTTTACTAAAAATTCATGAAAGACGACGTCAATGTTTCTCAGATCGCAGGCTGCTTTGCTATCAAGACTCTCTCTGGGCAAGGCCTCCTGCTTTGTCTGCAAATCAGGGGGAGTGGGTCCTCGGAGTTGACGATATGAATCGGCCGATCATCTTCGCTTCGTTGTTCTAAAGTTTTACCCACATGCTTTTGTTTTTCTTCCTTCTCTCCTCTTTATGTGCGGTTGAATACCCGTCGTTACTCTGGTTCACATACATCTTCTGTTTTGCGGTTCCACATTCCCTTCTTTCCCAGTCCTTTAGGCCTCATTTTTATTCCTTTCCTTTTTTTCCCTTACAAATTGTTTGTTCTCGATGGGGCATTAGTAATGAGCAGGGAAAACGGAGCATGTTGGTTTCTGGTTTCTACTTCTATGGTCATCAAGTGGATGAATTGAGGATAACCAAGGTGGTCAGACCAAACTATTGTCTGCCAACCGTTCTTCTAGACCATACTGGTCTACGATCTTCCAACTTCCAGGATGGATGGGGAAAGCATGGAATGCACAGATATCAAATTTTCGAATTACCAGGGGCGGGTTTTTGACATTCAGGCAGAGAGGATTGGTGGGGATTTGCATGTACAATAAAGGGGAAAGAGGGGGGGGGGGGAAATAGCTTTGAGAGCTATCACCATAACCTCAGTAATGAATGAGCCGGGAAGCGTCGCGCCGGGACACTGGATGGCATTTTACCTTAGGTACCTAGAGACACACGAGGATTGGTTTGCACCGGAGGATATTTTGAATGAACAGTTGATACATATTTTTGATTTCTTCCAATATTTTCTCTTAATTACTACGGCACTCCGTTCCAGCCCTCATAACGCCGGTGTACAGTTTATACGTAGGTAGGTGTAGAACCGAGACCCAACATGAACGCCATGAAATGCCATGAATATCGACATTACATCCCAAAATAAGCCTCCCAGCCCAGCAATATATCCCGATACAACCCCCATGCTCAGTTTGCTGTCCCCCCCTCCTCCTCCACTCATTTCTTCCCCATCTTCTCGGCCGCAATCCTCTGATTCCGCAGCATCTGCTTTTGATTCTTTTTGACCCGTGCCCTGATCTCCCGCCGCTTGTCCCCCCGCACGCTCGTCCCCTCCGGCCGCATTGCCTCCTTCGCCGCGCTGACCTCGATGATGGGATCCGTCTCCCCCCGCTTGTTCGCCCCCTTGTACCCCCACTTCCGCTCCCACTGCCCCGTAGTCGGGTTGTACTGCAGGTTGCGCCGCTGCTCCCTCGTCTTGGGCTTGATTCCCCTGCGCCGCGCGAAAGCTTGCCATTTGGTCTCGGGCTTGGGTTGCGGGACGGGTTTTTCGCGGGGGAGAGGGGTTGTGGGAGGGGGCAGGGTTAGGAGGACGCCGTCCTTGGTGGCGGTTATGGTGGTTGTGGTGAGCAGCTGGTTGATCAGGACCTGAGCGCCGTCGCGCGCGACCGAGGCGAGGTGTTGCTCGAGAACTTGGGTGTCGGTGGTTTTGGGGACGTTGACTGGGTTCGGGTCGTTTGCGAGGAGGAGACCTAGGTCGAAGGTGTAGGGGGTGGGTTTTTCGACTGTTACCGGGAGGCGGGCGGGTTTGGAGGTGTCGGTGGACATTGCGGCGACTTTTATATTTAGTATTTGCTCAGAGATTGGTTGGTTGGTTGTGATAAAAGGTGTGAGATTGAGAGGTTGGTGATGAAGTGAAGCGCTGATGCGAAGGCCGTCGCAAGTGAGATGAACTCGAGTTTGAAAATTTGGGCGGTGAGCAGCGGCAGAATCGCAATTGGCGGGCGGCTGCAGCAGCGTCGTGGCTTGGCAGGGCCCTGCAGAACAGTGCGAGGAGGAAAACCTGGGGGGACGAGATGGCGGGGCGGTCTTGGCTGTGGCCCGTGCGCGGCAACTGCACAGCGCCGAGCCGATTTTGATTCGAGCAGCGAGCAGCGACTCCAGCACTGAGTGGGCGACCAGAGATTTTGAGATTTTGTCTGCAACAGCGCACTCGGATCGCGGCCACTGCTGTCCCTGCTGTCTCTGCTGAGCTCGAGCCGGCCCAATTGCTTGCCCCCTGCGCCCCAATCCTTTCCGCTGGCGGCCGCAAGATGCAATAGACGCCTTCGCCGGCTCCCCGCTCGCCCAAAGACAAGACCGATCAGCCCCCTCCTCCCTCCCTCTCTCCCTCTCTCTCGAGTCCTCGACCTCCTCGAGACGACCAATAACCCCTCCTCTTCGCCTGTCTCGATCTTGAACCAGCTGTAATACCACTCATTAACCATGTCGGCGTCGACTTGCTTGAGGTGCTGCCTCGTGCGGCCAGCACCCGCCTTGTCTGCTGCCTCCCTTCCCATCCGCACAGCAACCCCTCTCCACCAGCTCAGACCAGCCATCCAGCAAGTTGCGACCTTCTCAACGACCCCTGCGGCCGCCAAGGCTGCGCCCAAGGGCAATGACCCGGAATCGTCGCTCAAGGGCCACATTCGTGCGGGAAAACGCCTCGTGCTGCGCAAGTTCAAGAAGAAGAACCTGGATCGCGGCAAGCCACCTCTGCCAGGTGAGCGCAAGGCCTACCGCAAGCGCATTATCCTAAGCAACGACAACGCCCTGCCCGTGCCCTGGGTCACCGAGATGGGGCCCGAGGACCTACTGAAGAAGCAGAACGAGGCCAAGGTGCTGTCTCTGCCGGATGATGTGGTCGACCAGCTGCGCGCCATTGAGGCGTTTAAGCCGACCCAGAACTGGAAGATGTTCCGCAAGCCGAGCGTGCTAGTCCGCAAGGAGACTGTTGATCTGGTTAATCGCATGCAGAATGCCGCTGGGAATCGTCAGACTCTCAAGCTCGTTGTGACGGGTGATAAGGTCTCGGGCAAGAGCTTGCTCATCTTGGAGGCCCAGGCCCATGCTTTTATGAACGAGTGGATTGTCATTCACCTGCCGGAGGGTATGTTCATACTCCTACCACATGGTAACTTCATGTAGCAGCTGCTGACACCCAACCCCCCCCCCCTCCTAAAAAAACAGGCCAAGACCTGACCAACGCACACACGGAATATGCCCCGATTCCCAACACCAATCCCACGCAGTACATGCAGCCGACCTACATAATGAAACTCCTGCAAAACATCAAGAAAGCCAATGAGAAAGTCCTCATGAAGCTCACCACAGTCACCACGCACCCCGAACTCCCGCAAAACATTACGCCCGGCACGCCCCTCATCACCCTCGCCGGCGCCTGCAAGGAGGCCGACTACGCCTGGGCGACGTTTATGGCCTTCTGGAAAGAACTCACGCACCCGGCCGCCCAAGGCCGGCCGCCCATCCTCTTCAGCCTGGACGGTCTCGCCCACATCATGCGCCTCTCCGAGTACCGCTCGCCAGCCTTCGAACTGATCCACTCTCACGATCTGGCCCTGGTCCGCCTCTTCGTCGACTGCCTATCAGGCCACACGCCGCTGCCCCACGGCGGCGCCGTGCTGGCCTCCACCTCGGGCAATAACGCCCCCAAGACGCCCTCTCTCGATCTCGCGCTTGCGCAGCGCCTAGCCGAGCAGGCCGGCAAGCCGGCCGCCGAGATCCCCAAGCGGGATCCTTATTTTCGGGGGTATGACGACCGCGTGGAGCACGCGCTGCGCAACGTGCAGGTGCTGCCCCTGCGGGGCGTGAGCAAGCTGGAGGCGCGCGCGTTGATGGAGTACTGGGCGGCGAGCGGGATGTACAAGGAGGTGGTGGATGAGAGGGCGGTGGCGGCCAAGTGGGCGCTTGCTGGGAGCGGGCTTGTCGGCGAGATGGAGAGGGCTGCGCTGTTGACTATGCGCATGTGAGACGGGTAGTTCCGGAAAGGCGGGTTGAGCGAAAGGGGGTGAAAAGGGAGGGGGGTTTGGTGTGTATGTTTGTGTATATGTAATTTACGAGATTTAGTTGTGGATGTGGAAAGGAAAAGATGGTGTAGACCTTGTATTTATAGAGGCATGCATATTCACGTCTCCTGAATCGGTTTTCTCTGGGATGATTTGAGTGATATGTGCTCTGATATGAGATGAAATAAGAATGCGGGATATCCAATTCCTCAAGTAAGCTCAACAGCCAAAGTTCGGCCGAATAACGCATGTGTTTTCACATTTTACAGGTTGGTTTGAGGCTAGTCGGTTGTGTGCAATGTCTTATAGAATAAGCTCTTTGCTATTTTCAACTGACTTGTCGACTTTCTTGCACCTACCTGTAGAGGTTTATATTTTCATATTCCTTTGATGGGTTTCACCTGGGATGTCTCAGTACGAGACTACGAGATGATATGAAATCAAGTTTTGACCAACCCAACTTTTTTTTTTTCAGTTGACCGACTTTCGACTAACTTTGCATCGATGTGCGGTTGGAAGAAAAAAAAAGTTAGTCAGCACAAACACAATTTCATTGTACTGCATTTTATCCTTTTATCATTTTATTTATTCCCTGCACTTCGTTTCTTTCTGTTCACCATGTCAACAACCCTTGACTCGTCTCGTTGTTGTACCACATAACCATCAACGGCATGAAAAAAAACAATTACCCTTGAGAACCGTACGCCCAACAAAAAAAAACCATCAAAACACAGAAGAAAAACACCAAACAAGAACCAATCATCAGCCAGACAACGCAGTCAAACACATTTACCTACAAATCATAGGTCTCAGGCGCAAAAGCCATGTTCATCGTGAGCATATGCACCAACCGGACAGGCATATTGGAGAAAAAGGGCAGCGAGAACATATTCTTGCTGTTACCCTCCATTTTACCCAACCACACCACACCATTTCTTTGGACCTTCACTAATACTTTTTTTTGGGAATGTCGGCCCCTTTTTCTTCTTGCTGTTGGTCCTCTTCTCGTCATGCTGCTGACTATTGTCGTTGTTGGGTCTAAGCTTGTGCGTGACAGCAGTCAAGTATGCCGGGAAAAGGCTTATCGAGCGAAAAAAAAAAAAAGGACCGGGGAGAAAAGGGGAGGGGGGAAGGGGGGAAAGGCGGAGTGCCGATAAAAATCTCGTCCAGGAGAGAATTTTGTTTTTTTTTTTTGAGTCTTTTAAAGATCTTCGTCGCTCGCGTCCCGCTCGTTCCCCGATGTAATGAAGACCAGGCGCGTGCCATTGCCTGCTGTTTGCCAGACCTAGAAAAACCTGAGCGTCAGTATCACTAGAAATAGATTCACACAAATATCGAGAGATGGACAGGTTCTGAAGGGGACGCACATCCAACTCGGTATACTCCTCCAACGCCGCCAGCCACTGCTGCTCCGTGAATCCCTTGGCAATGACCCGCTCCTTGACCTTGCGCAGGCTGAGCTCGACGCCCAGGGACCCGGCCTCGTCCTCGTCGTCGTCGGACACGTCGTCCGGCCGGCACGCCCCGCTGTCGGCCAAGCCCTTGACGAGATTGTAAATCCGCGAGCTGGCGTTCATCGCGCTGCCGCGCTTGCGCCCGTCGCTGTCGACCGTCGTGAGCAGGCTCTCCTTGCTGGCCTCCAGCAGCCGGAGTGCCTCGTCCACGTCTTCCTGGGAGACGGTGTTGCTGAAGCGCAGACGAGCCAGCGCCTGCGCGAGACGGACGACGCCGAGCAGCGTACGGGGCGTGGTATGTCCGAAATTGTTGAGATTGGCGTTCGGGTGTGTGCGAGCCTTCTGCTCGGCCCGACGTTGCGCCGAGCGCATGCGCACGTACGTCTTGACCATGTATTCCGAGACCGCCGGCGGGACCACGGGGCGGAAGGTGCGTGCGTGCGCGACGTAGGCTCGGACTTCTTGCGGGGTGAAGATGGCTGCCTCGGAAGAGGAGCCGTTCTCGCCGTTGACGTTGAGATCGGGATGGCGCATGTGCATGTGTACGTGGGCGACGTGCTTGGCCAGCTGGAGGTCTGCATCGCGGGAGGGGGTGTCCAAAAGGAGGAAGAGGATGTCGAAACGGGAGAGGAGGGCCGCGGGCAGATTGATGTTTTCGACGGCTGACAAGCGCGGGTTGTACCGGCCGTAGACGGGGTTGGCGGCAGCCAGGATAGAGGTACGGGCGTTGAGGGTCGTGGTGATGCCTGCTTTGGAGATGGAGATGGTCTGCTGTTCCATGACTTCGTGGATGGCCGTGCGGTCGTGGTCGTCCATCTTGTCGAACTCGTCGATGCAGCAGATGCCATTGTCGGCCAGGACGAGCGCGCCGCCTTCGAGAACCATTTCGTCCGTGACGGGGTCACGCATGACGGCGGCGGTCAGACCAACGCCGGAACTGCCGCGGCCGGAAGTGTACACGCCGCGCGGGGCGACCTTCGAGATGTATTTGAGCAGCTGGGACTTGGCCACACCGGGGTCACCCATCAGGCAGATGTTGATGTCGCCACGGATGCGCATGCCGTCGCCGACCTCCTTGGTGACACCGCCGACGAGCAGGAGGAGCAGAGCCTTCTTGACGTCGAGGTGACCGTAGATCTCTGGAGCAATAGACCGCGCCAGAATTTCGTACTGGTTGCCCAGGTGAGCAAAACGAGTCAGACGGCGCGCCATCAACGGATCGATCTCCATCTGATCATAGGCCTTCTTATGCTGCACAATGTAGTGAGCCTCCAGGTAGGTGTCGGTCAGGAGACCAGCACGCAGCGCCTTGAAGCCGGTGTAGGGCGTCGGCAGGAAGATGCCCGAGATGTCAACAATGTCGCCCGGGTTGACCTGCCGGACGAGGGTGCCGTAGCATAGTACGGTCAGCGTGCGCGGGATCTGGCCCACGGGAACCTGCTCGGCCAGTTCTTGCACCTTGACCTCCTGGAAGGGCAGGAACTTGGAAGCGCGCGAAGATGGGTACAGCTGGCCCTTCGCCTGGTTCTCAGTGCAATCCTTGGACGGACAGAGCGTCAAAGGACCGTACTGCTTGGCCGTGACGGGCTGGAAGATCTCGCAGCCGCAGCGATCGCAGGTATAGGCGCTGACCTGGACGATCGGCTTGACATCCGACACGCGCGTGGTGATGGCGCGCACGGTAATAAGCTTGCCGAGGTGGTCACCACGCACCTGGCGTACAGAGAGGGCCTTAGGCGGGTGGTCAAGCGTCGCACTGCGCGGCTTGAAGACGAGGGTGTAGCGGCGAGTCAGCTGGGCCGGGTACTGGTCCTGCAGGATGGTCGGGTCGGCCTCACGCTCGGCGGCACTAGCTAGTAGCTCGTTGCGCTCGCGGCGGTTCGCCATCAGCACGTCCAGCACGTCGTCCTTGAAGGTGATGCCCTCGCTGGGTTGGGGCATCAGCTTGTCGACGGCGCGGGAGAAGAGCTCGACGTAATGCTTAGTATTATTCTCAACAGACTCAACAAGGCGTAGTCCTTCATTTTGGTACACTTCTTGCTCGAACTGCGCATTGCTATGTTAGTTTCTTTTCTTTTCTTTTCTTTTTTTTTCTTTTTTGGTCCTCCCAAGGTGTCAATGGAAATCTAAGCCAGGCTGAGCGCACCGTGTACAGGTCGTCCAGGTCAATCATGATTTCGCTCTGCTTGCGGTCGGCCAACCGCTGCAAGATCTCCTGGTACTTGTGTGTTGGGGCACTCCTCTCCTTCGGCCGGCGGGGTGTGTTATCATCGGCCATAAGGTCCTCATCGTCGCTGAGGTCGTCGTCGGCAATGTTGATGTTGCCGAGGGCAGTGGTGATGGTCTGCTCGGGGGTGCATTTGAAGTCGCGCAGGAAGGCTTCGAAGGCGTCTTTCAGACATGTCAGCACTTATGCTCTAAATTCATCAATATCCATAGGGCGAAAAACGACCCAAAGGAAAAAGAGAGAGGGAAAAAAAAAAAGAAATCGAGACAGACAGACCTTCTTGTGCCCGGTAGTCGACCGGCGCCCGCATCTGCAAGAGCGCCATCTTTATTTGTTTGTTTGCTTGAAGAACACCAAAAAAACACGAACCAAATTACGGGAAAGGAGGGGGGGGAGGGGTAAAGGTCGCAGAAGGAGGGGAAGAAAATGAAGTTGGGGGCGGTTGATGTGGTGATAGCAGACACAGTCGCAGTTTGTATGGAGGAGTGCCCATTCAGTCCCTGCGGCCACGGGACGCTTGGCGGCGGGTGGGCCTCCAGCCTCCTACTGGCCTTGCAGTTGGACCCTGACGACGCGTCAGTTCGTCAGAGACGCGCTTTTTCGCGTCGCTGCCCAATGCACGGACCATCAATTAAAAAAAATCGTGTGCTCAGGGACCACAGAAGACGCCAGGAACCTGGAACCCGCTGGTCTGTGCGCTTTCCGGGTCTTGGCATGGTCTTGGCGATGTGGACCTAAACCGCCACCTGACTTGAGACGGCGTGGGGCGTCCCAGATTGGCGGTGGAGCTGTTTTTGGCTGGAAGGCTTGCGGGCTGCGTTCAGCTGGGGCCCAGGCGACCAGGCCAGGACTCAGGGAGGCCAGTCAATCTCAACTGCATGCCTCGGCACATGCAAATTGCCGGGAAACCAGCCCCGGTCCAAGTCCCGCCGAGGGAGAGGCGAAGCTGACAGCAACGCGGTTGATCTGCTTCTGCATTTGTAGCTTGCGTTCGTGTTGACACGATCTCAGATCTCATCTCGATCTGCCATTGAAGGACGAGATCAGAAGACACAGAAGAACAGAAGGAAGAAGGCAGGGAATGGCATTACCCTGACATCAACGCCAAATATCATCACCATCCTCGCCGCCGCGGCCAAAACACCAGCGCCCCAGGCTATCATCATTTTCACCGCACACACCACCATGGCGCCGCGACGTAACGCCCAGTCAACGGTGGCAGAGATCGCCTTAGTGCATCTCCAAAGCTGTCTTGTCAACCTGCCCAATTCGCTGGCCTCGCTGCTGGCCAACCTGAATACAGTAAGCCTATTCTCTCTTTATGATGTGCTCTGGGTTGTTTTACCGCCTGTGTGTGATGCTGACAAGTCGACCGCCAGCCCTCGCAGAATGTCATCGTCGAGCTGACCTACCGCGTGGCGTCCTCGTCGCCCGCCCAGGGCCAGCCGCAGGCCCAGACGCGGTCCGTCTACGTCGGCTGGACCGGTATGCCCAGCAAGCGGCGAATGGCTCCCCTCGTCGGCCGCGACGGCATCACCAGCTCACGCGGGATGCGTGACCAGGAAGTGGCCGCCGTCGAGATGGACGCAACGCTGGCCTCGGCCCTGGGCCTGCGCGACGGCCAGAAGGTCACCGCCACGGTACACCTCGACCCGCCGCTGGTCCATACCGTCAACATCGAGCCCCTGACCCCCGATGACTGGGAGATGATTGAGCTGCATGGCACCTTCTTGGAAGATAACCTGCTGTTCCAGATCCGTGCTGTGCCCAACCCCGCGTATGCCCCGGGAGGCGTGGCCGTCACGCCACATCCCCTGACTCTGCACTTGTCGCAGACGTCGACCGCTAGCATCCGCGTCCTCTCCCTTGAGCCGGCCCTGCCTGCCGACGCGCCGTTTGCGAAGATTGCCCCCGATGCCGAAGTCATTGTCGCGCCCAAGACTCGTCAGAAGCAGAAGTCGAGCCGTGATAACCGTAGCGTTGGCGGTGCCTCGAGGAAGAGCGGCAGGAGCTCGACCAGCACGTCCCGCAAGAAGAGCTCTCGCGAGGAGAAGAGGCCGGCCCTGTTCTTCCGTGGCGTTGACCGTGCCCGGTGCCAGGACTGGTTCGACGAGGGCGAGGAGCCCACACAAGACCTCAGTGTGTGGGTCGATCGCGATCTGTTGGCGTCTAAGGAGCTCAAGGGCGTCAAATGGGTATCGGTCAGCCTCGTTCGACCGGCCGGCTTGCAGCCCCCTCAGGAGCCTCAGCAGGGCGGCGGCAACCCAGCGGCTGCTCCCAACGCAGCACAAGAAAACCCGGAGACCAAAGCCTCAACCAAGCTCATCGCCCAGCTCCGTCCCTGGCGAGACCCTCCTAACGGCCAAACCGCGGCCCTCTCATCCCCCCTCTGCGCTGCCTTGGGCTGCGAGGGTTTCGTCGGCGGCGTGGTCAAGGTCGAACCGGCTCCTCCTTGCCTCCCACGCAAGACTGTCGACGCAGACGGCGTCTCGCGCGACTCAGTCCAGAAACTCAAGATCTACCCCTTCCAATCGACCAAACCCGTCCACGCAGCCGGCCTTAAGTTCGGCGGCCAATCCAAGGCCGAAAAGGACGAAGCCGCCAACCAGGTCCGCCACATCTACGGATCGGATGGCTCCGGCTTGCTCTTGGGTCCTCTCACCGACGGCCAGATCCTCGCCGTGCATCAGGGCCTGCAATGCCCCCGTGGCTGGGAGGGCGCTCTCGTCAAATTCGAGCCCGCTCCGCCGGCTGCCTCGTCGTCCTCTGGCGCGCCGGCTAAGAAGCCGTTGAGCTGGATCATCGGTGCTGATTGGAAGCTGCCTATTGTTGTGCAGCCGCCTATCACGAAGCCGGCCTGGCTTGCGGAGTTCGATCTGGATCGTGTGCCGGATGCATCGTCTGATACCCTGCTCGTGGGCATCGATGACCTTCTTGATCGGCTCAACTCCCACCTGTCGCATATGTCCTCCGTCCTGCTGACCGGCGGCCAGGGCGCGGGCAAGACGGCCGTTGCGCAGTCTGTTGCCCGCGCGCTGCGCGGTGGACAGTTGTACCATGCTACTTACTTCCCCTGCACGAGGCTCGTCACCGACGAGAGCCGGACCTCGACCATCAAGGAGACGCTGACGAGGCTGTTCATGTCTGCTGCGTGGGGCGCGCGCCTCGGTGGGCGCGCGGTGGTCGTCCTGGACGACCTGGACCGGCTGTGCCCCGCCGAGCAAGAGCTGCAGGTCGGCAACGACAATGCGCGGAGCAGGCAGATCAGTGAGACGCTCTGCGCGCTGGTCAGGCAGTACTGCACGCGGGAGACGGGGGTTGTCTTGCTGGCTACGTGCCAGGGGAAGGATTCGCTGCATAATGTGTTGGTGGGCGGGCATATCGTCAGGGAGATTGTGGACTTGGGCGCGCCGGATAAGGAGACGAGACGGAAGATCTTGGAGGCGTTGACCAAACAGGGTGCTGTTGAGCCCGAGGAGGTGAAGCAGGATGGAGGGGGAGAGGATGAGTTTGGCAGTCGGCCGACTACGGCTGATGGGAGTGTCACGGGGGACGAGGGCGGTGGTTGGATGATGGATGGAGCCGGTCGCCGTCCTAACCGGGCCAAGACGCCGCGCTCGAAGCCTTCGGGCTTTGTCCTCGACCCTGACCTCGACTTCCTCGATATCGCGGGCCAAACGGACGGCTACATGCCCGGCGATCTAATTCTCCTTGTCTCGCGTGCCCGTAACGAGGCTCTCAGCCGTCTGGTGAATGGCGAATCGACCGCCAACCCCGACGCGACCACCATCCCCCTCGCCCGCACCGACTTCGACCAGGCCCTGAAAGGCTTCACGCCCGCCTCCCTGCGCAACGTCACCTTGCAATCCAGCACCACGACCTTCGCCTCGATCGGCGGCCTGCGCCAGACCCGGCAAGTCCTCCTCGAGACTCTGCAATATCCCACCAAATACGCCCCCATCTTCGCGCAATGTCCCCTCCGCCTGCGCTCCGGCCTGCTCCTTTACGGCTACCCGGGCTGCGGTAAGACCCTTTTGGCGTCTGCCGTCGCCGGTGAGTGCGGCCTCAACTTCATCTCCGTCAAGGGCCCCGAGATCCTCAACAAGTACATCGGCGCGTCGGAAAAGTCCGTCCGCGACCTGTTCGCGCGCGCCCAGGCCGCCCGGCCGTGTGTCTTGTTCTTCGACGAGTTCGACTCCATCGCCCCGAAGAGAGGCCACGATTCGACCGGCGTGACGGATCGCGTCGTGAACCAGTTGCTCACGCAGATGGATGGCGCCGAGGGCTTGTCCGGCGTCTATGTGCTTGCTGCGACGTCCCGGCCGGACTTGATCGATCCTGCGCTGCTGCGTCCGGGGCGGTTGGACAAGAGTTTGTTGTGCGACTTCCCGACAATGGAGGATCGGCTGGACATCATTCGCGCGCTGGCGAAGAAGGTTAGGGTGAGTGATGAAGTGTGGGGGGATCAAGAGAAGCTGGATGAGCTGGGACGTCGGACCGAGGGATTTTCGGGTGCGGACTTGCAGGCCCTGGTGTCGAATGCCCAGCTAGAGGCGATCCACGATGTGCTGAGCCAGACGGAGCCGGCCTTGACGAATGGGGCGAGCAACAACAGGAAGGGGCCCAGTGGGAAGAAGGGATCGGCGGGGTCGGCGGCGAGGAATTTTGTGCAGTTTAAGTATGGCGAGGAAGACGGCGTTGAGCAGGAGATCAAGCCGCGTACGAGGGCCGCGCAACTCGCAGAGCAGGCGGCTATTGCGGCTAAGCTAGAAAGTATCAGGCTTGCCCGTAAGCGCGCCAAGCAGCTGCTTCATGGCAGCGTGACGTCTGATGCGGGCCCTGCCCCTACGGAGGAGGGGAAGGAGAAGAAGAGTGATGGACCGGAGGTCTTGATTCGGTGGTCGCATCTGGTCAAGGCGCTGGAGAATACTAGGCCGAGTATCAGCCCGCAGGAGAGGCATCGGCTGGCGAGGATTTATCATGAGTTTGTAGCTGGCAGGAGCGGCGATTTGAAGGATGGACAGGCGAGTAATGAAATTGGGGGTAGGCAGAGTTTGATGTAAACATTTGGGGACGAGGTAACGAATGGGGAGAATAGTTATTATTATTTTGGGTAGATACAGAGGGGAACCGAATATATAATAACGAGGTGTGTGTGTGTGTGTGTGTGTGTGTCTATGTACGTTATGAATGGGATATAATATAGGCATTACATCCAGCGAGGATAAAAGAAGTATAGATATGGAACCATAATTTGTTATATTTATTTGAACCAACTATCCAAATGTGATGACTTTTTTTTTTCTTTAAATCTTAAGTATGCTTAGGAATGATGCTCTCGCTCAGTTTCCCGCATTCTTTCTCTTCCTCTTTCTCCTATATCCCCCTTCTCCCCCCCCCCTTCCCTTCTTCCTAAACGCTCACCAAACCGGGTCCTCTTGATCCAATTCCTCCTCTTAAACCTCAAAGCTCTGACTGCCAACCCTCCTCCCTCTGCTCACTCAAAAAATACATCCTTGTCCCTTCCACGAAGCCCATCCATTGGCAGAGGAATAATCCCTTTCTCACCGCACTCTTCATCCTCCCCAGAAGTGTCCCCATCTCCTTTTCCTTTTCCTTCTTGACTTGTTCGTGTTGCTGCTGGAGAAGTAGGAGGTGTGCTTTGAAGACGTTCTCTCCATTCTTAGCTCTGATGCTAGAAATTTGTTGGCTTACTACCACTGACCCGACAGCAGCACCGGCACCGACACCAGCAGTGCTGCCATTGTTCGCCTGCCCCAAAAGCCAAGGAACATCTGCTGACACGATCGAAACCGGAAGGGGAAACAAATCACCCTGTCCACTTCCCCCTTTGCGGACAGAGGGGAGCAGCCGCGTTAATGCGACGGTAAACCATTTACTTTGTGAGTGTGTCTGAGGGAAGAAATAACCTGTGGTGCTCTTGTGAACGAAGGAGAGGATGAAACGTGGATGCTGGAAATGGGAATTGGCGTGGCGAGGGGCTAGAGTTTCGAGGAAACTTGACCGAGAAGAAGAAGAAGACGATGATGATGATGATGATGATGACGAGGGGTTCTTGGTGTTAGGATAGGATGAGGGTGTTGGCTGTGGTAGCGAGGGGAGTGATGATGGCCAGGGAGTTGGGACAGGAGTTGGATGGCTTGTCGGTATGGGAGGAATATCTGGGGGAAGGGATGGAGATTGTTGTTTGACAGTTGATGATGTTGGGGTTGGGTTGGGAGGTTCTGGGGCTTGAACTGGTCTGGAGTGTTGGGTGAGCCGTTCTTCGTGGGGATAAAGGCTTGGCTGCTGGCTGGCCTTGGATGCTCTTCGGCTGAGCGAGCAGATCTCAGTCAACAAGCCATCAGAAATCTCCTCTACAACGCGACCAAGCGCGTTATTGTTATGGACAACGGCGGTACCCTGAGATGATCCAGCTCCAGAACCATCACCGGAAACCTCATTCACTTTCCCTTTCTCATCCGTTAAGTCCAGGTCGCATACAGACGGACAGGCCGACTTTTCAACCCCTAAACTCCAAACTGAACTCTCACCATCATTCCATACCCTCTCGACCCTCTCCTCCCCCTTCATGACACCGCTCAAAATCTCGCTCAACCTCTCCTTCAACTTAATATTCATCATTCTTAGCCTCTCATCCATCCATGTACCGCAAGAGGGGACTCGCCAGGCATGGTAGAGATTCCCATGTGTCCTGGGCGTCCAGAAGCCCCCATGTGTGTGAATCAAAAGGTTGCAGAGGTAGCAGGCGTCTTTGCTGGCGGCTATGACTCTCGGTTTTTTCCTTTCTATACCGGAATTCTTTTCTTTAGGGACGTAGAGCTCGTAGTATATTAGAAGTTGCACCTCTGCATGAATCCTCTCCGACCCCAGCACCTCCCTCACGGTCTCGTGGAATGCTTCCTCGTTTAACAAGAGCGCAACATTTTTGAGGATCTTTTTCGGGCAGATTATTTCTGTGTGTGGCACACCCTTCTGACAGTTTTCCAGGGAAATCGGGAGAGAAAACCGTTTGTTGATGTTTGGGTAGGAAGGTCCTTGAGGCCGGGTGAAGAAGTCTGCGGGGAGGATGGGACATATAACTTCACTGTTTTTGAATAGAGGGGTTGCATAGGCGAGTTGAATGAGGTAGGCTGTGCAGTCAAGGTAGCGGACCAATTTTGCCAAGCGAACGTTGACACTACGCCAGATGTGAGGTATATTCGAGTCGATGCTTTTGTTGTTGTTGGGAAGTTGGGTAAAAAAGGGATCGATTTCACGAGAGAGCCGAACCAACTTCTGCACAGCTACCAGCATGCTGTGGATCTTTGGCACGACATCAGCCGGCTGACATGTCTCGAGAGCCTGTAACCGGTTGAGCAGAGCCTCAGCAGAGGTTATGAATGCAATAGCCGCTGTCCTCTGCTTTGTGGAAAGGGATTCTTTGGCTTTGTGAACGGCTTCAATTACTTGCTTGAGGGTTAGGCCGAGGAAAGGCTTATTTCTGTGCCTCCAGAGAGTGCAGAAACCCTGGGTTGCGTCCGGGCGCCGGGAGCGGATACGAGAGAGGATGCGGTATTTGGAAAGGTTCAGTATAGCGTAGAGAAGGCGGTCTGAAAGACGTTTTTTGGGATCTATACAGGATCGAATGGTAAGCATCCTGTTCTCTCGGAACGATGCATATAGATAGTTAGGTAGGTAGGTAGGGAGGTACAAACACTTTCCGCCCTTCATCAACAACTTCAACACCTCCTCAAGCCCCTTCTTCACACTCTGTAGCACCGCCTGCCCACTATCAGGCGCGCGTCTATTGATTGTGACGACAACCCTGATCCCATTCCCTCCATTCAGCTCTTCCACAGCCGCAGCGACCACGTGATAAGGCGAGTCGGAAATACTAGCAAGAAAGGCAAAAGTACTTGCTAGCTTTTCCTCCTGCGTGAGAGAGAGCTTTCGACTATTATCGCTAGTGTCGAAAGAAGGAAGAGGGTTAGGGCCCGCGACACATGGAGACCGCCGTAGGAGGGAGAGGAGGGCTACGTTCTCAGCAAAAAAGAAGAGCTCAGATGAGGTGTGATAGTTGCAACGGGCATGGTCGTTGTTTTCAGACATGGGTATGAGACTGGGAGTCGAGGACAGCCTAGGAGGTGAGTAGAAGAGGAAGAAGGAATCCTTCATCGGGGAAGAAAGGAAAACAAAAAAAAACAAAAAAAAAAAAAACTTTAGGCACAGCCTGGTTAATAAGTAATTGTTGGCCGTTGGCCAGCCTGCAATAGGCCTACCATACAGCACAACACAACAATATAGTGGCCGTCGTCATGACAGGAGCTCCCGTTTGTGTATTGTGACGAAAGGCCATGCATGATTCGCGGGGCCGGGCGGTGCAAGTACTGAGGCCTACTACAATCATGCGGCAGGGTGCCTTGTGTAACGTCAGTTGGACTCGGCCCTCGTCAAACGGACATTTGGCATTCGTTCAACCCATGAATGTGCACACGGGTAGCCGGTACTCTGCAAGCAAGAGATGTTAGAAAAAAAAAGAAAAGGCTCTCGAGGTTCAGAACAAGTTAGGTTGACTTACTGTCCAATGTCCAGTATCTCCTCTTGACGCCTTCCCACTCATCCTTCCCGGCCTCAGCCAGCCTCGCCATGTCGACGTCAATGACCGTCCATTCGACGTCGAGACCTGCATCAGCAAGATGAAGCTCGACAACCCGTGTGTACACATCATAGCATATCTGTCTATCCGCCCCAAGACCGTTAAAGAAGCCAAACCTTCCCTGGCCGTCCATTAGGCCCGGAAGAAACTCCGTAAAGAACATGCGCAGCTGCGAGTAATCCTCACCAAAAGTATCGAAATAGATGGCATCGTAGACATTACCCTCCTTCAACAACTGCTGGCACACCTCCTGCCAGCGCCCAGCATAGACCTTGTATGCTCCCGGTTCAGGCCCGCTCTCCTCCCAGGCCTTGCCAAAGCGGGAGTTGGGCGACGAGGAGATGTGCTCCAGCACGGCGGGGTGTGCCTCGATGATGTGGTGCTTCGCGGGCTTGGTCTCGGCAAACATGCTGTCGATGATGCCCATGCCGAAGCCGATGTTGAGGATGCGCTTCCCTGCAGCGCGGTCGGGTAGGAGGGCGTCGACACTGCGGCGCATGATGTCGGTCTCCCAGGCCATCATCACGCCGTTGCCTTCTTCATCGACTAGCTTACCATCGAAGTAGGTGAGCTTCGAGCGCAGGTAGGCTTCGGACGTGACAGGATCAATGTCATCTGCGGGGGGTTTGAAGCGAGGCTGCTCTTCTTCCTCTTCCTCTTCCTCTTCCTCTTCCTCTTCCTCCTCCTCCTCCTCCTCCTCATTATCATCTTCGTTTTTCTCCTCGGCCTGACGACTCTCTTTCAAATGTTCCACATCAACCAACTCCGGCGCCTCCTCGCCATCCTCCTCACTTACGATAACCATACTCTGGCTCTGGCTTTGATTCCCCCCCTCCACAGTTACATCCTCCTCCCCAATAATTTCAATATCCCCATCTGCCGCCTCCTCTCCCTCTCCATCCTCACTCCCCAACTTCTCATACCCCTCCAATACCCCAAACAACATCTCCGCCCTTACGCCTGCCTCCACACACAGCTCATACAAATCCTTTCTCCCCAGCCTCAGTGCCACACACCCGGGAGTCTCATTGTGGTCGTCGACATCGTTCCAGATCGCGCCCCAGAGCAACAATTCCCTGACTGTCTGTCTCGCGTTCTCCAGGTCCGTTTCGTCATCTTCCTCGGAGGGAGTGCCACATGAGCGGATGGCGGCGTGCAAGGGGGTCTCGCCGGTCGTGGGGTCTTGGGCGCGGGCTACGCTGGGATCGTCCAGGAGCTTCTTGACGGCGGCGATATCGTGGGCCCATGCGGCTGTTAGAATGCGCTGGGTTTCGGCCGGGCAGGAGGGAGAGATGCGGGCGGCGATGGAGTCGCGGTCGGCCATTCTACTCGATTTCGACTTTTGGTTTTTTTTTCTTTACTTTTTTTCCTTTTATCTTTAATTCTTTTTTTTTTTTAGATTTGGTCGGTCTTATCAAGGCAGGCAGCAACATATGTGAAGGTAGCCCCGCTATGAGCCCCTCGCAAAGTTTGAGCGCACGTGGGGTCAACAGTGGGTGGGCTCACGGTGGGCAGGCTGTACTGACATGCAGATTTGGGCAGGATGCAACAGCGGGCGCCAAGCCCGAATCGAGATAAGCTTGCTAAACGGGCTGTGCCGTCCAGGACTGAATTTCAAGACATTTCTACACTTGCAGTCAATCCATTCTTAACACAATATCTCACTCAATTCACGTCATGAAAGACAAAAAGCTCGCGAATTGTCTCAATTGCCTAACACAAACCAATCCTCGTGGAAATCGACCACTGTCATGTGACGGGGTCAGCATATACCATGTAGGGACCCACACTGGCTGGCTAGGCTCCACTCCCGTGCCTCCAATGCACCAAGACCCTGGGAGCTTGGCCATTCGCCAATCACAGTATCTGTTTGCGGAACGTGAGCGCGGCCAACAGCCGGAGCTTTTAAAGAACAAAGCAGGACATGAAAGGTTTTTGCTTTCCACCTTATCTATGACCTAGTTAGTTAGTTGAAGGGGGGTTTACCCACTTTCATTTGGGACTTTTTGTGGTTATATCCCAACCGACTTTTGTTCCAGAAGATGGAAGTGTGATCAACCTTGTGCTCCTCCACGTAGATAATCATCAAGAAGTCTGCAGCCGCATCCAGCCCAGGCGAGTCGAGTCTATCCGAGCGCAGTGGAGCAGTGATCAGCAGCAGGTGCTACGTCAACAGTGGCGGTTTCTATTGTCTACTGGGCGCTCTACCTCATCTCTAGGTAGGCTCTAGCTTACTTACCGCCTATCGTTGTCGTCAACTGTCGTGCAGCGGTCGTGCAGTCGTGTAGTGCGACCCAATCCTCCCGAGACCGCGAGCCGCCAAATCGATGAGATAAAGCATCGATCAAGCATCGTACCTATCAGGGCCCGGATCTTTCGAGTCCATCCATCATCATACATAATATATATATATATATATATATATATATTATATCACATTCCTATTCCTATACAACCGTCCATATATATCCCATCCAGCATCACAGCACCAGCATGAAGTTCGGCCAGCAGCTCCGCTCCAGCATCATCCGAGAGTACCAATGGCACTATATCGACTACGACGGGCTCAAGGCTGACCTGAAGCGTGCCAGCGGGCCGCTGGTCGCGTCGTCCGACCCTACGAAGCCGCCACGCCGCGAGTGGACCGAGGACGACGAGAGCCGCTTCGTCAGCAAGCTAGAGGCAGAGCTGGACAAGGTACATGCCAAGCAGCAGGTCAAGGCCATGGAGATATCGCGTCGGATCGCGGTTAGCGAGCGCGAGGTTCAGGATGTTGTTGGCCGCTTGCAGGATCGTGGACCGGGACAGGAGGGACCATCGGAGGAAGAGTTCATGCTGCTGGAGGAGGATCTGAGTGACATCATTGCTGATGTGCATGATCTGGCCAAGTTCGTGCAGGTCAACTATACGGGGTTCTACAAGATCATCAAGAAGCATGACAAGATGACCGGCTGGCGGCTCAAGCCCGTCTTCGACACCCGGCTCAAGGCCAAACCGTTTTACAAGGAGAACTACGACGCGTCCGTCGTGCGCCTGTCCAAGCTGTACGATCTGGTGAGGACCCGCGGCAACCCAGCCAAAGGCGACACCGCGGCTGGTGCATCGCAGGGCAGCTTCATCCGCCACACGACCAAATACTGGGTGCACCCAGACAACGTGACCGAGCTCAAGCTCATCATCCTCAAGCACCTGCCCGTGCTGGTGTTCAACCCCAGCAAGGAGTTCGAGACGCAAGACACGGCTATCACATCCGTCTACTTCGACAACCCGGACACGTGGGAGCTGTACGAGGGCCGCCTGAAGAAGAACGAGGGTGCCGAGGCCATCCGCCTGCGCTGGTACGGCGGTATGCAGACCGAGACCATCTTTGTCGAGCGCAAGACCCACCGCGAGGACTGGACCGGCGAGAAATCGGTCAAGGCGCGGTTTTCTCTCAAGGAGAAGAACGTGAATGCCTACCTGCGCGGCGAGTTGTTGCCAAAAGCGATCTTCGAGAAGGCGAGGAAGGAGGGGAAGAAGTCGGCCAAGGCGATTGATGAGGATGAGAGGCTTGCACGGGAGATACAGTACTCCATCCTCAAGCGCGGGTACAAGCCTGTGTGTCGGTCCTTTTACCATCGGACAGCCTTCCAGCTGCCGGCTGATGCGCGCGTGCGTATCTCTCTCGACACTGAGCTGACCATGATCCGCGAGGACAATCTGGACGGTGTTCGTCGGTCCGGGGACAACTGGCGCCGCATGGACATCGGTATCGATTACCCCTTCTCGCAGCTCCCTCCTGGCGATATCGTGCGGTTCCCATATGCTATCCTCGAGGTCAAGCTACAAACCCAGCTAGGCCAAGAACCGCCCGAGTGGGTGCGCCAGTTGACAAGCAGCCACCTCGTCGAGGCAGTGCCCAAGTTTTCCAAATTCATCCACGGCGTGGCGACCCTTTTCCCAACCCGCATCCATCTCCTCCCCTACTGGATGCCCCAGATGGACGTCGACATCCGCAAGCCGCCCACCCACGACTTTGGCATCAAGCGCACCGAACAGTCGGCGACGACATCTATCTCCGACGACGACGACGAGGAGGAGGAGGAGGACTCGGACATGGAACAGGAGAAGACAACGCCCCCCCGGGAAGGGGAAACAAGCGCAGCAGCAGCAGCAGCAGCAGCAGGTGCACGCAACGGCCGCGCCCTCCCCGCCGGCGCCGACATTGAAGACCAAACCATCGACCGCCCTACTGCCCCCGGCCCAGGCGACGGCACGTACCTGTACGATTCTGACGACGAGGACCTCTCCGACAGCGACCGGCTCGCTGAGGCGCGGCGCGTCGGGCCCTGGGCCTACTACACCACCCTCGCATCGACCAAGGCGCGTGCCGCGGGCAGGACGACGCTTCATGTGCTGAAATGGTTGGTTCCCCGGCCTAGGTCGACGCCCATGCCGAGAAATGCACGGCTGGAATCGTTGCTTGGGACGGGGGAGATCCAGACCAGACGGTTCAAGGCGCCTAGGGGGAAGAGGATACATGTGCCGGTGAGGGTCGAGCCCAAGGTGTATTTTGCGGCGGAGAGGACTTTTCTTGGTTGGGTAGGTCACCTTTGTCTTTTGTCTTCTTCTTCTTCTTCGTCTTCTTCGTCTTCTTCTTCTTCTTCGTCTTCTTCTTCTTTTTTTTCTTTTCCCCTGGTCAATATGCCCGCTTTTGTGATGAGGTGAGCTGACTGTGTTGTGTTGTGTCCCAGCTCGAATACTCCATCTACATCTCGACCATCGCCGTCACCCTCCTCAACTTTGGCTCGCGCGCCAAGGATGAGACGTCTTCCTCCTCCATCTCAGTCTCACTTTCTCATCGGAAGGTATCGTTCATTGCGGCAGCTGCGTTCACGGTGCTGGCGATCTTGTCGCTCATGTATGCCGTCGTTGTATACTTGTACCGGAGTCAGGCTATCAGGGAGAGGAGGGTCGCACGGTATTATGATAAGTGGGGGCCCAGCGCGCTGTGCTTTGCGTTGTTGGTAGCGGTGGGACTTAATTTTGGGTTGGAGGGGCGTAAGAGGGGGGTTTGGTGATTTGGTTGGGTTTAACTTGTGGTGTCTTGTGTTGGGCTTGCGTCACCGTTGTGATGAGTTAATTGGTCTGGTCGTAATTGTGCGATTGTTATTCGGGTTAATATCGTGCTGATGGGCTGGTTGGGGGAGCAGTCACGGTTTTGGATATGCAGATAGTTTTTTTTTTGTTTTTTTTTTTTTTTAGTTTGGTTTTGGCCACAGCGAACTGTAGAGCATTGGTTCTGGAACGGACAGGAAAGTATAGGATTCATAGGATAGATTGATTGTAGTATCTCTACCATCAAACATATATGTACACCAATATTGACTGTCACCGTCGCAGGCTTGTAAATGATTCTTCAGATCTATCGCGGTTGTTGCAGCGCAAACCCGTTTGTCCACACCTCGGGGCTCGGAGTTATTGCCAGCGAAGTCGGATGGAACGTTCGGCGGGATGCCCCCGCGCTGATGGGAACTACAGTGATGATGCGACAAACCGGAAGACTTCTGTCGATAATTTTTTTCCTATTTTTTTTTTTTACATTTATCTGGACCGTTTTATGAGGACACTTGCATCAAGCACACCCCGCATTCCACGAGGGGTGCAAGCCACATCATATTTTTTTTCCTTGATTGTTTTCTTTTTTCCATACATAAGAAAAGTGAAGGTTGTCCTTGGCGAATGTTCGGAGACCAACAAAAAAAGGTTTGGAGCATTTGCGACAGCGATGACGAGCCCTTTTTTGTCTTCCCGTGTAGGTCTAACCATCCAATCGGGTGCCCTACAGATGTCGTAATCGCAGATGTGGACTTGGCCAAATGATGGCCCCCGGCCTCCACTGTTACCACTGTTACCAAGCACATCCACTCTGTTGGAGAGAGTGAGTGGTGACTCTGGCTCTTCGCCGGCCGACCCAACCGTCCGGGGTGCGAAGGGTGGGTTTGTGGCGATGCCGGGGGAACGCGTGGAGATGTTTTTTTTTTGCCCCCTTGCGTTTCGGGTTCCTCTGGTTTGAGGGCTCAAGGGTTTTGGGAATGCGGAATGCGACATCGGACTGTGGGTGATGGGATGAGGGGATGTGACCGAGTCACCGAGGATGGAGGAGGGAGGAAGCGTGGCTTGTTTATGTGATTGTGTGACTTGGCTGTATGTGAATGTTTTCTACTTTTACACTTCTTCTTTTTCTATACCTTTTTTTTTCCCGTTCTGCGTTTGGAGATTGAATAGACTGCATGTGTTTCAGATTGCTGAAATATCGCCAACCTCGCTGTCGTCCCGCGCAAAAGTCAACCCTCCCTCACTCCTACCTACCTACACACACTCTCTCTCTCCTTCGGCACATGAGAACCGCTTAATTCTCAACATTTTCTCTCCCATTCAACAAAGAACTTCACCAAAACACCACCAACATGCCAGTCAAGCAAATCTCTACCCCCCTAGGGCACTCTCTCCCTCCTGAAGCCCCCCACAACATCACCTTTCACATCCCCGGCTGGGAGACTGCGCGCGCCCTGCGCCGCCGCGAGCCCGAGCTCATGGACCAGCTCGAGTCCATCTACCCGCGTTTCGGGCCCTGGCGCGAGGTCAAGGATTTGTCGGCCGTGCTGCACGCCTGGCTGAAGTTGCCTGACGACTACGAGGAGATGTTGTTTGTGCATCCAGACGTGTTCCAGACTGCTAAGCGATATGCGGGGAGTCCGAGGAGGAAGGAGGAGTTTCGGGTAAGGGAGGAGGAGCTGCTTTTTAAGGTTGTTGACATCCCGCTATCTGCGCTCGACAGCAATGGGGTTGGGTTGGATGGCGAGACGACGGGCGAGACGGTCAGGATCTACCTCATTTCATACCCTTCTCCCCGATACCCTGGCGCATTGGGAGTGTGGCAGAATACTGGCACCGGCGTGAGCAGTCGGCTCGCGGCCGCTTTGCTGCCTGCCGCGAAGGCGGGCAACGTCAACCTGATCTGGTCAGGGGATGCGCGGGACGAGGTCCGCTACGATTACGCCAACCCTTCCTCCTCATCCGTCCCCATCCCCGCCCCCCACAAGGGCCAACAGATCCTCGGCTTGGCCCTCACAGAATCCCATACCAGCCTGCGCGCCCGGATAGCCTCTCTCGCGCAAGGCAAGAGAGCCCAACCAACCCCCGACGACGTGTTCCTCTACCCTACCGGAATGGGCGCCGTCTGGCGGTTACACCAATCCCTCTCCTCGGTTCGGCAAGGTGGCAGCGTGGTCGTCCTGGGCTCAGTCTTCCACAGCAGCTACCACCTGTTCGGCGATGAAGCGTCGGGAGGCGGGATGAAGCACATTGGGGCCGTGGACAGCGAAGGGAGTGGGTTGGAGGAGCTGGAGGCGTATCTGGAGGGGGAGAGGCTGGCGGGGAGGAGGGTCGGATACATCTTTGCTGAGTTCCCGAGTAATCCGATCTTGGTGAGCTTGGACCTGGAACGGGTGAGGGGCATCGCGGATAGGTATGACGTGCCGGTTGTGATCGATGATACGATTGGGAGCTTTTGCAATGTGGATGTGCTGGGGCTGGCGGATGTTGTGGTGACGAGCGTGACGAAGAGCGTGAGCGGGTATGCAAATGTGAGTATATGCCCCCTGGATTGTCTACCCGTGAGAGGAGGTTGCTAATGAATAATGAACAGGTTATGGGCGGCGCGGTGACACTGGCCTCCTGCTCCAAGTACTACTCCGCGATCAAGGAGACTCTCAGCGCGCGCTTCTTGAACGAATATTTCGCTGCCGACGCGGCCAAGCTTCTCTCCAACTCGCAGGATTACTTTCCGCGCTCTGCCATCCTCAACCGCAACGCTCTCACCCTTGCAACCTACCTCCGTAAGCCAGCCCCCTCCCCCCCTCCCCTCTCCCTCCCTTTCCTTTTTGAACTCCCTTTTCCCCTGCCCCGTTTTCATCATGTTTATTAACTCCTTGTTTCTGTCTCCAGATTCCAAGATCACCCCGACCTCCCCCCTCAAAGCAATCCACTACCCCCCCTTCACCAACACGGCCTCCAACTTCCGCCACGTCATGCGCCCCTCCCCCTCTTCCCCTTCCGTAACCCCAACTTCCCAAAACGAATTCACCCCCGGCTACGGCTGCCTCCTAGCCCTCGAATTCCGTACCCTGTCCCAAGCCCGACAATTCTACGACCACCTATCCGTCTACCACGGTCCTCATCTTGGTGCACACCTGACGCTCGCCTTCCCATTCAACGACGCCATCTGGGGTGCTGATCCCGAGGCAGCAAGGTATGTCGCCTCGTTTGGGGCTAGGCCAGAGCAAGTAAGGGTTAGCGTGGGGTTGGAGGATGAACAGGAGTTGATTGATACTTTTGAGGAGGCTTTGAGGTGGGCGGAGGGGGTTGAGGTTAGTGAGGCGAATGGGATGAATGGCGTGAGGGAGAGTCTGACTTGAGCAAAAATGGTAAAAAGTCCTAAGGGTCTTGATTTTGGAATAACGACCACGAGTGGAGGATCCTAGAACGGGTAAAGGATAGAGGGTCGGTTTGGATAGGATATCCGGACGGGCGGGAGGAATCTGCATTGGCGCGTATTTCTCAGCATTAGCATTCAATTATTTGAGTTCATATCACTTCAGCTTATCAAGTCGCAAAATCCAGTGGTGCCATGACTGGGTCAATTCTGCTGCAGCCGAAGGGTCATTTTATATCCCAGGATCTGTTGCATGGCAGGCAGATGCAACCCTTAAACCACCCTCCTTATGATCAAATCATGAAGCAACCTTAGCCATCGAGCACCTCAAACGCCAGTCATACCCAGCTATTCCCCCCGGCCGCCGAGCAACCCGAACCACAATGCTCAACCCCCTCCCCCCCTTTTTTTTTTTTTTTTACCTTGCACCTAGACATAATTCTCCGGGTGCAAAATCCCATGCAAATTCCCCTTCTGTACCCGTTCCAGCGTCAGCGCGGCAATTAGCGCGGCGCCCACACCGCTGCCGTCTTCAGCAGCGAGAATCTCGATGGGATCCTCCTCCTTAGGATCCTTCTTCTCTCCCCAGTCGAGGATCTCGCGCAGGGCCTGCGCGCCGCGCTCCTTGAAGTGCGGGTACTTGTTGAAGACGGAGCCGTCGGCGCCCACGTGGCATTCTTTATAGCCCTTCTTCTTGCAGATGGCTGCCACGCCGCAGGCGGAGAGGCGCGCCGCTCGGGTGCCGATCAGCTCAGCTAGGCGCTTGATCAGGATGCGCTCGGCCTTGTTGGGGGTGATGTTGAGTTTGTTCTGGAAGAGGCCCGCTATGTCGGAGAGGTTTTCGTCCGAGTCCCTGTTTCTGTCAATCTCTGTCTCGCTTTATAAGGGGGGTAAAAAAGAAAGAAAAGAAAAGAAAAGAAAAGAAAAGAAAAAAGAAAAAGAAAAAAAGAAAAAAAAGGGACATACTCCTCAATGGCTGACAGGAAGGACGTGTCCAAGGTATACGGCTTACGCAACTTGGTTATGTCCTGGCCAACAAAGACACGCCGATCATGGTTATCATGCAGATCGACCAGCGTCAGACGGAAGATCTCGCCGAGGTACAGGCCGGCAATCATCTTCTCAAAGGCCTGCTGGCCCGGACGCGGCGAGTCCTCATCAATGGTAATGTCGTACGGAGTGCGCGGCAGCACCTTGTGCTCGTTGTCGAAGGCGCCCCACTCACAGTTAATGGCCATGGGGGTTTCGGGAGGAAGGTTGAGGTGTGCCAACTTGGGGATGGAACCACAGTCCTCCATGTACGCGGCGTTGCAGCCTGTGCCAAAGATACAGCCAATCTTCATCTTAGGGTCGGTGTATGCCGAGGCAATCAGCGTGCCCGTCGTATCGTTGATCAAGGCGGCCAGCCGGATGGGGACGCCCTGGGACCGTCAGTATATAGGGTTACTATATGAGAGCGAAGACCTCATGAGAACCTACCCGTCGAGCAAGAGCAGCCTCAAACATAGGGACCACATTCTTGCCCTCGACGCCCTCGATGTCGAAGCCCTTGGTCCAGCGCTGTAGGATACCCTCGTCAATGTAGTTTTGGGTCGCAGGATACGAGAAGGTGAAGCCCAGGGGCATGCGGCCGATTTGGGACAGGTCGTCGTGATGAGTCTGGATGAACTGCAGCAGGCAGTCGGCGATGTACTCGAATAGCTCCTCAGCTGTGCCCGTCTTCAGCGGGGGAGGGATCCGGTACTTGGACTGGATGATGTCGAACTCGGACTGCTGATCGGTCAGGGTCACCTGGCATACACGCAAGTTGGTGCCGCCCATATCGAGCGCCAAGAAGGTGCCTGTCTCATGACCAGTAGGGAATCCCATCACCCAGGTTGGGTTCATGGGCTGGCTGGTCAGCGATGTCCAACTCGAATCTTCATTTGCACAACACTCACAATGCTGCCACCCTCAACGCTCAGGCCTGTCCAGTCAGCAGAATCATTCGTAAGCCTTCTCCCTGGAAGACTCACCCTTCTCGAGTTCCTTCACAAAATGGTCGGTAATTTGCTTCAGCTTGGCCGTGTCGACGGTGAACAGCTCCTCGATGTACTTGATCTCCTTCGCAAGGTCTTTGGGCACATCGGCGTCGGAGCCTAGGGGGCAGCATGTTAGTAAGATAGACCAGGGCAAGTGATGCATGTGGCCCCCGGGCCGGAGCCGGCGTGCAGCTTGCCCTTTCGGCTAGAGATCCCATAAACAGATGATGAATATGAAGACGCTCTCTCGGGCTGGGGAGGTGAGGACGGTTGTCGGTGAAGGGGGTGAAGCAAGGACGGAGGGGAGGTAGACATTGTTGGATAGCTTTTAAGTAAGAAAACTGCTGAGGGGGTGACAGGATGTGGGACGGCGGATATATTGCGTATTATAAGACCGGAGAAGATGGCGGCCACCGACGACAAATCCGCGAGGGTGAGGAGCTCTGATGTCACTGGCTTGGATGAGCTTGCCGATGAGCAAGCGAGCTGAGCTTGGATGCAGCCTTGACAGCTCTCGATAGCCTTTTCGCCGCGCCTAACAGCTCTGGACAGCTACGGATCCAGAGCCCCGCGCCGTTACCGCAATGCCATGCAATGCTGCCCTGATGCCTCCATCCATCCTGCTCGCCTTGCATCTGCCCCTCATCAGCTTGGCCAACCGATGCACGCCCAATCCCATGCTGTGTGCTTGGCAAAGCTGTGTCGCTCACGACAGGTTGCGGCGACAGTCAAAGATGCATGATCCGCAGAGATCTAGACATCAAGTGCAAGCATAGCAATGAACAAGCACCGGATCAAAGACATTTCAACCAGACTCACGTAGCAACCAAAGTAATGAATGATCTCGACAATGGTGATGCGAAGTACCCTCCCCGGACCAAGTGGAGGACGACCTCATGAAAAATCTCAACCAGAAAAAGGTAGCACATACCAGAGCCCTTCTCCGAGGGCGGCGTCTTGGGATCGTCGCCTGCCATCCTAATAAAATCTCCGTGGTAACGAGTGTAGAAAAAAGTCAGTAGAAAGAAAGTTGGCAAAACCCTCTTCAATTTCCACGCTCTGAATAAACTGACGTGCTGGCCGACGCAACGCCAACAAAGATGAAGACGAAAGACGACAACTGTCCAAGCAGCACAGTTCGTCGTAGAATTTAGAATCGTAATCGTAATCAAAAGCTCCAAGCTCCCACGCTCCCGCACACCGCGTTGCCTTGCAAGGGTCAAGACCAGGGGGGGGGGAGGGAAGGCGGGCGATTCGATCGATCGGTGAATCCAGGCCGACCGCCGATGCATCTCCCACTGACCAGGGTCCCTCAAGCTGTCAAAAGTGGAAGTCGCAGAGCTTGGCCTGCCGTGATCGGCGGTGAACCAATAAACGTCATTAAAACCCAGGAAAGCCTATCAGATCTTGCCCCGCGCTTTCCATCCCGCTGGTTCGCTGCATTGGCTTGGGCGCTCGCTTAGGGTTAGGGCACGTGCCTGCTGCCTTGGCTTTGGCCGAAGTAGTTGTAAGTCGTCGGGGAGGCCGGGGTTGCGCCACAGCCAACCAGTCGGTGTGAGTTGGGGTTGGCGTTAGGAGGAAAGGCTTATCGATAGTGAGCGTTGACAACAGCGTCTCGGTATCATCGAATTAGCGATGGAGTCCAAATGGGATAAGTTTTCTCGAAAGGGAATGTAGCTTTTGCCTAGGTCTTTTAAGGATTTTATCCTTTAGTGGCTCTGTCTAACGCTTTGACAACACTGACAACAATTTCAGGGCACGAGTTGAAACTGTAGTGTATGTCTGTTGTGTTGACTTAAAGTTTCTCCATTTTTAGAGCCAGTTTACCCGGAGATATCCATTTTCGAGTGGTAGAGCTTTTTTTAACCTGATGTGAGAGGCAATCCGTATGCTCTATGGTGCTACTGGAAGGAGGAAAGAAATGAGGACTGTGGGTGGCTCCCTCACCTGGATGCCAAGGCCAGGTGAATGGCCATGCCAAGGCCTACACCTGGGCTCTCAAACCTGAAGCTTCAGGCGTGTCATGTAGCACATGCCCAAACATGGACCAAGGGGCTAGTCTCGAGAAAGGACAACACAAATCTGCATAGGTATGCCTCCATGTTGTGTTGTAGGAATCTGGTGAAAGAGACTGGCGAAACATACCAATTTCTTGGTCCAACTATAAACACTGCCCCTCTGAGAAAAAGTCTCCAGGGTGGGTTGATTGTAAGCAATAGTCTCGAAAAAGAACAGTGAAACGGAGGAGAACATTCAAGAGTCTTGATAGGAACATAATGCAGTGGAAAGTTGAAGAAAGCTGTGAGAGAAGAAATAGCTAAAAAAAGAAGCACACATCCTCAAGTCTCAACTCAACTCAAACCCTCAACATCTCCGTCCTTCTACCCATGGCAGAACAACCTCTCAAATCTAGTACTCAGTTTCTTTCTCCTCGAAGTCTCGCGACTCTTGCCGGTTGTAACAGACGATATTTGATCGTAGCACATTTCAACAGCCTCAGACTTCCCAGTGGGTATCACCCTTGTCTTTCACAGCTGCGCGCTGCACGCTTATCTCAAGTCTCAGCATCTTTGCAACACATCGTTCAGACTGGACAACCTCCGTCTGAGAGGGTCGAGAGCTGATTGTTGCTGTCTCGTCATATCTAGGGTTCGTAGTGGGCTTGACCTTGTCTTCTACAACCTCACATTGTACTACACTTATCTGCGGCAGGTTCAATGTCCCTGTAATGCAGCCTTGGGATATCACCTCTGTTTGAGAGATCTGTGCAGCGATCGGTGTTGGTTCGCTCGTGCTCGTATCAGTGACGTTATTCTGGTGTTGTCCAGTCTCTGATGCTGGTTGTGGTTCCGGCGTACTATTGCCATCTTGAGAATGCGATGTCAACTCCCACGGACTTGAATTTATCCCAGAGCTTGTAGTTTCCCGTTAAAGTGTCTTCGCTTGGCTTGCCTTCTCGGTCGAGAAGCATGGGAGACTCTCCCGAGTCTCTTCCTGACTCCCCTGATGTGTAGTTTGGGAACGCGTCCCCATGTTCTGTCCCCTTTTGTGCGCCTGTATCAGTTGACGACTGCCCTGCAACTTGGGCGTCGGTGCCCTCTACCCTTCCTGCTATTTGCGAATTGTGAATCAAAGTTTCCTGAGGTATCTGGGCTTCTTGAGGTCCTTGTGCTTCCTTGGAAGCCGTGAACTCTGCTAGCTTTCAGAGGCAAGCTGGGCGACCTCTTCCCACTGCTCAATGGCCTTGAAAATAATAATTTCCCATGTGGGACTGCATCAGGGCAATGGGCGTACAGATCTTTACCACCATCGATATGCTTTCGAATTGCTTCTCGTAAAGAATATTTTGGGGCATCATGAGTGATCTTCGACTCATTCCGGTAATACAGGCACCACTCGGGGATACGTTGTGATGGATCAACACCGTGTTGAAGGAATGTTTTCATTGCTTGTATAACTTCAAGCTCTCGGTGCATGGCATTCTCCAACGTAAAGATACAGGACATGGCCCGAAACTTCCCATTCTTTATCATGATGTTGCCGGAAGGATATCTTTTCCATAGGGTACACCAGTACTCAGGGCTGTTCTTGTTGGGGTTAGCGCCATGTTGCTAGCGGAGGGACGTTTTCATTTTTTGTAGATCTTTTTTTGGGACTCGACATTCCTCAACCTGGTGAAGCAAAGGAACGAAAAGGAACGAAAACGTCTCATCGTCTGTCTCGTCATCTTCACCAACATAAGAAGGGATGGGGAATAAAGACGCCGGAAAGATATCTTTGCCATGGGGTAGGCCAGTGTTCTGTTCCCTCAGGGCCGTTCTCATTGGGGTCAGCGCTATATTGCAAAAGCAACCGAATTATGACATGCTCCAGTGCGTGGTCTGCGCCCATCCTCATCACCTCGGATCCGTGCCACTTGCCAAACGCATAACACCAGTACGACGCTTTACAGCTTGGGAGATTGTAACGGCCCACGACACATGACATCCGTAAGTATTGGTATTCCCCTTTCTGACTTCTATTTTATGTTAGCTGCAACTTTGGGTTTGTTTATGGGGTCTTGTAAGGACGTGGTGAGTCCGTAGAGAAACACCAACTTGTACGGGTCCTCAAGGGTGTAAGTCCAAAAAATGAACGAATATTTCGAGGAACGGTCGATTTTCTGACCACTCTGCGTAGGGTACCACCACTCTGAAGTCATCGCCAATTTCAGCCTGAAGCGTGTATGGCCTCTTTTCGATCTCTGATGAATAGGAACATTCGATATGCTTCGGCATCATCAAAAGATGCGTGTGCCACTTTCGGTATGCAATCATGGAATGCGGTGTTGTTGATAAAATCTCGTAAATCTTGAACCGCTTCAAAGTCCGATCAAGTTGAAGTATATAGTCAGTCACATTACGCCCGTAGAACCTATCAAGCTTTCCCACAGACTGCTTGAATTTGCGGAGCAATCTCTGGATGGAAATAGGCCAGAAGTAATTGGTCAAGTCTGAGTGGTCTAGGTGCGTATCGGGAAATAGCCAGAGCAGTGGCAGCACAGCACCAAGAAAGCAGTCCTCCATGCAAAACGAATCGCTAAACCCAGCAGCGTCTTGAATTTAATTTTAGTCCTCATAGAAGCCGACGAAATAAAGTCTGTAAAAGGTTCGATGTAAGAACACGACGGACAAGCAACGCTTATTGTAACGGACCGTGTGTGTCAGGTAAACGGGCTTCGGGACAGTCGTGGGGTCACTGTGACAATACAAGTCAGTCGGCACCGTGGTGCTGCCAAGTTCTAGCGGTCCCAAGCAACGACTGAAGAATCGACGCTTTTGTAACGTTTGCCAGGGCGGGTATCTTGTCTTCCGTATCGAGGGGCTCGATCGAGCAGCAAAAGATAGCTTGAGCAGTGTCCAACTCGGCACAATGTTCCTAGAAGTAGAACAGTGAAGAGTGGTAGTTCAAGATGAGAATCCAATCCGACTTGGACCATCAGGATAAGACGAACAGCTTGTGCCACAACATTGACAAGTTTAGTAGAAAAATCGATGACCTGGAAGATGGTGACCGCCAAGCTGAGCGCAGATATGGGATCGATGGTGACCTGCGACTCAAAACTCTAGTAGATCGTCTGTGCCATTGTGCGTTTGAAACGGGCAGACTCTCTGGTATTGGGATATGCGGGAAAGAATGCGTTGAGAAGGGAAGGCAGATCGGGCGGCTAGAGAAAAGAAGGGTTGTGTCTTCTGGGTTGTAAGTCAGGTAAAAGTCCAGCGTCAGGTTGGATGCATCCACAGTTGAATCTACGAGGTTATGCCCAATTTCGACAAGCAGCTGATGGCTATCATTCTTTCGTAGTGTCCAGGAAACTACCAGAATGGGATTCAACCACTTGACCAGTGTTCTCTCTTTGCCACATAGCCCCGGGAGGAAACATGTGGCCAGTCACATCTGCAGTGAGCGTGGAACTGCAGCGATGAATGCTTCAGGCAGTTTGGGTTGGCTAAGCTCACCTGATGATCCATTTCAAGCCTAGGGTTTTAGTGTGGTATATACAGGTTTGGATAATGCAACAGGTGGGATTTGTGTTAAGAACGGTGATTGAAGAGCGAAGCTGCTGTGAACTTCCAAAGTTGGGAGAAGCAATGAGCAGCTTCAAGACGTTGGGGGTGTGCATATGAGCCAGCCAGCAAATGAGGCATGTGGGTCCAAGCGGCACATCTCCTAAGTGTTAATGCGAAACTTTAATAAGGACCACAATTCAGGGCTATAAACTATTCTCCCGTGGAATATATCGATTCTAATTATATGATAGCTATTTTTTCATATAAGATATCCATTACTACTTAAGCTAAATTTCACCAGTTTGCAATTGTTATTGTAATTTTCCAGAGAGCTCCTTACATGTTAGCTAGTATTTGATGTTTCAGACTAACAGCTTCAACTGGGACGGATGCAGAGGTGTCTCCACAAGGAAAGCCACGGCCAGGGCCTTTCAGCAACGTAAGCTTGTTGGAGCTACATATCCAACCCTTACCCTTTGATGCCTCTCCAAACAGACAGTCCACGCTGTTTTTACCCTCTCGCCATCACCAATTGGGGGCAGTTGATGCACGCCCTGCCCCGAGGACCAAGATGAAGGCGACAGCCATTCTGAGCGCCGTCGCATCGCTGCTGTCGCTGGCCACGGCGGCGACTGCCGAGTCGCCGTTCAAGCCGCCGCAGGTGTGGAAGAACGCCAACCTGGTGCACATCATCTCGCTCGAGAAAAACTATGTCAAGGAGAACATCAACGTGCTGGTCGAGAACGTCGACAACCGGCCCCACGATGAGTACTACGTTCCGTTCACTGCCGACCAGCTGTCGCGCCTAGGCGGTGTTGAGGTCAAGGACCGCAAAGATCCTACCGTTGGGCCCTTTGGTGCTGAGCTCGTCGAGGTGAAGGAGAGGTTAGTCATAACGCTGGAAATTGGCAAAGAATCTGTGCTGAGAACTCCCTGCCAGCGACACTCAGTATCTGCGCATCCGACTCCCCGAGCCCGTCGCCCCAGGCGCCCAACAAACCCTCGGTATCAGCTACTACCTCCTTAAGGCCTACACCCCGCTCCCGGCCTCGATCCGCCAAGAGGAGCAGCAATACCTCCGGTACACGTTCTCAGCCTACTGCCCCTCAGCTTACATGACCGCAAAGCAAAAAACCGAAGTCAAGTTCCCCTCGGGCAACATCGCCGACTTCACCAAGCTCCCCGGCGCTGGCGATGTCAAAGAGTTCCCCCAGCGCCAGGGCTCAAAGCTGGTCTACGGCCCGTTCGATTCGCAGCCTGCTTACGCCTCCCAGCCTGTCACCGTGCGCTTCGAGTTCAACAAGCCCGTGACCCACGTCTCGCGCCTCGAGAGGGACATCGAGGTGAGCCACTGGGGCGGCAACGTCGCGTTCGAAGAACGCTATACCCTTCATCACCGCGGCGCGAACCTATCTGCGCTGTTCAACCGCGTCAAGTGGCAGCAAGCGCAGTTCTATGCGCCAACACAGACGTGGGCATTGAAGGAGCTCAAGTTCCCTCTGCGCGCGGGCAGCGTGGATGCGTATTACACGGACGTGATTGGGAACGTATCGACGTCGAGGTTTAGGAGTAATAAACGTGAGGCGGTATTGGAGATTCGGCCGAGATACCCGGTGTTTGGAGGCTGGAAGTATCCATTCACGATTGGCTGGAACTCAGATGCGAAGAACTTCCTCCGGAGGACGGGCACGACGAGCTACGTGCTGAACGTCCCATTCCTGGAAGGCCCGCGCACGGTCGAGGGCGTCGAGTACGGCGAGGTGCAGGTGCGGGTTATCCTGCCCGAGGGCGCCGAGTAAGACCCTTCCCCCCTTTCCTTCCCCTGATATCCTAGTTGTATCTTGAGTTCAATAACCTTTGGTACTGACTGTCTCAGAAACGTCCGCTTCCTTACCCCCATCCCCCTAACCTCCCTCTACTCGGCCGAGATCTCCTTGCACCGCACCTACCTCGACACGATCGGGCGCACGGCGCTGGTCCTGCGCGCACGCAATCTGGTCGACGACTTCCGCGACCGCGAGCTGATTGTCGCGTACGACGTGCCGCTGACGGCGGTGCTGCGCAAGCCGGCTGTTGTCTTCGCTAGTGGCGTTGCAGTGTTTGTCGCGGCGTGGTTGGTTGGGCGGGTTGAGCTCAAGTTCGATGCGCCGAGTGGGAAGGGGAAGAAATAGATAGAAGGAGGGTAAAGGTAAATTAGATGAGGGATAGGTTCGCGTTTTACACATGGGTTTTATTGTATGGTAACGGAAGTAGTTCATTTATCTTTTATTTGAGATATCTCGAGAAGTTGGTTGTGTGAAAGTCAGTTTCCTGGGAGTCGGTAGCCCAATAATCGGTCATCTAGTTAGGAGTCGGTAGCTTTAAAAGTCGGTTGTTTGAGAATCAGCTATTGAAAGTCGGTTATCATTAATCGAAGGTAAGTCGGTGACCACTCAACTTTGAACAGTTATTTCACGAGTTGGTTGGTGTTGAGTTGGAGGTTGAGAATCTTCAGTTCAGATCATATCCCCAACAATATGTAGTGGTTCGATGGTGTAGTTGGTTATCACGTCAGTCTAACACACTGAAGGTCTCCAGTTCGAGCCTGGATCGAATCAAGTAGTGAGCAGGCAATGAGCCTGCTGCGACATTTTTTTTAGACCTTTTTTGTGCTGGGTGGAGTTGGAGGTTCCTCATTTGCCTCATTCGAAGTGAGCTGGCAAGATGGGGAATATGACTCGTCGGTTGACAATACGTTAGTGGATGGTGAGAAAGGGCTTGAAATTCGCGAGAACGGAAATGTCGAAGAAAAATGAATGATCGGGCTGTTAATGTCTATGTATGTACCTGTAGCTGGGAATGGGATTTCGCAAAGTCCAAATATGCCCCAAGGGTTGAATTGCTATGAAAACAACTTTCGCCAAAGTCTCTGCTGGAAAGCTTTCTCCTCTCGTCGCCTTGATCTGATGTAAGAGTTCTCCCCGACCTAAACTGAGTAGAATATTTCCCCAGCCCACCGAGGATTGTCGGTTAGAAGGAGACCCGGGAAAATAAATTCCCAAAATTTACATCAATCTCTCAGTCCCCTATACAAGTGAACTAACTTTATTATCCATTATCCAATAGAGACATGAGATCTTCGTGTATTATCTTAATCAAGGTGAGAATTGCAGTCTTCGATAGTGGGCAAGTTCCTATTGCCCCTTGCTGATTTGCCAGAGGGCACTAATCTAATTTCCCAAATTCGAGTCCTTCCCAGTGGAAGTTGGACCTCAGAAAAAAAAAATACACTATCGATAATAGGAGCATCTTCTGATGATCGATCAGACTGCATAGCACCTGCTAGATATATGATCTTACTCACAGACGGCCAGGCGCAGACCATGCGCACTGGCACTTGCCAGTTGCGGACCAAACCCCTGGTGAGCAAGTAAACAACCCCAGCGTATCACCAGCAACGGTTCAGCAGAATACAACCGACTCTCTGATCATCAGTCAGAATACCGATCGATCGCACTAGATAATTTTGGATAATCGACTCAATCAAGCTACGACTACAGTTCCTACCTATCCTCTAATTGGTAATCTCTCTTTCAAACGAACCATCCATTAGTGACACAACTATACGCTCAATTCTCGACAAGACAATCATGTCCCGCAACAGCAGTGAAGACAGCCGTTTTTCCTTCTCCCAATGGTGCCCTCCGCCAACCTCCCTCCTCATGTCCAAACTCCCACTAACAGCAACTTCCCAGGAACCGCGCCCTTTCAACCCGCCTCTCGCAACGCAGCAGCACGGCAACCACAAGCACCTCTGTCACATCAGCAACATCCTTCTGCTCTTCCCCGTCCTCAAGCATACCCCGCTCCAACTTCTTCCTCTCTTCCCTGCCCATCCCCTTCCCCAATATTCCCCTAGGCGAACCAGCTCTCTCCCAGCCTCTCCATCGCCTCATCAAATCCTTACGTTCCGTGCCAACTCTCCACAATAGTCTCTCGTCAGCGTACACGACTGTCTCTTCCCATCTAACTCTCTGGTCCTCCCAAACAGGTGATGACGCCGTCACCGACCTCGCCGACAAGCTCTCGGTGCTGCTAGGTGAGATTGGACGACAGGAAGCACAATTTGCATGCCGGTGGGAAGAGGTCAGGGGCATGTTGAAGGTTGTGCGGGGGACGGAGAGGGGAGTTGCGAGGGTGAGGATGCTGGGGGAGAGGTGTAGAGTCGAAGTGGGAAGGTTGAGGGAGCGGGTGCAGAGGGACGGGGATGCAAATGGGGGAGGGGATAAGGGGAGGAGGTTGGTCGAGGCAGAGATGGAGCTGGTGAGGCTAGAGGCAGAGGAGTTGGTTGCGGAGGCGCAGTTGGGGGGTGTAGTATGTATCTTTATCTCCATCCCTCTCTCTAACCTGACCCCAACACTCACCACCGAAACAAGGAGGTACTGACACTGCATAGACAAGACACACCCTAAAAGCCTCGCAAACCCTGCTTCTTCGCTCTTTACTCGAGCGTTCCGAAAAACAGGCGATCCTGGCCCGCCACGGGCTGCGGCTCCTGTCCCTGCTCGACAGCACGCCCTTGGTGCCAGGAGAAGTCAGACCAGCGTTCCCTGCCACAGCGATGGCGCAGGCACGTCAGATACTCAACGACGCGGAGGACGATCTACGGACGTGGGAGCTGAGCGGGATGGATCGGATGTTGGTTAGGTTGGCGGCGGGGAGGGGG